TACAAGGACAGGAAGACGATGAAAGGTAGACTGACTAGAGGTCGATGATGATCAAGGAAGAGGAGAACTCAAATGAGAACCGAATGAACGAACAAAAGAGGATGAAGGACGGAGAGAGATGAACAATCGTCTAGCGCGATAGTTGTCTGTTTTGTTTGCTCCGAAGGCCTCAAGCCCTCCTTTTCCACTGTTTTCATGCGTCTCTTACACTCATGTTACTGCTCTATGTGGGTTGTGTTCTGTTTTTATTCTCCTTACAAACACAAAAGATCCCATTTATTGCTTCCTTGCTTTCTTTGTTTGATTGTTCCATGGGTGTCAATGGGTCTAAATAATGTCGCTGTACGTCTATGTCTGTCGACAAGTATATCTCTCTCCTTCATTCTCTCCTTTTCATCCCAAACAAATAGAATGGGGAGATACAAGGTGTCCGGTACATTTCGCCCTTTGGTCTGCCAAAATGAAGCCCGACATAACAAAATTAATATTACTATCAAACTTTCCGGGGCGAACGGCCTTAACGGCCTAATGGTACGACAAGTGGGCAGCGGGTGCCAGTTTTATCTTTTGTTTTGTTTTGTTTTGTTTTGGAGCCTTCACTTGGAGCCTTGACGTATTCACACAAGAGAATAAGGGAGCAAAAGGTTGCGGAGAAAAAGTCGCAAGGATAAGGGGGGAGGAGGAGAAAGTAGGGGGAACGATAGTCTCGCTTGGTTTTTGTTTGGTGGATCAATGTGAAGAGGGAGGCAAAAAAAAAAAAGAAGGTAGCAGCAGGAACAAGAAGACAACAATAAGCAATTGGAGCATTGAAACGATATCAACGGGGTTTAACGATTTTCTTGTTTGTTGTGTTAGTAGAATTGTGTGTCTGTGTGTAATATGTACCTGAAGGGAGGGAGGAAGCAAGGCAAGGGAGTGGTCAAACAAGAACAAACGGACCGCCCGTCGAGTAATTGAATAAGTCCAAAAGGTAGAATCCATCTCAGTCAGCCAATGCGGACGAAACAGAGAGAGAGGGGACAGGGCTCTCATAATCCTTTTTTTTTTTTTTTTTTTTTTTTTTTTTTTGTAGCAACTCGTTCAGGATTTTATTTTGTTTGAACCAGTCCAAGCACAAGGTGAAAACCAAAAAAAGGTTGCTTGCCTGTTCGAGGAGTGTACAGTACAGGAACGCAGTGCGGATGGCGGGTTTTGTTTTGCCAACCGCAAAATGGACGTGAGCATTCACTTCAGACTTCATTCATTCGGGGTCAAAGTGGATATGATGGGCAATGTAAAATGAACTCCTATTCAATTCGTATGACGATGATATTAATTTAATAGTCTTGTCAAAAAAAGAGGGAAGAGAAAAAGAGGGGATGGATACGATGCGCCCTGCTCAAACCTACTTCTCTCTTTCTTTCTCTTCTCTCTCTTTTTCTTCTTTCTTTCTTTCTTTCTCTCTCTCTCTCTCTCCTTCCTCTTTTCCTCTTCCTCCTATCCCCTAACCTCTATTGTTTCTCCACTCTCTCTCTCTTCTTCAGCATTATCACTTCCTTCACTATTTCGTCGATACCTTCTTACACACACTCACCCTTTGTTAACCTTGCATACTCATCACATAATATCCTCAGTCATATTTAATACTCTCAGGCACATCTTTCTTCATTTCCCTTCATACCCTTACTCTCACGCGCAAACCAGTTCAACCCTTTTGCCACTCTTTTACCACTTCTTTCCTTTCTCAAATAATCTTCTGCTATATACTCGCCTTCAATATCTTTCTTCTCTTCTTTTTCTTTACGTTAACGCCCCTACACCTCCACTCACACACGTAACCCCCCTTTTCCCAGACGTCGTTCACCTGTTCTTCAAAAGACAGGTACAGGTACAGTGAATAATTCCGCATAGTTTTTTTTTTTCTTTCTATGATCCAATTGAATGAACACAGAGTAGAAGACGCAATAGCACGAGTGAGTGAGAAAAAACGGAGGAAGGAAAGGGAGGACAAGTAGATATCCCCTCCACATCCTCCCTGTCTTCCTTTTGTCCCCCTTTCCTTTCTTGCAGCCCTCCTTTGGCCACCATTTCTTTCTTTTTTTACTTTTTTACAGCAGCTACTGGTAGGGCGGGACAGCCGAGTGGAGTTACAACCATCGGCAGAGAAAGTGTGTGTGAGAGAGGGAGACCTTATTCCCTAGCTTGTTCGTTCCCTCTTTACGCTATACTTCCTGTCCTTCCCACATCCACCATCGCAATCGTCTTTATCTCAAACCCAATAAGGAATCAAAAACGAGGGCCAGGAGGAAAAGAACGAAGGCGCTTTATATGCCACTACATGGTGTGTGTGTACACCGCGCTGTACATCCTATCGTTATTATCACGACTTTTTTTTGTTTTCTTTGTTTTTTATTTTCTTCCCATCGCATCGTTTCCATCGGCGCATGCATACATCGACGCACATATGCACTCTCTTTCCCTCTCATTACACAGGACAACAGGAAGCACGAAAATTGATTGGCAGGGACAAACAACGAAGGATTTCGGGTCAGGAAGCAGAGGCATGGTACAAAATACAATGAACAAGAAAACGGAACAGCAGCATAGGAACACACAGAGAGGGAGGCAGGACAGCAAGTGAGAGAGGGATTGAAAAGGAAAAGGGGGGGAAAGGACAGCCAACCTTCTTTGGGTGCACACAAAATGGTTCAATTCGCACCCACTTTTGGGTTAGTTTCTTCATTTCTTCCCGTTCATCCACGACACATACTGACACACATATATACACCGCAAGGCATGAAGGGAAAAGAGAGTTTTACTATATTGTTCGAACACAGTCAACCCACTGGACACATACTTTGTTGGTTTCGAAGATGGAAAGGGATTGAACAGCTGCGAAATCAAAGGAGGCCATATTACTAAGGGACAACCGGGAACATACACCTTGTTTTCTTTGTCGTTCTGCGTGATATGGAATGGGCATGGTATGGTACAGGCGATGGGATTGGATTGCGTGGGAGGGGCATGGGATCCATTGGCTTTCTTTTTTTCCTCCTTTTGTTTCTCTTCTCTTCTAGAGCAATGCCTCCTTGCTCTCACGTTTTTCTTCCTTCTCTTTTTTCCATTCTGCTTGTGTATGATATGAACACACACCATACCGTGTACATCCTTTTTGAGTTTTGCTTGGCTTTGTTGCATGAACACGAAAGAAAAAAAAAAGCATTCCTGCGCAATGCGTTGTTTACACACACACCTACACACCTTCATGCATGTTCTTCAATTGACCTTCTTTAATACATCCACAATCTGTTATCCCATACCTCCTTTCCTCTCCCCTCCCTGTTGTCACGTTTTTTTAATACAACTATTTCATTTCTGATATATCTTGTTACCCTCATTATCGTACCTTGTCTTCCTCTCACATTACATCCACCTTTCTTCCCTTTGTCCCTTCGCCCTTCACCCTTTTCTCGTTCTCATCTGTACCTCTCTTTTCGCTTAACCCCTTGTATGCGGATGAATGCTTGTTTCTTCCACTCTCCTTTCATTTCATTTTTCTGTTTCTTTCTTTTCATTTCAATCCTCCTCTCCTCCCCTTTGGTCCACGGTCCTTTTTGCCTTTTTTCGTCTCTGCTTCTTTCGATTCATTTCCCGCGAACTATCTCCTTTTCGTCCCCCGTTTCCCGTCCTCCCTTTTGGCCTTTTTGTTCACTCTTCTTTTTCGTCCGCTTCCTTGCCTAGCCTTTACCTTCCATCCTTCCATCCAATTCAAACTCTCTCCTTCTCGTCACCGGTAGTGACTACCGGTCTATCTCTCATTACCTTCTGGCTGCCTCCCAGACTCATTCCGTCTCCTTCACTTTCTTCCATCCCGCGTCTCTCTCCCTGTCGCTGTTCTTTCTCTTCAGTAGTTTTCACTGCTGTGGGTTCTGCATTTCAATATTTTCCTTCCCTTCAGTTTGAGTGTCCCTTTTGTCCCCCGTCTTTTTTGCACTTTTCGGTACTTTCGGTGTGCTCATGTTTGGGTCTATCGCCTCCTTTTTTATCTCTCTTACTTTTCCTTCTCCTTCTCAATTTCTCACTTGCTTTGTTTATCGCGCACTCTCCCATCTTTCCTTCGCTTGATTCTTTTGTTTGCCTCCAATACGGAAACCGAGGGTCGGGGTTGTGCCTTTTCAGCCTAGCCCTTCACTCTCGCCCCACATCCAGACATTCCTCCACATTCAGATCATTACATGGTTGGTTGGCTAGAGAAGGTCAATTGTGGTGCACCTTTCATTTTTTTTTTTTTTTTTTTTTTGCCGTCAGTGCTACTGGTTGCCGCTTGCTGATACAATTATCTGGCCTGGCTGTTCTTGCAGTACTTGTTCTTACTGTTGCTGGGTTCTCTCCTGTGCCTTCCTTCTGTCACCTTTCTGTATCTCATTTGTTATTAATATCTACTTTGAACACTGCCATTTTGTTCCTTCGTGCAGAGAGCTTTGGATGAACTATGGGCTGAATCGTACGACGGTGATGCATGGTGGATCGATGGATGCCTTGTTGCATGGCATGCTCTGCCTTTTTCTCCCAACCGCCCTCCAATTTTTTTTCCTCTGGCGCATTGCAACAACACCATTGTAGGGTGACACCGCCCCGTTGTTGACACGGACTCTTTTCCTCTCACTTACTCAATTGCAATTGCTCTTACTCTTTACTCCATCCGCCCCACTCTCACTTTGCGGCTCAACGATCACGGCCACCAATCCCTTTATAATGACCAATGGTTTCCCCTCTTGAACAACTCTTACTTACCAAATCCTCTTTTTCTTCTCTTCTTCCTTCTTCACTTCGACCTTCTTCCATTCTCTTCACCTTCGCCCCACCATCACTCTCCCCATTCACTCCCTACCTCCTTCCCCTTCTCTCCTCTTCTCGCTTCATTACTTTCTATATCGTTCCCTTTCCCTTTCCCCCCTGCTTGTTACGCATCATCGTTTCTGTCTCTAGCAAGCAAAATATAACCCAAAGTGTCACCATCCATGGGCGCCATTCAATCCTTCCTCGCGGCTGATCTTCTCCCGCATCCTCCGCACCAACACCGGTCGTATGAGCCAGTCGAGGCCTATTGCAGAATGTTGGAAACACTCATCCAAAAACGGTATCAGGAAGCTCTGACATACTGCACACCGGCAACATCGCAGCCCTGCCGCCGTATCTACCGTAACTGGCACCCGGACGATCAGCAGCGTAAGGAGAAGCAACTCGAACACATCCAAAGCCGGTTCTTGCTTTCCTACCCTGCTGAAAAATACAACCTTGTCCGGGACGACGACCATTCGCCGGTCGTCAACCCCTTCTTCAACCTTTCAGGCCTCTTCTTCTGTGCGACAGGCTCGCCCATGGACAGCGAACTCGATCCGACCGGTGCTGGCGCTGGAGGACCCGTCGCGACGTCACCCTACGGAAAGACGCGATTCCAGGTTGAGTTTGGACAGCTCCAGCGGGTCCTATTCCCCAACTTCAAGCTCTACTTTGCGGACCACTACAGGGTTGTCGGCGACTGGTACATTCAACTGATTGTCGTGCCAAGTTGGAACGCCAAGCTGGAGGAGCAGTGTGTGCAACAGGGCATGATCGAGCTCGACATCCAGAACAACCCATTCTTTTACAGGGCGGACGATGGGCAGTACTGGGTCAGCAACAGCCCCAAGCTCTGGATGGAACTCTTTATCGGATGCGACACCATCCCAACGACAGATCTGGGCGAGGTGGTCGAGAGCCGTCTGCACGAAAAGGTTCGCAAGACGAGGAACCGCCTTTCGGAACAGGAGGAACGTGAGCGACATGCGCGGGTGATTGAGAACGTCGCAAGGGATCTGGTCAAGCTTGCAGAGGGACTCCGGCAAGGTTTGGGACCCATGGATCCCGAGCTCGTCGACCTGACCTATGGACTATCTATGTCGCGTACCCAACTCGGTGTTATGCAAGCCGGACCCCAAACCGTCGGACCAGCAGAGCACGAGCCAAAGGAGATTTCACGCGAAGAGTGATAAACCACTCTCTTGTCCTCCCCAATGGTTTTCTCGTCGTTTGTTAGTCCCCTTCGTCTTTGTCAGCGCTTTTTTTGTTTTTTGCCCATTTGTCATTATCTTTTTCCCTTATCTGCTTTTCATTGTCGTGTTTTTTTTCCTTTTCCTTTGCTCGCATTTGCGCATCCAAGCCAAACCAAATCCCCAACCAACAATCTCCACAACAAACACAACTCCACACCTACACACACACAACCCTCATACCTGCTTTGTTTTTTTGTACCATTGAAACCACAAACACCATTTACTTCTTTTTTTTCTTGTCTTTGCCTTATACCTTTCATTTTCATTCCCTTTTTACTGTAATATCATTTCCTTGTTAGTCGTTCCCCACAAACAATCCACACAAAAAAATAATAATTGCGTTTTCCTTCCTCGTTCACCACGTCTGTTTATTCATGTTGGTCGTGCAATCGAACCCCATGTTCGTCCTGTATGTGTGAATTGTTTCTGAACGAAATGCAATTAAAGGTATGCAAATGTTTCGTCAGGATAAGAGGCGGAGCATGCAATATCAAGGATTCACAAAATGCTGTTGTCTATTACCCATGGTCAAACCGGCAGATAGACAGACAGTCAACAATCATCAATTATCCACGAGCAATTGAATGGGTCATGGGCGCCGAAATGGTGAGTATAAATTGCGCCCATGCATGGCGATATGTCGTTTTATTTGTTGACATTAGCCCATTGATACCATTCACCCTTCCTCTCCTCCTCTCCCCATACCGATCCGTTCCTTTTCCATTTCCACACGCCTCCCATCCCGCCCCATCAAAATGTTATTCTCGTGGTCAAAAAAGAACGATTGAGAGATAGGGGGAAGTGGAAGGGATTCGTTGTTTGTTTGTCTGTTGTCGTTTTGTCAATTGCCGCATGCATGAGGAAATATATCTACCGTACACACAATAGCACATGGTCAATTAACTTTAAGTTGGTGGATGAGAGGAAAACATAAGAAAACAAACAACGTGGGCAGGCCAGCCCTACTTTGACTCTGTTTCTGTATGAGATTGGGAATTGAGAGTAGGCATGAAAAGAGTAACCGAAAAACGTGGGACGGATGGGGTGGTTTTTTTTTTTTCTTTGTTCACGCGAAAAAAAAAGGTGTTGTCGTTTGTCGATTCCACGCGATTGGGCGTCGCTTGTTTACTTTAACTCGAAAAACGTGCGTGTATTGATTGTTGTGTTTGTGTGTTTTTGTGTTTTGCGTGTTTGTGTGCACCTAGTTGGATTGGCTGCTCCGCGAATCACTCTACGCACACACTGTTGAATACTGCAAATACTGAAACACGGCACTTTGACGGAAGGGGGAAGGCGCCTGTCTGTATGTGTCCGTACGGGTGCATTGCATTGCATGTTGCGGGCAGATTAGGAAGGAGAATAATCAAGAAAAAGAAGGAGGCAAGGATAAATTGCGTCTTTCGATCAGGGCCGACGTATTTGCATCCTGTATGTTCTTGTTGGCTGGTTGCAGGATCCATACCGGCCATCCCGATCGTACCATCTTCCTTCTTTATTGCTCGCTGTTGCTATAGTAGGGAGGGAAGAACCAGTGCGTACTGACTGGAATAAAAACCATAAAATGATGTGCATGTCGCCAACGGCTACGTTGACTGTGAAAAGAGAACATACTGTATGCACGATTATGTGCCCGAACCGGATGTTAACTGGGAGGACGAGAGAGGGTGGTTCTCGTGTATCCAGGTCTAGTATCGTTGGAGGATCCTTCTGTGGTTGTCGAAGAAGGTTTTTTCTCTCGTGAGTTATGCACGAGCAGCCGTTGGAGTTATGCATGTTGAGGTGGTTATAACAGTTTTCTTGCATACTGCTTTTTCCTTTTTTCCCCCTCTACTTATTGACGATAACTCAAGGCACCTCCTGTCGCCTAGTTGTCTCCAGCCGCCTATCAACTGTCCCACACATTTCCTCTCGTCTCTCACGCTCATACCCACTCTTGTATACCAGTTCTTGAATCCACTCTCCTCTTCACTACCGCTTCCAAATATACCTCCCTTCCAATAAAACCATGCAGGAACGTCAAACCAGCCAACCACAGCGCACGTCCACATCAATGCGACAACACACTCGACCACGACGGATCACTCGCCTATCACTAGCACTCTGCCTCTTCCTCACACTCAGTCCCCCATCCTCCTCAGGTCCACTCTCATCCAACAGCCTCCTCTCACCCATACCCCTCTGCTTTGCCGCACCCGCTACATCAACACCCATCGTCGTGCCACTACATGAGCCCGCAGTGAGAGAGTTGGCGTTCTGGACACCCATCACGGATGCGTTAGGCCAAGCTGGGACCGTAATCTCGTCGATTTTTCATAAGGATTCTTCACCATCGCCGTCATCGGGGGCGGATACTCCTCCTGCGATTGGGGCTACAACTGTTACTGCCATTCCGACGATTGACGATGATGCTGATGATGTGGAGGTGGAAAGTGGTAGTAGTAGAGAGGTGAAAGTCGATGGTGGTGGCGGCGGAGTGAGAGTTGTAGCCTCTGCGGAAGATTATGGGGTTGCGCATTTGGATCTGGAGGGGGATCCCAATTGCGATTATACGACTAAAGTCCAGATTGCCGGTTCTGAGGTAAGCCCAACACATCTCATCCCACACATTTGTGCAGAGAGGGGAGTAAGGAGAGCGGGAATACTATTCTAACATGGTCAGCAAGGGGGTTTTTTCTTATGTGTAAATAGTACAATGTGATTATCGATACGGGAAGCGCACATTTCGCGGTGGCCTCTAACGCATGCAAGGATTGTATTATTCAGCGGAGAGGGGATCGTTTTCGATCGAATGAGGAGGAGGAGATTCCTATTGATGCGGATGTCGAGCTTGTTAATGAGTTTGCTGCCGAAAACCATCCAGCGTCAGTGGAGGGAGGAGGAGATCAGCAGCAGGAGCAGCCGTGGAACTTGTTCAAGGAGCGACCTAACAATACCCGTCCTAGTTCTTTGACGACTTCTGCAACGACAACAACGTCAACACCAACAACGACCACGACTACTGCTACTTCGGCGCAGAGCTCGTCGTCTGTGTCGTCTGTGTCCAGCTCCAGTTCCTCTGTCGTGCCTCATTCATCAAGCACAAGCTCGGCTTTTGCCTTTTCGTCTTCCACCTCGTCGCCATCACTCTCAACATCGGCAGCAACAGCTAGCTCTGGAGCAACAGCGACCCATACTCCAGTGACGACTTCGACCTCAGTGGCCCAGTATCCTACTGCCTCTACAACAATACCATCATCAGCACCAGCTAGTGGACCTGCTCAGGATGCGTTCTATGTCGACGCCTATCTTCGGTTCCCCGACAACAAGGATAGACTAAAGAAGTTGCAGGATGCAGCACAGGCAGCAATTGCTGCCGTTAGTGCAGTTCCACCCATCGTCCCGGTTGGCCATCCTGCTGTAGGTGGCAACCACCAGAGCCCCCTCTCCAGTCCCAACACACCTGAGAGAGCATACACGAAGAGTCGCATGTCCGGAGAAGGAAGAGTATTGTTGGCAGCACCCGCCGAGAACCTGTACCCACTCTCGGTAAACGCGCGCGATCGAGGAGAGTCGATCAGAGTCAGCTATGGGATCAAGACCCACTCTGTCGGGTGGAGTGGGGTCATGACCTCGGACCTTATGACTCTCGACATGGCCAAAGTCACCTCTGGCGTCATTACCAACATTACCGCCGCTCCTTCAGCAACAACAGCAACGACAGATGCGCCAGGGACACGGCATCTGGAGGACGGTGGAACCATGGAGAAGGAGACCAACGTCGGGTTTGCGGCAATCGTGGAGAATACGGGGTTCTTTAATCAGGAATGTGGTGCACAACATGGCATCTGGGGGCTTGGTTATCGGACTCTGAGTGTTGATCGCAAGCCGACTTTGTTTGATACTCTCTCGGCGTCGATGAAGATCCCAAACGGGTTTGCGATACAGCTCTGTGGGAGGGTGGCCAACACGACCAAAACTGGAAACATGTTCCTTGGCGGATACTCCTCGGCCCACCTCGCAGAACCCATGCAGTTCGTGCCCCTGGTCAAACGCGACTGGTACCAGGTCCGTCTCGACGGGTTCAAGGTCATGGGCCGACCCGTCCATGGGATGCAGAACCTCAACCTCCCAAAGACCATCGTCGACAGTGGGACGACTAATATCCTGATGAGTCATTATAACCTCCAGTTCTTGATTGACGCTCTAGCACAATCGGGGGTTGTCCAATGGTCGAGTTTGATCCCCGAGCAGGATGTGAACAATTTCTGGTTCCGGAATGCGGTGTTGAGGTTGCCGAGGTCGAGTTTTCGAGTGGCGACGATGGCGAGGGCGGTCGAGGTTGTGATGTCCGGGGTGGCGGTTCCGATTTATACGTCGAGTTTTTTGAGGATTAAGCCTGTGCCTTCTGGACAGGCACCCGAGGGCTATGTCGACTTTTGGTGGCACGGTAAGCCCTCCTCGCTGTTTTTCCTCAATGAGGACCAAAAAAATATCGGTGCTTGTGCGCGCATGTAGCTAACTGTTCTTGCTTATTTTTCGTTAATGACATTATAGGATTCGCATCGAGCACGGCGCCGGATGCGGTAGAGGCAGAACGTGCAAGTGGCGGGGCTGTAATGCCAGGAGCCGTCGGCACCATTCTTGGTGAAACCCTCTTTGCCGGAAAAGTAGTCTACTTTGAACGCGGTAACGAAAACGTCCACCAACCTGGAGAAGAAGACTTTGGCAGGATCGGATTCGGGAGAGGGAAGAACTGCTTTGCGCCCGCTGACCATCGGAATGTGGATGTGTTGGCGAGTGGAGGGCAGGTTGCAGTGGTGGATTTGGATAGTGTGGGACCTGTTCGTGTTGCTGCTACAAGTGACGCGAGTGGGATCCGGTTTGGAGGTAATGGAAAGGGGTTGGACGTGCATGCAGCGGGCGGTGTGCATGCTGCAGGTGCAGGATGGCAGGGGCAGAAGAAAGGTGGAGCAGAGCCAAAAAAGGGAACGGGACGATCGCCTCTAACACCGATGCAGACACAGATTAATATCCATGGACTGGATGGGCCGATTCGGTTGATGGGCGGGGGTGCTGCAGGTATTCCTCGGCCTTGGGGCAGTAGTTTTGGGCTTTTAAGGAACCTTGGAGCCGGACTAGTTGTTGCCTACCTCGCTTCTGTCCTTTAGACACTCCATTCATAAGACATAAAAGACACAACAAGAAAGCTGCATTGATGCTTAAGAGTGAGTGGACAGATGTATGAGAGAATAAGGGAATTGCAGGGGGCAGCTGGATAGTGAGATTGCCGGCAAACTATGCATAACCAATGAGAAGGCATAGAGGAAGAGGCAGGGGCAGGGGACAGGGTGCCGTATGACGACGATGATGTTTTGATGATGTCATTGAGAAACTCAAAGCAAGATAAGAACCCTTTTTATTCATCCATATCCGTCGACAAGGTTAAGAGAAATGAGCGCATAATGACACTTTGTATTTTGTAGCAGAGCTGCTGAAGGAGGGGGAAGAATAATTGGTGGTTGAGATGGAGACCAAGTATCATTTCAACCAGACAGTTAGCCAGCCCATTTCATCTTCTCCTTGCCCTGATAGCAGTCTCTCAGACTGTCTCCTTGCCTCTTGCAAGGGTTGTGGCAAAGGGGGAACGATTGTGGATTACGAGTGATAGATGGGGCAGTGAGAAGATGAAAAAGCACCCGACGGGACAGGCTGTGCTCTTCTTTCTGCCTTTCTACCTTCCTACCTTCCTACCTACATATGATCGTTGCTTGCCTGCCTTGTGCCATGCACTGCATTGCATTGGATGCGCCTTTGTTTTGTTGCCATCAGCCCACTTTTCTTTTATGGTCCCTTTCCAATGCCAAAAGATGATAGGCCTCGGCACTTTGACTATTTTCCTCTCCTATTTTTATTTTCTTCAACAGTTCGATCTGTTTGATGTCTTCACTCTTTGTTTCTTTCTTCTTTCTTTTCTTTCACCTTTTCCTATTCCATTCGCAAACATTCTCATTCTCATCCTCTCCTCCTCTTCTCCTCCTCTAATACTCTTCTCTCTTCTCTCCTCACCTTTCAATCCACTCTTCTATCCTCACCTTTCAATCCACTCTTCTTTCCTCACCACCCTACTCTACTCACCAACACTCTCTTACCACACACACACTCACATCCCTCATAATGGATGCTCCTTCGGCCCCCGGGGGCACCGAAGCAAACCCTCCCCCCACCTACTACAAGTTCATCGGCATGGGCCTCGCAGTTTCCAGCGGTAATCCTACTGTCTCTTTACACACTTCCTTCTTCCCTCTCCACTCTTCACCATCGTGTCCATCCAATCCATCCAATCCCTTCCTTCCCGCCCTTCTTCACTTTTCCAGGCTCTCACATTTTGGGACAACCAGACATCAGACATTCACACCGACTTTTTTCGGCTCCTTCTTCTTTCTGGCCCGTGCTATGCAATACACTCATTCCTTCAACAAACAAATTCATTCCATTCGACTGGAATGACATCCACGGCCAGAACAAACATACATCACTCAACCTAGAATGGCGATGAGGGACTTGAGTGAATGAGAAAAAAAGGAAGAAGGGCTATTTTCTGCATAGACGGCATGAGACATCTCAGCAAAATATTCTTGACTCATAGCCACAACAAGTGGAAGGAAAGCGTTATAGGTTTATTTTTGGGAGCGCGCTAAACATCGCAAAAGAGTAGACAAACCACTTTGACAATAGGAAGCGACTCGCGAACATTGTAATACCCTACGACTACCATACATACCACAAGGACAACAGAAGAGATAGAAGAGATCAGAGTTCGACATTGCCCTGACAATACACCCCGAGTTTTGCTCTTGTTTGTTACTTGTTCATCGCATCTTTACCCTATCGTCGGAACAAGGGACCCTTACGAAAGTGGTTTGTGTGTGTATCTTGTTGAATACCATGGCCTGTCCCCGAGGTGTACACCAGAGAGCAAAAGAAAGTGAGAGAGAGAGACAGAGAGAGAGTGTGTGTATGTATGTGCCGAGAGAATCCCCATTTGAACCGACCATTCGTGCCAACGACCCTCCACCCATTTTCTATTTACCCAATGACCCCTTTTCAGACTTTGGCACTCCTTCAAGCGGTCGCTTTACACCTGTGTGCGACTTGTCAACCCATGCCATTGTCTTTCTATTACGGAATTCACACAATGTTCTCAACTCGATTCTTCCCCCCTCCGCCCCCCCGGACGATTATATCAACACCCTCGACCCTTGCCTCGTCATTTCCCGCGCAATGCCTCCATTGTTTGCAATCAACTAATCCAGACTCTTATCTCTTTGATTGGAACTCTCTACTTTTAGGTATCTTTATTGGATCATCCTTTGTCTTGAAGAAGAAGGGTCTCCTCCGGAGTAGTGACGTCGCTGGTGAAGGCCATGCCTACCTAAAGTCTAAACTCTGGTGGACAGGGATGACCATGAGTAAGTATGCATACATTCTTTTCTATTTTGCAAAGAGAAAAAAAGTTATAAACTGGACGGACAAGGATACTCCCTGTCCTCTCCCCTGTCTGCCTTTTGCTTACGCCTTTTTTTTTTGTTCTATGCTTTGCTTTTGCTGTTCTTATTGATTATGACTGGACAATTGTTTGTTCAATGATCTCTTGTTTGCATTATGTATTGATATACACGGTCTTTTAACTGTCTCTTGTTGTCCGCTCCCTTTTGTAGTGATTGTGGGAGAAATCCTAAATTTTGTCGCGTACTCGTTTGCTCCGGCACTCTTGGTCACCCCTCTTGGAGCCCTCTCTGTCGTCGTCTGGTATGTTCTTACAAGATAACTAACGCCAACCACTTCAACCTCTATCTGGAACCACATCTAACTCGACAAATGTTTCAATGTGTTCTGAAAATAGTGCGGTCTTGTCGTCTTGGTTACTGAAGGAAAAGCTGAACCTCCATGGCAAGATTGGATGTGCGCTCTGTATTGTAGGCGCGGTGATCATTGTCCTTCATGCACCAGGTAAGGCAGCTACGAAAAAAGGAGGGGAGAAGGTGGAGGGAGCAGTGTCTATTGATCATGTCAAACATATGTGTGGCGGTGTGTCTGTCCGTCGTGTGTGGCGGGTTCAAGGGAACATTTTTGTCTATTCTTGGATTTGCATAGTCAAACAAAAACCCTCGCTCTGACCCCTTTCTTCACTTTTCTTTTCGTTTGCGTACAGCCCAAGCTGCAGTCACCGACATCGACGAATTCAAGCATTTTGTCATTCAGCCAGGTAAGGATGTTCGTGGATTGGCTGTCGATGGATGTTGGTTCTGGACTCCTTGCTGGACTTTTTTCTTTATCAGAAGAAAGGCGGAGCTTGTGCCCTATTGCCTATACCATTTCCGCGCATCGTCATTTGTGCGCATGCACAGACAAACATATCCTCTTTCTTCCCAAGCGCGTCGTGTGTCCAAGGGCTGGAATAACACAAAACACACTAACCACGGAAAAAACTCATCTCTTGTTCGTCATTCCATACTTGTTTATATGAACATGTTTTCTACTAGGCTTTCTGGTGTACATGTCGCTGGTGATTGTGAGTTGCTTGGTGATTGTGTGGAAGGTGGCGCCCAAGTATGGCAAGAAACACATGCTGGTCTACATCGTCGTCTGTTCACTCGTCGGATCGCTCTCGGTAGTGGCAACTCAGGGACTCGGCGCAGCCATTGTCCGCAACATTACTACAGGAACCCCACAGTTCAACCATTGGTTCATCTATGTGACCATGATCTTTGTGGTCTGTACCCTCGTCACCGAGATCAACTACCTTAACAAGGCTCTCAACTTGTTCAACACAGCCATGGTCACTCCCGTCTACTATGTCATCTTCACGAGTGCGACCTTGGTTGCGTCTGTGATTCTCTTCCAGGGTTTCTCGGCCAGTGCGTCGTCGATCATGACGGTCGTCATGGGATTCCTTGTCATCTGTGCGGGAGTCGTTCTCCTGCAGACGTCCAAGAGGCACGATTCTGCTGCCGCGGCGGCGCTCAAGAAGTCTAAATCTTCATTGTCATTGCACGATGACGAGAGCCTGATTGAGGCCGAGAAGGATGATGAGTTCGAGCCTGGTCCCTTGGGTCTTCGTGCGGTGCCGTTTGATACTATCCGCCAGATGGTCCGTGCAAGCACCATGCCTAATACCCCCCACACCTTCCCCCACACCTTCCACCAAACCCCTGACACAGTCGTGCCCATTGAAGGCGAGGATGGTGAGCATGCGGGAGTCTATACCGGGAAGCCACCTCGGTCGATTGGACGACAGCTTTTTACAAAGTTTGGTGGCGGTGGGCGTAAGGCGGATGGGGATGGCACAACTACTGCTTCAACTCCTTTGACTCCTCAACAGTTGCAGCATTTTCCTGGACAGGAGACGGTGTCTCCCGTGCAGGGGGGTGTTATTATTCCGATGACTCAGGTACCGCCACAGCGGGGACAGGTTGGAGAGAAGCAAGAGTTGTCGGAGGAGTATGACGAAAAGAGGTACGAGGATGAGCCAGCAATACGCCACCAGCAGCAGTACCAGCAGGACGATGATCCAGCCGAGGACCATTCTCCTCTCGACTCTAACTCCCTCACACTTCGCGACTAAGAGGCCATCTCTTCTGTTTTCCCCTTGTCTCTCCCTATCTTTCCCCGTCTCTCCCTATCTCTCCCCGTCTCTCCCTGTCTCATCCTCTCAACTTCTCCAACCCTCATTTGTATAGTACCCCCCCATACCGCACTCTTATTAGCAGGCGAAAACAAACCATTAAAACCTTTCATCATTTCTTTCATCGATATATTGTTTTTATTGTAATGACATGGCTAAATAATGACAAAGGTACGGATGGAAGTGGAAGACAAGACTAAATATTTGTATGTATGAATGCTCAAAAGATTGTCTTGTTCCTTTTTGCTACCTCAAAAGCGCACTCTTAGATGACTTGGTAGACATGGATGAGCTTGAGCTCCTCCAGCTCATCCTCCATCATCTCCTCGACAAACTCAGCTCCTGTCACCGTCACCTCAACCTCCTTCAACCAACTCGTCCAATCCCCTACACTTCCGACCTCCGTCCCATCCTCCTTCAGCTCCTTCGCCACCGCCGCCGCCGCCGGTGCACTACCAACAGCACCAGGGGGCTTCGCGGGAACCTTCTTCTTTTTCGATTTGGGTTTCTTGACGGGCCCGATGAGTCCTGCATCCTTGAGCTGGTCCTGGAGGGAGGGGATGGTGATAAGGAGGGCGCCCTTTCGGGATTTGAGGTGTGTGTGGAGGAACTTCCAGAGTTGTTGTTGCACTTCGACAGGGGAGAAGAATTGGAAGACGTTGTTCATGATGATGATATCGGCTGTTTCCAGGAGAGGTGCTCTGTTCAGCAAGTTGTCGTGTACGATCTGTTTTTTAGGAAAAAGGAGGTTTGATGTTAGGATTTTGCTTAGAGTTGTTGCCTGCTATCTTGTCGGGGGCCAAAGGATGTGTTGGCAGTGGATTGCGTATATGTGTATTGGGGGGGGGGGGGTTACCTCGATTCTGTCCTGGAGATGGTGTTTCCGGACCATCTCCGTCTGCAGTTTACAAAAGTAATCGTTCATCTCGACTCCAATCAACTTCTTTGCCTCCGTGAACAAGTGTCCCTATTTACAACCAATTGTTTAAAAAAAAGTCCAGCATCGTTAATATATCACAAAACAACACCCATCGACGACACACAACACACCATTACAGTTTACAGCTGCAGCAAACAAACAGCAACAAAAAAAAAAAAAACTTAACTTACAGCATAAAGAACAGCGCCCAGACGAGACCCAACATCCAAGATAACCTTGCCCGCACTCCTCTCACCCTTCAACAGCACCTGGAACAAGAACTGCAACTGCACCACCGAAGCAGAATGCGAGATGAAATTTAACGGCATCGTGTCCTTGGACCCGCACTTTTGACAATAGTTTCGGGAGAGTTTTCCTTGGTCGCAGAGGTCATCGACGTCGTCTTCGGTGTAGAGGAAGCCGTCTACGTGTACCACATTGTCCTTTGTATATCCCGTGAACTAAGGTTTGGGGTAAGAAATAGGAGAGAGGTGTTATTTTTTTTCCCTTGTTAAAGCAAACTCCATCTATGGCCCCATTGCCTTACCCAACTCTTCCAGATCGACCGCACGAGAACAACAACAACAAACGAAAGAGAATAACAAGAAAAAAAACAACGGATCTTACCTCGTCTGAGGAAGGAATGGTGATCTGCTCGCTGGGGGCTTCAGCATTGACGGGAAGACGCTCTCGCAAGTCCTCAATAATCTTGTTCAGCCTAAAGATCTTGGACCCTCCCGACCTTGCAACATCTCCCTTTGTAGGTTCATGGTCGTGATTACATCCTGGTCCATGCTCGTGCTCGTGAGAGTGTCCGTGTCCGTGCTTTCCTTCCGCTTCATCGTTAATCATCTGAAGACGCTCCTCTATACATCCAATCAGAAATAAAAATAGAAAAAAAATCGAACAAACGATTATCAGATAACTGGTCCTGGCTGCGAAGATCGTGAGCAACGCTTACTTACACATGTAAAATAAATATCCTACAGGTGCATATGTGGGGTTAGGACATACCGACGGCAGCGCCGACAAAGGTCTCGAAGGAGAGAAGCTCGTCGCCCTCGAGGGTTGCCAACAATTCCAGGAAGGCATCCTTAGCCCTGTCCATTGCCGAGAGTTCTTCCGCCATGGTTCTTGATGGTGTGATGTTGAGTTGTTGAGAATGCAAACCTGCAAGGAGATTCGAACACTCAATTCAAGAGGAGAAAAAAATGTGATCGTCGTGACTGCGTATGGTGCAGCGTGCAAAACAAATGGAATCCAGTTCGATCAGGAGCGAATAACATGAGGGATCATTCGGATTGGTGGCAACATCACAAACGCCACCAATCTTGTTATTTCTATGTGTAAAGAGTCTGACTGAACTAGCTAAGACTGAAGGCATAGGCAGTCATCGTGTTGAGTCGCTCTATTAAAAGGATGGAAACCAAAGAACAACAAGGGTTAGTTCCCAATTACACAATCTGTCAGAACACACTCAAGCCAAAAAAGAACAAAGACATACCAGCAGAGTAGCTCATGGCGACGCGCATGAACTCCACAGCAAGGGTAGGATCGTCCTTGACCATCTTCTGGAAACGCTCCTGGCTCAATCCCCAGAGGATACCATCCGTTTCAGAGACAACGGTTGACATCCGGTTGTTGCCCGTGAACAATCCCAGCTCACCAGAAATCGTGCCTGGCAACACCACCTCAACACTCCTCCGGATAGCTCCGCTGTCCTGGAACTCCTGCACTGACCGCAAAGTACCGTCCTCAACCAAATAAATACCGTCCGTAGGAGCACCGCCTTGGCGCCAAAGGATCGTTCCTGCCAGCACTGTTCTCCGCTCGAAGTACATGCTGAGTCTCAAGAAAAAGTCAACGGAGTTCTCGCGCGTGTCGTGGAATGCTGCCAACAGCGAGGGCACAGGCTGTTGCAAGTTGATAGGAAGAGGGAACGGCCGCTCATTAGCTATTATTGTGTCAATTTTTAAAAAATGAGGAATATACAGGATTAATAAACATGCCAAATAACGCACGGCCATTATTGTATGCAAACAGAAAGAGATAGAAATCATACCGTGGAGAGTCTTGCGGGCGGCTTCGAAGAGGTGGCTCTTGCGGGGCGAGTTTTCCATGTGCTCAGAGAAAAAGTGGGTCGCCTCTGAATCGGGCGAAAGTACATCGCTGCTGTCGTCCTGGTTGGCAACCTCCATCAATCGCTTGCGCTTGGCCATTTCCAGAGTCGACTCCCGAGTGCGGTAGTAGCTCTCCAAAAGACAATTTTCGCAGTACTCCAATGCCTCGCTCAGTCCAGGGAAGCTTTGAGTAGGGTACTTGTCCTCGCCAGTGGCAGCATGTCCATGTCCGTGACCCTCGCCCAAACCAGCTCCGGCACCAGCACCCCAGACACCGACCATATGAAGAGCCTTGCCGACCTCGCCCTCCTCATCCAATCCAGCCAAGACCAAGCAGACGTTATAACGTTGGACAGCTCTGCGGATTCTTCCAAAGCCCTCAGCAGCCGAAAAGTCGACGTTGCGGACCAGCGAGAAATCCAGAACAAGGAATTGAATGGGGTTGTCCTTCCAGCGTCTCCTGGAAAAGACATCCTGAATCTCCTTTTCGACCTGATTAATAGTTCCAAAGAACATATCGCCCTGCAACTTGAAGATGTAGATTTGGCGTCCGACCTGTCTCAAGAACTTTTGCTGTCTGTACACACGACGGACTGTACTCTTGGCACTCTCGCCGGTGCAGGAGAATCGAACTCCCTCCTTGCGCGAGTTGGAGACCACAAAGAAGACACAGGCCAAAAGGATTCCCATGAAGATGCCCTCGACGAAACCGAACGCAGCCATGGCGATGACAATCAAGGCAATGGTCAAGTACTCCAGATGGTGGACCAGACCCCAGGTGTCCCAGAGGGCCTCCTTGACAAGATCCATACCCAAGTGGAAAATGAGGGATCCAACGACCATGACAGGAATGTATCCGACAATCCATGGGCCGATCAAGAAGATAGCGACAGAAGCAGCAGCCAACATGGTACCAGCAACACGACTGTCACCTCCCGACTTGATAAAGAGAAGCGAGTTGGTGTAGACGAGGTAGTCTAGACAAGTTGAGTGAGATCAGATGGATAGTAGTGGAGATAATGTTAGCCAAACAGGTTGTTGTGAAACTAGGGTCACAGGCGCCTATTCTAATACCCACACCCACACACTGCTATATGGGTCCAGTGTAATAACTATCCAGGCACCCTGAATGATTCACTTACTTTGAACTGTTCCCATTCCGCCACTGATCATGTTGGACCAACCGTGAGCAATCAACTCTCTGTTGGTGTCGACATTGTCACGACCGGTCGAAACACCCAAGGCGGGGACATTGATGGGGACATGGAGAATACCAAAGAAAGTCAAGGCCAGCATAGCAGGAACAGTCTCCAGAATGGCGCCCCAGTTCGTCTTTTCCAAATCTAAGACAGACGGTTTAATTGCGACAGAACCAGTCGTTAGCCACTAGTGTCTTTCTTTTCGTCAAACATAAAACCTAACCAAAAGAAAACTTACCAAAGTAGCTGTAGAATTGCCAGCCAGGAGCATGGCCCTCAGGTAAGGGGAAGACCCAGCCCTGAGTACGAAGCATCTCCCAGTCCAATCCAAACACCCACACAACAGCGTAGAAGATGCCGGGGACGACCATGAAAAAGGTAGGGACCAAAAAGGGATGTTTGATCTTATGCTGGAGGACGCGGAGGATGAGAGCAGCGCCAAAGGCTGTGGACCAGAGGGCAAAGACATGGTGGTCAAAGAAGAGGAACTTGAAGGTCTCCCAGGAGTAGGTGAACTCTCTTGTCATTCTCGACGAGATCTCGAATCCAGTAACGATCAAGAACCAACCGACACCACCAATGCATCCGACCAGGATGTGACGGGGGAAGAAGGCGATCAAAGAGCCCAGCTACATTATGAGAAAAAAGATGTCGTGATTAGCATATCGATTCGGGTTAGTCAGGCACAAAAGGGCTAAAGGTACCTGACAAGGTTGGGGTGTGTGAAGAATAGAAATCCGTCCAAGGAATAAAGTTCTCTTCCAGCCAAGCGATGAATGTTCCACTCAATGGCAGCAGCAAGCAAGCCTACATACCTTGAAATATCCGAGGGCCATGAAGACGGCACCAGTCATCAATGAACTCAGGGCATACGCCAGAATGGTCGTCGCCAAAACTGCATCCCTGTTCTCAGCACCAACTCTTGCAACAACAGTTTCTGCCCTGTTTGAGAAAAAAAGAAGAGACAGAAAACAAGGGGGATGTGTGAGTACACGGCGATGAGTATATGTGTGTCACCATGGTGACCTTTTTTTCTTCTTTTCTTTTTTCCGAGAAAGCAATAAAGGAAAGGGACACATGTTTGGGGTCAACCATGCCCTTCTTATTTCTTCCCATTGGAGGGGAAAAGTCAGCAACAGCACAACAACACGATGGAAGGCAATGTGGGAAAAAGAAGAAGGACAATCGAACATGTAAACGGGGATAGGATACGTACATAATATGTAAGAATGGCACCACCTCGATCATCATGCTACCGTTGCCTCCCTTGAAGGCACTTCCACCGAGAGAGATGACCAGCTGAGAGATAATGCAACTGACAAAGAACATTGAGATACCATCGGGGCCGAGATCCTGGAATGGAGCCACGTTCAGAGGAAAGATGATCATACCTATCAATACATCAGCAGCAATAGCAACAAAGCACAATCGTTAGTTTTCAACGATTAGGGGCAGGAGCCATCCATCCATGCATTGCATAGTTGGGTTTGCCATCGCACCTCCTCCACCTTTTTTTTTTTTTTTTTTTTTTTTTTAAACCCCAGTCTGGCCTAGATCCATACGGCTCTCATCTCCGCCGCCTCAGCAGTCGCCAGCAATAAGATGGAAGACAAAAAAAAAAGAGAATAGTCAAAAGAATAAGTCGCCGTCAACTCAGTTGTGTAGCAAGTGCTTGTCAAGACGTACCATAAGAAATAGCATCCAGGAGGTTCAGCAAGAGACCGAGGATGACAGCAGGGATGTAGCCAAGAGGGTCGTAGACAAACTTTTGCGTGGCGACCTTGCAAGTCCACTTTGTTGAGCGAAATTCATTCCAGACGGAAGCGAGTGTTTCTTCGTCTTGTTCGTCGAGGGGTCTGTTGGCGGGAGGGGTGATGGTGTTGTAACCCTGAGAAGCGGAAGTCGACTGTGCCTGATCTGCAGGATGACGTGAGAGCAGACGATCTGTCTCTGAGGCCGGAGCGGACGATTCTCCTCCAAAGGAGACTTCCCCGTTCGCAAGTTTGGATCGATTGAATCCGATTTGCTGTTGTTGTTGTTGTTGTTGTTCGATTGTCAGGAACACCGAGAGAGTGTAGTTCAAGTTCCAGGAGAAGACATAGGAAACGGTGAGAAACAAGGAGACAACAAATCGATAGAAAATTGGTTCAATTGGATCCGTGATTGCAGATAAGGGTTTGAACCATTCGGAAAAAAAAGTACAAGGAAAGGTTAAAGGAAAAAAAAAAGGTTAGAGTCACTTGGCATTCTTTTGTTCCTTCTTTCTTACTTGACCTGTGTCCAGACCAAAGAGACCAAGGTTTATTTTTTGTTTTTTTCACTTTTCTTTCCTCAGCCTGTTCTGTTTGTTGCCAAGATGACCAAGAACGGACGTGGTTGGCACAGACTTGTTTATGTCAACAAGGGAGGGAGAGTACATTTGTTCGGAGAGGGCAGAGCGAGCGAACGAACAAACGAACAAGTGAGCTCAACACGACAGAGAGGGAGGGATACAAAAAGGGAGACGAGGAAGGGGAAGGGGGCAGGGAGGAAGATGAAGTGAAAGAAGAAAAAAAACCAACCAACAAACAAACGGAAGCCAAAACAAACCATGTCATCCATTGCTACTTTTTATTTCCTTTTTTCTTTTTCCCTCCAGGTGGAATCATCTCCACATCAACAAAAAACACCCACTCGCACATACACCACCCGAACACAGACAGCAGCAAGAAGCAATAAAACGTAAATAACAAGAACAAGAGGGATGAGGGTGTACCTTGGTTTCGATGGGAGCTGGAGGAGGTGAAAGGGAGCCATGTTTGCGACCGGGGGATCCAGTTCCGGTTCCAAAAGCAGTGCTGGTATCATTGGATCTGGACGAAGAAGGGTTCTTGTCTTTGGAATCTTCCTGTTCCTTGGTCTTGAGCAATAAGCTCAGGCCACTAGGTGGGCTTCGGTCGGCGCCGTCCCTCTTTCTGTTGTTGATGTTGCTAGTGCTGTTCGCAGGCAGACGATGGCCAAAGGCAGCATCGCTGTTGTTGACATTGTTGTTGTTGGACTGGTGACCAGAAGGGGTGCTAGTAGAGTTGGTGTTGGAGGCCCAAGAAAGGCTACTCGAGTTGTTGTTGTTGTTGCTGTTGTTTCCTGGGGAGATGATAGCCTCAGAGTCAAAGGACTGCCGCCGTTCGAGATTTCCAAGGGCAAGAGATTGTTCGCGGACGAAGGAGGTGGAGAAGGCGGCCTGAGAGGAGTGCTGTCCGATCGAGTGAGGGTGAGAGTAGGACTGGTGGCCAAAGAAGTTTGTCGAGGTGGTCGAGTCGGATCGTTTCCTTCCTATGGTCGTGGGTGTTCCTTCGTAGGTGGTATCGTTGTTGTTATTATGAGAGTTGTTGTTACCAGAGGAGGATCCGATGGAGAAGTTTGGAGCGGCGTTCTTTGGCAGAGGCGGTCTCCCTGGGAGGCCACTTGCGTGCATGTTCTCGAACGCATGTGCGCTCTTGTAGCTTGTCATTGCTTCTTCTTTCTTTAAAGAAGATTGTCTGTGCGGAGAAGAGGGAGGGATGAATGAGAGAAATGAGTACAAGAGTATAAAAAAGGGGGGAAAGATTGATTTGCTGAGAAAAAAGAAGAAGAGTGATGGAGCGACGAGGTGATGAAGGAAGGAACGAAGAGCAAATGTGAAGAAAAGGGAAAGAAGAAAAAGAAAAAGAGAAGTTGGCGACGAGGGAGAGGTTAAAGAAAGAAAAGAACAATTGGGCAGAGAGCTCCGCTCGGTGTTGGAGACACAGACATAACGCAGATACATAAACATATCACAGATACACAGACTTCGATAGGGCACACGATAATCCCATCTCTTTTTGGGAAAGAGGCGTGCACTCACACACACACACACATGCACATCTCTCCTCTTCCGCTCCACTCCACTTCACTGTTGCGAGCGATAGAAAAAGAAAAAGAACATCCTGCCAATGGGCAATGGTCCTTCTTCAATTCACTCACTCACTCACTCACCCACTCACTCTTGACCTATCCTTATCTTGCCCATCTACATCTACACATCTCTTCGTTGATTATTCATTCCGATAACACTTCTCGGGTCTTATGTATCATCAGCCTTGGATCCATCCATGCTACATGCCATGATACATACCACGTACTACAAGCCCTGTCCTGTGCACACATCGCCAGTAGGGTGGGATATGTAGGTAATTGTTAGGTTATGCATCAATACCTGTGCGCACTGGCACGAGCTACGACCTTACGGGAATGCAACAGACGTAGACTCTGAGTCCACATTACACACACACACACACAGACACAAACTCACCCCTAAACACTTTACAATTTGCTTAGCCCTGTCCATCTCTCTCTCTCTCTCTCTCTCCCTCCCTGTCTTGGCAACCACTACCGCATGGTTGACCGAAGGTCGACTTTGTACTCTGCGTACTACCATCCTTACTCGTAATTTCCGAGGAACTTTTTGTCCTTTGTCTGGTCAAACAACAAGAATTGCTTGTTCGAGTGAGCAATTGGAAAATTGTGGCGATGTCGTTGTTGTTGTTTTTCAACGATGATGATGGTGCTCACTCAAGATGCTCAATGAGCATATGCACTACTCCAAAGTCCATACCCTGTTCCACAATTCACAATCCAACAGGACAACAACGAGAACAGCAGACCCCTTCAGAGCACCAAACAATCTAGCACCTTCTCCCTTCAATCTCTCCTTGAGATGTTTCGTGTCTTTCGTACATCCATTTAGTCTACATTCACATTATTCGACACATGGCCATTTTGCTTTGATTGCTTGCTCCCTTTCTGAGCCCTTCCTTCTATCATTTTTTGCTCCAGCCCATCCTTGTCCTATCTGGTTTTGATATATATCACTATCGCGAATGTTGTTGTTCCACTGCCTCGCGATCTATGCAGACAACTCGGCGTGTCGGTATGTGAATGCGTGTATGGAAGCAAAAGAAACGTCAATCCCTGTGTTAATGTATTAGGCAGGTACCTTCAGTCCTTCCCTGTCAAGGATAGAAGTCCGTCCACTAGCTATCTATATCTACGCTATTATTTCCATGATCGATCGCATAATATTTCATGCCGTTGGAAAAAGTTGAGGATGTGATCGGCCGGAGCGAGAAATGACCACCTAAGCACAACCCGACAACGACGACGAACGGACAAACGAACAAACGATCACTTCGCAGGACACGACGTATATAAGTAATGTACGTAGTAGAGTGCATGTCCTCCCTTCAGTAAGCAAAACACAAATACTAATCGGACCACTCTGCATTTCGACATGAATACACAGTCTGTGACCACAACCTGACCTGCTTTTTCCTTCCTTCCTTTCGCCCTCTTTATCCTCAGGACTTTAAAAAGGGCGCTCACACTTTCTTCTTTTTTTCTTCTTCCTCTCCTTCTTCTTCTCTTCATCCTCCCTCATCCTCCATCTCCACTAACACTACCACTCAAAATGGCTGGCTTTTCTCACATTGATCCTAACGAGTATGTTCAGTCTATTAGCTCTCCATCATGGTCCTCCCGAATGAAACATTCGATTGCGCCCAGTGAGTGTGCTCTCTACTTACCGCCCTTGCATCACTCCCTTGCTTACTCTGTCATTTACGATAGCCCCGCCTTCACCCACAAGTTCGCTCAAACGAAGAACCTCAGATATCGTAAGTCAGTCCTCTCCCTTCTCCACCTCAGAGACGGGCCCATTGTCGAGAACCATGGATCCTCCCACCATTGCACCTTTTTTTTTCTTTTCGTTCCTTGTCTCATTGCCCAGGATTCAATCTGTTGTCTGGTATCAACAACACACACATATCCTGAGCACCACCTTTGATTAACGTTCTCACTAGACTATGTCGAGGCTGGTGATCCCAAGGGTGAGCCTCTGGTCTTGGTCCACGGGTTCCCCGACCTCTGGTACGGCTGGAGATACCAGATCAAGTTCTTTGCCGAGCTCGGATACCGCGTCATTGCCATTGACAATGTTGGCTACGGACAGACCGTACGTACCTTGTCGTTGTTCATTTCGTTCACACATCGAAACCTTTTTTTTCTTTACGTTTCATTCTACCCTGCCTTCCTGAGTTGTTTGTTCATGGCGTTGGTTCTATCATCTCACACAAGCCTCTTCTTTTTCAATCCTATCATTAGGAGGCACCTATGGAATTGGAGAAGTACGGATTGAAGGCCCAGTCCGATCAATTGGCCGGTCTCTTGGATGCCCTCGACATCCCCAAGATCACTGTAAGCTCTTTTCTTGTCTGAACAACATATGACTGGTCGTGTTTTTGTTTGCAGGCTTCCCTCTAGTTGGAAAGGGGAGACAGGAGAAAATCAAAGGGCGGTTGTGTCTCGCTAGGAGGATATCACCATCTTCCTAAAACACAAGCATCCATGTCTGACGAACGTTTACCCTTTTGTTTTCAAACATGCATAGTTGATCGGACATGACTGGGGTGGAGCCTTCGTCTGGAGATTCGGACTTTACTACCCTAACCGCGTCAGCGGCATCATCAGGTACGTTCAGGACTCTTGCGTCTTCCCAATCGCTTTGTCATTTTCCCCACGTTACAGAGCGGAGGCAATGGATAATTTCCAGTTGGTCAGCGATGCGAGGCGATTTGCATGCGAGTGTGCCCAGTGCATGAAAGTCGAGTTCGCCTCTCATCCTTTGTTTGTTTGATGGCTGCTCTTTCTTTGGTGTCGTTGATTTGTGCTTGGGCATCATCTTTTATTTCAAGCGGTGCTCACCAGCACGAAAAAACACAAACACAAATATGGTGCATTTGTTTAAAAACTGCTCACAACATTCTAATCCGTCTCTCTCATTTCCGGTTTTTTTCCCATTCCTACTCTCGGCATCAATGCAGCATTTGCACACCTTACAAAGCCCCTTCTTCTACCTACAGGACTCTCGAAGGTAAAGGTTGCTTGCGTTACTGTTACTGTTGTATGATTTGTTTCCTCACAGACCGAGGGACACGCAGGTTTTGATCGATTGCGCCTATTATGACAACTGTGAACACAATGAATGCTAACCCATGTCTTATTTTTATACTGACAATATTTGTAGAAATCATTGCGGTCATTCCTCAGTTCGCCTACCAGCGCGAGTTTGTTGATCCCGAGACCGTCGCCAAGTTTGACAATAACGTAAGTCTCTCGTCACTATTCTTTTGCCATTCTTCATCCGTCCTTTTTTTGTTTGTTATTACCAGCCTGTTAACGCCATTGCATGATTGTTTCTTTGCTTATGTTTGAATAGAAATCCAAGTTCATCTTGGGGGTCTTGAAGGCTGGCGAGTGCCATGGTCAGGTAAAAAAACAACAACAATGATATCCTTCTGTGGTAAAAACTTCCTAACTGCCAATACCATTTCAAACTCACACCCAACAAGTCCACTAACGCACCACACCCTCATTATACTCCTTCAATCACATCCACCCAGGCTGAGTTGGACTACATGGTCCAGGAATACTCCCACAGTGGCTACCGCGGACCTCTCAACTACTACAAGACCAGAAGAATCAACTTCGACGACGAATTAGCTCACCTCCCCCACAAACACCAACATATCATCCACACCCCCTCTTGGATGATCCTCGCCAAGAATGATCCTTACCTGTTGCCACACATGGCTAATGGAATGGAGAAGGTTATTCCCGGGGTCAAGTTTGCGACGATTGACGCGGGACATTTCTGTATGACGGAGAAAGTTGAGGAGGTTAACCAGACTTTGAAGACGGCGGTTGAGGATTTGATCGCGAGACGTAATGCGGCCACCGCTTCTAAGGCGTCTTTGTAGATGGAGAGGAAGGAAACAGTAAGCACGACACTGTTGTTGGAGGGGGGGGGTTACCTTGAAATGGATACCTCTCCGTTTCTTTTTCAGTTGATGGGGGAAAGCAATAATAAACATTGTGCTACAGCATACGCCTCCAAAACCAAAAACAAGGTTTTTTTTTTCGACTTCTAATTAATTCAATTGCAAGAACTACATACAGTAACATTGATCGAAAAATTGCTTTGCGTTTATTCCCTTCAAACCACAACCTTGAACTATGTACAAAGGAAAAAACTGCAGCGCGAGAAAGAACTCAAACACAACTCTCGAAATGGGTATGAAAGAACAGAAACTAGAAAAAGTGGATGTGGGGGGGGGTATGTGTGGAAAAAGTCAAGAACTTTTCATTAGGAGTGGAACTATTATAACTATTATACGTCTATGTATGGTGGGGATGCGTTGGATGATGGTGAGTGTGTATGTGTGGGGTTCCCTTTTTTTCATTCCAAACTGATAAAACAAAAAAATATATATATACAAGAACAAAGAAAATGCAAGGTTCTGTACACTCTTTTTCTCTTTTTCCTTTTGTTTTGGATGTTCCTTCTCGAGGGCAAGTAAGGTGGAAGAATGGAATGGAAAAAAGAAAAAGGGAAAAGGTTGGTGGTGGATATGTACAGCGGTGTGACTGCGTGTCATGAATAGTAACCTGAAGGAGGGAACCTTCCCTTCTCAACCTTGTGGGTCTGTCAGTCTGGGTGTCGATGACGACGGAAGGGAAAAGGGATGGAAAAGGGGACAGGGGCCTCGTTCTCGTCATGAGAGTCTTGAAGGCCAAAGGAGCTAAGCAGTCGAGACTAGAGAGAGAGAGACGGAGACGAAGGAAGGAGGCCCGAAGGAGAACAACAAACAGGAGAAAGGGCCAAAGACAATCTAGAAGACGGACAGGGGGCGGTAGAAGTGAGGCTTGACCGCTGCGAAGGTACTCCAGGACGGCGATCTCAGGCGGAGGGAGCAGGTGCTTGAAAGGCGAGTCCAAGGGTTGTCGCTTATCGTAATCGAATAGCTTGGCGTATGATCCAGATGTAAGTAGCTCATCCTCTTTTTTTTTCCGATGTATTTTTTTTTTTGGATAAAGGTGCATGTAGCTGTCGTATTTTTTTTGTAGTCTTTGTTGTTGATTTTGTGTTGAATCATTGTTTTCTTTTCATAAGTGTGTTTTTGGTGTCGCCATACAAATGTGTCGTAATGCCGTTTTTTGTTGGTTTTTTGGTGTTCAGTCATAAGCATTTTTTTGGAGTGTCGTCAAGTCGTAGCAGGAGGATTGGTCGTAAGAAAGGGGTCGTAAAAGAGTCATAAGAAGGGGATTTCTTTTTTTCGTGAGAGGGGATCCATTCGAGAGTCAAGGAGGTCGTGAAAAGGTCGTTTTTTGCATGGCATACAAAGGGCGTAAGAGGAATAAAAAAGTCATGAAAAACTCTCGAAGGAAGAAGTGGGAGATGAGAGGAAGAAAAACATGGCAGTGATCTGTCGCGTAAAAGGAAAACGCGTCAAAAGAGCCAAAATTAACGCGCTTCAAACAAAACGCGGTAAAAAAAAAAGAAATGAGGGTTGTTGACTATATCGAGATATGCGGTGGTCCCCCAATTCAAGGTTGTTGTTTCTAGACCCTCTTCCCCCGTTGGGATCCTTGGTTGTTACCGCGTTTCCAATGCGTCTTTTTCGAGGCGGGCCACCGCAGGAGAGGAGATGCCGATATAGTCAAACAAAAGTGGAGAAAAAGAAGAAAATGGAGGAGAGAGGGGAAGAAAGACCGTAGACGTGAGGATAAAAAAACGTGTGAAGGAACAAATGTTGTTGAGACAAGAAATGGAGGTGACGAATAAAAACAGAAAAGGAAAAGGAATAGAAACAAGGAACAAAAAAAAACAGAAAACGAAAAAAAGAGAGAACATGGGTATGGACCAAAAAAAGAAGGAGGAAAAGGTGTTTTTGGTGGACATGTAGAGGAGTGAGAAGAGTCCCCATCGTCCAAAGCTGTTTGCAAACGAGAGCAAAGAAAGTCATGCCTTCCGCGGGGAAAAACAAGCATCTCAAGCTCCTCAACCGAAAGGGAGGAAGTGTTCGGTTTAAATGACGTGCAAGTTCATGACGCCATCGGCAAAGCAGCTCTCCATGGCCAACGAGATGTCTTCGTCGTCTTCCATGTTGATGTAATCGTTGTCTTCGTCCTTGTAGCGGAGACGCAGGGGCTGCGACTCGGCGCGACGACTGCCACAGAGACGGATCTTGCGCTCAACACGCTCGACCAACTCGCTGTACCCAATCTGGACGGGAACCACAATCAGGTACGAGTCCTCCTGGTAGTTGACCTTGACCTTCAGCTGGGGGACACCGTTAGTACTCAGGTTGCTGCTCGAGGATTGCTGGCGCAGCATACGACCGCCATCGGAGCGAGGCGAGGTGTGACCAGAAGGGATCGAGGGCACTGCGGGGGCTCCATAGGCACCACTAGGGTGAGGCGTCGTCGGGGAGCTGGGGCCGCTTGTGTTGGAGGGCTTGCGGTGGTGGGTGGGCATCTCGGGGACATTGCTCCAGGAGGGTCCAGCAGCAGACGAGGCGTGGATGTTGGGGCTGCTCTGGGCGCGGATGCGAAGAGGTCCAGGGATTGGAGGCACTGGAGGAGCCGCTGGTGGGGTAGTGTTGTACGAGTAGCCTGCCGACGCATTTCTGACCAAGGGCTGGCCACCGGTTATGCTCGATCCATCCTCAGACGACATGAACTTGGACATGGTGTCGTTCAGGGGGGAATGACCATCACCATTGCTGCGACGCTGCCAAGAGCCACTGCCGCCAGAACCGCGGGAGTTCGAAACCGTGGGTGAGGCTGGGTAGGACGAGGGAGGCGAGTAGGGGTACTCTCCAGGGGAAACCACGCCCATGGCGGTGCTTGCGCTGCTGGAGGTGCGAGGCAGGGGTGGGAGCGACATACCGGGGGCTAGGGTACGTCCGCTGGCGGTCACGTGAGCGTTGTAACCGCCAGTGCGTGCGCTCCAGTTGCCCGGGACAGGGACCGATCCATCCTCCGTTTTGGCTCGTGGGCGAGAGCCCAGTATGTTGGGCTGGGAGAGACCAAAGGGCAAGGAGTGGCTACGGTAACCGCGGTGCTCATCGTAACTATCATCCTCATCGGCCTCAAGATCGTCATCGAGGTCGTCGTCATCGTTCTTAAAGAACGACGACTGGTTGTCGTGCGAGAGCGTAAGGGCATCCAAGTGGTTGCTCATGGCCGCAATCTCGGAGCGTTCAGCATTTGCCTCGTTGACCAGCTTCTCGAGCACGCTGTGCCACTTTTTGAGCTGGTCCTCGTTGCGGCAGCGGAGCTCAAACTCCTCGGCGGCAACGTTCCAGACAACATGGAGGACATGGGTTCCGGCAACCGAAACGGGGAGGATTGACTTGATGTTGTTGATGTAGATCCGACCGTTCAAGTGAAGAGTGGGCTTGGGCTTCGAGCCACGGGTCAGGGGCTTGGATGGCTTCTTGCGGCTGACGATGCTCTGGCAGCAGACAAGGATCTTATCGAACAGGTAGACTTCAAGAGTCTTATCGGGCGTACCTCGGGGGTTGAGGAGCGAGTCGTGGAGGAGCAAGGCACCGAAGTCGGAGACGAGCTCACCGTCTTTCCAGGCAACTTGGTGCTGCAGGGCGCGAGCAATGGCGACATTCTCTTGGCGACGGTTGGTCTCGTTGATCCTCTCAGCAACACGCTTGATGGCATCCTGACCCTCGACCAAGTCGCGGTAGAATGGGTGTTCGGGATCGGTCAACTTGATGAGCTCGTGCATCAACAGAGGGTATCTGCAAACGCGCTGGACTGGCTTAATCAAGTGCGAGTTGACGCCGTGCTGGGCTTCAATCAGATGGTTCATTTTCTATGAGCGAGAAGGGCAATGATTGTTAGTATCGAGCCGTTCGCTTCAACTTTGGAAAGAACATATGCCACAGAAAAAAAAAGACTTACGACGAGCTTCTCGTTCTCCTGAACAACCAGGGCACTGGCTTCTCCGACGTTGGCACAGAAAGGTTCATAGACCGTGAAGGCCTCCTCGTGCATCAAAAAGACCTGTCCAAAGTTCTGCTCCTGGGGCATCAGAGCCGCATTGGTCTCGATGGCGATCAAGAACCGACGCTGGAAGTCAACAAGGGCGTTGAGGTTTCCAAAGATCAGGTGGATAGTTTCGGGCGAGACAATAGTTCCATCACACTGGAGGGCCCGCATGTAGGCCTGGAGGTTCTCGAGGTCCTGGACGTAGGATCTCTCGGTGTTGAGGAACTCGTTGACGACCCTGGCGCGGTTGTCGGTGGGCGGACCGGGGTCCGAGTTGCGTTTCGAGGACCGTCTGGCCCGGAGCAAGCCCTTGAGCTCCATCAGATCCAACACCATACTGACAGTGTTGATCACCTATAGATAAGTATTGGGTAATTGTTGGTTGGATTGGTTGTAGGTGGTTGGTTGTTGTGGTGGTAAGTGAGAGTGGATAATGTGGCCCGCAGATTAGGGGGGAATGGAATGAACCAGAAAGAAAGAGAGAAGGGAGAGAGTAAGGAGGAGAAAGAGAGTTAAAGATAGGTGGGTGAGTATCGGACGAATCGTATCGCAGGATAGAACGGTATTGTAGGCCTATTCTAGGGCGAGTATCTGGCCATCGCTTTAGCTGAACTATGTAAATTTTTGTTTCTTTTCGTATTTGCACGCGTCTCTTTGTCTGCCTCTTTTCATTTCTTTCTTAAAGACAAACGGAAAGGGGCGGATAGAAGATAGAGGAGAGGAACCGATCCATTCGCACACGCTTGGATTGGACGAGTCTTTTCATGCCGTGTAACATGCAACGACCTGAAATAAAGACGAACAATCGAAAAAGTGTCCACAAACAAACAAACAAAAATAACCCTTGTGGAGATGGCGAGCGAGAGAGAGAAGACAGGGAGTGGAAGTCTAGGAATTGGGGAGAGGCGAGGTTGAGGGGGTCTTTGCTTGCATATGTGTGTTTTCTTTGTTTGCAGGGAAGAGAGAGTGCCGGAGGGTAGGGAGAAAAAAAAAGAAAGGCTGGGTCGTAATGAACCAAACAAAAAAGCGCAAGGCGGCAAAAGCTGTGTTGTCATGTCGCTAATGCTGTCGTCGTAATGGGAGAGAAAGAAAAAAAGGCTAGGGGGTTGAAAGGAGCGGTATGCGTCTAGACGTATTATGAAACGCATGAACCAACCACAAACCATAGACCAAAGCACAAAAACGGTCGACCATTTGTGGTCTGTCTGCTCCGCAATTACATGGTAAACAAAGAATAGCATAACGCAAGGAAAAAAAATATGCTACAATGCGTGCCTTTTGCAGCGTACAATGCGTCGTCCGACCCTTGTTTTTTTCCTCGAGAGAGAGCGAGAGAGAGAAAAAAAAAAGGAGAGTAATGGGCTGGGACCCAACGCTTTGATGAGCTCGCCACGAGATAAGATACCCGTTCACCCTGTCAAACGAAAGAGGGTGGAAAGGTGAAGAACAAAAGCAGACGAGAGGAGAGGAGAGGAGAGGAGAGGAGAGGAGAGAAGGGCCAAAAAAACGAGGGGACCAACTGGCAAAACCAAAAGAAAAAAAAGGACACGCCGCGGAAAAAAGGTATAGGCCGAGAATGGGTCGTTCAGATTAAGGATCAACTTGGCTGTGCCACGAGGCAGATAATAAAAAAGCCATCCAAGGGGACCACAACCATCAAGGGCCATAGAAAAGGAAGGCAAAGGCCGAAAAATGGTGAGCGATGGGAGATAGGAAAGAGTGGGAGAGAAAAGGTGGAGCGAGGATCATTCTCGCAGACACACCACACAGGGCACAGGGCAGGAGAGGGATAGGAAAGGCAAAGATTGACAAGACGTGACTCGGGCCAAGGGAACTGGCGAAGGGATTGATGAGAGGGGACAGAGAGAGAGAGAGAAGAGGAAAAAGGAGCAAAAACAGCGTGGCTGGAGAGAAGACCGGGCGGGGTGAGTGCCCCCCCCCTCCTCCTCCTCTTTGTGGGCCGGCCATTGGGACGAAAGCAACGGGAAAAAATGAATTCTTTGGCGAAGGCGAGAAAGAGGAAATGGAAGAAAGAGAGAGAGAGGGTTCTTTTGGGTTGGGTTGTGGGATGGAGAGAACAAAGGGGCAGATGCGATGGAGAAGCAAGGAAGGAAGGAAGAAAGGAAAGAATAAGGAAAGGATAAGGAAGGAAGGAGAGGAGGAGGAGGTGGAAGGAGGGGTATGGAGCGATGGTGTGCGGTAGTCGTGGTGGATCTCGTAGCATTTCTGAGCATTCATCCATCCCATATTTCTTTTCTGTCCCCTATTCTGTGGCTCCAACAGTGAGCAATTTTTTTTGCGACATTAAACGCGTTTACTTCAATTGATTAACGCGTGTCAAGAATCGGGGTGAGATCCTCCTGATCTCTCTCTCCAGCTGGGGGCTGGACAAGGGCTTGGCCATATGGAGCAAGTGTGTGTCTGTTTGTGCTGTCCCATTCTCCTCCCTTCCCGCATGTTGCTCATTCCCAAAAGTTCCATTCACCCAAGGTGCATTCAACTTGCTGCAGTTGCTGTTGGTCGCCCCAACAAGCGTTCTGTTGTTGTCGTTGAAGTTGTAGTTGTTGTTGTCAATTCATTGGGTAGCAAAGAGAGAGTGTGTGTGTGTGTGCAGGTGCCATACCTAGCTTGAGCTGTGTGATAAGTATAAAACGAACATACACACGTTCCAACACAAGAGCGAAGCGTTGGAGCACACAACAAACAAAAATGAGGAAGGACAAGCATGGCATCCCTCATTTTTGTGCATCCATGTATTTTGCGATTAACATGCGTCTGTCTCTGTTATTTTGTTTTCTTCCATAATGTCTGCCAATGTCCACCACCAACCAAACATTACGTGCACGCGCCTTTTTGGTACGGGTGTCTCTGTTGTTTGTTCTCTCTCTTTCTATCAGTCTGCATGTGCCCGACTCTCTTTTTTTATTCCCTTTGAATTTCACTCGAACACTGCAAGATCTGTATCCTTTCCCCTCCCTCCATAACCCCCTCCCATCCCCAATCCCCATCCCCTGATCCAATAGATTCCGTCAGTGTTCAATTGTTATCTTATTATTGATTGCTTTGCTTGCTGCTTTGCTTCGTTTTAATGTTTTGATTTTTTCTCCCATTTTGATTTGTTGTTGCCTTTCGCCTGCCCTGTTCGCCTTTTTTTACTTCAATTGCATATTGACAAGACAATGGACGGCCTTGCAGAGTCTGCATAAATGCGGACGGTTGCAACGGGCGGGTGCAGCGAGCAGTGTGGGTAAAGGGAAAAGGGCAGGGCAGGGCAGGGTACAGAGAGTATTGGAGAAGAGGGAGAGGGGTGAGGAAAGAAGGAGATAATGGAAGAGAATGGTATGTTATGGCAAAGGAAGTGAATGGGCTGGGAGCGGGATACGGTTGGTTGTGTGTGTGTTGTGTACCTGTGGAAGGGCCAATGGATGGGAAGGTTGGCGCATGAAATTGAAGGAAACCAAGCACCCAAGAAAAATAATAACCGATGGTGTTTGCGTGCAGGGTAAGAGGATGTGTCAATATGATTGAAAGCTTGCTTGTGCAGGTGGAGGTGTTTGTGATTGGGTTTGCCTCTGTATGCGTTTCGTGTTGTTTGGATGTGTGTATGTGTGTCTGTGTGTGTGTGCGTTTTTTTGTGGCAGGTGTGAGCAGGGTTTTAGGGTTGTACAGAAGGAAAAAAGGATTGACCAAAAAAAAAAAGGAAGACAATAGCTTGGCCGAGAGAGAAAAGGAAAAAAGCGTGCGTTATTGTGTGTCGGTGTCATGAGTGTTGATGTGGAAGAGGATGCGGAAGTGCGAGATGCTAGCGCTCGATCCGAGCACACGATCGGTGCAGAAGTGTACGTGTTTGTGAGAGAGAAGAGTGACAAGGCGTTGAAGGAAGATGGATACGTGAAAGAGAGTGGGTGTGTGAAGCAGGATGGACAAAGTTTTTACCTTCACAAAACCATTGGTGTTGTCATGGTAAAGTTCAGAGATGGTAAAGACGTTCTCCTTCTCAAACTTGAAGTCCTGGAGGCAAGCGACAATGAAATGAAAGACAAACTCTTTGCACCCATTAACGTTGGCGAGGGAGAGTTCTGCGGATTGGATGTTGACTTGTTGGTGAGGTCGGAGCCCGTTGAGGATGCAGGCGAGTGGAGTTCCTAGGCGAAAGAGGATCCAGAGTTGGGTGACGGGATCGTTGGGGGTGGAGGCTCCCCAGGCAGAGTCGGCCTGGAGATGATGGAGCACGTCTGGGTCGAGGTATTGCTCAAAATCTGGCACTCCAGCCAGACGCTCGATGAGGTTGAGGCATGACTGGTAGAGTGACATGACAGGGGGAAAAAGGGTAGCTCAGTCGGTTGAGCAGATCCACGCCTTTGTTGTTGTGTTGTTGGATTTGATAAGTTGGTAAGGCGTGGTGGAGATGAAGGTGTGTTTTGAGGGTGCGAGTTGTATGAACGTTGAGAAGAGAGGGAATTTGAAAAATAACAGAGACGCAAAAAACGAGAGAAGAGAAGAAAGAGAAAAAGAGGAGAAGAGAAAGTAAAAAAAAGAGAGGGAAAAAGACAGAAGGGAGCGAGAGAAAAGAAAAGAAAGAGGGAACAGAGAAGAGAGAGAGAGAGAGAAAAGAGGGGAAAGAGAAATAAGACGAAGGAATAAAGAGAGAAAAGAGAGAAGAGGGAATAAGGGGCAATGTTGAATGAATTGATCAATGAATGACTGTGTGGATGAGTCGATTGAATGAAGGGAAATATTTTGAATGGGGTGAATTGAATTGAATGGAGAATGACTATGGGCAATTGGAAGCAGGAGAGCAATGGCAAGGGAGGACACGATATAAAGATATAAACAAACGGGGTTGATGATGGAAAAAGAAATAAAAGCAAAGACGATCGATAACTCTTTTTTTTTTTTTTTTTGCACGGTGCACAAAACCATATCCATCTCTCCATAACCATTATCACCCACAATGCCATATAGTCCGCCCTCTATCTCTCTCGCTCTCTTGCACCGTGCTTACCGGCATACGCACACGGATATACGAGCCAACTAAGCAGGATAGCATCGGAGGAAGCACATTTTTTATCCCTAGCACGTAGCAGGCATAACATAACGATAGCATAGCGTGCACTGGGAGAGAGTATGAGTGAGAGGGAGAAGAGAAAAAACATTCGTTCACCATATCGCATAACTAAGACAACGCGCGTGCAGGCTGAGCTGACCAAAGCACAAAGAAAGAAAAAATATATAGCTCATTTTTCTTGTATCGTGTTCCATCGACATGTGCACTAAAACGTAGTATTTTCTGTGATTCTTCTGTCCGATGTTTCTTCGGATCGTCAGGAACACACGCAGACACACGCACACATTTACTCAGACATCATTCATTCCTCTCTCCTCAATCGCAAATCGCAAAGTCGTGCGTGTATGTCTTCTGTCGTACTATAACCTCTTCCACACCTCCCCCTGGCTATGGGCTTATTTATCCTTTCTTTTCGTCTTGACATTTCTCTGGAATTTTGTACTTTACTTGGAAGAATTGATCATTCTCTCTTCCCTATCTGTCAAAATAAAAGAAGGCCCATTCCCGCTGACTTCGCTTCATTTTTTTACGTCTTTTGCATGATTTTTCTTGTGTCTCTTGGGAGAAAAATAAAGTCTAAGGTTGTCCCAGAAAAAAAGAACCAGGAATCCGCTGATTTCCGCTTCATCGTTGTTTTTTTTTATCGTACACGACTGCGTGCGTTCCGTTGCCTTTTTTCTTGTCCCATTCCCTACCGACAACAACAACAACAATAATAATAATAATAATAATAATAACAGCCCTCATTGCAGGGCAGCGTCTAGGGAAACGATCGCACGATATCTTATTTGTCTCAACTTTCGCGTTGATCAGTGGAACAAATCTAATCAACACGCGTATTTATGCCTCCTCATATAGGGCGCCATCTCGTTTTCTAATATCATCACTAAACTCTCAAACCACCCATTTCTCACACCACGCCCAAGTTATATCATTCGCCGATACAAAAAGTCAACGTACAAATCGTTCTGATCTCGTCTGCTCACCGTATCGAATCAACTACACATCGTTCACCTTCAACTAATTGCTTCCCTACATGTGTCTCCTTCCCTTATCTATTTATAAGTGGACCCATGCTTTCTCAATTAACAAAACGCACCCGGGCTGGGAGAGTTAGGAAGCGCAAACGAGTGAGTGGGGAGACGGAGAAGGAGGAGTAAGTAAATTTGGTGGTTCCTAAAGGTCCATAGGAAAAGCACTGCGGGCTTTTTCGGTGTTTATGGTAGGCCCGTGGGGGGGTACCATACCGCACTTGGCCAGCAATTAGGCTTTCTCTACGAAGACAAATCCAACCATCAAATGCGATAAATAAGCACAGAAAAAAAGGCAAGGAGGAAAGGAGAAGAATAGCCGAATACACGAAAGAAATAAAAAGAGAAAGCTATAAAGGGAAAACAATGTGAGGTACCAGCACCACGAGGGGGGAACGGGCGAGAAAACAAACAACGACCAAATAAGACCGACAAACAACAAAGAGGGAGACAAATTAGAGAACGAGAAAATAGATGAGAAAAAAGAAGAGAGAAAGGCGAGACTTCAGGGAGCTTTCAGGGGGACGCATGGGAAGGAGCGAGGAGAGAGAGTGGGGGGATAGACGGGGTTATTAGAAGGGGGCGGAGGATGAGGAGGACGAGAGAAGAAGGGGGAAGGGAAGGAACAAGGTGAGCGAGAGAGACAGAAGGACAGAGAGCAAGTGAGAGAGAACGAGAGAGAGAGAGAGAGAGAGAGAGAGAGAGAGAAATGGAGGAGAGAGAGGGGTAAAAAGGGAAAAGGGAGCGCCATTCTCCGGTAGTCGTGCTTGAATGCGTGCGTGCGTGCACTATGTTTTTTTATAACCCAACGGGAAACTAAACAGGCGCTTTTTCACAGTAAAAGAGGAGGATGCTTAAATCTTGAGAAATGAATCCTCATGGTGACCCTTTTTTGTTGTATGTGTCCAAATTGCCCCGTTGGCACGGTATTGAGTAAAAGATGGCCAGGAGTAAGGCTTGTGCTGTCACTGCCACAGCCTTGAATAAAGTCCTTTCTATGCAAGATCAAAGGCAATCATCCCATGCATCTAACCACTATATGCTTGTTTGCACGCAGGACATAAAGACAGAAAGGAATAAATAAAAAGGAGAAGTCAAGATACTTGGGCATGCCATGGTGTCGGAAGAAGAAAAAAAAAGTGACGTCATTCGGAAATCGCATTCGCGTTGATCAACATTAAATGTTGACAGACAAAACGAATGGCAACAAGGATGCAATGGCACCAGACAGAGACGAGTCAACTTCTCAGGGACAGACATTGACACGGCCAAACTCAACAGGAACAGGAACAGGTGAGCCCCAAACGGGAGAACAGAGCAAAGGCGCGCAGCAACCCCTCCCCTCAACGACCAGAAGCGGGACAAGCACACCAGAAAGCAAACCGAAGGTCCATCTCACGGGCATCGAAGGACTCATCTGGGACATCCAAGGTACCTTTGATAGCAACCAGTCAACGCCAACTTTTACGTTCAATTGGTCCACACTTGTACTAAACTGAAATATGTCTATCTTTTATCTACATGGGCTTAGATGTGAGGAAGCTGAGGCAGGACCATAGGATTGCTGGCTCGCTTGCAGGATCGCTGCCCCGGAGCCCAATGCAGAACATTTTCCAAGGGCTACCACTCCGTCTACTTCCAGAAGAAATATCTGTCCTGCTCCACCACGACATCATCGATCTTGTTGTTGACAGTCAGAACCACGACCAGCAGCAACATGACTATAGCGACCTGGACGCATCAAATACAACAACATCTGGCCTGACAGATCACGCATTGGTCTTTGAGCATCTCTGGAAGGACCATCAGTTTTTCATCGCTCCAGGAATGAAGTTTGGAGGCGACTACTTGCTCTACCGCAACGACCCTCTGGTCTGCCACGCAAGTCTAGTAGCCTCTGTCAAGGAACCAGAGGAACCATTGTCCTTGGTGGATATGGCGAACAGTGCACGGTTGGTTTCGACTGTGCAGAAGCAGCATCTGATTTGCTCTGTTCTCCCAGCGCATGCAAATGCCACGACAACACCAACTACTGCTACGACTACCATTCCTCCTCCTCTTTCAGAATCCAACCGTCGTGTCGTTGCATTTGCAGTCGAATGGGCAGGATTCTGAGGAATCGTCTATACCATCGCCACACCATCACTAACACCACCACCACCATCGCCCCAAGAAACCACTCATTTAGAGCGAAATAAAAAGAAGGGCGTATCGTTCTGCACTTCAAGATTCCATTATGATCGAACAGGGCTAAATCCACAGCGCCAAAGAGATAGGGAAATGCTGGGAGAGATGGAGATGCATTACTTCTCCTCCAACGAGCAACGGGACAGATAAACAAACAGTGCAGAGTACATACTTCGTTATTGACAAATCCAAAAAAAAGTTCATCACACGACAAGTGAGAGTACAACAGTAGTGCCATTGATAGAAAAAAAATTCAGGGGTTGTGTTCATGGAACGGGAAAAAAAATGTATTAATGTACTTGTCTAATGTATTCTTGTGTCTTTTGATTGTCAGCATCGCCATGCCCTCCTTTGCTGGTCAGTGCCCCCTTCCTTGGTTTGCTGCCTTGCATGGTTGCATGAGGTGTTTGGCTGATGCTAGACAGCCGTTGCACCCGGGCTAGGGTTCGCCTCCAAACGGTCCAGCACCTTGCCCACCGTGTTCAGTACCTAATTTGTTGAATGGAAGAAAGATAGTGGTACAAGGTTAGATTGGTGAACAAGGTAGGTCCATGTCATGAAGTATCCCAAAGGTGACCTCAAATAAAAGAAGTGTCCACTTTTTTGATTGGTGAATCATCCTGAAACGCATTCGTCAACTCTTCCATAGTGAATTAATCCCTTCTTCATAAGATACATAGACACCAGCAAGGAGAGGGGAAAAAAGGAAGGGAGGGCTGGAATATCAACCAGCCCAATCAGGCAGGGCAGGGAGAAGTGCAATTGAGTACCCATCCCGCCCCTTGCGAACGGGCCAAGCTGGGATACTGGGAAGGAAAGAAGGGGGGTGTTGGGGAAGCAATAAGAAAGTACAAAAGAGCAATTGGATCCTCTTTTATATTGTTTTTTTTTTGCTACATACGGCGAGGACCCTATTTAGCTTCTCAGAAGGTCCGCATAGGCCAAGCAAGTTTTGTGCAGCAACCATAAAAAAAAACTCGAAACATAAAGAACCGACAGAAGGAAGGGAGAAGGGAAGGAGTAGCCAAGTGCATCGAGGAAGTACTGAACAACAACCACAAACAAACAAACAAAGGAAATTAAACAATTAAACAAACACGTAACAATGACAAGCGGTCGATCTAGGTCTCCAAACCGTCACTCACAAACAAAACACCGAAAGACACTTTTTTGTTGGAGAGTATGGATCAAATGTTCTTACCTTGAGGAATCCTTCAGGGTTATCATGGTACAGCTCTGAAATCGTAAAGAGGTTCTCGTGCGTGAAATTCAGATCTTGGAGACAGGCGACAATGAAATGAAAGACTCGCTCTTTACAGGCGTTGATGTTGGCAAAGGACAGATCGCCGTTATCCACGTTGAGCTGCTGATTGGGCGGCCGGACGCTGTTGAGGATGCAAGCCAGAGGTGTGCCGAGACGGAAGAGAATCCAGAGCTGCGAGACCGGGTCGTTGGGTGTTGTCTCCCAGATCGCGTTCGAGTTGGTTTGGAGTTGGAGCAGCAGGGCGGGGTTGAGGAAATGGCCGAAGTCGGGCACTCCTGCGAGACGATCCATCAGGTTGAGGCATGATGCTTGCAGCGACATTTTTATGGCTTGTGATTTGTGGTTGTTTGTGTAGGGGTTTGTGTGTGGGCTTGTGTAGGGGTGTGTGTGGGTTTGTGTAACGGGGATATGCGAGTATGTTTGGAGTTGATATGAAAGAAGAACGTTGAAGAGAAGAGAGGGAGGGAAAAACAAAGTGCAAAACAAAGGCTGGTAATAAAGGGATCCGGAAACTCTCCTCTTTTGTCGTCTGTTAGCCAGTTAGGGGGGTAGAAGGAGGTAAGCAAAACCAAGTGTTCCTCATCAATGGCTTTTTTTAGGATTTTGTTTGCTTCGGAGGGACAAAGTAAAGTTTCGTTACACAAGACAATAATTATGATGAAACGGGGTAACGATGGTGCAAGGGACCAGATTAAGGAGCCGTGTTTGGGACTCACCCTTCGTGCTTCGAGACAGGTTCTTTTAGAGTAGAGAAGATAGATCGATAACGCTACTACATACCACCTTTGCTGGTTTTGGTTGTTTTGGCCAAGTAGCTCATCAATTGGGCAAGCTCCTCCTTTTTCGGTGAAATTTATTAGCATTGGCAATAATCCCTCGGACCACACCGTTCATTAACCATCTATCCTCAAAAAATGAAAATGGTGGTTCGAGCGAGAACTATTGTTAGCAATAGCAGGTTCGTTTCATAAAGACGGAGATGAATGGAGTGAAGGAGAGGGCTTGTTTGTTTCATACAAGTTCACATTGCTCCCTATTTTCAAAGTTGCCTGTGCGTCTCTTGTTCACCTTATTTTGTTTCTTTTCCATCCTTTCCCCCTCCTCCCCTCTCTTTCTCACCCGCCGCGACCATTTCATATCGGTCAAGGATGGGTCGATCGCCCGGTGTTAATTGCATCGAAGTGGACACCAAATCCAACCGATCGCTTGTCAATACTGATCTCTACACACGTCTTCTCAATCTCACATTTATCGATCTCTCGGGCGAGACCTTTGAATAGTGTCAAAATATATTCGTCTCATCCTGTCAACCGGGACATCTCGCCAAGGTGGACGCTCTGGAACTGCAGGGGTGGCCCGCCTTAACGTCTCACCCGTCAAAACTAGAGTCGACCACACTCTAAAGCTTGCGACTTTCGCTCAGTAATGTGAACAACTGTTGTTATATTGCTCCTGTGGATGAACTGAACCAGGTGCAGAGCAGCGACATGAATCAGGACGATTCAGAGGATAGTAAGAAGGAGGGGGTTCAGTAACGGGAGATTCGTATATTTTACGACGGAAACGACAACTTCGCTGAACTTGGGACTGGCATCTTTCACATTTATCGTTCTTGTGTCTGATAGGCAAGGTTGCATATCGATTTGAGTTTCACATCCGGCAGGGATGTCCAGCATTGTTCCATTTTGTGCACAGTATACACATGGCTGAGAGAGCACGCGAGAGTTCTCTCCAGAAAAGTTCTCTCTTTTGCCAAATAGCAACAACAGCCACATTTAGCAGCAACATCATCGGTCCCGGTCTCGATCCTTCAGAGCATTCACAGCATTTTGTCGCGCCTAGCCTTAAGAGCATGAGAATGTAGGGTGTTTGGGAAATGGAGGACGACGAACTCTTGGCCGAGTTCCATACGGCCATGTTTCCTAACTTCAAGAGCCCGTTACAGGAGGGAGGATGGTGCGGAGAGACGATGGGTGGATTGATCAAAGTCATTAAGTCGACGACATACAAGATCCAGGATGTTTCTTTGTTCTTTGAGCCGGTCTTTGCCATCTGAGGAGACGTTGGAGCTGGGTTTACAGCTGTGCGGAGTCGTGAGCAAGGGACGGTGCGCGTGACGATTTTTGGTGAACGGCTGTTCAGATACTGCGAAATCCATTGGCCAATTAAAGCGAGCAGTGATTCTTTCATTTGAAGAAATAAAAATCCAGGCACCGCATCTGATTGGGGGTTACTTGATTCGGCATCCACAGTAGCGCCTTCGACTGGACACATAAAAGATCGATGTCAACTCTTGTTTTTTTTTGCCTCCATCACTTATTTTCTTTCTTCTCCTTCTTTCTCCACTCAATCATTCACCTTTCCAACCTTTTCCATTCCCCATATCCTACCTTTTTTTGGTCACTTTTCAGGTCCTGTTGTCATACTTCCTTTTCCTTCTTTCCTCCTTTCTTCCTTCCTTTCTTCCTTTCTTCCTTCCTTTCTTCCTTTCTTCCTTTCTTCCTTTCTTCCTTTTCCCCTTCCTTCTAAACAAATGGATCCACTCTCCACGATACCAATTGAGTGCCTGCAACTCATCCTCACCATCCTACAACAAGACTGCGCCACAATTACCCTGGCCGCCTTCGCCTGCACCAACAAGCACATCACCTCCGTCACCATCCCCATTCTTTACTACGAACCTTACTTCTCTCCAACCGCATGCCAAAAGAGCTGAATACACTCCCTCCACAAGGACCAACAAAATACGACAGCCTCCTTATTTGGACATTATTCGGCTGCCACAAAGATTTTTTTAGTTTCCATAAGGTCCTCTCCTCTGCGTATGAACTCCATTTACCAGAGACACTCTCACCGTCGTCATCCTAATAGGACTACCTTTTCCATATTCGACACCTCAAACTGGCCAGGCCGCATCAGGGACTGTTCTTTTCGAAGGCCCTGGATCCACCTGAGCTGGCGACATGTGTCCAATCCGACGCCGAATTCGACCAGGTGATGCAAGTGCAACACCCTTTGCCGGAAGACTACCTCCATACTTTCATCGCCAGGAATATATACCCCCGTCGATTTTAACGCTAGATCGTTCTCTTCCGAGAGACGTCCTGAACCCTTACAGATCCGATCTTGAAGCAGCTACGGTCATTGACTATCCCTCTCTCCCTCATCGAGCGGTACCTTACCGCTGTTGGTCGTTTCGAGTTTTTGGATACTGTCGACTTCATGTCGGATATTGCTTACTCATTAAACTACGAGGATAATGACGAATCTGCGAGGGCAGTGAATTGGCGAACTGTCCAGGACCACACTCGGTTGTTTAGAAGTGTTCTCAAGACTGTCACCTATGGTTGCGTTAGGATATGGCCTTAGACGTATTGCCATCATGGCTGCGATATGGACACCGCCATGCAGATCTTGAAACTCTTGCCTCCCGCCAAGATCACTCGTTTGGAAGGATACACATGGAGCCAATACATTGCTCATCCTCTGAAGACGGACCTTGGGCAAATCGATGGTATCCGTTGTGTGGATCGTGGAAATCCTTGGATCCAAAGGATTCAGGACAATCCGCTTATTATTCAGCGGAGCCGCTCCCTCAAGACGTTGGAACTGATATCGCCCGGCCAAGGGGACTTCCGTTGGGCTGTTCAGGAAAAGAGGCACGTCGAGGGCTTTGTCAGCATCACATTCAGGAATAGCCTATACTACCGCCAAAGCGGACAGGAAGCACCAACACAGCACGGAATCCGGTGGCCGTACTGGCAACAAGAACTGTTACTCTTCGCGGATGTCAAGATCAGATAGGGAACTATACCGTTCACGGACGAAGTGCACGACATCGTGCTTGGCTTCAGTCGGACCCTAACGAAGCTCGAGGCTGTCACAGGACATCCAGATAACAATCCATTGCTGTCCTTGTTGCCGCCACATCGACTGTTTTTCGGCCGGGGGTGGGTCGACCCCCCACACTTACGAGATCTCGTTCTCGAGTCCTACTACGGCCCTCTAGCGATCGACAGTCATATGTTGACCCACTGCCCCAATTTCGTCAATGTTCGGAAATCTGACAGGACCGTGGATTTCAAGTATGACGACATAGCGCCTTGGCAGCTCCAGCAATCTGCTGAACTCTCAAAGGTGGAGCAACTATTCTTGACAGGGTTGAGCGCCTTGACTTTCCACCTCGCCACACTGCACACGACCGCCAAGCTAGACCACTTCTTATTGCAAACGGCCCCCAACAATATGATCCAAGGCAGACAGAGGTGGTATATTCCACCAGTTGAAGTGATGGATCGGTTCTACAATCTACGACAGGACAAGTCTACCAAGATCGAGGGAGATAAGGAAACCGGAGGGTTAGTAGTACTGATTATCGAGCTGTAACAACCCTCGCCTCGTCGATGGTCTTGGGACTGGAATCTACCCGACTTAATCTTTTCGGTGAGTTTGCCTATCGCTTCGAGTTCCGGATGTTGCAAGGATGTCCTGGTTTGGGGCGTCTCTGGCTGAGCATTTCAACGATTGATGGCGATGATGGCACCCACCAGCGGATCATCTCCAGCGCCGACCTGTTTGCCCCCAGAATCGATAACAACAACGACGATGATAATGAGTATTTACCTCTACAGGAGCAACACCAACAACAAGAACGCATCGTTGCTCGATCGTTCTTCTCGCTATGTTTATCAGGACGATGGATCATGGACGATGCCTTCCTCCAAGAATTCCTCCCCGGCATGCTCCCCAACCTTTCACACCTGAGCGAGATACAATTCGACAAGAACAGCTTCACAGCCGCAGGGCTGTTCAAGGTGGTCAATGAGTCTATGCCTGCGATGGTCCCTCGCGGTGTACGAAACTATGACCCGTCCCCTGAGGAAGCTGCCGCACTCGGGCCAGATCTGGTTGCTGATGAGGATGACGATGGGTATCTTCAAAACCCAGGCATTGATCCTGTTGAGGGGACGGTTCATGTGCAGTACTGTTTGGTGGATTACATTAGGGTCTTCAAGTTGGATAGATCGACGTAGCATTTATATTTATTTTTGCCCTCCGGTATTTTTGAGGGAACAGTCAATTCATGCCCGTCCGTCCATATGTTCGTGTCCTCGCCCCTTTCACCTCTTTGTCTATGCCTTATTCTTTTTGCCTCTCCATGCTAGACCAACGTAAAACCCCGTAGATCCAAGCCCATTGCCACCCCACCCATTTCCTCAAAGTCTCTTAAAAAAAAGGGCATAGAAGGAAGATAACTTATTTCTTGTCACTTCAGGCACCATCATCACACAACCTTAATTCGGTTACTTCCAGTCTTTTTTCTCTTGTTATTTTCTCGATACTTCTAATGTTATTTTATCACATCCATGTTTTTTTGTTCTTTCTTTCTCCATCGTTCCTTCCTTCCTCATCAAGTCCATAGCAAGTGGTCTCCTACTTCTTCCCTCTAAAAATTCTCTCGTATCAACTACCTCCGTCAATCCGTCTCCACCACGTTGCTGCTGCTGCTTGTGGCCCAACTCCTCGTAGTGAATGTATGCACCAACTTACCAGCACCAGCACCAACTCCAGTACCTACCATCTTCACCGGATAAGCTCCCACTCGACGCTCAAGCATTCATCAACAGCCTGTCGTCGCAGACACATGCATCAATGACAATACGGCTACATCATCTTCCTTGTCCGGATATCTTTCTCCAACACCTTACTACCGTGATACCACGGACAAGAAACTACAGCTAACGATCGAAGTAAAGGTAGTTCAAGTCGCTTCAAGAATGATACTCGGTGATACCATTCCCGACATACTACCTTGATCAGTACAACTGCTGCTTCGTTTCCGGCTCGTATACCACCGACGCTTTTTCGGGTGACGAAACCGAGCTCTAGATCTGCTCTGCTACTGGCCTTTCATCTTCTTCTTCGTCTCCTTCTTTTATTGAGAACAGCAACAAAGGCTATCTCAATGAATTGCGCAATCCTGAAAAGTATCATTTGTCTGAGGCAATATCTACAACATCTCTATCAATTTCACCCGAACACAAAATCTGACGTCGCTCATGTTCAGGGTTTATAGGGTCTTCTCCGACCCTTTGCTGTCCATATGGCTAGCCGGTGGAAGATGTCTGCTTCTACAACTGAATTCTGGTTGTTTCCTAGGTCTCACCGAGGTAAAAAATCGCAATTGTACTTGGTACTTGGTATGTACTTGGTTGAGATACTAGGTGAAGTAAGGGAAATGACACAGTGCCCCAATAAGCTATCTCTCCGGGCCCAGTGTGTTTCAAAAGGGCTTGATTCTGTGAACATCCTAGCGGTCACCTGACCATTCCCCTGGCTTTCTCACACTCGCTTCCTCGATCCTTCTCTTTTTCCTTCCTTTCCTCCCCCACATCCATCTCACATTCAACTGACCAAATGCCTGAGCCAACTACCGTCACCATCGCCACCGACGACGCCACAACCACAGCAGTCCCAACTACCGACATTGCTGTCACTGCTACGCTTAAGCCTGGACAGCTCCCGGCCGATGCATGCCCTGAGCCCACCATGACCATGGAGGACTTCATGGCAAAGGCAAAGTCGGACGGCATGCCCTTGAACATGCCCGAGGCTACCCTCCAGGCAAGGAAAACTCTCCCTCGCACATTGGTTGAATGCACATTGGAACTGTGGTCATATCAATTGAGACGACAGACAGCATCAATTGCAACGAGCTGTGCTGTTGTTTGTATTACCCAGGAGAAATGAGACTCAGTTGTAGCAGAGAATATTAATCAAAATTGCTTCCCTTCTTCCTCCTCCTCCCCCTTCTCCCCAATACTACTTCAACAAAACACCAACCAATTCCCCCTTCCAGATCTACAAGGACGCTCAGACCCGCCTCCCCTTCCAAACCCGATTTTTCCATGTCGCAAGCGACTACTACTCATGGCCCTACTCCGATCGTGCCCGCGTTATGGGATGCCCCTCGACCTTCCACCTCTGCAAGACCCTCACCTTCGAAAACACCAAGTTCAAGCAGGACGAGTCCAAACCCATCGATGAGGATCGGTACTGGACTGTTATCGTCCAGTACGAGGGTTCGGTCAATATTACGAAGCTGGAGAAGGCTGTGAGGGAGAAGACGAAGGCCACTCGTAAGGCGACTCATATGAGAATCGCCCCTGCGGAAAAGTCGTTCGAGTTGACGGGCTTCAAGGAGGGCGGCGTTTGTCCTGTTGGTAAGTTATATAAGAAACTTGTGCTGTGCTAGGAGATGAAATGAGTGATGCGAAGAGCTTACGACCGACCAGATTGAGGAGGCAAAAATGAGATATATGACTAATCAGTTTATGTTTGAACAATTATTTTTTGATCACCCGATGCATTCTGCATTTAGGAATGAGGACTGATCTTCCTATCCTCGTCTCCAAGGAACTCGCTGATCTCTCGGTAAGTGTTTGACTTTTGCCACTCAGATCTTGAATGACACTCACGCGGCCTTGCCCTTTCCTTCTCTTACCGTTTGACTAACCCCCCCCCCTCTTTTCGTACCAACTGGAAAAACATCCATTAGCCAAAGATTTTCTACCTTGGAGCAGGCCATCTCGACTGGAAAATCGCCGTGCCTTTCGATGGCTTTGTCGAGAACTGGAACACCCGCGTCGTCGACTTTTCGTAAACATACCATGACCACCGGTCACTTTTTTTTCATCATATAGAAGTAAAATAAAAAATACACGACCTTTGTGCTGCATTTAGAAGCACTGATCACTCAATACTTGGTTATATTTTGGGTAATTTTTCTTTTGAGTAGAAAATAAATATGAATAGGTATGGTGCTAATTATCATCGTCCTCACCGTCACTGCTATCTCTCGTGGCGGTAAGTCGATCCGACTCGTCTGACACATTCGGCCCCTTTGTCCTCGAACTCGAAGGCACCGAATCCTTGTCCGAAGAAGACTCACTCAGCGACGACGGTTCCGATTCCGACCCAGAATCGGTACTAGCAGAGGCAGTCGTGACGGTAGTATGTTCCAGATCACCAGGATGGTCTGAGGACTCAAACTCGCTACTGTCGTCCTCGTCATTGTCGATGAGGATAGTGGATCCGGGTGGGAGGTTGGGGATGTCGAAGACGGGTCGCTGGGATTGTGTCTGTGGTGGTGCTGGCGATGGTTCTGGTACAGGTGGAGGGGCGAATGGTTGCGCTAGGTCTGTTTCGTTTGATCCGATTGCTGTAGATGGTGGTAGGGTTGAAGGAGATGGGGTTAAGTGTGGGAGGACGTGTGGAGCGAGATTGTGGTCGTTGAGGTAGATCGATGGTTCGTAGTTGTGGTCCATCAGCGACGAGACTTGGATCGTCACTATGAAGGTTATTGAGGCATATCAAACAAATGGGTTAGCAAGCTTAGCAAAAAAACAAGGTGTACGAATAACAAGACACATATGTTCAAAGAGATTACTTACAAACGACGTTCATGGTATAAGTAGCAAGGAGAGCAACCGTCAAGAAAGTCGGCCCAACACGATCAAAATACCTCTCATACCCTTTATCCTTGACAATCCCCAAATGCCTCCAATGATACGACACCCCAGAATACACCAAACACAACAAACAAATCACCATCAGCGTCACCCCAACATTCTTCCCAATCATCCCCACCCTGTTCGCCAACATTTGATCAACTCCTCCCTTCCTCGCAGTTTCCTCCCCCGAGAAATTCAATAGCGTCATGGCCAACGCACCAAGGAGCATTCCAAACTTGATCCAATGGATGAATGTCCGTTCGTTCGAGAAGAGGGTCATCCGTTTTTTGATCGATGCCTTTTCTTCCTTTTTTTGTTGCTTGTTGCGCTTTCGAGTGTCGATGTACCGTTTCCCGCTGGGGGCTGGATTGTTGTTGTTGTTGTTGTTGTTGTTGTTGTTGTTGTTGGTGTTGCCTGCTTGGCCAAAGATGCTGTCGCGTGGGGTGTTGGGGCTTGTGGGGCTTGTGACGGTGGGGGATAGGATACTGCGGTTGAGTTTAGGATTCGACTTGCGGTTGGTATCGTAGCCATGATGATTAGGACGGCCATAGCCACCCTTCTCGGAGAAGTAATCCGTACGCGGGGTATTGACATTCAATCGGTAGGTAGTCTGCGTGTTGCCGGACGAAGTGGTCATGGTCGATCCACGCCGTGTGGCCTCTGCATAATCCGACTCTTGGAACATAATCGTCCCTGAAGCCATAAAATGCTTCCGTCCATTCACCGCCAATTCTACCCCACCTCCTCTACCCCTCACTCCTCCGACTCTGTTGTGTACGTGGCTGGAGTCGTCCTTGAAGTCCTCGCGTATAAGAAGAGCGGCGGTCGATTCGCTGGACAAAGTCTTTGTTGTATCTTTTGTCCATTGACGAACCGGTTCCTTATAATAAATATTGTTGTTGTCGTTGTTGTTGGTCAACAAAGTCTGTCTGCCTGTCATGTCTCCCACAACTCCTCCTGTTCCTTCAGCTCCCATAGCTCCCAGACTAAACTGCTTCCGAATCGCCTGGAACTTGTTACTGTGTTCTGTGCCCAAGTTGTCAATATGCGATGGCGCAGTAGTTGTTGCGGTTGTCGGTAACGGATGATGATAAGCAGATGATGAAGTAGGTGAGATGGTGTCTGTGTTTCGATGATGGGCGTAAGGATAATCATGTGCATAAGAAAAGGGGGGAGTGAAAGATGACGATGGTTCCTCGACGGGGGAAGATGGAGGCGGAGTGAAGGACACTAGTTGGAGAGTCGGGATCTGGTCTGGAAAGTGAATGATCGTCTCTGCCGCCACGCTAGCTCTGGTTTCGGCGTAGTTGTTATTATTGGTGGCGGAGTTTCCAGGGGTCTGAGCACCTCGACTTGACGCGTCAAAGTACTCATACCCGTACTGCTGCTGTTGTCGCTGCTGTCGCTGGTAGTAGTGGTATTGTTGATGCTGCCGCTCAGAATCAGGCGGACCCGCCCTCGTCGAAGAACTAGTCATCGTATACGCAGACGACGAAGACCCAACCTCGCCACCACCATCGCCAACAGAAAGTAAAGGGTTACTAGCCACTGCCAATTGACTCACATCCTCCGCCGTGGCACCCCTCGCCCTAGGAAGAGTTGTCGACTCGTCCTCAGAGGAACTGAGAAGGGTATCGCTATTGCTGCTCGAGAGGCGATGGTCGGTACTACTTCTACTCGTCGTGCTTGGCTTGGTGCTGATGTTGCTCACTCCTCCTCCTCCCCCGGTGATTCTGTGTCCGACGCCAGCGCCAGCGCCTTTGCCGCGTTCTGTGGAATCTGCAGAGCCTAGACTGGATGCAGAGGGGGATGGCTGCAGCGTCCAAGGTTCGGCCGGCATATTATATATTTTTTTGTTATTGGTTGGTTGGCCTGTGCGTGATTTGTATGAAGGGAAAGAGTTTGTGTGCAATCAAATGCAAGGGTTGACTTGAGTGGGAGAGGGAAGGCGGGAGGGAAAAGGTAAATGTGTGTGTTACAAGAATACAAAACAGAAAAACACCAATGGAATACAAGAAAAGGGTGAATGGCTGGTGCGTTCGCTAAAAGGAAGGAACCCGGCTATTTAAGGAAGACGTGAGGGTCGTGTGATCCACAAAACGACGATTGGATTCTTGGAATGAAATAAAAGGATGACGGGTAAATGACCACTCAAAAGAGGAGCGCACAAGACAACAGAGAATTAGAGCCCAACCTGGCTCTGGTTACTGTCTTCAGGTGAATGGAGAGGAGGGGGAATGGGAGAGGGACAGAGAGATTGAAAGGACGGAAGAAAGTGTGAGACGGTAAATGCAAGGTTGGACAGAAGGGAAAGGAGCGAAGAGAGAGGAGGGGGAAGAAAGAGAGGGGGGAAAACCAAATGTTGATGGATGTCACCAGTGCGAAAGGGAAAAGGGAAAAGGGTGAGGACTTTTTGGATGATAAGAAAGAGCAAAGAAGAAAGGAAAGCAGTTGGAATACAAAAGGAAAACAACCCACACACGAAGTTGATACACCGATACTCACACTCACACGACCCCTTTCAGTCAATTGAGGGTGCGAGAGCAAGAGAGGTCGATGTGGTCGTGTGAGTGAAAGATGGTTGGTTATAGGCGCGTGTATGTGCGTGGCTATTTGGTGGAGCGAGAGAAAAAAAGGGTCTGTTCGCGTTCGTTTGAGTTTGTCGTGTGATGAAGGGAGGGATGGATGGGATATGCAAGGACAAGGGTCGCCGAACAATAATAAATGGAGAGTGAAAAAAGAAAGGAAAGAAAAGAACAAACGGAAGAGGAATGGGATCAAGGGACAAGGAAAGGCAAGCAGAAGGTTATAATAATGGTGCCATCGAACGATGGCGTCTTACTAGTTTGTTCTTCTCTTTGTCATTGCCATTGGAGACAAGCACCATTAACTTTAAAGGGGACAGGAACCAAAGGAGTCCAAGAAAGGAGAGGGGGGAGAGAGATCGAAAGAATTGGCCTTGTCATCATCCACTCATGTATGTGTATGTATTGTCAGAGCCGAAGTCAGGAACTGTAAAGAAAGCACTTTGACTGATTCATGCATTCATTCAGAATGGATGCAACGACTCCTTCTTGACTTCAAGGAGGCACGATATTCTCTTGCTTTCATTCTCTATCTCTCTCTCTCCGTTCAAAACATCGCCAACGCGCTAGCAAGAAAGGCGGAGAGAAGCAATCAACCCAATCCAGCTACTTTATTAAGAAAGCCCTTCTGTCTGTTCATAAGATTCCAAACATCCCACCCTTTTGGTGTTTATTTCTCCTCCTCTTTTCATTCTTTTGAACACACTCCTCATCTCTCGCGTTATCACCTCAGAAAGGCTCAACCCCGCGAACCCAAAAAAAAAAAAAAAAAAAAAAAAAAAAAACATAGCGCATGGCTTGCTAGCTTTGTGAAGCATACGACCAGAAACAACACCAGGTAAAGGGTCAACTCCTGAACCTGAAAAGTGGTCGTGTGTATGTGCCCCTTAGAAGAACGCGCCCTTGCTTTTACTTTGAGGGTATTTTCTTTTTCAAAGAGAACTTTTCTTCCACCATTTTCCTTCTTTCTCGCGTTGTTTTTCTTTGTCGCGACAATGAGAGAAACCAAACCATGTCTTCCCCCGTGTGCGTGTGTGTGCGACACACCATCTAGTATTAGTGCACACCATCCCCCTCCTTTCCCATGGACTGCAGTGCAGGCTCTGACCATGCCGTGGATACATGCATTATCTAATTTATTCGCTATGTAAATTTGTTTCCTTTTGCTGCCAAGCACGGAAAAGTTCTGGAGTTTGATGAAGGAGGGGACAAGAAAAGAGGAAGGGGTCATCTGGATATCTACCTATTATATCTATTATATCGGAGAGGGGGTTCGCCTGTCAAAAAAAAAGACTTGTGAGTGGAAGTTCTCAAGAGGATTGAAAGAAGGCACCGCACCGCAATATGCATGCACCCGACATGACCCTACCGCCGCCTAGAACTCGTACTAAGCGCTCTTTTTCAGATACTTATCATACATGCACGTATTTTTTGACGCATAATCAGATGTTGTCTTGCTATGCACGACTCCCTTTCAGCTATCGCAGTAAGAAAAAGGGTAAATCGCCAATGTCAAGGGAATGAGGTCGACGCAGCACTTATTAATGAAAAAGAAACCCTTTTATTGAGAACAGAAAAGAACAGAAAACTGAAAGGAATATATTTACATGGAGGCGGGAGGAAAAAGAAAGGAGAACAGAGTGAGTAGTAGAATCGGAAGTGTGGCGAAGGAAGGAAAAGAGAAGAGAAGAATGACATATGTCAAAAGTAAAACCATTCGCTATTTTTTACACTCTCTTCTAATCAGGATATAGCTTAGAGCGACAGAAGGGCAGACATGGCAACAATGGCGAGGCATGTTGCAGACCATGCGAGCTGGGTGGCATCAGACTTCTTGACGCCCTTGGCAGCAATTGCGCTGTCTACAGTCTTGCCACTAACGGTCTCGGGAGCGCTGGCAGCCTTGGGTGTCTCGAGAGGCGTCTGGGGCTGTGGAGTGACTGGCTTGGCAGCGGGAGCAGCAGCAGGCTTGTCAGCAGCAGGCTTGTCAGCAGTAGGCTTGTCAGCAGCAGGCATGTCAGCAGCGGGCTTCTTATCAGCTTCCTTCTGGGTAAGAGCCGAGTTCTGGTAAGGCTCAGGATCATTGACACAGCGGGCGATATCCATGGGCTCAAGACCCTTCTTCATTCCCATATCCAACAGGGGTCCAGCAACGTTGACGGTTTGGGTGTAAAGATCGTGTTCAAGAGTAATAACACCTCCCTTGAGTTTGGGGACGGTCGAAAGGGCCCACTTGAAGTTTCGGAAGACCTCCTTGTTGGTGATGGTCTTGTCGGGGATCTGCCAGTCGTTCGAGTCCCACTCCTTGGTCCAGATGACGGTCTTGTAGCCCATCTGGCGGACAATCTCGCGGACGCGGTTGTCGACATCTCCATATGGAGGACGCCAGTATTTGGTCTTGAGTCCTGTCACGTCAAAGACGACCTTTTCGGCCCACTTGATCTCGGCGACGATTTGCTCATTCGTGAGCGACGTCATACCGGCGTGGGACCAGGCTGTTTTAGTTTTGTTGAGAGGAGAAAGCGGTAGAGGGATGGGATGGAGAGGAGAGGTAATGATAAGCGGTGGTTAGTCGTTGAAGACGATGGAAGAAGAGGAGTCTAGGACCCATAGTACACGATCATGTCTAGCATTTGCTAAGTAAAAAAGCGCCGCGAAATAAACTAAGAAACTTACTGTGGAGACCGATATGGTGACCTTCCTTGACCTCCTGGAGCAAAGTCTCAGGGTACTCAAGAACACGCGAGCCCACAACAAAGAAGGTCGATGTGACATTAGCCTGATGGAGCTTCCTCAACAGACGCGGGGTCTCTTCACTTGGACCATCATCATAGGTCAACCCCCAGGCCTTATCGCGCGGGCAGACCTCAATATCGTCTTCGGCCACACAGCCATCACAGGTCCACCAACAAGCGTCCTTGGGGACGCCCTTCTTGCCAGCGGGACAATCGGGACAGTTGGGGATATCAGCCTTGGCCAGGGGCAACTTGGGGACCTTGGACCAGTCGATCTCGGCAATCCACTTCTTGACGAGGGGGTGGTTGGTGTCCGGCAACACATCCTTGGCAGGGTATTGAGCTTGTAGTTTCTTGCTCATCTCGGCCACTGCTGAGCCGGGCATCAGGATCGAGGCGATCGCCATGACCAACGTCATGCTGACAATGGGAACTGGACGCATTTTTGTTGTTCTTGTTGATGTAGCTATGTTGCGGGTGTTGTTTGTTGTAGTTTTGTTGCCTTGACTTCTTGCTTGCTTCGACTTGTATTAGTTGTTGTCCACTGGTAGTTATATTGTGAAAGGGAGGAAAGAAAACTCAGGCGTAAGGTATAGGTGAGAGAGGATGGGCGTCAGATATACGATTGAAAGTGGAGTAGAGTAGAATAAGAGAGGAAAGAAAGAGAAAAAATGGGTGGATCTAGCACTTTATAAGTACTTTGAGGGATGGTTCGAAAGAACACCGCTATCTATTGGCCTATGTTCATCCCACTGACAGACACAGACAACCACTCATCATTCCTTTGGCAATGGTTGTTGGTATGGTTTATTCTCTACACTTCTCACAGACTAGAAAATGACCCGAATTGAGGAACGCAAGTGAACGACAACATAGGGTTAATCCTCTCATTGTTCAGGTATGCCGATGAGAAGAGAAAAAGAAAAAAGGGGATGCTGATTTGGACCGAAGGATACAAAAAGTGGAAGGACAAGGGCACGTATGCACATGAACTAACGAGTTCAGTTTGATATGAAATATTTCTATGCCCCCTGGATTGGATCACTATTCTTTCTCTCAGTAGGTGGTCAAGTGACAAAGCTGTTGTCTTTTTGGATATGCCCGAGTAGGATGAATGAGGATACATTTCATCCGATGGAAAGGAGAGGAAGAAGTGAACTATGGGATAAATGAGGAAACAAAGAAGAGTTAGTGGCCTTTCCCATCCGCCCTATTGAGTACGGCGCTTCGAGTGATGAGCTGAATGGGAAAACACATGCTGATTTGCGCTTTGGAGAGATGGGCAACGCTGCATGCCTCTATATCTCTAATGTGACAAGGTAATCGCGATGATATAGTACATTTGGATGGAAAGATAATGAGTATTGTACATAACACGACTAGGAGGTGGTCATAGCCACACAATCTTCTCCATCGGTTTATATGTTATTGGGTGGTTTATCAATCATTGTTATACTCCGCAGTGACGATATGGATGTAGTCCATGCGGATGAGGCCGGAATCCAGCTTTAGTCATAAGTGCCCTCTTTCACATTTTACAACAGGCGCAAGAGCGTGATGGTTTATCCGTGTCCCATACTCTCGCACAGACACGCTTTGCACATGTATTTTTATTTCTCAGTTCGACGCGCAAACGTTGGGTGGTGAGCATGCCTGATCAGTGACTGCGACGATTGATTGGTCAATTGGAGCATTGCTATCTGACACGAGGAAAGTTTGATCAATGTCCCTGTCCCTATGATATATGAGTAATCTGTGTCCAGAAGGGGTTTTAGTCGAGCCGAGAAAAGACCCAACGACAAAGGGTCCTCTGCACAAACAACATCTCTCTTTTTCTTCCTTTTGCTCTCATCGTCCTTCTCTTCCTTTTCTTCTTTCCTCACCCACATCTCCATTTCATCAACAGGACTACACATTTCACATCCAACACTCATTCCTCCAACAAAACAAAATGTCGACACAGATCGCATCACCAGCAGCGACACCAGTCGCAACAACAATCGTGAAGAACGTCGACGACAAGACTAATCAGAAAAATTTCCATGGATTTATTGCGGGCGTCACTTCTGGAGTCACAAAACTCGTCGTCGGACACCCCTTTGGTAAATAAACGGCAGTGTGAAGGGGGGAGGGGGAGGATTCACCTACAAAGGATATCGATGTCAATTGAAGGTCCTGGTCGTTGTTTTCAAATCTTCGGAGCTAACTTTTCCGTCAATTGCTTCTGACATTCTTTTGTAGACACGGTCAAAGTCCGTATGCAGGTGTGAGACAAGGATGGAAGACAAGGAGCGACAAACATCTCAATTGGAATGTTCAGGACAAGGAGAACAAAACATTGACTCTCTACGCCTCCCTTTCAACTTCGCAACAGGTCTCGGGATCGGACCGTTTCAGGGGACCGTTGCACTGTCTCACGGAAACCCTGAAGAAGGAAGGTCCTCGCGCCCTCTACAAAGGTAAAAAGCGCAAGCAAACACACGGCGCCTCTCCTCTTTCAAATGGACAAGTCATGCACTTGTGGAGGAGTTCAGGAACTAGCATGGAGATTGTTTACTTTATTGAACTGCATTGTAATCTGACCATGTCTGTGTGAATACATAGGTGCAACGCCTCCTCTGGTCGGATGGGCGGTCATGGATAGTGTCATGTAAGCAAACAGTTCAAAATTCAGCATACTCTATACGCAATACATCTAGGAAGCATGCAGTTGGAGTACCATCAATAGCAAAGAGTCGCTGTAAGACAAGAACATACTCGGCCAATCGAGAGCAATAGTACTGACCAGGGCTGCACCTTCTTACGGACAATGGTATCCAGGCTGGGATCCTTGTCATACTACAGACTGCTGTTGCAAGGAGGCGACCCCAATGTCATATTGACACCATTCTGGAGCGGCATCGCCGGTATTGGTAAGGAGCAAAGCAAACGATGATTATGCACTGTTTTAAAGTATTCCGAGAATCAGATCGTTCGAGCAAAAGCGTTTTTTTGAAAGCTGCTAATTGTCCTTTGTCATTTTTTTTTACTACTTCTTTCAACAGGCGCGGGAGTAACAGTATCGTTCGTAGCAGCACCTGTCGAACAAATCAAAGCACGTCTCCAAATTCAATACGACGCAAAATCAAAACTCTACAGCGGACCCATTGATTGCGCACGGCAACTTGTAAGTCGACCTTTTGCTCCTCTTTCCTTTTTTTCTGTAAGGTCCACTGCCATAGACATGTTTGAACTGACATCGTTGGGGTTCTTTTTTTCTTTTTTGTCGTTAGGTACGGAATAACGGAGTGACAGGACTGTGGAAGGGACTGGTTGCGACGCTTTGGTTCCGGAGCTGGTTCTTTATGTGGTGGGGCAGTTACGAGGTACCCATACCCATTTCCTTCTCTCCATTCCAAGACAAAACATGCCTACACGGGGGAAAATTCATTCAACAAACAAATTAATTGACAACCCTCATTATTTATTTATTTATTTTTTTCAAACCCCTCTCCACCGTATAGATCTACGCGAAGCAGATGCGAAAGAGGACAAACATGTCAGAGGCAGCGATCAACTTCTGGGCCGGAGGTCTGGGCGCCAACACCTTCTGGGTTTTTGCATTCCCATGTGGTAAGTCTTCCATACTATTACTATTATCATGCATCATGCGATTCTTTTTTTTACTATCCCCTCGTGAAAAATAGCTTGCTCACACCACAGCCTTTTTTCTTTCTTGCTAATTTTAAATAGATGTGGTAAAGAACAAGATCATGACACAGCCCGATGTCAAGAACCCGCCCTTTCCGACGATCGTCAGTTGTTTCAAGCACGTCTACCGGACAGATGGCTTCAAAGGTTTCTACCGAGGTAAAATAATAATAATAATAATATCCACCACCAACCACTGTTGCCCTCAACAGGCAGTCCTTTTTTCCCTTTCAAACCCCCCCCCCAACGAAAATAGATAACTAACCCAGTTCTGTTATTCATCATACTTTTTTTTTATTCCTTTCTTTGTGTGGATGAAAATAATAATAATAATAGGTTTCTTGCCATGCTTGCTTCGAGCGTTCCCGACAAACGCTTGTGCGCTCACCTCGTTTGAACTCACCATGCGCTGGCTCCGTAAGAACGACGAGTAAAAACATCAGTCCAAGGAAAACGATAACATTGACAGCAAAAGATAGATGACTTACAATGGACAAAGGCAACAACACCTTCGCCAAAGATATACCCATCCAATTTGTTCTATCTAGAACATAACACCCCACTCTACCCCCACAACAACAAGCACTTTGAGAGATTTATATCAGTTATTAAAGAATGGAAGATTAAGAATCGATTTTGGTGATGGGGAGACAAAAGGAACTATGGTTTGTATTGTTGATAAGGATATGAGATGGTGTCGAAAAAGAGAGAACATGGTATGAGATGACTATGAAATAAAAAAAAAAGGTGCAGCGGAAGAAAGAAAAAACTATAAGAAAGACGAGGTATTAACGACGAGTGCCCTCGGCAGAGAACAACTCGGCCGCACGGCGCCTCCGAGCATTCTCGGGGCTGTCACTCAGATCCAACTGTCCACTCTGTAGGGGACCCTCCGAAGACTCGTCCTGGCTGTTATACCCACTTCCAGTACCAGCCGCAACGCGCAATCCGGAAACCGACCCCCTCTCAGACCCACTGTTCCGACGCGGTTCCCGGTCAAAGCTAGGTCTCGTAAACTCATCCCTGTACGACTGCATATTGGCCCGGGGAGGGGTCATCGACCGACGTTGTGTAAAATCATCACGGTCATTCCTGTACCGATCCCGCGCACGTGGGGGTTCCAATTCGTCGTCGTCCTCGATCACGGCCTTATCGTTGTACAATAAATGGTCGCTCGAAATCAGGTCCGAGGTGAGCTCGTGCTCGTTATTCCTCTGGTTGTTGGCATCCCATTCCGGGCGAAGAGATTGTGGGAACTGGTCTGAGGGGCGGGGTTCGCCCAGGGGTCGTTGGATTCCTCCAGCAGCAGAAGCGACGGCAGCGACGGCGGAGGGGGACATGGGCATGGGCGGGGGGATATAGTTGCTGTGCTGAAGGTTGCTCATCGCCATCGAGTCGTCGCCGTTCTGTCCTGAGCCATAATAGTTTTGTTGATCATAATCCGAGTATCCTCCATTTCCTCCTCCATTCGAAGAATACTCGTCTTGCTGGTAGTTGTTGTAGGTATTGAATCCTGCCTGGTTGTTGGTCGGCTCATAAGATCCCGAAGCATTCGCTGCAGTATAGGGTCGCTCAAAGATACTGTTCTTGGTCCTCTTTCCACCACCCCTCGTCCTCCAAAAGAAGAATCCTCCAACACCAGCAACAACCAGCAACGCAATCACAATCCCCGCAATGGCTCCACCTCCAAGTCCACCCCCACCGCTCCTATCACTCCCACCGGTCGTAGGAGGCTGATAGGGAATAGGATCCTGCGTAAAGTTGAAGCCGGCAGCTATACAGTTATTCGTCCAATTGATCTGGGTATCAATAGACGGCGAGTTCTTGCCCTGAGAAGAAACACAGCCCAGACAGGAGGAGAGGGCGTTAAAGAACTGGGAGTTGCATTCGCAGGAGCCCAGGTCCGGGGTGACGGTGTAGGTTAGATCCTGTTGGAGGGAGCTGTTGGAGGCTCCGCCGCCGCAAGGATTGAGCAGGGTGAAGACAGATGAGCAGCCGGTTGCGGAACAGTATTCCATGACGGGGTCTGCCTGTGCGTTGACTGGATTGTGAGCAGCGAGGATGGCGATGAGGGCCGGGATGAAAGCGGCTAGAGTGGATCGCCTCATTGTTGTGTGTTGTGAGTGTCCTGAGTTGTGAATGAGTGTCGATTCGGGTGAGTTGTGAGTTGCGGGGTGTGTGCGCGTGCGGGTGACTGAAAAAGGGGGGAGGGAAGGATTGTCAGAAGGGGAGGAGGGAAGAGAGAAGAGGAAGGAGGAAAGAAAAGAGAGGAAGGGAGGGAAAAGAAGAAGGAAGAAAGAAAAAAGAGAGACGGCGGGAAGAGAGGGGTTGTTGTCAAGGACAGGGTCGTCAGTCAAGGAATCCCCCCCCCAGACCAACCTTTTTTTTCTTTGTGATCAAAAACATAACTCGAAACACTATGGCTCCTTCTGTGGACTTATCTTTGGCGGTGGTGCTTGGCCAACGATAAAAAAAGAACAGGGACTCCGCTTCCCTCTTCTTTTTCTCTTTCTTGAGACGGGGACCTGACTGACTGACTGACTGACTAACATTCCTCTTACGCCAAACTGTTACAGTACGCGCGCGTGCACACTTCATCACATCATCGCCTCCCTTTTTCCTTCTTTGTCTCCTCTCCTCGCCAAACCTGACGACTCTTTGTCAACCAACCAGCCTATGGGAAAAAAAATATTCTGCACTGCTCAAGAGTAGAAAAAAACCAACCAACAATGATGCGCACAAACACACAAAGAAAAATCCTATTTTTAGCAAGCACGAGGGAACATCGACATGGATAACATAACCAAACATACAAAGAGAACCCTGAACGAACAAAAAAAGGATGGACACTAGTCCGCACGGAAAACATCATAAATAGACAAGGGCTGTTTTTTTTTGGTGTGTGTGTTGACATGAATACATAACCATCTCGATCTCGCTTTTCTCATATATCTTCATTGGGCTTTTGGAGGTGGGGTTGCAAATTGTTCATTATTAACTAAGGGAGTTAAAAAGTCGGCGTCAATAAACAGTAAGGAACCAATTTGCTCCGCACTCCAAGTGCAAGCTAACTTCCCCAACTCACACAACCACCCTGGCGATCCCCCTTTTTTTTCCCGGCTTTACGCCACAAAACAACACTCTAGGGACGAGGAGGAGTCAGTTTCAAGACTTCACCGCACCGCTCGCGCAAAACATTCTTCTGGATCTTGCCCGAGGGCGTTAACGGCAACTCGACATCATCCTTGAAAACCAAATACCGGGGGACCTTATAATGCGCCAACTTCTCCTTACAGAACACCTGAATCTCCTTCAGCGTCACATTCTTGTGCCCGGCCTTGGTCGACACCCACGCACAGACTTCCTCGCCAAACTTAGGGTCCGGCACACCGACCACAGAAACGTTCTGGACACTCTCAAGCTGGAAGATGGTGTTCTCCACCTCAACAGGTGAGACCTTTTCGCCTCCTCGACTGATCTGGTCCTTGCAACGACCCACGATCCTGCAGAAGCCATGATCGTCGATGGTTGCGAGGTCTCCAGTATGCATCCAGCCTTCCTCGTCGATCACGTCCCTGGTCTGGGCCTCGGACTTCCAATATCCACCTTCCATGACCGCGTAACCTCTTGTGCATAACTCTCCCGATGTGTTGATAGGCAGCGTCTCACCCGACGCTAGATCAATTACTATTCAAAAACAACGAAAAGAGCGGCGTCTTTAATAAAAAAAACCTCCTTGCTTCACGATAATGTCAACTCAAATAAACCCTTGCAATAGTTACCTTTGGCTTCCATGTGGGGCATGATACGACCCACTGTCTCACACCGGTCCTTGAGAGCATCCGTCGTGAGGGTCATAAACGACACCGGCGAAGTCTCGGTCATGCCATAGCTGATCGTCAGCTCGTCCAAGTTCATCTTTGTCTGAACATTCTTCATGACCTCAATTGGAACCGAAGAACCCGCCGCAATACCCGTCCTCAACGACGACAAGTCGTACTGTGCAAAGTTGGGGTGGTTCATTTCTTCCAAGAACATTGTCGGTACTCCATGAAGGGCGGTCGCCCGTTCCTCATGGACTGCCCGCAAGGTTGCCTCGACTTCAAAGGACTGCGAGGGGAAGACGAGACCGGCACCGTGGGTTACGGCCGCCAGACTGGCGAGGACGAGGCCGAAGCAGTGGAAGAGTGGGACGGGGCAGCAGAGGAGATCCTTGTCGGTCAGGAGCATGCGGTCTCCAATGTGAAGCCCATTGTTTAGCAAGTTCCTGTGACTCAATGAAACACCTCTATATTTCCCACGCGAAAAAAAAAGACGGGGAGAGGAGTGAATATCGATATGAATTCCGTATTAGGACAACATATATGTCGCTTTCCCCAATACTTTTTCTCTCATCTTGAAACTTACTTGGGAAGCCCAGTGGTGCCACTGGTGAACTGCAGGTTGACAACATCCCGGTTGTTAATAGTCAGTCTCTCCTTCTGAAGGGCACCGTCAATTGCAAGATTCGGAGTTCCGAACAGCAAATCCCGGTAGTTGGTCAATCCCTTCATCTTGGCCGTCTCCGGCATCACGGCTCCATTATCATACACAACAACCTGACGCAAGGAGGGCAAGATCTGAGTTGAGAGCTGGTTGGGTGATTGAAACTCGAGCTCGGGGATAAGGTCGAGGAGCATCTTGCTGTAGTTGGAGCTCTTCAGTCCAGGGACAAAGACCAACGATTTGCAATCGACTAATGCCAATGTCTGCAGGAGCTCATGCTGTCGGTAGCTATTTTGTTGTGGGAAAAGCAAAGTTCAAGGTTGGGGTCAGGATAAAATTTGTGGAGGCGGAAAAAGGAGCAGATGGGTCATGTCATGGGAGCAAATTCGACGGTTGAACCTTACGCAGGGTTTAAAGTGACAAGGATGATGCCCGACTTGGCAGTCGCATACTGCAATGTTGCCCATCCGCTGTTGTTCGGCATCCAGACACTATGCAATAGTAAGTAACACCAAGAAGAGGTAAAGAGATAGAGAGAGACAACGATTGTCAGGGTGGGTATACTGAGAAGGGGCTAATCGACGCATGCACACATGCCGCACTCTTCTTCATGTTCGCGAGAAAGAAAAGCTCCTAAATGCAAACCAAACACCAAGAGCCAAAACCAAACACTTACGCGATGCGATCGCCCTTTCGAATTCCAGAATCATACAACCCCCTACACAACCGATCAACCTCCTCCCCAAACTGTCTAAAAGTCCAATGCAAATCGTCCTCATGCTTGACTACAAGTCCTGGCCGGTCTCCATGTTTTGAGACGATATCGTCCCAGAATTGACCTATCGAGGATTCAGAGAGGGGCCGGGCGTTGAGGGTTTCGCCTTGGACAAAGGACGACAGGGGGTCTTGGACTGGTTGCGGGATGGCGGAGAGGAGGCGTCGGGCATTGATGGTGTTGGGGGACGCGGTGCTGAGCCAGGGGCGCCTTGTGGCGAGGCCGGAGGAGGAGGAGGAGGACGCGGCGGTGGTTGAGCGCCAGAGGGGTTTGCTGTGCCTGAACATGAGGGAGGGCGAGCGGAGATGTCCTGAGTTTGAGGTGTAATGAGGGGATGGAAGGGAATGAGTGGAGAGTTAAGAGAGGGTACAAAAGATAAAAGAGTGGGGAGTGGAAACAGATAAACAGAAGAGTGGGGAGAGTGGGGAGAGTGGGGAGTTGTGGTGTGAACAAAGAAGAAAGAGAAAAGGGAAAAGGAAGACAAAGGAGAGGTGTGAAATACCATTTCACCCCACACGCCTCTGGAGAGCGTGAGAGTTCGATCAAAAGTAAAGCCGAAGGAGAAGGCTCACAACTACAAGGGGTGTTTTTTTTTGTTGGTTGTGTTGCCCAACGAACCCTGTTCGGTCCAATTGGAAAATCCTCTTCTTTTCCCCCAAGGGGCGGGACCAATGGCTCGCACCCACACACATGCACCTTCTCTCCCACGCAAACAAACAGGCAACAGAAGACATGAACCTGGCCTATTCTTCATGGCGAACGAACGAACAAATGTCTGTTCAACAAATTCGATTCACGCTCTATCTGACAATGAAAACCCAGGGTCAAATGGACAATTGGTTTCTACTCCGCTTCTCTTTTTCGACAATGGTCAATGGGTCTAAAATGCCCCCGCTCTCCTACTTTCTTTATCTATTCTATGGTATTAATGGGTGAAGGAGCAGGGGGGTGAGGTGCTATACTTTTCTGTGAAAAACTAAACTTGAAAAAAGAACTACTCGAGGAAAAAGGCGAGCTCTCTAAGGTCTTCAAGCCAATCAGTTCAAGGGCTCGCCCCAAGCAATCCCCTCAGGCAAAGCCTTTCCCTCCCGCTTACGTCCCTCAACAACACCCTCCAACCTCCACTGCAAGCCCTCCCTTCCCTCCACTCTCCCCTCAACCTCGCCACTCTCATCCCCAGGCACAACCTCCAATCCCCTACGCCCATCCTTGGTCTCCTCAACCTTCCCGAACCACTCATCATCCGTCATCGCATAAAAATAAGTATGTCTCCAAGTCCCATCGGCATGGATCATATGCTTCTTAAACAACCCTTCCTCCCGGAACCCCAACTTCAAGGCGGCCTTCTGACTCGCAATGTTCTCATGATGGGTCTTCCATTGCACTCGACCGGCCTGGAGTTTCTCGAACGAGAACCTCAGGAGGGCATAGGTGGTCTCGACCATGACGAATGTCCCCTGGGCGGAAGGGTGGAACCAGATCGAGCCGACTTCGAACCGGCGGAAGTGGAGGACGATATCTAGCAGACAGATGGACCCGCACAGGACCCACTTCCTCTCCCCCTTCTCCTCGTCCTCCTTCTTGGCCGGCGCAGCGACGTAGACGGTCCAATTGAAGAAATCAGGGCTCTTGCAGAATCTCTCCTGTTCCGCATAAAAACTCTGGTAGTTGGGATGGCTGCCTCCTGGGAAGTATTTAAAGATCTCGGTGTGGTTCTTGTAGACCTCCCAGAGTAAGGGTGCATCACGTTCGAGATGGAGGGGACGCATTTGAATCTGATCCGTCTCGATTACGAATCCGTTCATCTGGCCCAGGGTGCGTTGAGTGTACTCTGTGGCAGGGAGTTGTGTGTATTTAATCTGCTTTGGCGGCGCCCTGTTGGCAGTTGGTTGTTGGGTGCTGGCTGTTACCATGGTTGTAGTTTGTTGATGTTGTTGGTTGACGGGGGTGATGAAGACAGAAAGAAAAAATGTAGTGGGACAAGTCAGGGGGGGACGTTTTTATGTAATGAAAAAAAAAAAAAATCCTTGCCTTTTCATTGGCCACGACTCGACGCCGCCAAATTATCTTGTATGACCCATCGTCCTTCCTTGACACTTCATCCGTGTATACGTCCCAAAAGAAGAAGCGAAACGGCACAACCGAACCCACCCTTGCATGCACATATGCTACGCCAAGAACATCATTTTTTATTTTTCATTCCGCAGTCTGTCAATCCTCCTCCTATCTTCCTATCAACAATCATTCCACCCCGCCTTCTCTCCCTCAACCAAAAGGCGGTATCGAATTACGCAGCCTCGCCAAAGGAATACGCGCTCATCGACATGCTCAACATGAACATCTTGTGCAAGACCTTGCCCTCATCGCCACCTGCAGCACCGATCGCTACATGGAAAGGCAACAAGTGGTCCAATGACGGGTGTGCCGATCGCAAGTACTTGGATCCTGCCATGTCCTTCACTGCCAACCTCTCGCGCTCCTCCTCAGTCTATGTAGTATCAAAATGAGAAAAAAAGAGTAACATGTGAGTCAACGCGCACTCATTTTTTTTCCTTTTTCGACCGCATGTACACCCGACATATCAACAAAGACAAAAAAGAAAGGTACCTTGGCAAGGGCAACCTGGTCCAAAAGTCCATCAAAAGGCGCAACATATGGCGCAACCTGCATCTTGCCCACTCCCTGACTGGATCTCATATAAGCACCGATATCCCTCAAGTTATGCACAGCAGTACCGCTAGCAACAATCAACACCCCCTCGTCCCTCAACTGTCCCAACACCTTGCCCAGTCGGATGTGGTACTCGAACGTTTCCTCATCCGGTCGGTGTCTCATATCGGCCAAGGACATTTGAACGATGGGGATCTTGGGTGTGGGAAGGATCCGGAGGAAGGGCACCCAGACTCCGTGATCTACACCGCGTTTCGTCTCTGCCTCTGCTGGGATCCCTGCCTATTTTTTTGGGGGGGGGTTCACACAATTGAACGGGAGGTTAATGTTCACGTTCATCTCTTACTTTTTTTCCCTTCATGCTATCCGTTTCCACAAAACAAATCTAATTTTTTTTTACCTTGCCAAGGATCTCAAGGACACGATTCGCAAGCTTAGGGCTCCCCACTGAAGGATACTTCATCTTGTACAACTCATCGGGGAATCCATAGAAATCATAATACAGTTCATTTTTCTCCGATGTCCTGACTTTCACAACTCCACGCTCGCCCTCCCAATGTCCTGAAAGCACCAAAATCGAAGTCGGCTTGTTGGGACCCGAGAAGGACTCCCATTTCTTGCCGAGGGCGTCGAAAAAGTCGGCGGTGGTTGATTTTTCTACTGCTTGGTTTGGACCTATTTTTTTTTTTTTTTTTTTTTGTTTTTGTTTGAGGGGAGGAAGGATGAGTTTAGTTATACGAGATTAAAACACACACGGAATAAAGATGGCAAGGGGGGGTGTTTTTTTTTCTTCGTTGTTTGATGAACTGTTTTTCACTACTTTGTTATTACCAGCGTGGGAAATAAAGTAAACGGGAAGTCTGTCTGCAGCGGTCATTGTTGTAAAGAGAAATATGGGGGGGTATGTTTGTGTAGGTTTGTTGGTATATGTAAAGAATAATGAGAGGGAATACAAAATCCGAACCTGCTGCCCTTTTATTACATATTACCTAGCCAATTAATCAGCTTGAGTTTACAAAGCAATTGGGTGGCGTCTCAAAGCGTGGCTGAGTATTCCCCCAGCTTACTGACGTACTCCCTCTTCGCTTTGTCAAGGAAGTAAAGGAAGAAGCCAAGAAAGAATACATAGTGGGGGCAAATGGCGACACCAGAAACCTGAATGATAAACCTGTATGAGTGCCGTCACCTCCCATGTTTGAGGCTCTCAAGCAGTGACAATTTGACAGCAACAACACAGGAAGTATTTGTGCAATTGTACCCATTTCTGGAAAAACATTGTCCGTGTGGGATTTCCGCTCTCCATTACCACTTGTCCATGCCATAATGGAGTCTCTAGGATTTGTGTGTTTGTGGGTGGTTTTATTAGATTGTTTTTGAAGAAGGTTTTTATGTTTTTTTTTATGTTTTTGTCATCAAAATGGACTCTTTTGTCTGGGATGGAGTGTGTTCTTCTTCCAAGGTATGGCTATCCTTATCTCAAGCGAAAAGCTACGATATCCAAGAAAAGCACTCGTAATATACTCGGCGTATCAAGAAAAAAAAATGAAAGAGGGAGAGAAAGAAAAAAAAAGAAAGTTGCGCTGTCTCGCGAAACACGCTAAAACTTTAAGCGACAACTTCAGGAACAACAGCGGTGGCTGGTTCCTCGACGGCAAAAGGGTTAATGGCCTGGACCTTGATCACAGGAGGCGACACTGTAGTGTCAGCGGTGACCACGACTTGCAAGTGGCCATACATGCGGATACGAGTCAAACGACGAGCCTCATCGTCTCCGCCCTCGGCCTCATCCTCGTCCTCCTCGACCTGGTGCGATTTGACAATCACAAGATCTTCGTCATCGTCATAGTCGCTCTCGTCCTCAAACAAGCCGCGCTCGTCGTCATAGGCGGTGGTCGCGTCGTCGGGATGATCCAAAGCATTGGGGTTGGCAGCGGGCAACGAGGACGAACGGCGAGACTTGTCCTTGCCATCGGCCTTGGACTCTTCGGCGTCCTCGCTGGGCTTCTTGAATGCCTCGGTAGTCCAGAACAACTTCAGGGTCTCGGTGTTAGAGTTCCAGGCATGGCGCTCCAAGGGCAGCTGGTCGACATAGATACGCTTCTCCAGACCGTACTCGGGCACCAACACATCAAACGAAGCATCCAAAACCTGCACAACGACAGCATCCTTGATCACAGGACCGCTGGCCTCTGTCATGTTCCTGAGCAACACACTCAAGTAAACATGGCTGCTCTGCTCCTGTGCCAACTTGGACGCATCCTTCTTGATGTTGCAGTGGTTAGCACTCTTTTGGCACGACTCCTTGCTCAAATAAAACTTGGTATCTATTGTTGCACCGGTGTCAAAAGAAAAGATGTTAGTTCTGAAAAGAAATGCAAAGCGTTGAACGCATAACAACAGTTTTGGACTAGAGGGAGCTTACCATTGATGAGGGAGGCTTCGAGCATGCGGTGGACAATGATATCGGCATATCGACGGATGGGCGAGGTAAAGTGGGTGTAGAGAGGAGCGTTGAGGGCATAGTGGTGGTACTTGTCAGGGGTCAACATGCCGGCGCAAATGTACTTGGCACGCTGCATGGGCTTGATAACCAAAAGACGGACAACCTTACGGATATCAGGATCCTCAATAGCATCCAGTGACTGTTGAAGGGCTCCCGAGCTCGAGGCATCCAGGTCAAGACCAATCTTCTTCATGTGTGAGATGAATTCGGTCATGCGCTTCTCCAGAGGATCCTCGTGGCGACGGAGCAAAGCCTGGTCGGGGAGGAACTCGGCAATCTGCTTGGCAACACTCATGTTGGCGAGCAACATGAACTCCTCGATCAAACGGTTACTCTCCTTGAGCTCGTACACAGACACACCGATAGGGTTGTGGATCTCGTCTGTTTCAAACGACAAGCGAATCGAGTTAATCGACAACGACCCGTTCTCGAAACGGTTCTTCCTGATAATCTGGGACAATTTCTATTATTTTCAGACAGTATGGATATGTAAAGGTTAGAAAGGAAACATAGACCTCGCATATAATCAAATGATACAAATGCCTCAGAGACTTACGTAGAAGATCTTGATATTTTCCTCGACGAGAGAACGGGACTGGCCAACAATCTCAATCTTGGGATCGAGCGAGCCGGTAGTGATGACCTTCTGGGCATCATCGTACGAGAGCTGGGCGCATGAGCGGATGACAGACTTTGAGAACGAAGTGCCCAAAACATGCCCATCCTCGGTCATTTTCCAGAACACGGAAAAGGCAAGACGATCGACGTTGGGGTTCAAACTGCAGAGATCCTCGCAAAGAACGTTGGGCAACATGGGGATAGCCTTCTGGACCAGATACACGGTCGTGGCTCTGGACTTGGCCTCTCTGTCGAGCGCAGATCCGACCTTAATAAAGTGGGACACATCGGCAATATGGACTCCAACCTCCAAAGTGCCATCCTCCAAACGAGAGACTGAAACGGCATCATCCAGATCCTTGGCAGTGGGGGGATCGATGGTGAAGACACAGTCCTTGCGCAAATCGCGACGACGGCTCAGCTCCTTCTCGGGGATAGACCAAGGAAGCTCAGGCAAGCACTTCTCAACCTTCTCACCAAAAGCAGTGGTGGTGACGTTATTATCAGCCAACAGAGCCTCGGTCTCGATCTCAATGTTACCAATGTCACCCAATTCCCTCTCCAACTGTCCGAAAGGGTGGAGCGAGCTGAGGGGCCAGCGCTTGATGGTGGCAACAAACAACTTGTGAACATAGTGAGCGTGGTTATCAACAAAGTCATTGGGGGCCTGGTCGATGGGGATAGCAATCAAGGGCACGCGCTTGTCCGTCTAATAACAGAACAAAGAAAAGGTGTTAGCTACAACGAACGACAAGTCTTGATACATATCGTTGGATTATAACGATCAAGAGGCCGCGTGGAGACTTACGGGTTTGAACCAGACGATTCTGGGCTGACCCTTCTGGTCCTCTTCATCCTGCTTCTTGCGGTCGTTCTTCTTGGAGGATCCGCTGGGGCGCTGAAGAGTCAAGGTACCAGAGAACATCTGGGAGATAGAGCGCTCAACAATCGAGACAACACGTCCACAGTACTTTGGCTTGACCTCATCAGACTCGAGCTCAACAACCTCCTCTCCGTCCTCAGTGCGTCTAGTCTTCTTGTCCTTGCCATCGGTCTTGGGGGGATGCTCCTCGGGGTCAATCAGCTCGATACCGACAACATCACCCTCCAGAGCACGGTTTCTGTCCTTGCTACCGCAAATGTAGACATCTCCCTCAGGAAGACTGTCAACAGTGACATAAGCATCCGAGCGGTTGCGCTTGTTGATTCTCAAAACTCCCTGAACATATTTGTTCTTCTGCTTGGTCAACAGGGTGTGGAAATCGGAGTAGGTCAAATGAGCCATGAACAAGGGGCGACGGCCGTTGGCGTTGTCCTTGCCATAAATACTGTCGCGGTTACCAGCGGTCGACATAGGAGTAGCTATAAAATAAGTAAAACAAAGGTTAGCATACTTTTCAGCGTTATACAAAGTGTGCGCGAAATACCCAAACAAAGCAAAAAAAAGACACATACACATGCGCCAGTCCTTGCGGTCAGAGTCCTTGGGGGCATTCATGGAGGAGAGACGCTTGTTGGCGGAAGAAGTAAGAGTCGAGGTACGATTGCCAGCAGCAAAGGCAGTGGTGAATCGACGACGGTCGTGGGCATCATCGTTGTTGACCAAAACAGCGGCACCGAGACTCTTTAAGTGGCTGGGCAAAGTGGCAGCAAACTCGGCCAACGAGGCAGGGTCGACGCTGGAACTGGTGCGCTGATGCACCGACTTGACAGAGTAGCTCGATCGGTTACTGGTGGTGCCCTTACCCTCCAACGCAGAGAGGGCATCGGCGACACCATTTTCGGGCTCATCGTCGCTCGAGAAGCTGAAGGCTGAAGGAACATACTGTCTGCCCTCCTGCAAGGCTGCAACCTCCTCTGGTCGGATGATGACAGAGCGACGGTTGGGCTGGTACGATGAAGTGCGCTTGTTGCTCTTGTCATCAAAATTCTCTGCAATAGGCGCAATATCCTTGGTAAATGCAACCGATCGTCTGTTGTTGTTGGTGCTCTTGGTTGGAGCATGACCCTGTGACTAATTTGCAATAATTCAAATTTCAAATAAACCAAAGGTTAACAAGGGGGGGCACACGATATTACGGATGATCGCGATCGTCGCACAAAATGCTGATGCAATATATATTTTACCTCTTCCTCGTTCAGGGGAATCAACGGGCGTTTCGAATCCGAGATAGAGAGACGGCGGAGGGTAGCGACGGTGGACTGCAATGCATTCTCAATGGTTGTGCCGCGGGGTGGCTGCGACAGATGCAAAGTCGTTGAAGGAACTGCGCCGCCTGAAAAATGTCCCGCAGCAGCATTCGCAGGCAAAGAGGACATGGACAGGCGCTTCTCATGACGAGTGGTACCTTGCGCAAGAGGGTGCTCGGGATGGTTGATAGACGAGGTGGTAGGAGGGAGACTCTTGAGGCTGCTGATAATATCCTGCAGGGACTCAATGGTCTTGCCCTCCTTGGTATCCTGACCCAGCTGATCCAGTTGCTCCTTCATCGACAAGGTACGAGCATGTCCACGTCTGGGAGCGGCGGTATGGGCAGCAGTAGATGACTCGGGAATGACGGCGGCAGCAGCGACAACAGTCTCAGCAGGCTTCTCAGTGACATTCTCCTCAACGGTGGGGAGACCGCCGAGCCGACCAAACTTGTCACCATGAGGGGTCAACGCAGACGAACGACGGCTGGAGGGGCTCGCAGCAGTCAAGGGAGAGTGAGCAACAGGGAAACCTCCGAGAGGGCCTGATATAGGGGAAGCGCCATCACGAGGCACGTTGGTCTTGATGCGAGTGATCTCGGCCCTGTTGCCTCTGCCATGGGCGCTCTCGCGGCGCAGGTCTTTGGTATTGATTCCGGTAACAGGGGCGTCCTTGTCTCCTCCCGTGAAAGAAGTAGGAGGTGCAGATGAGGGCGACGGGAACGACGATGAAGGGGAAGCAGGCGACAAGGGCGAAGAAGGCGACAGGGAGGACGACGAAGTGACAAACGAGCATGACGACGAGATGGACGAAGGGCGACCCTCTTTGGAAGGCTGGGTAGCGTCGCTAGTTCCTTGGTCCTTGGTACCCCTGTTGCTGTGCCTGTCCTTAGGCGCCGCGGTGCTCTGACGAGTGCCATTGATTCCTCCTTGACTGCGGCTGGCGGTGTTGGATTTGGTCTTGGGAGCAGCAGAAGCAGAACCTTCCTTGTTGGCTGGGGCAGACTTCTTGGAGGTCCTCTTAGCGTGGGCGTGGGTTCCTGCGGGGTCAGCAGAAGTGGAGGTTGCCTCTGACTCTATAGCCACGGTTGATGCATCACCAACAGCTGACTTGGTGGGCTCCTTGTTGTTGCTGTTCTTCTTTTTGCCCTGATTGATGTTGTTAGTGTTGTTGTTGGTGGTGGTGCTCTTTCGTCTCTCGTTGCCACTGCCGTTGACTGATGTTGAGAGCCTTTCATTGCGCTTGGGCGTCAAAGGAGCTGCAACCTGTCCATCGACCGCAGGGGTAGGGACAACAACACCAGAGGCCTCTCCACCTTCAATAGTAGCAGAGGAGGCACGAGAGTTTCCAGTCTTGCCTGCCTGCTTCTTGTTTGAATTTCTCGATTTTTTGGTCTCGTCCGACTGCGGCTTCTTGGATGAGACTGGATCGGAAACATGGTCGGATGAGGCAGATGAGGGAGCAGCAGCTCCATCAGTTGCAACGGGGTTGGTAGCACCAGCAATGGCCTCAGTGCGGCTCTTGGGCTTGGAGCTCTGTCTCCTGTTGTTGCGAGAGTTGTTCGTGGTAGTGGTGGAGGCGGCCTGCTCAGCTCCCGCAGTAGCAGGAACGCTGTTCGACGCGTCGTTGAGGTTGTCAGACGATGCGCCTCCACCGTTGGTCTTGTCCTTCTTAGGGGGTCTGTTCTCCTTGTCCTTGTTGCTCTCCCTTCTGCTGTTGCTGTTGGCACTGCTGGAGTTGGGTGCGGCGCCAGTGGTGGTGGCGTCAGACTTTTCCTTGCGAGGAGCACGGTGGGACTTGCTCCTTGAGGCTGCGGTGGTGGTGGTCGACGCAGTAGAGGCGGTGTTGTCGGCAACAGAAGAGGAAGAGGTGGAAGTAAAGGAAGGGGGAGGAGGAGTGTTGGTCGTCGTCGCTGTTGTTGTTGTTGTCGTAGCTGGCGCTGCTGCAGGAGCGGGCGCAGGCGCAGGGGTCGTCGTTGTGGTGTTGTCCATGGTTTTTTTTTCCGGCTTTGAAGAGGAAGAGTTTGTTTTTTCTTTTTTTTTTCAGAGGAAGAGTGGGTCCTTGGACGGTCGATCGATGTGAAAAGATGGAACGAGAGCGAGGAGGGAAGGTTTTTTTTTTTTTTTTTTCCTTGTCTGCTTGTGATGGATGAAAGAACACAAGTAGAGGATGGGTTTTTTGATTACGAGAAGGGGGTTGGGGTTGTGCTTGAGGAGGTTGTGCGGGAAGAGGGACGGACAAAAGGACAAGGGAAACAAGAAGCGAATGCGGGTGGAGGCGCCTTTTAAAGGCTCGAATGAGTGGTTGTTGCAGGATGTAGCAGTATCAAACAAAGTCTTTTTTACACGGGGATAGCACCCAATAAAATATATGAATGTGATCTGCACTGATGGGCACTGATCCTGGCACTGTACAAAGGAATAAAGGAATAAAGGAAAAAAGAAAAGGTAGGGCGTGCATGGGATGGAATGCCTTTGATTGGTGCAAAACATGCCTACCCCTCTCACTGGCAGACAGACATTCTCCTTTTTCTCCTCTTTCTTTCTTTTTCTCCCTCTCCCTACAGAACAGACACACACAACAACAACAATGAAGCCCTTTTTGACGCCCTTCGGCCACTCCTTGCTCAAGCAACCCAAGCAAGCACGCAAACGACAGACGCCCTACATCAACCCCCCCCATGTCCATTATCTGCTTTGCTCTCCTCACAACAATGCTCTCACTCTGCTTTGCTGCTCTCGTGTACAAACCATGGAACAGCCAACCCAACCCATCTAACTCTTTCGTCTTTGTCATCTAGCCTCGCCTCCAGCAGGGTCCCTTTTTTTTTATTTCTGAGCCAAATGAAGCAAGCCATGGGTATCTCAAACTCAAATACCCTCAGTCTCTGAGTTTGACAAAAAAAAAAAAGTATCCCCCCCCCTCCCCCACCAACTTATCATCGCAATTGATAGCATCATGGTTCTGGCCCCCTCTTTCTTTTTTCTTTTGTTTTCTTTTTTTCTTACATACATTAAGACCATGAGTCAACAATATCATCAATCATCACATCTTTTCTTCTCCACACATCACAGCCTGCATGAAAATTGGCGTCAAGGATGATACATCTACTTACAAGTCGTGTGCATGCTTGAATTCATGCACTGTAGAAAAACACCACTCGATAATAAATGAATGAGGAGCAAAAAGCTCTCGAGTCTCAAAAGGGTTCCTTTTTTTTTTTTTTTTTTTTTTTTTGGTGGCACACCCCTGGTACACAAAAACAATAGAAACATGTTCCCCCCACCCCCCTGAAAACTGGATCAGCATAAAACTACATGTGTTTATTTAGGATATTTGACAGGCCACATCTTATGACGAATGCGGTCAAACTCCAAGCCCAGCAAGAATCCAAACCGATCAAAAAACGCCTCAGGCAACTGCCAACTATCCTTGTGCAACGGCGGACCATGACAGACCGCCTCATCAATCAACAGCTGGAACAACTCGTCCGCATTATACCGTTGCTGGTGCACAATCATCTGCGCCCTCAACTTCGGACAAGGCACAAAGTCGATCCGCGGGTCGTGCGGCAACTCGTACACCTTGGGGTCGATGTTAGGATCCGTCTGCGGTTCGGCCGCAATCAGGATCTGGAGCTCCCGATGCAATCGATGTCTTTTCGTCGTCCCCATCTTCAACCCCAACGATGCCGCCATGTTCCGTAACTGCTCCGCGTCCAGTCCTAACGTCTCCTCGTCCGATTCCGGCTCAACTTTAATATGCATCGGCAGATCAGACGACGAAGACGACGATGCTCTGTTCCTATTGTTGTTGTCATACTGTATATTATTGTATCGATCCTTGTTGTCCCAATGGTTGTCCCTGTCCCTGTCCATCTGCATTGAGGCTCGGTCCGCCTCTATTTGGATCGTCTCTGCAAACGGGGTTTCCTCGCTCACAACCTCCTGCGGTGTCGCCATACTGATATGAAGAGATTCCAATGTGCCAGGAGGGAAGAGCGACGACTGGAGCTCCTCAAAGACATTGGCGTGCTTGGTATATTCGGTCTTTTCCGGAAGCGTCGTCCCGGGAGGGCAGTAGGCGGGGCGAGGGACTGAGATGGATCCGAAAGGAGAGACGGGCATTCCGAGCTGGCCGCCCTTCTCCAACATGTCCGGAATAAACAGGGGTGGTGCCTTGTACAAGATATTACCACTCATGGACAGAATTCCTTCTTCCGAGATGTCGTCGTTGATGGGATGTTCTCGCATTGGCCTGGCTTGGTCAGAGACATCCATGTCGCCTTGGTAGTGGTTGTTGTTATGAGATTGACCAAGAGGTGAAGGGGTGTGGTGAGGAGATGAAGATGAGAATGTTGGTTTGGGTGGGGTCGTTTGTCGATTTGCCATCGAAGGGGACAAGGGTGAGCTCGTCCGAGGTCGAGTATCTAAAGAAGCCGGACTTGCCGATGCCGCTCCTGTTGATGACGCTGCTGTAGCTGACACAACTGGGGTTCCTGGAGACGTTGGAAGCGTTGACGAGACAGAGGGCGATAAAGAAGAACGCATGTTGGGAGGAGTCAGATGGTCGGTTCCGGGGGTCGAGGGCGTTGTTACCGAGGGAGTAGAAGAAGAGCGACGGCTCTGATGGTGTCGCCGAAAGAGTTCCTGCTTGACGGTCTTGAGGATGTCGATGTGGTTCCCTTTACTCAGCGCAGACTCGAACGCAAAGACAACCTCGCGGAGATAAAAGTTCTCGCTCTGCAGCGACTCGATGACGGTCTTGAGGTCGTGCGCCTCGGACTGGAGCCGACTGGTGACCAGGTAGTGCTGGTTCTTGAGGTCCTTGATCATGTTTTCGAGCTGGTGGAGATGCCGCTCCTTCCTGTCCCTGAATGCCCGTTGTGCTGCTCTGTTTTGTTCCTTGCGCAAGGCAGGACACGTTTGTACTGGTTTCCGACCGGGTTTCTTTTTCTCCTTTGGTTCTGAGAAGCTCGCCTTGTGTTTGGCTCCCTTGCCGTTTTGTGTGCTGTTGTTGTTGCTATTGTTGGTATTATCGGTGTTGTTGTTGTCATTGTTGAAGGGACCGTTGGGTGCAGAGGCTGAGGCGACGCCGCCAAAGGGGTTATTGTTGTAGGAGGAGGAGGAAGGGGTATCGTGCACGGTGTAGGCCATGTCAACATCGTCGTTGTCGTTGTAGTCGTCGTCCTGGAAGTGGAGGTCCTCGTCGTCGTCGTCGTCGTCCGAGTATCCGTTATGGTTTGAGTATGTGGCCATGGTCTGCCGTGTGGCTGTTGTGTGTGGGGTGTATGAATGAATAAAAGGGTGGATGTGTATTGTCCCTGGCTGGTTGTGTGATGGAGGTAAGACAGGGAATGGAGAAAGGCGGGCGAAGTTCGGATGGGATCTGGTTCCGCAGGGAGCAGGAGTGATGAGAGTATGTGGGAGGAGGAGTTGTTGACAATGGAAAGAGGTGTGTGAAAAAGGAAGAACGATTGCGAAGGAGTGAGGAGAGGGTGTGTGAGTCAAGAGAGAAGAGAGAAGAGAGAAGAGAGAAGAGAGAGGAAAGAGAAGAGCGCAGAGTCAACAAGGAAGGAAGAAAGAGGAGAGGAGTCTCTACGTCAATGTCCAGTCCTAGGCTTCAACTCCCGAACGCTGTCAATATTTCTTCACTCTCTCGATTGCCCTTTTCTCCACCTTGACTCCTCTCCACATACTTTCTTCCTCATAACATAGGTCTATTTGACATTTCCCCTTCCCTTCTCTCCTCTTCTTCACAATCACAAGGGCAGGGGCAAAGACACACTCTCTCTGTGAGCAATCTCTCCTTCTTCTCTTCCTCCGCTGAATGCTCAACCTTGAGCAATCTGGCTGCCACCATCGCCACTATTTCTCCGTCCATCCCATGCAATTTAGCCCTTCCTTCTTCTCCTCCTTGCTCATTTTGCACTTTTTTTTTTCTTTTTCGTTGGGCGTTTTATTTTTCCAAACAGAACAACGCTTCGCTTCAATGGCTTGAACTCCTTTACACCCACAGAGGTACAAAACCCAACCATTGGAATTGAGCTGGAGAAAAAGAAAAACAAAAAAAACCCAATGTGCATGTGTGCAGTGAGCCTGCGTTGCCCGAATCGGGCTACGTGCTGACTGATGTTGAACCCTCTCGTCTTCTTTCGTCCTGCTCTCTTGTACAAAACCATTGGGATGTCCATTATATAGCGTAGTTTTTGTGTGGCACAAACCAAAGACAAAAAAGACATGAACAAAAACAAACGCATCAAAGGGTTCATTCCATGATGAAGCGGGAAAAAAAAGTGAGCCGGGGCAAAGACAGAATAGAAACTGACACAAACCCCTTGACATCTTTTTCATATCCTTTTGACTTCATTTTGACATGCTTTGTTTGACATGTTCGTCGCTGTAGTAAGTTCGTGGTATTTGTTTCCTTTTTGTGTCGTCGACGCGTCGTTTGCCATTGGTGTGATGTTCTTATCGTTCTCTTTTTTCTCCGAATGCTACCAAAAGACAACAAACAAACTGACACGGTCCCCTCCTCTTGACCCTCTTCTACCCCTTCTCTGTAGAACGCATTAGTAAAAAAAAACACAAAGTGGCCTCACAACATGTTATGCATCATTTTTTTATTACTTTTGCTGTCAATGCTTCCCGTGCATGCATTAGGCATATTACACGCATTACAAGCATATAAAAAAATGCAAAAAAGAAAAAACTATAATCCCTCTCGAGAGAGAGAGAGACCGGGCGCGTTCATGCTGTCCCTGTCGCTGTGGCCTTAGTCCTTCTTGAGACTTCGACTGCTAACAACCGCGACCGGCAATTGATCACGCACTTGGGCAGGGATATACTGAGCACCGGCCTGCGTCGCATTGGAGACAATCGACGCCAAGTAGGACACCGTCAACCCTCCACCACCACCCGCACTCACGGGAGGAGTCGTAGGTGACTCCTTGGTGCCAACATTCTCGTGCGAGATCCTGCGTCCGTCGCCGTAATCGTCAAAATCATCGTAATCGTCCCTGTACCCAGCGCGACGTCCTTGTTCCCGAGGTCGACTCTCTTCCCCCTCTCCAGTATCATCTTCCTCCTCGCCGGTGAGAGCCGACTTGTCGCTGACGGCAGAGTATTGATTTCCGTTCAGGAAGGTCATCGACAACTTTCTCAACGACCAGAGGCCACCTCCTCCTGTTGCCGTCGTCGGAGTAATCGGCGATGATGTCGTTGTAGATGTCGTTGGAGACGTGGCTGTTGGACTTGCGGAAGAGTCGGAGCCACTTCCTCTGAGAGTGGGGACATATGATTTGAGGAAGGCCAATGTCGAAGAGGGAGCAGCCACAGGCATCGTAAATACTCCGACCTCAGGCGCAGTCGCATCATCCATCACACGTGCCCACGCGTTTCCTCCATCCTCCTCACACAAGTCACCCCTAGTCAAGCTAGCGCGCATCTCACTGCCACTGCCACACTCCCCATAGCCACCTCTCATCATCCTCCTTCCATCATCACCGCCACTCTCGCCACTCTGATCGTCACGGTAAGAGCGGTAAGGCGCCTCAGCGATCCCCAAATCCTCAACCCCACTCACCCTGTCACTCTCCCCGCCCTCATTCGAAGACGACAAGTCATTTTCAGACTCGTTTGTGGGCAGAGGCTTATAAGACCCCGCAAATAAACCTCCCAAAGAAGGATCCAACGCCATCCAGTTCACTCTCGGGCCTCGGACACGATTCTCCTTCAACCCATTCAGGTTCGTGACGGGTTCATCACTCGAGGATCCAGAATCGTTCTCGTCGTCGTCATCGTCGACGTCGTCAAAGACCCGTGTGCTTGAATAGTAGATGGAAGAGGATCGACCACAGGATTTCTTTGACGACTTTGGGGATGAAGATGTTGATGATGAAGAAGAGGAAGAAGTAGGGGAAGAGGCGGTGTTGAGGGGTGCGAAAGCCCCCTTAGAACTGGTCGTCGCCGAGATGGCGAAACTGCGGAGAGACCCGAACCAGGAAGGCACAAAGTTTCCTTTGGCCCCTGCCCCAAACGACGATCCATGAACACGATCCTCGTGATCATCCCGCTGGTGCTGTTGTTGTTGTTGCTGTGGATGGAAATCATGGTAACTAGAGTTCAAATCATGATGTGAGAAATCGTAGTGCTGAAAGTCGGTATTCCTCCTCGCCGCGTGTGATGCCTGCGGTTGTTGTTGTTGTTGTTGCTTATTGCTCTTGAATCCGGGGGACGCCTTGACGTTGCTGGTATTCTTGTTGCTGGGAGAGTCGGAAAGGGAGACGGAGGATACGGCAGGGGAGAGGGAAAGGGACCGGATAGAAGTCGAAGTATGAGAGTGAGAAGTGTTTCCTCTTGTGTGTCGGCGTTTGAGGGGGTTCTGGAGTTGGTTCTTTGGACTTGACCATGGGTTGCTCGTGTTGTTTGTGAGGTGCATTGTCGACATGATTGATATCGGTTTTGTGTTGAGAGTTGGTTGGGGGGGTTATTGTGGGTGGTGTAGTTTTTATTTGCAGGAAGGAGAGGAGGGGTAACGGCAAAAATGTCAAGGATGTAAAAGTGAGAAATGAGTTGGGACAAGAGGTAAAGAGAGGGAGGGAGAGGGAGATGTACAATTGTAAGGAAAAGAAAAGAGAGAGAGAAGAGAAAGAATGGACGAGAGGGAGAAGTAAGAAAAAGTCAAGGGGAGGGGGGGGGGGGGGGGGGTGAGTGCAAATGGATCAAAGGACGAAAAGGAAATAATGGGACGGAGACAGAGTGTGTGTGGATTCAATGGGAGAGAGGTACAGCAGCAAAGAAAAAACAAGGACATGCATGGCAAGCGCTCCAAGGAGAGTCCAATGGACAAGAACAAGTCGAGGGCTGGCCTTTGTCGAGTCCTGTAGTAGGATCACCCCAGAAGGTATCATCCCATGCCTGCCACCTCTCTCTTGCTCTTGGTCTTCCTTTGCTGTTACTCGCTTTGGATTGCCAATGGTTCAAGGAGAGGACAGCACAGAAAAACTGGGTGAACTGTGAGCACAAAAAATAAGCATGAAAACAAAAACTATGCATGGACGCATGGACAAGCACCCGCAATTCAACCGCGCGCTTAAATTACTGTAAAACAAGAAGCCCGATCTAAAACTGCTCTCGCGTCCCAGTTACACCCCTTCTCCAGGTTGGAGATTCATATTCTCACTCACTCACACACACACACACACACTGTACATACCGAGGACTCTTAGTCAAACCATGGCTCAACGTAAGAAATGTATTGGGCAGACGATTCTTCTCAAATACATAAGCAGAATTGGGCTACAAGAAACAAGAGCACGAAAAAAAACTTCCCGAAGGAGCTTGTCTATTGCCGACGGGAAGTTCTCAAGCTTGGTTGCTTGGATACTTAGGCTTTGGTTGGCTTTGGGCTGGCTGATTGAAAGTGTACCACCTCACTCGATTTGCATTTGCATTTACATTTGCATAGGCATGAATTCCCAAAAACAGTGCCCTTTACTCACAGGATAGGGGCAAAAGGCAGGAAGAGGAAAAAAAAAACAAAAGAGGGAGAGGGAACCCGGGTTACAAAGACAAAAAGTCCATTGAGCACCTTACTTTTCATGGAAGAAGGAAAAAAACGATCCGTCAGTGCAAAGAGGAATTCTTGTCCTGGGGTACTCATTATCGTCTGTTCCTCTCGTTTTTTTTTCCTTCTACTTCATCCTTCTTGCGCGTGCGCTCCTGTTCCCATGTCGTTGTTTTTTGTTGCTGTTCGATGGGTTGTTCTGGTTCATCTCTTTTGGAGAGTCTCCCTAAGCCTTCCTCTGTCCCTGAACTCAATTGTTCCCGATGGGTGTGGTTCTGCTTGTTTTCTTTTATTAGTGGATTATCTCTTGCGCGAGTGCAAGAGTGATGCGATGGAAAGAATGCAATGTGTCGAGGCGACTGGTGTGTAGTTGGTGGTCGAGGATATGGTTTGATATTGTCAGGTCAGCTACCGGACTGCGCGTAGTGGTATCCACTATGCGTTCTCAGCAACCTCCTCCTCGCCTCCTTCCACCATCTCCTCGTCATCGTCTCTTGGTAACGCCTTAGCAATGATACTGAGCATCTTCTCACAATCATCCAGCGCAAACCGTTCCTCAAATTCCTCGATCACCTAAAAAAATCACAGGGAGTGTTCACAAAGATAACAAGTTAGTAAGCGTGTGATCCAATGGCTCCTGCCCTCCACTCCCTCTACATTCCTGTTCGGTCCAGATAGTTAGTTGCATATACGACGGTGACGCACGCGCACGCCGATCAACGACACCGATCGCAGTAAAGCCAACGAAGGAATTGATGTGGTAGAATAAAAGGCCTTCATCGATTTCTACGTTCGCACTACTCCCGATTTCACAGCGGTTGTTCATACTGTTGTAGCTGTTTGGTGTCAACTGTCTGTGTTTTTTTTTTTTTCTTTTTTTTTTTTTTTCGTGTTTGCCGGTACTTGTTCTGCTTGTCGCTGTTACAGATCATTCCACTTTCCCTGGTCACAGTTTTTTTCCGTTGCATGTTTTCTGTAATGAGATAGTTGTCTTACCAACAAGAGCTCAACGGCAGATTTCGGCCTGAGGTTCAAGATCTGCAAGAGCTCGACCTTCATGAGCTCATAATCTTTGAAAGCCTTCTTCAATTCCCGGATCTGATCCCCTGACTGTGTCGAACATGGCGATGCTGCAAGATATTTCTGAACCTATAGTACCGCACGTATGCATGTAGCCAAAAGGAAAAAAATAAAAAAAGGTCACTTTGTGAGTAAAAACGAGTCTGATCGTGGTAGTAAATACGGATGTTTTCGCGCTATGTCAGTTCATTCCCCCCCCCCCCCCCTCTGTCTATATGGCTATCGCTCCTCCTCCCGTCATCATCATCGCTCTTTGCTCTTCTCCTGCCTTAATGGTCTTCCAGTCGCGATACCTCACACCGACGCCATGTCCCCTTCCTATCCCCTGTTTCCCCTTCGTTCCTTTTGTGGCCACCACGACGACTCCCATTTGATAGTATTTACCTCAAACTCGACGGTACGCAGGTTCTCGGCAACTTCCCTCGTGCCGGCAACCTCGTTGGCGATCCGTTGTGCCTTCTGGTCGGCCAACAAGGACATCACCTCGTAGTTGCTGAGCATGGCTGAATTCGTCTGTAGGATCTCCATGCTGGTATATATATATATATGATGTATGTGTGATGAGGTTGTTTGTTTGTTGATGAGTCGTCCTTTGGGTCCTGATGGTTCTGATGGTTCTCGGTAGGGTGATGCTGCTGTTGAAGGAAACGTTTCTCTTTTTTTTTTCTTCCAAGAAGCAAGGCTGAGTCGAAGGTTGCTGGAAATTCAGCCACCAGCCAAACACGCAAGTCATGTGATCAATTGAAACTCGAAAGGCGGGAGCCCAAAAAAAAAAAAAAAAAAAAAAAAGTTGTGGGGTTGGGATTTTGTCTATTGAAAACTATTGATACATGTGAAAGTAGGGATCCCTGGGATCCCAGATTAAGAGAAATAAAAAAAAGACTTTACAGGTCCTTCCAGGCGTTCAAGAGGACATCAGTCTGCTTTGGCTCGCGAACAGCAATACGAACAAACGTAGGACGCTCATATCCAGGCTTGCCCGAACGGACAGGGACACCAGCAGCCTTAGCCAACTCAATAGCTTTCTCGGCAAGCTCAGCATCCTTCAGATCCGCCCACACCCAGCTCAGGTACGACTTGCCAAAGTATTCCCAGTTACGACCTCCAGCCAGGGTCTCAAGACGCTCAATCAACTGAGCACGGTAGATGGGGGTGACTCTCCAGGTCTCCTCGAGGTACTCCTTATCACGGACGACCTCGTCCAAGAAGGCCAATGCGGGGCTGTTGACGGACCAGGGGACCTGGATGCGCTTCAATTCGACGCAGTGCGAGACGGTGGGGCAAACAATCGAGCCCAGACGGAGTCCTGTGCAAGACCAGATCTTGGTCCAGGAGTGGATCACGTAAATCGAAATGTTGCGCTCCTTGAACGTCTTCTCCAAGAATTCGGTCTGGTTGGTCATCGAGTCCTCACGGAAGTGGGGTCCAACCCAGATCTGCATCGACTCGTCTATTTAGTGTTTTGTTTTCACGAGGAAAGAAGAAGTCGTTAATCATCTTGAAAATGAATGTTGCGAAAGCACTATCATATCTTTGCCCTTATCTCTATTTCATATATCCCGAGCCATGTTAAATATCATCATTGAAGAGCGCTGAATGTCAAAGCCGAAAGCAGCAAGGAGAGATGAACTTACCGATGACGACGACTCCATTGTCCTGAACGTTATCCAAGATCCAGGTCTTCAACTCGTCAATGGACTTGTAATCTCCGGTAGGGTTGCAGGGGTTGACGATGCAGACAACGTTGGCCTTATCGTCGCCCTTGGGTGAGAGGATATCACGGCCGTTGGTCTCTGCCGATCTCTGGTACTCCTTGTACTATTATGCCAGATTGAAAAAAAATAAGGAAAAGTTAGTAATTGTTATCATTTTGTTGTTTTCTCGTTAACTCACGAGATAGGAAAAGAAACGAAAGTTGGAGTCAAAAAGAAGAGCAAAGCTGATCTGAGCCCTGATCCGCTGAATCACATCTTTCTTTTTCCCATTTCCTCGTGTGAGTTTCTTGGTTCGAGTGTTTGGTCTTGTTTTGTCTTCCTGGACTCACTCGAGCAGGCCATGAGAACTCTTTTCTTTTCTTCTCCCCCAAAAGCCTTGCAGAATCGATTTCTCACAATCCAATTTCCACATGCAGAAGAAAGAAAAGACACGCGTCTCTCCACCGAGCCATCGAATAGAAAAAAAAAAAATGAAAAACACAGCGAACAAGCGGACAAAGAAAAAAAAAAAACATGCCAAACACCTCTTCTCTCAGAGTGCACTTCGCAATGTTCCCCCACGGAAACCTGTCCTTCTTTCGCATATCCTGTTGGTATGCTTCATTCTAGCTAAACAAAAGATCCAAGTACATACCTGGACATCCCAAGGACCAGCCTTCCAGGAACCCTGAGGAGCAGATCGGATGACGAGATCGATCAACTCAGAGGCACCGTTACCGAGCAAGAGACGCTCGCTGTTGGTCTGCCATGCCTCGGGCCAAATCCACTCAGCCAACGACGACTTTGCGGGCTCCTGGTTTGCAGGGGGGTAGTGGTGGCAAGTGGCGACCTATATTTTTTCATATTGGTTGTAAATACAATAGTACGTTAGAGCTCTTCTTTTCTTGACATACATGGGAAACGCAAATACAAACAAGCGTTGAATGTAATATGATCCGAGAATCTCCTTTTTTCGATGTAACGAAGAAGAGAAAGACGAACGTACGGCATCACGAGCGGCGTTGATGGCCTTGACAGGGGTGCCGAGGCAGTTGGTGGTGACGGAAAAATCTTCGACAAAGTTGTTGAGGAACTTCCAGTCCTGGCCTCCGTGGAACTGCTGGGTCTTGGTGTCCCAGACGGTAGTGTTTGCGGCGGGTGTGGTAGTGGCGGTCATTTTGGAGGAGTGGTATATGTGGGATGAGTGCAGGGGAGCGAAGGATGAAATAAGAAAAAGAGGAAAGAAAGAAAGAAGAAGAAGTAGAAGAAGAGAACAGAATGAAGGATGAAGGATGAGTTTAAAAAAAAAAAAAAAAAAAAAAAAAAGGATGAGAATGAAGATGAGGATCTTTGTTGGGGGAGAACGAGGAGTGCAGGTGGAAAGTCAAGAGTTCGTTGAGCAAGGGAAAGAGAAGGGAGAAGGGACGTGTTCTGTGCGAGACCTAATTGGCTCAAGACAACAACAAGCTCCTTTGCGGCTGATAAACTCGTAGCCATTTTCCACCAGGCAGAGGAGGATTGCCTTTCACACGCATGTCTTCATATGTCCATAGCACAACCACTGGCTGGAATCGCATAGATTTGATAGCTATAACAAGATAGACATGAGGCAAGGGCCATCGTCTACATACCTACTGACAATGTACTGTACACATAAACGAAGTAGGGCACATCCAAGTACATGTACTGTACGATAGAAACCCATACAGAACCGTGAGGAAGGGTGCCTGTTCGATGAATCAATCAATGTCCAATCAGATTTGATCAATTGATAGGCAGAGACTGCCTTTCTCTCTCACGAGGTGATATGTGCCTGAAACCCTAAAAGCGAGTTCTGTAGCTGGTGTGTGTAGGGAACGAGATCGGATGGCAGTGAGTGCAATGGGTGATGTTGGTGCGAAAAAGCAAAGTATATTGTTGGCGTAGTTTCTCTCTTTATTGTCGACGGCAACATGTTCGTAGCGCCATAGCATATGAGCTAGACTGGGATACTAGACTAACACTGTGGTAGGTACCTGGTTTATGACGAGACTATGGTCGCACACTAATAAAAGAATTCTTGGTATGAACTCTCTAACCACAGGGGCACCATAAAAAAAAAAAAGTAAAAGCACAAAATGAGGCGTGAGATTTAGGGGAACTAGTATCGAATCCATCCTTCGTGACTAAGGGGAACGTGGGCGCAAAGGCGATGCCACCGAAAACGACACGCTGTCAAAATGAAAACTGATGGTGTGCTCAATTTTATTTTATTTTTCGTTATGGCCTGGCAGAGGAGGAATGAGAGTATAAAGGGATGGACACGTAGCAAAGAAAGATGGAGTTGAACAATGAAAAAAAAGGGAGTGAGCACAGGTAGCTTGCACACAGACGACATAGTCCAAATATAAGGAAAGAGAGAGATCTTGATGTGTGGTGGTGGTGGCGAATGGACGATTGAACGCTGTGTTGGAGTCTTGAACGGCAGAGGCGGAGAGAGTACAAGACGGCGACGAAGTAGGAGAAAAGAACGAGGATGGTGAGAGATGAGCGAGTGGGTTGCTAAAAATACATCTCAGATCCCCTCGCCAGTCGCCACATATAACGTTGGCTGTCAAAAGCAGGGCTCCCTTCGACTTGGAGGTCTGTAATTTGATAAGAAAAGTAAAAAAGAAGGTGCGGACACTAATTATTATTTTAGGGCGATGGGTAATGAAATGAATTGAGCGGGCGGGTTGGATGGATATGGAAAGTGGTTGAGTTTAACAGAAGAGGGAAAAGACAGAGGAGGAGGAATGATATAAGGAGGAAAGCGGGAAAGAGCAATGAAGAAAACGTAGACTATGTGAGAGTGAACAAAGGGGGTGGCCAGCATGGTTGATGAGGTATGGATGGATACACACTAGAAAAGGGATCAGTAATGGAGAAAGTGATCAGTGGCCACTTGCTAGCCAGTGATTGATCGCAGCACACCCACACGCTCCAAGACAAGTACAGACCCATATTCAATTGAGTGCAATAATTCAATTTAATACAACAGCCCTCTGGCCACAAAAGGCTCCTTTTTTCTTTCTATTTCTTCTTCCCTTCTACTTTCATCATCTCTTTTCATCTTTCTTCATCAACCAACTCCTACCCCTCCATCACTCTCCTCAATCCTCTTCTCACTTCTCTCTCTATCTCTCTTCTCCCCTTTTTACCCCGCGCCCAACACATACATACATCATGAAGGCCCTTATTCTCGTCGGTGGTATGCTTCTTACTTTTCTCATGCACACTCATCGCGCGCTTTTTATGTCTCTGTTACTGCTTGAGCTTGTGTTTCCCACACTGCTATTGACACTCTTTGCCTTTGTTTCCTCACCTCTTTGTGCCATAGGTTTCGGTACCCGTCTGCGTCCTCTTACCTTGACCATGCCCAAGCCCTTGGTTGAGTTCGCTAACAAGCCCATGATCCTCCACCAAATCGAGGCCTTGGCCCAGGTATGCCTTTATCTTTTATATGAACAATGAGTCGGGTGCTAACAGCCAGCACTTGCTCACTCAGTCTCAGTCGTGATCCGCTCATCTCGACAGAAACACTTACACATACACCCACGACAAGTCGGACCACAAAGGAGATCTCAGATGAGCAAACAGAAATGAATGAACTGGTCATCTTACATCGCGACCATCACCACTGCCTCAGGAGAGACAACAATACGAGTCTATAAGCAGAACAAAAAGGCGAATGATTATTCTCAGGAAGTGAAGAACAGACCAGTAGCGAGCAACAGCAACAGCAATCCTTCATTTTCTTTCTTTGCCAACTTGACACTAAACCCATACCTGCATTGTTTTGTATTGTATCTTTAGGCTGGCGTTACTGATATCGTTTTGGCTGTCAACTACAGACCTGAGGTCATGGTCTCCATCCTCCAAAAGTACGAGGAAATCTACAATGTCAAGATCACATTCTCGGTCGAGACCGAGCCCCTCGGCACAGGCAAGTTGTTCTCTTTTTTTTGTTTTGTTTTATTTCTAGTCTCATTCTCCTCTTTCGTTTCTTGTGTCTTGCTCTTGTTCATTCTCGATCCCCATTTGGGGGATTGATATGTGTGGGTGAACATTACAGGGATGCAGAATTAGAAGGAAGGAGTCTAAGAGTGAGGAGGAGGGCCATTCAAGCATACACTGTCTTTTGTTGATAAGACATAGCACTTGTTCTAGTCGATTAACCAAACCTCTCATGCATTCTCTCCTCTCATTGCCCCTCCTTCGCCTTCTTTCGCCCCTTTTTTGCTATCATTCTTCCTACTTTTATCTTTTCTTCCCTCCTTCGTCGATCTTGTTGGTTCAATTGTTTATAGCCGGTCCTTTGGCCCTTGCTCGCGATATCCTCGGCAAGGACGACTCTCCCTTCTTTGTCCTTAACTCTGATGTCATTTGCGATTTCCCCTTCCACGAACTCAAGGCCTTCCACGAGGCTCACGGCAACGAGGGAACCATTGTGGTACGTTGGACAGAACCAAATCAGACACGATTATGCCATGCATTTTGTTTTTCTTATTTATGTCGAGATTCTTGATTTCTTGCCATCGATAAGGCGATGGCCGCATTGACAGCAAAAACAAACAACAGTTGCCCAACATGGGTCTAGGCAAAAAGGAAAACAATGGCCAATGTGGAAACAAAACTGGAGAGCTGATCTTTACCCTCTCGCTCTGTCTGTCGCCGACTGTTTGTCTCGGTTATTTTTAAAATAGGTCACCAAGGTCGAGGAGCCCTCAAAGTACGGTGTCATTGTCAACAAGTCAGAGAGCTCGATGATCGACCGCTTCGTCGAGAAGCCCGTCGAGTTTGTCGGCAACAAGATCAACGCTGGTATCTACATCTTCAACCCTGCTATTCTGGACCGTATTGAGCTCAAGCCCACCTCGATCGAGCAGGAGACCTTCCCCGCCATGGCCGCTGACCACCAGCTGCACTCGTTCACGCTCGAGGGCTTCTGGATGGATGTTGGTCAGCCCAAAGATTTCTTGACCGGTACCTGCCTCTACCTCGCCAACGTCAACAAGTGCAACCCCGGTGCCCTTGCTAACCCCAACTCTGGTTACGTCCACGGCGGCAACGTCCTTGTCGACCCCACTGCCAAGATTGGAAAGGACTGCCGTATTGGACCCAACGTCGTCATTGGACCCGGTGTTGTGATTGGTGACGGTGTTCGTCTCCAGCGCTGTGTTCTCTTGGAGGGCTCGTCTGTCAAGGATTTCGCCTGGATCAAAAACACGATTGTTGGCTGGCACTCGACGATCGGTCGCTGGGCCCGTTTGGAAGGCACGTCAGTATTGGGCGACTATGTCACTGTCAAGGATGAGATCTATATCAACGGAGGATCGATCTTGCCACACAAGTCCATCTCGGCCAACATCACCGAGCCTCAAATCATCATGTAGAAAAATCAACACCAAAAAACGAAAAAAAAACAACATAACAAAACAAAAGCGGGTCTTTTTTATTATTATCATTTTCTATTTTTCCTTTTCATTTTCTTTCGTTACGAGTCTCTCGTTGTCTAATATTCTCTCACTAATGCAGCCTTTCCTTCCCATCCATACACATTCACCATCCTCTTCAATGAATAAAAACATTCCAAAAAAAAACGCGAACTGATCATTTACTCTGTTGACGCGGTGTAATTGCGATTGACTGATAAGCTGATCAATCCATCATCATCAACGTGTCATACGTGTCGCCTTTTAATTTTCCACCAAACGTCAACAAACGCCTTCTTTTTCCTCCTCACCACCTCCTTTCCCTTCGCTCCCATTCACCCCTTTACTATTTCCGTGGACGGGAAGGCGGACGCCTAAAATAAGAGATAGGGCAGAGGTAAGTTACGACAAAACACTTTTGTTTGCTCATCGCCATACATTCTCTAAGCTAAAGCAAACAAAAACGAACGGATCGATTGAAGGATCGATAAACTCGTTGCATAACGTGCTGGATTTTTATTATCTAGTGCCCTCCCCACCCTGGTGCGACCCTATCCGCCGCCCTCCTCCTCCTCCTCCTCCTTCAAGTCTACTGGAGGTGCGACCCTATCCACCCGCTCTTATAATTTTCGATTCCTAACGTCAAGACGCGGGATCGTACTGTTTTGTTGGTGGCCGAGAAATCGTGGAGTGTCCTTAATCTACTGGAGACACGACCCTATCGGCCTTCAAGTTTCTTTTTATTCGAGGTCAAAGAACTGGATGTGGAGTATTGGGCTGGAATGGGACTGGGGCGGGATGGGGGAGGACGTTGTCGATACAACGCCGAAGAAATCTTTAAGAACAGAGTGGCGAGCCCCGAGATGGAAGGGAGGTAGGTTAGAGGTCGTTGGCATTTGACCTTTGAGTTGTTGCTGAGCCCTGGGGTGGAGGTGGAGGTGGTTGGATGGACCATTGGACGAGTTTGTATTAGTGGCCATTGGAGAGCAAGGAGATGAGATAGGGGCCTTGTGCCAATGATATCGCAGTTGTTGGTCGTTGACCAAACCAAAGCTTATGCGTTAAAGGATTAGAAGGGTCAGTTGTCAATTATGGGATGTGCAATTAGAGAAATTCGACAGGTGACCTGTGCCCATCCCCTTGACGACAGTTGAAGCCCAGCTGGTCTTTTCTTGTTCTCCCTTTGTGCCGTGTCCCAAATTCACACATCCAGAGACTCCTTCCTCTTTTTTCACACTTTCTTTTTTCCTTTTTTTTCAGCCTTGGTTCATCTCTACACAATCACCTCTCCTTCACGACAACCTCGAACCAACTAAGCAATGTCATACTCGGACACAGACGACGCAAGCACAAAGGACGTGCTTCAACCTCACACCCCTCCTCCACCCGCACTCGAGCCCTACATGGCCTTCACAACCATCCCGCGTGCTGCCCCCGGAACCACCTGCTGTAGCATCTCTACCCTCCTCCACAACAACCACACCACCCTCCTCGTCACCTCTGCCACCAAGGTCGCCGATGGCCTCACCGCTACCGCCTTTGTCACCTATACCATCAAAGTCGGGGTATGCTTTTGCTTTGTTTTATTGTTTAGTTGTTGCTATTGACAAGAGTAAGCACAGGAACAGGAGGAGGGGGAAAGGACGCCAAGCAATTGTTTGGCACTGACAACAACGACAGCGTAATAACCCACCCATATATGACACACTTTTGCTTGTGAACGCAATAGGATAATGAGGTGAAGAGACGTTACTCAGAGTTCGAGTCATTGCGAAAGGTGCTCTGCAGGATTTACCCAACGTTGATTGTTCCTCCCATCCCAGAGAAGCATTCCATTTGTAAGTTCCTTTGACATTTTTTTTTCGCCTATGACATTGTTTACTCTACCCGTTTTGTTTTGCTTTTCGCAACATGTAAGACAATGCTATCAATTGAAGAGAAAAGAAAGACGCTAACGGATATGTATACACTCGTTCATATGATAGCCAACTACGCCAATATCCAGAACAAGAGCAAGGAGGATGCCGCGATGGTTGAGAAGCGCAAGCGCATGTTGCAAAAGTTCCTGAACAGACTGGCCAAGCACGAGATCTTGTCCTACGAGCATGTGTTCCATCGCTTCTTGGAGACGGGGGTTTCTTGGGTATGTTTTGCCCTTTTTCCAGTTCATCGACCAGTCCGAGAGAGATTGTTCCTTTTGCTGGTTTTGCTTACCATTGAGACGTAACGAGACTAAGTTTTACGCTAACACCGCATTTATTTCTATCGCCTTTTCCTGCCCAACAACTGATAGACCGAGTTGATGCATTCACCTCCTATCTCGACGCTGCCCAAGAACGCATTGAACGCGACTTTGACAGCCAGCTCATCTTCAGCCAATCTCCTTCGACAGGGCTTTGACCAGCCCCCTTCACCTTCAGCTTCATCGCAGTCATCTCCAGGACTTGCTGGATCTACAGGACATCCTGGTGGAGTTCCTCCTGAAATCCTGAGGGAGCCCAACCCTCGCTTTATTGATAGCGAGGTCTTCACCCAAAAGTTCTCCAACCAGTTGTCAGGAAGCATGGATCGCAGCCAAAAGAAGGTCGTCCGCAAACTTGGAGGTGAGTTATCGCCAATGTTGAACTGATGATATGCTCTTCCGACCGTCGAGTACTTCATGGATTGTGTTTACTGATATGGCATGTTTTTTGCAATGCTACATGTAATCAGAAATCGCGAATGACAACTCGGATTTGGGCGCGACATTGAACGGATTCAGTTTGAACGAGTCGGATTGCGTTCCTCTTGCCAACGCTATCGAAAAGATTGGACAGGCCGTCGACTCGAGCTTCATGGCTACAACTGCATTGGTGAGTTTTCATCACCAATACATCTTGCGCAAAGTTGTATAAAGCCAAGATGAATCTAGGATTAACATTGTCCCTACCCGTGTCATAATAGATGCAAGCACTGGAGATCAATGTCAACGAGCCGATGCAAGAATATGTTCAGTATGCCAGCATTATCAAGGCAATCCTCAAATTCAGACACCAGAAGCACATTCAGTCCGAGAGCACGGCCGATCAGCTGGAGGCCAAGAGGAGTTCATTGGATAATTTGGAGCGTATGGAAACTGAAGCCAAGAGGATCGAATCTGCACTAAACAAGGGCGAGCGCTCAGGATCCACTGGTGGTGCTCAAACCAACAGCAACAACAACACCACCACCTCGGGAACTGCTGCTCGTAACGAGACGGCTACTCTTAACGACGATGAACATTCGATCTCTGAGGAAGGGACATTCACGAACGAACCTGAGAGTATCCACACGTCGACTGAGATTGGAGATGAGGCTGCCGACTTTAACCCCTATGCACGCACGTCCTCAACATCAGCACCAAAGGCTGCGGAAGCGGACTCGTCGAATGGACATGTGGATACGACAGCCAGCCCCTACGCCCAGCTGCCTCCTGCCAACCCTTATGCCACCACCCACTCGCCCCCTTCCAGTGCTTCTGTGAAGCGTCGTAGCACGCGTTTGAACGTCTTCAGTGCGCTCAGCCATACTCTCCATAGTATCGTCGATGTCGACCCTGAAGCCACCCGCCGTAACAACATTGGCAAAACCCGCGACGCCATCGTACAGGTTAGTCCTCTTCATTTTTTGGGTATTGGGTTTTTGTCGCTCGATAGACATTTATTTTCCCTTTCTCCGCCAGAAGTACTGAACATGCCTAATGTATTTTTCCTGCATGATATTTTAGTTGGAGGAGCAGTTGGAGACAACGAACTCTGACTTGGACAAGATTTCGCGTGCGGTTCAGGGCGACTTGGACCGGTTCCAGTTGCAAAAGACCAAGGACCTTCGGGACATTTTGCTCGCCTACGCTAAAGCCCATCAAAAGTGGTGCCAAAAGGTAAATATATGTTTTTTTTTAACTTTGTTCTACCTTCTCCTTTTCATCCGGTACAAGTTGGAGCGGCATTACTCACCCATGTTTTGGTTTTCGTTTTATGATGAATTAGAACTTGGGCTCGTGGCAGGAGGCAAAGGATAATGTTGAGCAAATACCAGTTTAAAGACAAGGATACACCCGACGCAAACAACGCGACCCACATTGTAGTAATTTTTGAAGGCATAAGTAATGCTCATCAAACATAAAAAAAAAAAAATACAATCAAGAAAAAGAGTTTTCACAAATTACGTGTTTTTTTTTGTTTTTGTTTTTTTTCTTTCTTTCTGCAGTTTATTTTCTGTGCGTGCAGAGCAAGTTGTGCTCAAGAAAGAAAAAAAAAAAAGAGAGGACGGGGAATGTACTGTACGTGGATCTAAAGAAAAAGTAGCAAACTAGATGGAGGTGGTATCACGCATGTCGTCAGAAAGGTACTTTCGACAAGCATTATACTCCTTATCAGAACTCCACCCCTCGGCCTTCACAATCGTCATCACCAGCTGGCCGGCCCTACATCCTACTCTCACTAGCGCCCTTCCCAGGAACAACCTCAATGCCCTCCCGGGGGGCGTCACCTGTGCGGAGGACAGAGCCAACCTCCTGATAATGGGTTCTAGTTCATCCTGGCCCTTGTACGAATGCCCATCTAGGTGGAAGAACAAATTCGGCGAGAGCTTGACCACATTTGCGGCCATTGTGAGTTGGGCGAGTCCGAGACGCTTACAGATCTTGTTGAGCTGCGCCAGATCCTGATCCCGGTATACAAAAAGGTGTTGATCGCCCAACATGGAGGAGTTGACGGACCCGGGCCAGACGGCAAAGATTTCTGTTGATGTGAGCTCGACGAGGAGGGCGAGGGGTTCGATATCGGATGTGGGTTTGTAGAGGAGGTCTTGGAGATCTGGAGAGGAGATGAGGAGTTTGTTGGCTTGGAGGATGGATTCTTTTGTGGAGTTGTCGTGCATGGTTATGTCGGATGTGGAGGAAGGGTTGGGAGATTGGGATGTTGAGGCGTTTGGGTTGTTGGATGAAGAGTGGTCGTTGGCGTTGTTTGGTGGTTGGTGTGAGAAGTACGATCCTCCTGACGTATCCTTGGGGTACCCGGTCGGAACTCCAGAAGCCACCGCAACAAGCTGCTGCGACTGTGAAGCACCCGATGGCGTTGGCGACGAAGTTACTCTGCCCGCACCATTCCCGCGCTGCATATTCGAAGAAGACGCGACAAACTCCCGCCACCCCTTGACCATCACATGCTTGACCTTGATGTTCTTCAACACCATCGTCACCTCTGGTTTGATTCTCTCCTCCGGCCGCGTCGGGAATCCCGAATATACATACTCTGTCCCCAACGACAACTTGGAGACCAAGTTATTCAACTTGAAGTACCGGGCTTCTTTGAGGAGGTTCATCCGATGGATCCTATCGCGGATGGGGATCTCATACCCCTGGAGATGGGAGATGATATCCTTGAAGAGGTCTGGGGATCGACAGAAGTACGTGGGGGTTAGGTTTCGATCGGAGAAGGGTTCGAGGAGGCCGAAGAAGTTGGGCGAGTCGTTTAGGATTGTTTCTCGGGAGACTTTGAAGAGTGTCCCGCTCACGTTTATGAACCTATTTCGTTGTTTTGAAGTTGAGTGAAGGAAGGATGGAGAGGATAGAAGAGTAGGTGGATGAATAAAGTCAGTGAAATGCAGCATAAATGAGAGCGAAAATAATTATCCGGGATAATAAATGGCGTCAACGACCTCTCCAATTAGACGACTATACATGTCCTCCTCCATCTCAGTTCACAAAACTCCAAAGAAAAACAGGCAACACAGAACAAAGAGCCTACGTTGTCTGGCGAAGGTTCTCGACGAGCCGTTTGAGTTTAAAAAAGTGGGCGTCCATGACGAGGTTCTCGAGGTGGACTTCATCCCGGGCGGCAACATAGTACCCCTGCATGTGTTTGATGATGTCCTTGAACACGTCAGGGTTGCGGTTGATGTACAGTACGCGAGAGTTGTATTCTTCCCTGTGTGGGTTCATGAACACTAGAGGTGAAGGTTATAAGATGAGGGAAAGTATAGACAGTCGTTAGATGGACTTGAGAACGGTCGCATTTTCGAGATGTGGATATCCATATATCAGCGAGGGAAATAGTTGAGTGACCAGTTGATAATAATATAGGGGTGTAAGAGGGGTGGATGGTTACCATCGGTAAAGAAGTTGGGAGAGTCGTATTGGAGGGCAGAGTGGCTGAGGAGAAAGTTCTCGCCCGAGACGTTGACGGTGTAGAACAACCGTGGGTCGGACGTGACCAGTGGTGGTAAAGGCTTTGGAGCCGAAGATATCGACATTTTTTTTTGTTGTTGTTATGGCGTGTGTCCTCCTGTTGTGGTAGTGGTGGTAGGTGTCCCTGTGCTCCTGCTGGCAAGAAGAAGTAGCGTCGCGGTGGTTGATGTCGTTCGGTTGATGGAGGATGTAATTCGACTTGGGTCCTGCAGAGATGTGTTGATGTGTTGATGAGATGTGTGAAGAAGAAAAAAGGGTTTGCGAAAGGGTAAAGGTAAGAAAATGGTGGCACATGTGGCTTCTGTGGCTTGGGCATCACAAATAAAATCAATGTTGAAAAAGTAGATCGGTCAGCAAGTAGAAATGCGTCCTCAAAGATGCAGGCGTCGCGTTATCTACAGTGGGGCGAAGGAGTTTCTTAGGCTCACGCGGGAACTATCAGTCGAAGGAGGGTCAAGGAACCATAGGAGCGGCAAGCGGGTGATTTCTTTGAAATGAGACCGGCAGGTATAAACATGTATAACGTCGCGCCTCGACTCGTTCTTGTCACACTACCAACCCGAACACACAATTACACAACGTTGTTAGCCCCCCTTCTATGAACCTCCGGAGGTCTGGACAGGAAGGGATCTTCAAATAGTTTATCCAAGTGGTCGGCATCATAATTATTCCTTGCACCTCGTTTTCTCCTGCTTTCCTTGCTCTCCTTCATCAAGCACAATAAACGACCACCATTGATAGCCGTTTTGTTGACCTGCTAAAAAGCGAGGGGAGGGAGGAGGACGTGTCCACATTTTTTAACATCTTTAATGGTACGTCTATCTTTGTATGTGGGGTACGGATAATGACTGAGAAAAAAAAAGTGAACAAAAAGTGTGAGAGAAAAGGATCGCTCATTGTATTTTCAAGTCCCTTTCGACATTGCCAATGATGTCGCTAGGACCATCTTTTTCCTATTCCTTATCTTGTTCCAGCGCCAGGGTTAAAAAGTAAGTGACCAAAATAAGGAAGGTCCAAGTACTCGGAAATTTTGAGCGAATGAAACCTGGGGACGCCAGGTTGTCTTTCACAAGGAGATGAGGGATAAGGGTGAAAGAGGAAGGAGACGTTCATAGCACCATGATTACGCAACTGTCGAAAGAGCAAGAGGCTGGACCCTTGAAAGAACAGAAAAAGGGCGCCAGGAGAAAAAATGAGTAATGAACAGTTGTATTGTCAGGGGGAATAAAGAAGGAATGGAGAAAGCTGTGGCACGGTTTGACCGACTTGTCTGTTTGTTTGTTCACATGGAGAAATGAGAACGATCGGAGAAAACTCATTATGATGATGATGGTGGTTTTAGATACTTCATCTTCCCACTTCGTTCCTTTCATTGACGCGTCGGATGGCGACCCGACATAACACATACGTTCGTCCCTATCCACTTCTCCATCCTTTGCTGCCGGACACCAACCAGCGACCAAGTAGCTTAGATATCAAATGATCAGGGAGAGATACCAATGGAGTTTTCTGTTTTCCGTGTTCAAGACTGGCACACATACCTGTCTTCGACACGTCCTTTTACCTTTTGCTTGTATGTCTCTCGTTGAGACATCGGTTTCCACGCCAGAACTAGGGTAATTCTGTTCCCAGAAAAGTAGGCGAAAGAATGACCGAGATATACTTGCAGTCAGAGGAGTGCGGCGCCGGAAGAATGAGTAAAATGGAGGACATCTCTCTCTTCTTTTTCAGACGAAAAGGAACAATGAGGTTCCTTTTACATCTATAGGTGCACGCCTCAAAACGCCCACCGTCCGCATCAGTTCGTCCGTCGATTACTGTCCAGAAACCTGCAGAGAAACAACAGAGCTATCCACCAGCGGAAAAAAAAGAGATGAAAAAACAGCCATCGTTCGCAAAGACTAGCTGCCGAAGGAGCAAAACCTAACTGCAAAAGCTTCCAGCAATGTTACTTTGACTTTGGGAGGCATAGCACGGTCTTTGAGTGTAAAATCAAGCTAGAAAATATAGTTGCCTCTGAATGTATGAGTCTATGGCCCTATGGACCCTCTCATTCCCCTGTTCCTTCCTGACAAGTAAATCCCTAGTACACTACCAAAGACACCGGGAACAAGACGAAGGTCAAAAACGAAATGGGAGGAGGAGGAGTCAAAGTACTCCGATAAAGTGGAGAATGGGCAAGTTTTCTTTTTGTTCTTTTCGGGACCTGTTATGTGTATAAGGTTGTCTCGTAGACACAAAAGAGTTCAAAGGATGGGTTTGGGCCTCTAGGGTATTTGCACAGTGACGACCCGGTGTTGAAGCATAAATCCGGAGAAATCCATGCAGGCAAAGACTCTGTCGTCGCCTCTCCCTTCTGAATGATAAGTTGTGTCAAAAACGGTTGAAGGAAGGATAAATGAGAAAAGGATATTCTTCGGCCCAGAATGAGTGGAGAGAGCAGTATGGTTGCGCTTATGCGTTTGAAGAAAGAAAGGAAGAACGCGTGTGTGAGAGAAGAAGAGAGGATAGAGGCTTTTTGGTGCTTTAATTCTATGTTACTGTTAGGCCTGCTCTCCGACCTTGATTATTTTATGATTGCCATAGTGCACTGATTGAGTTGAGTTGAGATGAGAGGAATGTTCCTTTTGGTGTCACAACGGGTCCTGGTTGTAGCTCACCCTTTTTTATCCTCGATGCTGGTAACTCGCTCCCTGTTGCTCATGTTACTGGTACCGACAATCCCTATTTTCAGACATCCAGTCTGGATGAGGGGCTTATTCTTATTCTTGTCCCTCGCCAAATCCCTGACATGGGTCAAAATATTGCTCGTTTCGTTGACCGTTTCTATCACTGGTGACAAGAGGACAAGGGTGCGAGCAGAAAAGGATTAAAGGGCTAGATCGTGAAAAGGACAGTTGACAATAAACAACGATGTCATGCATGAAAGCATGTATTATGTTTGTGTTCAACAGGGACTATAAAATCAAAGGGAAGGAGCATGAAAGTTATTGACAATCGAGAAGAACGAAAAAAAAAGGTTTCTTCTTTGGTTGTACAGGATGTGGGAGAATAAGGACGTACCTTGCGCATAGTATCTATCCTTCCAATGGATGCGAGAGAGAGAGAGAGTTGGCGTTGAGAGTGTAGCCTCAAGAGCATTGTAAAATGAATGTTGTGGGCATGAGTGAAGGGGAAGAATGGAGGGTGAGGAGAAAGAGAGAGAGAGAGAGTTGGCGTTGAGAGTGTAGCCTCAAGAGCATTGTAAAATGAATGTTGTGGGCATGAGTGAAGGGGAAGAATGGAGGGTGAGGAGAAAGAGAGAGAGAGAGAGAGGGTAAGCTAGCGCGATGAGCTGTGATGGCTTATGGCAACAGGTGATTTTATCAATTAGGACGCGTGCCTGCATTTGCATATAAGTTTTTGCATGAGCTTGCCGTAGTCGTGGGAGTGACCATGGCTGTTGCCCTAAAGACTGTGGGCTAGTGAACCTGACCGCAGTCGACAATTATCAGTCAATTAGTCAATCAGTCAATCAGTCAATCAGTCAATCAGTCAAGCAGTCATTCGATCAATTCAATCAAAACGCCAAGGGGTATAAAAGAGCGTGTTTGCCTAGTGTTTTTTTCCTTTTTCATATCTATCACATTGTTTTATCCTCCGCAAGAACAACACGATCCAATTGGTGTTTGGTTGCTCACTCCATTATCTCACTCACTTGCCACCCATACCCATCCCTCTCTCTCTCTCTCTCTCATTTTTATTTTCCCTCTTCTTCTTCGCTTCGTCACCCCCTCTCTTTTGCTCTTGCCATTCTTTTATCCTCTTTCCCCTACTCTCCCACCCTCTTTCGCGGGCTGTACATACCAATTATATTCATATTCGCTTCCTGACCTTCCTCTCATCGCAACAGCTGTTTTCCTTTTCTCCTTCCATTCACACCACTCACTCACTCCTCTCTCGGCCTTGTTTAACGACGACAAACTCAACTTTGTTTACATCCGTACTCTCTGTCGTCGTTCTTTCTCTCCTCACTCTTCCTACATATAACGACTTCAACCCTGCCTTTCTAAACGACAATCACACACAACGACATTCACACACACCCATCCAACTAACAAAGCAACCAGGAACGAAGGCAACCAACAGCAACAACGACAACAACGCTACTCCCTTCCACTGGTAGTCAGTTATCGCCACGAGTGGAGAGTTGGTCAACAGGAATAAGCTTTTACCTTCCCCCTTTTTTTTAGTTCGCTCGTACCCTGCAACACTGTCTACCTCTGTCAGTCAACAACAAAAGAAACCAACTACCACACCACTACAACGACAACAGCCATCAACAACAACACTCAAACCCATACAAAATGGCAAAGCATAGCGCAACCAAAGCCCGTCCACCACAACAGCCCTCTCAGGCACAACGGCAAGAGTCAGAATCTGGCACCGACCATGACCATGACCATGACGACACTATCGACCACGACCACGACCAAGAGGACAACGAGAACGACAATGACAACGACAATGACAACGACCAAGAAGACAACGATACCCAGCAACAGCAAGCGGACGGATCAGCACCCATCAAGCGCAAACGCCTCACACAGGCATGCGATCCCTGTCGAAAGAAAAAGATCAAGTGTGGTAAGTCTTCACACCTTGTTTGTTTTTATCAATTGGTTTCTCTGTTAACGAATTGGTGGCAACACACACATAAACACCCTTCCTTCGTCTTGCAACAGCAACAACAACTACTGTTGGACACTATAGAGGATGAGTTTGCGCAATTGCAAAGATCGGGTTCCCTAATTCGCTTCTTTAACCACACAACAAGAACATACATACAACAACAACAACAAGAACATATATACACAACTCCCCAACGACCCTGACAATACTACACCCCTCGGAAGCAAGCCCGTCGACCCTAACCCCATAACGTTCGTGACTCCCTCTTACTCTTTCCTATCCGCTCTCTCTCGCTCTGTCTGCGCTTTCCCCAATAGATGGCCTCAAACCCAGTTGTGCAAACTGCGCAAAGCTGGAGCTGCAGTGCACCTATCTTCCGTCACTCAAGAAGCGTGGCCCGCGCCAGGGGTATATCGAACTGCTTGAGAAGCGGCTCGACAAGATGGAAAAGATGCTCCAACACGGCCCAGGGGCCATTGACCCGGACATGCTCGACCCTCCCTCGGGCCACCGCCCTGGTGCAGACGCAACCAACAACGACGGCATTAATTCGGATAAACGGACCGGTGATCACCGATACTTTGGCAACACCTCTGCTCTTTCACAATATCATGAGCTTAAGACAACCCCGCCTGCCTCACTCACAGGAACCACTGCAGGAGCACAGATCAGATCCAAGCGACCCATCTACGGCATTAGGGACGAAATCCCCCGCAAGGACATTCTCGACCATCTCGTCACTCTCTTCTTCGACTCGGTCTACTACCAATTCCCCATCATCCACCCCGATACCTTTATGAAGCAATACAGAGAAGGCAAGGTCTCGCCCAACCTCCTCAACGCCATCTGCGCCGGTGTCGCCCGCTTCTCCAACCACCCCGACGTTGTCACCACTCCCGCCTTCCTCGCTGGAGAGCCCTTTGCCACTAACGTTCGCAGCGCCGTCATTGACTCAATTGATATACCCACCGTCTCCAACGTCCAGGCGCTCTTGTTTCTCTCCATGTACGAGTACGGCGCCGCACGAGGACCCCGCGCTTGGATGTATGGCGGCATGGCCATTCGAATGGCTCTCGAACTCGGACTCAACCGCGAGGATAGTAGCCCAGTCTTTTACCTCAAGGGCGACTGGGTCATGCGGGAGACGCGCCGAAGGGCTTTCTGGGCTTGCTTCATCATGGACGTCCTTGCCTCGTCTTCTTCAGGTCGCCCCAGGATGATGGACGAAAGAGACTGTGAGGTCTTGTTGCCGAGTGAGGACAATGCCTGGCATGAGGCTCGACCCGTCGTCACCGAGATGCTCCAGGAGGACGAGGAACCCACTTCAGCTACCTCTGAGGGCTCGTCGTGCAAATCCGCTGCCATGGATCTGGGCAAGGACGACCTGCCTGGCGAGGACCTCTCTGGCAATGAGCGCCGTGATTCAACTACTAATGGGGACTCCTCTCATAAGGTTTCTTCGTTGAGCTCGTTCGCCTATCTGATCAGGATTCTGGCGGTCCTCGGCAAGGTCTCGCAGTACGTCAATCGACCCAGAGCCAAGAGGTCAATTCCACCCAACGAGCCTGGATCCGAGTTCTCTGTCATCAATGCCGCTTTGGACGCCTGGCTGAGCTCTGTTCCTTCTCACCATACCTACTCGGTCGAGAACGCCAACAGAGTCAGGGACAAGGGTGAGGGCTGCATGATTGTCTTTATGCACGTCATCTATCACACGTCGGTCGTCCTGCTCCACCGACCTATCCTCGCGGCTGAGAAGGCCAGTTTTCCGATTGATTCCAACTTTGTCGAAACCTCAGTCGCACGGTGTGCGGAGGCAGCCAGCAAGGTCTCTGAGGTCTTGGATTTCGTCAGCAACCAATCCTGCCCTCCCCGCGTCTTTATTTCTTCCTTCTTCGCCTACCCTGTCTTTACTACCGCCACTATGTACGTATCTGTAGCCTGTAATTGTTATGAGGGTTGATATTTTTGGTTTTCTTTTGAAGTCAACGCCAACTAACACTGACCTTTTTCTACTCTACCTGATAGTCACATCACGAACGCGTTTGCGTCGGATCCTGTGATTGCAGCAAGAGCGCGGAGGAATCTCAGCACGCACGTCAAGATTTTGCAGACCATGAAGTCGTACTGGGCGATGGCGGACAAGTTCTTCTACATCATTCGCGACCTCTATTCGATTCAGTCCAAGATCAGCTCTTCAGCAGTGAACGGCACCATTGTCGTCCCTCAAGTCGTCTCGCACAACGCTCATGGATTGCACGACTATGCCTCCGATAGTGCGGTCGCTGCGCTCAAGGCCAAGGAGAAGATCATGGATGTTGACCGTCAAGGACGCATTGGGGTGGATCGGACTGAGGCCGAGGCCGCTCAGGGCGGCGTGATGGAGGGGCACACTTCAGCACCCAAGATGGTTGTCAACAGCAAGCTGGCCTCGATCAGCTCGTTCCTCAAGAGCGACTCGGGTCTGATTGCTTTGTGGCGACGCGCTACGGAGATGCAGGTTATCGACGAGGCCAACCAGGAAAAGCGTCGGTTGTCAGAGACGACGGAGAATTCCCGCAAAGTTCAGCATATCTCGATCCAGGACGAGAAGGAGCAGGGCATGGAGGAGAAGGAGCTGATGGAGCAGCGCATCCGAATGAACCAGCTTGAGATTCAAGAAATCAACCAGGAGTTTGAGCGTCAGTGGAAGGCCAAGCTCCTGGCCGAGGAACAACAAAAACAGCAGCAGCAGCAACAGTCGACGGCTTCCAGCGACAGCACTAGCGTCTCTGTCGAATCTCAGGCGGATGGTCAGGATCAGACACAGTCAGGAGAAGTCTCGCCTACGGAGAAGCGGCCGACAGAAGCGAATGAGTTGGCGAACCCACGGGCAGTTAAGCAGGCAAGAGTCAGCAAGCCCGAAACGACCCTCACCTCACTACGCGCCTCTCAGCGCAAGCCTCGATCCAACTCGAACTCGAGTTCCAACTCCAACACGACCAACACGACCAGCCCAATCACCACAACCAGCCTAATCACCACGCCCTGGCCAAGTATGGACCACAATCAGGCACAATCCGGTCCACAGCCTGGTTCGCATGCCCTGTCAACAGCCGATGGAAATCTGATGTATCGCCAACCCATTGCCCAGCCACCACAGTCGATTCCTAGTCAAGGCAACTTTATGATGGCACAGCAGCAGCAACAGCCCGTGATATCTGCGCCCAACGCGTCCTTGATGACTGCAGCAGGACGTCCCGCCGATGTGAATCAACATTTGCTCAACGTGTACGCCCAGCAGCATCAACAGCAGGAAGCGGTTTCACAGTCGATCGACATGCGACAAAACGCGACTATCCAGAGGCAACAGCAACAACTCCAACAACAACAAGCTCAAGCTCAGATGACGTCCTCCCTTTCTCTGGGACCACCTGGCGGCTTTACCTCTGAGTATGCACCCACACCCACCATGGCTCCACAACAGCCTTCACCTATGACCCAGTTCCGCCAGCACCAACAGCTGCATCAGCGTTACCAGCATCAACAACAGCCACAGCCACAGCATCAGACCTCGGCAGCAGGATTCTCTAGCCCAGGCTATTATCCGCCCCTTGTCTATGGAAGCAGCTACAGTCACCAGACGGCGGCGTATCTGCAGAAGGAGCCTGTTGATTCAATCTTTGATTTTGCGATGCCGCTCGGAGATTTGAACTTTTTGTCGAGCTCGTTCCAGATGGCGCCGATGATGATGCAGCAGACCCCTGCTACCCCTGCGACCAGCGGTAGTAACGCCTTTATACAGCAGACCACGACCATCAACAACTTGCCTCCTGGTTCTCTGGCTTCTCAGAGTCGGATACAGCAACAGCCACAGCAGCAACAGCAAACAATGAGTGTGAGTAGTACTTCAACCACAACAACCAGCAACGGATCGCCATCACTGCAAGTCCCCCGACTCGACGCCAACAACGAATCAAACGGCCAAGGAGGCCGCCCTCCTGCAGATTCCAAGAGCCCACAGACCACAACCCAGATCTCGCCCGGTTTAGATTCATTCATGATGTCGGACGAGGCCTTTGCCGAGATGCAGTCCACACCTGATTCGTTGGTTCGGTACCTCCAGCACCACCACCAGCAGCAGCAACAACAGGATCTGCAGTTGCAGCCCAAAGATAATCGGCAGCCGCTTTTGACACAGCAGAATTCGTTGTTGTATGATGACTATTTCCAGTGGAATCAGCCGCCTACTGTTGCACCTTCCCTTCAGCAGCCCCATCAGCAACATGCTCAGCAGGTTCAGCAGGTTCAACAGCCGATGAGTATGGATATGGACACACCGGGCATCTCAGGCAGGGTTGTTGCCCACTCTTCCATCCCTTCCTTCTCTTAGATTCCTCTTTGCTTTTTATCTCCACTTTATTTTTTCCTCTTGTATCATAGTTTGCTTTCATTGTTCACATTATATTTGTATATTCATTTTAATATGTTCAAATGGTGAAAGATAGATGAGGGTTATGAGAAAGACAATAAGCGATGACTTGGCGCGGCGCGTTGAATGATACTCAGATAAGCTAGCTCCAGGCTTTTTTTTTTGTTACTTAGTAATGAACGCCCTATTATGCAACGGAGGGGAAGAACAAAAGGAACGGGTTAATTAAATTTTGCTTTGCCAATTTTCGTACTTCAACGAATTTGCAAATAATACTCCAACCCTGAAACGAAGATACCCCGATCATGGATCATGGACTAGGGATCATGCAAGAAAAATAAAAAAAAGAAAGAAATTTTTACCTGAACGACCTCGGGCCAGGTAGCTTGGATCCTCGCAAACAAATCTGGCTTGGTCCTCGCCAGAGCCGCAGGGTCCTCGGCCAAACAAACAAACGTCGTGACAACTCCACTGTCAATCACTGTACCGACCGTAAAGCAGATCTGCAAACCCATCACAAAGCCCACAATAACCAACGCAATCGTCAACTGGTCATTGGCGTTAAACGCGGGCTTTGCAAAGTGAAGGTACAAGTATGTACCCAGTCCCGAAAGGAATCCAGAGAAGATGGCCGCCATGCCCCAGACGTTTCCGATAAGGTTATCGTTAATGATTTGTTCGATTCCCCTGTCCTGAATGATGGTCCATGTGTCGCGGGCGGCTTGCATGTAAGGCTTTCCGTAGATGGCGATTTGGGCGAACGCGTACTTGTTGATGAACTCGGCGATTCCTTGAAGACAGGAGAGGATACAGTCGATACAGCAGGCGACGAATGCCATGATACCGTCTCCATCCCCACGGGCCATGTTCGCAACAAACCTCAGCGTCTGGATGATCGCAATGACCAGGGATCCAAAGCAGATAGATCCAAAGGAAGTTGTGCACGCGCGCTTCAAGGACTCGATGGTGGGTGACTTGGTCATACCCTGTGGGGATCCAGCCATGAAGTAATAAGTCGCGAAGACTCCACAGATGGCCGTATGGACAATGTTAGACAGCACCTGGGAGGTCCAGTAGAACGAAAAGACGGCAAAGACGACGAGGACATAGAACAAAGCCGAGCGGTCGTTTCCAGAGGCGGTTCCAGAGTTGAAGTAGTAGTCGTAGACACCGGCAAAGACAAGGAGAAAGTAGATGCTGTAGGCGACTTGGGCGACGAGACCCAGGAACGAGACTGCGTAGGTCGCGGGGTAGTCGCGCGAGACCGAGGTCACTGTCTTCAACATCACACTAGAGAGATAAATATCACAAAAAGTTATCACAGAGGTTAGAGGCGTGTATGAAAATAGCGCATTAGCGAAGGCTAGAGAGGAGATGCAGGCTTTGTTGTAAAATGAGCCGATGGTGTATGGGTGTATGGGTATCAGTGGTTGTTTGTGAGCTTCGAAAAATCATGCAGGCGAAAGATATTCCGACGAGGAAGGGGAGGAAATTGAGAGAGCGAGAAACATGTACAAGGACCGCCTGGGTACGATGAATGTTCTACTATTTCAACTATGGTTTGCATCATAAGGCTGTGGCACAAGCAAACGCAAAAGCAAAAGCACCCTCCCGCGCCTTTTCAGCATATCGCCAGCGCCCTTGGAGAAACAAAAGTCCAAGACACCCCCATCTTGTTTCTTGGGGGGTTGAGGGAGAAGAGAAGAATAAGGAGGACGAGGGGGAGCGAAGGAAGGGGACGTTTTCCTGATGATGATGGTGTACTTTTTTTGTTTTTGTGTGCATGTCCGTTTGTTAGTGGGTATGGGCATTTACCTGGCAAAGGGGATGCGAGACTTCCAGGCGAACCACATGAAAGCGTAAAGGACTCCAAAGACAAGGGCGATGCCTCCAATAATCCACATGCGGAGATACAGGTAGTAGGCTGCCACTGCCAAGTACAACAAGATGCTCAACAACAACGTAGCCTACGTTAGTGAGAGAAAAAGTGCGCTGCTGGTTAGTTATTTGTAGCGAGAGAGAGAGAGAGAGTCGCCTGTGTTGAGTTTTTGTCGGTAAATTAGAGAGTCGATCGGGGTGTAATAAAAATAAAAAGGCAGCCTGTGAAAGAAGGTGCTCTTCTCCAGGGACAAACAGGAATACACAAAGTAACAAAATGGTACAACAAACAACTCAGAGAGACACACACATCCCATCCACAATGCATGAATGGTACACTTTACCTTGATGACGAAGGTCGGGAAGGCAACCGTCAAAAAAAAGTAGGCCACACTAAAGATGGCACCTACACCGACAGAGATACAAAGCGTAATCAACCCGCCCATCGAAAACAAACTTCCAATCCCCTTGGCACCCCCAGGACCCGACCCAGTCTTCAGCGCATTCGAAATAGCGAAATAACTCAAGACCACAAAACCCGCGAACTGGACTGCAAAGAGAATAGCGGCCCAGAGGTCATTGTATTTTGGTTTTGGGTTGAATTTGGTGGGCAGGCCAGAGTCTGGGTTGATAGAGCCGTCGTAGGTGGGTGGAGGCATGGGTTGTCCCTGAGGCGCGTAGTAGTTTTGTTGTTGTTCTGGAGGAGTGGGTTGGAGACCCCATTGGGTTTGCTGTTGGAGGGGCACGTATTGGGGCTGTGGTTGTGCGCCATAGTGGGGCTGTTGTTGGGGCTGAGGCGGGTAGTAGCCTGTGTTTGGTGGCGGGTAGTTGGACATGGCTGGCTTGTCCTGTTCCACTTGGAGATGAATGTAAGTAAGAGTGTGTGCTTTTTTGAGAGAGGAGAAGGAAGGAGATGTGGGAGAAGGGAGAAGGGAAGGGGTAGAAGGGAAGGGGACGAAGGAAAGGGAAGAGAGAAGAGGAGGGTGAGTGAAAAAGAACAAGAAGGAGAGAAAAGAAGGAGTGAAGACAAGAGAAGGAAAAACGTTTCTTTTTTATGCTAAAAATGGAAAAAGGAACGAAATAAGAGTGTTGTGGCGAATGCGAACAGACGAACCGCCACATTCAAAGGAAGAAGGAAGAAGAGAGAATTGTCGGAAAATGGGGCAGGGCAGGCACCATTGCATCATTTGAACAGTACAGTAGATATTTTTAGGGTTGTGAGTGTGTGTGTGTGTGTATACCAGGGAATCCAGTCCAAGTAGGTTGGAGGAAAGGACGAAAGCAATGAACAAGCTCCGTACACTTGCATACTGTTGTTTATAGCTTAAAATGAGGAGGATCATGATCACCAACAACGGTGCTTACGATGAGACGATGACAGGAAGCAGGTACATGAGACCTTTATTTTCATTCTCCTGCGTCTTGCCTTTTTGTTCCAGGCTGTGGACTGAGTGGAACAACATGTACAATAGGATCCACAGAGCTGATCCAGAGTGAATTGGCATCGTTAGATAGTATTTTTTTTTTTCAGGAGGTGGCGATGACTTTCTGGTTGTTGATATCATGCTCCCTTATCATCCCTTGGACCCGCTCGAGAATCACTTTATTGGGACAGTCGACAGACGATGTGGTATAAGGCGGTTTGATCCGTACACCGCCTACCACCAGCTGGATCACCTCACCTTCTTCCTCTCCTGCTCCTTCTCTTCCTGTCATCTTCCATGGGATTCGTTGCTATGGAAAGTATAAACAAATGTGTTTTTTTTTTTACATTGGTGTGAAAAAGGGGGTGAGGGGTGAAGCGGACAATGATGCATCGAGCCTTCTTTCCTCTTCCTCCAGGGAATTTCAATGATGAGCTAAACAAAACTTACCGAGTCGAGCATGGTAATGATACTCTGCTTGCGGGACTCAATGTCGACAGGAGAGATGTTGGGAGGGGCTGGTAGACCTGCTAGAGCTTCCATCGTCTCTGTCGTCAAGCGACTACCCTCTAATGATGAAGTGTCTATGGTAACAAGGGTGAAAAAAAAGTTGATTGATGTGTTATTCTCTGTACTTATGGAAAAAATAAGCATGCACGATGGTGTTTCAGCCCTCTTTGAGTAAAGGCCCCAGCCGTCATTTAGAAGTATGTATGTTTGTTTGTTTGTTTGTTTGTTATATTTTTTGTGCTTGTTCTCGTCGGCTTTTTACTACTAGTGATTTCCACTTACCAATGGAAAAGGATTTGAGCGCATGCTGACGGATCGCCACCATAGTTGGTCGTACCCTCTGCGTGCCCCCATTCGTAGCGAGAGTCACGTTTGACGTAGGTTGTTGGTTTGTAGAGAGTGACACCTGTGCCTGAGTCTGAGTCTGTGTGGGTTCTTGGTCCTGGGGCTTCCTGGCATCTTCAGGCAATGGAAGTTCTTGCTGTTGTTGTTCTTGTTGTTGTTGTTGTTCGCTCGTCTCTAATATCGTATCCTTTGCCTGCTCCGAACTCTGTTCCTGTATTGGTGTTGGTGTTGGTGGCACCTGGAGAATAAGGAGCGTCAAGGTTTCTGGGTCGACATTGTAAAGGTTTCCTGAGAATGTCTTGCCATTAGCTAATGTCGCTTGGCAGGGGGATCCCAGGCTGTTGTAGATCTCGCGAAGGGTATGCCCACTGAACTTCCATTCAGACATTGTCAGTGTGATGAGTGAAAAAGTGAAAGAATGGAGGAGGAGGAGGAGGAGGAGGGCTTTAGGGTGGCACGGCACTTTCTCGTTGTGCATCTCTTATACAAGTGACTGCTTGGCTGATTTGACTGTGCCCGAGTACAAGGCGAGGCAGGTTCGCTTAAACTTTTTGTCTCCTCTCTCTCTCTCTCCCCATTCCCTTCAGCATTCTCACGACGATTCACCATGGCTGACCGCAAGGCTACCAACAAGTACTACCCACCCGACTGGGATCCCTCAAAGGTACAGAAATCGACTTCCACACATCAACTCGTTTCATACTAATCAGTTTTTGCGCGCAATGCACGTTCCAACAAACCCACGTTTCTGAAAACAAAATATTTTTTGTGGGAAACATACATAGGGCTCTATCAACAAGCATGTTGGACAACACCCACTGCGAGACAGAGCAAGGAAACTCGACCAAGGAATCCTCATAGTGCGCTTCGAGTTGCCTTACTCCATCTGGTGCAACGGCTGCAACAAATCCGCCGCCACCGGTAACGGATCACATCCTGTTCCTTCGTTTCTTTTGTAATATGTGGTTGCGCTGGTACTGAATCAAATTTTGTCTTTATGAACACGTCGTTATTGTTTGTAGGTGTCCGATATAACGCAGAGAAGAAGACCATCGGGAAGTACTATTCGACACCGATCCTTAGCTTCCGGATGAAGTGCCATCACTGCTCAAGCTGGTTTGAGATCCAAACGGACCCCAAGGTAATATCTCCACATTCAAATTAATTAGCATCGTCGCTAAAAATTTTTGTTCATGTTCATCGCCCTAACAATTCAAAACTTTCGGCAATACTATCTAAAAAAAAAAAATAGAACGCGGCATATAAAGTAACGGCAGGAGCAAGGCGTAAAACGGATGATTTTGCAGAAGCAGAAGACCGCGGGACCCTCAAAATCGATACACCTGAAGAATTCTCTCGACGCGCCAACGATAAATTCGCAAAACTCGAAAACTCTCGTCTCGATCATATCAACACCCTCCAAGCCGACGCCACAGTTCTCACTAAACTGCAACATATCAGCGACCGACAATGGAGTGACCCCTATGCGCTTTCACAGAAGCTGCGGAAGGAGTTTCGAATGGAGAGGGCAAAGATTAAGAGCTCAGAAGCGCTTGCGGACAGGATTGGGGTTGGGTTTAGGATCTTGCCTGAGAGTCAGGAGGATGCTGACGCGACAAAGTTGGTGGAGTTTGATGCTAGGGAAAAGGCGTTGATGATGCAGAGGTTGAAGGAGATAAAGTCCGGGAATCTGTTTGCGGCTGCCAAGAGTGCTCCCAAGAACCAACACCAGCAGAAGAATTGGAGCCGCGTTGCAACAGCAGAAGGAAGTAGTGTGACAGGCGGTCGCGGTGGAATCGGCGGATTGTCCAAGACGAGTACTCTCGTTGCTGCTACGGGATCTTCAGGATCAGGATCAGGATCGGACAAGGACAGGATCCTTCGATCCCTTGCATCGACTGTCAAGGCCAACACTCAGCTCCAAGTCGACCCCTTCCTCAATGTTGGATCTTCAGCGTCGTCCAAGTCCTCATCTGCCTTGACAGCAACACCACCTTTGACATCTTCCAAACCACTGCCGCTTGTCGCATATGGCGACGACGATGACGACGATGACGACGATTAAACAGGAGTTTCGTTCATCGACCATTGGCGAACCTTCTTTGTAAGATATATATTTTTTTGTGCTTGTATGATTCTAAAATGAAGCAATGACGAAAGGGATACTATGAGGGGTGTGATATCGAAGAGTCGGGTGAAAAAAATGGCGCATTTAGGACTTGATGGCACGGTGTTGTGCACGCTCGGCCTCCAACTCATCGACCCATCCTGTGACCATAGGATGCTTGAACTTGCCGCGCGTTCCTGCGAAAAAGTCCTCCAACGTCACATCTTCGGCTATAGTGAAAAGAAAGCATTTAAGGTATCAGACTTGAGAAAAAACAAAGTGGCAGGATGGCAGCAAAAAAAACAAGGAGGAGGATCTTACACTTTTCGTATTCGAGAGCCTGCATGATCATCTCAAACTTGTCAAAGTCCTTGACCAAGAGAGCCTCAGGAGTGGCAGCAGCCTCGTATTCCTCCCAGAGTCCAGAGATCTCCTGTGCCTGGTCGCTCCATCCCAGCAATTCGCGGCAAAGGTGATGCATCGCATTCTAACAATCGAACAAAATAACGCCACAAAAAACGTACTTCCCGTTAGCTAACTAATCTTCAAGTCCGATCTGTGAATCCTTGTACGAAGAATCTCACGACACTGAACGCCCCCAACTGCGGCAGAAAAGAACAAGATATGACATACCCTCTCCTGAGTATGCTTGTCCTCGATAGTGACGCCGTCATAGGGAGTAATATCGCCGACAAGACTCTCGGCAAGATCGTGCACGATCGCCATCTTGATACACCTGTCCTTGTTCACGCCGGCCGTCTTTTCGTCAATCAACATGGCCATGATGCCCATCCTGTACATGTGGTCTGCGATCGACTCTGCAGGCTTGATCCCGTTGTTGACCCATCCTGTTCTCTTTGTGCGCTATTATCGAGTTAAACAATTGCCAAGAGTGACGATGGATGTTAGAGTGAGAGGGAGACAAACCCAACGTATGTATGCATATATGGCTCCCCCGATTTGAATGCAAATCTCATATGAGGTAACTTTCACAATGTTTTGGAAAAAAAAAGATGCGCGTTTGCTTTGAGAAACAGTGATGAAGTTACCTTGAGCTTTTCGACGATGTGCAGGAATTGAAGGGTGCCCTTGACGGATTGGGTCTTGGTCTTGTGGTTGGGTCCATCGCGATTCAGGCTGCTGTTCAGCTCTGTCATGCGTGCCACCACGCTGGCTAAAAATTGATTATTCCGTCAATTATGTCATCGCGTAAGTAAAAAAGTCATGTCCATTCGATCCTGGTTGTAACCTTCACAAGTACTTCGAACTAGCTGGTCAGAACTTAATCCAGGAAGGCGAGGAAAACGCAAGTATTATCAAACGAACATACCATCGTCAGGAGTGCCCTCCATAATCTCGATAAGTTCACCATCGTTCAAGAGTCGGGGGTCGGTAACGAGTTCACCGCCACGATCCAAACGGAGCAACGAAATCGGTACGGATTGAGGAAAGCTCGCGACATTCCTTGCATCGTCGGAGAGCTGTTTGTTGTCAGTGCCGGGAAGGATACGGATCGAGTTGTCGTAGACTGCACCGTGGTATTGCAGTTTGACTACGGGCGAAGGGGGGATCTGGGGGCTGCCGAGCAAGTTGTCCATGGTTATTGATTCTGCTTTGGTTATTCGAATGTGTTGAAGGTGAGAAAGTTGAATTGGTCGTGGTGGTAGCGATGGTTTCCTTTGTGGGTGATTTTGGTGGGTGTCGGGGTTTTGGAGGTGGTTAATGAAAGTAAAGGGAAAAAGAAGAAATTGAATGAGCACAAGACCGCGAACTCTCTTGCATGCATCCGTTGCAAACTCGACCACGGTCACCTGATTAGATCCGAGAAAAGGTGGCTGAGAGAAAAACGTCATTTTTTGCGGGGGTGGGTGGATCCACTTTTTTTTTTTTGCTCTCTCGCTCTCGTACGACGAAGGGGCGTAAACCAAAAGGCAAAATGGGTCAGGACGATAAGAACAGTAGGGGTAAAGAAAGGTGGTCGCCCACAAAATGACCGAGCTATGAGCACAAGTAGTCAGAATGAACCAGGTGGATAAGGCAAACTGATTATTGTCTCTCCCATCTGCAGGAGAACCAAGTGATCATTTGTGGGGATGGAGACACAAGATGACTGTGGAATGAAAGATACTTTAAACAAAAACAATTGATAACGAAGTGGGTGGAGAAGAATGTACTCTCTCCATGGTAATTAGTGTTGAAGAGGAGGAGGAAGTGGGGCCAGGATCCATTTTTCATTTCATTGTCGAGTCGAGGGTGCTTGGCCCCTTCTTTTAAGGACGACAAGTCCCTTTGAATGTCCGCAGTCCGCGTCAGCCACCTTTTCTCGCAGTATAAAAGCCTGCTCGATTTGCTTCTCCTCTCTTTTTGTCTTTTGTTCGTTTTTCTTTTTTTCGGGGGTCTTTTTTTTTGTCTGGCGGATAACCCTTCACACACCTCTCCACTCCCACCCACCAACACACTCCAAACACACACACACACACACACACTCCCCTATTACTACTACACACACATACAAAAACTCATTCCATTCCATTCCACTTCCATTCACACTCATTCAAGAAGAATCCCTGATTCAATGTGCAACCACCACCGCGACGTGCTCGATGCTATCCGCGCCGAGGAGGAAGAGGCAGCCGCCGTCCAGGCTCAGGGTCAAGACCAAGAGAACCACGAGGCCCCTCCCCGCTCCGAGTCGCCCAAGGAGGACTCGTTCGAGATCCCCGACAACCGCGCCGACCTGGACGAGTCCAAGGCCACGGACCATGGCCCCCTCGAGCATGAGCACACGCCTTACTTCTCGTACCATACGGAGAAGGCATTGAAGCTTGTAAGTGCCACGTTTGTTTCTGTTATGTTTGTTATGTCTGTGTATGCATTGTCTCACTTTGTGTGTCCTGTGGGCGAAGTTCATCTGTCCATCCGTCTCACTCTCACGCACACACAAGCCATGTATGGAGAGATGAGAGATGTGTGCTGCATATCAATTATGCTTTCCCACGCTTAGCATATTCCCTCTTTTGTCTACCAAGAAATCTTAATTTATCTTATTGCCATCATCCACACTCACTCACACTCCACACATTAAACTAACAATGTCAATTGGTTGTTTCAATTATCATTAGGAGGACAACAAGTACCTGGCCCACGAGACACACACTCCCTCCAAGCCCCTCGCTGGCCTGCCCACCCTCCCCAAGAACAACAAGGCCGCCATGCTCTTCGACACCACACCCGAGAACCTGCGCAAGCTCGACGCCGACGCAGGCATCTTGGAAGAGTCCAAGGCCGAGGAGAACACGAAGCCCAACTTTGCCCCCAACGACGAGATCACCCTCGAACTCCAGTCGCTCTACACCAACTTCCAAAAGTGTCTCGACCTCCGTGAAAAGTACATGAAGGTCTCATGCCAGCGCGTCGGTGATAACCCCATCGACAAGGACGACTGGGTCATCTACCCTCCTCCCCCACCCCCTTCCTGGCCCATTACCGAGAACAAGGGCCGCGTCACCGATGGTCCTGACAGCATCGGAAGTGACTTTGTCCGCGAAGAATGCAAGATACCCGGTCCTTGCGACTTTGTCTATGAGATGGACGACACCGGTGTTTACCAGGTAAACAAAACGGCTTATATCATTCTCACAATCCTTGTTGTTCTAATTAATTAATTCGATACATCCACTTCCTCTACTAACATCCCTCGTTACTGCTCTCATTTTTTTCATTCTGCATCTGACATAGGTCTATGAGAGCCAGGATCACCATGCCAAGAAACAACCCATTGTCCAAGTGCCCAAGCCCAAGGAGTATTTCCAGGATCTGGACTTTGTCCTCTCCGTGATCTCGGACGGCCCCACCAAGAGCTTTGCCTTCCGTCGCCTCAAGTACCTCGAGAGCAAGTGGAACATGTACATCCTTTTGAACGAGTACGAGGAGTTGGCCGAGGCCAAGCGTGTGCCCCATCGTGACTTTTACAATGTCCGTAAGGTCGATACTCACGTCCACCACAGCTCCTGCATGAACCAGAAGCATTTACTCCGCTTCATCAAGTCCAAGATGCGCAAGACCCCCAAGGACGTCGTTATCTTCCGTGACGGCAAGGACCTTACCCTAGAGGAGGTCTTCCAGTCCTTGAACCTCACCGCCTACGACCTCAGCATCGACACCATGGACATGCACGTAAGTTATTACTTCTCTGCATCGTGAATGTTATCTTCAAGTGCATTTGTTAATCCATCGAGATTCTTTATCTTTTACGCTCACAGGCTCACAAGGACTCGTTCCACCGGTTCGACAAGTTCAACTTGAAGTACAACCCCATTGGCGAGTCCCGTCTCCGTGAGATCTTTATGAAGACTGACAACAAGATTCAAGGTCGCTACCTGGCCGACATTACCAAGGAGGTCTTCTCGGATCTGGAGCAGAGCAAATACCAGATGGCTGAGTACCGTATCTCGATCTACGGTCGTGCCGAAAATGAGTGGGATAAGCTGGCTGACTGGGTGGTCAACAACCAGTTGTTCTCGCCCAACGTTCGTTGGTTGATCCAGGTCCCCCGTCTGTACAACGTCTACAAGGCTACCAAGACGGTCGAAAACTTTGAGCAAGTCATCTCGAACATCTTCAAGCCTTTGTTCGAGGTCACCAAGGACCCTACCAGCCACCCCAACCTCCACATCTTCCTCCAGAGAGTCATTGGTTTCGACTCTGTCGATGATGAGTCCAAGGCCGAGCGTCGTATCTACAAGAAATACCCTTACCCCCGCGTCTGGAACACTGCCATGAACCCTCCCTACAGTTACTACATCTACTACATGTTTGCCAACATGACCTCCCTCAACCGTTTCCGCCAGCAGCGTGGCTACAGTAAGTCCTCCTCTTGCCATTTACTGTCCGCTATTTCTACATGTAACTGCCTATTCATTTAATAACCTTTCCCTTTTTTCCTTCGAATGATAGACACGTTCGTGTTCAGACCTCACTGTGGTGAAGCAGGAGACACTGATCACTTGACTTCGGCCTTCTTGACGTCGTTCGGTATCTCTCACGGAATCTTGTTGCGCAAGGTCCCCGCCCTCCAGTACCTGTTCTACCTGACCCAGATGGGTATCGCCATGTCGCCACTGTCCAACAACGCCCTGTTCCTGGACTATGAGCGCAACCCCTTCCCAGCTTTCTTCCACCGTGGTCTCAACGTCAGCTTGAGTACTGACGATCCCCTCCAGTTCCATTTCACCAAAGAGCCCCTCATCGAGGAGTACAGTGTTGCTGCCCAGGTAAGCATTCCCTTTTAACATGTTTTTCGTCTGCAGCATTGTGCTATGTGTCATGACAACGAAGATGTGCTAATATTTTTACTTTTGAATTAAATAGATCTGGAAGTTGTCGGGAGCAGATATGTGCGAGATTTCAAGGAACTCTGTGGCCCACTCTGGTTTCGAGAACAAGATCAAAAAGCACTGGATCGGCAAGAAGTGGTACCTCCCCGGTGTCCAGGGTAACGACATGGAGAAGACCAACGTCCCCAACATCCGTGTTGCCTTCCGTCACGAGACCCTCCGGGAGGAACTCGATATGCTCCAACGCTACTCTCAGTTGGCCCATCCTCCCATGTTCACGACCGCCCATCTCGATTTGAGCAAGCGCATGGCGTCTAGTGCTGCGTCACCTGCGCTTTTCGCGTTCGCTAGTGCTCATGGCGGATCTGCTACGCCCAACTCTCCCTTTGCGTTGAACCCTCAGGCCAGCAGCAGCTCGGTGTTGAGTGAGATCTCAGATATGAACTTGGTCCAAACCCACCCGCATTTGCCTAAGGCTTCAATGGATACTGTCTATGAGACTGATGGTGGATTGCACACTAATGTGATGACGGTTGCGCATCAATTGGGGATGCTGTCTGTCGTCGCTGGTGTTTCAGAGATGGCTGAGCGTGCTGCGGCCAAGAAGCGCGAGAGGAAACGTCTTGCGGCTGAGCAGAAGATTGATGGGGAGGAGTTGGATTCCAAGGAGTAGAGTTCCCTCGCTTTTTTTTTCTTTTCTGCTTTTGTTGTTTATTTCTTTTCTTTGTTTTGTTTCCTTTCTTGTAATACCTCTCGTTTTTTTTTCCTAATAAAACAATATCTCAAAAAAAAAAGTTGCGCGTTTTTTTAGTGAGTTTGAGAAAGGGGATGTGGGATATGGCTTTATTATGTATGTTTTATATGAATGGGATGGATGATGATGGGAAAGAGATGAACAGATGCATAAAAAGGCGGGAACACGTTTATGGACCATCACCTTGGGGCTGGCGCAAGGTAGAAGCAACGACATTAAATAGACTATCCGGATTCTGAGCATTCTCCTGGGTCTGTGGAGACCTCCGCTCAAAGGCGTTGAGGTCAGAAGCCTGTCCGCCCGAAGCAGACGCCAAGTCGGGACCACGGTCCTGGGGTGCTCCCACTGAACGACGAACTCCTGCGGTTGGGGGTGCGGTTGTTGCGGGGAGGACGGAGGCGATCGTGGGGGAGGTGACTCTATTGGTGGTCGGTGGGGGGATGAAATCCTGGTACATGATGGGCGACCCGATCGATTGGTGGTAAGCCCCGGCGGTTGTGCTACTAGCCATGCTGGTTTGGCTCAGGGGTCGGTCTGATCTGAACTCTTGAGTGGAATTGTCCCAGGTGGAGTGGGCGATTGTTGAGGACCCGGGGCGAGAGGGTATTGGTGGTAGTGGGACTGGGCTGTTTCCTCCGCCGGTGCCGCCAGAGTAATGCGTGCTACGGGAAGCATTGGAGGAGAAGCGGTCGAGGGGTCTGTAGCTTGTTGAGGAGGTGCCCGGGGGGGCGGGGATGGATGTCGAGTCGAGGAGGTAGGATTCTTGTTGGGCGGTGGTGTTTGCTGGGTTGACGGGGACATGGTTTGAGGAGTTGCGGTTGGGGATGAAGGGCACTGGTGGGGGGATGGCGCCAATGGAGTAAGGGGCGTATCCGCCTTGGAGACCTGAGGGGATGGATGTGATTGGTTGAGAGCCGCCGATGCCGCCGGTTCCTGTGCCTGCTACGCCGATGTTGCTGCCGCCGCCACTCACACCGTTACCGCCGTATCCAGAAGAGGGGTCGACATGTCCTTGACCGTATCCTCCAAAGTCGTTTCCGCCGCTACCGTGGCCATAGCCAGTGTCATGACCACCTCCGTAGCCGTCGTAGAGGTGATGGCCCTGGTCGGCTCCGCCAACACTTTGGCCCTGCCCGACTCCGTAATTGTAGTTTCCAGTGTCGCCCGCGCCGTGACCGACGCCCTGGAAGTCGCCGCCGTTACCGCCGTTGGGTGCGTATTGGTTACCGGTGGCGCCGTCGTTTCCGATAGCCTGGTGACCGCCGCTGCTAGGGTCATAATGTCCCGGAGCCTGGTTCGTTCCAGAGTCATGGCCGCCGCCATGGTCGTAGCCATTATGATCCCCTCCATGATGGCCATGGTGCCCATCATCATGGTGTCCATGATGGTTCTGGTGATGATAGTCGCTGTTATGATACAACTGCTCCATTTCATGCTGATGGGCGCCTCCATCATCATACTGGTTCTCCGGATACTGGCCATCATCGGGATGTTGATGATGCTTATTCTGATGATGCCCCGACGTGATATTTGTCAACGTACTGGGCCCAAACAACTCGTTCGGATCCAACTCCTGCTGCCGCCGCTTATGCCGCTTATTCTTCATCACAAGCACAATCGACACAACTCCAATAACCACGACTCCGGCGGCTGCGATACCGATAACCGCGACTTTAGGGATCCCTCCACCTGTCCCGCCGCCAGTGCCATTTGTGGAACTCGGGACGACACTTAGGTCTGTGGATGTGGGGATGAGGGATGTGGGGATGAGGGATGTTGGAGGCGAGCTGATAAGGGAGGTAAAAGGGGTGGTTAGAGTGGTGGTGGTTCGGACAGGTGGTTGTGTTGTAGGGTTATGAGTGGTTGTAGGAGGCGGTGGAGAGGTGATTACGGGGGTTGTCGTTGTTGTTGTAGTAGGAGGATCAGTAGTAACGGGCAAGGTAGTTGTTGTAGATGGGCTTGTCCAGGTGGCGGTTGGGCTTGTCCAGGTGGTGGTGCTCGTTGTGGGAGACCAGATCGTTGAAGGGGCCAACATTGTTGTTGTTGTTGTTGTTGTTGTTGTTGTAGATGTTTCTGTTGAAAAGGAGGATGAAGGAAGTGGGGGAAGGGAAACCATAACGGTAGAAAAAAGAAAAGAAAAAAGAAAAGAAAAAAGAGAAAAAAAAAAAGTACGGTTGAAGCGAGTAGTGGGGGTATATGTTGGTTTTTGGGTTGCTGATTAAACTTCTAGACCATTTTTTTTTGGTTGTTTGTGCGGCCAACAAAAGCTGCGGCCGATTGCTTGTGTGCTCGTAGGGTGTGGGTAGGGCTTTTGTTGACGTCCGAAGTGTTTGGGGGTGCTTGTAAACAAAGAAAAAGCGAGAGGTGTCGACGGGAATTGTATTATTTGAGAGCTTGGAGTAGAGAAAAAGGAGAGTGAAAGTGAAGTGATGTTTGGGTAGTTTGCAGAGATACAAGGAAAGAAATAGAACAGCAAAATAACCAAAAGGGAAGGAAAAAAGGTCAAAAGTAGAAGAGAGGAAAGAAAGAGCGAACGGACAGACCTCTCTTTTTATTCCCCGTGCCTGTAAGTGCTTACAAGTGAATGAACGAATGAAACCCTCCCTCTTACTTTTCATAACATATTTCAGTCGCTGCCTTGCATCTTTACTGCCGCCTTTGTCATTTCGGCTGTCCTGCCAGCATGCATATCCTCCAACAGTAAACCGACAGCGAGGTTGTTTCCAGTCTGTCACTCTGTCACTTCTTTTCCTTCATCAATTGGGCTCTACCCTGCCACTTTTTCCTTCGACCCCCCCTCTCCCGCGGACGCTGAATAACTGCGTTCATTCTCCTTTTCTCTCCCTCCTTTTTTTGACTTTTGTTGATTTGTCGACCCTTCTTTTCATCGTGTTGCACACAGGGAAAGTGAACGACGATCTAGACCGCGATCCAGGTTGTCCATCTGGAACGTGTTCTATCCAATATTCAAACTCAAAATAAGCATCTTGTGCGTCACATCACACATAAACGCTTTGTCACCATCAGTCCAGCCCTCTCTCTTTTTTCTCTCAGACCCCTCAATTGTCCAAGTGTTCTCTTTGTCTGTCACACAGTGGCAGTGCTCTCAACCTTATGAACCACAAAACGGCACTTTTGTATACAACTCCATATCGACTCTTGCGCAAGGTCCAAAAGAAAAAAATCTCCCCCATCCCTTCCCTTTCCTTTCCTTTCCTTCCCTTCCTTCCCTTCCGTCCTGTCATTTCCTCGTATTTTGCCACCCATTGGAAAAATATGGCATTGAACCTATTGGAGCAAGCTATGCCTCCTCTTCTTTAGTCCCTACACTACTCTCGGATGACTTTGTTTTTTTTTTGCTCACTTCTCTTCCTTGACACCTTCCATCTTACAGTCGACGGGAAGAATCCCTTGTCATCCACCACCCCTCTCCGCCACAACAACCAGGCTGTGCAGACAAAGATCAACTCATTCTTTTTCCTGAGTATTGTTCTTTTTGTATCTTTTTGTGGTCATGGATATTAATGAGAAGAACGACACGACGGCATACATATTGATTTTTCGACTCCTTGCCATACTTCCTTTTGTTATTGATGATGAAAAGTATGAGGGCGATGGAGCAAGGTCGATAAAACGATACAAATGAAAAATTGACAAGAAAAAAAAGTGCGACAGGTTTGGCGAGCAATCATAAAACCTGATTCAGCATCCGCTTTTTTTTCTTCTTCAACATCATTCATCTCCTGTAGACAATCGTCCTTGCATCTTGTGTTTTATGTTCGCCCTTGTGATTTCTCTATCGTTCATTGTCACAAAGGTCTTTTCTTTGCTCCATCCCTCTTCCACCCCTGACCCTTCTTTGCTTTACCCGTTATTTCATCCATATTCTCCTTCTCCTACCTGCGTCAATTATCCTCCGATCGAAAACGACTGAGTGAGATGGAGTGACGCGCTGAAAAAAACCCTGGAGAAACACCAAACACTCCTCCAGTCAACTTCGAGCTGCGATTGAGTTATTCACCTGGTTCATTCTCTCACTTTATGCCATCACTCTCTTTTCTACCCACCGATCATTATTATTTTTCCTTCACTCGACCACTCGTACCTTTCTTTTGTGGCGAATGCGCATTGTTTGTTCGCGTGTAAGAGCGCTCACATATCATACTATTCCCCCGGCTAAGCCAAATGTAGGTTAGCGTAGTTGTTTCAAAAGTCTTATTTATGCACAGCGATGCATAAAAAAAAATGAAGAGCGTTTTCGTGAAGAGCGGGCTTTGTGTCTTCATGACTCTGACCATGATGGTCCCTTGTTCTAGCGCAAAAACCAGGGAGGTGGTGTGTGGCTACATGTGAATATGCCCGGAAGGACAATTACTTCGTGTTCTTCCGGTTTTTTCTACCTGATGAACGTTTTTTCTATACTGTATACAGATCTTGCTGACCCCCACGACTAAGAATAGACGGTGATATTTTATACCCTATTTTTTCACCTATTCACCAATGAGACGAGATGGGTCAAAAATAATGGAGTAAGAAAACAAAGATGACCAAGGCGGATCAGGTCGACTTTTTGTGAGGGATGTTTTATGGATCACTCGGCTTATTTTATTTTCGCGAAATACAAATCGGAAAAAAAAGACATTTTGCTTTCGCACCGCCCACTAGGTCACACGTCGACTTTTTCAGTGGTTCGTTTTTCGTGCAGTTACAAGCCGCCAACCAAAGCGATGGAAGGAATTAAGACGCGGGGAGGAATGGTGAAACACTTCGCGTTTATCAATGTTACTAGATTTTCACTGTCGACTGATCAGTTCTCAGGGACGAGAGGGGCGAATCACTGCTCAAAGAGTGTCCTTGTTCACGACGGTCGGTAGTGATCTTCAACCCCACAAGAAAATGCAGTGATTTTCCATGCGCTTATGAAAACTGAGGCTGAGCTTACTACTCCAGACAGGCGGTGCCAAAAACAGTTGTTTTTTCGCCCTTATGTTTGTTAATCAACTCCCATCTCGTTTGAGCACTAACGGCGGACATAAACACATACCAAGAACAGCAAATGAAGGGTAAGACAATAAAATATGTTTATTAGAGGAACGAGTTATGCTATCCTACACTACTCCATAATCGCGGTGACATGAGGGTTATGGCACGGATGCCCAATGCTAAACAAGCTGTCCTCACCCTCCCCTTCCTCCTGGATCTGAGGTCGTCTCCTCTCAAACTCGTTCAAGTCTGCGACGGACGTTCGGCTTGGATTTCCTCCTCCTCCCTCTCCCTCTCCTCCTCCCCCTCCTCCTCCTTCTCCTCCGATATCGGACAACTAACCCCATTCACCCTTGGGGCCGTAGATCTCCACATCGGGCGGCAACTGTGTGGGCGGCAGGTGAACGACTCGAGGACTCAGGAACGTCCCTGCTCCTGAGGGTTCGGGTCTGCTGGCCCTATTGGTGGTGGGTATACCTGTCAGAGGAGAAATCATGGCGGAGTGACGCGAGAAGGACATGGGATGAAGAGGGACGTTGTTAGAATGAGGAGATATCAGATGTGAGTTGATTAGTTCCCAGTCTTGGTACTGGTTCTGGTCTGGGATTGAGTGCGGGTGCAGTCGTTCTGTTTCGCCACCATCACCACCATGGGCAGCAGTGATAGTAGATGCGATGGACTGTCGACCATTCATGTAGAGGGGCATCCTCTCTCCCTGATGAGTTACAGAGGCGTGGGCAAACTTTTCGTCATCGAGGTAGGATCGGTCGTGTCGGTAAGGTTGTTGAGGGCCGTTGTCAAAGTTGCGGCTGTCGCGCTGGCCAATTGTATCGATCAAGAGGCGGACTTGTTCAGTCAATTCATCTCGCTGTTGTCTGCGAGAGCGACCACCACCACCACCACCACCGCCACCAAGACGAGTGTACTTGGCAATAATGAAGCCAGCAACTAGTCCGATGATCAGTGCGCCAAGGAAGGCAAAGGTGAAGACAACACCTGTCATGGGAGCCGAGATGACTGAACCCGAGATGGCGGGTGTAGGTGTGGAGCTTACACCGCTGGGGTTGTGAAAGACCATAGTTGAGCCTGCCTGGAGAGTGATACCGCCATTGGTCGATTGAGCACCTGGTGGCGATGAGGGTGGTTGGACACCTGTGAGTTTAGGAGAAGAACCATCGTCACTGGTGGTTCTCTCTGGTGAGAGCGGCAAGGTTGGACTACTACCTCCACGGGCAGTTGCACCACCACCTCCATCGTCTCTCGTGGTATTGGCAGTAGAAGTCGTAGTAGTAGTGGTCGTCGGCTCGTTCTCAGAGACTCCATGAGTTTGTTGGCTGCCAGCCTCTGTGGTAGTAGTCGACGAGTCTTTGCTTGCTGATTTGGCTGCTGGAGGTGGAAGAGCCTCAGTTGTGGTCGGGTCGGTTGTTGTAGGGTTTGGAGCGGGGTTGGGGTTGGGTCTTTGTGGAGGTGGAGGCGGAGATGCAGGTGGAGGTGGAGCAGCAGGTGTAGGGCGAGGCTCTGGTTCAGTCGTCCTGTATGCGCCTTCCGTAGTGGTGAGGTATGTATAATAGAGTGACGACATGGCGGTGGGATAAAGACAAATGTGTTGTAGACTGTGTGAGTGATGCAAGAGCGGAAGCAGGGATGGCGAGGAGTATGAAGGGGATGTGAGTGCGGAAGGAGTGGGAGAAAGAGAAAATAAGGTAAATGGTGAGGAAAAGATGAAAGGAAGGGAAAGAAAGAAGGTGTGCTGTAACAAAAGGTGTGCTATGTGAAAGCATCTTCTAGCAAGAAAATGAAAACGAGGGCGCAGACGAGGATGTTGGTAGGGGGGATAGAAACCCTTAGATCTCATGCAAACGCTTTAGATTTTGAGAGCAACGTTGTCACAACAACAAAAAACGACAGGCGAGCCAATGAAAAGTTCTGTTTGTTTTGTTTGTTGCCTTTACCCTTTTTGTTTTTGCTATTCTTTAAAGCCCCTTCTCTCGCTTTGTTGCATACCGACCTTTTGCTATTTTTTCATCTTTGTTTTGTTTCTCTCCACAAATTGTGCTGTGCGTGCTGCAGACCAAAGCGTGCTTCAACAAGCGTTGCTGAAAGAGGGTTGGTGACAATGGCGATGTTTGGAATGTGAGAGGAAGGGGAGATACAAGCGAAAAAAAGAGACTTGGTGAGTAGCCAAAGGTAAACAGTGATGAGTAGGAGTTTGGTACTCGAGCGGTAATCACAGGCGCACTAAAAAAAATTGCCACCAACCTTCTTGGTTTCAGTTGACTGATCATCACTTTCGTTCACGTTCACTCTAACATCCGATCATACTGTTATTCTCCACTATGTCTCATCAATCAAACAATACGACAATGGTAGCGTACTTTCTACCCAATCGTAAAATACAGTTTTGTCCTCATACTTGTGGGAAAAAATTAAATAGAGCGACGAGTATGTTAAAAAGGAAAGAGAACGTTTTATTCCGCGTATGCTGGAGGTAACGCCAACTCCAAATGGGAACCATATCCCTTCGCCTTGAGCTTCTCAAAGAACTCCCGACCCTCCTTGCTTCCTTGGTTGGCAGCCTTCAAATACCATTTCATCGCCCTCGTGGGGTTCCTAGCAACACCTTCGCCATTGTGATACAACATGCCTATACCCACCTGTGCCTCGGCTTGACCAGCGGCTTTAAGGTACCAATCCATGGCCAAGGCAAAATCTTGAGGAACGCCGAGACCATCGTGATATGAGACGCCAAGCCCGGCCTGAGCGGCCGAATGCCCTTGAGCAGCTGCCTTGAAGTACCATTCTAAGGCCTTGGAGTCGTCTTTGGGAACACCTCGGCCTCGTTCGAGTGCATATCCAAGCCGGAACTGCGCCTCTGCATAGTCTTGGTGGGCGGCCTTGCTGAACCACTCTGCGGACTTGATGTAGTCTTGAGGAACACCGAGACCATCGCGATATAAGACACCAAGCGCAGCCTGAGCGGCCGGATGACCTTGAGCAGCTGCCTTGAAGTACCATTCCAAGGCCTTGGGGTCGTCTTTGGGAATACCTCGGCCTCGTTCGAGTGCACACCCAAGCCGGAACTGCGCCTCTGCATAGCCTTGGTGGGCCGCCTTGCTGAACCACTCTGAGGACTTGGTGTAGTCTTGAGGAATTCCGAGACCGCGATAATAGAGATCACCGATATTGCTTTGAGCATTTGGGTAACCCTGGGTGGCGGCCTTGCTGTACCACTGCATGGCCTTGGAGTAGTCTGCAGATACGCCTCGACCGTGCTCGTACTGTACTCCAAGCTTGAACTGGGCCTCTGCATAGCCTCGGTGGGCGGCCTTGCTGAACCACTCCACAGCCTTTAAGTGGTCTTGAGGGACACCTTGGCCTAGTGTGTATAAAAAGCCAAGATTGACCTGGGCGAGTGTCTGATCCTGCAAGGCGGCCTTGAGGAACCATTTTGCGGCCAAAGCAAAATCTTGAGGAACACCGACGCCATTATTATAGTAGGCACCAAGAACGTTCTGAGAATTCGCATCTCCTTGATCGGCTGCCTTGTTGAACCACTCGGCGGCCTTGAAGTAGTCTTGAGGGACTCCATTGCCTTGGTGGTAAAGCAGGGCAAGAAGTCTCTGGCCATGCGCATGACCTTGAGCAGCGGACTCGGCGAACCACTTCTCGGCCTTGGAATAATCTTGATCAACGCCGCGAGCGTGCAAATAGAAATTACCGACACTGGTTTGAGCCTCCGCATGGCCCTGGTTGGCGGCCTTGATCAACCACTCCATGGCTTTGGGGTAGTCTTGGTGGACTCCGCGGCTGTACAATTCTCCAAGACGGTACTGGCCGTCTGCGCAACCTCGGTCGGCGGCCTTGAGGTACCACATCGTCGCCTTGGCAGTGTCTCGTGGTGCACCTTGGCCATTCATGATAAGGAATCCGACGTTTGTTTCCGCTATAGGATCTTCTTGCTCGGCTGCTCGGAGGAACCACTTCAACGCTAACTCGTAGTTCTTTGAAAGGCCCTCCGAGCCACGGTGGAAAGCCTTTGCAAGGTCAGTCTGACTTTTAGCGTCTCCTCGCCTAGCCATGAGAGCAATTTTGCCGAATTCCTCGGTGACGATGGCGATGGATATATTCTTGGGTGGACGTTGTTGGCGTTGCCGCGATGGGGTGCTGCTATAAGGTGATGGTGCTGGCTTGGGAGGTGACTGAGTTGCTGACTGACGCATGGTCGACTGGACTACAGGCAGGGTCCTCGGGGTATCCACGAGCACATCCAGGACAGTGTTCGGCATTGCGGCAATGCGTGGAGGGTGAAGTCTAACAATTAAAAGTCCAAGAAGATGTTCATAGTGTTAGTACACGCTGAATGCACTTTTTTTTTTGTTTTGTGCCATACAAAAGGACACTTATCGGAACGTATGAGTGTGAGAAAAGAGTATGTACCTTTTCAGATCCTTGTCCTTCAAGAAGGGGAGGATCATGGTGCCATGGCGGACATTGACTGCATCTCTGAACGCGTCTACAATATCCTCCCAGAGTACAATCTCTTTGCCCTCGGAGTCTTGCTGGATCACAATCTGGACGATTTCCAAATCTGGCGGTGTGGTAGTGGTAGTGGAGGGGCAAGGTTTGTAGATAGGGCGTATTGGTTGGAGGCGTATTGACTTGGGGCGTATTGGTTGGGGGCGTTCTTGTGCTTTCTTTTCATCGCACAACATGTCTTCAATTCTCTGGATATCGGTGGGTTGACGAATAAAAAGATTGGTAAGAGGTTTGAGGTAGGGGAGTCGTGAGAAAGGGTGGAATATGCAATGAAATGAAAGAGAAAAAAAAGAAAACGAAACGTGCGCTGTCCTTTTGTCATATTATCCAGGTCAAGACATGGCACACGTAGCACTACAGGAATATTTTGCTGTTACACATACACGCCTTTGCCATGCGGGTATCTTTTTTTAGGTTCTTGTGATTGCACACGGAGTAGATTAAGGAGGATGTCAAACTATCTCCTCTTGGGGATTATGGCTCGGGCGCTCAACATCAAACTGACTGTCTCCTTTTTCTTAAATCTGCGACATCCTCCTCCTCTTCCTCCTTTCAAACTCGTTCTGATCCGAAACACTGGTTTACGACGACACACTCTTGGTTGGCCATTCGCCTTTGAGAGCATTGGCCTCGCCATCTGGTGGTGTTACTATTGTTGCTAGTGATGCAGGCTGTCCTAAGACCATGGGCGATCCAGGCATGAAGGGTGATCCGACAGAGTCCCAGTCCTGGTATTGGTTGTGGTCCGGTAACGATTGTGGCTGTAACCGATCGATAGCTCCTCCTCCTCCTGCACGACCTCCAAAGACAGAGTGATTTGCTATGAACAACGGAAGGAACTCTTCCTGATTGGCCGTAACGTGGGCCAACTTCTCCCCATTCAGGTACGACTGGTGCTGGCGGTGATGCTGGTAGTGGTGTCGTTGAACAAGGTGCTTGTTTTGCTGGCCAAGGGTGTCCGTCAAAAGTCGCAACTGTTCCGTCAATTCGTCATTTTGTTCGTTTTCCCCTTCGCGTCCGCCCAGCCGAGTGTACTTTGTGATCAAGAAACCGGCGACGAATCCAATAAGGAGAGTACCCAGGAAGGAGAAAGCGAAGACGACGCCCGTCATGGAACCAGAGATGGTGGAACCAGAGATGGTGGAACCAGAGATGGTCGGGGAGTTTATTCCTGCTGCGTTGTTGCGATAGATGGTAGGTGCGCCAGGTCGAAGGGTGATGTTTCTTCCAGATACTGCTCCGCCTCCTGGGTGCCTGTCGTTGCTATAGATCCACCATTGGTAGGATTACTTGTGGAATCAGAGCCGACAAAAGTTGGCCATGGGACACCAGGAGTAGAATATGCTATTGATAGGGATGGTGGTGGTGTTGTTGGTTTGGCTGGGTCAGAGGTATTTCCTACTCCGCCTCCGTCTCCCGCTGTGGTTGTTGGAGCGACGTCTGTTATACTTGTTGAGACAACCCTTGACGTGGTCATGTAAGTTGATGTTTTTGTGCCTGGAAAATCAGGAGGGGTAATGAGGCTCCATGTCGGAAAAATATCAGTGGGTGGAGGCGGCGGCGGTGGTAGTGGAGGTGTGACGAGACTCCATGTCGGAAGAATTTCTGTCGGTGGTGGTGGTGATGACAATGCAAGTTCCATATCTGGTGTGAGATATAAGGTAGGGAGCGAAGAAAGGAGTAGTTGGCAATGCGAAGAGTGAGTGGGAAGAGAAGAGTAATGAAGAAGAAAAGCGAGACAGTGGGGAAGTAAAATCGATTTGTCGTCAACTCCGAGTATTTATGGCTCCTGTTACCTGCAGGAAAAGACATGAATAGGGGCTCGCTCGCTTGCTCTCTCATAGACGCCACTGAACCGCGCTGGAATCCAATTTTAAATAACCAACCTTTTGTTTCCTCTCGTTGCACTGCCCAATTATCCCATGAACAGCAGGGACGACAGGAAGTGAGAGTGGGTGGATCAAAGCTAGCTCCACTACACCCAGAGAGTGGTGAGCTTCAAGAACCGGAACAAGGAATAGGAGGCGCCGCTACCCTCCTTCCCACTCTCTTGGTCGTTTTCACATACCTCTTTCCGCGGAGGTCGGCTTCTGTTTGCCTTTTCTTTGGACAGTACATCAGCATCGTTAATCCCAACCCTGGGCAATTCAATCCACCGTTGATGCTGAGAGCAATCAATTTTTACCCATAGAAAATACATCCCTGTGGCCTTCTTTGTCTGTTGTTTGCTGCGTGCTCTTTTGTTTATTTGCTACGCTGATTCACTGTGCATTGTGTTGTCAACAAAGCTGGGAATGCTTGTGTTGCCGCCCTTTTTCCCTCCTATAGTTTATAGTTGCAAAAGCATACATACAACATATCATTGCCTGCTTTCTCTCCATGGACACTATGCCTGGATTCATTTTTGATTAGAAAATATGTGGCAGTGACAACAAATTTCCGTCTCCGATAGGGCTCCCATTCTTCTGGTCGGCGTCTTTTTTTTTTTATTGCCCTCAGTACAGAGTCAATTGCTTTCTAAGGCGCAATGGATGCCATGCTGACGTGCAGGAGTGAAAAAAAAACGAATAACCTTCTGCAGAGCAGTCCGCCGCTGTGCTCCTTTTGCTCGCTCGCCATTTCAAAATTTTCAATCCAAGCTGCAGAGTCAATCACCACCAGCCCCCTCCCTCCAGTTTTTCGACGTTTTCACAGTACCCTTGCAGTGGACACGTAACGACAATCGGAATGCAAGAACTGTATTACCGAATATCTATCTATGCGAATGCTGTACAGTACAATGCTCGACAACCGACAAACTACTCTATCCTGCTAATGGAATGAGGGTTATGTGTCACAACATCCAACCCCTCACCAAACAAACTATCCTCCCCCTCGCCCTCCACTCGATGCTGTGGGCGCCTCCTCTCAAAACCGTTCAATTCTGAGGCGGAGACGCTCTTTGAGCTCAAGGAAATGGTCGATTCTGCTCTTGAGGATGCCCATTCGTCCTTGGGGCCGTCGATTTCGACATCTGCATGGGGTAGTGGTATTGCCGTGTTGCCCAGACGAGGTGTCCGAGATGTTGCTACCACCTGTACTGCTGCGGCTGCTGCGGGGGTGGGGATGGTGGCGGGTCGGATCGATACCATTGGTGTCCCTGGCGTAATCAGTGGTGTTACTGCAGCATCCCAGTTCTGGTAGATGTGTTGATCAGGAGCCGAATGAGGGTGTGACAGATTTAAGGCGGCGGCGGTCGTTGTAGGGTATGCGGCGTAAGACCGATTCATATACAGAGGCGTCAGCTCCGCCTGATAAGGTGCATGTGTCAGCCTGTCCTCCTGGAGGTATGATCGATCCAAGTTGAATGACCGTTCCTGTGGATGTTGTTGTTGCCGGCTGTGGTGCTGGTTGTACGCGTTCTGTTGGCCGATACTCTCTGTCAACAGACGAAGCTGTTCCGTTAACTGATCTTTCTGTTCCTTGCGCTTTCGACTGCCACCGAGACGGGTATATTTGGCGATTAGGAACCCGGCGACCAAGCCGATAATCAGTGCTCCTAAGAAGGCGAATATAAAAACAACGGCCGTCATGGATCCAGAAATGACAGATCCCGAAATACCGGCTGCTGCTCCTGATGCCGATGATGGAGAGGTAGTGGGCGTGGGGACACCACGAAATGAAGTGGGTACGCCTGGTTGGAGAGTAACACCGCCATTGCCTGCAGCAGGTGGTGTTGACGTTGTTTGTTGTTGCTGGCTGGATGTCGTCGTCGTTTGTTCTGGTCTGTCGCTTTCGGAGCTTGCAGTCGTAGTGTCAGCACTGGCTTGTGATGATGTCGGTTTATCAGGTTCAGGGTTATTCCCTCCTCCACCGCTGTCATCTCCTCCTCCTCCTCCTCCAGTAGGTAGAGTAGGCCTTGTTGGATAGATTGGGTTGCTGGGGTTTGTGAAATAAGTGGGCTGCGAATCGCCACCATTGGGTACGATTGGTGGAGGCGGTGCTGTTGGTATTGGTGGAGGGGTTGGATATTGATCAGGAGGCATCGCCTGATAAACGACTGTTGGTTGATCTGACATTGTGTTCGGTTGTGAGGGAAAGGTGAAGAAGGGAGGCAAGAGGAGGAGAGGATGATAAAAAGATGGGGTAGGAGTATGGTTTTTGAAATCTGGTTTAAAGGAGGAATTGAAGAGGCAATGAAAGGAGATGAGAACAAATAAAATGTAGATTGAAGAGAGAAGTGAGTAAAGAACAACAAAAGGTAGTTGCTCATGAGTACCCATGCAATATGTCTATTTTTTGTCCCCGACACTCTACACGAGGCTGATATTCGGCGGGACAAGTAAACGCTTTGTTCCTGGGCGTCCAGAGTAAAACGAATTGAGTTTACTTCACGCCGTCAGTGGTGAAAACATAACGTTGGCTGATGGAAGATGAAATCCGTCCAATCATGCCATATTGACATTCTCAAGGGAACATCCTTAGTAGAAACCAAATAACCCCACCACGGAGTCAAGGAAGAAGGCGAGTAGAGGCAAGGAAGAAGACGAGTAGAGGTAAGCAAATAATCTTTCCTGAGCAGCCGATACAATGTATTCTATTTTCTGAGCATTTTCCTTCATTTTGAGAGCAGAAAGAAAAATAAAGAACGGCGAACATCATCCACTCACCTTACCAAGGAATTCAACCATTCTTTTGCATAACCCACTCATCGATCCATTTCCAAGCCCCCTCTCTCCTCCTCGCTGCCTCTTTCGAAAATCTGTGTCCCCATGCCATAGGATACACACACACACGGTAAACACGCATGCTTTTATATATATCTCCTTCGAAATCTGCTGTGCAGTGTGATCTGCCAAAAATAAGAGTCTCTGGGTTAGACTGCAGCATGCCTAACAAAAAAAAAATGGTTGTTTTGCACATCCTCTGTCGGCTCTCAATCTCCCTCATCCTCCCGACGTTTGCAAACTCTGATCCTCGATCGTACAAAATAAAGAAGACCCGTTGTTGCTAGACACACAAACGGAAGGTTAAGATCCAAAACTTGCATTCTACGAGTGTCCTGAATATTTTTTAACTTAATAATCACTGACACCAACTTTCATCTTTCTAACCCATGCAGTAAGCGTTATTATTCCGTTGGGTGTTTGTCACGGCGTAAACAGCTCACTTGCCCCTAGCTCCCTTTCTCTGCATCATCTTCTCTTTCACTCTCTTCTCCATTCACCTAATTTACACCTGCAGCATCTGTGCGACCATGACGATGGGCTGGGGATGTTTTGTGCACGCCAATGCACTGCATCGCAATTAACTTTAGCGCATTCATTTTAAGCTTTCTGTGCATTAGATCATCCCCCCCCTCCTTTCACTCCTTCATGGAACATGTCAAGTATGCAAGGTATTTTTAGAAAAGTGGTAAACGACAAAGAGGTAGTCTATGGTCTATGTAGATGCACGTCCAGAATGCGGACTGTAGGGTTTGGTATAAGACGAGTGAAGGAGCGTGAAAAGGTGACAAAGGAAGAGGGAAGACTTGTAGACGTGGAGGGTTGAGATTTCCGAAATGGGGTCAAGTATTAAGGAGTTGAGTTGATGTTGGACGTGAATGATGAGAAATGAATGCAAAAAAGAGTGGCGACAAAAAGCGGCAGGAAAAAAAACTGGGGGGTAAACGGACAGGACTAGCCAACAAACACTACAATTGCTATTGCTATTGATGAGAATCTCTGAACCCATCCCCTCCTCCGCTCAATTTTTCACTACTGAGAGGCTGGGACCAAATCTTTCACTTTCTTATGGGGTCACCCTTCCGCTCCCATTTTGCCCAAAAAAGGGAAGCACTCCAATGCAGTCAGTGCAGAAGAAAAAGAACTAAAATCTCACCTAGATTTGTTGGAGAAAAAATATTCCATCTACAAAACATGGCACAAGGATAAGTTTGGTTCCCGCGAACCACATTGCGATATATTATATAAGTTCGCAAAAGAAGGATCTAACAACAGAAGAACCATAGTGCAAAGTGTATTAGACAGTATTCAAGCCAAAGAGAAAAGTACGATGGAAGAAAAGAAGCCTCTTGAAGTAACATTTGAGACCGCAGAAGAGTAGATCAAGAATTTTAAAAACTGTAGATATACTACTTGCACAAAGAAAGCTTTTATATACGGAATACACATGTATAATATCCTCGTCCCTTCCAATGAGATTCACCAGATATATCACCCATTTTTTTAAAAACTTCCACCACCGACACCACCGACATCATCGACAACCACCACCGACAACACCAACAACACCGACACCATCGACACCCTCAACAACCACTCTCAACAACAACCATCGACAAAAACACGACAAGCAACAACAAACCGACAACCCGACAACAAAACGACAAGTAACAACAACCCGACTACAACTTGACAACAACCAACAAGGAGGCCTTTCACGTCCAAATTATCATATGGTGTTTGTTACATCTCTGTAGATCTCGACGATATCCATAGCGACTATGAGATGAGAATGTATATATGATACCAAGCATATAAGACAACCATTGTAACATTTTTTGTTTAACTATCCTACTAATCACCATGATATTCTTCAAACAACAAAGTCTTCTTATTTTTTGCACACCAATCTCTTGAATGTCTCCATCTACTATTAAACTGTACCCCTCACTGCAAGATTCGGCAGAGTAGTTCTTGTATGTGATCATCTAAAGCACTTGTACTCTCAACTGTATCTTTGGGGCGAAATACAGGGGAGAGATTACATTCTAAAAAATCTTGTGCTGTCTATTGCTATTTTATTCTGTGTTCTGTTGCCCACTATGAAGGGATATGTCAGTTATGGAAGTCAACACTCCGTTCCTTGGGCTTTGGATATTTTTTATATGTTTTTTATATCCTCTGCACATGGAGAGGCCACCAAGGATACATATATACTTATAGTCAGCTTAGATAGTTCAATAGTTCATAACTCACTCTTTATTAAAACTCAAGAAAAAGCACACAAACCCCCGGAAACCGTTACAGGGTACTAGTGATATATGTCTGTGTGAGTGAGGCTATGCTAACTGGACTCTTGAAACAACTGGACCCAGAGTCGACCGATCGTGCCAAGAGTCGACTGATCACCCCAAGAGCCAACCGATCGTATTGTACGACGCGACACTTATTTGAATATTATTTTTTTTGGAACAAAACCTAAGGCGTGGTTTTGATTAATGGGATCATGTATGGAATTTGACCTTGCTTATGGGTTGGTGCAACAAGGTAAAAGTTAAAAACTAGCGCCATCCTAATACTCCGACCTCACACACTAGTACAGTACCAAAGGCCCATTAGTATATAAAATATTGAAGTCGATCAAAAAACGAAAGAAAAATGCCAAGCATGTGAGCAGTTTTGGTGGGAACTGTATCAGACGACTAGTGGTACAATATTCTTGGCATGGCGTGTAGGTAAGGCCATCCTTCGTACAGCCCCTCCAACACCTGTGCTTCTTTAATGAGGAGACTCGCGCTCGTGCAGCTGGACGAAACAGGCGTTTTGACTTGCTCGTCACTTTGACATTGTGTTCTCCTGGCGAATTTATCCTCTGTGGATAGATTCGTGTGAGGTAGTTTGTTGAAGCGAATATCCCAACAGATTGGAGTCGAAAAAGCAGAGTGATGAAGAAGGTTTATGCACCCTTGGCGGAGCTTAAGATGCACACCACTGGTAACCAAAGTTTAATTCACACCAGAAGTGATACATCTGCGGGATGGGCGCACGTTGGGAAAGTGAGGAAAGATGTATACCTTTGTGCGCGGTGGTGCGATCTTGGCAATAAAAACTACTTGCACACATGACATGCCAAGACATTTTGCGACAATATATAATGGTTGCCCTGGGAAGACAGATCGAGCGTTCTCTATCTTGTTAAGAGCACTCTCCAGCACTACCCCCTATAGGAATATACTTACAATGACAAACACCACCGGCGCCTTTCAGGAGTGGACCGATGATATTGAGAAGGCGCGCGCCAACCTTGGCATCCAGGGGATGAGTGTGGCTGTTGTCCACAAAGGCAGGATTATCTATGCTCAGGGCTTTGGTAAGAGAAATGATACGGATCCATTCACCCCAGAGGTATAGTACGAGTACCGAAAGATTGAATCCTTGGCCCACAAAAATATGTGTAAATGTGAAAAATTTAGCTTAGTTGGAGAGAGAAGTCAAGAGGAGTGAAGGATGGGTTGTATCAGAGTCCCAGTTTGGTCCTTCTTCTATACCTGAACCAGACCAGATGTGACTAATATTACGACTATCTGATCTTATGAATAAAAAGGGAGGAGTGGATGCTCCACTCCCCCAGAACATAATAAATGGCCTCCATGCAATCCTATTTATATATGTGGGACTAACAACATCCGTTTTGTTTTCGCATTGTTTTAGACAATCGCCAACATCGCCTCAATGACCAAGGCATTCACTGCCGCCGCAGTGGGAGAACTGATTGCTGAGAACAAGGCTAAGTGGGAAGCCCCTGTCAGTGAGTACCTCCCCGAGTTCAAGCTCAAGGACCCTCGCCTGACCGCCGAGATCAACTTTATCGACCTGCTCGCTCACCGAACAGTAAGTATACGTCATGCTCTACTGGGATTGCAAGGTAGTATTCAAATGCATGCTCGAATAAATACTCATCACTTATGCCGTTATTCTATTTCACTCTCGATCAATACTCTAGGGCTACGTTGGGCAGGACTTTGAATGGTACCAACGGTCCAAGGACTGGATTGAGCTCATCAAGCTGCTGAGACACGTCGACCCAGTGGTACCCTTGCGATCGAAATTCATCTACACCAATACCATGTACTGCGTGGCGGGCGAGGCTGCGGGAAGGATTGCTGGTACCTCCTATGAGCAAGTCGTTTACGACAAGTTGTTTCAACCTATTGGCATGCAATCGACTGGCATGTTTATGGATGAGTTAGTGAGCCGCCCGAACCACGCGCTGCCTTACACAGGCAAGTCGTTTGAGGCTCTACAGTGCGGGGAGACGCGTCAAGTTCCACTCAAGCACTACCCCATCCCGACACCCCCTTCTGGCGACATTTGCTCGAACGTGATCGATCTTGCCAAGTGGGCCAATGTGATGCTGCATGGCGGACAGCTGAATGGAGTGCAAGTGCTGCACAAGGAGACGGTTGAAATGGTGACCACCGCTTGGATTGTTCAGAAAGTCCTTCCGCCTCGAGATCCAGACTCGAGCCTTTCAGCATATGGTATGGGCTGGTTCATTGAGCAGTACAAGGGGCGTCACACCATTCTCCATGGTACGTTTAAAAGCTTGCTCTTCATTTTGTTGACTGCATGTGGCACTTTACCATGAAGTGCAGTAGATCGATATCCTATTAATCCCTCGACCTTTTCGACATTGTAATATCACCATATGTAAAGGTGGACAGAATCCCGGCTATCGATCCAACATGGTTCTCTTTCCCCACGACGACCTCGCAGTGATCGTTTTATCCAACACACTTTTCAATGAGCTAGCTAGCACAATCCCATACTACATTGCCGATCGCGTGCTCAACCTACCCAGGACAAAAGACTGGCTTTTCGAGGTTGCCGTTCAAGAAACAAGGGACCTGTACAGGTTTTTTGGCGCCGACAACAATCCTGAAATTTTGGACAGTCTCTTCCCTCCGCGTTTGCAACAAAAACCTCCGACGCGCCTTCTTGAGGAGTTTGCAGGCGAATACACCCACCCTTATGCCCAAAAGATTTTTATCCGAATCGAGCCTGGCACAAGCGAGGAGGACGGCGCGCCTGCTTTGGCATGCAAGCTCGGCGCTTTTGATCGTACCTTGGAGCACTATCATTACGACTCCTTCCGCCTCCAGCTGTTGGATGATCTCATAGACGATACGTTTGCTTATCCACTGTTGCTGACGTTTGTCGCAGGCCACGACGGCTTGGTCAGCGAGTGCCGAGTGCTCATGTTGGGCAAAGAGCAAGTATTTACAAAGGTCCAGCCGGATACCATTTAATAGTCCTGTTGTGTACGTGCACAAAATGTGTGAGATGTTTAGCATCTGCTAGTCGCAGTAGGTGCATGTTTACTGACGTGCTATGAGGGTTATTTAAGATAGACAGATACCAAAATAAAGAGGATACGTTTCTGTCCCGCTCACCTTCTGGACACATACTTTTCTACACCTTTTCCTCACTACTTTATTATTATAACTCCCCTTTGCTACAACACCAGCTGCTGGAAGAAAGATTGATCGATCGACCATTCCAATTGTTGCACCATCTGCCGGGACGGTGCATCTGCTGGGTTGAAAGGGGAGGGAACGTAGGTCGTTCTGAGTCGGGTTCCTGTCCGGAGGCAGTGTTGCCATATCTGCTCCGCCAGCTCCATCAGTGCTGGTGATCGAGTCCCTCCGAACCTGTTGACGTAAGCGATGGTGGTGGTGTTGTCCACCATTAAATTAACCATTCTCCCCTACACCTGAGGGAGCTTGACCGCCTTGAAGATCGTCTGCAACTCGAGCCAGTTGATGTGTTGATCCTTGTCTGTCCCTGACCACTGTCCACTCCACGACTCGCCGTTGATCACAATCCCCCAGCCGCTGGTCGAGGCATCGGTATAGACATCCAGCTGTGTTGGTGTTTGGATCCAGGACAATCCGTTCCATGAGCTGAACTGCGTGATCCACCAGTCGAGGCTGTCCTTGGCCTTGGGTGAGAGGGTAATGGTGTCCGAGAGTAATACTCCTGCTTTCAGTGCTGAATTCTTCACTGCTGTTAGGTGCTGTGTCATGAGACGCGCTGGGAACACGGCCGCCGTTGTTGCCATAGCCTTGCCGATGAAGGACGAGAGCGCTCGTACTGTGGTCGTTCCTGCCCCTCTGAGCTTTGCTGCTTCCCTGCGAATGTTCCTGAGTTTCGTCTTGGGTACGGCTAGTGTCATATTCTTGGTATTGAGATGGAATCCCAGGTGATCCAGTTCCTGAGTTGGCTCGAGGTGGGACTTCGACTCCTTGATCTTATATCCCAACTCTACAAGCTTGGCAAGAACTAGACGAGTATGCTCCCTCGAGAGTTCCTTGGTCTTGACCGCAATGATCAGATCGTCCAAGTAGGCTGATATCTGAATGCCCCGACGACGTGCCCATCGTAGAACTGGCTTCAGAACCTTGGTGAAGACGAGGGGTGAGAGTGAGAGCCCGAATGGCAAGACTCTGAACTGGTATGGCTTCCCAATCCATTGAAACTGGAGGTGACGAAACACAGGGTTAGTTTTCATTTGACGAAGAATTCCCTATTTATTAGTGTGCTCAATAAACTGGTCAACAATCAAAGAAGAATTTCTTACAAGACTCTGTAAATTCTTTTTTGCCTGGAAGGGGGCTCGTTATGCTTCAGCACTTTTTTTTACGCCTCATCTCTCGCTTCTCTTGTGGAGGTGAATGAGGCCCACGCTCCGCGAACGCAAACGTGGCAATGAGGGTGGTGGGGCGCTGGAAAGTAAGAAATGAACAAAAAATGCCGAACGGTAATATTACTGACGATGGTTACTTTTCCTTCGGGTATTGTTTTTTCAATCTCTAAGCAGAGGAAGACTAAAGCGAAGAACTGTTCTCACTCGCATTCATGTGCGTTGTGCGCCTCATGTTGCAAGAGAGTGATCAAGATAGATAGTAAAATCATCCAAGGAACTGAACTTAGCCCTCAAGAGACAGTTAAAGTCGTTTCTGTCGCGTGGCAAGGAGAGGCTTCTTCGTTTGGTCAGTGTCCAATGCGAACGCGTCGGTCGAATGAGCAATGATAACACTAATTTTTTTTCATAGCGCGAACACGGTATGAGAGAGGAGCAAAATTACATACGCCATCGATATTAGCCCATCCTGCAACGGCCATCCAGGGGTGTCATCTCGCATCTGATATCATGGGACCATGCTGGCTCATTAGGTCACGTTTTTTTTATTTTATCACAGTTGCACATGCGTAGGTGGGGCATACGTATTATCCTCACTTACTCTACATCACCTCACACAGAGACGCCCCTATTTCCTCCTTTACTATTTTCTCTCCTCCACATTCATTTTTCACATTCACTTTCACATTCAACAAGCAGGAATTCAGGAATGGGAAAGGCAGGAAATAAGAAAAAGGGGAAGAAGCCAAAGGGACCCAACAGGGGACCAATGCAGGGACAGAATGGAAGTGACGATGTCTCAGCCATGGGTAACAATACAATTGACAAATGCATTTGCAATGTACTAGACCGCTGACAGAAAAGAAGGAGAGGGAAAGAGCAATGGGCAAAAGAACCGACCTTTTTGTTTCGCCTTTGTTACTCGTATATGAACCGCTTAGACGATGCTATTTTGGCGCAAGTGATTGCGAGATCCCAGAAGGACGCCGATATCGCCTCAGTGGAAGAATCCGCCTTGTCTGTGGCAATTGCTGCCTCCCTGGAGCTTGCTAACGCGAATGTCAACAACAACACGCCAAACAATACCGCCGCACTCGACGGAGCAGCAGGAGACGCCGACACGACACCAAACCCACCGACCGACGAAGAAAGCATCGACACCCTGCTCAAGGACACTCTCGGAGACGACGACGACGACGAAGTCCAATTGGCAGCGGGGATCGAAAAGTGTCCCCATCTCAAGGAAGCCGTCAAGTTGCCCAAGATCCGAAAGACTCTAACTGCAACCCACCCAGTTCCTGCAGACTTGGACCACTGTCATGGATGTCAGGATCAACACGCAAAATTTACGAGTATCGCTCAACAGTTGGGGGTGCCACTGTCTATATTGGCCTTATCGGACCCCATAGATGACATGTTGGAACCCTTACCGCTGGACGCTTTGTGGCTCTGTCTTGCGTGTTCTGAGATCAATTGTGGGAGGATGTTTAAGAAACATGGCGTTGCGCATCATAACAAGGTTACGAATAATCATCCTTTGGCTATGAACCTCGGGTCCATGGACGTTTGGTAAGTGTTTGATGGATTTTTGTTCTGGCGGTCTATGTTAATTGCTCTACGATTTTGTACTGACCGAGAAATGTGGATCTTCACACAATGTAGGTGTTATGAGTGCGATGACCAGGTGGTGACATCCAAAGACAAGAACCCAATCCTTCAGGAATGTCAGGCACTCCTTGCCAGAACTCTTCAAGGAAAGCAAGCAAAGGCCAGAGGTACGTGTGTTCCTTCTTCGATACTTGTGGCGCAAACGGCTTTGGAGTCGGACCACAACGCGCTTTTTATATATCTCGGATCACTAACCATGAGCATTTTCCAAAAATCAAACATGTAGAGGGCTTGCTAGCACAATCCAGGAAAGGGAAGGGCCACAAAGACAGCAAGGTCAAGGTCTACGCACCAGGACTCCAGAACCTCGGCAACACCTGCTTCTTCAACTCGGTCATGCAAGTCCTGGTTGAAACAAAGTCCCTCCGCGAGATCCTCTCCGACAACAACAACAACAACAACAGCCACTCCTCCAAATCCATCTCTGCGACCACACGAACAGGACTGGGGCCTTTAACGACGAATTTCAAGGACTTTTTGTTCACCATGTGGAAACAAAAGGGTGGGACCGTGACCCCTCGAGATTTGTTTACGCAGATTGCGAAGAAGTGGAAGGTTTTCCGTGGATTTCGGGAGCAAGATAGTCAGGAGCTGATGCGGCATTTGTTGGAGGGTATTCGGCAGGAAGAGGCTGCCTTAATCAAAAAGCGACTTGCCGAGGAAGAGCAGCAGCCGCAAGTTGGCGAGGAGGCCAAGTCGGAGGTCGCAGCGCCACCAAAGTATGTCCCTTTCATTGACACTTGCTTCTCTGGAAAGCTCGTTAGTGTCATTGTTTGTGACGCGTGCAAGAAGGTACAGAGTTCATGTTCATATCCTTTTGACTGAGAGTTACTGAGCGAGACAATGTCTTGGTACTAACGTGCAATGTTTTTGTAACTATTTACAACATAGTGCTCTTACGCGTACGAGAACTACTACGACCTCTCACTGCCCATCAAGGGAGCCTCAGTATCGATCGGTAGTGGAAGTCTAGTGGACCGTCTCAGGGCGAAATCACGCGCGACCGGGTACGAGCTCACGCGTTCATCCGACTCGAGTAACGGTCAAGGGATCTTGGAGGCTGACCAGGGGTCCGAAGAGCACTGGCGTCATGTCGAGAAGCTGCTCAAGAACGTCCCCTCCCGGTCGCCCAACTCCGAGGTACTGTCAATTGAGCGGTCGTTGATCCAGTTCACTAATGTCGACCTTTTGGATGGCGAGGATAAGTTTGCCTGTGAGAACTGCTACAGGTTGGTGGAGTCGTACAAAGCACAGGACGGCACGACAGTGGAGGAAGATGGCGCGGCAGAGAAGGAGGAGAAAGAGGGGAAGGAGGAGAAGGAGGAGAAGGAGGAGAAGGAGGTGAAGGAGGCGAAGGAGGTGAAGGAAGTGAAGGAGGTGAAGGAGGTGAAGGAAGTGAAGGAGGTGAAGGAGGTGAAGGAGGTGAAGGAGGTGAAGGAGGAGAAGGAGGAGAAGGAGGAGAAGGAGGAGAAGGAGGAGGAGGAGGAGAAGGAGGAGAAGGGGGAGGAGGAGGAAGAGAAGACCGAGACAAAGGACAGTGCTGCTACCGCCGGGAAGCCAAAGGCGTCGAATGCTATTCTTCGTAGGGCGTACAAGCGATATCTCGTCTCAAGTCTCCCGTCGACGCTGGTCATCCACCTGAAGCGGTTCGAGCACACAACCACATCGTTTGGACTGACGAAGAAGATAGAGGATCACGTCGATGTCCCTACCGAGCTCGACATGGCTCCGTTCTGTATACCCAGGAATGAGCTGTACGACGAGACCGAGACTGAAGCCAAGGAGCTTGCGGCCGCCGATGGCTTTGCGAGTGGAGAAACTGGCAGCGGATCGACAAAGTACAAGCTCTACGGCGCGACAGTCCATCAAGGTTCACTAGCCACGGGCCACTACACCAACTTTGTCCTCTCCTCCAAGGTCGAAGTTCCGCCTACCCCTGTCCTAACAGAGCCTGGCAAGCCATCGACGACAACGACAGCGGTTTCGAACGGAGTCGGGGTTGTCTTACCTGATATCCCGCTTTCAGAGATGATGACTCAGCAGAGTTCGAAGAAAAAGAAGAAAAAGGGCGGTGGAGGTGGAGGTGCTGCTGCTGCTGCAACGAAGAAAGGGGCTGCTGCTGGTGGACCAAATGGTGCAATCTCCCCTGCGGTCGTGTCGTTGGAGAGTACCACAGCGGAGAGGACCGTGAACGACGACGGTGGACTCACGAAGATGGACGGCGTTGTTCCCGAGCCTGTGAAGGATACTCGAGAGTGGATCTATTGTAGTGACACCCAGGTGCGGCCTGCTACTTTGGATGAGGTGCTTGCGAGTCGTCCGTACCTCCTTTACTACGAACGGTGCTAGCTATTTATTTTTCTGTGTAGGATAGTGTTGATTAGAATGAAGTCGAACGGTCGTCATGTGCTCCATCGAGTCATTTTCAACGGAAAGGTGCACTGTTCGTCATTGAACTCGCTTAAAAAAGGCGTTCGTCCCACTTTCCTCTCTTCTTCTTCTTATTCCCTCAACTCACTCTCACTCAACCAAACCTCGTCTTCACTACACCACACCACACCATACACCCAAACAACAAAGCCAAAAACACCCCTTTCGTCCATCCAAAGGAATGACACGCACACGCACCGGCGAATACAAGGACTCCTCCAACGCCCCACGCGAGCGCCGTCAATCCAGGTAAGCAGCGAAACGTTGACCTCACCTAATAATTCCTCTCATCTACTATTTCCCTTACTGTTTTGCTCTAACTTGTCATCCTAACATGGATTTCTCACGCTTCATATCGCTCCCTCACTCACGTCGTTCGTTCAACATTCCGCTGTGTGCGTAAAAAATGATATGATGCTAATAGGAACGGCTTCTCGGATCCCAGAGCGATCCCCAAGAAGGCCGGTGCTGGACATGGCAACTGGGGTGTCCCGGGATGTGAACTGAACCAGCAGGAGCAGACGTCTGCCTTGAGGTAAGCATGTCTGAACTCGTTTTCCTGTGAGATCGTGTGAGGCTCTGGTTGATGAACAATAACGTGGGATGATTGTTCTGTTTGCTCTTGTTTGTGTTCCCATGGAGCTTGAACAGGGCGTAGCAATAGAAATGGGCGATGGTCGTGGTTGTGACGACTGCCTTTGTTTTTTGCACTACATCGAGCTGAGGTTGAAAATAACGACAGGGATTGTCGTCTGGGTCATAATATTCATGCAAACATGCAAATGCCATTCATATATTAACTCTATTAATGCTTCCCATTCTCGTTCACGGCATGTCCTTATTTGTAGTGACAATGTCTCGATGTCCCCTCCTGAGAACAAGATCACGGTAAGGCAGCACACCAAGCATCCATCCACCCCTACTTCTTGCCATCTCCTTTTCTCTCAGGAGGAACAACTAGAACAAAAAAAAGGAATGTGAGGGGGAGGGGAGTGACCAAAAAAAAGGCGTGATGGATTTTCATTTTTTTTCCCACTGACCCACCAACCGAACCCGGCTGGGCTGGACCTCTTCATGACAGGACAGGTCGTGTCCCTTTTAGAATTGCATGAATATTGCGGGTTGGATGAAAATTTTCACTGGTCTCACGCGATTCCCTCTCTTCTTCAAAAATGAAGTATAATCACCCACACCACCCACACCACCCACACAAAGTACAAACCGTACACCCACACCGACCCTAGCTATTCACTTCCCACCTCCCCACACGATCAATTGTGACAAGGAACGACTCACACGACCTGACATGACTAAACGGTCGCGATTTTTTTTTTTAAACGGTCCTTCGGTTTACTCTCTTTTTGTACACCCCGCTAATCATCTTCTCCTATCACTCATCCTTTAATAGGTGATTGACGCCGAGACCTTCACCATGTTGCAGAACAACAGCCGACCCGACAGCCAGGCGCAGTCGACTGCTAATGACGACCAGGTCTCCTCCTAAGCAGAACAGCTTCGGCATTGCAGGAGGATTCATTGAGGCGCCCACGATGAAGAGCGCACTCGCGACAATCTCACCCCCCTTGGACCAGCTCTAATCGCTCAACCTTGCGTTGTGATACTTTGTTTTTTGCAGCCCTTTTTTCCGAATGTGTCTCAGTCCATTCTTTTCAACTTTGAAAAAACACCATTTGTACATAGCTGTAAACAACCAAAAATATATAAAAAAAACACCACCCCTACGTACGAACGAGTGATCATGTTCTGCAAATGAGTCAAGGTGAAGGGACCCAGCGGCCCGCAGTAACCAGAGAGTGAGACAGAACGAAACGGCCTGGGTCAGGCTGTCATGTTTGATATTTGCTGCTGATTTTTATTCTTGAACGGACACACGAAACTTGCTGCACATCTGCAAGTGGGAAGAGAGATGGGGTGATGTTATCCGGGTCCGACCTTGGGGATATCGTAGTGCTCAGTCATCTCCTCCAGTTTCCGGTTCAACTCCTATTGTATGTACAAAATGAAATAACGTTGGGAAGGATTAAGCAAATCGAGTGGGTCTCATTAATTCGCCGTGTTTTGGGAAAATGGTAGAAAATTCTAGACGACAGGGTGCCATTTGAACCCAGAGCGAACACAGAAACAATAGGGAAAATGGCATTTGACTTACAGCGACCTTCTCCTTGTGCGACTTCATTGCAGACTTGAGGACCTTCTCCTCTTGCTATTATCGTACAAATGGCAAACAAAAAAGAAAGCATATTTAGTCGTGTCCCCTTGTAATGCTTTCGTGCAAAGTATCACAAACATCAAGGTGGCGCATTGTTCTAATAGACGAATCACATACGCGTTTCTTGTGAATCTCCTCGAATCGCTTCTCAGCGGCAGTCTTTTCGAGGACACGGATGGGTTTGGGGGGTGGAGGGGTTGACTCCTTGGCGTCCAGGGCTGCCTTCACTTTGGCTGGATCGGTCTTTTTCTTCTTCCTAGTGACGAGAAAGAGAGTGGAGGAGGGTAGGCGAAGGTGGTTAGGACTTTGGAAAGTTAAGGTCGTACACGCTCGAAAAAAGCAGTCCAGTCTGACGAGGTTATTGTCGCCTTGGAGGGGTTGAGTGCAAGGAGGAGACATGGCGTTGTGTGAACGCGGTTCATGGTGGAGAGTTGGCTAGTTGTTGAAAGTTGTGACTTGAATGCGTGGTTGTAGAAGTGTATTAACGTGCAGAAATTACTTTTTGTTGATGCCTCCGCCACCCTTGAACTTGAGTGAGCCTCCAGCGGTCTCGTAGTCGGCCATGGACAAACGGGTTGTTGGTTGATGGGAGGAAGAGGGGTAGGGGAGAGGAAGTGAGTGGTGTGCTGTGTGGAATGCGAAACGATGTTCTCGCTTCTGATGCTCAGGGGATCATGTGACTGCTCATTTCATAGAACAAGCCACGCCACTAAAGTCGATGTCCACACGAAAACAAACAATATTCTTTTTTTTCTTTCAACCTTACCTCAACAACCAACACCAACCAACCAACAACCCAACCACTCAACACATACAACACATACAACAAAGATGCTGAAGCGCGCGCACAGGGAACTGGCAAGGAACTCCATCTACACCGAGGTCATGCCCACAGGAGACGACGCCCTGTCCGAGATGGAAGCCATGGCCAATTTCTCAGACTCTGGCTCCGACTCTGACAGTTCGTCAGACGAAGATAACGATCTCGGTGGCGGTGATAGCGATCTGGACAGCGGTGAGGATGCCGAGCTCGAATCCTACATCCAAAAGTATGAAGGATCTCTCAAGAAGGACAAGAAGGACGGTTCAGACGACGAGGACGAGGAAGCAGGAAGCGGTTCATCAGATGACGAGGATGCGGAGGAAGAGGCTGAGGAGGAGGAGGCTGAGACACATTTCCGCTGCAAGATCTGTCCCAAGAAGACGCTCAAGAACGAGACGATGGTCCAGGTGCATCTGAACGGACATGAACACAAGGTCAACCTCAAACTCTACAAAAAGGCGCTCAAGGAGGACCAGACCAAGGAACAGGTCGACAAGTTGAAGGCCAAGAACCTGAAGAAGAAGGAGAAGGCACTCCTGAAGAAGGAGGACCGCAAGGCTGCCCAGAAGCTGAAACTCAAGGAGAAGAAGAAGCGACAGTGGGAGAAGAAGATGGCTGCTGCTGCCGCCGCCGCAGGAGGATCGACAAAGGAGATTAAGAAGGTGGAAAAGATTGTCGAGAAGGCCGAGAAGAAGGTTGAGGAGGTGGTCAAGAAGCAGGACAGGGCCGTCGAGAAAAAGGTCGGCAAGATCGTGGAGAAGGCTGAGCGGGATGTGGAAAAGAAGGTCGAGAAGATTGTGGAGAAGGCCGAAAAGGATGCGACCAAAACCCTCAACAAGGTCCTCGCCAAGTCTGACAAGAAGGCCTCGTCGAAGTCCAAACCACCAGCCAAGAAGCAGAAGACCTCCAAGCCCTAAAAAATAAACCCCAACACCTCCCTGTATCATATCATATCTTTTCAATTCGTATCCGTTCGATAATTGGCTCCTGTTGAGTGTTCAGATCGCCCTTCCTTGCTCTTCTTCGAAAATGACGCCGCTTTTGCGCACAGCAGGAAATCACGGACACATACTCACATCACACAGACAATAGACCATGTACTGCAAAAGGAGCGACGTGTTCGAGAGGTGAAGCAATGCGTGTATTTCTCCGAAAGGTGACGTGATTTCTAGTTCGATTTCCCTTTAAAACTTGAAAGGAATCTCATTCACTCTTTTCTCCTCTTCCATTCATGCACCCTCACTCATTCATTCCACACCCGCCAACCCATCCGTAATGACCAACCCTACCCTCATCATCACCGGCGCCTCCCGCGGTATCGGCCGCTCAATTGCCCTCCTTGCTATCCAGAACTTGAACGCCAACGTTATTGGTGTTGCCCGCTCCCAGGCCGCCCTCCAGGAGCTCTCGAGCCATATCGAGACAGAGCTCAAGTTGAAGGATCGCTTCAAGTTTGTTGTTGGCGATGTCACTGCCGAGTCGACCGCTGTCGAGGTCGTCGATGTTGCCACCAAGTCCTGGAGCGGTCGTCTTGACGGACTTGTTCTTAACGCTGGGTACGTTTTGTTGCTTCGTTGTATCCATTTGCTGCTGTGTAGTTGAGACGAACGTGTGTGCATGAATCGTGTAAAAAAATAGGGGATGACTGGAGGGATCGTGCAAAGAAATCTGACCGTTGTGAAATGTCTCTCGTTAACTGCTCCCTTCATTGTAGTATTCTTGAACCTCTTGCACCCATCGCCAACACCAACGTCAAGGACTGGAAGCAGTAAGTCACATCCGTTACCCTTTTCTTTTCTGTGTTCTCATCCTGTTTTGGAGGCGATCTTTTAGACATCCGACTTGCGCTTGCCTTCGTTGAAGAACTGCTCCAAAATAAGGCCTCAAATCAATGCTCACACAACATTCCCACAATCGATATCGTTATTGCCCTTAATAGCAACTTTGATGTCAACTTCTTCTCAATCATCACCCTCGTCCAGCACGCCCTCCCTGCCCTCCGCGAGTCTAAGGGTCGTGTCATATTTGTCAGCTCTGGCGCTGCTGTCAATGCTTACCACGGCTGGGGCGCCTACTGCGCGTAAGTCATTCCTTGTCTTTTTACTTTTTTTCCCTATCAAGGAGTAACATTGCTTGCTTATCATGTTTGAAGCGACAAGGACCATTTCTTACTCAATTGACCTCTTTCTATGTTTTGCTGATGTGATAATAGATCCAAGGCTGCCTTGAAGATGTTCGGAGAGATCCTCGCCAAGGAGGAACCCGAGGTGACCTCTGTCTCTATCCGCCCTGGTGTCGTCGATACCGAGATGCAGGCCGTCATTCGTCGTGAAGGTAAGAGGACAAGACACAATGATGTTTGGCGCTTTGCAAAGAAGGAAAAGACGACAGCTTACTAGAAACTAACTACGCAATCTGCTGTTGTTTCTTCCCAATCCACGTGTTGTAGGTGCCACCGGAATGGTCCCCACACAGCACGCCCAATTCGTCGACCTCCACACCAGCAAGAAGCTGCTCCATCCCGACCAGCCCGGCCACGTCATTGCCAACTTGGCCGTCAAGGCCCCTTCGTCGATCAGCGGAAAGTTCTTTTCATGGGACGATGAGGAGTTGGCCGCCCACCAATTGCCCTAAACCGTCTTTGTCAATTCAGTCTTTGGGGTCTCAAGTTAATTAATAAAACATGGCAATTCTAGGAAGTGTACAATTGAAGTGTGGGTGTGGAGCATAGCACAAAAGAAGACTATGCAGTCGCGTGTTTGTTGTCTGACCGCATATCCTAGCGAATGAAGAGGGAACAGAAAAAAAGAGTTAGGGGGCCAGTCTCTTTCCACTGCATTGCGACGACTGCGCAGATGATGCCCGCTATTTCCTGTCTCAGTCATGTCCCTCTCCCCTTATTTTTCCACCATCGCGAAAATTGTACGATTTGAATGAGCACGCGGAGTGGAAGGGGGTTGAATGACTTGTGTGTGTGAAGGTGTAAAGGAAGGAGAAGGAGAGGAAGGGGTCATTCGATGCCATTGTTGACGGTTATGAGTCTCGAGCGCCTCCTAATTGCGTGCTCGAGAAAAAGTGGGGAACCAGGGCGAGAGGGGGTCGAAGAAATAAGAATGGCATAGCAAAGGACAGAGAGGTGCAGGGCGAGGGATAGATTGAACAAAAAAAAAGGGAGTGTGGGCCATGGTGCAATTCAAGGGGGTCCTTTTGAACTGAATGTGAAATGGCGGTGTAGCGGGAGGGGAGGGTGAAGTTACGGCTCTGTCTATGGAAGCCATTCTCATCCCTATGACCCATTCTCTCTGATTTGGTCACGGTGGACAGACAACATGCAGCAAAGCGAAGTGAGTGAACATGGTCACCCAGACCAAAACATTCGACAACAATCCTTGGCGTTCGGTGCATCGCCCCAGGCTTGAGAAAATGCTTCTTTTCGACCAGCCTGAAGAGCTGACGTTGAGTTATTGAACACATTCAGCCCCCCTAGTCAGGCAGGGCTGGGAAGGTTCTACGTATGAGAAAACCGATCAATCCAAAAACGCACAATCGATAGCTGTTAACATTGGAATTGTGATTATTAAGCGAGGCGGCGCGAGAGTTTGTAGAGTGGTATAACAAGGAGTGGGGGCTTGGGTCTGGGCAAGAAGATTAGCCTGCCAGGTTTCAAGTATTTTATCTGATCCAGCTTTTTGTGTAAAGTACAGTACGAGTGCCATGGTACATTACAAGTGATCGGGGTAGTTTTGAAAAAGGTGAACGAGAGAGCGAACGTGTCCAGCCAATTAGATTTTGATTTCAAAGCGCGCCTCGTTCTCCTTGAGGGACTGCTTTTGCCACATTCATCGCCGCTTGCATTATTAATCAACTCTGGCATATTTGACATTGGGCAAAGAAGGCACTGAAGGAGAAAGCACCATTTGACGACATCCCTCAGCTTGAAAAACAAGCGGGCCAATCGAAGACGCGGAACCAAGAGGAGCTAATTGGAGAATACAGAGGCTGGTGTTAACCCTTTCACACCTTGCTCCTCTCATAACACACACACACTTGCCTCGCCCACACTCTAACAGCCAGCGGGGACCCAATGTCAAGTATAAAAGCAAGGCCATTTGCCCGGTTCTCCCACTTTTCATTATCTCTTCATCTCCAACACCAAACACAACAACCACTCTTCCACTCAAGAACCAGTAACATCTACAACAAACACACAATGGCCGCTACCAACGTTTCCCTCCCCATCCCCACCAAGGCTGATACCACCGTCCTCGGCCAGGCTGCCAAGTCGACCGACTCTACATACAAGATCCTCTACTTTGGACTCCACGGCCGCGGTGAATTGACCCGTACCCTCCTTGCCTACAGCGGCGCCAAGTGGGAGGAGCTCCCTGTCGTAAGTGTCTCATCCTCCTTGTGTTGTTCGCGCTGTTGTTCATGAATGTCGATCGATCAATTGCAATTAAAATGTCTCTAACATTTGGCACCAATCCTTCCCATTTGATATTTCGTTCTCTCTCTAACAGGACTGGGCTACCCAGAAGGACCAAACTCCCTTCAAGTGCCTCCCCGTTGTCTACGAGACCACCCAAGACGGCACCATCCTCGAATTGGCCGAGTCCCAAGCCATCGAGCGCTACCTCGCCAACAAGTACGGCCTCTACGGCAAGAATGCCTACGAGACCCACAAGGTCGAGCAGATCTTCTCTTCTGCCGACGGCGTCACCCAAACCTTCTCCCAAAAGATCGTCGGTGTCGCCCAGGACAAGCGTGTCGAGGAAGCCAACAAGTTCTACGTCGAGGTCCTCCCCAAGTTTATCGGTATCCATGAAGCCCACTTGGCCAAGAACGGTTCCAACGGACACTATCTCGGAAACTCGGCTACGCTTGCTGATATCAAGGTTGCACACTTGATCGATCGTCTGTTGTTCTTGAGACCCAAGGGTGCCGATGAGGTGCCCATCTCGGCCGAGAAGACTCCCAACTTGTGGAAGGTTTTGGAGAAGGTTAACAGCCACCCTTCTTTGGCTGCTTGGAAGAAGAGTGAGCGCTACCAGGAGCTCAACGCTGGCACCTTGAGCATGTTCAAGTTCTAAATGTCTTCTTCTCTCTCATTGAGTGAAGCTTGTTTCTTTTTTTCCCTTTTCTCATTATCGTCATTTCATGCTACATACCCCCTTTCCCGAGAATAACATAGCAAAATAAAAAGAGAAAAAATGTACAAAAAAGCCATCCTCCTGAACATTGCGATTCCCACGCTTTCATTGACATCTCAATATCAAAAAAAAATCGATTTATTGACCCTTGAACTAAAGGCAGGCAAAATGGCTGTGGAGAAAGGAAGAGGGCTAAAGCGACGTGTGAAGGGACAAGATCGTGAGAGAAAGAGAGGAGGGAAAAGTGCGAAGATGAAGGGAGGCGTAAGTCTATGTTAGACCGGTATTATGCGTGCAAACGGATAAACATAATGACCGCAATGAATTCCGCACTGTCCTCCTTTGGTGGAACTACGTTCATTCGTATCCTGCCCTTTGCTGTTTATACGTGTTCTTTCTCTCGAACGCTCTGTTCAAATCACTCCCAAGGACTAGGAGGCCAACAAGGCAAGACTGTCTAGGACAAGCAATTGAGGCATGGAAGTGGGAATATTATTTCCTCCTTCCCTCCCTCCACTACAAAGGTGGTGATCGGTTTGATACGTCTCTATGTTTTTTTGAATGATGAAGGGATTCAGGAACAAGAAACTGAAACTAGACTTTATCAGTATCCAAAGATCAACCACACAAACAAAGGAACACAACAACGATCGTCTACACAGCAGCTCTGGCAAAGTGTAACAAGGAATACTTGAGAAGACAAGGGAAAAGAAAACAAATAAGTATGTCCTTCACAAAAAATGTTGCCGCGCGTGCACACCATGCTCAAGCCCTTTAAGAACAACGAAAACGATCACCTGGACCCAACCCCTCCACTCCTACTCTTTCTTGATGATTCGTTCTACTTTCTCTCTTCATCACCTTCACATCAACCTCTCCTTTTCATTGCGTCTTCATTTCTCCCATCGCCTCGTCAAGTGTTCATCTAACAACCCTCACCAACCAGAAAAATGATTACTCAACCAGAGAATCAGTCTCAGGAACGCGTCCAAGCGATACGATCCGTGTACAGGACCATCACTCCCAACGCCACGGCCTCCACAATTGCCGCGACAGAGTCGGAGTTTGTGCACGTCACTGTCTATTTGGACCCTACAGGACGAGAGATTGTTTTCTGGGAGGATATTTGTTCGTCTTCAAGGACGCAGTAAACATCCGTCACGAAACCTTTCGTGAGAGGCAACGACAGGAAAAGGTACGTCTACATTGAGCACTTATTGTTAACATAAATATTTCACACAAAGCACATTGGCAAACACCGTCTAACGTGAATGAATTTCGTCCGCAATTGGTATGTATAGGCTTGAGCCTCTCTGCTTCATTGCAATACCCGATGTTGTCCTGGACGTCTATGTGGAAGCGCCATTGATGCAGATGGATCCTATCACATCAGTCCTACGAGCACTTCAGGTGTCGCCTGCAGCAGGACCTCACCTATCTCTTCATTCGGCGAATCTGCCAACAGCCCACTCAACATTCGAATTGGCACCGAGACCTGCACCTCAGTTAACACGCCAGTTGTCTCTCACGTCGGAGGTTCATCCAAAAGCCCAGCCGGCGCCAAAGTCAGTGCACCAGACATAACTTCAAGCAGTACCACTACAGCTCCACAAACAAAGGCCCAGACAGCACATCAGACAGCGTGTCAAACAAACCTCCAGACAGTACCTCAGACAACACCTCAAACAGCGCCGTCTGCAGAATCACAGTCGCCACTCCAGTCACCGCCTCCGTCGCCATTTCCATAAGAATCTCGGCGTGGAAAAACATCGCCATCATCACAGTTAGCACAGGCATCAGCTCAGCCGAAGGGCGTCAATAAACCTAGCAGGAAGACCATAGTCGTTGAGGAAGAAGACAAGGAATCAAGCGTCGTCATTGTATAGTCTAACGCGCCTCCAACACTACCCCCGCCAACACCCAAGTCACGGCCAACAACTCAGTAAATGCCAAATCTTCTGGAGCCTCACCTTCACAGGACGAAATCCACCTTTCAGCAAAGAAAAAAAACTAAGGCCGGTACTGATAAGGACATCGGCACCTTCATCAGTGCCAAAGCAGGAGACGTTCATGCCCCGATCAAGCTAGCGGAGGCTTACAGGTATGGCAAGGGTGGATATCAGTAGAGCTACCTGGCGGTGAACGGCTGGTTTATCTGAGCTGCCCAACAAGGGGATAGCACAGCTCGATAAAACATCGGTCCGTTTTACGAGGAGGGACATGGCGTCGTGAAGGACAGTTCGAAGGCTGCTGTTTGGTACAACAAGGTTGCCCACAATGGATCTGCAAAGGTCCAGTCCAACCTTGGTATCCTCTACATTAAAGACGACGGCGTCGAGAAGAACAACACGCTGGCTATGCTGTGGCTTGTTATGGCAGTCAAACAAGGCAATGCAAGTACCCAGTTCAACCTTGGCTGCATGTATTAGATATATGGGCGATGGCGTTCCAGTGACCTACGACAAGGCCTTGGCGTGGCTCTTTAACGCCGCCAAAGGAGGACATTCGCTTGCACTGCAGGCTTGCAAGAATATCCAGGATGAACGAACTTCCCCTGATTTGAGCTATTAAAAGTAACGTGGCTGTTTTGTATCCTGCATCGATGACACTTTATTTTTCATTGCGAGTATGCTTGCTTTCTGTGAGTTGGTGGCGCACCCGTTTCAAACGTGACTGTAAACAGAACTCCATGCGTTGATGTGCCATGCACTCGACCCATTTCCACGCCACCTGCTTTCTTTTGTTTCCACCTCTTTCATTTTTCTTCTCTTCGCTCCCTTCTTATCTTCTCACCACTTCCATCTTCTCCTGTACGTTTTGTTTTCTCCCTCACCTTCCAGTCCCTCATCCACCTTTATTTCTCACCTAGTCAACTTTTCTCCCCTCCTGTTGTTCCTCCTCTCTCACCTCGGAACATCGTCGATTCTCTCTCGTCCTTTGTTTCAAAACAGCAACCCATTCACTCACCCACTTGCCGAGGTCATGTTGATCACCCAGAATGGTCCTCAGGAACGAGTCCAAGCGATACGTCCCATCTACAAGATTAGCCCGTCCGCCTCTACTTCTGCCGTTTCAACTACACCACCATCGAATCTAGAGATTGTCCAAATCGAGGTCCGCCTCGACTCTGACGGCAAAGACATTATACTATGGGACGACATCCTCAGCGCCTTCAAGGATGCCGTCAACATTCGCCGTGGGGTCAAGGTCCTCCCCTTTCTGAAGGACAAGGAGTTCAAAAAGTATGCTGTCCTTTTTTTTGCTTGCTGTGCCTTACGGTTTTGTTTTGAAACAAAGGGGTGACAAGATTTTGTGGTCCTAATCCGTGTAACTTGTTTGGTTTCCCCTTTTTTTCCACATTTTTTTTATTTTAGCCTCCACCCCCTTCGGATTGCCGCTGTGCCAAACACTGTCCTGGACGTGCTTGTGGATGATCTATCGGTGAGCGCCACTACGGCGCCAGTGGCCCTAACCCCACCTCCATCGCTACCGAGGCCAACGCCCTCGTCAGTACCTGAGCCATCAGCTCAACCGGTACCTCAATTGGCGCCTAGGCCAGTACCTCAGCCAGTGTCCCAAGCGGCGTCTCGGACGTCAAACTTGCTTGAGTCCGCGCTACCACACCATCCGCAACCAAAGACAACAAGGCGGCTGGCATCAAGACCTAAATCGCAGTCAGCACCTCACCCAGCGCTTCATTCTGTCCTCCTCTCACCATCTCAATCGCCTCTACCATCTGTCGTAACTATGCCATCCAGAATACACAACCTCGACCCCAAATACGCTGGCGAGGATGCGAAGGGTCATTCCAAGAACTACACTAGCACTGACGACAGCAGCTCGGACGAAAGCAATAACAATACTCCTTCCGCCATCGTCAAGTCACCACACAGCACTCAATCCACGGAGAATCATCGTATCTCCTACCTTGACAACACCCATGGCGCCGTCGAGGACATCACCTACACCTTTATCAAGGCCCAGCAAGGGGACCTCCGCTCACAGTTCAAGCTGGCGATGGCCTACAAGCACGGCTCCGATGGTCTCTTCCAGAGCGACGAGTCGGCAATGAGTTGGCTCCGCAAGGCTGCCGAGCAAGGTCATGCGGGAGCAGAGTGTGAGATTGGGCTGTTCTACGAGATGGGCCGAGGTGGTGTCGAGGAGGATGATGTCGCGGCAGTTGAATGGTACCGCAAGGCTGCCAACCGCGGGCACGCAGATGCTCAGAAGAACCTTGGGTCCATGTATGCTCAAGGTTGGGGAGTGGAAGAGGATCATTCAGAGGCCGCTCGATGGTATTGCAAAGCCGCGGGTCAGGGTCATGCGTCTGCTCAGTTCAGCCTTGCCGTTCTATATACCCAAGGCCAAGGGGTCCCCAAGGATGGATTCAAGGCATATGAGTGGTTCCGAAAAGCCGCCAGCCAAGGACACGTCGAAGCTCGGTTCAGCCTCGGGTCCATGTACTTTGACAGTCAATGCGGCGTCCACAAGAACTACTCCAAGGCGATGAACCAGTTCCAGAAGGCTGCCGCTGAGGGCCACTGTGACGCCCAGTTCCACATCGGGGTCATGCACGCCAACGGTCTTGGCGTTCCACAGGACGATGAGAAGGCCATGCCATGGTTCTACATGGCCGCCAAACAATGCCATGCCGAGGCCCAGTCTTGTCTCGCGGTCCTCTTCTTCACGAGTCGGGGTGTTGTGCAAGACCACGAGGAGGCCCTGCAGTGGTTTCTTAAAGCGGCCAGACAAGGACATATACCGTCGATGTTCAACCTAGGCATCATTTACAGCTCCAAGCGCTTCTGGGACAAGTCTCTTGCCATGTATTGGTACCTCAAGGCTGCGGATGGTGGGTACAAGGGTGCGCGTGAAGCCTATGAAACCCTCAGTGCACAACATTGATTTTCTTGGTCGCACTAGTTTAGCGTTTGCTTTTTCTTTCTTTGTGTTTTGCAATCAAATATATAATTTTCGATTCACAACTACCAAACGCGATTCCTTCCAATGCACGAAAAAAAAAAATCCTTGAGAGGAGAGAACAGGAAATTTTAGGCATCGGGATCCTTTCGCTACATTTTGAAAGCAGCACATGGTAAAAGAAGAGTATCTACCAGGGTGGGCTCACATGCATGCGGGATAGTTGCCCGAGATCGAATGGATGGCAAGTCCTCATTCCTATAGGGCTTATTTGGACCTTAATACATCTAACTGCGTGTTTCGACATTTGCGTGTGGCAACTGACATGGCAACAGAATCAGGGAGCTAGAGTGAGAGGGCGTTCCTTTAACGCCTCGCCATTTATTTCCTTTCGTCAAACACCTGAAAAACAACTCACGACACGTTATACGCCAGTACCTCTTCGACTCTTTCCACTGAGCAATTGCAAGGATCTGATGAACCGCTTCTCGAACTCGCCACAGGTTTGGTGTCTTGTCCTTTAACAGCGGTACAGGGTCCGCACCTTCAGGTCTCAGTAACAACAACCAATCCATCAGCACGGTGGCTCGAATTTCCGCCAGTGAGGTCTTGTCGCCCACGTAATGACCATTCTTTCCTCCTCCATTCTCCTGCAGCTTCTCTTTATGGATATCGACAAAGTTCTTCAATCCAGTCTCATAAAACTGATTAGCGTTTTCTGCACGCCACTGTCTCTTCATCCTATCTTCATTCAAATGAAGGTCAATTCGGTAAGAGAACCTTGTAGTGGTACATCAACTGACTGCTCTCTATCGACAACACGAATTGTTCGGCCTGGAACCTTTCCCAAGGATCTGATCCCGCCAACCCAAATTTGTCCGCAAGATACCGCTCAATTGGCAGGACCTCCGAGAACTCGAGCAGTGCTCCTGAGTATGTTGTCTTGTGCACTACGGGTAGACACCTGTAAGGGGTGGTTGGTTTCTGTCGCTTCCATTCTGGGTCCGTCAGTCGGTCCTAAAATAATAAATCATGAACGAGGCGGGTTAGCAGAGCGGTAGGTATGCAAGAGGGAACGTGTGATTGGTGGAAGCGGATGTTTAAAAAAAATGGATGGAAGCTTTCGCGTTGCTCTTACAAAGACAATATCCTTCCATGCAACTCTAGTATATGCCAAAAGGTATCGGGTTGATTATGCGCGGCCATGGAAATTGAAGTAGGCGAGTTGGAAGCTTGAAGAGGGGGCTTTTATGGCTTTGCTTAGGACCTTGGACGACGCCATTGTGATGAATAGGAGTGTTGATCCTGACATTCTTGTACTCGTTGCTGTTGTTGTGTGTGAAAAAGAAGGGAGATGGTGAAAGGAGACATGAATATGAAAATAAAGAGTGAATTAAACGCAAGTGGGACCCTTAATAGCAACTGATCGTTGATCAAATAGTTTCAGGGCGTGTTGCTGAGACAAACTGCATCACTACGCGACGCGTTCGTGTGATATGTGCCTGAACACATACAGCTGCTATCATACGACCATGACAACACCATATCAACAAGAACGCATCCTTCAATCGCGTTGTTCTTTCTGTCCGGACAACCATGTCCAACCATGTCCAACCTTTTGACATTTGAGACAACGACCAAGATCGATCCCAACAGGGCTCTCACCTTGATGATTATTTTGCCGTCACCTCTTCAGAGTGGCGGCGTTCAAGCAAAACCATAATTGCAAATGAGCAAAAACAACTCACGAACATACATTTTTCTTTTGTACTTTCCCCTCTCTCGAAAACAATTGGTATTTGGAATCAAGTAACAAATGACATTCGTCTCCACCATCTTTCCAGATGCATGTCCAGAAAAGCGGAAAAAGAGAAGGAGGCTCTTCCGTTTTAGACTTTGCGGGTCTACATTACAAATCCGCAAGGAAGGGGCGCAAGCAACCGAACAATCAGATGCACGAAGAAAAACCTTCTTAGATCGACAAAAAAACTAAAATCATAAGGAACCAACCACAAGCATGAGTGATGAGGGGGCGTGGATGGTCGGCATTGAATGTTGATGGATGAGAGCGGGCCAGAGGAGGATAGGAGAACAGTGCTCTCACAAATCGGTCCCTTTCCACAAACAATGGTACAAGGAGAGGATGATGGTGCTGAAGGTCAGCTCTCTCTCTTTCTGTATGCAACGGTTGCTGTGATCCAACCACGGACGTGCTCTTCTCTTCTTTTCTTTGATAAGCGGACTGACAATGGTGTCTGAAAGAGAGAATCGAGACCATCCTTAACCACAATGTATCTCACATTCGCCCTCAGCCATCCCTGGCCCTCACGGCCATACAGGCCGGAGAGTCAATTGTCCTCCAAACGTCGGGTTCTTTTTTTTTCTTGCAACTGCTCTCTCGCAATAACAGAAAAAAAATGCCATGCGGCGATCTGACATCTTGAACTTTCCAAGTCGAATATTGATCCCCCTTGTATATTTTGAGAGTAGAGGCTCCCATCCTTTCACTCTTCTTATTCTTTGTTCTCGTTCTTCTCCCTCTTCATCCTCTCTCATCCTCTACTTATGCCCTCTTCCTCTTAACGATTTCGCTGCCTTCTCTAGACCTCTCCCTTTTACTACCTTTCACAAACAAACTCTTGTCACACACATTTCTCACTCCAACACAGCAGCCTTCAACCTTTCACACTCAAACCATGGAACCCTCCGAAATACCCCCAGCGTCAACCACCACAGACCCCTCAATTCCCAGCCCAAACCCCGCCTCTGAAACCTTTGACTTCACAGAGTTCCCACCCTGGACAGTCCCCACCAGAACAGGATCACTTTACCCAGGACGACCAGGCAGAAAAACAACACAAGACCTTCCGGAGTCAACCAATAACCCTGGCCCTGGCGAACCTACAGCAAACCCAATCGCTACCGACAATGGAGGAGGGGGAATAGTAGTTCCTACCCTTCAACCTGGAATTATTGCTCCAATTGGTAACACCACCACCACCTCTACTGCACTACTCGGAGGAACAACAACAATAGCAGCTGCGGGTGAACCCCTTAGAGGCATCACATTACAACCCGGCTCGCCAACCCCCTTCCGTGGCGTCATTACACCAACAGCATCCTCAGCGTCCTCATCAGGCTCGTACACCCTCGTACCCAGTTCAGTCACCGGCCTCCTCTTCGGATTCGCCATCGCTGGAGCTCTATTCATCGGATTCGTCGCCGGCGCCATCTTCATGAAGTACACCCGCTTTGGTGGTGGTCGTCGCCGGAAAGAGCAGAGAAGAGAAAAGGGCGAGCTCACCGAACAACTTCGTCTCCTGACCGACACCCTGGGCCACCGCAACGACCGTCTCGACCACGAGGAGAAACATATCGAGGCGACTGCGAACCAGGCTGATTTCTTGCCATCCTGGTACCATGGTAGGCATCTCACCGGAATGTACCCCGGACCTTGGGCTGATCGACTCCATCCTCAATCAGTCATGGATCAGAGTGCTTATCGGGATTGGGTAGGAGGACCATACACCCCAGTGGCTGCTGTGAGCTCGCCTGTTACTCCTAGTTCACCCATAGCCTCGCTACGACACCATCCCACAAACCGCCAGCCCCGCGTCATCAACCTGCCACCGTCCCAGTCCCAATCACCAACTGCTGAGAATAGCGATACCTATGGCCCCAAGGGCGAGTGGTCAACCGCCGGCACATCAACTGTTTCTTCATCAAACGGCAGTACACTAGATCTGTATGAGATCGAGAAACGCCGCCCTCAGATTCAGGAGGAAGGAGTAGGCGAGGACAGTCTGTTCAATATTGACCAACCTAGTCACAACCCACACGTCTACTCTCAGGGTGATTCTGGCGTCCACAGCCCCATTAGGAGCGATTGGTCCACCTCCAGCAGTAACGACAGCAGCAGTGGCAACAGTAGCAGCAGCGGCGGCGGTGGTGAGAGATCGACTCCTTCCTCCTCCAACGGCAGCAGCGCACCCGATCTACATGTGTTTGAAGTCGAGAAGCGGCGTCCCCAGATCCAAGAGGAAGGAGTGGGGGAAGACAGCCTGTTCGATGTTGATCACCCTAGCCACAACCCACATGTCACCGGCAGGATCATTTAATTCTCATTCTTTCACGTTGTATCTCTGTTACTTCTTTCTATTCCTTTCCACTTACCTTCAACTGCATCTTTCCCCCTCACTTGTACAGCTCACTCATGACCCTTACTTCCGACAGCGACATAATAAATATCATTAATCCCTCAATTTTGTGGCCGTGTCCGTGAAACCTGATCGAGAGGACGTATCGGTTTTCAGACATGACTTGTGGCTGCAGACTTCATCCAGGTGCAAAGACCGTCCAAGTCCTCAGACAAAGATCCTCAAACATCAAGCCAACGCACTCTTGAAATCAGTTTTTTTGTTCATTTATTTTTATTTGTTGGCAAATGCGAAGAAGGTAGAAGAGGGAAAGAGTACATGCGAGATAAAAGTACACTCGATTTGCATTGCTAGGTTTTTTGTTTTGTAGAAAAAGGAAAGGCAAGGACGAGAAACCAAATTGCCATCCGCGCTCATGTCCTCGCCACGTTTAAGACAAGTGGAAGCTACCTTGACCTTCCTCGTACGCAGTCTTGAACTTGGCCATCATCACCTCCTTGGTCGAGTAGTCGGGCATCTTCAAGTAGTTGGCACATGTCATCACCGACGGCAGATAGTCGTCAGCCTTCAGAGGCGCCTCAAAGGGCTTGCACACAACCGTGAATGCCGGGTGAAGGTTCTTGAATCCTATTTGAGTAATTAAGTCAAAAATTAAGCAACTCGTTAATAATTCGTTCCTCCACTGAAAACAGCCCAGAGCTGTGAATTGAGACATCAAGTACATATTTTCGGCATATTCATACCTCCAATGGGGAGTTTTGGGCTACCAGTGATGAATTGCAAGAACTGGCGCCTCTCCTCCTTGTCAAGCTCGCTCATGGCACGCAGAAGGTTCTTGAACGCACGACTCTCGCTTCGGAATCCGTGGTCCGCCTTGACGGTGTCCACAAGTGCTATTAAAAGTGGAAAACACATTTATGTAAAGTTAGCCTTTTGTTCTCTGAATTACGAATAGCTGATCCTGGACGGCATAAAAGAAAAAAAAGATTGCGGCTTACTCTCGTAGGACCAGTCCTCGTCACCGGAACCGAAAAGTCTGACCAACTCCTCCGAACGGAAACCTGTGAGATCCTGAATCGAAAAAACACAGTTAAAGCCGTCCCTGAATGCTGCCGCTTGCGCTTCCACTCCACGGCCGACTGTCATATCCACTGTCAACTGGATGTACTCCTCGACATTGTAAATGGTCACAGGAATGTTGGTGCCTCCAGCCTGAATAAAGCAATGCAAACCATTAGTCTTCAAGATTTTGTCAAAGGAAACATAGTGCCTAACGAAACCGCATGTAGCAGCCAACTGAGCACTTTTGACATACCTTGAGTTCAATCTCGGGATAGCCAACCAAGGTGAAGTCAAGACCCATATCATCCAGCTTGGCACCCTGGTGTTCAATGTTCTTCAATGCGGTCTCGCGTTCCTTGCTGGGGAGATTGAGGCCGTAAATACGCTTCTTCTCCGCCACATAAGCCTGCAGGCTTTGAACGGACCGGGCAAGAACAGGATCGATCGAGGCGACAAGCTGCAGCCTTGGCTTGAGATTGCGTCCCAAAAGTTGGCTCACAAACAGTGCTGACAGAGGCACATCGATGATCCGAGAGTCCAGCATTGCCTTGGCGATAAACTGGCCAAGGGACTTGAACAGCTTCAAGATTTTCCTATGAAATGGCAAATTGAGACGATTAACACGTTACCATCTTGTATACGTATGTAAGCAACCCTCCGTCATTCACATGAACACAGCACCAAAAAACATACCTGTGGTTGTCGGCGTGACCTGGGACAGTTGCCATCGGCCGGGGGTAAAGACCTTGTGGGGCAGTGACATACTTAGTTGCGCCCTCTGAATCGCCATCGCGCCAGAGCTTCAGGAACTTCTTACAGAACTCCTTGGAAACGACAGAGTAGAACTCCAGCGTAGGTCCCAGACCGGTACCAACCTCTTCAAAGTACTCCACCTCCAACATCGCCTGATGCGATCCATACAGATCCATGACACGCACTGCAGATTCGAGCGCTTTCTGTCTTGAGATTCTAACCTTCTGACGCTGAATGCGACCCAAAAAGTTCTGCGAGTCGTCACGCTGGTCCGTGTGGCCGTTGCGTTGCTGCTGGTTTTGCCAGCGCATGATCGAGCGTGAGAATCCAAAGGCAGTTGACTGGAGATAGATATAGCGTGTCTCAAAGGGGAAAAGGAAGGGGAATCCGGTAACGAGTCCGACAGTCCAGTTGGGAAGACACGAGCTGGCGACGATCAGAGGTTCCTCCAATTGACGGTTCACCTTGGCCGAGATCTTACTATTAACAAACTCCTTCTGGTCCATATACTGGGTCACTGGAGGCAGCTGCTCCTCTGCTCCATAAAACCGCCTCCAATCGTCATTCAGGCCATGAAGGGCGCGCAACAATCCGAGAATCGGTGCATAGTCAGCACTCTGGGGCAGATCCTTGGGCATCTCTGCGGTGAAGGTCAAGTCGACTTCGTCGTGATCATGCGTCTGAGCCGTTGGAGATGTGTGCTCAGGTGCAGGGGTATCGACTCGCTTGTACTTGATGGGATACATGGACGACCAGATGCCTCGCGAAGTTGCAGTCTTGTTGTTCTTCCGCTCGTAGTCGTGGATGGCACCATAGACTGTCATGTCTGTACTGATGGGGGTTCCGTGAAGTGAGAACTGGATATGCCAGGCCGAGCCCGAATCCGAAGACGCGGTCTCCTTCTTGGAAGGGCTGGCGGTCCTTGACTTCGACGGCTTGTCCTTGTCGTCCCGTTTGGTTGATCCGCTCTCGGTGTCGGACTTGGTAGCATCGGCCATTTTGGCATCTGCGTCCAACATGGCTGACCGTTGATCCAGATCGTAATCCATCTCCTCAATACCGCCCTCGTCACTCTCACCAAAGGAGTCCTCGGGTTCAATGATCTCGGCATTCTTGTTCGGTTGTGCATCAGATGCTCCATCCGTGGTCGACTTCTCTTCCGAAGTAGTGCTAACGACGTTGTCAAGTCCAGTGCTCTTCCCTGCGGTGTCCTTGTTCGCTGAATCGTCTGGGCGTTTGAATCTGCTCTTGGGAGAGCGAGAAGTCGAGGCCATTTCAGGCACAGCCAGCTTAGGCTTCAATCGGGGTCGAAGATACTCGTCCAGAGTCCTGAAGGTCGCAATGGCATGGATCGAGACGATCAAGTTCTGATATCCTGATGGCACTTCGGTGCCCTCCTCCGGCGACAGCTTGAGACGCACTTGAGTGGCAAGACTGGAAGACGGCCCGCCTCGTGACTCTGTTAATGAACCTTGCGCGGTCTCCACCTCAAACGTTTCCATGCGGGTAAGACCTTCTTGCATCTTCTTGACGAGCAACGCAAGCGGAGTGGGCGTCGAAGCATCGGATGTACCTTGAGAGACAACCATGAACCCCTGAATGAACTGCCGAATCCTGCTCTCCTGAGTAGTGGTATACTTGGTGGATGTATCGGTGAGGTAGCCAAGTAGGGACTGCGGAAGTCCACTGTTGAGGAACTCAAAGGACGAAATACCGGAGACGCCCATCCGACCAAAGTATTGGGCAAGCTCCTTGATGGACGCAGATGCGTCATTCTGTGAACCACCCAGAGCTTCGCTCATCCGCTTGAGATCGACCAGGACGGCCGTTCCTTGGTTGGCCTCCTCTCCGTTCTCAGAACCCGGTGCATGGAACAACTCCACGAGAATCCTGGCTCGCTCCAAAATCCAGTCCTTGATTTTGCCCGAACCAAGGCCTTTCTCGTCCTTCTGAGCTGTGGCTACTGAGCGTGGACCTCCAACAATGAATCGCTGCAGAGACCGAAGCTGGTTCAAAGTTGCAGTAGCTGAGGCCGACAGAGCTGGGTCGGAACCTTGACCTGGCTGCGAAAGCCGTGCTGCTGCCGCTTCCAACTCTCCCCCAAGGGCTTCGAGCTGTTCGCTGATCGACTCGCCCTCAGTAGGCTGGTCTCGCATGCTCCGGATCCCGCTCATCAGCTGAACCAATCTCTGACCAGTCTCTGAAGTCATCATAGACATATCCGCTGCCTCTGTGGCAGGGTCTTGTGTCGAGGCTGCAGACTCTGAGTTATCCTTTGACGAGTCTTCTGCGATGGTGTCCTCAGTAGAGCTGGCAGTTTCCGATGGTGCCGTCTTGACTGATGTGTCTTCCCTATCCTTGGAGCTCTCAGCAGTCTCGGCTGACTTTAAGTTCTTGGAAAGAGAAAGCTCAACACCAAGGTAGGCAAGCTTAGAGATCTCGAATGTCACGCCTTCTCTTTCCAAATACTGCCGATAAGTCGAAGGGATCTTTGTCATGAGAATGTCGGTAATTTGCAGGGCTGCTACCACCAGCGACTGATGTTCCTGCTGAGAGAGAATGACAGCCAAGAAGCTCGCCAGCTCAACGTTCTATGGCACAAGAATTGAAATTGTTTGTGTGAGCATTTATCTCAACCTTTTCTGCCCATGAGCCAGCCGACAAAAAAGAGGAGCACCAACACATGTGCTTTACCTTCAACACGGATTCCAGGACGCTATCGCCAGTAAAGTAGATCAACTTCACCAATGCATTGATAGCACGTTGCCGGACTTTGAGGTGCACAGTCGATGAATAAACCTCGATCAGCGTCGGGATCAGGATGGTGCCCATACGTCGAACGCTATCCGGGTGGGACGCCAGTAGTTCCGCTTTCCTGTCAATGGCCGCAGGCTTCATCTCGATATCCTCGCCATCGACAGTGCTCGTACTCGCGTTCTCCGCCTCCTTCTTGACTGCCTGGTACCTGAACTCAATATCGAACAGCGGGTCCTCTATAATATCAAAAGATTGAAACGATGTGGTTAGGAGCCATGTACATCAAACATTTCCAAAATAGGGAGGGAAAAGTCAACAGGAAATTAATTACCCTTGGGAAGCGCAGGCAAAAGCTGCGACACGATGCCAATGATTTCAGAGACTTGCTCTTTGGGGCGTGAGCCAACATTTGGCACGTTCAAAGCGCCGCTCTCCTCGCCGCAGTCATGAGGCGTATGTGTTCCTGTGAGCGCTAAAAACAATGTGTTGACAATGTCCATCTCCAGAAGTGCAAAGCCAAGAGGAGGCGAATGCTCAGCTACCGTGCTCAAAAAGTGCAGCAGAAGTGTGTAGACGTGAGGCCTACGACGCAAAGGAAATCAGATGCAAGTCTGTTAGCTACTGTCGCCTAAAACCAGCAACTCGACCTTGAGTTCAACACTATTCAATAGCTTACCCGACAATCACGTTGGCATTAGGAGAGAGCAACGACAAAATTGTGCGGAGGACGGTCTCTGTGACGACGGACTAGAGAGCGAAAAACACCGACATTAGTAATCGCGCACAGTTTCTTACGCAACGGCTGTGCAATAAAAAAAAAGCTCTAGTATATTCATATAGTGTCCATGCCATACCTGAAGAAGCGCAGCGTTGGACTTGTAGCTGTCGGCGAGGCGGACAAAACACAAGCAGGCCTGCTCAACAATTTTCTGGTCCGAGTACTGAAGGAGGTTCTCCAGGTTTGGAAGAATATCCTTCGCCATGGAGATGCTATCCTGATGCATTCCTCGGCAGCAGTTTGCTGCCGTCTTCACTGCCGTGCGCTGGACGTTCGTCGAGAAAAAGTCCAGGAACAACAGAACCGCAGCAAGTCCTCCTTCCTTGACGACAGCATGTGGATATTCTGATGAAATCTTTTCGAGAGTCTAAAGTGATGTGCGGCGGACAAGAGCAATATGTGTCAACAGAGTGCTCAAGGTAAGAAATCGAAAATAGTATCGCAAGGTGTCAACAGTTCTAAACTTACTGTGAGGGATTGCTCTGCAAGGTCGATATATTGAATCTCGAGCAACTTGGAGCAAAGAACCGGGACCGCTCCGCTGTAGACGACACTGCCAAGAGATGCAGGCATGGCCTCCATCAAGTTGGACAGGCATCGACAAGCCAGCAACATGATCTCAGGGTTGTCGAAGTCCTCACCTGTACCACGCAACAAGATGACAAGCTCCTTGACAAAAGACTCGCAGCTGAAATACCCAGCCAGCGTATCTTCAGTAGAGACAGACAAAAGAACCGCCAGATCCTGCAGGGCAATCAACTGAAGCGAAGGGTCTTCGTATGCGCGCAGGTTGGTAAGGATACCCTTAAGCCTGGATGACATTCCGGAGACCATACCACTCATGCTGCCACCAGACGAGAATAAGCCATCCTGGTCGTTCGATTGTTGGTGGTGATCATAGTCGTCCTCTTCATCATCGTCCTCATCGCCTTCGTCATCGTCTTCTTCCCCTTCTTCGTCAACCTCCTCCGCTTCGTCGTGCTCCTCATCGCCATCATCTGGTTGCTCGTCTCGTTCAGCGCGATTCGATTCAGACGAAGCGGCTTCCCCTGCATTGTCGCCTCCTGCGGCCGCTCTTCCTGTCGGAGCACCGTCTTTGGAAGTGTCCTTCTCGTCACAATTCTCCTGGCTGGATCCTTGTGAAGATTTTGACTGGTCGGCATCGTGAAGGGATGTATGGTCTGCAGAGTCCTGGGGATGGGTTGCATCCATGGTATCGACGTCCTTGGAGGATGTCTTGGAGATGGCGCTTGATCGCTTTTGAGAGGTACTCATTTTCGACTGTCGCATAAACCGAGCGAGATCTTGAGAGTCCCTACTAAGAGATCCTGATGCTTTTGATCGCGAACGAGTGATAACAGGTTGTGCGGAGGAGCTTGACGTTGAGGAGGATGATTGGGGTTTGTTTGTGGTTTGCAGGCGACGCTTCTTGTGATGGGTGCCTGAGGGGGTACTTGTGGGTTGAGACTGGGAGCGGGACCTAGTGGTGTGGCTTTGGCTCGAGCTCGAGCTTATTGGCTGTTCTGTAATGGTCGAAGTGCGCTTGCGCGAGGTGGACGACGAGCTGGAGACGACGGGGGAGTCCGCCAAGACTGGTGAGGGTAAGGTTCCGTCGACTCCGGACGAAAAAGCGATATAGTCCTGCTGTGCCTGCTTGGAGACTTTGGCCAGGTGACGAGTGATAGCGTGCGAGGTCGAGATAGTGGGCTGGGATATGGAGATTAACGGCGAGGACAAGGTCAAGTCGGAGGCTTGGTCGAATGCAGAGGCGAAAGTTGAAGGCTGGCTGGATGAAGCTGCGGAAGTGAGAAATGGGTTCTTGTTACTGTGAATAGGAGAAGGATCAGGCCGAGGCATGAAGGAAGAAGGAACGGCCAGAGATGGAGGGGAGAAGGCGTAATAAATGACCGAAAAAGGGTATTATAGTCCAGGCCAAGAAGAATCGGCAAATGTAAAGGAAGGAAGTGTCAAAGGAGCAGAGGGAAGGGAGAACAAAGAAAATAGGACAAGGCAAGGGTCATTGGTTAGCGAGGGTGGCTTTTGGATGAGATATATAACTATCGATCTTCCCTCATATGCTTTTGTTTGAGGACACGTTTGGAGTGCAAGACAGAGAGGGAGGTGTTGAACTTGTGACGAAAGTGAAGGAAAGATGACGATACGCAAGAAGCGACATAAACTTCAATGAAATAGAAAAGTAAGGTATGCAAGTTGTCGTATGGTTCACCCACAACCCATAGGCCAAAGGGCCGCCAGTCAGTCAGTGCTTTTTCAGTCTTTCTCCGTTTTTGTTTTTCCAACTTGCGGGTTGCATGTACCAGTTGATTGGGTCCAGAAGTATTTGCAGTAGTAGGTTTCGAATGGTTGTTGGCTTGATTGTTTGTCGAAAGCGGAGAAGGTAGTTTGCGATTCGAGGTTAAGAATGCTTGTTATTTAGATGGATCGAGTGTGAATGAATGGGTATGAAATAAAAAAAAGGAAATTACGATGCCAAGACGAGGGACGAGATCGCCAAACAAGCGACGCACAGCGGGAAGTGATGTGGCTGCTCTGGAGGAATAGGGTGAGGGAGTGTGTGTTGGAGAAGAAGGATATTGAACAAAATGGAGTAGGAAACGGGGGGGGGAAACAAAGAAAAAGGGATTGAACAAAAGAGGAACAAGAACTAGGAGGTCATTTGGGTCAGGCATGAAGGAGGGCGTGTGTGTGTGCGTGTGTTTGCGTGTGGTCCGTGTGCATGTCATTGAGTGTTGCTGTTCAGACCTTTTGATGTCTTTCTGTCGACTCTGCCAGATATCATTCTTTTGTTCTGTTTTCCGTCACTCTCGCTTCTCTTTTCCTTTCCACACATGCACACATTTCATCGTCGCGTGAATCTTTTGATGTCAAAGGAGACAAGAGTGTACAAAGAGTGAGGAGTGACAGAAAGGCAATGGAAAGTCAAAACCATTTGACAGCTCTTGTTGGAGAAGACATAAAAAAAGGATCACGCAACTCCAAATTTTTCTGTATGCGTACACAAAGGCACAGAAATATAAAACAAGTGCTCACTCCCGCCTCAATGGTCTCTGGAACAATGGCACCATCACCATCCAAATAAGAACCATAAAAATACCCGCAAAATCGCGACATAGTTATGCTTTTTACCTTTGGCCTCGGGTCGCCGTCTTCTTGGTCCGACTGGTGCTGCTCTTGCTCTCGATCTGGTGCAGCCCCATCGTCTCGTTTGGGCCATCCTGGCCGAAGCATTTCTCGTTGCCACCAACTGGAGCCGATGGTGTGACAGTCTTTTGCCCCGGAGCACCGAAGGGGATAGTCATGGTAGTATCGCAGTCAGTCAATTTGCGACTCTTGCTTTCCGTGGCCTTTGATTCTCCCAGCTCGTCCGGTGCGGGTATGCCTCTCGTCAAGTGGCGCCAGCGTGTAGTAACGTTGTCGAGAATGGGAGGTTGGGCTTGTGAATTCCTGCGCTTGGTATTCCTCAAGGTTGGTGGCGTCGGGTTCCCGATTGAAGGCGGCTTTGATTCTTGCTCACGCTGCTGCTTGACTCTCTTTCGAGTTAAACGGCTTGGCGAGACGACAGGTGGCGTCGAGTGGGTGGATTGATGATGTTGTGTGATCGATATCAATATGTTGGGGTCTTCTGGCGATGTCTCTGGAAAAGGCTTGGTTTGGCGAGGTTGCGCAGGCTGGGGGGTGGAGGAGCTCTGTTGTTTTGTGTCCTGCGGTTCTGGAGAAGCAAAGGATCCCCGGATGTCCCGATGTCCTGTGGACACTTTTGAGCTCGTCGCTGTTCCCTTTCTCTTGGTCGATACGGATACCCGCCTAGTTGGGAACGACATGATTATGTTGGAGACAGATGGGTTTTGCTGGAGTCTGATAATGGCTGCTGGAAGGCGGAAACAATGGACGGTGGCGTAGGATGTAAGGCTGTTTTCTGGACGGTGGAGAAGAACACCTGGCGAAGGTCTCCGGCTCGGCACTCTTTCCTCGACGTTTTACAGAATGATTCTGGGTTTCTTGTTTGTTGCTGTTGTGCTGTCTCTGTCTGTGTTGGAATGCAGGTGATGTCTCCTTCCTGAATGCAAAGGGCGGATTCCTGGAGTCGAATGAAGAGAGAACAAAGGATGCCGCACATGCATCCCCTTTCTCTTTTAAAGTCTAAAGGGGACAGCGAAAAACGCAGTCTTTTTTTTTTGAAGGCGCGCCGACGCGTACAAATGTTGAATCAATTCACGTACACTATTACGATATGACAAACTGCAGCTTGAGTTGCTCGGTAGTTCAGTCAGTGCCTAGACGAGGATACATCCTAGTCAACAACTCTTTCGCGCTAGTCCTCTCTGTCGCTCATCCCATCAACCAGGCTGTCCCTTCATCAATGACGACAGCTTGTTTTTCCTGTTTCTTTTAGTGCTACACAAGATGTTCACTCATAAGCGAGATGGTTCACAAGAACCAATGCAAGAAAGGTCCTCACCATCTCGCTCTCCATTTCGCTAAGAGCAGATCGCCACGACGGAATACAACTGGTCCATCAAGAAAAAAAAATGAAAACACCAAACCTCTTCCAGTTCGCCTCCCTATCGAATGATTGGTCCCTTTCTATCTCTTTTTTTTTGTCTTTCATTTCCCTTTGTTCGTTTGTTCGTTCCTTGTGGAGAAACAGATACGGAACTTTTTTTCCTTGGAGGGTCGAGTGCATGCATATCTCTTCATTTCTCGCCTTCTCACTCGCTCTCTACTCTACCCTCTTCGATCTTGCTCTCGCCGACGCCCCGCGGGACGACAAGAGGAGGAAAAAAAATGCTGATGGAATGTTGCCCAATGAAACCCATTCATCTTTTTTCATTTCTTGTGCAACAACACTTTTGAACAAAGATCCCTCGTTGAACTGGAGTAGTTGAAAAAATCAACTTGACCCTGGAACTGGAAGCGGGAACAGTCAACGAAGACGGACAACCGCCCAGTTCTCACGCGGGAAAAGGGGGAGGCGATGAACGAATAGATGCTCACTTCTTCCTTTCCTATGACATCCAATGGCTCGTTTCAAGCTGAAAGGCAGGACGGGAAATCCGCCGCAAACAAATTGGCAATTTGAGAGCATTTTCGCTTTTCTGTATATGCTGTGTGCACCTGATCAAATCATCATCATCATCATCATCGATCCAATGTAACTGAGGCCAAGAATAGGATACCGTGGCGGAGTGGGGATTCAACCATGCGAGAAATGTTATTTTTGACATTCTTCCCAAGGGATTCTTTTTGTTCTTCCCCTTTTGTTTCCTTTGTTTTCTTTGTTTGTCTGTTTATTTGTTTGTTTGTTTGTTAGTTGTAAACGTGCTTCTCCATAGCCAGAACGGAGGTTGAAAAGTAATAACTTGGCAGATTGGAGGCAACGGAACGATCCACTCATCATAACCTGTCAGGGAAACAAAGGTACTGTACTCTCGTTACCAAGGAGAACTTATTGCAATAAAGGAGACACCATTGTTCTATTTTCTACAAAATAAGAACACTAGTCTCACGAACGACATGACGAACGGGTAAAAGAAAACGAGATAGAGACAGAGTCTGAATCGTGGATGTATGTTCCTGAATCTAGATACCTTCCAGGAACAGATTCACGCCCAGGTACAGGTACAGCCTCTTTTTTGCTTCTTTGTTGTTCCAGGTGCCAACAGTACCTTCACTGCAACGAATCTCTGCATCTAAAAGATCGCACACGAACGATCTAGGCTCCTCCCTTTCTTTCCCTCGTTCTTTCCCTCTGTGGTAAGCGAGTTGCATGAACCAACTGTTGATTTCTCTGTTCATCTGTTACTGCACATTGTTAACAAAAGTACACAACGTTGAGATGTGCATGCATAACCAAGGGAAAGAAATCAACAAGAAAGATGAAAAGAACTTCGCCGCATCTCGTTCTTATGAAAAAGAGTCTGTGTGATTTTCTGTGGAGGAGGAAGAGAGAGAAAAACGCAAGAAAACAAACAACCCTCTTTTTTTTGCTTCGTCACCCTTACAAAGTCTTTTCAGTTCACCAAAACTTCTATGGGCCAAGGTTTACCCTTCCTGCATAAGGCAATGGGCAATGACATATTTCGATGCTTGTTTAGGTTCCAAGCGCCGATATAAACCGCAAAAAGAAAACAATGCTTGCTCGCGTAACATATACCTCCCATCGTAAAACTCTGACTGTCCATCGGCCCATCCATAAGAGTCATGGCTAAAGAATCGTGCGTGGTCACTCACCACGCCACGCTGTGAGCCAGATGTTTATTGGCAATCGATTCTGCTGACCCAATAATGAGCAAGCAAAATGTACTCCTGCCGTTGCGTTGTTTGTATGTGCTTTGATGACACGAAAACCAAACCCCGCCCCACCAAAGAAAAAAAGAGGATTCCAAGTTGGTCACAACATTTTTTTTCTCTCTCTCTCAGTTCGCCAGTTCGTCTCGCCCAGACAGTGTCGTCTTGGTCGCCACGTTGTGGGGGAAAGTTCAAACTCCTTTAAGTTTTATCCTGTCTCTGTCTGTTTGTCTGTCTGTTCTGTTGAAGGGTTATTTTCCTTGTTGTACTGTACAGTACTTTGTTTGCCTCTCAAGTCTCAACTCAAGCATCAACGGAGCATTTTTTTTTGTGTTTGTGTTCGTAGTTGGGGTGGTAGTCTACTGTACCTTCTTTCAGTTAGTCGACTTTTAGGTTGTTTTGTGTTTGTGGCCACAAAAACAAACAGTCAGATGCAGACACAGAGGAGAGGCAAACACAAACAAGACGGCCATCGATCGATGGCCAAATTGCGTCGCGGGTCTGGAACGCCGCCCTCCTCTTCTTCCTCCCCATATTCAAATATCTCTCCGAACACGAACTTCGACACGTCTCTTAAGACGATCAACAGAAGAAAGAAACAACGACAAGCAGAAGTGTTCAATAGATCCTTCATTCTCCTCTTCAATAATGAGAACCCCTCTGATACATTCCTACCATTCCTCAGATATACTCACATGCCCTCAATTCAAGCCTCCGCCCAAAACCAAGGAACAAACGCATCGTTATTTTTTCGACCCGAAATAAAAAAGTCAAACAAAACAATCGACATAAACGCAAGGTGAGGTCAACCTGCGTTTTGACATAGTTCCACCACCCGCCAACCAACTAACCTCAGCCAGTCAACCAACCCAGCAGCTGGCAAGTATAGCCAGATACGTATTGAAATCGAAATCGAAACTCACCCACCCACCTTATTTTTCTTGTTTTGAACTTGTTTTTTTCAACCCCAGCCAATTTTCTTGAGTGGTGCCACCTTCCTCAATCGGTTGTTGAAAAAAGGCAATCAAACCGTTTGAACCATAACCGTAAACTAGCGCACTCACTCACACTGCACAGAACCCTCCCCCCCCCCCCCCCATCCCCAATGCCGTCACCGCTGGCATCAGGCACGGTCAACCTAGCTGTCTGTCTGGCAACCAAAAATGATGGTTTATGTATCTGATCAGAGTTGCCGCTATTTCCTTTAGTTTCTCCCCCTTTTGAAGAACCTCGGTGCCAATGGAGAGGGTCATGCCATAGTATGAGATGGGGTATATTTGGTTATCCTTATCCAATCTAGTTGTCAATGTCTCCTATCCTTTTTTAACACTCGACGAGTCCCTCGTTGTCTCTTACCATTCTCGATGCCTCGCCACGACTAGACCGGGCTGAGGGCTGCGCCAGTGGTGGCAAACGTGTGTAGGCATTTATTGTAAACATGGCGAAGAAAAAGGGGGGCAGGAGAGAAGTACTTGGTAACGTTGTCTGCGCCTAAAAAAATATTGAGGGGAAGGCTGTAATGAGCTGGGCAGTGCAGCAGCCCAACAGCAAAACGGGGGGTGAAGAAAAAAAATTGTGCCTGAATAACGGTCGTGTTCTTCTGGACTGAACACGTTGGTGTGAAAGGGAAAAGGAAACGAAATGAGCCAATGGGTTTTGGTTCTTGGGCGGAGAAAGACAATGACCATACAGAAACCTGCAACGCAGCCTTCTTTCTCTCTCTCTTTCTTTTCCAATCGAATGCAGTGCTTGATAAACATGCTCAGCCTCTTTCTAGAATGCATTGCCTAATGCTCTAAATGCCACCACTCATGTTGTTGTTCTTTCAACGACCCTATCAAAGAGCGAGCGGTTAGGATAGTGGTCTCTCCACCTTTTTTTCCTACTGCCACAATATTTTTCCGCCCTCTGCGTTTGCATTATTTTCTCTAACGGGCAAATTGAACAACGATAATTCGCCGGTTTGATTGCATTGCTTTGTCTGCCTGTTTGTTTGTTTTGTTGATTGGTATGGTATTCGTGCAACTTTCCTTGTTTGGCGTAATGAGGGGAAAGCTGAGAAAGGGGCGAATGGGATCAGGTATCGGCGCTCAGATGGACTGGTGGGTAGAAAGGGGGTCGAGCATTACTAAACAAAGAGGGGAAGGTCGAGAATACAAATGATGACCTTTGTCTCTCTTTCTCTCGGCGTCTGTCTGTGTCTGCATATTTGGAATCGATCTGCTGACGCCTCTGTTTTGGTCTTGCACCCTCTAACTCTATGCTACACAAAAGGGGTTTCCCCCATTTGCGCAGAGAGAGAGAGAGAGAGAGAGAGAGAGAGAGAGAGGGAGAGCGATAGAACATAGAAGAGTTAGAGCGAGAAGAGAGACTAAGCAAAGCAAAGGCAAGAGTGTATTAGGCAAATGCAATCGAGGGGCAAACACAATGTTAGGGAGTGAGGTAGAGAGAGAGAGGCAACTAACAAAACTTGCTCTCAAGAAAAGAGGAGAGAAGAAGGTTGGATTTCTATTGAGAATTCTTCCATCCAGGCCCAATGACAGCTGTAACAAGTTGTTTTTGTGGATGTGGGATAGACAATGCATTCAATCGACTCACAACCTGTTTTACAATACTAATTCTAATTTCTAATTGCCCAGCCCTGTCTTGCCTTTGTCCTTGTCTGGCGATGCCGCGGAAAAAAACCATAAACCAAAAAAAGAGCGACAACCTCACAACGACACACACAAACAAACAGCACAATGATGCCACGCTGTGTGCCATGGCTCACAAAATGCAACAAAAAAAAAGTACGGCATTGGGTGTATAAGGTGTGGTATTCAATTCGTGGTACTATTGTATCGAACTTCTTTTTTTGGTCTAATTCTCCTTCTCTCCCTCTCCCAAGACTATGCTCCCAGGGACTGATATAAATACTCAGCACCAATCCCACTTTTTTTCTCTTTTTTTTTTTCTTCTTCACTCCTGTATCATTACTCAACCAACCCCCCACTCTTTCATTCTTAAACGCGCTCTCTCCTTGCCGTTAACGATCTCATACCCTCTTTCACGAAACTTCAAACAACCAACTCCAACGAACTCTCAATACCCCCATTCTCTCACTCACTGCAACATATACCTACTCTATCACAATGACCAACACCACCACCACCACCAAGAACCGTCGTCTCTCCTTGATCCGTCTCTTCAACGGCAAGCAGCAGACAAAGGACTCCACTCTCGAGGCAATCCCTGCGATCCCCCCCAACTACCGCCACTCAATGGCCCCCTCGATGGACGCTATCCAGTCCCAGATGATGCGCGAGCGTCGCAAGTCCATTGCTGCCATCACCGGTGACTCCACCTCCCGATCAGTCAGCCTCGATATGAAGCACCCCGTCGAGATGACCGACAAGATGCGCCAGTTCGATGAGCTTCTCCAGAAGCGTCGTGGCTCCACCATCCGTATCTCTCTCACCCCAAGTCTCCTCCAAGAGTGCTAGATACTTCTACTTTTTATTCCTTCAGTTTTTCTTTTCTTTTGCTTTTCTTTTTTCTTTTCTCTTTCAATCGCAACCTGTATAACACCCTCATTCCCCTTGTATGTATATTAGTCGTAATAATAAACACCACCCACGGCCCACTAGGCCCCCCACAACATACCAACCAAAACTGAAAGACCCAAATGTGTGTGATCTTGTAACTGATTCTGTGTGCACTGTCTGATTCTCCTTTCGAAAAGAACGATCCTTCTACCATATTTGCTTATTTCACTCACACTCTTGCATACTGTTACCTTCACCCTCACAAGCCTCACAACTATGCGTCGGTTTGCTTTGTTTGTGGTTGTTTGTGGGTAAACATCCCAGGAGAAAAAAAAAAATTGTGAGCTGACCTGTCTGAACTGACTTTTGGCTGACTTTAGTGTAGCATGCTTGCTTGCATAGTCCATTGTCGTCATGCTCATCGAGAAATGCGTGACCCCAGCAAATCGAAATCGAAATATGTAATAAGTAACCCAAACAGCTGGCTAGCCGGCTGGGATGGGATGGGCTGCACGAGAGCAGCAGGGATTCAAGACACATAGCAAAACAAAAAACAAATCGTCAGGCCTTGGTCATCTAAGTCGGCCAGGGTAAGGAAAATAAAAAGCCCATTCAGTCAGCTAGCATCCCAATTCAGCACCAGTTTGAGTTTGATGGGTCAGCTGAAGGAAGCGAAGGAAAGTGGGAGACAAGAATGATGGCGGCGGCTAATGTACTAGTGGATAAGTACCAAATTGCGATGACAAAACCTTCTCCAGCATGGCGCAACGACGTGGATATGGTTCGTCAAATAAGAAGTGCGGAAAGGAGGAGAAAGGTGACTCGTTGCTCTCTTCCACTTTTTAGTCGCCACCATTTTCTGTACTCTTGCCTCTCAGTGTTAGTTACTTTGTTGGTTACTTTGGAGGGACTTCTACTTGGGACTAAACGACTAAACTGGGGCGGAGTGTCAATAGGGAGAGGGGATGGAGTCGAAGTTCAATTGCTTTTGGCGCCCCTATTCGAATGGCAAAAAGGAAACCGTAGTACCTGCACGTTTTGGACGACAACACGACAAGCTCTTTTCGTTGCCACCAAAAATGCGAACATCTTGACTGTCGCCTAGAGCTTGAACTTGTGGCCATCTCACTGACGAAGAGTGCAGTCACAATCGGAGCACTCACTCCATTGACCACTTCTCTCTTTCCACATCCACCCATCCCTTCTCCCGTCTCTCGCCTCCCAACCCACCACAGCCTACAACCACCACCAACAGCTAACGACTTCTTTTCAAACCTTCGCCCTCCTCCACTCTCTCACTCTCACCTGCCCTTCGACGTTCGCTTACCCTACCCCCTTCCCTGCCTCGACAGGCGCATTACAACCAAAGAACAACATCCTAATGAACCTGTCAAAGCCATCGCCCTACTCCGCCTCCGATGCGCCAGGTCTCCTCTACGCGTCCTTCAACCAAGGTTAGACACTCACCTCTCAACAAAAAACCGTCTTCCCGAATACTGCCTTTAGTTAATCACCTCAGCTCCTACAACAACGAAGCAAACTAACACGCACGCACACATCCACACAACTGATGTTTACTCGCCACTTATAGACTTTGGCTGCTTTTCATGCGGACTCGACTCTGGCTTTCGAATATACAACTGCGACCCCCTCAAAGAAAAAATGCGGAAAGGTAAACAAAGAACCAACAACGCCCTTTTAGATGCCCTGTCCGCTTGACCCTTGCTTGCATGCTAGCTAGCGCCCTTCCACACTCACACTCGAAAACACCTTAATCCTCACCTTTCTAGAGTTTGAAGATGGAGGGATCTGTATAGTCGAGATGCTATTCCGCTGCAACTATCTGGCTCTTGTGGGTGGAGGCAAGAACCCAAAGTATCCGCCCAACAAGGTTATCATCTGGGATGACGAACGGAATCGAGGCGTGATCGAGCTTGAATTTCGGAGTGAAGTCAAGGCGGTCAGACTGCGACGGGACAAGTGAGTGAAACAACAGTAACTTTGTCAATCGCTTCTTCTGTTGTTGTTTAGCATTATCTGAGAACAGGATCAATCGGTAGCAACGAACTAACTGGGCCATGTTTACTATTTAGATTCGTGGTGGTGCTTGTCAACAAAGTCATTGTCTATTCTTTCAGTCTCCAGCCGACCAAGCTACATGTCTTTGAGACGGTTGACAACGACCGAGGTAAAACAAAGAGCAATGCCTCCTTCAAAATGCTCAAGGACACTCTGTCGCATGACCAGGCGCATGTACTCGGACAATTTCTCAATTCCACTCGCACTTCTTACTTTTAATCATAGGACTGGTGGCTCTATCTTCTTCAGACAAACACGCCATTCTCATTTTCCCTGGGCGGCAAAGTGGACATATTCAGATCGTGGACCTCAACAGTGTCGTCTCAACAACAGCAGTCTCCTCGTCTGCGCCATCCGCGCCCTCTCCATCCGCCAATCCCTTCACTGCGGCAACGCAACAGCAACAACAACAACAACAACAACAACAACAACAACAACAACAACAACAAACGCAACCAAAATATCCCATGGCCAGCACCAAGCCCACAGCCAACATCTCGATTATACCAGCCCATACCAGCCCACTCTTTTGTCTGGTGACCAACACAAACGGAACCAAATGTGCCTCTGCCTCGGATAAGGGCACGCTGATCAGAGTCTTTGATACTGGATCGAGCAAATTGCTCAACGAGTTTCGCAGAGGTGTCGATAGAGCTGAGATCTACAGCATTGCCTTCAACAGTGACTCTACACGGATCTGCGCAGGATCGGATAAAGGCACCGTTCACATCTTCAACCTCGATGGCGCCACAGGAGGAACAAGAGTCTATCATGGCGGCGCAGGATCTCCTTCCGCTGGCCCTCACTATGGCGAAGTCATCCAACCACAGCACCCTTCCCAAATGTCCACCGGCAACCGGCAATCTAGGTACTATTTGGCTTAACAGTACTAAATATTGCAAATGCACCCTCCAAATTTACAACCATACGGCTCGCATATGACTAAACACAGCTTTCAATTATTTCCACCCGATGATAGCTTCGCATTCATGAAAGACTTGTTGCCAAAGTACTTTTCGTCCGCATGGTCATTCGCACAGTTCAAGGTTGCGGCCGATTGTCGCTGCATCTGCGCCTTTGGAGGAGAAAAGAACACTGTCATAGGTACGTCTCTCCTCACTACTCGTGCTATTTTTGCTTCTGCTCGAGGATAATTTGCTCACTGGTGTAGCTTTCGATTTTTTTCATTTCGCATAGTGATCTGCGCGGATGGGAGCTTTTATCGGTTCATGTTTGATCCTCAAAAGGGAGGCGAGTGTGTCCGGGAGAGCTACAACAAGTTCCTGAAGGAGAGCGACGATGACTAAAATGCGCATTATCAGCACCAAAGAAGACTTGGTTTGGGACATGTTCTGGAGTCGACACAATCTACAGGACGATGGACATACTATACGATACGGCTAGGCAGTAATTTAACAATTGAAAAGGGCATATGGAATCTGAGGCGCGTCATAGGACAGCATCCCATTCTTTGATTAAATATACATACTGGAGGCGACGATGGCGTATCTGAGGATATATACATACTACAATATCCAGAGATCTGTCTTTTAGAACACCACTCGAATTGAAGAATATCAAGAGACAAAAAAGTTATGCGAAGAAAAGGTCTATGTCCATTTATTCTTGGCCCCCGAGAACATTCAATGTGCAGTTGCTATTGCCGCCACAGGTACGGCAGTGACGGCAGTCGTACTTCTACCACGCCGTGTCTGCCCTCCTCCTCGTCCTGCTTGCCCAAGCTTAAACTTCATATCTGCACGCACATCCTCCAAAGACTGGCGATAGATATTGATACATTGTTGTTTGATCCGCTCGATCTCCTTTTGGTAGCGCGTGTGTTGCTCTGCGAGGCATTGCTGTAATGACCTGTCCTTTTCCTTCTCCTTCTTCTTCTCCTTGCCCTTCTCCTTGGTGTCGACGGTGTTGTTGGTCTTGGTCTTGGTCTTGGTTGGTGGTGAGGAGGTAGTTGTGGTAGTGGTGAGTGGTATATGCTTTTGGGGACTAGATATGGCGGTGGTCGTCACGCTGATTGGGGTGGATATCGAGACCGAGGCTGGTGGTTTCTCAGATACTGAGGGAACACGAGGGTTTGTTGCTAGTGGCGGTGGTGGTGTCACGGCTGCTGTCGTTGGAGTGCCGGTGATCTTTGAGAGGACAATCTGCCGGAAAGGCATTGGTGGAAGTGCGGGTGCAACGACGGTATGCCCACTGCTAGCGCTACTACTATCGCTATACCGCTTCCATGCCCGTCGAGAGTTCAAGTCCTCGAGTTGTTCTGTCTCATGGATTCGGACCAAGTGTTCTTCTGTCAGAGCGACGTGTCGTCCATGCGTGGTGGCAGTGCCGGTGTATCGACTGTGGGTCGTTCGGAACGGTGCAGGTGTCTTTGCAGACTCCTCCTGTTGAAGTCCTTCTCCTGCTGGGTACGGCATAGAGGACGCCTTGTAGGGGTCGTGGGGAGTTGTGGTCGTGGGTGTTGTTACAGCGGTGGCGTTTGCGAAGATGGAAAGGGCTGATTGGAGCTGTTTGAGGAGGGATATACACTTCTGACCACGTGGGGAGGTGCATTGTCTGGTTGCTGTTGTTGTGCTTGGTTTGGGTGGGGAGTTGTCTTGTGAGGATGGAGTGGGGAGAGGGATAGGGAAAGGATGGGGTACAGCTGTTGTGGGCGTAAGGTCGTGATCGTAGAGGTTGCCTTTAGTAATAGCAGTGGTGGCAGTGTTGATAGTCGAAGGTCGACGACACTTAAAAGCCCCAACAGCCTGCAACTGTATAACACCGCCATTATCTTTACCGCCAGCAAGGTCAGACACCATAGGACCCAACTCATTCTCAATAAAGAGACACAACACCGAAAGATCATCCCTTTGGTCTTGCTCCGCATCAAGTCGTTCACGCTGTAATCCTCGGATGGTGGTCCGAAGGTCCTTGTTGGCTGCTTGGGTTTGGGAGAGTTGTTCTTGGAGTGCCTCGAGACGTTTGCCTTCATCGCGCTGGCGTTTCCGCACAGTCTCATCGTAGAATCGTTTTGTGCGTTTCTATGGTGGAAGAAGTCGATATTGATATCAGGTTGGACCTTACAAGATAGCCTTATTTCAAACGCATTAAGGACCAGTTGTTACCTTGGTATCATGGATTTGGTGGTCGTATTCCTCCTTGACGTGCCGCAAGGCACAATCATGTTCTACAACCATGCGCTCTGAATCAAAAGCAAAATTAATAGTTACAACAGGTGTTAGAATGGTCGAACAGATGTCAGATGCGAGAAAAAAGTTGCGACGTATATGTTGTAGAGGTCCTTTACCGTTTCGCTCTTCACTTTCATGAAGTCTGGTCTGCAGTTCCACAGTCGAGTTATGCAGTTCTTGCAAGTCCTTCTCCAACTGTGCGATGACTTCCAAAAGCTCCTCCTCCCGACGCTGATGTGCCTCCTTCTCAAAGGATCCCGACGAGTACTCTTGATCTGGCGAGGCATAGCACGGGTGGTGCCGAGGCTGGTACCACGGTTGTTGAAAGTCTTGGAGATCCTCATCTCCAGAAGTCGACCGCTGGACACCCGAGGAGTCCCCGTTCATCAGACTGGCTCGCTGGCTCCCATTCAAGGAAGCAAGAAACGAAGACCGGATAGAACTGATAAGAGCCTTGTGGATATTCTGACTTGGTGTGTACCCACGCTGGAGACGTCGACTACAGACCTCAAAAACCTCCCTATCCTGCTCATTCCTCAAGTCTTGCCATGGTGTTGGTGCTTGACCTCCTGAGCCTGACTCGTTGTTGTCGCCGACCTTAGGAGAAAAGAGAGACATCGGATGGTCATATGGTTGATGTTGTTGCTTGCTCTGATTTCTCACTCCAGCCGAGCTCAGTTCAGAGACCCAAGACGCACGATCTGCGCTCTCGACGAACTCACCATCATCGGCTCTTCTTGCTGGGTGGCGTTGGTTGTTTGCGGGCGTGAATGACGTAGTAGAAGGGAAGTATAGGGGTGGTGGTTGTTGGGGCGAAGAAGGGTCATCGGAAATGACCTCCTGTTGATGGACGTAATTATTATCTAGGATAAGAGGATGGGATGCAGATCTGTCTTGCATGTGAATGTAATTAGCAGTGCTATGCTGCCGGCCAAAGAGGTACATCTGTTGTTGGTGTTGTTTTCGTTCTTGACGCTGGTGGTAGTTATGGTAAAGGTGGTGGTCAGTTGAGGGAGGATAATCCTGCACCGAAGGAAGAAAGCGGTCCTGAGCAGCCTCAGCGTCTGTCGACCAATACGCCTGTATATTATTGCTGTCCAATTGACCCGCTGTTGTCGTTATGTGCGGAGACGGTCGATATGAGGAAAGACGGTGCAGGGGTGAGTCAGAGCTGGCAATGGCATCGACGGCCGCATCTGTTGTTGTTGCCGTCGTGGAAGGGAAGAGGCTGGGGTCGTATCGGTTCCGCCGTCTCCAGAATTGTTCCTCACTGTTGACGATTTGGCCAAGATCTAAAGGCGGTGTTGTACTCTCAAAGCCCCGTCCTCGGTCATCCTCTAACTGGTCGTCGTCGTCTTCCGTCATGAACTCTTGCTCATTACCACCACAGATATCACTACCGCCACCCATCACCTTTGCCCCCACATCCCTTGGAAGCGAACTCCACAGTTCGCGTGAAGTAAATGACTCGTCGTCATCTTCTCCTTCAACGTCGTATTGGAGATCCAGGTTGGCTGTCGAAAGGGGTTGAATTTCAGGGTGAAGGACCTTATGAGGGAACTGGAAATGATTCTGGTGTGCTGTGGCAATGAATGCAGCAGCGGCGTTACGAAGATAGGTGACGGATGTTGTCGAGGTTGATGATGCAGAATTTGTTCTTTTTCGGGTCAGTGCACCTGCTGCTGATGTTGCTGTTGCTGTTGCTGTTGCTGTTGCCGGCAGGGAATTGAAAGGAAGCTGCCGACGCCTCTGTTGTTGCTGCTGTTGTGGAGGTTGCTGGGTATCAAGTGTTGTGGGGTATAGGGCACCCTCTCCGTTACTGACAGTGATGGGACCGGGCTGAAGTGCATGTGGTATGGACAGCCAAGGGTTGCTTGGGGCTGTTGTCGTCGACTCGGTTTGTGAACCATTAATGCCGTTGTCGTTGGGCAAGGTGTAAATATGCTTCCTCGTTACTGGAACTCGTGGAATCGTACTTCCAGACTGCTGCTGCTGTTGTTGAACTACATCATTGAAGATGTGCAGTCGTTTAGTAGAAGGTTGGTGAGGGACAGCCAGTGTTAGTGGTGTAACGGCCGCCTGGTTGTTGTTGCTATTTACCCCAACCACTCCCCTCGTGTTCGACGAGGACGACGTGTGGTGTCGCGTCAATGTCGTACCGTCACCGCGAAGAAATTGGTTTGTCGTATGAGCGTGTGCGTTCGAGGGAAGGAATGCAGGCTCACTCATTGCGCGAAAAAATAAGAGTTGGGAGGAACACAGATGAATCAACGATTGGAATCGAGTTCTCTTGACAAGATCTCGTTGCGATTCAAAAGTGAATGGTGTAATGGGTGATTCTATGGAGAAGGAAAGGGGAAGGAGGAAAATAAGGATCTGGAGGTTGGTGGGAAAGGAAGTGCTATTTTCCTAAGGAGAGCGAGAGAGGGGGTGTGGGGCGAGCGAGAGAGAAGGGAGGAGTGAGAGAGGAGGAGAGTGAGAGAGAGGAAAAGGGAGAAGAAGCAAGGAGTAGAAAGGAAAGCAAACACCAAGGCACAATGGCAATTGGTAGGCAGGAGAGAGAAGGAAGGAAGGAAGGAAGGAAAAAAGAGGGAAAAATGAAGGGGGACACGATCAAAGGGAAGAGAAGTCAAGAGATGTGATATATGTGTGCGTGCGTGTCCAATGGTGATGGCAATGGCAATGGCAATGGTAGGAGAAAGAATAGAGTATGCGGGAGAGTAACGATAGCAAGGGGTCGAGTGTCATCATCTCACTCTCAGGCCACTTTGTTTGCTGTAACTGTGCATGGTATGGTTTCGTGTATGCAGTCACACTGGGCCACGATCAACGCGACCAAAGGAAAAGAGAGAGAGGGGTCTGACCGTCAGTCGTCAGGTTGACAGACGAGTTCTCTGTCGGTTTCAACTATCGGACCTGATGTTGTGCCCTGCTGGCCTCCCCTCCGACCTTGCAGAAAGAATGACCATCAATGTCTGGCAGGTGTCCTGCAACATAAAAAAGGATAGCACGGGCGTGTATACCCCCATAGTTTTCTCAACGCGACCCTTTGATCACTTTCTTGATTGACCTATCAAGAACGCGTATTAACCCGCGTAAGACTAGCGCCAGGATGGCTCATCGATGTTTCGGATTCGCCCGCACTTTTGACGCCACCATTTTTCATTCATGCTTCTTTGATACCACCGCCCTTTGAACTGGGACGCGACTTTTTTTTTTATTTTGATTCTCTTTCAGTGAAACCGCAAAAAAATCTGCTCTTTTCTTCTCCAACCAACCAACAGGCATACTTCTCTTAGTTATTTTAACAACTCACACTCTCTCACTTTCTTCACCTATTTACCTCCTATCCCACCTAATTTTAATCATTGCCTTCGCGTATGTCGACTACTTCAAAACGGGCGTCCATGTCCCAAGGGACGATAAGTACTCTGGCATTCACAACAAGTTTCCGACCCTCCACCGAGACCGAGGCAACTACCACTACGACCACGTCTACTTCTGAACTTTATCCCTCGACAAGTACTTCGGAGATTATTTCACCAACTGCCTCCGATTCAACAACAACAACAACGCCTGACAGCACCGCGACCCCTATAACTTCTTCAACTACGTCAGAACCTTATACTCCACTCTCTTCGTCAACAATAACAACAACGACCGCCTCGTCGTCGACTACCACTTCCTATTCGACCACTACCAGTTGGACATACACCCTTCCGACAACTATCCCGCCAACACCTACACCATCTAATGACTCAGACGCACTCTCGACCGGAGCCATCGTCGCGATTGTAGTCGCTAGTGTCGTCGGTATCGTTGCTCTAGTCCTCAGCACTTTTCTAATCGTGCGCCGTCGAAGACGCAACTCTGTGTACTATCAGAACACACCTCCAATGCAGGAGACTCGTACCAACAACTATGGCGGTGTTGGAGGAGGAGGAGGAGGAGGTCAAGTCAATAATAACACCAATGGCGCAGGACTGGGCATCACCAGCAGTAACACCAATCCACCATATGGAGGAAACGACCATGGGATGTCGCATGATCAGATGAACGCCTCACCGCTGGGCAATGGTGGCGGTTTCTCGAGTCAATCGACTGGATTTGGTTACGACAACGGTGTCATTCCTGGAACAGCACTTGGCGCAGGAATGTATGGGTATGATGACGACTATCATTACCAGCAGCAAGCTGTGCATCAACATACGACCCAGCAACCTTTCTACCCTTTAAACAACAATCAGCCGCTCAGCTACACGCCACCCACAGAGCCGGATATTGCACCGGAGGATCGATATAATCCCGCGTATGGTTCTCGACGGGAACAGGAGGCTGCTTATATGGACTCTCAGCAGCAACAACTCTACTTGCAAAGCCAGCAACAATTACAGCAACAGCAACAGTTACAGCATCAGCAACAACAGCAACGGCAAAGGCAGCAACAGTATTTAGCAGGTCAACTACCAATGTCGGAGCCCGTCATCCCACCAAAAACAAACGAAACATTCGACACGCGACCTACAGGGATTGGCGACGGCAGTCAGGAGAGATACTGCCCCGACAACCGCTTCTCAGTCAACAGTCAGACGTACCTCGAACAACTGCGACAAAGCTATCCACCTGCAACGATTGACCAAGAGCTCATGGGAATTCCCTCTGCAGATGGTAGCGCTGGGAATGATATTATAAATAACAACGGAAGGACTGTGAGTCCTGGTCTAGTTTTCCCTCCTCTTCCTGCGCCTGTTCCTGTCCCGCTGATCTCATCTCATGTCGGAGCTGGGAGCGCAGGCAACATGATGGGCTCTGAAGACTATGCCTACCCAGAAAGCGATGCCCGTCGTGTCCTGCCAAACGATCGCCGGCCCAGTTCTTCCAGACCTATATCGTCATCGACCGTAGTCACCCCCGCGGTAACAGTTCAAGCCGATGTCCAGGACCGGGGCCAGCATGTCGTCGACAATGACGCCACTGCTGTTGCCAATTCGACACAAGGCGAGCTCACGCCTCCTCAGCGATTCACGGAGGGAGAAAGAGGCAGTGCGACAGAGGGCAACAGCAACAACAGTGATAATGTTGGATCACCAAAACGGTCAAGCGTGTTGTCGCAGGCATCGTCAACGGCGTCGAATAGTCTGAACACCAAGCGACTTAACTCTCCACAAGTGATCCCATCGACTAATTCTCTACAGTTGGCCCCATCCCCTAAACGAGGACCTCAGATGCGGGATCCAGAGGAGGAGCCGACTGTTACTGTGATACGCAAGCCAATGTAGTTGTTAGCCTTGTTATGGATATAAAAAAGTAATGAAAGAGGAGTCACGTGTAAATCGACATCATTGGCACACCCAAAAGAAAAAGGACGACGGACCACCGTCGCCTTTCTTTTTTTTTTTTTTTCTTCTGTGCTCTCATCACACTCACTTCATCCTTTTCTTTTTCTTTCACCACTCCTCCCACTCACTCCCTCACTCCCTCACAACAACAACACATCCACCATGAACCCCGAATAGTAAGAACTCTCCCTCCAAACTTTCCACACTATTACAAGGAAACAAGCGACCAGTGTGGCCAGGTGTCGGCCAACTGAGCCTCCCTCACTTCCTCCTTGGCAACAGCACGCACCCAGCGTGCAAAAATACTAGCACCCCTATTGTCACCCAAGGGCTGAACCGTATCGTTGAACCCTCTGAATCAACTTTGTTCCCCGATAAACAGCACATACACCCCCCCCACCCAACAATTGACTTGACAGACGAAACAGTGAATAGAAGAACGAAGAAGAAAGAAGGACAATCCCAAGCAGGAGCAATAATGTTCCAATGAACCCTGACCGTACTATGCCCTTTATTTTCTCTTGTGTGGCGAAGAGACACACACATACAAGGACACACCACCTGCCTACGTATCCTCGCCAAGAAAGAACAAGAGGAGGAAAAAAAAAGGCGATGATGAGCCCTTTTTGCTACGTCGACATCGACAGAATCACGCAACAAGGAAGAGCGCTGACAGTCTACTCTCCTTTTTCAATCTCATAGCGATTACCTCTTCAAGCTTCTGTTGATCGGCGACAGCGGTGTCGGAAAGTCTTGCCTTCTTCTTCGTTTTGCCGACGACACTTACACTGAGAGCTACATCTCCACTATCGGTGTCGATTTTGTAGGTGACTCTGACGACTTTTTTCACTGTGGTGTCTGTCCTGCCACCAGGTGTAGCTTGTCCTGGGCGAATGCTGCGCGACAAAAGTGAAGCAACATACAAACAACAAATAGCAAGTGGTGACCCACAGACACAAAAAGGGGCCCCTGACTAGTTTTTCTCTCTTTGTGGGCAAACAAGAAGTCCAGTCCAACTCGACTGCAGGGAGCTAAAGCAGAGCAGGCTGACAGAGAGACAGGCCAGTAGACAGGGAGACAAGCCAAAACGGACAAACAGCGCACTTTCTGGACTGGACAAGTAGACAGGACTGCACTTAGGAAAGAACTTGCATGAGCAAGGACCATCGGCCAAGCTGGGAGCTCATCTTCGAAACACACACCGAGCAAAACGAGCCCAGCCTTTTTGTGCCTTCCCCTCACCAAGCCCACATACACACCCCACATGAATCGCCTATGAGCATCGTTACTTATTTCTTTGTCGCCTTTTTTGCTATTACATAGAAAATCCGCACCATTGAGCTCGAGGGCAAGACCGTCAAGTTGCAAATCGTAAGTTGGACTTGACTTGCACCCCGACTCCAAGGAAACACCAGCGTGGTACCCGTCGCTGATGTCATAGTACTAACACATTACTCTTTTCTTTTTACTTCGGCGATTTTTTTATGCGGTCATCGGATACAGTGGGACACGTAAGAATCATTTCACGGCAGCAACCTCTGTTGATACTGTATACCTTGAAACAAACAAAGGTCGCCTACTAACCAGAGACCCAACTCTTTTTCAAAATACAGTGCTGGGCAGGAGCGTTTCCGCACCATTACCTCCTCGTACTACCGCGGTGCACACGGTATCATTGTCGTCTATGATGTGACAGACCAGGACACCTTCAACAACGTCAAGCAGTGGCTTGCGGAGATTGATCGTTACGCCTCGGAAGGCGTCAACAAGTTGTTGGTCGGAAACAAGAGTGACTTGACCAACAAGAAGGTTGTTGACTACACCGTCGCCAAGGTAACGAGTCGAATCGATATGCAACGCGCAAAGCAGTTTCGGAAGAACAAGACCTTTTCTCTGCAACGGGCAATTGTGCTAATTACATTGCATGCTGTTCTTTGTGTGACATTTCATTACTATAGGAATTCGCTGACCAGCTCACAATCCCTTTCTTGGAGACATCTGCCAAGAGCGCCACCAACGTCGAGCAGGCTTTCTTGACCATGGCCAAGCAAATCAAGGACCGTATGGGAGCTGCCAATGTTGATGCCTCGGGCCCCAGCAAGAGCATCAAGGTCGGATCTGGCCAGCAGTTGCCTGCCCAGACCGGCGGAGGATGCTGTTAAATCCGTCTCTGTCATCATCGCTGCTTCTTTGACCCCCCTTTTTTGAGTGCGCGTGTGCTTGTGTTGTCCCCTCTTTGGCGAATACATATGCATGTCGCTCACGTTGTTACCCAGGCCAAAACTTCATTCTCGACCTCTCCTCCCCTTCATCGGCCCCTAATCAATATTCTTTTGTGCATCATCGGGACAAGAGGCTGTTCCTAGCTCTCTTAGTCTCCTTCATGCCTCAAGTCTCTCTTTTCTTTTCTCTTTCATACAAATAAAGTCATTTCACGCTAGTCTTTTCTATCAATTGACGTGTTTGCTCAGCCATTGTATGGATATCATAGGTACGTCGGACGCTGCGCCGCATTATGAAAGCAGACACGAGACTTCGCACTTTAATCCTAGAGCGGTGCAGCCAAGTCGGGGAGGTCAAAAGGGCCAGAGATGCGAGAAATGTATTCGTGTCTGTGGTGTGTATGTTCCAGCAGCCGAAAGCAACGAGGAGAAGGCATGGTGGGAGACAAAGAAAAGAGTTGATTTTGTAGATCTGCGCAGCTGAAGCTGTTTGTTCTACCCCAAACCATGATCTTGACTGAGTTGGATACCATGATGAAGGTTTCTTTTGTATGTGTTTTGCGGCTCGGTCTTTGACAAGGACAAATCTTGGAATGAAGAGAGTACCAACGGGGTGCAACGAGCGTGCCCCAAATTCACAACAGCAAAAACAACAACACCAGCAAAGAGCAGACTCTTTCTGCACGCCACGCACAACTCGTGGAGAATGAGGAAGACCGAAGAGGCAAAACAAGGTTTTGCTTCCTTTACTTTCTAAACCAAACAAATCGAGAGCAATATTGCAAGGTGTGTTTCGTTTAAAAAGACCGAAGTTTGGACGCAAACCCTTCTTTCGAACTCTCGTTCTTTACCTTTTCACCTCTTTCTCCTCTCGCCTACTTTCTTTTCATCTCACCAGAAAAATATCTCACCTCCTTGCTAAAACAAGAACCAACATGTCAGCACGATTCCTCGCTTCGCACCCAGATGTCACTTTGGCAGCCGCCCAGCGCATCGCCGCATTGGCTCCATACCTGACCCCTTCGGTGACGATCAACCTCGGCTTGGGAGGGTACCATCTGATGATGGGTCTCTTACTTGGGGTCGTCAAGTACCAGCAGATCCATGCCTCCAAGACCTATACCGCGCACCCTTACATCTCTACTGGTATGACTTATTGATGTAATGCGGTTAATTGGTTTGTCAGAACTGATCCCTGAGCCGAAATTCCGGAGGACATTTGTTCTAACCATCCACCTGTACCTGAATATCACTCATCTCATCTCATACTAGCCCACCGCGCATCGCTGATGTATGGTTTCGCATCCGCCCAATTAGCAGGAATCGCCCTCCTCTCCTCTTACTCGGAACGCACAAACGTCTGGGCCACCATCGCCACTCAATCTTTCTTTGTCCAAGCCGTCCTCATGTACGCCGCACACGGGCTCCTGAGGGATACGACGAACCAACTTAAGCCCCCACATAGGGTTGGGGAGAAGCATGCGATCCCACCGTGGATGGTGAAGGGGTTCATGTGGTCGTTGATTGCGGCAGAGGTTGGGGGGTGTGGGGTTTTGATTGCTGGGATGGTCAAGACTTTTTTGAATGTGTTGCCCAGGGCTTAAGTTTGAGGGCAATGCCCTGATCTTCCGTTTTTTCTTCTTTCTGAAGAATTATAATCGAATTCCTTCGTGTCCTTTCTATTTATTTATTTTTTTACTCCCATCCCTTCCCTTCCTTCCTACCTTTTCACCCTTTGTGTGCAGCGTTGAGTGTGCCGCACGGTTGAATATTGACAGCTTTGTGCTTTGCTTCAATGTGTCCTCGTCGCTTTTCCTTCTCGGCGTCAGCTATGGGAGTTGTCCCTTTTCTAATCTGACTCCCTACCCCTTCGTTCATTTTTCCACTCATGCCAGTGGTTGTAGTCATTCAATCAGTCAGCAGTAGCAGTTGCTGTAGTTGTCGCTTGTTGTTCTTGTTTTTGCGTGGCCGCATGGTCCAAATCATTTTCCATTTTCGTACGATGCTGCGTTCCAGCTCTTCAAAACGACACCGACCCTATCATACCTATCAAGCTTTAACTTTTCTCTCTTCTTTGTTGAATAGACGCCATGTTTGTTCAAACAAAGCAAGTGGCGAAGTTAAAAAGAAGCGCGACCGAATAAATATAATTGATCGTGACATTTTTATCCTTCCTGATGTCGCATGAAAAAGTGCAAAGCCACCCCATAGATTTTTTTTTTTTGTTAAGACAAGCCTAACACAATGCATCTCTCAAACCACAACCCACACCCCCCACACACCAAGGAAACATCATGTCGACAAGAGACAGCCATCATAGGAAACGGGACAGAAGCAGGAGCCCCGAAGACGACAACCATCATCGCCGTTCAGAACCTTCCAAGCCCCGCGACAGAGAACATCGCCATCGCGACGAGCGCGACCGCGATGTAACAAGGCGACGGGACAACAGTCGCTCGCCTAGCCGCGGCGGCCATGGGGACCGGGACAGACATCGCGAAAAGTCCTCGCGTCGCGAACATGGAAAAGAGGACGAAGACGACAAGAAGAGGTCGTCGAGACGCGAGACTGAGAAGGCGACGGATCGGAGTAGTAGAGACAAGGACCGGGAGCAGGGACGAAACCGAGATCGGGACAAGGATCATCGACACAGCGAGAAGAGTAGTCGTCGCGATAAAAACAGTGATCGCCGCCGCAGCGGTCGCCGTCGATCTGCATCTGTATCAGAGTCAGGATCGGAATCTGGAAGTGGTAGCCGCAGTAACAGTGGATCGGATAGTGGAAGTGAGAGTGAGGAGGATGAGATGGTCAAGAAGGCCAAATCCATGATCCAAAGTACGTGCATTCTTTTTTTTCCGCCATTTCTGTTTATCCTCTTTCACGGACTGATATCTTAGAACCTAACCATCAATGGTATTCCCTTTTTTTTTCAATTAGCCATCTCGGAGGACGACTACTTTACAAAGTCGTCAGAGTTCAGGTTATGGCTTCGACAGAGCAAGAAGAAGTACTTTGAAGACCTAACTGCAGACGATGCCCGCAAGTATTTCAAGAAATTTGTCCGCCGCTGGAACAACTTTGAACTCGATGGTAACTATTACTCATCATTATATTCCCCACTCATGACATCTTCACAGCTCTCGCCTCACAGCTAACAAATCCATCTCACATCCTCCTCCTCCACCTCTTTCTGATGTGGATAATAGAATCGTACTACAAGGGAGTCCGCACATCCCAAATCCCCACAAATTCAATGACCAAGTACCAATGGAAATTCGCCAAAACCATCGATAAGGCGGACCTCAACAAAGTCGAGAGTATCAAGGATTCGATTGATACGATGACAAACGTCCGGTTTGCGCATGAGGTTGGCCGGCTTACTGGAGTGTCCTCTGCTAGTGCTTTGGAATCTGGAACTGGATCGGGATCTGCAGCGGGAGCGAAGAGGACTTTGGGACCTTCGATGCCTCCACCTGCGGCAGGAGCATCCATTGGCCCACGGCGACCCATGACCGCCGATGAAGGTAAACATCCCATTTCTCTACGTCAAAGAAAACCAAAAAAATAGTAATAACTGATGCTGCAATGGCTCTTACTTCGTCCTCATTATTTACTTCATGCTAATCACCCCAATTTCGCATTTCAAACTCATATAATAGTCGCCGAAAAGGAAGAAAAAGACTTTCGAAACCGCCAGCACCACAGAGCAGATCAAAAACGGCATCGCAAAGATAAAGAAACGGTCCTCGAAGAACTCGTCCCAAAGCCGACAGGACGCGAAGCCATACTCGAGAAGCGAAGGGCTCAAACTGCGTATCATCGACAGGAACGGTCTCCCGATGTTGAGTTGCCAGAACAGGATCTGATGGGCTCTGGTGGGGGTGGGGATGATTACAGGTCGATGCTGGCGGCGGAGAAGAGAAGGAAGGAGGCTAGGGAGGCGAGGCGGTATGGTGGTGGCGGAGCAGGGCCGGAACAGCCGTCGTATGGGCCTAGTGCTGGCAGTGCTAGTGGTCCCAGTGCTGCTGGACCACCACCATCCGCAGGGAGTGTGCTCGGAGTGAAGCAGCAGGCGTACAAGGAGAAGGAGGCCAAGCAGATGGAAGAGTTCCGGAAACTCTGGGCACAAACTCAAGCCAACAAAGGAGGTCTGTAATTTAAAAAATAAATGCACAGCACATTTTTCTTTCTCACATTACATTAAAAAAGCCATCATGTTGACAAACAAGAACGGCTGCCGGTCTTTGGTTGAAGATTGTGAATATTTTTATGAAGGAAAACCAAATACTTTTTTGTTACACGCATATTCTATGTATCGAAAGAAACACTTCCTAAACTCCTCCCGCCTCGCCCATAATACACAAAGGAAAGAGATGAATAATAAAAAAAAAAGAAGTAATTGGTAGAAAAACTAGCAAGGAAGAGATCGTTACAAGGGGAGAGGGGGCATGACAAAAGAACATATAAAAACACTAACGGAAAAGAAAGAGAAGGAAGGGGAGAGAGAGAGGGGGTAAAAGGAAGAAAACCAACAAAAGAAAGCACTTTACTTTTTGCAAGTGTTCTTGTGGGTAGAGTTCCAGTGAGTGATCTGGCAAGGTCTGGAGCAGTAAGCGACCTTGCTGCACTTGGCACACTTGAGCAAAGGCTTAGGCTTCAAGTCCTGGGAACGGCCCTCGTTGGCAACATTGTCAGCGCGACCACAGTTGGCACAGGCTGAGATACCAGGGTTCTTAAACGCCTTCTTCAAGGCCTCCGAAGCCTCCAACAAGGCAGGGGTAGGATCAGTCTGGATGAGTCCGGAACGGTTAGCAGTACGAGCCTGGAAGGCCTGGTAGGCGGTCCGCTTGATCTCGTTGAAACCAGTAACGACTCCGTAGAGCTCCTTGAAGCGGAGGTCGGCCTCCTGGGCGAGCTTGAAGTAGGTCTGGGCCTCCTTGAGGATCGAGGACTGCTTCAAGGCCTGGTTGGACTTCTTCTTGGTCGCGCCCGAGGGGGCCGACTGGAGGGTCAAGGTGGCGAGAGCATAGTAGGCGTTGGGGAGGGTGCGGGAATCGGGGTGAGCAACCTGAACGAATTCCTTGAAGTGGTGGAGGGCGTCGGCGGCCTGGTGGGTGGCATAGTAGACGTTTCCGAGGGTCGAGTGGTTCTCGACGTTGATGGGCTCGGTGGCCAAAGCCTCCTCCAAATCTTCATTGCAGGCCTATTTGTTGGAATGGTTAAGAGTATCACACAAACACGTTAGTGTCATTGGTTTTGTTGAGAGAGAGAGAGTGAGAGCGAAGTGCGGGAGGGGAGTTGCGAATCCATTGTGAGAGTGAATTCCCACGATAAAAATTACCTTGAAGTTGCGGAGAGCCATGTGGCAGGAAGCACGGAGCTCCAACATGCGTCCCTTGATGTCCTCGAACTCCTGGATGGCAAAGCCAATGGTCTGGATGCAGTGCTCATACTGTCCACCGCTCCAGAGGATCATAATAACTAGTTTTGTAGAGAGTGTTCAATGCTGGTTAGTAATTTGAGTCAATTGCAAGATTGGGAAGCGCACGCGGGCTACCTGCGGGTAAGAATTGTTTGGTATGACAAGAGGGGGAAAAAAGGGACAGGAGGGTAGTCGTTTAGATCGTCTTTTTCCTTCTTCTTTTGGATTGCGACAAACCATGGGAAAAGAATGGGGGGAGGAAAAAAGTGCGAGAGGATGAGAGGGAAAGAGAAGGGAAGGGAAAGAGAAGGGAGGGGAAAGAGGGGTTGAGAGCCTCGACCTTAAAGAAATGCTGACACCTGCTCCCAATTCAGGGACCAATCGTGCAATCACACACACATACATGCATACATGCAGAGGTGATCAGAAAATACACTTTCTTTCCCAGTCGATAAAAATGAATATTATCCAAAACTGAGAGCACTTTTCTTTTCTTTGTTCAATTGCTCGTTGTTGCGCTGTCAGTCTGCAATTCGCAAAGAGACAATTGATACAGGTCCAATGAGTTCTCTTGTTGTCGTCCTTTTGTTGTCGGGTGGGATCATGAGGGTGACAACACAACAACAATGCCCTCTTCACAACGATGACTCCAGTTGTGAATGGTAGTAACAAAAAGGAGAGGAAAGGAAAAGGAATTGTTTCTCATTTTCCCTCCTTGCGTTGTGTTGGGGTGGGCAACTTACCGAAGACGACGGAATCCTTGGTGTAGATGGTGTTCTGCTTCTCGGCATCCTCTTCCTCAGAGTCGGCGGTGGTGGTCGAGGTGCCCTCGGGGTTGTTGGTCTGGACGTAGACCTCGTACTGCTCGGCGAGCTTGAGGATTCTCTGGTGCATCTGGCAAGCCTTCTCGTCCAGCAAGAAAGCTTTCATCAGATCCTTGGTCACCGACACGATCTCATCCTGGTGCTTTGTAATCAACTCGGGATCGGCTCCCTCGGGGATCTCGTTCAAACGCTCCAGAGCGTTGGCAAAGAGCTCCTTGGCAGCAAAGTATTTCTATTGGAGATAGAGTCATGCGCGCGCGTGGGGGACGATATGAGAGAGAGACATTGGGAGAGAGAGAAAGGAAGAGAGAGACAGAGATATATGCATGCATATTGTGAGTTATTTTGGTTCTTGAAGGGTATGTGTTGTATGGAATCAGGATCAGAGATGAAAAGAGTCGATTCCTGCCATGAGTTGGCGTGTCCAGATGAGAGATGACCCAAGCAACTTTCACTTTTTTCTCGCGTTGTCGTCTCTGAAGGTATCCGTATGTTCCTTTTCTTGCCGATGTAGTTATTCTCCTTCCTCTGAAGAACAACACGACACCGATATACAACCATCGAAAATCATGATCCTCGTTGATACGTGGTCATCAGTGGCAAAGAAGAACAGGTTCAATTGAAGCGATAGAAGTACCTTGACAAGGGGATCGGCGGTCTTGTCCTTGGTGCCGTTGGTCTCCAAAAGGTCAAAGTCGTTTCTGTGCTGGGGAGCCTGCTGACCCTCTCCGTGCTCGTGGTCATGCTCGTGGTCGTGGCTGCAGTCGGGGCCGTGGACGTGCTCGACAGCCTTGTCCTCGATAGTGGCGGCCTCAAGGGAGGGGATAACGTCCTCGACGGTAGCGGTAGGGGCGGGGTGAGTGTCGGTCATGGTTGATTATATGAGAAAGTGTAAAAAGTGGATGTGAAGGGATTGATGAAGAAGAAGATGAAAAGAAGGAATCGGAAGAGTGTACAAGGCCAAATATTCACCCTCTTCCCTGCGATTTGGTTTCCCTCAACCCCTGTCTGTCCCTCCACTCCATCGCCTTCCATTGGCCTTCCTCCTCTCTGATCACCAGTGGCTTGGCTTTGGTTGGATGCCATGTCATGTGACCAAATGACTCCATTCGTTTTTATTCCCTACACACGCTGTAACACGGGATCCTAAAAAAAGGATACCATCTTCACTTGAAAGCAAAAGCTGGATGCCTCTCAATTGACCCATGGTACTTTATCCCTGCTGCCTTTAGCTGTCGTTTTTACCTATTTTTGTTGGACTTGTGTCCCGAAGCATTTGCTTTCCTGTGTCAAAGATAGAATGGTTACTTCACGCCCTAAACCTTGTCTTTATTTTGATTCGTTCTTCTCCATTGCTTCGCTTTTGTTTAGTTCTTTTACAAGCAAGGCTAAAAGAGGTCCATTCATCCTTCGGAAAGAAATAAAAAAGAAAATACTAGCGCCTTGGGCTATGGGGGACGTGTAGACTGACGATGTGGAGGTGGCGTGTTTGAGTGCGGATAGGGTAGCACCACCAAAAAACGACGGGCAAAAATACGCATGAGGGCCCGCATTCATTTTGCGTTTGTCATGCAAAACTGGGTAACGGAGAGCAAAAATTGGCGCCAATGGTTTGCTTGCTGCATTGACCCTGTTGTTGCTGTTGAACTGATCCAAGGAAAAAAACGTCAGTGCATGTGTATGATACCATGAGTGTGTCAAACATCCAAATCCAGAAGGTTAGGGTGCGCGTGCTCGTCCCCCTTTTTTGTGTTTAGTCGAAGCAGGTTGGGGTGGGTTGAGGGAGAAGGGGAGGGAAATAAAGACAGTGTGAGAGACGGTAGGGACGGGGATGATGGGTGTTGGGTGTGTGTGGATGGTGGATGAGCCTGGGGTCTTTTGCGGTTGCATGTGTGGTGTAGGAATCACTGAGGCAACAGCCACTGGTGCAACAATTTGCTCACTCAATTCATCAGGCAACGTTTATTTGATTGGCGTATGACCTACACAAACAAATCGATGAAGGAAACGAAAAGACGTAAACTGGCATCATCACCATCAATGGTCGCAAGAAGCGAGATAGTTTATTTGATGTCCTTACCGTTAATGTAATTATTGGATGGGAATGGTGAAAATATAATGGATGCGATGCAATGGACAGAGAGTCGAGAAATAAAATATAAAATAAAAAATAAAAAAAGTGGCAATGCAAATAGTTGCAATGAAGAAAGGAAGAAAAAATAATATGGGCGCGAGTAAAAGAGCATCGAGAAAAAAGGAGAGAGCACACAAAATCATTTTTTGCGATGGGCCAATCGTCGATTTTCTCCTGGGTGTGTGTTTTTGTCCTCAGCTCAGTGGGCTGGGCACAACATGCTCTGTCCCCCCTAGGACTGAGGACCGGAAGGGCCGAAAGGGAGAAAAGAAAGGGAGGCAAAAAGAGCAAAAAAGGCCATTCTGTCCACCCGACCCCTCCTCTCTGTCCTCTCTCTCTCTCTCTCCTCTCTGACCTCTCTCTTTACTCCCTCTTTGTCCTTCTTTACCTTTCTCCACTTTCTCCATTTCTCTCTCTCTCTGTGCTTCTCTTCTTCTCTTCTCTTTCCACCCACTCCCTTCTGACTGCATCACCACCCTTGCTCCAACTACACTCTCACTCCTCTCATCACTCCCCGCTCTCTCCTTCACCTTCACTTGCGCGTCCTCTCTTTCTCTTTCCCAACAACAACAACAACCACAACAACCACCACAACAACCACCATCACAACAACAGCAACAACATAACGACAACAACCAAATGCTCCGAATCGCAAAGTCCCTTCCTTTCTTCGCGACCCAGGACGAAAACTCACCCCAATCCTACATCTGCCCAACGAACGGCTTCTCTATCTCGGTCCCCACCAGAAACGGACTCGACAACTATCATGGACCAGGCATGGTCTTCCAGGGACAGCTGAACCTCCAGCTCGTCAAGGTTGTCCCATCCCCCTGTCTTCTGAGGGTCGTCTTTACCTGCCACTCGACCATCCCCGACTCGACCCCTGCTTCGCCTACCTCAGAGTCCTCTCATACCTCCTCCAATCATAGTGCCAGTATCATCAAGGGTCAGAACATCTTTGAGGTCGAGCATATCCTGGCCCAGGACCAGCCTCTCCAGATCAAGCGCCATACCTTCATGTTCAACATCAAGTTTCCCCGCGTCAATTTCCCTGCCTCCATGACCGTAAGCTCTATCTCTCTTTGCGTTATTTTTTCTTGACTTTCTTCCCGTTTCTCCACTGTCAACACAAGCATATCCAAAAGAAAGTTGTCATCATAATTCCCTCATGCTCACTCCCTCCTCTTCCTCTCTCTTAACTCTTACACTCTCTCCTTTTCTCCCGCTCTCCCTTTTTGTAAACACTTCCTTGCTTCCTCTTTCCTTATCCTTCTCCATTCCTCCACTTCATGACTTTACTACTCCCCTTTCCTCTCTCTCCCCGCCTTCTTTTCTTCTCCTTACTCCAATGAACACGAACAACAATAGGATGGCGATCGTGCATTACTGTACTCTATCCACTCTGAGCTGACGTTTGACTTGACGCCTGGAGATCCAAGATCAGAGGCGACTCTGCTGTCACCCCCTGTCCATCTCAAGTACTTGCCCCTTGTCCCGACCTGCATCCCCCAATTCCCCGTCATCGAGATGTCCCAGGTGACTGAGCCACTATCCAACAAGGTGCTCGTAAAGGCGAGTCTTGAAAGTCCCCAGCGCGGGGTCTGTCCTGGTAAGTTCAAAAAGGTTCTATTTTTCTGACTGACACCAAATAAAATACTTAATTTATGAAGTGGGGAGAGATGAGAGGGTGTCAGTGCTTGACTTTGTTCTTATGTTCGGAAGTGTTAGTTATTCATACACAGGTTGTGTGCCGGTATTTTTTTGTATTGTTGTGTTCAACGAGAACAACCAATAAGTGCAACAACCACAACCACAACGAAAGACAAAGGAATTTGAATGTGCGAGTGGACTTTTGTTGTTCCTTACGCCTTCCTGTTTTGAACGCCAGAAAGAGAGATCCCCTTTTTCCCGGTATTTTTACATCGCAACATTTTGGCTTTTGTTTCTTTTTTTTTTTTTTTTTTTTTGCCGTGTGTCTTTGAACCTACATCGAGAAGACACTGTCTGGGCCCCCGCCTCATTTTTTTTGCTTTTTTGCTTGCAAGCATGGCGGGCAATGATGTGATGTGGTGTTTTGTTTTGCTCTCTCTTTGTCTCTCCCTATCCACCATGTTCATTTGTTTACACCTCGCTTCGTTATTGTCATTTTGCAAGGGTTACCGCGACTTACTCACCTACTGACACTCACACAATCACGACCTCATGTCACCAATTTATGCCTAATAGGAGAGTCGCTACCCCTATCGTTGACAATCACAAACTCATCAGAGTCAGACCTGACAACCATCTATGTTAGCCTCGTCAGGGTCATGACCTACCCATCAATGCACTGCTCAACACCCACAGGTACACCACCACTCGACCCCGAGCCCGTTACTGTCCACTCAGAGTCCATACCTATCGCCCAGATTGCCAACAAAAACACCAATTGGATGGAGTCCATCGAGTTCAAAGTGCCCTCCAACCTCGGACTCGTTCCCACCACCAACAAAGTCATCACCCCTGTCTACAAGGTCGATTATTACATTTCCGTCTCGGTTCCCATTGCTAGCCGGAGCAGCGGACTGGCCAGTTGGTTCACACCTGCCGTCAGGGCCCCCCCACCAGTCGATATTTCTTTGATCCGTGGCACAACTGGAACATCAGGAAACGAACAACAGCCCCATCAGACACGGTTGGGCATGCGCAAGCCCTCGATCGATAAGGTCATCAAGGTCAACTTGCACATGGACAGGATCACCAATTTCCACAGCAGTATGAAGTGGCCCAGCTTGATCCAGCTACCGCTGATTCCCGTTATCATTGGAACAGTGCCCTACCACATCACAGAGAAACAACTTCGGTGGCCCATCCCCAACTACCTGGATGTCATGGACCGGCCGCGGTTTGTTCGTGATCGGTTTGAGGAGGAGATGATGCAGCACCTCGAGAGTCTGGAGACGTTGGTTGTCGCAGAAGAGGAAGATGAACAGGAGATTGACGAGATTATCCAGGCAGCTAGGAAATCAGCGTCATCAGGGGAGAGCGATGAGGAAGAGCAGCGTGCAAACGCCCGGATCCCAATACGGTTCAGAAACGGATCTCAGCCTCGCCAGAGAGAGCCCAGTCTACCCTCGATGGGACTTGACACCCCACCACCATCACCGCCCACCAACTCTTCAATGGATGCTCACGGCCGGCCCGGAGCACATACATTGCCAAGAGTGGGTCGTCGGTCGATGAGTCCCAAGGCGAGTGGACTGGGCAAGGGACTCTTGCTCGAGATGCACCAATCCAAAGTTCAACAGCAGATGCAGTTTGAACTGGCTGGCATCTAGATATACCACTTCTATCTTTTTTCCCTTTGAGTTTTTGCTTTGCTTAGCATTTAAGCTCCTTTTTTTTCAACATGTACATAGCAACCCATTAAACAACCATCCTTTTTTTTCTCAATTGGCCTGTCCGAGTTTTTGTCAAGGTCGCGTGTGTTATGCAACGAGTGGAGACGAATCGGTGCGCAACACCATAGACACCAAAGGAGTCTGCTCATCACCCTTTGACTGTCTTCCATACAAGGACAAGACTGCAAGACTCCGACAGATCATTGCTACCCGATACCCTGCCATGTTTTTCCTTCTGTCCCTTGAGTGGTGCAACCACCCAGCCGGGACCTTGTTGGATCTGCGCTGGATAACAAATGGATAAAAATGGAAGTGTGGATCCCAGCTGTGCAAGTTGTTGTTCTAGTGTGACTTTTATTTTTTTTTCTCCTTGACTTTGCTTCTCCACCTTCGATTCCTCGATCATCACTTCTTTTCTATCGTCCGCTTGCCTCTTTCCTTTTTTTTCTTTTTCCTTTTCCTCTTTTACCCGTCCGCGCATCCACTCCACTCCTCTACTATTCCTCCTTCCATTGACTCGTCCCCTCTCCTCACTCGACAACTTCACTGCGATACCTCCTCCTCCTCCTCCTCCTCCTCCTCCTCCTCTTCACTCCTTCTTTCCTTCTTTCACCTACTCCAAAAAATCTTTGTTCATAACATTCCACAACCCTTGATTACATTCCCACTACCAGCACTCTTTCGACACTCACTAAAGCACAACATATGAGCAAGAAGGCAGAAGTAAATGATGCAGGATCAACGGGTTCGTCGAGTGGATCCCTGTACGACCAGGATCGAGTCATTCTTGAACGCCTTGGATACAAACAGGTACCTTCACTTCACCTTGTATCACACCAGTTTTTTTTTTTTTTTTTTTTTTTTTTTTTTTTTTTTCGCCCAGTCCTTCAAGCCATTAAACAGCCAATTTCACTCCCTCGTTCCATGTTGATGTAATAGTCCCTGGACAGATCGTTGTCGGCGTTCAATAACTTTGGAGTGACATTCTCCTGCTGCTCGATCCTGGCTGGGTTGACGCCGCTTTATGGAGATGCGCTCCAGTCTGGAGGGCCCATGACCGTCATTTGGGGTACCGTATCCATTTGTTTTTGTGCTTGGTTGCTAAGTTGATGGGTCGTGTGCGAATGATGGGCGAAGGATGATGAGGTGGATGGAATGAAGATATAAGAGACTTTTGCGTGAACTGAATGTCTTGCGCTTACTCTCTTTCATCCCATCATGTCAGAGACCTTCTTCTAAACCGCTTTTCTTCTTGCTTCTCCAATTGATGGAATAGGATGGCTGTTGGTTAGTTTCTTTACGCTGATGGTGGGCCTGTCACTGGCAGAGATCTGTTCGGCGTTCCCGACATCTGGAGGACTGTATGTGTGGACGACTCGACTCTGCTCGGCGGCCTGGGCGCCCATTGCTTCTTGGACTGTCGGATACACCAATTGGCTTGGACTGGTACGTTTGCACAAAGGGAGCTCAAGGAGGAAAGAAGTGTGGCAACAGTTATTGGATGTTCATTGGAATCCTTTCCTCGTTTTCTTCTTCCTCCTCCTCTACCTTTACCATCTCCTCTTTCTCCTCTTTCTCTACACCCTTCCTTCTGATGATCTCTTTCTTCTCATACTTCTGTTTCACCACCTCCATTCTTCTGTCTGGCCTCCCCTGCGGTCTACCTGCCTACTTCCTGAAGAGAGATACACATGTGTTACTTTTCGAACTTTGTATTCGTCTACTTACAGAAAAAAAGGGAACAGTCGATCCCTTTGACACCTCCTGTGCTTTGTTCGACAAGTCCTTGTTCACAAACCCAAACTGTATTCCTCAGATGTTGATGGATGGCTTAAATGATGTCACAGTTTTGAAGGAGTTGGTGTCGTGCGTGTGCATCCTTGGACCATTGGAGAAGATACTTTATTATTACTCCTACATGTGAATCTAACCCGATATGTTCATTTCCTTCCATCCCCCTTTTGTTGTTTTCTTGCCAACGATATATCTTTTTTTCTATCATTCGTCTTGTCCTGACACAGTGTGGTAAGTCGATCGTTGATGTCCTTGAACCCTGACAGAACCAAGGAATATTTTCATTCACAACCAGGGCCACCCCTGGAATGATGAATCTTATTTTCGTCCCTCTCACTCACGCACTCACTCACTCCTTTCTCCATTTACTTCATCGTTCAATGTAATAGTGGCGATTGCGAGTACAGACCTGGCAATGGCCCAGTTCCTGGCGTCGTTGATTTCGATGACCTCGTCTTACATTCCCAATACCTATGTCATCTTTGCCATCTATGTCTGTATCCTGCTCTTGCATGGCGTTGTCAATTCTATGACCGTGCGTCTGAACGGGCTCTTCAACAACGTGTCAGGTAAGAATTATCACCTTTTCTTTTCTTTTCTTCTCTTGTGCGACACTCGAAAGTCAATCAAGTTTAAGCAATTGAAGTAGACAACTTGGAAAGCTCTTGGACTACCACAACACAGGATTCAGGAGAGAAGAATAACAGGAATGAATGGAAACGAACTCCATGGATCCAGGTGTCTGTGCTTCTATTGTCCCTGAATTCATTCTTTTGATTTTCTGATAGTGTGGTGGCACTTGTTCGGGACGGCGACGATCGTGATCGTAGTCCTCGCCATGACCCCAGAGCGCCAATCCGCAGAATTTGTTTTCACCGCCTGGATCAACAACACCGGTTGGTCCTCCTCCTTCTACGTCTTCATGCTCGGCCTCCTCCAATCCCAATATACCCTCTCCGGCTACGACTCTGCTGCCCACATGGCTGAAGAAACCCAAAACGCTTCTACCGGTGGGCCAATGGGGATCATTATGGCCATTGTTACTGCCAGTTGTGTCGGATGGGTTTTCCTTGTCGGGATGACGTTTTCGATAAGCAGTTTTGAGAACCAGATTGTGTCGCCGGAGGTTGGGGTGGCGTTGTCGCAGATCTTTTTGGATTCCTGTGGATTGGGGGTGGCGATTTTTTTGATTTTGATTATTTTGGGGGCTCAGTTCTTTTGTGGGAGTGCCCTTACGCTGGCGAGTTCGAGGATGGTTTATGCCTTTGCCCGTGATGGCGCCCTCGTAAGTTTTTTTTATTTTATTTTTATGTGAGGAAAAATGAATGGTGAATTGTTGTTCGTTGTTGCCAAAAAAAAAAAAAAAAAAAAAAAAAAAAGGCGCTAACACTTTATTCTGCTCTGACGTTCTTTTTATGAACAATAGCCAATGTCGAAGAGGCTACACAAGCTAAACAAAGAAAAATCCCCGGTAGCAGCAGTATGGTTCAACATCGCCTTCTGCTTCATCCTTGGCCTCCCCTACATCTGGTCCGAAACCGCCTACTCTGCAATTGTCTCCGTCAATACCATTGCCTCCTCCATCTCTTACCTCATCCCCATCCTCTGTCGAATCATCCTCGCCCGCTCTACCTTCGAACCCGGCCCCTTCAACCTCGGTCGGTACTCGACTTTTGTGGGAGTGATTTCGTCAGGGTGGATTGTGGTCACGTCGGCGTTGTTCCTGTGCCCGACAGAGTTCCCAGTGACGGCTAGTAATATGAATTATGCGGCGGTGCCGTTTTTGCTGGTGATTGGGTTGTGTGTGAGTTATTATGCGATTTGGGGGAGGCATTGGTTTAAACCCGGTGGGGGGGTTGGTGCGAAGGAGGTTGTGATGGAAGTGAAGGCGGGGAAGTTGGATATCGGGGGGGATTTGGAGAGTAGTGAGGATACGGATGAGGAGGATAGGAGGAGGAGGAGGGATGAAAAGTCTCATGAATTGGAGCATGTTTATTTGCATACCCCGCCTTTGACGTCGTACTTGTGTAGTGAGATTGGATTCCCGGAGAGGGAGGAGGAGGAAAAGCAATCGCATTCGCGGCACTGAGTGTGGTAGGTTGGGAAGGCGGTTGTTTTTGTTGTCTGTTTTTCTTTCTTTGTCGTTTGTCATTTTGTCCTTTGTTTTGTTGGTTGAAATAAATCGTTACACTATTGTACAGTAACCGTAACTTTGACATTCCGTGCACAGTTTGCCTACGCCAATTAATTACACAATCGATATTTGTGCAATAGTCACAATATCCTGCGCCCTTTCCATGTATTTTTTTTTTTTTTTTTTTTTTTTTTTTTGGTGCAATAGTGTGTTCCGTTTATTATGTTTTTGTGTACGCCTCCGTTGAAGTTGCCGGTCGATTCCTTCCTTCCTTCGCGTTTTCTGAATGATCTCATCGTTCTCTTGCGGAGGAGGCATGGTAGTTAAAGTATTCCAGAAAGATGTACACCAAAATTTTCACTCAGAACAAGTAGGCGCGGTCGAAAAAAAAAAGACATATGTATGGCGTAGGGGAGGCGTATTTTGTTTTTTTTACATGTTATTGTGTTGATTGTTAATTGCTGGTTGTTGGGGTATTCTCCTGCTCTTCAATGATCTCCTGTTCCCCGTTCGTATACAGCCCATCCGCTACTGATTTGACAAATCCTGCAAGGAGGGGGGGCTTAGTTGTAATACAACTCGATGCTCATGCCGTCATGGATCTCGTAGTCGTCCAAGGTAATATGATCCTTATAGATCGTGTACCTAGATACAAACCAACAACAAAACGGGATTAGTAAATTGCTGTTATCAACTGCGCCATTTTGCTGGGATGATGTGATAATCGACCATGCTTAAGGAGGGGGGAAAAAAAAGTGGAAAGAGGTGAGGAAACCGAGGAGGAGGGGGGGGGGAGGGGGGTACTTACCACTTCTTGAGGATAATCTTCTCCCAGTTGGTTCCGGTCTGTGCAGCGATCAACTTCTTGAGGTCTCCGACCGTATCATCTCCACTATTGGAAGAAAAGAACACAAACGAAAAGTTGGTTAGTTTTGGTTGTTGATGCCAAGAATGAAAACAACAATGTCGTGAAACAAGGAGACCCGTCTGTCAGGTTGCGGCTGTCGAATGGGGGGCGGTTGACGCTGTAGGAGTGGGGCGAGGGGTAGAAGGAACGTACTTGCACTTGACGCGGACTTTCTTTCCGAGACGATCGTTGCAAATGACTTCAATCATTGTTTCCTTGTGGTAATGTGTGATGGTGGGGAATGTGTGTGGTGTGGAAACGAAGAAAAAAGAAATCTCGCATTTCCCATTTTCCTTCTCAGCCTCCGTTCACTACACGTGACTCTTGACATAATGTCTCTTCAATACCACCCCCCGCCACCAAAAATCTATTTTTCGACCAACCGTGCATTCCTGGTTAAGAGGCGCTAGAAACAAAGGAAAGGGGGGTCAGGGACAGGGAAAAGGAAGTTTGTGTTTGATAACTGTATTGAACAAAACGTCGACCTCAAACTCCGACTTTCTCCACCCTACCCCCCTCTTCCCTGTGCCCCAGCTTATCATCGAAACGAAACGGCCATCCAATTTTTTCATGCCCTCACATTTCCTGTCACGCCCACCCTTTCCCACTCTTCAAGTAAGGGTTGCCTTCTTTTTTGCATTGGCACTAAATAAGCACTACGGACAGACAGACAGACAGCTGTTTCATTCGCAAATGATCAAGTAGTTGCGTTTTTTGTTATTTGAAGAGTTTGAGAACGAGGGGTTTGCGTTGCAACAAATAGGAATAATAAAAAAGAGGTGTGGAGAAAAGAAGCAAGACTCACAGAGGACAGGGGGAGGGGGTGAAAGCAAAGTGGCTACCTAACATGAACAAGAACAACAATCAACAAAGGAAAGGAAAAAGAAAAAAAAAGGACGGTATGCAGTACGCTATGCTATTCCTATCGATGGACGGAGATGTCCTGCTTTTGTTTGTTTTTGTTTTCGGGCAAAAATAATAAAGTACACAACAAAAACCACCTGGGAAGAGGGCAAAAAAAACAACAACGTCCTCACCCCAATTGCACCCGTAGGTGCCCCACCAATGATCAAGAAACGAGGATAACCTGCATACGACGGCCACGGCTGGCGCCTCCCAATCCTCGGACGTTCAAGAACCGGGTTGAAGACTGGGCTGAATTCAATGCATCCAGAGTCTGGGGCATCGGCAACCCACTATCTCCGCCGCACTTTGTAAGTTGCTGTCTACTTGCAGAAGACGAAGAAAGTGAATGAGGCGACGTTGGGGATGAGGGTGAACTGGAAGCCGACGAAGAAGGGGAAGAGGAGGATGAGCCCGTCTGTGAAAGTGCCGGTGTGGATGGGAATGAGGAAGTGGAAGAGGTGGGCGATGACGACTGGGAGGACGAAGAGGACGACGACCGACGCTGGGTGCGATATGGATGGAACGCAGCTGGATGACTGCTGTTTGATGGCGACGACGATGATGTAGTCACTGGTTCCACTGCTCCCTTGGTTGCTGTCATAGCCGTCGTTGCCATGGTTGATGCTTGTGCTCCTGCTACTGCTGTGGTTGTTATGAGTGATACGCCTGATTCCGCCTGTGATGGTCCTGACGGCACCGCTTGGGGAGATGGCTTGCGGGTGTGAAGGATAAGGAGGTTGCGGGTCTGGTCATAGACGTTGCTGTTCCTGTAGGCAGTAGGGTCGCTGGACCAGTGACCTCCGTTCATCCGGACAACTCCTCCTGCTGCTCCTCCATGGATGCTGCCAACCTTGATTGTATCATCGGCGCTCTTATGAAGGAGAGCATGAGACCCCGCCAGTGACAAAGAGGAACCCGCGGAAGGCCCAGCAGCTTTCGAGTCCGCTTTCTCACAGCTGTCTGGGTCTGGGGGTCCAAACTGCTGATCATAGCTCCGAATGTCGACCGCCATCGAGAGCCCAGGGTCGTTCTGGAAGCGGAAGGAAAAGACGATTCCCTTTGAGGGATCGTTCTGAGAGGGGGATCGTCTCGGCAGACCTTTGCGTCGACTCGAGCTGCTGCTGCCACAAGTGGTCATCGCCGCTGGGGAGGTAGGAGAGGAAGCCGAGGAGGAGGACGACGAAGCAGCAGTGTGAGAATGGTGGTGGTTATCGGATTGTGGAGGAGGGGAGGGTGAGGAAGCGTTGGAGGGGGAGACGGAGGCGGCTTTGCTGTTGGTTGTGCTGCTCCGGTGGGGGTAGGTCGATTGTCTGGTCGACTTGCGGACTGTGGTCTTTTTCTTGGCCATTATTGAGAAAGTAAGTGAAGGTGGAGAAGGATATTAAGCGTAGCAGGTAAAGTAAGGGCGAACGAAGAAGACAAAAAGGAAAGCAAGAAAAGGAGGAAAGGGAAGAAAGAGAACGAGGAACAGGGGGAAGCGAGTTATGTACAAGGGAGGGATGCAAACGACCTGTGAAGTGGAGAAGGAGGAGGAATAGTAAAAGATGGGTAAAGGGAGAAGGACAGTGGTATGTAGTATGAATGAGTGAAGGAAAGAACAAAAGGAAAAAGCGGGAAGAAGAAGGAAAAGACAAAGGTATGGAAGGAAGGAAGGAAGGAAGGAAGGAAGGACTAAAAACGAAATGAAGAAAAGACAGCAATGACGGACAATGAGAAAGAAAAATAGAAAGAGACGAAAGGGAAGAACAAGAAGGAGAAAGAAGAGAAGAATAAGAAGGAGAAGCCAAAAAGAAGGGGTTGTGTGAGAGTGTCAACCCTGACTTGTTGAAGTCTACTTTAACACCACTTACCTTTGGAGTGTTTGCAATTCCAGCCACAAGGGTTGAGGGAGGACGGCAAGCTGGACTTTGATGGCTGGCTCTTCTACTCCTTCTCTTCACTTGTCCCTCAACTCTTTCTTCTTTCATGTTCCGGAGGAAGGCAACTGAGCGATTGTATATTTCTATTTCATATTTCATATATATATATACTTTTTCATTCATTCGTTCCTATCGCCACATGTAATGAAATGACTGTCGACGGGAAGGAAAAAAATAGCAAACATGTACTCCAGAAGAAGAGCTACTTCCACTTCTCTTCTTTTCCCTCTTTCCCTTTTCTTCCCATTTCTCCTTCCCACCTTCTCCATCCATCCTTCCTTTGCCCCAATTAAGATGCCCTATGCTCTAGCTCTTCTCCCGATGTGATAAAACAGATTGCATGTGTGTGTTTTGTGCACCACCTTACTGTCCTCCCCCACCACTCTATTTTTCTCATCCCTTTTTTTACCCTTGTCCTTTCTCTTTCTTCCCTGTTGTCTTCAACTCCGCTCATGCTCTCTCTCCATCTCCCTTTCATTCTCACCATTATTACATTCGTACACCCCCCAAACAGATACAAGTGACGGATGAGGATAGATGTCTCTTCGTCCTACTTTCCCTTCTTCCCCCGTTGTCCTTGTTCACTCGTCCACTCTCCCCTTTTATTGCCTCGTTTCCATCCGTTTGAACACCCTCCTCCTCCTTCTTTCTTACTCTTCTCTCCCCTGACCTTTTTTTTCCCCCTTTCATTTCATTACTGCCACCACCAAGCACCAACGATAATCCATCTCGGGACTCTTCTGTCACCGTCACTTCTAGTGCCTCTCTCCACTGACTGACGTCTCTTAATGTCGCATTCGTTCTACTTATACTTTTGACTGTTTGTTATTGCATTCCTCCATCCCATGACTATGCCTCCTTGGGTGTGGCAAATGAGGGACACAATAGAGGTTTTGTTTTGTTGTGAGGTCATCGTCGTTCATTGTTTTCGCACTTGTCACTTTCAAACACTGTCTGACCGAGACAACAAAGAGAGGGTTAAGCTTGACCAATTGGCAACCAATCAGGGGCGCTGGATGTGAGACATTACACTTCGTCTGTGTTTCTTGTACTGATTAAATCATAGTCGTATAAAATTGGTGGCAAAAAATGTTTTGGTCAGCCTAACAAGCTGTGCGTGGTGCCTGAACTTAGGGATTCAACCACAGACACAGACACAGCCACAGCCGGGGCCACAGTGCTGGGATCACATAGGCAGACATTATACAAACAAACAAGCATACAAAAACGCCTGAACGCGAATACTACACTGCGTCATTCCTTGTCCTTTCTGTTTGTGCGACCTGACTACCGCATGACTGGCGGACATCAGGCTTGCTACCTGTATGAGGCTATGAGCGTGTGAGAGGAGTCAGAAGGCGTACTTTACTCCAGTCCTCCAAGCAAGGGCTTGTTACAACTCGCAGGACCCCATGTTCATCTGCTGGCAGTTTTTTACCTACGATACGACCTACAACATAACATATTCCTGCAGGAATGCAAAAAGCAAAAATATTTGCCAATGCTTTGACCCTCAACTTGCTGCCTCCGACTCTCTGCCATCTCTCTTGACCATTGACCCCATTCTTCTAATCTCAGAGTGGGTCGGATGGTAACCGCTTACTGAAGCAACACTGAAGGAGGGTCGAAAGGCTTATATTTGGACTTGCCTGTCTGTCTCTCTCTTCCTCTCCCTCCTCTCTTCCTCTCCCTCCCTCATTTCCGTGTCACTCCTCCACTTCCCCTTTTCCAGAACATGTCGCCCCTTCTCCAGTTCGCACCGCCTCGATCTCTCTCACACACCCTCCCCTTTATTGCCCATAGTCCCAGTATTTATGTTTTGTTTCTGAGTCTTCCTTCCTTCTGTCTGTCTGTCTCTCTGTCTCTGCCTGACCTGACCCTGACCGACTGACCAACTGACCAACAGGCCCACCGTCCGGCAAAGTAGTCTTTAATAACAATCCTGCATCAAATATTGCAATACCAAAAAAAATGACCCATTGCCCGCGGACAAAAAAAACCCCCCACGCCCATCTTTGTGCGCCCGTGGTCATTACACACCCCCATTGCAATAACAATAAAAAAGCGCGGCAAAAAAATTAAGATAAGCGATGACTGGTTCATCTTGCCTGTCGCTCCCTCACTTTCCCTCTCTTCTTTGCTGCGTACGCCATTTGACCCGTGTCCATCATCGCATCGTGTGTTTTTGCGGTTCATACTCTTCCTCATACTCTCTGTTTGTTCGACATACAAGCATGCCCGATGGCATGACAGAGTTGGTGTTTTACTTTTTTCCTTTTCCATTTTTTTTGGCGGGTTTTTTTTTGTTTTGTCTCCTTCCAACATTCAATCCCGCCACACATTGTTTTCCTCTTTCATGTCCACGCCCTTGTTTCCTTCGTCGCCTTCCCTCTTCTTCTTCCCAACTCCTTCTTCGTTCATTCATTCAGTTCATTCCATTCCATTCAACTTGCCCTTTTTTTTACCCTTTTGTTCATCGTCTCTTCCCTTCCTCCTTCCCTTCTTCCCTTCTTCCCTCCTTCCCTCCTTCCCTCTCCCTCCGTCTCTCGCAAACCTCCCGTTCACCTGTCTCCTCGTTTGCTCTCATTCACTTTCCCCATTTACTCTTTTTTCTTGCATCTCTCATTCTTACTGGCGCCCACCAGTTCACCCGAGCTCCCCTTTCCCCTTTCTCTTTCTCTCTCCTTTTGTCTGCATAGTCTCGTTAGTCCATAGTTGACTCCACTATACCCTTCTCTCTTCTCTCTTCTCTTTTACCTTCTCTTTCACACACACTCTCTCTCTTTTGTTGTTACCCTTTTCTCTCTTTGTCCCTTCCAGTCCACCCCTCCAGACCCAACCGACACAGGTCCTCAACCATGCCACCAACCACCCGCCGAGGCAATATGTTTGGTCCCTACTTGCTTCTCCAGACCCTCGGTGAGGGCGAGTTTGCCAAGGTCAAGCTGGGCATGCATGCTGATTCGGGTGAAGAGGTAATCCTCATTGCTTTTTTTTTTTTTTTTTTCTTCTTTTCTCGAATGCTAATTCACTTTTCTTCTTGTTCACAAGATTGAATTTCACACTCGTGGTTGTTGACGTATATGTGTGCTGTGCACACTTGGATATGACAGACAAACGAGAGTGGAGAGTGAAAAAAGAGTGTGAGTGGGTGTGAGCAGCAGCCAGAACACAAAGCGCACAGGTCTTGTCTCTTGTTGATGAAGATGAGAGCCTCCCTTGGAACGTCGTCATTTTCCCTTCCAACCTTCACCTTCCTACTCCTTTCATCTTCACCCCTCCGCCAACTCCCCTATCCCCTAGCCCTTCCATCGATTTCGTTCTATATTTCTCTCTCTTTACTGGTACACTGTGTGTCCGTTTTCCATTCCCACTCCCTTTTCACCTTTGTCTTCTTCCCTGAGAAACAACCGAGCCTTTGTTTGTTTGTTGTGAGGGAGTGAACCTGGTTTCGGATTGATTTCCATTGCCACACGCGTCTTCATTTTTATTCAGTCTTTTTCAACAGTTGGACGCGTCTCATTGGTTGTCACCACATCAGCTCGTGCTGCTTGGAGTGGGGGTGTAAATGTGGCTCCGAGTGGGTGAGCCGATGTAGATTTGAGCAGTGTCAATAACGGCGATCGTTGGTCGTTGATCGTCGGTTGCAGTTTTATTTTTATTTTTGCTTTGAGGGTGTTCGCATGGATATGAATACATGCATGGCTCTCCACGAAACCGTCAGTATTTGATGCCTGTACGTCGGAGCTCAACCCGCGGTCCTTGCTCTTGTTAGCACCTTCTGCTTCCCTTCAGTATGCCTATATCTCCTTTTCCTTCATGTCAATGTCCTCATCGTCACATTCAACCCCTTCCCTCTTTCCGTTTCCCTCCTTTCCGCGCTTGCTCCTCCTCCCTCCTCCGTCCAGACCCTCTCATCAAACAATCAAAAAAGATAAATGTACTCCGCCTTCGTTATTCATTCTTTGTTTCTTTGGATGGTTCCTCAAGACATGAATGGGAGAGAACGACACACTGAGAATGAGGACGAAGGGATAAAAAGTGAGGGGCACATGGAGTCCTCATTCATAACTGCGGTGGATTTCGGGCCTGTTGACCTCAATCTTCTTTGTCTCTTTCCCGTTCCCGTTCCTTCTTTGTCGTTTTCGCACAGTTCTGTTATTTTTTCTTTTCTGTTTCGTTTTTCCTTGCCTTGGTCTCCCTCTTCCCCTCCTCCTCCCTCCTTTTGCCCTCAATTTTCATGCAACAGTATGCAGAGGACAGGCGCTCAAACACCCAAGGCAGCGTGGAGTAATTGGACTCCTTTGATCGTGGAAGAAAAAAATGAATGGTGGTTCGAGTCCATGTCAGATCAACCTACTCCCAAACAGTGCAATATTGGCTTACAGCCACCACTACAAAGAATACACCACCTCCGAGTTTCCATTCCCCAATCCTGAGCCCTGAGCTATTCCGTCGGTATCTAGTTCTCTTATTATTAAATCAAGGCAGCAGTATCAAGGGATGGATAGGCAGCAGAGCACGCTTGCGCATAACCAAACACCCAAACGACAATCCGACAGGAAGGCACACCGACAGAGCAAAAACAATAACAACAACACAAACTAAATCAAAATGCACCACACCATCCATCTCGTTGGCCCTTCTTTATTTGATCTTTGATCCTGTCCCCTTCATTTCCCCCTTTTGACCGCCTCTTCGTCATCCCTTTATCCTTCCCCCCTCTTTTTTCCCTTGAACTCTGATGCGTGTGTTTGTTTGTCTACAGATTGGTTTTACCCTCAATGGCGCGGCCAACAAAACATATAAACTGGGACGGGGCGGGATGAAGAGAGATAGAACGAGAGAGACAGAGAGACGGAGAGACAGAGAGAGAGAGAAAATGAGAAAGGGAGAGAGAGAGAGAGAGAAAGCCATTGTGCGAGTATGACTGAGATCTAATTGTCGCCTCGCTCCTGAACTCGCACTCGAAAGGCCACGCACTTACCACTCTTATTTTCTTTTGCCTGTCCATGCTACCTAGGTTGCCATCAAGTTAATTCGGCGGCAATCCATCGATAATACTCCGCGTATTAACAAGATCGGAAGAGAGATCTCAGTGCTGAGGGTAAGCAACACCAAAACAAACAAAAAAGAAAAAAGATGGACAACAAGGAACGAGTCTTGTTGTATGAGATGCACAGCAAGTGGGCATATCCCTCTTCCAAAAACCCACAACTCGTCACTTATAGTGAAAATGAATATCATTTTACTTTTTTTATCTTGGTCGTGATTCATAGACGATTCGGCACCCTAACATCATTGCCCTGTTTGATGTGATTGAAACGGAGCGGTACATTGGCATAGTCATTGAATATGCATCAGGTACGAACGAACCCAATTGACACAAGACAGGCAACAGACAAGCATGTTTTGGACTTGCAGGATATGACTCTTTTTCTTTGGCCAAAAGAAATTGGAAAAGGCGATGAAAATAATCTAATGCTAACAAGAGCGCTATCCCTTTTTCTCCTCTTTTTTACTTCAAAACCATCCCTTTCAATTGAAAACAACTGAATATTTGCAGGAGGCGAGCTCTTTGATCATATTTTGGCCCATCGTTATTTGAGGGAAAGGGATGCGTGTCGACTATTTGCTCAGCTGATGAGTGGTGTGAATTACCTGCACTCCAAGCAAATCGTCCACAGAGACTTGAAGCTGGTACGTTCAACAACATTCTTTTGCTCTTTCATGGTTTCATTTTTCATTTCTGCGATCGATGGAGAGATAAGCGAGAGAGGAAAGGGTGAGTATGAGTACCGATCCAAGAGATGATGCAGTTGTACTGTCTCTCTTTCTCTCCTTCTCAATCCCTCTTGCTCTCTCCACGCTATAAACGAGATTGATCTATTGCTATGCATGCCATTGCTATTTTGTTCGCTCTTTAATGGATTGATTACCTTTTGGCACAATAGGAAAATTTACTCTTGGACAGGAACAGGAACATCATCATCACAGACTTTGGATTTGCAAACCAGTTCGACAGCTCATCCCGCGACCTCATGTCAACCTCATGTGGTTCTCCTTGTTACGCCGCACCAGAGCTGGTCATTAGTGATGGACTATATGTCGGCAGTGGTGTTGATATCTGGAGTTGTGGTGTCATCCTGGTATGTTTATATCCCCTTGGTGTTATTTGCTAATTCGTCTGTGCGAATGCCTATGGGCGATGGTAATCAAGGACTGAAAGAACGAGGATTGACAATGTGTATTCTACATACATACTAAACCTGATATAGTATGCGATGCTGGCGGGATATCTTCCTTTCGACGACGACCCATCCAACCCTGACGGCGACAACATCAACCAGCTGTACAACTATATCCTAGCAACCACTCTCGTGTTTCCGGACTACATCTCACACGATGCAAGAGATCTCCTCAGAATGATGCTTGTCCCCGACCCAGCGAAGCGATGCAATATGAAGCGGATCATGGCTCATCGGTGGTTGCGGCCCTATGGTCCCATGTTTCAATACTCCATCGAGGACCTCGAGGTAGGGCTCTTTACTTGTCTTCGCGATTTCGCTCTTTTGTGTAACTGGCATTAACGTGGGGTAAACTGTATTCCCTTCTATAGGCGCAAGCGATGGCGAGGTTGAATGGGACGATATGGATACCGCCAAAGCAGAGCATCCCTGTTGATACTAGAGAGGCACCACAATACCCACCAGCTCAGGAAACAGTTCAAAGTCGCCCTGGTCCTCCTCGTCTTGACCCCAGCGAAGTCAACTCCAAGCGGAGACACACGTTCGTGGCAGAGACGACTGTTCCTGAATCTCAGCCTTCATGGGCTCACCCACCGACACCTCGACATGAGTTGGATGAAGATAGTCTGGTCCCGGTGTCAGACACGTCTATGGATATCTGTGAGGATGAGGCAGAGGCTGTTGCCAACAACAACAACCAGGGTCAGACAGAACAAGGGTCGGAAGGATTCTATCAGGATATTCACATGGGCATCGCTCCAGAGATGGCCATGATGGTTGACCCCAAGGAGGTGTCCTTTGATGACCGTGCTATGGCTGTGGAGGGCGACAGCAATGGCGGCGCCGGTCAGAATTTTCAACAAGAGAACGGATACCAGTACAACAATGTCCCAGCAGAGGCGGGTCGAGGTTCTCAGGACGCGCAACAGCAACCCATGCCAGCGATCGTTACTTCTCAGTCGTCTTCGTCCTTGGCCACGCCACCGACATCGCAAAGGGAACATGGAACTCAAAACTCGGCCTTCGAGTCGACATACGAGATGCCATCAGCCGCTGTTGAAGAAGATATCCCCAGGCCGCCTGCAGAGCAGCAGCAGTCTGTGCGTAAACGTCAAGAGTCGCACAATGGATCGACTCTGGAAACATCGCCCACAGTTTCTCGGCGACCTCTACCTCAGCACGACCGCATTCGTCCTACGACCATTCACGGTGAGCCTATGCCGCACGACATGCCGACTCCTTTACCCATTTACTATGGTCATCATGACATGTCACCAGGACGGAGTCCATACCTTATGGCGCCTCATCAGGAGAGAAACCCTCAGACGTATTACCCGTCGCACTTCCAGCAGTCCTCAACTTCACCGATCCCAGATCCTCATCCTTTGCCTCAGTTTCATCAACCTCCTCATTCCCCTCCTCAGCCACCTATGCCTACGTTTGGTCAAGGTTACGCCCACGCTTTTGAGCATTCGTTGCCGCCCTTCCAACCGCGGTCGCGACGACAGAGTATCAAAACTCCTCCAAACTCGCCTCCACCAGTCATCCCAACTCGACGTGACTCGTTGGGTATGAGTCAACCGTTCCAGTTCCCGCCAATCCAACCTACTCAATTCCAGCAGAGCGGCAACTTAATCAACAACACCACCCCTCAACCCTCGCCATTGGGCCAATCCTTACAGTCAGTGGCTTCACCCAACAGCAGTAGCAGCTATGGAGGTGGTATTAGTAGTCAGAGGAACGGCACTCATGTCAAGACTCATCGTAAGGGACCTTCGTCAGGACGGTTCTTGGGCTTTTTGGGTGGTTTGTCCAAGAAGAATGGCGAGCACCACAGTCATGGCAGCCAGACGCCTACTTCGCCGAGGGCTGGATCTGTGTACGAACCCAATCTTGCGGACATTGATTCGTCATACTCGCCGCCTCAGCACTCAACCTACCGACGGAACGTTCAGCCTGACCAAGACTTGCAGATTTTGCCTTCGACTCCTCTACCTGAGAAGCGCGCGACTCCTTCTACACCTACTTCGCAGCACTACCCGCAGATGGAGGGTCAAACACAGCAGCAGCCACCACCACAACAGCAACAACAACATTATGGCGGCGTTGTGACAGCAGCGTATGATACCCAAACGTCGAACCAGACTCAGAGGGGCAAGCGCAGGAAGACACTCAGTCTTGTCGCCGGATCGGGAGAACGACCACCCCACCACCAACAACAACAAATGCAGCTTCAGAGTCTGCATCACCCGATTTCGTCCCGTCCTCCTCTGCCTTCTGCAGGAAACAGCGATGGATCATCGTCGGTTGTTGGTGGGTCGTTTGGTTCGAATGGAGTTACGAGTGGTGCCAACGGTAGTGGCACTGGTGCACATCAGGCTCATGCTCATAGTTCTTCGTCGGGCCCTGCACAGAGGATCATGGGATGGTTGCGACGCAAGTCCATCGGTAAGTCTCGTCCACACATTTTTCTGTTTTGAGTATGTTCGTGTGTGAACTTATGTTACATAGCTGACACTACTTTTTTTTTTTTTTTTTTTTTTTTTAATTAGTCAAATCTGGGGCAGAGGTACCGCACTTTGACCCAGCAGAATTTGTGCGGACGAATGGCACGACACCTTCGCCCGGACCTTTCTCTGGATCGAATGGTGATACTCTAACCAAGGGCCATGTCTCGCCTACCGTTGGACATGCAGTGAATGGCGGTGGCTCTATCTTAGCAACTGAGGAGTATGAGTCTGGCCCTGGAGGAGAAGCGGGTGGCAGCGTCAATGGCATGATGGTTTCTCCATGTGGTGCGCAGGGTGTCCACACTGGAACGGCCACCTCAGTCAACATTCATGGCAATGGATCACAAGATGTCAACAACAGCAGCCTAATGCAGCAGGTATTACAGCAGAGTGAGATTCAGCAGCCTACACTGGAAGCATTAATCCGGGCGTTACCTCCAAACTGGACAGACGCGAAACTCAAGGTACATTCTGGAGCAGTCGAGCTTTCGTCCTTGTCTTCGCGACACCCGGCCGAGATTATGTTCGACATCAAAATGGTTGTTCTGAGGTTGGGGATTGAGATCCGGTCGGATTCGGATTTCAAGATCAAGTGTGTCCGGCGGAAACGGAAATCTTCAAGCACTTCTGCGGCGTCCGGATCAAATGGTGCTGTCGCTGGTGCTGGGTCGACGAATGGCGGTGGTATGACTAGCCTGTCGGTCAAGAGTCTGTTGCAGGGGCATGGACTTCACTACCATCACCATAACAACAATACCAACAAATGCGGGCCCGACGATACCGCGAGTGTGATGTCGAGTAACTTGTCGATTGATCGTGAAGCTTGGGTGTCGGCTCGGAGTGTTCTTGGCGGCGCAGGAGGAGTCGGATCGATGCAAGGACCTGGGTCTGCGATTGGTGCAGGGACATCCGTCAGTGGGCAGAAGAAGAAGAACGGGATCAGGACCATCTTGTGGAGGAACAGTACTTCTGCGAGCCTGGCTTCCGTCTCGTCTCCTACTCCCGGACCTACATCTATTACCAGCGGAAACGGTAATACGTCAATGGGAGGCGGCACTGCGATGGTCGCTCAAGGATCTGGATCTGGATCGTCGACGCGTCAGTTGTCGCAGGTCATGAATGGGTCTAGTCTGGGACAGGTCTCTCCTTCTCAGCCTCAACCTCACTTTGTTGGAGGAGGAAGTGGTTCGGGCTCTGTCAGTACTACTGCTGCTGGTCATGGCGTTGGACAGGGGGTTGTGGACTCTGTTGCGACTGACCATGACTCTGCTATGCCCTCGTCTGCGGCAAGTGTTCCTGATGGAGATGACGCGCGGTGGTTGCGTCCTGGATCTGTGGTTGGAATCAGTAATTCGACCAGTGCGACGACCATCGAGGCTGCTACGATCTCTCAATCGACCACCGTCTTGCCTCCACTCCAGCAACTCCAGCAACAACAGGCCATGCTCTCAGCAACAACATCCACTTCGGCCGATGGTGTGGCACCTTCTGGAGACAACATCACAACTGCTGCTGCCACTAACGTTGCAACGACAGTAGAACCACTGTACGGCGAGGAGGCAATCGATTCTGGAGAAGAGATCCGGTTCTCGATCGAGCTGTGCCGGATGAAGAACCTCCGCGGCCTCTATTCGGTCGATATCCGGAGAGTCAAGGGTAACCGGTGGGCATACAAGTTCTTGTACCATGCGATCTTGAATACTTTGGATCTGCAGGGCAAGGGAGGGTATTTGGCAGGTGGACTGATTCCTGCTCAGTTGGCGGGTCTTGGTGGAGGTGGTGGCGGTGGCGGTGGTGCAGGTGCAGGTGCAGGGGGGAGTGGGGCGGCGCCGAGTGTTGCTATGAGTGTTCGGTGATTTTCGCATTATGTAGTTTTGTAGGCATTTTTCTTTTTGTTATTTCTACGTTTCATTTTCATTGCTGCATACAAATATATTGATCCTTTACATGTAAACAGCATACGGATTCTTTGAATAGGCATAATATTTCATCAGGCGCTCAATTTTCGAATGCTTTTCTCAGGCACAGTCAGTACCGGTCAATTGAACTGATACAAACGCGTACGCGTAACCTTTTCGATCTTGCCCATCCTTTTGCATCAACACCTTTTCATTTGTCCTTTGCATTCAGCTTTCCTTTCCTTCAGTTTTTGCGACGTTCTCGGCATCTGCCGGTTCGTCGCTCATCACCACGACTCCCAACTCCCTTTCCCTATTCTACTTCTTTCCATGCATTCGTCTGCCAACCTTGACTTATCACACATTCAACCCTTCTTTTGACATTCAACTTCCAACTATTCAGCACATTCATCACTTTCAACTACTTTTCTTCTACTCCCCCCGCTTGCTGAGCGCGTGTGCACCCGCCAAATCAACCACATTAATATCGACCGCCTTCCTTCGTGGCCGTCCCCCTCTCTTCCTCGATCCCTTTGCATCCCCGCTGCTGTCACTGCGAACACCATCCATGATCCCAACGTCATGGAGATCGACAACATTCAACTCCAGCTCAGCAACATGGCTCGCACCTCCATCAATCGCGACAACTACTCTGACAAACTCGATGCACTCGCCTACCCTCTTTTCAACTACGACCTTATCCTCGGCAAACCCTGGCTTACTACCATTAATCCACTCATCAACTGGAGAAACAACGACCTTCACTTTATCCACAATGGCAACACTATTCTTTGGCGCTGTCGGGGTGCTGATACCAACTCCATCACCTTTCGCACACAAGGAGAACTCCTCCCACACTTTCACTTCTACTCCGCTGCACAACCTGGCAACCGTTATGGATAGGTGTGCATAAGGAGATAATTGATTTCGTCGACGGTCGCTATGTCTCTGTCTACATGTAGTTGAGAAAAGGGCCAAGAAAGATGCATCACCAGACACGTCGACAAACCCGTCAGTCTCAAACCGCGGGAGCGGTAACAAGAGTGACACCAACTCCAATAACGACGGCGAGGACAGATGGTTCACTGCGTATGTGTGTTGATTACCGTGGCCTCAACCGCATCACAAGGAAAAACCGCCACCCCCTACCCAGAATCGACTAGCTGATCCACCGTTTTCGCGGTGCTAAGTATTTCACCAAGTTGGACTTGATCTCAGGGTACCACCAGCAGCGCATCTATGAACCACACACTCATAAGGCTGCCTTCCGGTGCCGGTATGGTCACTTCGAATTTAACGTCGTTCCTTTTGGCCTCACAAACGCCCCGGCTTCCTCCTCAAACGTGACGATCAAGGTCCTCGATCCCGTCCTCGATCCCGTCCTCGACAAGTGGGTGGTCGTCTATCTAGATGATATCCTCATCTACTCCAAGACCAAGGCCGAGTGTCATGAGGCAAGGTCGAGTTGAGGCTTGCCCTCGTGACTTTGCCCATTTAGCAAAATATAAAAGACCTAGATAGCAAATGTTAGTTCTTCACCTAGTATCGCCATAAAATATTATGTCTAGCTCTTTTCACACTCTCAGCCTTAATTTCTTGACAAGGTCCTCTACTTGTTTCCTACTACGTCTTTATCTATCCTCTTGACACCGAGCATCTTCGTCATATCCGCAGTGTTCTTGCCCTCCTCCGCCAAGACAAGTCTTCCTGGCGCATCTTCGGATTCCGCCTGCACAGTGCCTGAAGAGGCGGGTTATGACCCAAGGGGCTATCGAGATGGTGGAGACACGCGTAGATGCCACGCTCTTCATTATGATGATATCCAAAGAAATCACCCAGATAGGACATGCACCCTGTCTCGGACCACTCAGGCACTATAAATGCTGCTCAGGGACAAGCCCATAGTAAAACCCAATTTCTTTACTCGTCATTCTTTCTTAGTGATTGATGAGAACAGCATGTCGAGGTCTGAAAAAAGAGAACAAGGAGCAGGGAGAATGCGGCCATCGTCGATGTTTGTTCTTGCGGAGACGAGGGTGAAGAGAGGGATTGGTGTTTCACTTCACTCATATCGAATCAGCCAGTAGGATCACTTTATCGCTGCGACAAGGGGCGGATCGATTTTCTCATCTCATCAATCTAGGAACAGAGAACATACATTTTCTTTTTGCAAAGATTGCATTAGAGGCCATGCACCAGTCAGGTGATCAACTCTACCTTCTTTGCTACTTGTCTGGAGGACCAAGGAGAGGATCATCGTCTCCTTCTCCATTCTCCATCCCCCTTGGCCCCGAACTGCCAGTGGGGTCACCGCCCTCCCACCGGCAGAGCGCGAGCTCTTCCTCGTCCTTTATTATTTTTATTTCACTTTTCTACCTTCCTCATTCCTCGCATGCTGAGGCGTGTGCATCTACTGTTTTATTTCCATCGCCTTCTCCACTTCTAACTTCAAACAATGCACTCAACCTATGCTTGCTGGTCAAGTCCGCCTCTTCCTCAAGCGTTTCTGCGATGCCTTCTACACGTCTCTGACCGGTGACCTCTCTGATCTTCTCGCTTGGAGGTCATTTTAAAGCTCGTCCAAACCCAACAAACGCGCTATTAGTGTACTACGCGCTATATATCCCGTTCCTCCTTTCACCTCAATGATGAAAAGTTATCGTTCCAACCAATTAATATAGCCGGCGGGGGCGAGCGACGGATCAACAGTCTTCGAGACCCTGGAGCCGACATGTCTTCGTTCACGTCCCTCTTTCAATAACTCCACCATCGGCCAACCAGAAAACCCTCTCTCTGGACGAGTATCGTAGCTTTCGGCGCCAGACTCCCGCTCATTCTCTTAAGCGAAGTGCCACGATCGAAAGAGGCATTATTATACGACATCTTAAACGATGTCTCGCATCTGATATCTGAGACCAGCTCTCGCTCCTTCAGAAGTTTATCGTCGACATCCTTGTAACATTACCCGGTCAATATCTCGTCACCGGTGCTGCAGGCTCAGGCAAGTCGAACATTCTGATGGCTCTGGTGGATAAACTCCGGAGCGAAGCCGATCGTGATCGCTCTGTTGATCACGCTGACCAGATCGAGCTCACTCCTGTTGCCAAACGTAAATGGGACTTCGTCAACTCTGATGTTGAGAATATCATTAAAATTGGCGATTGAAGTTGATCCATCGGCCACTTGGACCATTTACTGTCATATCATCATATCATCAACCAAGGTAAGAGTTACTTGCGATGCATCGTTTGCTTGTTCCTTTTTTCTTGTCAAAAAACAATTGTATTAATTACCACCTTTATTTGTTCTTGACCTTACCAGGTGTCGCGTCGTACAGCATGATCAACCGACTCTTGGCGCCGTCGACATCTTCACCTCCTCCCCCTCTGAATAAAACTCTGCCGACAACAAAACCAAGAAAAATTAAGGTTGCTTCGCTCCCCCTACTTCCAGTCTGTCGCTCTGCGGTTGCGTGGAGGTTACGGTGGCCAGGACTCTGGCACCCCAACCCCGTCTCCTTCTCCCGAGGATGATACGCATGCTCCGAGCGATGATGACCTTGTTCCCCCCCCCGTACCTGTAAACATACCTCCTGTTGTCTTATTCTTTCTTCTTGATCTTGGACATCTTGGACTACAGGATCAAAAGACGGAAACCCGGATGGCTCATCAAATGGAAAGGCTACCCTCTTGACGAAGCCTCATTGGAACCTAAGGACCCTCTTGCCAACGCCACCGACATACTCTCCTCATTCGAATCCAGAAGAACAAAAGAACTTGAGTGGTTTATTGTTTTTAGAGGAAAGGATGCAACAGATATTACATAAATAGTCAGTACCTTCTTCATGTTAATAAAGCAACTTTTCACTTTCTCTCTTCCTTTTGCAACAGAACACCTCCTCAAAGAACTCCGTCACCAGTCCCGGCGGACGAGATTTTGTCTCCTCGTTGGCAGTCACCTAGACTGCCGACACCGGAACCACCACCTCTCCCTCACCGCAGTCGAAGGCGCCAAGAAACCTATAGAGTACAAACGCACCGATGTCGTGAATTGCGACCATTTTAATCGCCACTTTTCCCCGCCTACCATTTCCGGTCGCGCTCCCTTTTTTGTTGATTCATTCTACCTTTTTTTTTTTTAATTAATTCTCCCGCGCCCTACCTTCCATTTTCGCGTTTACCCTTTCTACACTTTCCTACCATTTCAAGAGCCCTTATTGTATAGCCTTCATGGACGATTATCCGTCCGTTACGTCCCCAAGTCGAACGCCAAGCTGCTCTCTTTGTATTCTTTCATTTTTGTTCTCATTATTTCTCATTTTTTTTTTCTTCTCTCGCCGATGTCCTCTTTCTCATCCATTTTTATTCTTTCACGTTCTGTTCATCAACCTCATGATTATCTGTTGATGAACAACCAATTTATTGTGACCAACCCCAAGCCATTGTGTTCACCCTTTTTTTATATCTTCACTTCTATTCTTCTTTATTCATTTTCTTTGTTCTTTCTCCGTATAAATAAACCGAGATCCGGCCGCCAGTTTGAGGCCTTGGACCACTCCAACTTCTTCTTTCTGCACCCCCTTCTTCACCTCTGCTGATCAGTCGCAACGTTCACCGCGATTGCTCAAGTCCCGCAGAAATCACTTCGACGACGATACCATTGTAACAACAACCAACCAAGAAATAGTCCTGAACGATCAACAAGCACAAGCTCAAAAGAAAATAGCACCTCTCTTCCTCATTAAATAAAAACCTCTTTTCAAAAGTTAACTCACACTAACAATGAAAAAGAAGAGGAGCACAACAACACCAATGTCGTCAATTGAGCATTTCATCACTCATTTTAGTACATCTACTTGTGGTTATTTTCTCCCCAACATTCACACATGGCACCAATCTGCGCCCCTTTCCTTAACGACTTTAGAGATTGAGCTTGTTCTTACAGAAGTAGCCGATGTGCTTCCTGTGTTTCTTTCATATCGACATCTAACATGGGTATTCATTACTTTTCTTTTTTACATTTTGTTGCTTCTCAGCAGAAATATATGACCGCGCATGGCATCCCCTTTCCTTGGAATGATGTGATATCGCCCCCGCCCCATCCTCTTGTCGATCTCAAGATTGCCTATCCTCTCCGTCGCCTTATTGGAGCCACTTGTCGCCCTTAGATCCGGCTTCCGTTCCGCTTTCGTCTCATCGAGCCTCCATGACGGCCTGGTCGATGACTGACTGCGCTAGTATCATGTGAGCCGCCGTCAATTTTGCTGGTTCTATGTCAACCCTCCCGGGAATTGCGATCCACTTGAAAGACCCTCCTCTGCCACCTCTACCTGATATCAGAGTTCTTTACTTTGATTTCTGTGAATTGTACGTCGTGATCGCTCGGATTGCTTATCACCGACGTATCGGCTGCTTCCTAACCGATTGAGGATTGATTCTAGAGGAAAAAACACATTTTCCCTAAAGGTTACTTTGTAATATGTTGTTTTTGTTCTTTATGGTAGGGCGAGGTAGTGCCTATGCGTGACCCTTGTCGTCTTTAAAATAAGCACCTTCTTACACGAAAATAATAAATGTGCATAGTGCTAGTGCTAGTGGTTGAGTGTGTTTTAGAAGGAAGTAGAAAGGTAAGAAAGAGAGAGAGAGAGAGCGAAAAGATAAAAAAAATATATGAAGAGGTATCAGGGGACCACCCAACGCCATAATAAAGCGCGAAAGAAACATAGCAGGAAAAAAAAAGTTCACGAAAGGTGTTACCTTGGATCTCCATTCCATCCACTCTTTTTTTTCTGACTGGGCTAAGTCGCACCACAAATTCAACTGCAACACGGTACAATCAGAATCAACGTTAATATAGTACCAAATCAGCCAACACAGACTGAGCCAGGTACCATCAGTGATACAACTCAATAGGTCTCACTTCACTTTTTCCCTCTTGGTTCGTGACTCTTCTCCCATTACCCTACTCCCACCTACTTTAACAAGCGCGCACAACAGTCTATCGGTATGTTTGCGCGTGTCTTCATTCAGGTCCAGGCCATTGGCAATCCAACCCTCTCTTCATACTCTTGGAGCATTCATTGACTGTTAATTTTGCTACTGTTCTCGAAATTAGTTCTCTGGGCGCACCGCCCACTTCGTAAGCAATAGAACACTCTTCCTCGGCCTTTGGAGTACTTGTACCCCCGTACTCCCCCTTTTTCCCTCCTCTTCTTTCTTCCCTCCTCTTTCCCTCCACTTTCCCTCCTCGCTCATCTCTTTTCATTACCCTATCCAACGTCATCTTTTTTCATCCTTTCTTCCATTCACATCACCTCTCTCCTCCTCCCTCCCCCTACATCATCATCCCTCTCACACCTACCCTCCTTACTCCCATTCCTCTCATCCAACACCACCTCAACTACCCATGACGAAAGAACAGCAAGACACACAACCACGACACCTCCAACCCATCCGATCCGTCTACGCCCACACCACCTCTACCCCACCCCCATACACCGACTCACCCACAAGCCCTGACGTCGTCCAAGTCACTATCTATCAGGATCCCGACACAGGAAAAGAGATAGTCTTCTGGGAGGATGTTCTTGTCGCCTTCAAGGGGGCGCTGAGTATCCGGCAGGGGGCGAGAGTGCTTCCGTTTCTGAGAGGGAGTGATTTCAAAATGTATGCTGTTTGCCCCCCCACCCTTTTTTTTTTTGGTTTGTTGAAGTTGCTTGTTTGCTATTGACGAAAGGTGGGGATGAGCGAGTATCTAACGATGTTGTTTTTTGGGGTGCTTTTTTTTTCTTCCTTTGGGTGTGCATGTAGACTGGAACCGTTCAGGATTGCAGCAATGCCAGACACGGTCTTGGAGGTCCACATGGAAGAGCCAGCAACGTCCATCTCCACAATAACAACCGCCCTTGCAGAACTTCAAGCAACCGTCCAGGCCGCCCTTGCAGAAATCAGATCTGCACCCTCACCTTCACCAACACCACCAGCACCTCTATCCAGAGAGGACATGGCGGAGCTCTGCAAGGACGTGGCGATGGCTTTGTCGAGAGAGTTTAGAGTTACGCCCAAGACGCCTTCTTCGCCCTCTGCACGGTACTCTGTCAGAACTGTCAGTCCCGCGTACAGTAGCCAGGACGAGACAAAGGACCATCACCATATCGATATTTCAGAGTCTTCTAACCGGTCAAGCATGATACCTTCAGGTGCGGCGACGCAGAGATATGATACCAATAAGCGTCTCTCGAAACTCGAACGCATGTTCCCAGAACTCACCCCCTCCGCTCACCTCACCACCAACCCCAACAACGCTGTCAACCTTACCCGGAGCAACAGCAGCAGCAGCAACCACCAACGGACCTCCTCCGACTCGATTCGAATCTCCCCCTTCCTCGCCCGCACCCTCACAAAAGCCAAACAAGGCTCCGTCAACTCTCAATTCGCACTGGCCGAAGCCTACAAGAACGGTACTGACGGCCTGGCCCAGAACGACGAATCTGCACTCGAATGGTATACCGAGGCCGCTACCCGTGGCCATGTAGTCGCTCAAGTGACTGTCGGGGATTATTATAATGAGGGGTTTGTGGTGAAGAAGGATTTTTCAAGGGCGTTGGAATGGTATATGAGAGCGGCCAAACAAGGGGATGTGACAGCCCAGAGTCATGTGGGATTTTATTATCGGATGGGACAAGGCGTCAAGGTGGATAAGGCCAAGGCGATGGAATGGTTTCTGAAGGCTGCTCGTGGAGGGAGTCAGTATGCGAGGGTTCATTGTGCGTCGTTGAAAGCGGAGGGGTATGGCCGTCCGTATTCTGAGATAAATAAATTCTAAAGTTTTTTTTTTTCGGACGATAAAACAATGAACGACAGGAATGTGGAAAAATGTACAGTTGTATTTGAATAAAATGCAGAAGAAAAGGAAAAGGTGAATAAAAAACTATTAGAATGGAGGAGAGGGGAGAGAAGAGAGGGGAGAGGGGTGTGGGGAAAGATATGCTGCCTTTCGATAAACGAAACTACGTCTAAGATTATGATGAAAGGATCGAGATGGATAATGTATAGGGAATGAACAAGAAAAATGCAAGGAGATGAAGACTTAGCAGACAGGAACACAGACAGAGAGACCACCCTGAGAGGTCTCCTTGTACTTGGCCTGCATATCGTTACCGGTCTGACGCATCGTCTCAATAACCTGGTCAAGCGTAACTCTATGGTGTCCATCACCGTTCAACGCTAACTGGGCTGCAGTAACAGCCTTAACGGCGCCCAAAGCGTTACGCTCAATACAGGGGATCTGGACCAGACCATCAATGGGGTCACAGGTCAGGCCCAAGTTATGCTCCATTCCAATCTCGGCAGCGTTCTCGACCTGGCGGACAGATCCACCCATCACGGCCGCGAAGCCGGCTGACGCCATCGAGCAGGCAACTCCGACCTCTCCCTGACAACCCATCTCGGCGGCCGAGATTGAGGCCCCACGCTTGTAGAGCATTCCGATGGCGGCGGTGGTAAGGATGAACTCCATGATATCCTGCTCGGGGTTGTCAGAGATGAACTCGAGGTAGTACTTGAGCACGGCGGGGATAACCCCTGCAGCGCCGTTGGTGGGTGCGGTTACGACACGCCCTCCAGCAGCGTTCTCCTCGTTGACGGCGATGGCATAGACGCTCAAGTAATCCAGAGCGGGGAGCATCAAACGCTTAACGGGGCGCTTGGGCAAGATCTTGTCAATTCCACGTTCCTGCACCTGGTTCGTCAAGGCATCCTTAGAAGCCCCACTTCCATTGCTCTGCAAGACCTGGCTATCCTTGTAAAGTGGGGTGGTCGAGTAGAGACCCTTGAGCAACTTCTTGTACAGCCCGGGAGCACGACGACGGACACGCAAACGACCGGGCAACATCTCATCTGACGAAAGACATCCATTCTTGATGGCATTGTCCATGGTGTTCCAGATTGCAAACGTCTTTTCCCGAATCTCCTCCGCAGACCGCCACCGGAGCTCGTTCTCATAGACCACTTGCGCAATCGTCATGTTCTCCCTCTCGCAGAGCTGCAACAACTCAGTAGCATTGCTGAAGGGCAAGGCAGCAGTGGCCAGATCCTGGTTCCGACGGGTCTGGGGGATGACTTTGTTGCCCTCCCCGTCATGCTCGCCCTTATAGAAGACGTTCTCTCCATGGGCGAGCTGAGTGCGCTCATTGACAACGAAACCCCCTCCGATCGAAAAGTACTCGTTGGTCGCCAGAAGGTCGCCATTGGAGTTGAACGCACAAAAGCGCATGCCGTTGGGGTGTTGGGGGAGAGATTCAAAGTAGTGGAAGACGAGATCCTTGGCGGGGTCGAAATGGATACGGTTAGTCGAGTCCAGAGTCAATGCCTTGTGGTCGTCGATGGCTTTCAGGCGCGACTGGATCGTTGTCGTCTCCACCGTCTCAGGGGATTCTCCCTCCATTCCTAAAATCAATGTTTTTTTGGCGGTTAGAAATCGATCGACTGGCTCCTGCATTCCTTGAAGACACAGGTACATAGCACACACAAAAAAAGTTTCCTTACCCATGAGGATGGAGTCGGGAGTGCCGTGTCCGATTCCAGTGAGAGCGAGAGATCCAAAGAGATCAATCCGAAGTGTAGAGACCTGAGCAGATCATATATTTCCCAGATAATGGTAATTCATCGAGCCACGTTTTGAGATAATGTCCAAGGATTGTGCGCAGGTTGAAAAGCAGCACGAAGGTGGAACAAAACACAAAAACATGACAAGAGGAAAAGAGGGAGGAGAAGGGTCGTTGTTGGGGAAGGAAAGGGAAGAAAGACAGGAATAAGGTGTGAGTTGAATCACTCTTATTTCAGCCTTTGTTCACGATGTTTTTTTCGTTGAAGGAAGTAGAGACATACCTTGTCGAGGACGTTGTGCTCCTTGAGGTCGGTGACAAAGATCTTTGCGGCACGCATGGGTCCAACTGTGTGACTATTAGAAGCATGTTCAGTGGGGTTGTGTTGTCGTTAGTTTTTGCTTGTGGCTTTTGTGTTTGGGTCTGTAAGAGGGAGTGTGAGAATGAGTGTGTGGGTGACAACGTGCTCCAAATCCAGCTGAGTCGAGTTGAGAGCGTCGGAGCGAGAGCGGGTTCGGAAATTCTTCTCACGGCTATGGTCTGGCCAATCAGATCTCAAACGAAATCCCCTGGGGCCTCTCTCTCTCCCTTCTCTCTCCCTTTCAAAGCCCATGCAATGTAGTATTAAGAAAAAATGGGTTTTGGCTTGTACATCAAAGAAAATTAAAAGGGGGCAGGCCTTGGGGTGGGGTGGGGTGAGGTCACAGTCAAGACTTGAAAGAGAAAAAGGCGGCCAGGGTGCACTAGTTTTGCCTCCTCCCAACAAAATGAAGCAGATGCTGGTGACTGGATCATACAGCAAAGCCAAATATAAATAGAGTCGGCTGTAAACACATGGTTGCACTCGAAACATGCACACGGATACACGCGTGTAGCCATCAATGGTCCTTATCCAAACCTGCACCTTGCTTCTTCCTTCTCTCGGTATCATTATTCCTTGTCCTTGGATTGTAAAGATAGGCCCCTTTCTCCTTCCTTCCTCGCAGCCCGCGCTGATAAAGACTGCAAAATATCAAAGCCAGTAAAAAAAAGAATCGTCCAATGCTTGCTTAAAACACTCGCCTCTTGTTATCTCATCCTGCGTGGCGTTGGAGTAGTAACAACAAAGAAGCAGCGGCTGATTACAGCGGCTCTCGACATAAATCCCTGATTTCATACCTGGAAGATGGGCCAATACCGATGGAGAACAGATCAAACGTAGAGACGACGGCGTGCTTGGTATCGTCTTCAGGCTGGGGATCGTTGCGGTTGGATTCCTCTGGGGCAACGGGGTTGGGCACAGGTGTGGTCAACGAGGGGTCCATACGGCGAGCGGAGGTCGAGAAGAACGAGCTTTGAATAGCCTTGGTCAGGGTCAACATAGGGGCAGGGGTGGAAACAGACGATCCCTGGCGCCATACGAAAGATGTCCCTGCCAGTGCTGCACGGTAGTGTGTGTTGCTGTTATGGTGGAGACGGGTAGTCTGGTTGGAGAGGCGAGGAATGAGAGAACGAGCTCGAGTGAATGTCGACATTGTGTGGTTGCTTGGTTGGTTGGTTGTTGTTGTTTGTTGGGTTGGTTTTGGAATGAGAAAGGGGACTATGCTAAAAATGAAAGGCAAAGAAAAATCAAACAGGGTATAATAATAGTCTGAAGGGAAGCAATGCTTTTGGATGGTATTAAACAGGTGGGCAATGGATTGTTGTCGCTGAGAAAGAAAGTGTGAAGAAGTGGAGGATAGAGGATAGAACAACGAGAAAAGAGAAGATGCAGGCCGGAATGAAAGTACAATGAAGAAGAGAGAGGGGAGGGAAGGAGAAGAATAGGGCAGTTGAGGATGAGGACGAACGAGGATGAGGAGAGGAGAGGAGAGAAGAAGAAAGAAGAGAAGGAGGAGGAAATGAGAGAGAAAGAAAAGGAGAAGAGAGGAGAGTTGAGGTTCCTTTTGATCGTTCGTTCGTTCGTTCATTATTTTGTTTTTGTCCGCCCGCCCCAACGGAAGTTGAATCTCTTTTCCACGGACAATGACTTGCAACGTCAGAAAAAAACTGGATCTCACGTCGAAACGATGTAATCTGCTTCCTTTCTTTGAATTGAATAAAGTAGACTACTGTACTGTATAGCAAGCATCAACGAAGAATCCCGAAAGAGTAGAAAGAAATGGCCCCAGCTGACTTTTTCTTACGTGATTAGAGTACCACCTCCACACACTATTCCAGAGGGCACCTGGACCAATGTCATCTAGCACATCGGGAACAACTTTCTCTCTTGCAACATCTGGATCTCCGGAGTAAGACAGCTTCGACAAGTTACCCGCTTCTTTTGCCTCTTCCTTTCGCATTTTTTTGTTTTGCCCACATTTTTTTGTTTGTTTGTTTTCTCACATTGTGTGTGCGTTCGTTTCCTATGCGCTCCATCTGTATGACCACATGAATAGCGCAAGGGAGAAGGAAATCAAACCAACAAGAGCGAGCGGAGAGAACAGGGGTTTCTCTCTCTCTCTCTCTCTCTCTCTCTCGCTGTTAAAGCATTGAAGTGTGTCTCCCAACAATAAACACAAAGAATTGGTCCCTCCTCTCCTTCTTTCGCCCTCTTTGCCCAATTTTTTTCTTTGAATTAACGTTTTTTATAGTTTTTTTTTCTGTCTATTGAGCAATCCTGGCTCGGTGGAATGAAAAAAAATGGTGGCACGGTGACATTGGACCTAAAAAAGGGCGAATTTCATTTTTGGGTCAGGATGGGCAAAGGGCGAAAAGAACGGCAAAGTCTAGTCAATGGAAACAAGCATGGAGGTCTTCCCACGCTTGTTCTTGTTGCCTTTGAACGACAGCACCAATCGTCGTCTTTCCACAGACACAACTTCAACCACAAAACCAACAAAGTAGGACAACAACAACGACGGCACTCCGAGAGTCAGTGTCCGTCCCTTCTTTTCTCTCTCTCTCTCTATCCACCCATTCTCCCTCTCTCTCTCATTCTCTTCTTCAAGTCAAAAATAAACATTGTCTTCCTCTATCCTTACCCTTCCTCTCCTCCTCATTGCCAGTCATGCAGTTTCAATTGACCCCATAGTCTAGCATGACATGACATACCGTCAACCAATGTATAGCCTTTTTTCTGCAAGGGATAGCTCGGTGGATCAATCAACACTCTCCCCCTTTCTCACCCCCGTTCCCCTTTCTTTGTTCCTAGTTCACACTTTCTCACACTCATTTCACCATTTCCTATTCGTTCATGACTCTCTCTTTCATCCCCTCTCGTCAACGTCGGTTTGTATCAGGAGTGGTAACTTCAGAATATATAAAAACAGGAATGATCCCAGAAGTTGCATGAATTGCGTGCCAACCGTGCACACGAGTTATGCCTCCAATATCTAATCTTTCAGACCCCTTAACTATAGCTTTGTGTCTTGAAATTTGAAAATGCGTCCTACCCCGTAAGCTCGACACGCCTCTCTGCCTCCAGCTGCTCACACAATTTTTGTTTTTTTTTTTTGCCTCGGTCAAAGCGGACGATCATCATCACTTCCTTTCCTTTCCATCACACTCCACTCCCGCCTAAAATCAACAACAATGGCTGACATCAACACCATCGGATCCCAGTTCACCGAATTCTACTACAAGACTTTCGATTCCGGTCGCAACCAACTCGGTGCTCTTTACGTACGTCTTTTTTTACCTATATATCCACTCTTGCTTGACAGACATCCTCCCTTTATTTTGTCACGTCAATCACTGCGCGACTTGATTTTCTTGACAGCAAAACGAGAACAAGGATGGTGCTGCTGTTTGCATCAGGAACTCAAGAACTGGAACCTCGACTGGGGACACACTGGTTGACATACTACACAAAGGGTCAGCATACAACTCTTTGGACTCTGACCCCACGCCTTACATATACGGCCAAAGGTCGAACAACAGGACGGAACACTCACAAACGCACACACGCATACACAGACACGTTCTCTTCCTCACCCTGTTTCTGTCACTTATATCCAACATAACATTAGCGCCCTACCTCAATGATGAGCTTTGAGGGTGGCCAGACTTTGGGTGACGCGGCCATTGTCGAGAAGCTGTCTGTAAGTAGCCGTCTTAATTCATGTCCTTGATAGCTTTTTTCAAATCGTCAATATGGAACGAACATACGATGGAAAGGCAGGAGAACACAGGACCTGCCAATGGAGCTTTTTTTTACGTTCATGCGAGTGGACATCAACAAAAAAAGTGCTGACAAGGGATTGCAGGCGCAGCTTTCAACTCCTTATTTTTTCTTTTTCACTCGGCGTCGTCGTTCTTGTTCTTGTTGTTGTTGCTGTTGCTGTTCGTCATGGCCAATGATAAAGTGGTTCCTAATAATGTTATTTTTTCTTTTGACATCGCTCACCTAGGGTCTCCCTCTCGATGGCCTGGTCCACAAGATCTCCACCCAGGATGTTCAGCCCCTCGCCGATGGATTGTTGATCACCGTCACTGGCCAGCTCCTTGTAAGTGTCTAAGTGTCGCCATTTCATGCCTTATACCTACAACGCGCGAATATGTGCTAACTCATATGCATCTATGACTATTCCTTTGTAAACCTCAAATTACTCACTTTTATATGCCCTCCGTTTTTTATGGCTCTTTGCTATCTTTTAGGCTGGAGGTGAGACCAACCCCCAATTCTTCACCCAAACTTTCCACCTCAGGCCTGACGGTGGCTCGTTCTATATCCAAAATGATATTTTCCGTCTTGTTTACGGATTGTAAATGAACCCTGGATCACTAGCAGCAGCAGCAGCGGCAGCAGCAGACAACAATAGCTATCTATCAATCTGCCCTCGTCCATCACCTCTCGCCCCAACCCACCAAGGAACATTGCAAACTGGATTTGACTACAACATTTAGGGAGTTTTTTCTCCTCTTCTCCTCGACATTTTTCGACATTATTATTTTTGAATACGTGCAGCAATAAAGTGGATACACGATGCATCTGCCCGTCAACGGTTGTAAGTTACAAAGGAAAGAACACGCGATATTTCTTTTATTCATTGAAGGCTTCAGGACAACAAAAAGGGATATGCCAGAAGGAGGAATATTACTTAAGGAACGGAGGGTCTTGTGTTTGGACTCATGGATTCATAAAACTAGGCACTACTCCAATCCAACAAGAATAACAATGAAGTATCCGATGCATACGTCGTCATCACCTTGTTTCAGAACTTGTCCGTCGTGTTCCCCTTCAACGCGTACAATTATATATCGGAAACTATAACATCTCATCCTCACTCCACTTCAGAGAGTTGTCAAAGTATCTTGGGCCGGTCGACCGGTGGTTTGTCTTGGTGTGGTCGCGGATTTGTTTAGCGTTTTTGATCCTGTCTTCCCGGTAGGCGAGGGACTCGACTTCGTCCATAAGGAAATGAATCCCGGAGAGGATGATGTCGCACCCCAGAAGGTTCCGCTTGAGGGGGTGAAGGTAATGTCTTTCTTGGACTGGGCACTCCATGGCCTAAAGCTGGTTCCTTTGGATGTTGGGATATCCACAGCCGTGATATGCTCCGTCTCCCCCTCAGGTATCAAAACCACACTCTCCCTCCAACTCAAAAGCCGTCTGATTCCACACCTCCGGAATCACAATCCCCTCCGGCGCACCCAAACAGTCTAACAACCTTGGAGCCAGCCAGCCTGGATTCTCCTTCATCTTCTCAAAACTCTCTCGACTCCCCCTAAACCGGCATTTTACTAGGGAAGATCTCGAGGAGCTCCTATGTCCCCCTAAGTAAGATCGACATGTCCGTGGGTGATATAGGTGGCTTTGAGAGGGATTCTGCTGCGCGGAGGTCTAGGAGCGCTGCCGAAGGTTGTTGAGAGTTGGGTGTCGATGATGAGCATTTCTTGATATCGGCCAGAGTTGACGTGGTGAGGCCGCGTTCGCCGGGCATGAAGACTTATACGGAGAGGGGTTTTGAGCGCGAAGGTGGGGAGTGTGGATAAGAGGAGGAGGGATGTAAGCGAAGCGCCGTCGTTGTTGTGGCGTCGGCGGCTATGGTGGCAGTGTGTATCCGTCCTGTTCACTTGCTCTTATTACGCACTACAGATTAGTCACTGAACGGTGAGTGTGTGATGCTGGTTGTTAAGAGGTACATTTTTTAATCGCAATGGCAGGTATCACGCCTGCAAACACGAAGTATCATACCTCGTGTTTGTAATACCTCGTGTTTGCAGGTGTACTACCTGCAATTGCGATTACTGTATTAATACCTCTTAACAGTCAGTATCACACACTGAGCAAAGAGGTGGGACAACCCAATTGTTTGGATGCATAGAAGTCAAAAGAGCCGTTTCAAGACGAATTCCTTTTGCTGCTGTCGATTGATGAGTATGAGACATTGGACAATTGGAGTGCATAACAGAATAGCGCGACATCAAATGCTGAAGATCTGCAATGGTATTTAGGTTGAATTATTAGGCGTCTATTACTTTTCACAAACAAGTAGAAGAGGAAAAAAAGGATAAAAAAAATAACCAAGTGTCCTCCTCTGCGCATTTTCTTTATGAACTACCTACAGTAGAAACTTTTCAAGGAACAGGGGGAGTCTTGCATCGCGACTCATAAAACCGCTCACTGCTCCAACCCAACAGAAACAACGACCCACTATCCCCGCAAGCTCCTTCTTTACCACCACCACCACCCCCCATCCCAAAACTTCCGTCGTGAGTTGTCGAATGAAGCCATCAATTTTTTTTTGTTTGTTCCTTCTTGGGCTCTGATATGACATGGTTGGTTTGATTAGTGGCGCTTCAAGCAAAAACAAACTACGCTTCCCTCAAGCACTCTCGGACCCTTGTGCCAAGGCTGGCCAGGTGTGCACAATGGATGTAAGAGTTCATTTGGTACGAAGAGCGACAAAGGAAATAGCCTCCACTACACGCGGGTGTTCCTTTGATAATCATGAAGCGTTCTAAAAAAAAAAGAGAGGAGAGAGAGTGAGAGAGAGAGAAATAGCTGCGGAAGGAGGATGGGAGGTTTATTCTCCATCAAATCACAGGGAATAACACATACAAACGAAAATGCGTTTTTTATTCACAGGGGGGACCATCAAAAACAAAGAGCAGGAAAAAAAAAAAGGATAAAACAATAAAAATAAAAAAAGTATCTACAAGACATCAACCATCTTCCATCCGCTAACACTCTCAGGCTCAGGCAGCAACTGAGTCGTACTCCAATAAATAGGATCCAGCTTCATCGCAATCACAGAAACAGTTCCGTTACGCGCCTGAATCTTGATACGGACATACCCTTGCGACTGCGCGGCATCGTCAGGGTTGCCCATTGTGGGCGATCCGGGGACCGAAGTGTTAGGGGACTGAGAGATTTCCAAGGGTCCTGTTCCATTCTCGGGAGCGTGCATAGGTGGTCCATCGTGGGGATGGACATCACCAGTGGCTGCAATACCAGTGGAGGCAAGGCCAAGGCCATAATTGGCAGGGAGACACTCGGGGTGGGAGAGGATGTGCTGGTTGTGGAGGACAGTGCTCGACAGGCGCTTGGATCCAGAAGCGAGCGACAACCGCTTCAACGCAACTTCACAAACACTTCCCTGTCGAGACCGAACCACCTTGTTCTCGTGATGATGGACCGCGTCCAGGAACTCGTCCAGATTTGCGACAGGGACACCGTCGATCTCGGTGATCCAGACACCAGGGCGTAAGGCTGTTGAGGCGGGAGACCCGTAGAGTGTGCAGGAGACGTAGACGCCTTGGGGGACGTTTGAGACTTGTTCGAGGACGGCCTTGTAGGGCGTTTGGATCAGCGCTCCAGCCCAGGCGAGGATTCGGTTGGTATCTGTGCCGATTAGGGGGATTGTTGGGACTATCAGGCACAACTCCTGGCCTTCACGGAGTACCGTCTACATGTCGACAAGAAATAATCAAGTAGTTAATTACCATCGCTCTAGAAAGTAACAAGGAACGAGTGGGTAGTAGGTTGAGGATGACTTACCATTCTGACACTTTCGACGTTCCGAGCGCGCTCGAGGTCCTTCATACCAGTAGCAACACGACCCTCAAGCTCTAGAACAATATCTCCAACCTTCAACATCTGACTACAAGGCGTGCTAGCATCCAACAGACTCAAAACATACAACAACGAATGCTTCGAATTGGGATCACTCTCAATCTTCTGGACCCACTCATCCGTCAACCCCAAAGATCTAGCCGCCGCAATCCTCATCGTCCAGAACTCAACATCCAACGCTCGAAGCTTCGGGTACTCGCCTCTCATGAAGGGCTCAGTGACCTGGGTCACAGCCTCGACATCCAATCCAGACATGAACGTAATATCGTTACCCTTCTCATCCTGCGACGAATAGTTGACCCACAGGGCCTGGACAAGTCCATCGCCGTCACAGAGTACACCTCCCTGGGTTCCGACGGGGTCATCGACCTTGATGCCCTCGACGTTCATGGCTCTCCAGCGAGGAGGGGAGCACTCGCGGGTTCCAATGTTGCCGACGTTCGAGACTGTAGTCTTCTTGATGACGGGTGACTGATCCGTGCCAACACCGACCAGGTAGCACTCATCTCCCTGCATCAGCGGCTTGCGACTGAACGTCGCAGGTTTGACGGGGGTGTTTGCCAACAGGGTAGCATCATAGGTCAGGACCACAAAGTTGTAGTGCTGGTGGAGGTAGACGAGTCGGCCGGGGATAATGACACTGTTGGCAAAGGTGATAAAGATATCTCCAATCGAGATGGGGATAGTGTCACGGTCGCAGATGACAAGGGGTGGGTTGGTCGAGACTACAAGTCCAGTGCCGTAGAACTGCGTCGCCTTCATACCATCGACCAAGAAGGGCAGATGGAAGTCGATAGCGACGAAAGAGGGCATGATGATGGGTGCTGGGTGGAGGGCGGCATTGATGGTCGGGTAGATCGCCGTTGCTGGAGCGTAGGGCTGAGATGGAGGTGGTGGAGGCAAGTCCGTAAAATCCCACAGACCCGTCTTGTCTATTATCGATCATGAACACACATGGTTAGCATTTGCTTCTTGACTCAATCCCTCAACATTTCCCATGACATCATCCGTCAAAAACAAAAAAAAACCTGAAGGTTACCGTTGCGGACGGCCATGCGACACTTATGCCAATGGCGATCAACATGCATGATCATGATCTTCTCCTTGAAGGCCTTTTGGAGAGTATAGAACCGAATAGGAACACGAGCACCATCGGGAAGAGTACTCAGCGCCTGAACAAAGGCATCCAAGTTGGGAGTCGGGATATTGTTGACCGCAACAATAATACTCTTGCGCCATGCACTAGCCGAGGCCAACATATGTCCCGACGTCGCGACGTAGACGCCTCCACAGGGCTGACCATACGAATGCGCCAGCTGGTACGACAACTCGTTGACAACACCACCACCGACCTCGACAAACCGGTCAGGAGTAATCGAGTGAAGGTCCTGGACCAAAAAGGTAAAGGTCAACATTTTCGAGTTGGATCCACGGACGACCGTCAGACTGACATTCTGACCGACAGAGTCGTCAATGACAGTGAAGAGCTGGATGAAATTAGCGATCGGGTTGCCGTTGCACTGGATCACAATGTCTCCGGGGATAAGCTGGTCGGCGGCGGGGCCCTTGGGCAGGACAGTCTTGACGACCAGCATTCCAGTCTCGTTCGGGAACTGGATGCGGATCTGCTCCTCCATCGAGGTCTTGAGACCGAGACGACGCAGCTCATCGTAGGGGAAGTAATCAAAGTCGGTCTGGAGGGTACCACGAGGTACCTGCTCTCCCGCCTGGATATACATGAGTGCGCGCTTGACACGGTCCAAGGGCAAGTAGTAAGACGCCGACGCCTTGCTAGCGCCTCCAGCGTTCAACGCAACAGCGTGTCCCTCAATATCCAGCACTGGACTTCCAGAAGATCCACCACTAGTCGACGAAGCCGCCTGGAGGTAAAACGTATTAAAATCATTGTACTCCCCTTGACCGTACTCGGGTGCCTGTCGATCCAATCTGGCCAGGGTTCCTGCCAAGATACTGAGCTTCTCTCCGGCATCGTTTCCTACGACTCGGATTTCGAGTCCGACACGGGCGCGTTCGGGGCTGAGCGGGATCTCCTCAAGCTGCATGAAGCGGACCTTGGTGATGTCGAATTGCATGAACCCAAAATCGTGGACGGGGTCGCGGTAGATGGGCTTGAGCTCGACTTCTTCATAGTTGGAGAGGATGGCGAGGGCGAGGATGGGTGCGGGCGAGACGACGTGGCGGTTGGTGAGGATGATACCACGCTGGGCGTCGACCAGGAATCCTGTTGCCGAGTACGCGCCTATTTCATTCGATCATCCACGTACAACACTTAACTTGTTAGTGTTGTTAAGTGGGCGTAATGGTGTCATTGGTCGATCCAGCGACAGTCACACGCCACTCAGGTCACTCTCCCTCTTCTCTTTGGCAAGATAAAAAGAAGACACTGGCGGGTCTGTCGAAACGATAGTGCGTCTGGTAGTGGTGCGTTGTGTTTGTGGGTAATCTGGGTGCGTATGTTTGCTTGAATTTTTTTTGTCGTTGCACAGTTGCGCTTGGGTCCAGTCCCTTCAAATTGCAATTTGAGCCCTTATTGTCAAGCCTTCTGACTCTGTCGTTGTTGGTTGCACCACCATCCATCGCCCATCAACCCCGCAACAACCACAGCAGCCACTCTTTCTGTGCAATGGGCGAAGACTACAAAAAAAAAGAAAAAGAATAACGAAAGATAACATCTCCACTCCGTGCATGAAAAGTACATGATTCTGAACCTCAAAAAAAAAAAAAACGTACCGGAGGTCTCAGTATCGAAACTGCGGACATGATTAGCCGTGATAGACACAATCGATCGGATCGACCTCTCCAAGGTCGACTCCCAAGTCATCGTAGCCAGCTTGGGAGTATCGGCCACAATCTGCATCGTAGGAGGGACAGCAAACGCCGTCGCATTAGCTCCAGCAATTGTTTTAGCATTGTTCCCAATAGGAGCACCAATACTTCCACCACCTCCTCCAAGCCCACTATCGAGCAACGTTCCCTGATGATGGTGCAACCGGTGTGGGTCTCCACCTCCCTCCCCTGCCTTACCAGCGGCACCAGCTCCACTACCACTACCACCATCACCACCAAACAAGCCAGAACCAGTAGAGTTGTTGTTGACCCAAGGACCCTGCCAGCTCGAATCATCCGCATTGTCGATTCCAAACATGTCGGCAGGGGTGACAGCTCGACCGTTCATGGCCTGGGCCCAGGTTAGACCGTACGCCAACGATTTCGATCTGTTCCTGCCCGAAGGGCCACCACTGCCGGGAAACTTCTCTTGGTGGGGAATGACGGGGGAGGGGCGGCTTTGCTCTTGGGCGGCAAAGAACTCGAGCGTCTCCTTGTCTGCGTTCAGACAGTTGAGGGATTCGCGGCGTGCTCTGTTCATGACGATCGCATACAATGATAAGGAGGTGAAAGTTGAAGTTGGAGTAGTTACTGGTGGGTTGTTTGGGAAAAAATAGTGAGGTGTTTTTGTTGTTTTTTGTTACTTTTGTTGGATTGGGAGGAGAGGTATGTTGGTATTAAGAAAGATTGAAAAGTGTTGTGAAAACGAAGAATGAAAGGCTATGTACAAGAGTGAGTTGAAAGGAAGGAGGGTGGAGGAAAAAAGAGGGTAACGAATAAAAAAAATGAAGAACGAAAAAGAGTTGGGCTACCATCCTTCCAAGAACAAGCCCATCGGCACTTCTTTTTCTTTCTTTCAAGCCCACTTGACCCTTTCTTGTCACACCCCCAACGCACCCACCCTTCATTTTTTTTCTCTCTCTTTCCCTGCCATGAACTGCTGCAAAAGATGACCAAACAGAGACACGGAAAGTAAAAAAAAAAAAAATCTCACACACGCGTCCACTGCACGGGTTTCATTATCTGGAACCAGGGCTATTCACCGAACATTAGCTTGGCTTGCTGGCTGAACTGGGCAAGGTGAGGTAGGGATGCCATGTTCTTAGTGTATGGCTGAAAAGGCGCGATCTAAGGCTAATAGCTTGCCCCCTCTTGTACTTCGTCACATATGTAAATGACTGAGAAAAAAAAACGAGTGCAATCAGAGTCTCTGGAGTCTGTTGTGCATGATTCTCGCTGTGCATGTTCTGCGGCGTACCACAATGGGTCCCTACTCCTTTGTTTCTTCGACGCCTTACTCCTTTTTGAGCCCTATTGTGTTTGCTGTCATCAACCACAAAAGGAACAAAGAACGAACGGAAACATGTATGTGGCGTTACAGGGCCTTCTGAAGTAGACCAATCCCATCTTTTCCTTTTTTCCCTCTCTCTTTGCTCCCTTGTCCCCAATTTCCTATCGTCCTATAGCCTGGCTACGTCCTTTTGCAGTAATCCTGCTCTTCCTTTCTTTGCTTCTTATCCAATCTCTCCGGCTAATAACGATCCAAGATCGATGAGGACATAGGAGAGCAGAAATCGAACCTGGTAGCTTGGTATTGGTATGAATTGGTTCGTTTATTCGGCGAAAGGAGGTGGGGTGCTGTGTTTGCGAAAGAGTCCTGCCAATTGGTGCATTTGTAATTGGTTGGGAGTGTTGTCCATGGGCGTGATAACGGTTCCTTTTTAGACATCGGCGTCAGAATCAGAGTCATCGTCGTCTCCAGAAACTTCTGCGTTCTCCTTGTCGATTCTTGCCAACAACTGGTCGAGCTCCATATCGTCTGCCTCCGTAACTGCCTTGGGCTGTATATATAAAACAAATAAGAAATGATTAGTGAACCGCCCAGACCGTTCTTCGCCACCCTAGATCCAACATATACAAAATGGAACGCCAAAGAAGTGGTGGATAACGTACGCTCATCTTGGTAACCATGTTGCCGTGGCTCTTCTTAATGCTCTCCTCGAGGATGGCGATAGCCTTCTCCATGGTCTCAATTCCGAGCTGCTTGTCGAGGGCGTTGGTGATCATGACATACAGAGGAGGAGCGACCAACTTGACGCGGATAGCGACCTCGGGCAAGGAAACGGCCTCGGCCTCCCTGAAAGCAGTCTTGATCGCGTCAATGCCCTCATAGTCGAAGCAAGTCACCTCAATGTCTGCACGGATCTTGATAGGTTGTGGCGTCAAGCGGCGCTTAATGTTGTTCAACAGCTCCTCCCTGGTAGCCTCTTCAATCTCCAATCCCTCAAAGACCTTCTCAGACTCGCTATTACATGGGGGTGGGAGAAGAGTTTTGTGAGTGTCAGTATCCGCAGTGAGTGATCCCTGAGTCATCATGAGCAAAATATGAATGTCCTGAATATCCTTTTGAGGCGCAGACAATGAAGAGTACATACTTGAGGGCTGCCTTGAAGGCATCGTAGGCGTGTCCGTACTTGGCGTACAAGGGCCACGCCAACTGCTCGTAGAGAACCTCCAGATCCTTGTTCTCTTTCTTGGCGACCGTCGACATGATCGAGTGGACAGCCTTTGATTTGTTATAACGCTCCTCGCACTTGACAATATCCGTAGCCGACACACGACGCTTCGAGAGATCAATGTATCCTAACCAGTGAACACGCAGAAAAAGGCGTTTGAGTTCAGTTTTCGAGTTTTTTCATGGTTGCCAAAGTGTGCTTGTTCCTTTCGCAGCGCTCATTCGGGTTCCTGAGTGATTGTGTCATGAAAAGGTAGCACACGATCCCATCAAAGAAAAAAAGGCTGCACTGCGGCGCAAACCCACTTTCCTCGCTCCTGAGATCCTGTGCGCCTCCCACGCCAGGCCAAGCGAACAAACTTTAAAGGTATTCGCACCAACTGAAGCGTGCATGGGCGAGCAACAGGAAAAAAGAATGCTAAAGCAGTTCCCACCAATATTCTCTTCCTGCATACTTCCAGTAGAGAATGTCCATGAGCCCTCCACGCTTCCCGTAGTATCCTGTCAGTCCTGAGCCGTCCTGTCCTGTCCTGCAAACCAGCGTGCCAGCGTACAAGCTACTGCACGCGGCAAGTTCCGCGAAACATGTGTTGTAGGCTTACCCTTCTCCTTATCAACACGCAAGACAACAACAACCTCATTCTTGCCAACACGAATCAGCTTCTGGATGGACCGAATGCGACGACGGGACAGCTCACTCAACAGGATCATCCCCTCAATGTTGTCGTACTCCAATAGCTGCACATATGCGCCCATCTCAGCAATCTGACGGACGTTGACCATCACCAAGTCGTCCACTATTAAGTCGAGCAAAAAAAAGGGTCGAGGCGTGATGAATCAGTAACAAGCGCCAATGAGAAAGTTTTTCGTTGAATCGGAATGTGGACTTGAAAGAGCCAGGGGCATGAGTGAGGCGTCGAGGTAAGTACCTTCGGGGAACTTGCTGGCGTACATGCGGCATTGTAATCTTCCGGACATGGTAGGCAAAGAACGGTATGTGGAAAAAGACAGGTGTGAAGAAGAAGAAAAGAAAAAAAAAGTTCGAGAGACACTTTGAACTTTCACAACCATCACCACCCACCACGAGAGGCGTTTCGAATCATAAAAATTAACGAACAGGGCGACACCCCATTCGGTGACGTATCCATTTTTTTTTGCGCGTAAACTATGGTGATTACTGAACATATCGAGGCAATGCCTTGGTGAAGCTACGGGCAGGGCGGGAGGTCTCAAGATCAAGCGCATACCACAAGCACTCCTTCGCACGCGTCAACCGATCCGTCGCTTCAAAGACCTTGCCCAAGTAGAACCACGCCTCCGCATTGTCCCAGCCAAGACTCTTGGTCGTAGACTCCAAAATACCCTCGGCCATCTCAAACGATCCTGCGTCCAGGTATGATCGACCAACGCGAGCCAGACAGGCTGGATGATAGGGCTCCAGCGCCAGTGCCTTCGAGAACGACACTGACGCCGTCTCCTGGTCCTGTTGAGCAGTATACAACAATCCCAACTAAATCGAAGTAAAAAATGAGTGGAGTTAATAACACGGCCAATTTCACTTCACTCCAACAGTCCAAGAAATGGTGATTATGTATATACCTGGTACCAAACGTCTGGGTCGGAAGAGTTGACGCGTTCAGCTTCTTCAATAGCCTTCTGGGCATCATCCATACGGCCAAGTCTTCTAAAAGCTGACGCGGACATCAGCCAGAGGGTAGCCAGCACCTTGTTAGCACGCGCAGTCCGCATCACCGACTTTGTCGTTGGTCTTTGAACTGGTGGAGGAAGGCTGAGCAGCGAACGTCCCAAAGTGCCTTGGTTGGCTCCAGCGGCTGCTGCAGGAGGTGGGATCCTGCGGTGCTTGTTGGGGCTCGTTCCAATTGACGACGTAATCGACGACGCATAGTTAGCTTTTGGTACTTCTACAAAGTTGAGAGAGGTGTGACAAGCATAACAGTTAGGTTCGCGGCTGATGACGATACTACTATTGAACTGCCAGCGTAAAGAAGATTATTCTTACCAAGGGTATTGCTATGGCTGGCACCGATGATGCTGCCGATGTCAGAGCCGCCGCCATTTCTGCTTCGGGAACTCAGAATGCTGCTAGAGCGTGGACGGCCGGTAGTAGTGCCACCATTCACAACAGCAAGCGTCGACGAGTTCATGTCGTTATCGCTCTGGTCCCGTCGTCGAACGTTCTGAATATCATACAAGCTCTCGCCCATCGAGCTAGGCTCTGGTGCAAATACGCGAGTATACAGCGAAAATAATGCCTCCTCATGTTCCAATCCTGCCTCCGGTCCATGGACCTGATCCTGCAAGATCGCCTGTGTGACTCGGAATGCCAAGTAATCCTCGCCGTCCAACTGAGAAGCAGAGAATCCATCCGTCTGAGCCAAGTCCCACTCAGATTCCTTGAGACCCACAGCGCAGATGCTCAAGGCACGCTCATAATCCTTCTGTGAAGAGAGCAACAATGCCAACAGGTGCCACGAGGGGATGTGGCTCGAGTTGAGACTGATGCTCTGCTTGACTGTCAAGATTGCCTTTGCAATCTCGCGTATCTCTGCATACTGGAGGGCGAGAAGGTATAGGCTGTCGAAAGCACCGGGTGCGACTTTGATCGCGTTTTCCAACGATTCCACAGCCTTGGCATACATCTGGGGACGTTGATGGGGCTCGTGTGCTATTTTAGAGAAATCGGCCGTTTAATTTAGACTCTTCTCCTCGCGCCACCAAATGTGTTCCAGATAAAAAGAGCTAGACTTACTGGTAGAAGCTTGGAGACCGTACGCAATTCCTTGGCACTGGTAGGCATCGTTGAGCAAGTCGGCTACCAGCTCATGTTTCTGGAGATATACGTGGATGTTGTCCAAGGCTCCTGACGCACACTTTAAGGCCTCCTGGGGCTTTGCGAGTTCCTTGGAGTACAGACGAGATCCAGCAATCATGACAGTCGTGATGTCGTACCTGGACTCGACGTCCTGACGAACGCGCTCATCATGAGTCAATGAGTCCTCAGCTGTCGAGTCCTTCACCTTGTGGTTGATCTCTGCCATATCCAGATACGCCTTGAGAGCCAATTCTGCCTCGTCGTATTGACCCTTCTCCACCAATGCAAAGAAAAGGAAGCGCAAGACCCGAGGAGATTGGAAAGTCTTTTGCGAAGCACGGTAGATAGTCTATTGTTTAGCATAGAAGAGTTGGAAAAATAATTAGTAATGGAAAGAAAACGAAATGCGACAAGAGACGCAGTGAGTACATAGTGTGCACTCACCTCGACGAGCGCCTTTTTGTCGGCATCGTTTTCACACCCGAGCAACTTGCGATCCTCGATGATCTGCTCAATCATCACCAAGACTCGCCAATTCTTTTCGTTGGCTCCTGGAAATGTTGTCACTGCATATAATGAGTCCTCCCAGTAGGCGTGGATCTCTGCCATCTCCGAACTCAATGCCGCGGGGTAAAAATGTGATTGCTCGCTAATAGAAGTTCCATAGAGTGGAGTAATACTAATCGTCAATATTCCGTTATCTTGACTATTGAGGCATCGCATCATTAGTAGAGAAGTATCAGGATCTTACTCGACAACGGTGGGAGATCCATTGGCTCCGGCTTGATATCCAACCGTCTTGAAGGAAGTCGACAAGGCTTGAGAGAGATGGCGGTAGGCGGTGGCGCGTCGAGGCAGTCTAAAGTTGCCAGGCCAAGTGAGTGCCTGGGTATGGTATGCTCGGAATGAACGGACCGCCGCAAGGTGATCCCTACATGAGGAATATACGTGGAAATAATAAGGTTGCTTATTAGATCCCACTGCTTCCTGTATCACATTCCTTGTTAATCATGCTCCAAACAACGCCCGTGAATCGTCGAAACGATCATTACCCAAGACGCAGCTTTAGTAATCCTGCTCTGTAAAGGGCGTGTTCTGTCCATGCAAAGAGTTCTTCGCACTTTTCGTTGGAGTGGGTCTGGACCCAGAGGGCAACGTTATCGTATGATACAATAGCCTCAGGGATCTTGCCTTCTTCCTCCAGCGCCAATCCCTTGACAGTCAATCCACATGCTATCAGGGCAAAGTTGTAGCCTGAAGGGAGTCGGACTGGAGGAAGCTGGATGTTTTGAAGATAATGAGCGACACGTTGTACACGATCTGGTGCGTTGGTTGCCATTGCTGCTCTTGCAAGAACAATCGCCGCGTACTATTTTGCATATAAAAAAATAAGGGGGGAATTGGGCGTCAGTTCATCATGTCAGTTCATGACAGTTTCAGGGTCACTCGTTTCGACACGAGGGAGACATGCCACCATCAAGAAAACGAACTTTGTTGGGTAACATTCTCGCATCTCCAAATATAAAAAAAAAAAGAACATACCTCCTGATGCTCCTCAGGGCCTTTGGACAAGACCCGTTCAAGCTTTTCGACAGCCTCCTGGATCGACTCTTGCCGGATGGGCGGACTTGAAGCAATGTTGTCTGGGGTATCATCCAACGATGTCATGTATGTCCACTTCTGAGCCTTGCGAATAGCAATCTCTGCCTCTCCTACCGCCAGTTCCAGCATGGCCGTATTCACAAGCACTATTGTATCGTAAAAAAAGTTGGGTTAGGGTTGAGTTTGCTTCAAGGGTAACTGTTTAGAGTTGCTTCCATTGAGGTGAATAGAGAGCCCTTGTCCGTAGCACGCAGGGTTCCGACAAAACACTTGTCCGTCCGTCGGTTTTCTTTAACGAATGTGCGTCGTCGATGTTCAAGATAGAACTGAGAGTAGTGCTCCAGCATTCCCCCCAGAACCCTGATGAGCCCTTTCGAATGTTCTTATTTTTATTCAACCCTACGTGGTCTTTTTTTTTCATTCGCAGCTGTTTCCCCTGTCGGTGCTTCTCATGGACAATGTCAACTTGGTCCTGAATCCTGCGACAGCCCGATGTAATACTAATTCCTTTCCTGCTGCATGTCAGTGCCACAGCCTTTTCTCTTACTTCCTCCCTCCTTTACATTGCTCTCACAGCCTTTCAAAGAGAACTTACCGATGCCGTTCTTGTTGTGTTTGATATAGCGCCGTGCAAATTCAGAGAAGGCAGGGTAGTTTGCCTTTGCTCTGGCGAGTTGAAAGTCTCGCTCGATGACTTGAGCCTTTGCTGTCAGTGTCAGTGTCATTGTGAAGTGTTGGTGTGAATCAGTTGGTGAGTTGGGGGAATGAGAGTATGAAGAAAGAAGGGTGACCCGACAAAAGAGAGTTGAGCGTGAGAGTGTAAATGAGGAATAAGGAGACGAAAGGAATGAGGGAGTGAGAGCTGCCCTGCAAGTTTAAAGGAAAGAGTTGAAGAGAAGTGAGAGAGTTGAAGAGAAGTGAAAGTGATAAAGGAGCGAATAAAAATGGAGACACGAAACGAATGTGGACCGTAAAGGGAATAAAAACCGTCGCGGCTGTGGGGGGAATCAAATCAGCCGTAATGGAGAACAAAGATAGGGAAGGAAGACCGAGTCTTGAACAATGGATCAATGCAAAGTTGAAGAAGAGGAAGAAGAAGGGGAGGAAGAAGAGTAAACGAGGAGGAAGAAGAGGAGAAGAAGAAGGAAGCAAGAAGGGAGATAAGTCCTTTAACCTTCATTTCCTCCACTGACCCTTCCCCCCCCTCCTCCTTCTGTCTAAAGCAAACACATACAAAGAAGAACACAGCGCACTGCCCACTCTCCTATTGTTCATTTCAGGGCACAAAAGACAATTTGCATTGATTGAGACACATTACAGGCAGTAACATGGCTACTTCCACTGGAACATTGGACAGAGGACAAGCAACCACCCCATGTCCATGTGCATGTGTCAAGAAGGAGACAACGTCAATAAAGTTCACTTTAGCAGCCGCATTTGTGTTTGTCTTCCTTTGTCTCTGTTGCGCCAACAACATCCTCTTCAACGTTAATTCAACTCATTCTAGCAGCAACAATCTACACATCATTTACATTGACTCTTGATTTTAAAGCGACTACCACGGCACCTCACTAATGATTTACCCATTCCTCCATCCCCCTCTCCATTTCCCTGTACGACCATCAGAATTGGGGTTTGAGACCCAATGCTGTGTCGCCTCTTTTCTTTTCCTTCTTGCTCACTCTGTTTTGATGTGGAATGTGGAGTGTTCATCCTCTATCCCACTCTCTTTTCCTCTCTCTTCACTTTGCTCACTCGCATCGAGGAAAACAATAAAGACGCCCAACCCAACGCCCATCCCCCACACTCTCACTCCACGCTACACAGAAACTGGTCAAACCAATGGAACCCATCCAGCGAGATCGTATTCATTTCTTCCTTTTCGTCGCCTCTTTTTTTTCATTCTCGGGGGGGGGGGGGGGGTTCGGGTTCAGTGGACGCGAACTTTCGAAAAGTACCATGTTTTGCTCATTTGCATCGCCTTGATGCATTTCGTTTCTTTGTTCGTCGCAAACATCAACATCAGCTGTTGTCCTCTCTTTTCATCATTGTCGCGCTCGTTCTTTTTTTCGTTTTTTGTTTTTTGTGTTTTTGGACTGATTGTTTTACTAACTTCTTTCATTTTTTTGGTCAAGATGGACAGAGGAACAAGGGGTCGTGCTACCAGTTCAGCACAACCATTCGGGTTTCTCGTCACACACACACACACACCCCCCTTCCTCTCTTCCTCCACTTCATACATTGCCCGTATTCCACTTTTGTTGTTGTTGATTTACCGGAACGGCTCGGCCGGCTTGTGATGCATTGGTCGTTACCAATCTCGTATCACCGACGTCTTCTTGCTGCTCGAGAACTCAAGAATCATCCCACAACAACTATACTTTGTTGCTCTTACAAAAAAAATATCAAAACAAATCTTCCATGATGTGCAAAGGATGAAAAAAAGCATTCCGGTTTGAAAACCCTATGACTATGTACAGACGAAAATGAATGAAAAAAAAGCTATGAGCACGAACACACACAAAAGGATGTAAATGCGCGTTTTGTGTTGGTGTTTTTGTGTTCGTGCGCCGAGTGTGTCGTGTGTTCGCTTTACCCGACAACAGACTCCCACTCCGACAATTCCTGCTCAACAAGCGCCAGGAACGGATCCTTGATCAGACCGCCGAATGTCGCCGCCGCCCAGGCCTTGCTACTGCCCTGACTCTGATGAGACGACGATGTCGCCGAAGAAGACGACAACGAGGATGATGCCGATGACACGGAGGATGCGGATACTGCAGAGGCAGAGGACGCGTTGCTGAGACTGCGCTCCATGCCTTGGCCCTGGCCCTTGCTTTGGGCCTCGAGACTATCCATCTCTCCCACATCCAATGACACATCCTCATCCTCCTCCTTCTCGTCGTCACCAGACTTAGACACGGACTCAACCTTGGCTTCATCGGCCTTAGCCTCACGTTTAGATTCGACTTCAACATCCTCACTCTCAACCTTCTCTCCAACCTCCTCGCTCTCCACCTGAGGAACAACAGTGGACTCGACACCTTCCATAGGCTCGCTGCTGCTATCAGTCGAACTTGGTGTCGCCAAAACCTCTGCAACAATCGCTGCCAACACAGTCGCATCCTCTTCCTCCACTACTGTCTTCTCATCCTCAACGGTTACTGCAGTGGGCAAGATTTCAGGATCCGTAATCGCGGCCTCGCCTCCAACAGCAACAACAGCAACTGCAGGAGTTTCAGTAACAGGCTCAACAGGCTCAGTCGCGTTCTCCCCCTCCTCGATAGAAGCAATAACCACACCATCCTGCTCCTTCTCCTGCTCTTGCTCTTGCTCTTGCTCCTGACTCTTCAAGAGACTGTTCCTGAGCCACGGCATACGACGACCCAACGACACCAACATCTTCTGAAGTTTAGTCTCATTCTCTTCTTGACGCCATTGCTCCTTGAAGTTTGTCCGTTCTGGTGAATCTCTATACTCGTCAAACAACTTCACCTATTCGCCCAAAGAAAGCGCGAAATAAAAAAATAAATTACATGTTAGCATGCCAATGCGATACTTGCTACATCTCTGTGCACTCGATTACAGTATTTCGAGAGAGCTTACCCAGAGGGAGGACTCCTCCTCAGGGAGACTTTGGTCTTCGATCAAGTCGTAGACGAGTCGTTTAGGGTGTCCACGCTCCTGAGGCGACTGGCTGATATAGAACCAGTTAATCACTGACGACAGCCCAGGCAACCTCTCGTCATAAGGACCTAATTGCCACACCGAGAACGCAAGGTATTAGTTATAATCGAACAACAAGTACAAGCACCTGTAGTAAAATTAACTAACAAGGGGTGAAGACGTACCGACGATAGCACCGACAAAGGGCTCCTCGTTCATGGCCTCATCCTTGAAGAGGCTCTGATAACTGGTCTGGTTCTCAATATCGACCAACGAAGGATCAGGCGTAAAAGTCGGATGAGAATGATACCACCCCACAATCCGCATATTCCGCTTCTCAATCTCCTGCCGGACCTCAAACTCTGACGTCGGGTCCATCTCCACATTGACATGGTTATGCTCCGTCGGCAACGATCGGCAGGGGAAAATCGCCTTGACATGAATCGTTCTCGTCGCGGGGGTCCATTCGCCAGCAAGGAATCCGATAATTTCAGAGGTCATCAAATGAGCATGGAAGTCCATCCCCAAAAGAACGTTTGACTGGACCGTGATTCCAAATGGTTGACAGCCGACCACGCCCGAGTTGGGTTGTCCACAAAAGGGCTCACACTTGACCATCGTCAGGGGGTCCAGGTCGCTGGCCATCTGGCGGTAGTGGATCGAGGAGCGGTCTCGGGTACTGCGAAGACGAGCCTTGGAGTAGTCTGTTCTTCCGGTGTAGACTGGTTCATCAGAAGAGGTGTCAACTCTGGCGCGAGAGGACTCCTTGTGGACCTTAGGAGCCTTACGACTAATTAGTTGCATGAATAGGAGTTAGCAAATTTCTTTTTTGGTGGCGTCAAAAATAAAGATAATTGGCCGCGCAAATTAATTCATTCCACTCACATTTTAAGCTCCTTCAACTCTTTAACAGCCTCCTTCACAGCGTCCTTCGCGTCCTTTGTCTCCGAAGTCTCGGCGACTTTCTTCTCCTTAGCCTGCGCCTTCTCAGCCTTGATAGCCGCCGTCGAATCCGGCGTGAAAATGGTGCCGCCTTGGATAGGGAGCAACGAAGGATCGTCCAACACTCTCTGTGAAAGATACGGCCGTGCAGCCGAAGAGTAAGGGTTGAGGTCGTTACCAGAGAGGGTGTATCCAGGTCCTGATTCCAGCACTTTGGCTGGCAAGGGTATGTTGTCCCTGAATAACTTGATAAAGTGCTTTTGGGCGTGACTCCTGATCGAATTGGGATCGCGTGTCGCAACATGTTGTTCAACCTAGTGGGTATTAGTATTTCGAATGAGTGAGTGATGGATAGATCGCACATAGATTGAATATGTAAAATGAAAGTGACAAGAAAGTTGTGCTTACACTGCGCCAGTTCCGGCCAAAGATATCGAGCGCTTCAACAAAAGCCCTCTCCTCTGTTTCGCTATACACTCCAGTGTTGTATCCCACAGGCGCCTCCTTGACAGGCTTAACTTTAACTACGACCGGTGCTGCCGTAGGTTCCACCTTGGCCTCAGTTGCAGTTCCTTCTCCTGCATCGGTGGATGATGCAGCTACCGCTGCCTCGCCTGATGTAACAACGGTCACAGTCTCTGTTGCATTGGACGCTGTGCTGATGGTGGTAGTTTCTGAAGTTGTAGTAGCAAGTGTTGTGGCGGTAGTTGTGGCGGTAGTTGTGGCGGCTGTTGTGGCGGCTGTTGTGGCGGCTGTTGTGGCGGCTGTTGCTGCTGCCGAGGATGAGACGGACTTTGGTGTCGACTTCGCAGTAGGTTTAGGGGTTGGCTTGGCAACAGGCGCGGGCGCGGGCTTCGCCTTTTTCCTACCGGCTATGGTCACCGAGAGTTCAGCACAAACAATGACGCGTAGTTTTGGTTAATACACTTCTTCACGTAAGTGTAGACTGGTGGGAGCATCGAAGGGGGAAAAAAATGCAGATGTGGATTGTATAGGAAAAATATAACTTTAAGTCCCTCGAAAACCCAGCCCTCGATTGAACTCACCAGCGCGCTTGGACTTTGACTTTGGCTTATAGTTATAATCATGTCGATAGTCCTCATCCTCGTCTGAATAGTCGCTATCACCTCCACGTCCTCCACCTCCACCGCCGAATCCTCCATAGTGAACATCGTTGTTGTACTCTGCGTAGTATCCGTTTCCATCACCTCCACCTTCTTGAGCCAAAAGTTGAGCAATCAGTGCCGAGCTCATCTCTTCTTCTTCCTCCTTGCTCAGAATTCTATCGGTGGTGTCGAGGGATGAGCTGTCGTTGAGTTTTTGCTTTTTTACCGGCTTGGAGCCGCCGGATGTAGCTTTTTTAGGTGGCATGGTTGTTGAGTAGGTGTTGTCGAAGGAGTGGGGGCATGAAGGTTGTGCGAGCAAAAAAGTTGGAGCGAGTTTTTTGTGAGTGATGGTAGAACCTCAGTCGATCTGGTCAACCTTTTTTCCCATTCGCGTGACGTCACTTATTTTTTTTTATTTTTTTCTCAGGCACAATTGTGTCTTCAAGACTTCAACTCAACCGCTGTGACTTTCAGGTCAACATGGATGTTTGTCGCACGACGCGTATTGTCGTTGTCCAACCTGTGCACCCCAACTGTTTAGTGTTTCCTGATCACATACAATAATGATACTTCTATTTGCTGAACCACCCTCTTGACCCTCCTCCCAATCGACGGGAAAATACAACAAAATACTTGTTCCTCGACATGCGCCAGTCTCACAACAAATCTGGGACTGGTTGGTGACGACCGGTTTCTTGTCCCCCTTCCCTCTCCTCACCGTACGTGGACGATTCATGCAAAAAAACACGGTCCTTCCCTTGGAGGTTTTTTCCCAGACCCCAGCCAACTCAAAAAAATCATGCGCCAAAGAAAAGAAATGATCTTTGGGGAACCCACGGGAAACTACAGTAAATAGATCGAAAACGAAAACAGGGCTTCCAGGAACCTAATACCAAGAAGATTAAGGGAAATGAAATGATAAGCGCGGGAAGGAAAGAAGCTAAACAACATGACGCCCAGACCTCTGTTTCCTCTGTACCTTGATTGTTAGCCTGGATAAGAGACTCAAGAGATAGTCATGTCGGACCTATCGAACGAGATAAATGGATTGTCGTCCCTTCTCCCTCCTTCCCAAGGTTCATTTTTGCGTACTTGTATCTTGCTACCTGCCGTTGAGAAAAAAACTCCTCGGAGGAAAGACCACTCTGGCTTAAAAACTGCTCTCTTGGGCTCGCGCCTCCATCTCCAACTTGTGCCTCTTACTCTTCCTCCCCCTCCCTTCCTTTCCCTCGATCCTACGCTTTCGCTCTCAATGATAAACAAAGACTGATGCTCTCTCTCTTACTTACACATACACACATACACAGACAAACATTTCTCCACTTTCTTATTTTCCTTGTTTTGTCATTTCTGGTGCATGAACTAAATGCAAAATGCGCCGCCCGCCTGCGGCTCCTTCCTCCGCTGCCATCGTCGCATCTCTGTGTGGGGGGATACCACTGTCCATTTGCTCAGCTTTCGATCGAGCCTTCGAATGGAAGGACAGCCTAGCGTAGCGCATTAAGCGCAGCTCCTTTCTTTTGTGCGATGTGAGATCCAGAACAGGGCATCCATTCGATTGAGAAGGTCATCTGGTTCATAGTCGATCGGCTTGGCTGAGGAGTAGAAATCAAAACAGAAGAATAGGCGGAAGGGAAGGGATAGGCTCTTAATAAAAGTTTGAACAACCAATGAGTCGACAGCCATCCCACCATCCACGCATCCATGATCGGGGGTAAGGCTAGTTTGTTGACGTAGTTGTTTTGTGCTGTTTAATTGTCGGCTCTTTTTATTGTTGTTCTGCTCCTTTAGTCCTTTCCTTTGCTCCGTACTCTTCGTAGACTGGCTTGTTCGTTCGTTCGTTGGTTGGGTTGGCTGGCTGGGTTGAGCCATCACTGATTTTTCTGGGGGCTTTGGGCGCACAGAGCCAACAACGTGCAAATTCAATTCAAACGACAACTAATCAATCCTTGTAAAAGAATGGAGGGAAGAGTGTCGTTACGCCAAACATAAAGGGAACTCCAGTGACACCAATCCTCCGACACACAAAGAAGAACGAAAAAAAGAAACAGACAGGATAGAAAGAGGCGAACAACCAGACGACCTTGGTAATGGATCCCTTTCCGTCCCTCTGTTGGTTGCCCCCCCTACCCTTTGTTTTCGGATATGTGTCTTGGATTGAATCAAAAAGCCATAGGAGTGAGCTTCACCAAAAAACCACTAGCCATATCCTTACCCGCGCTCTCTCTCTCTCTCTCTCTCTCTCTCTCCCTTTGCTCGGTCTGGTTTCTGCGTGCCTCATGTGAACAAGAGGGCTAGAACCCAAAAATTACCCACCATCCAAAGTAGGGGGAACCGAATCATGGTCAATGAAATAAAAAGTTTGGGCTTTCTCTTTTTTTTTTCCCTCCTTGTAGTTGTCGCTCAAACTACCTAGTTGGTTGTTTACCCCTGGAATAGGATAAAACGGAAATGGGTAAAGTAGAAAGAGGGGAACCGGACCAGGCCTCGTCTGGGCCCTTACTCCTTCCACTGCCCCTAATAAACCGGGTTCCCTTTCCGTAACCCGCCTCTTCCCTCCATCTCATTTTGAGTGCTCAGTATTTTGAGTCAAAAGGTACATAAAAAAATCTCCGTGCTGGTTAGGTCGGTCCATCTCGATTTTTTTTTTGTTGGACCACCTGGCCCCCGCATCTGGATCTTCTGTCTTCGGCGAACAAGAGAGCTTGACTTTGCGGCTTATAAGCTGCTGACAAACGATCCCGCATTTGGTCGGGATCTGGACTAAAGGGCTGCTCGCCGAATAACACAAACAAACCAAAACAACCAACAACCAACAACCAACGACGATAACGAAACAAACATCCATAAACAAATCAATCGCGCCATTGGAACATGCAAGGCGCCCTTTCCCTACCATCGGAAAACAACAAATGAAAAAAAAAGAGGGTGGTAGGGGAGTGTCGCATTTGACTCTTACTGTTTTTACCTGTTTTGTTTGTTTGGATGTGAAGTAGGTCGACGGACACGGATGACGAACCACGTACCCTTCTTCCCTCCCTTTTTTCCTTCCCTGGGGGGGGGGGAGGCGAAGAAAGGTTGCCAGAGAGAACGAGAGCAAGGGCCGGGCCATCATCGTCGTCATCTGATTTGTTGACATCAATGGAAGATAGACAAACAGCCTCCAGTTCGCCGATAGACTCCCGAAATGAACCCCATCATCATCACCACCCACCTCACTCACCCCCACCATCCCACGTCTCCATCTTTTTTTGTGTTTTCCGTCACGCTCTTCTCTGCGCATGTCGTTGTTTTTTGTTGTTGTTGTGTTGTATGTTGCTTTGGGCTCGTGGTCAACCTATCGACCAGACCGACAGACCCTTCGCTCCTTTCCTTACAGACACAGACACTTCGCCGTCAGCCCGCCCATCCGTCCACCCAACCAACCAAACCAACCTAGTTAGCCAGCTCAGCAAAACGGAGCGTTTCCGCTTCTACTCCTCCTCCCCCCTCCCCCCTGTTTTTGTTGCCACCCAAAAATAAACAAAACGCCTTTGCCTCCAAATTCTATTCAAGACAACACAAAACATTGGCTTGATCTTCAATGATGTGACATAAAGACAGACAGAGTGACTTGATTGCATTAGTCGCCTTGTTGCTAGGATGCTTGGCACCTGGTCATACAAAACCTTTTGGTTTTTGTTGTTCATTGCGCGAGGCGTGCAAAGGTAGAGAAGGGACAGGGATCAGATGGATTCATAGTACAGTGGAGGACAAGGGGAAAGGAAAGTTCATTATCATTCCTCTCTTGGCCCCTAGATGGACAGACCAAACCCCTGGTGATGGGTCGTGAGTAATGTGGGCAAAACAGGGCAAGGGGAGGAAGAAAGGAAAAGGAGGGACGATAGGAAGGATGAAAAGGAAAAGAAAAGAAAGAAAGGAGAGAGATTAATGGAAGGGTAAAGGACGCCGTATTTCTCTTCCTTCTGCCTGTCTATTTGTCTGAGTGTCAGCCTGGATCGCCGTGGACCATGCCCTATTGCATGGAACATGGAACAAAAAAAATGCATAGGAAAATGAATATGAACGGAGAGAGAAGAACATGGCTATAGATGTGTAAACATAGAGGTGGTTTGCCCTGCCCCCTTTCTTTTTTTTTTTTTCTTTACAAGCCAGGATGGAAGCCCCTATTTTATCCCGTACTATGCCATGCCATGCCCTTCCCAATGTGATGAGCCAGATGGTACTAACGAGGACAACATGCTTGACCCCTTTGTCCCCTGTTTCCCCTGTTCTTCGTTTTTTTGTTGAATCATAATGGTGATGCTCAAGTCATTGTTACTTTGTATTTTTTTCTCCTTTGTTGATTTGTGCTCTCGCTTGGCTGCTTTGTTTGCCTGGCTGGATAGGAGAGTGAGTGGATCTGGATGTTTGTCGTTGTATTTTATGCTTTGCCTTTTGTGCATTTGCTTTTTGCTGCCTTGTTCGGATATGTCGAATAGAGAGCTCACTCCAACAACCATCGCCTCCTCTTCCTCGTCCATGGTCCCGTTGCCATTGACACAAGTGAGAGGGTGAGCGAGAGAATGAATGGATGAAGAGAAATAGAGAGCAGTTACGCAAGAAGAAGGAAGAAGCCATGGTCTTGACAACCATGCTTATATTCAAAAAAAGAGTCTCTAATCTGTGTATTCAAACGAAATGCTGATTGAGTTGATTTCTCATATTTTGGCTTTTTGATATTGTCTTGGTTTGACCCCTCCTTCTTACTCACCCTTCCGGCACCCGACCTGGGTTCCCATCTTTTTTTATTTTTTTTTATCTTTACCTCTCACCGTATATTGTCCATCGTTTTCTTCGTTTTCCTCGTTTCCTTCTCTTTTCCTCCATTCCCCTCCTTTCCTTTCTCTCTTTCTTTCATTCATTCTTTTCTGTCTTCTCTCTTCTCAATTCCTTCTCCAACACTCTCCCATCCACCTTCAACTCCCTCCATTCTCTCATTAGTCCGACTCACTCACTCACTCACTCACTCTGCCACGGACCATCCCCTTCTTTTCTTTCTACTTCGTCACTTTCCACAATCCTCTTTCGTTCTACTCACTCCCCTCCTTCCTATTCTCTCTTACCCCCTTCCTCCACGGCTCCCTTTTATTTTTCTCTTGCGCCCTTTCCTCCTCGACACACTCTCTCTTATACCCTTACTTCTAACTCTCACTCGCCTCCACTCTCACACAAGGCACCTTCTCCCAACAATCAACGACTCTTATCACCAACAGACATATCTCAGGTACAGACCCCTCCTCTTTCTTCCACGCAATAGCACCTCATTCTCATTTTTCTTTGTACTCGTGTCGTACTATCTCCCCTCTCTCCTCGCGCATACATATACAACACAGCAAATCCTCAAACACACATCATACTCCACGCACATACTACCACCATCTATTTTATCTTTGACCTGGCTGTCTCGTGGGCGTGAGTTGACGATATGCCCCACCATGAAACCTCGTCTCAGCCCCATATGGCTCCCTCTTCCTTGCTTGCCCCCTTCCTTCCCTCCCTCCTGTCGTTCTCACTTTTCTCCCACAGCCCATCAGTCGACCGTCAGTCGACCGGGGCGACATGGTGGCAAATGGGCTGGGTTGTGGTTCATTGCCACATTTAGTGTGGACGTTTCGACTCTCTTCCCTCTCCGTCTATTTTGCCCCCACTCTATCCCGCCGCACCCTACATATGAATATGTTTGTCTGTGTATGTGCCCCTGCTCTCAACAACAACCTCGACTGCACCAGTGAAAGCAAAAAAAAAAAAAAAAAAAAAAAGAGAGAGAGAGAGATATGACGGGGGGATGACCAGTCCACCCGAACTGTGTCCCACGCTGTCTCCAGACAGGTCACCCACCCACTCTTGTTCACAAATACACACAGACACCTCATGCGTATACTTAAAAAATTATTTCTTTTTTTTCATGGGGGAGGGGGAACAGAAGGGAGGCGGGCTCCATTTGTTTGTTGTTGTGGTTAGTAGTGGTTGGCTCTTGTGTTTTTCAGTTTCGACTGGGGCACCAGTATGGTTCGGGTTGGATCCGGCCCGGCGGTGGGCAAGTTGCCTTTTCGATACACACACACATACAGTACACATGTAAAAAGAGCCGACCTGGAGCTCAAAGCAGGTAACACCTGGCCAATCAATTTGCACATGCCAGCCATCCATCGTCATCGTCATTGACAACCACAAAAACAGACAAAGAATAGTATTGGGCTGCGGATTTTTTTTATCGTTCTTACTTGTGTTTTGGTACTAAGGACGAACAGAGGGCGCGTCGTCGTTCGGACCACTCTGCATGGATTGTTTGCCCAGCCCTTTCTCCCACTTGCTTTCCAAACACGGCCTGGATCTAGACACGGAAATTGATCCTGTATTTCTGCTCCATCTCCCTTTCCTATAATAGGTTCGAAAATCTCCACGGCAAAGACTTGTTTACCCTTTCAACGGCGTCTAACATCACGACAACAGCGCCTTCACCTACAACAATCACAACGTACCCGACACCATTCACACTACAACACACGCCACCACCATGAAAGAGGCACGAGATATGCGAGATATGCGAGACTCTCGGAGCGATATGCGTGACAGCCGCGAGATGAACGGCAACACGGCACAGGAGGTTACATCCATAACCGATCTACAGACTATGCTCTCCCGCTTTTGGGACGCACACTCCCGGCAGTTCAAAGGTATCAATTGCAAAGCCCATTCCCAGCAACAACACAAAGGCGTAACGCTTGGCGCCTTGGCGTTTATCTTTGTTGAGTAGGCACTCACTCTATTTCTCCTCTCCCTACCCCACGCTTTCAAACTCTATCGTATCTAGAAATCGAGGGCTCTCTGACCAACCAACTTTCGACACTCATCCAAAAGAACGGCTTCCTCTGCCAAAAGATCGAGAACCTGCAACGCATCAACACCGACCTGGAATACAAGTTTTCCATCACGACATCAGAGCTGGAGCGGGCACGGAGGGAATACGCGGAGCTTCAGGCAAAGTACGAACTCCGCAACCACAACTACAAGGATCTCAAGGAGGTCTGCTATCAATTGGATGCCCAGCTCAACAAGAGGAACGGTATCGCACCAGAGGATTCGCTCATGAATCGCATGGAACTTGCTGCCGCTGATCGCAAGAAGCGGAGATTGTCGGTGGATCTCACCGAAAACGATTCCGACACTGGCTTCTCTCCTTATGACGAGACAGAACCCGCGGGTGCCATGGTCACTGCGGCTCCCATTATTCGCACCATCGTACCAGTCGGCATCGCTTCACAAGGCTCGCCACCTGACGGCGGAGCCACACAAAGCACATGGACTTGCCTTTGGAAGAGCTGTAACCAAGTCTTTGGTGCCTTGGACTGGCTCGTCAGCCATGTCGAAGAGTTCCACATCGGCCTCGGCAAGGTATTTTTATGTTTGCAATTCTTTGATGAGAGGATGAAAATGTGTTCTGTCTCTATTGTTGTGAACTAATCTCTCCGACCCTTTCGATTCGATAGTCTCAATATACCTGCGAGTGGGAGAACTGCGTTGTCAAGCAAAAGCCTTTCCACAAGCACCATCAGGTGATTCGTCATATGCGCACGCATACAGGTGAAAAGCCTTTTGTCTGCACAGTTGATGGCTGCGGGAAGAAGTTTGCACGATCGGATTCTCTTCTGGAGCACTCTCGCAAGCACAGCGGCACCCCAGCTGACTACTACAAGATGATGGAGATCAGCGCCCAGCGTGAACATGACGCCCGCCACTTGAACGGATTGATGCTGCAGATGGACACCATTCAGGAGCACCAAATGGCCGACGTTGATTTTGATGTTGACGTCAACCCTCTCCCTCCCTCGGGCACCAGTGACCAACCAAATGGCGCCAGCCGATCTCCGACCCCAGCACATCAGCAACAACAGCAACAGAAGCAACAGTACCCTGGCGGCCAAGCACCATCGGGAGCAGAGCCTATAGGAGTGGATGGACCAGAGAGGGAGGATATTCGGGAACGCGAGCACGCGATTCGAGAGACTGGCCCAACCCAGCGCGACGGACCTCCATTCGAGCCATCCAATGGCCTACGTGAGCACTACCGTTCTGAAGGCCCTGGTCAGCATTCTTCGTCTTCCTCGGCCTACCCACCCACACACCCCTTCCACCCTTCCAACGGACCCCATCACCACCAGCAACACCAGCGACAGCCACCTCAGGGATACACGCAGGGCCCTCATGATCCCCATGGCGGCGAGGGACGACAGATCCATCGCAGCCGCGGTCATACCCATACATCCTCCTTAGGTCTTTCACGAATGGACGTTCAAGACTTGAACCGGGCAAGAGAGTCTAGTCATTCGCACTCCCGTTCGATGGACTATGGTCGTGGCGATCAGCGCCCACGGTACCACCCTAATGAGATGGGCCATTCTCAGACGCCTTCTCTCGAGTACCCTCGCCAGGATATGAACTATCAGCGAAAAGACCGTGGACATTCCCACACGCCCTCGCTCGAGATGCCGCCCATCCCTAACCAGGCGATGCACCGCCTTGACGACCGACGACCCATGCACTCTTCCCAGAGCTTTTTGAGCCCCGAGGACCAGCAACAGCGCCATATGCAGCAGCAGCAGCACGGTCACCATGGTCAGCATCCCCAGCATGGTCAGCACTCTCAGCACGGCCAGTTCCATGGACAACAACCCCAGAAGAGCCCTTTTGGTCACCACGCCCACCCCCAGCATCACCAGGACCGCGAGCGATCCCATCATACCCCCCAGGGTGAACAACAGCAACAACATATTCAGCAACAGCAGCACCACCAGCAGCAGTCAAAGCAGCAGCAGTTGCCAACTCCAGTCCAGGCCAATGAGACCGCTGTTGAATCAGCACCTCAGGAGCAGCCCGACTCCCCCATCTCCAGCCTGACGCCCAGAACCCCACAGTCGAGCACTCACGAGGAGTCGATGGTGGAAGGCGCACCTGAGCTCTGTGCCCCCTCGGCCGGAGGGCCAATGGAAGATGACAGCAAGAGCTCTGTCGCCGTCGTTTAAAACATCGCTGAAAGCGACCCCTTTCCCCTTGTTGTATTCTTTTGTCTGTCCTGCTTTTTTCCCTCTTCTTTTGCTTGAACACAGCACATATACCTTTTTCACAATGTTCTTTTTTTTTTCTTCTCTCTTTGCCACTCTGTTCTTGTACTCTTTTCTTTTTTGCTCATAGTGTTTTCTTTTTGTCATTTTCATGTCCCCTCTTTCCTCCCCCTCTGCTCCTTCAAAAAGTTCTTCAACCTCTTCACAAAATAAAAAGCTTTTCATTCTGTCAAAAACATCAAAACATCAAAACATTAAGACCCGCGTTGGTTATATGAACGCAATAATATTCTCTATTTCCGCCTGCAACCTCGCTCCTAGCCTGGGTTTGTTATGATATGGATTTTAGTGGCTGAGGTATTTGCGGCCCTTGAGGAGGCGGTTGTGAATGATCTTGCGGCCGCCTCTTGACTTCATCCTGGCCAAGAAACCGTGGCGGCGCTTGCGGACGCGTTGTGAGGGCTGGTATTCGCGACCGTACGAGACGAAGCGGGCCTGACTTGATCTATTGAAGTTGTTTGGAAGAATGAGTGTGTTGTGAAAAGGTGTTAGGTCGTTGTTTGTCGGGGTAAAGAGTTGGGTGAGGAGTTTCTCCCGTCGCTTGTGTGGACTTTTGCTTTCGTCAGGGATATATGGCAAGTGATGTGTGTCCCAGTCCTGCCAGTATGCGTTTCTTTTCTTAACGCTCCTTAGACTTGTGGGGGGGTAGCGATATGGGCTTGAGCAGTTTCCATATCGTTTTTTTCCCCCGGTTCCTGAACAATTTCGCCTCTGTAGTCCTCTTTGAAGTGATTCAGCATTTTCTCCTGATGTCAAACAAAAAAAAAAAAAGGCCAGCCAAGTTCTCCTTTCTGCCTGGTTCCATTCTCTGTAATCTGTCGTATACGCTTTGCTTTCTAACCCGATCTTGTCCGACTTTCCTGGTCCTGAACAATACCCACCAACTAGGTCAATTTGAACAAACGTGGATCTGCCAAGATATGAAAAACGACGCATGTCTCTTTTCAGTGGAGTCCAGAACAGTTCAATTGACCCCGCCGGTCTCATCCCACTGCTCCTTGCTCCTTGCTTCTTTCCTGTCCGTGTTGTTCTTTGTTCCTCCGTGTAGTAGTATCATGTCCTGATTTTGTCTGCGGATTTGGGCAAAGAAGGGGTTTATTTTACCCAAAGACGGAGGGGAGACGGAATCCGGTCAAGGTCGAGAAGATGGAGTTGGTGGGGACTGAGGCGACGACGGGCGATGGTGCTGCCATAGCCATGACCTGTGTCCTATTATCTCGTTTCAAAAACGCCCAAGGGAGGGGGCAAAAGAAAGTGTGTTAGTGATCTGATCGACTATGGTGTTTGTGGGTAAAGTTTGTGTGTGCAAATGAAGGGATCTGAGTAGTTGTGTTGAAAAAAAAAAAGGGCTGGGGAATTTAAAAGGGAGAGGGAGGATGGTGTTTTGTACCTGGCGACGGGGGCCAGCTTGGTGCGGAGTGATGAGAATGCGGCGAACATGGTCTGTATATATGAGGTGAGAGTGAGGAGGAAGGATGCAAGGGGGGAGCTGAGTTGATGTGGCCACCAAATGTTGGCTGATCCCGAGTGGACAGGAACCCAAACAACAAGCAGACCGCAGTCACACAAATGGCAATTGGCAGGACACCGGGGGAAGCATGCGAGCCAAGTCCCCCTTTTTCAGCGCAAGCTTAAACCACGACGAAAAGTCAAAGGAGAAGACACATTGTTATTCTTCTGGATCGCTCACTGATACCAGATTTCGCTCCCAGGCCGAGCAACGATTCAAGTTTTTTTCTTCAGGGTTGAGCCTATCGTTGAATGGCATCAACTCATTATCGTTCTTCCAGGAGGCGAATACAGCAAAGCAACAAAAAGAAATGGACGAAACTGCTTGGGTCCGAACACGTTTGGGTACTGTTATTATGATTCATCTCTTTCTGCCCTCTTCTTTTCTTCACTGCAGCTCGTCGGATTATGCTTGCAGGTGATCGCCTTCGATAGGCAAACACGGTACACACATTAGGACCCTTTTTCACAAGTGCAGGGGAGATCACGATTTGTGCCGGTTCATTAAACCATCTTTCAACGTTCACCTGGATTCACTGTTTCTGTCCTTTTTGGGTCGATATGCTGAGGAAAACATGTCCTTCGGCCTGTGCTCATTCATACCCTGAAGCCTGGATTTTTCTGTATGGGTTCATCTCGGATCCACGGCTGTGTCTCGGTCATAATCCCCTCCATTGGGTCGTTCTCCTTTTGTCGTACTCGGATAAAGTCCTTTGAGTCGTTTGGCACTTTTAGTCGGACTTTTTTGAATGTCGCATGGTTTGACTATAAAAATAATAAGGACGATATTTCTTCTCCACAAAGGAAAGGGGGGCGTGTAGGTGTGCGGTCAAATAGGTAATGAATGTGCGCGATCAAAAAGTTCAAATGGCGGTTTCAAGTACTTTCTCCACCGGATCTGTTTTGAGTGTTGTGTATGTTTGACCCTCTGTGTTACAATGCTTTTTTTTTCTGCCTTCGACCATGGCGCTCGATTACGTTGATGTCTACCTTTTATTGATTTGGACTGGAGGGGATAACGACATCAGAAAAGTGAGGTCGGCGATTGTGAACTCGAACTCGTTGTTGGTCCTTGGATAGGAAGGACAATGCCATCAGATAACTTTGTTCTTTACCTTTTTCAATTATCAATCACAGAGTTCGCTCTTATGATTCTCCTGTGTTCAAACACGCGATTGACATTTCCCAGTGAGGAGGGGCGATTGAGCAAACGTTGAGCGGAACTAGGTTTGTAATAGACATTCATGCAGGCACCGAGTGATGGAAGTATTGGACCGTCCAGCTTTTGATCATATTGATTCTTTTTTTTTTTTTACAAGAGGACTTTGTAACCTTTTGTTGCTCTCTAACCATGGCGCCCCCGTCATAAGTGTTGAGGGTACGTGTCAGACCTTGCGTGCATTCACAAAAAAATACCCTTACTCTGGTATGTGCTTTCGCAAGGCGTAGTAAACTTTGAGATGTCGATTTTTTTTGGGCCTGCATGACGATATGTCATGGACGATACCGCCATTTACTATGAACTCTCTGAAATAAAAATGAGATAAAATAGACAGAAAACGCGTTATTTTCGTTGGCATCAACTCAGGTGTACACTGTCTGTGGTCCACATGCTCACTTACACACCTACACACCTTACAGTTCTTATCAAGCAGAAAAAATGGAGAATAGATGAATTCTCGTTGGGACAGGACACTTTTTGTTGTATACGAGCAAACCATGATGACTTTCCCATATCTCCGCGTTCCATTGAACATTTTATTTTATCTGGACTACGATTCGCAAGCATCAAAGAAGTATGTGGATTTGGAATTGTCGTACGCTCGTGAAACGCTCTTACAGATGTCAGGACGATATGTTGCTAGGTCGGTAAGATGAAAATTAAAGGGATGGGCTAATCTTATGCCGATCACTTTGGCCCGCATGCCATCTATGAACAGACCCTTATTTTCTTACTTGCTTTCAGGTTCTTTCAACTTTTTATTCGAACCGCTTCGTCGACATGCGGATAAAGTTTCAACATGATTTCGGCAACCATTTTAATGATCTAAAAGGTCGCGCGGATCGTAGAGATGGTTGTTTTGGCCTGACGCTTGCGAAAATGTTCTAAACTAGTAAACAACCAATTTACAAAGTCCCAAGAAAAAAAATGAACCAGATGTCAACTGGACGATAGGCGCGGCAGGAACTGGTATGCAATGCGTTCGGGCAATGACCGCCGATAGAAATGGATGGTTCCATGTTGCCGTTCTAGCCTTCTAGGTAACCCCGACGACTCTTTTTACCACACGCCTTGCAGGTACTCGATGGAGATACGCTCTTACGGCTAATCTTGAACCACTGTATGTTTTCTCTGTCGACGTCCTGTACTTAATACCTGCCTTTAGGTTTTTATATGCAACGTGTATTTGTGTTCGTTTTTATGCTAACATCTTTTCGATACCCTGGTGTCTTTGCTAATCTCGTTTCGCTTCCGTTTTATTCAGAACTATGATGCCGAAGGGTCGGGTTACTGGCTCTCGTTCTGACTATAAAGAATATGGTGAGGCTATTTCGTCGTTCGGCGCGTACTTTTTTTTTTTGCTATTCTTTCCGACGAATGCCAGACGATCATGGCGTCGACTTTCATCGCGATCTTTTTTCTTAACTATGCGTAAGGCGATCTGGATCGAAGAAGCGCTCCATGCACCTCCAACCATTTTATAACGGCCTTCTGATTTGTATTGAAGTAGGCAACATTTTTGGGATCTGAATCTCTTTTTTTTTTTTGTCCTCCCACGGTACGACCAAGTCTGACCGACGATGGCTCACCGTCTCGGACTCTTTCAAAGATTCTTAGTCGATGTAGCCTCTTTATTAAATATATTTCTTTTATCTATTGGGCACCAAGCGCGGATCGATCATGTTGTATTTTCTTTTCTTTTTACTCTTGAAAACAAGTACGGCGATGAAGGTTGAATGTCGTGTCGAGGCGGCGTTCCTTCTTTTTTTTGTGTGCTCGGCACGATCGATTGACTTCGAGCTGCTCTTCTTGTGCGATACGAAAAAAAAATACATTTCTACTCGACAAGCGGTATCTCCAACGATCGCGACCAGCCATCTACTCAAATGCCTCTTGAACCCGGCTATCATATCGTGATGACAAGCGAGTACTATTTTATATTGAAAATGGTGTTACTTGACGCGGATCTCCATGGCGATAGACAGCTGCGGTGCTCGTGGGGTAACACTCAGCTCGTGAACAACAGATCTAGAAGTTCCATGAACTCCTTTTCAAACAACGAACCAAATGTCAACAGGAGGACAGTTCCTCCGAGCATTAGTTTCTGTGGACCACACTCGAAAATCGACCTACGTGTAGCTTGGTATGTTCGGGCATGTATGTTTATTACTCACTTCTCAACGACCACTTTGGTCATTCTGATGCTTTGCACTATGCTCTACTTTTCTTCTTCAAGCTCGGCGCCGATAATCGTCCAGGTGAGCAGGTGTCCCTTTCGAACGTTGTTTGCTCCTGGACAACATGAACGTGCTGTTTTTCGTACTTCCGCGTGTAAGGAGTTCTATTTGTTAATGTTCTTGTGAAAGTTCATAGATGGCACTGCTGTGTTTTTTTGTGCTCTCTTTTTTTTCTGAATGGAGCGCGCGGCGATATGTCCTGAGAATGTACCCCCTTTCAAATATTACTTGCTCCAAGTCGATGTGGAAAGGTCTCTTGCTCGTTTTCTTCCCCCTTGATGAATTGAGGATTCTCTCGTCGCCTTTTCCATCGTTGTTCTACATAGCGCGCACGGCGATGTTGAATTACCACGATCGAATCCCCTTTTTACTTTTCACATTCTCCTTGAGGCACGATACTGCTTTCGCCGTTGTTGTGTGCCGTGTACTATCGTTCGTTGCTAACACAGTCTTTCGCGCGTTTGAAACCAATAAAAAACGAACTCAGCGAGGACGATATGAATAGTTGATGAGCATATTGTTCGTCGATTGTAGTTGACTTTTAGTTGGCCCACTCCCTTTTGTTTGCTTGTTTGTTCTGTAGTTTTGTGGCGAGGGCGTAAAGACAGCGGTGGGAAGTGAAGAAAGAAAGTACGATAGAGACTTTTCCTCGCAAGAAGAAAAGGCCACGCGTGCCAAAGAAAAATGTGCAGCATGCATGATGACCTCGAACGATCCATCACACTGATACCGAGTCCACAGCCTCATGACCCATGCAGAAGTTATTGTTGTGTCTGTATTATTTTAATGTAGAACACCTTGAAGACAAAAAAAAGTGACAAACAAGGTAAAAAGATGCTCTATGCCTCGGTCTCGATAACTTTCAGATGTGCAAGCCCACATGCAACCTTTTTGCTCTTTGTCCCACGATACTTCCACACCTGCTCACAGTTGACCACCGCACACAGACCCCGAGGCGCTGGGTACGTAGGCTCCTTCAGCGGCACAACCGGTACCTCCAATACCTCAATTACCCTATGCTCAACCTCCTCACCATACTTCTTCCCTCCCTTCGACTCAACAGAAGGAATAGTCTCCTGCATCCACAACGGCACATCGCCCAGCGAGACCTCCGGTATTGACAGCGTAGTACCCTGAGTCGTATGTCGTACACTCAAATAGCTCACAGGGGTCATGAACCGATTCGACCGCCTTCCTCCCTTAAAACCCTCCATCCGCTTGTCATCTCCTGCACCAGCGCCGCCCTCATCATCGTCCTGGGCGCCGATTTTACGTTTCCCGGCTTGCTTTTTGAGGAGTCGGTTAATGGTCTCGAGTTTGTCCTGTTCTGCACGTTGCGCGGACTGGTTCTTGCGGCGACGCGTGATCTCGCTTCGCTTCAGCGCCATCTCTTCCTCAGTCTGCATTCTCTTCCTCGATTGCGCTATTAGTTATTATGGGCGAGGAGAATAAGGCATTACTAAACGAGAACGATTGGATCGCATGCAACAACAAAACAACAGAGGAGAGACGTACCGACGGGAAGCTCAAAGAGCTCGAGGGAGACATCATGGACATCCAGTTTGGATCGCTGGCGTTTGGTCAACTGGCCTCCAAAGCCCATCCCGCGTTGAGGATTCGAGAAATCGTCATCGCTAAAATCTTCCTCGTCATCATCATCATCCTGTTGTTGCTGCTGTGGTGCCGCCTTTTTGCCCTTTCCCGTTGTAGAAGCACCACCCTTGGAGGATCCAGATCCAGATGTTGCACCAGCCGCCTTGGGTTGTAACGGCTTTGTGTTCTCGATGTCGTCCTCCTCCTCATCTTCCTCCTCAACTTCCTCATTCTCATCATCCATTTCCATCTCATCATCCACCTCAACCTCTTCCTCTTCATCTTCTTCTTCATCCACCAATTCTTCATCCTCCTCCTCATCTTCCCCAAGACCTTCTTCATCCTCCTCTTCTTCATCCTGCAGACTCCTATTGTCGACATCCTCATCATCGTCCTCTTCCATATCAACATCCTGATCCTCTTCATCATCATCCTCCTCTTCGTCTTCGATTTCCATGTCCATTTCACGGTTCCTTGATCGTCCTGAGTTGGATGATTGCTGTGTCTGCTGCTTTTTGCGAGGGGATGATGATCGAGAGCGGGTGTTGTGACCGATCGGGGTCGACATGTTGGTCGTCGTCGTGCCCTCGTCGTCTTCCTGGTCCTCGTCCTCGCCCTCCGAGCTCATCGGCGTCGACACTAATAAGTAGATTAGTAAACAAAAGTATTAAAGGCCGTTAATAAATAATTGGATGCTAGATCAACCATCGTAACGAAGCGGTCAAATCGGCATGCAGACAACACTTACTTCGACGTTTCTGGGTAGCGCCCTTGCGCGTACTCCGGGTCGAAGGCGCTGTCGCAGCTGAAGCAGCAGCAGCCGCAACAGCAGCCCTCCTAGCCGAAGATCGCGATCTAGAGTTCGCCTGACCTGCTGCTGCCTGTGCTTGTGCTTGTGCCTGTGCCTGAGCCTGCTGTGCTCCACCGCGCCTTGTAGAAGACGAAGAAGCAGGAGTAGGAGGCACTGAATCCTCATCCTCATCCTCCTCATCTTCCTCTTCATCTTCCTCGCCTTCATCATCCTGTCCCTCACCATCCTCATCCACCTCCTCATCAAACACATCTTCCTCTTCCTCCTCGTCATCATACTCCTCGGGCTCTGCATAGTTGATGGCCGGTTTGCGAGAACGCGTCGAGGATGGCACGAGGAATGCGCTCCGTTCTGCCGCTGATGTGTTGTTGTTGTTGCCGCCTCGGCGGCTGTTGGATGCTTGTGATTTCTGGGCAGACTTGCTGGTCGCTGCTGCCTGTCGGGCCGTCTGTTGCGGTTGCTGTTGTCTGCTCGATCCCTTAGCAGCTCCTGTACGACCACTGCCGGCTTTGGAAGACCCAGATGCCGCTGCTGCTGCTCCCTTGGCATTACCTCCGCGTTGCTGTTTACCGTTCGACGAGGTATAGACATCATCGTCCTCGGAATCACCTTGACTCAATTCCTCCTCTTCGTCATCCATCTCTTCCTCATCGCCTTCTTCGATGTCGTCGCCTTCCTCGCTGGCAGAGAGGACGTCCTCGTCATCCTCGTCGTCGTCATAGCTATAGTTCCGTGTTTGTGCTGCCGCCCTCCTCGATGACATTGTTGCTTGGGGTTGATGCTGAATGAAAGGGAGAAGAAAATGTGTTGGGAGTTTGAAATGTTGCGCGATCAAAGAGCCAGAAGAAAAGAGTGCGGGCTGATCGTTATTTCCTGGCATATATTTATTTCCATGCAATTATTTTAGTGGCGTTCATTTCATCAGTAATATTCGACTCCAACGTGTCTATGTCGCTCCTCAAGTCCTCCTTCCACCACCACACTGTCACCCTTACTCACTGCCACTGCACTCTCCCGCTCCCGCTCCCGCGCCCATTTAGATTCCTTGCTCAGCGGAAGCGCCGGCGACACCCTAGATCTCTCATGCCGAACAGTCTTCATGACCGAACTCGAGATCGGTTTCGACATCTCACTTCCTTTCCTCCATGCCTCTTCGCTCTCTTTCGTCCTCCCATGATCGCTCTTTCGCCACTCACCATGCCGACTGTAGTCACTATCGTAGTTTCCATCGTCATCGGTGGTGTCGATCCATTCGGGGTCATACCCAATCGGTCTCGACAACGACGTGACAGCCGAGGATCCGCGGGAGAGACAACTCTCTGCAGAGGAAGAGGAGATGTACTGCTGTGGGATCTTGGGAGTAAGAGGGACGATAGAAGAGCAATAACTAGTTCTGGCAAGACTATTCCGATGAGGGCTGTACAGCGGCTGTTGCTGCTGCTGGTGCTGATGATGACGAAGGCCTTGACGCGACGACGTCAATGCGGACGAATTCAACTGATTCGGGAGGTGGTGGGGATAGTTGTGGTCACTGCTGTGGCGGATGTGAAAGGTATCTCGAGAATTGCGCGTGCGGCTGCGATTCGAATACCGGCTCGTCGACTTCTTGAACTGGTGTTCGCGAACGTCCATATCGCTGTCATAGTCATCAGCATCATCCTCCATTCGGATGAGGACATCTTGTCGAGCCAGGACGTGGCCTTCTTCAGACGAGATGGACATGATCGAGCGAATTGGGGGACTGATATGCGTCCGCGTCAGGGAAGCCGGTTTCGGGAGCTTCACCATGTGGGCCTCAAACCCCTGGCGAACACGACGACCTTGTTCCTTGTCCATCGGCAATGGAGACACCGAACTCAGAGTCGACAGTTTTGAGAATATCGACGACGACCGAGAGGAGGAGGAGGAGGAGCGAGAGGGAATTGTGGTGAGTTTTCGATGGAAGGGGGATGTGCGGCCGGAGAAGGGACCCCAGGGGTGGGTCGGAGGAATCTCGGACTCGTTCGACGTGAATGACGAGGGTACGGACGATACTGGAGCTAGTGCTGTGCGGGGTTGTAACGCGTGGGCTGCTGAGGCGATGGTCGCGACACCTCCTCCGGGAGCTGTGGCTGGGTACCTTGTAGACGCAGACGGGCGGCCACGGCACCTCGAGGACGTGGCTGAAACAGGCGGCAACGGACTAGATCCAGAACCGCCTGCAGTTTGCATCTGAGTAGTGTCCATATTCAGTGCCGCTGCGCGCTTCTGATGCTGCCGATGGACCGCAGGATCACCGACCAATATCGGAGGCGAGATATGAACAGGAGGCACTTGTGGGTATGTGCGACCATAAGACTGTTCATCTTCTCTGTTACCACAGTCTCTATCATAGGTCAGACTCCAGGGCGGGGTGACCCTATACGAACGGAAGCGACCATATGTCGTCAATGACGACATCGACGACCCCCTCGACCCCGTCTCTGGGTCATCATCTCCCCTATGCCCTCCTCCACCCCGCAGATGCTCTCCATCACCATAATCCCCTCGACTTCGTTGCTGCCGGACATGCAGTAAGTACAACCCCAACGCGAACACAGTCGCACAGATGATGACTATCACAGCAATCACTCCTCCATCCATCGCTGCTGTACCCGTCGGATACGATTCACTGTTGTTGAGTGCGGTGTTGTCTGTGGTCCTGGTCGTGGTCTTGGTAGTGGATGACGACGAGGAGGTAGAGATGGAGGAAGGACTAGTGTATGACAGGTTGGGTGCGATAATGGATGGGAGAATGGGTAGACAAGACGGGTTTGGGATATTCTCCGGGCATTCTATCGTCCTAGTTGTCGTTGTCGCCTTTGGAGGAGGAGGGAGAGTTTTCGTCGGCAGCGTTGTTTTGACGATAGTCGTAGGAGTGCCCTGGCCGTTAGGATGGGATGTATTCTGTGCCACTACTGGTTTTTTTGTTGTTTTTGTTGTTTTTGTTGTTTTTGTTGGTGACGATGGTTTACCCTGGGACGAACTCGCGAGAATTCTCTTTTGTATATTAGTGCCGGCGGTAGCGAACGTCGCGGAGGAGTCAAACACACCAGTCGTCTGGACAGGGTACGTAGGTTCTATTGTGGTTTCATGGGTGCCAGTTGGAACGCCAGTCGTCGGGACATAATGGGTGGTTGTGGCTTCATAGGTCTCGGTGGGGACGTTGGTGATTAGGAGATTAGTGGAGGCGGTGTGGTTGAGGGGCTGGAAGAAGGTGAATTGTGGAGACCTGCCACAAAGAGTCTCTGCAGTCTTGGGGTTGGAGTTGTCGTTGCTTGAGCACCAAAGCTCTACGTGGACCTTCTATACCACAGGAGGTAATAATAAGGGAAAGAAGGAAGGAGTGGAAGCAAGAAAAAAAACGTTCATTTGTCAGTTTGGAAGGAGAAAGAAAGAGATGAGAGGTATACGCACAGACAGTCCAGGGTCAACAACAAAATAATAACTTGCGCGTTGCTCCTGATCAATGATCTGCGGCAAGGTCAAGGAATACTGATTCTCCATCACTGCAACACCAGGCCATTCCAAGATCCTGGCACTCTTGTTCTCCTTCGGATCATCATCAGAGAACAATATGGGTGTGAACGAATCCCAGTTGCTGGTAGAGTTGTTATTCCAGGCAAAGGCGAAGGTGCTGCAAGAGGGGAAGGATTCGCGGTCGTCCCAGCGGATGGTGAGGGAGGAGTTGTTGTTGTCTGGTGGTGGTGGTAGTGGGATTGGGAGCGCTGTTGTGTTTTTCATTTGCTTGTTTGTTGTGTGATTCTTGTTGTTTGTTTGTTGCTGGGTATGGTTGCTGTGTGAAGGATAAGAGTGGGATTGTGTGAGGTGGGTGTAAGTAAGTGTGTGTATGTGTGTTTGTGTGTGTGAAAGGTGTAGTAACGTAAAGGGTGCGAGAGGGATGGAGGGATGGAGGGTTGACGCAGAAATGAAGAAAACGAAGAGCGAAAGAGCGGGAAGAGACTGAGGGATGAGAAAGACGACAAAGAGAAAAATCTGCATGGACGCAACAAGGCACTTGATGAGAACAAAAAAAACAATGGCCAAAAAGAGGCTGTGCTTCGTGCTTAAGACGGATCCCCATGGTTACATGAACGATAACAAGGAACAACAATCATTTCCATATGGTTCTGCTTAACTACGACAGTACTATGGCGCTCGCAAAATCCTAGGGCTAAAAAAAGGGGGCAGGACAAAGTTGACACCGGATGGAGGCGATGATTATTATGTTGTTGTGTTCGAGAGGGAATTGTAACAAAAAGGAGAATATAAAAATATGTGTGTACAATGGATGCTTCATAGACATGGATAATGGCGCATGACATGGGGCAAGCCCCTTCGTCCGTGTTGTCATAATGAGAGAGGGTTTTGGTCAGAAATAAATCGCACAAGAACAATTGTTTTTAACAGGGTCTATTGTTTATGGTGTCTATGTATGAGTATTAGAGGTTGAGAATAGTAGTATGATACAATATGGGATGCAAATAATAAAAGAATGAAACGGAACAAAAGTGGCGGAAAATAGACGTCATGGTTTAGAAGAGCTCAAAGGCAACATAGGCAAGAGCGAAGGTCGACAAGATATCGACCAACTGAGCAAGGGCATACAGGGCCGTCAGCTTGAGCAACAACCTAGCGTCCCGACGGAGCTCGTGGAACTGCAGACCCATTCCAATGCTGACAAAACTCATGGTAGAGAACCATTCGCCAACCATGAACGAGAACGTGTTGACATTCGCACGGTCCACTGCGGGAACCGCGGTGTTGAATAAGATAGCTGTCAGTATGAAACCAAGAACAAACTTTGGGAACCGAGCCCAGAGCATGGTGCCGTAGGGGACGGGCTTGAAATCAGTCTTTGAACGGAGGTTCTCGTCCTCGAGGGAGCTGTGAAGGGCGCGTGTGCGACGCTCTTCGCGCTTGGTCCAGACAATAGCAACACCGACAGAAATGGGACCAATCAGGACATTCTGGACCATCTTGACCACAGCCGAGGATTGGACTGCAGCATTGTCACCAAAGATGGTAGCGGCGGCGATGACAGCTCCGGTCGAGTCAACACATCCACCGAACCAGGCACCGGCGACATTGGCGCTGATGCCGATAGCTTTGGCGATGTAAGGGAGGGCGATGATGGAGGGGATGGTGAAGACAGAGATGATGGCGATGGGCAGGTCGGCTTTATTGCCTGCACCGAGGGAGGCGGAGAGGGCGATGGCGGCGGAGGAACCGCAGATGAAGGTTGCGCCGGACATGATCATGGCGGTTTGGAGGTCGATCTTGAGCCAGGAGACGCCGAGCATGGCGACGACGACGAAGAGGGTTGGGGTGTCGATCCATGAGACGAAGAGGGCACGAGGGGCCAATGGCTTGAGTACTGTGAAGTCAATACTACATTATGAGTAATAAGGAGTACGAAGGGTATGGTATTAGTGCCAATGTCAGGTAAACAAACAAACACACAAAATAAGGTGTGGGTGGGCGTAAAGGGAGAGGGGTACACAGGGGAGAGCGGAGTAAAAAGATGAAGGGAGATAGAAGAGAGGGAAGAAGGGAGAGAGAAAAATGATTCATTTTGGGTCCGGATTAGGAAAGGGACACTGATGACGCCAGATGATACCACTGGCGGGTGGGGTACTCTTCTGCTTCTTCTTCTCTTTCGGATGTCGGTTGGATGTTGCTGAAATGTATGTGTTCATGTGTGATATGTGTGAGCAAATTATAAACATGTTGTTCGTCTGGGGAAGGGGAGAGAGAAGGGTGAGAAAAAAATAGGGTTTCCGCCATTCCATTCCGTGGTCTCTTCTCTCTTTTTTTCATTCTCCCCCTTTGTTCAACTCACCAAGGGCCTCTTGAATGAAATGGTGGGGGACAAGATGAAAAACATTCGATTCTCCTCGATCCAACTGCTCCTCTTTGCCCCCCATTAACAATAATTCATGTTGTGCCTGAACAGTAATAAGAAATAGAAGACTTACCAGAGAAGAACCAAAGAGGTGGCAATATACAACTCAGTCTGCTGCGCGACCTTCAACCAAGGCGCCAAAGGCTTCGACCGTCCATCTGGCAGAGCCTTCCCACCCATCGCATTTCTCAAGATCGTTCCAAACAAAATCGCCCAGATCGAGTCTCCCAAACTAGCACTCTTGATACTCTTCTGAGCTGCCAACCACTTGCTCAGAAAGCTCAACACATAGACCACAAGGTAACCCTGAGGAAATTGTTTCCAGGCCTTGGCGCCGGTTGCCCAAAGTCCCAACCAGACGAGGAGTCCTTGGAGAGGGAAAAGAACGAAGAGACCAAGGTTTTCGGTCCCGTGGAGAGAGTCGAAGGGGTTGGAGGACCAGATCTTGAAATGAGCTTCAGGGATGTCGTGGTGGACGGCGATAGCAATCATGGCAAAGAGGAAGAGGCCAATCCAGCAGGGCCACCAATCTTCGCTGTTCCACCCCATCAGCCATGGGTGTCTTGTCAGGAACGTGTCTGCTTGTTTTTCGTGAGAGTCCTTTTTAGAACTTTGTGTTGAAGAGTCTGTTGCTGGGAGGGGTGTCTTTTTGTCGGATTCATTGGTGGGGATTGCTGTGATGGTCATTGAGTTGCAGCGTGTGTTGGTGTTGGTGGTAGGAGTGGTGGAGGCGTGGTTGGCAATGCTCGAGTTGTTGTTGTTGGTGGTGGAGATGTTGTCGTTCAGGAGGTCGACAGAGGCTCTCCGTTGACGAGGGTTCTGTTCAGTAGACATGGTATATTATGTTGTGAGGAAGAGGAGGTCGTATGTTTTGTGGTCCGATCAGAGTTGCGAGGGGTATTTGATGATGGATTGTGAAAGGATGAATGAGTGAATGAGTGTAGAGTAAGAAGTAGAGAAAAGAGCTGAGGATGAGAGAATAAAAGAATGGGATATGTGAAGAGAATAAGGAGAAGCAAAGAAAAAGAAAAAGGGAAAACCAGGCTACTCACCCGACTGTATTTATTACCTTTTTCATTTTTCAGTTTCCGCACCAAATCAACCTTCTGTCCTTCATAAAGTCTGACTCGCAGTTCATTCACATTCATGTATGAGTGTAAGTGTATAAGTGTCGATGGTCTAGGTACACGACTCTTTCTTCACTCTTAATCTCATATGTCGTAAACCCATGTCAATGAATGAGGGTATTTATCCGCGCCCGCATGCACATGTATGTCATGGCTCATCCACTTCGGTCTCCTCCTTCCAAACCATTCAAAGTTGTACCACTCGGGACACGTTCTTTTTCCCAACAACTCTCCCTCGTCCTCTCTGCTTTTACCCTAACTACTTCAAACAAACAATGGAGTAATAACCTCAAGAGGCGCCAATCTCTGTGTCCTTTGTCTCCTGAGTGCCAAAAGAAAACAAAGAAAAAAGTCCGACGGCCACTGAAATATTTTTTTTCCCTTCGACGCCTAAACGAAATGATTCGTGTCTCTCATTTTCTTCTCCTTTGTAGACCCTGGTACCCGCCTCAACCTGTCCTTTTTTCTGACATAGATCCAGAAAAGCTACACTGACACCCAGCCAGAACCCGCTTACCCTATTGTCTCTTGTTCGCCTTTCGAGGAAGGGCCTCGACCCCTGGGATCCATCGCCGTTAACCAGGAAAAGGTAAAGATGTTCATGGTGATTCGCCATTCTTCTTCACCAAAAGGAAGAAGAAATGTCGAGCAGTGAATTAATTCATGCGGACAGTTCATTGAAAAGAGAAGTAGAAGATAGAAGACTAAGCCAATACATGCATGCGACCTGCAAGCATCCCAGCAACGGTACTCGTCCTTTCCTTTTTTTATTCGTTCCCTCGTCCCTCAGGCTTAATTGAGTTTGGAACAAAGGATGGAAGAATCATAAAAATATCCAGGAACTAACCTCCTCCTCCTCCTCCACCCCTCACACGTCGCTTATTACCGATTACCTTTGTGACTTGAAGCACAAGGGCACTATGAATCATATGCACTATTATTCCGCTCCTCATGCACTTTTACTCAAAAAATCTAAGCAATTATTCCTTGCTCCTCGTGGAAAAATACCACCTCTACTCATTGGTACGCCTGGCAAACTACCAAACTGTTGTACATGTCTTTTATCTTCGGTTAGGATTCAGGCTATTTCGGATTATGGCAAAAAGGAGCGCCGAGGCAAGGCAGACGGTTGCAAGGTGGTGAAATGGAGTTAGACTCTATGTGCGTAGCATGTGTATATCATGGATTGACATGATTCTGCTTCTTCATAAGATTCTATCGTTAGAGTAAAGAGAAACGCGGATGGACACAAATGTCAATTGGAAGTAAAGGAGTGCCGAGCAAATAAACAAACAAAACGATGTCATAAAAGCTGAGAAGCTAAAAAAAACCCCCGAATGACTCCAACTGACAGGATCTCGCTTCTATGCCCATATTCTCCACAACTCCTTTTTTTTTAATTTTCGTTCCGTTGCACCCTTCCGGACAATTGCTGAGCAACTCCCTTTTCGGGAAAGCAAACCGAATAAACAACCTGGCTTTGCTTGTTTGTTTGTTGGCCTGTTGGTTTGTTTTGGCGGCGGCGGTGGTAGAAAATTAAAAATGGCAGAAGCCCAGCCTGTTACGTCGTTGTGTGATTTGACCCCACTTTGTTCTTTTGTCTCGCAAAAACTGATATCCTTCTATTAGCCGTTATACCAAGAAAAGCGGATTCTAGGCCTTCTATGTAAAAAAAATTGACGATCCATTTCCTACCTGCAACACTCCATCCGAACTGTCATTGTCATACACCATACATGAACAAAAGCGGAAGTGGCGCGAAAGTCGAAAAAAAACCCCTGCAGACAGTTTTTATTATCGAGAAAAGGATATGAAGAAAAAAAAATAAGAAAAGAGGGAGGAGAGGGGATATCTAAAACCAGGCGTTGAAGGCGCGGAGGTACATAACCTTGGCCATTTGCGTCACCATGAAGTAACAGCTCAAAGCTCCCACAAGGTATCCATAAAACACCCCGGGCAACTCTACAATCGTCAACAGATCTCTAAACACCGAAATGTACGGCAATACCAACACAATCGCAGAAATAATCAACGAGCTGGCAATCACAGGCTTTGCAGCAATGGTCTGCAAGAAGGGGATCTTGGGGGAACGGATGATATGGATGACCAGGAGTTGGGTCAGGGCACCCTCGGTGAACCAGGCGGTTTGGAAGAGTATGACGCCAGCGGTGTTGTCGGCGGATTGGATACCGAAGTAGAACCACATGAAGAGGAAGGTTGTGATATCAAAGATGGACGACCAGGGGCCCATGAAGACCATGAAGCGGAGGATGGACCGGATGTTCCAACGGTGGGGGACCATGAGGAATTCTTTGTCCATCTTGTCCCAGGGGATGGTTGTCTGGGAGATGTCGTAGAGGAGGTTCTGGGTGAGGATGTGGATGGGTTGCATGGGCAGGAAGGGGAGCCAGGACGAGGCGACGAGCATGGAGAAGACGTTGCCGAAATTGGACGAGATGGCCATGACGATGTACTTCATTGTGTTGCCGTAGGTTGTACGGCCCATCAGGACAGAATCGGCGATGACCATGAGAGACTTCTCGAGGAGGATGACGTCTGCGGACTCTTTGGCGATGTCTGTTGCGGTGTCGACTGAGATTCCGACATCAGCTTCGGCCAGGGCCGGAGCGTCGTTGATGCCGTCGCCGAGGAAGCCGACAACTCGGTCAGAGCGTTTGAGGGCGCGGATGACGAGGGATTTCTGGAGTGGGGTGAGTTTTGCAAAGATGGTGGCTTCGCGGGCGATGAGGGCGACTTGTTCGTCATCGAGGCCGACGAGGTCGTCAGTGGTGACGATCGACTTGACGGGGAGGTCGATTTCTTGACAGACTTTGCGACAGACCGCGGCAGAGTCGCCGGTCAGGACCTTGATCTCGACGCCGAGAGAGAGGAGTTCCTTGATGGCGGGGCCTGTCGACTCCTTAGGTGGATCGAGGAAGCCGATCAGGCCAGCAAAGACCATATCGCATTCGTCCGAGATCCCATAGTCGGGCTTGACCTTTTCCAAGTCACGGTAAGCAACAGCCACGACTCGGATACCGTCGACGTTCAGACCCTGGTTCATTTCGACCAGGTGGGCAATCATCTCGGGGGTCAAAGTCTGGATTTCATTGTGGTTGGTGCGGACGAGGGTGTCAAGGGCTGGGATGGACTGACCCTCGATCGCCATCTGGATATCGACAGAGTCTGGGTTCTGCTGGCAGGGGATGACGATCTTGGTGCAGATACTGAGCATCTCCTCTACGGCGCCCTTAGAGACGAGCATGGCCTGGTTGTTGGCATCTGAGACATCCTTCAGGACCACAGACATGCGACGACGGACAAAATCAAACGGGATCTCGTCCAGCTTCTGGTACCGGGCAGCGAAGGTAACAGCAGCAGCGGTCAGGCCCGACCCAACCCCCTTGCCGTTGGCAACAGCAGGGACACCCTCGTCGTAGGCGGGGAGCTCGGAGGCAGTCTTCTCAAAGTATTCGACCACAGCAACATCCAACAAGTTCTTGAGTCCAGTCTGGAATCGAGAGTTCAAAAACGCCAACTGTAACGATTGCATCGACGCCTTGCCATGGTAATCGAGATGTCGGACCAGAATAACCTTGTTCTCGGTCAGGGTACCGGTCTTGTCGGTGCAAAGGACATCCATCGAGCCGAGATTGATGATCGCATCCAGGTTCTTGACAATACAACGCTTCTTCGACATCAGGTACGCCCCACGAGCCAAGTTCGAGTTGACAATCATGGGGAGCATCTCGGGCGTGAGGCCGACAGCGACCGAGAGTGCAAACAGGGCGGCATCTGTCCAGCTATGGTGGACAAACCCGTTGATCAACAGAACAGGTGGAACCATGAGAGCCATAAGACCGAAAAAGACCCAGGAGATGTTACGGACTCCAAGCTGGAAAGCGTTCTCGGGACGGCGCTTGGACAATTCCTTAGCCATAGATCCAAAAAAGGTCTCGGACCCAATCTTCTCGACCAGGACGGTGGCTGTACCAGAGACGACAGAGGTGCCCATGAAGCAGACATCGGGAGCACTAAGATCGACGTCGTTCTTGTTGTGAGCCGCAGAAGCCGTCTCAGAATCGAAACGACGGATACCAAAGCAAGCAAAGACAGAACGCTTGATCGAGTTCTTGAAAGTGGTGACTTTGGAAGGAGGTCGCTGAAAATCAAGAGCAGGCGAGGTGCTTTTGGAGGTATCCATGTCCGTCATCTCAATAGGCATGGGGACAGCCGAGGCATCCGCAGGAACCGCACTCTTGGCCATCTCCTCATAGATACTTCTCTGTCTCCAAGCAGCCATCGCCTCCGAAGCCGCTCCAAACTTCTCAACCGGCATCGCCTCACCAGTCAAAGCCGCTTGCGAAACAAACAAATCCTTGGACTCAATCACCCTGACATCGGCTGGGATCAAATCCCCTGCCGACAGCTGGACCCAATCCCCAGGTACAACATCCTCAATCGGGATATCCATCCTGACCGTCGCATGGTTTATCATTCTGTTAACATCTTCCGGGGTCGGATCGCGATACTCCGGGCAAGAATACAACCTCGTCACAGTAATCAGCGTCGAGACCATCGACTTCAACGACTGAGCCGCCGCCGCCGACTTCCACTCCTGCCAGAACCGCAGCCCAGTAGACAGAAGGACCATAATAAACATAATCGTTCCACCCTGGTCATCCCCCGTGAGGAGGGTCGCAGTGCCCAGGACGGCAAGGAGGATGTTGAAAGGGTGAACGAGGGCATGGAAGAGAACCTTGTACCAGACTTGGTCGTTTCCAAAGGCGATCAGGTTTTTACCGTGGAGAGCCTTGGCGCACTCAACTTGTTCGTCGCTGAGAGGCATGAGGCCTGTGAAGTCATAGGCTCCAGGGAATGGGGTAGGGGAAAGGGAGAGGAGGGGGGAGGGGAGGGAGGTCGACACCATGTCGAAGTAACCGGTGCTTGTGGGGTCGTGGGTGGACTTGTCGTCGTTGTTGTTGGAGTGGGAGGATGTCATTGTGAAATGAACTTAGGGCGGCTTGTGCGAGGACTGGAATGAGTGTAACAGAAATAAGTATGAACGGTGTTGGGATGTTAGATCGCATGCATGCAAGTGGCATTTGTGAACAAGGGAAGAAGAGGGAAAGAGAAAGATGCATACGTGGATATCGCCAAGGATCTTCTGGCTGTTTCGGTGAGGGTTGATGGTCGCCAGTGCTATTGCAAAACAAGAGGAAGATCGTCACAAGTGGTTAGGCCATGATCATGAACACTATGACTGAGAGCAGGGCGAAGACGTGAATTGAAGATTAAAAGAGACGAACCTGATGACGATGAAGGGCAAGGGGGGCAAGTCGACGCCAATTCTTGGATACGGGTTGAAAGAGGAAGGAGCAAGAGGCTGCTGAGGAAGCTATGGAGAAATGTATCTGCTATTGAAAGCAAACGAAAGTGTGAAAGAAGAAGAAATTGTACGTGCGTATGAGGCAAGAGAAGGAATGAAGGATGGAGAGAGCGTTCTGAAAGTGAAGCAAGGAGCAAGAACACAGATGGAAAAGCTCCCTTTTATATCTTTTCGATTGATCTCCTCGGACTGGAAAGGGCGTCCTGATATGAAGCAGGGCTGGTTGTTTCGACTTTTGAATTCAGTTCATAATTTAAAAAACGTGCCCAATAGAAACAAAAATATTTATACGCCGATAAACGAAGACAGGGTGTCCAGGTGGACATACATTACTTTCACGCACTTTCTACAATGGCCTGGCGCAGGCTCGCAAAAGGACTAACTTTCGGCATTCTTATTCTTCTTCTTATCAAAAGTAGACGCAAACGCGTTTGTTTGGTTGCAAGAAAGCAAAAAAGAAAAATAAGGTAAGCTCCGACTTACTGGATCTGCAGGAGGGAGGGTGGACCCCTGCCATCAAACTGAAAAAAAGCCCACATTCAAAATTACGGGTGTGCAACCCTGACTATTATCCGTCGTGTTCACACTGAAAGCAGTGGTTCGTGAAAATTTCATGAGGGGTATAAATTTTTTTTGGCCCAGGACCGGCCCTCGTTCGAATGGAAGGTGAAGAAACTGGTGTAGCTTCCTACGAAAGGGGCAGACTTGGAAAAGAAACGCCCTCCAATCTTGAAAAAAGTGAGGCATTTTTTTCATTCAACGACAACAGCAACAACTAGGGCGGCGTTCTATGGAAGGCGAAAAAGAAAATAAAATAACGCGCGAGATAATCTTTCTTGGGCGTTAGCAAAGGCACCCTCGCCTGTTCTCGTAGCATTATTTTAGAGTTGTGATCTCTGCTACTGCGGCGGTCTCTCCTCTTTTTATCTCTCTCACACACTCGCTTTAATTATGTCCCGCCATTCATTTATGTCTTTCCGCCATCCACCATGAACCCACAAGAACAACACATTCTGAGGTAGCAAGACGAAATAAAGGAAGAAACATGTTGCTGTTGCTGTCCTTAGGTGGGGCCTCAAAACGGCCATTCTACCTGCGTCACCCACACCTTTTTATGTTGCTTGTGAAACAAACAATGACCCCAGATGGAACCCCAGGAAACAACTGCAAGATATGTCACATATGAATGACAGTCCTTTGAAAGACGCACGTTTTCTTAGCTCCTTTTAGTGGCAAAGGTACGCAGTGTCGGAACAACTTTGTTACCAATGCCACTACAGTTTGCCTCTTTTTCCCCCTCTTGTGTGCATCATCACCCTTGGAAATTTCAGAGTAAAGTGGATCCCTTGCCTCCATGTTGGCACAATGAAGAGAAAGTAAAAAGCGGGGGACCAGATCTGGGTGGATCTTGGAGACTACTCCAGAGGTGCGCTCTCTTGACCCATCCTTCAACGTCATGTTTCTTACCCGGCTTGTTCTTGAGGTATGTATGGTTCTCGGTGACGGAAAGAAAAAAAGGCGAGTCACATGCAAGATTCTCAGGCACGTATCATAGATATGAAGTGTAAGATCAGGTGTTATGATGGCTTCCTACTCATTGTGCTTGGGATGGCTTACTTCTTTTTGTGCTTGGAATGTCATTTTGTTATAATTGCGCACACCGGACTATCCTTGTACTCATTTGTTTTTGCTCGTGTGAGATCATTTGTAAGGGGGCATGAAAGGAGACAAGGAAGGGGAGAGAGAACACGGTGCCCCGGACCTAACATCGAGATGATTCACCACCATACTGCAGCTGGAGTGGACGGCGACCCTTACTAAGAACATCACCAAGTGAGAACCTCTTAACAAACACATAAGCTTTAGGACGATGAGCAAAACCAAGGTGCTGGTAGACATATCATCATACTATCATGCTTCAATTGCTGTGTTTCTTATCCTTGAAAGCGGTGATGGAGGGTAGGGGTGGGCAAGTCGATTTGGAACTGAAAAGGACGCGCCGTCAAGAATGAGTCCATTGTTCTCTCCCTGTTTGTCTGTTATGTTTTTGCATTCGTCATCATAACGCGTTGTCGTCTATGCTTTGTCGGCCTTCTTTTACCTTTATATGTAACAAAGAAAGGGGAGGGAGTGAGGGAAAGAAGGAGAGAGGCAGAGAGCATAAGGGGTGGCAAGGCAAGCATACCCAAAAATAAAAACTAGGCATAGTGGATGGAAGGAAATGGATGAGAGTTGGGATCGCCTTATTGTCTGTCCATTTCTATATGCTTACAAGGAACACGACAAAAGAGGATGAGAGCATGTCTTTCGAGCATGGACCAGGACCATTGCTTCTTCTTCTTTCGTTCTGGTATTTCTCGCTCACGCACTCTGCCTCCCGTAGACTGTGGCAATGCTCCCTGCCTCACTGCCCCCTCTTCTCCCTCCTCTCCCTCCTCTCCATCACCTTCTCGTATCATATCGCCTTTCCATAGCGAAGCAAAATTTCGTTCCCCTTTATTTTGGACAAGAATTCTAGGATACAATGGAAGGAGGCATGAAAAGCGGACGGAAGGAGAGAAAGGAGAAAGGCACACGGCATTGACAACCCACCCATTGCTCGTCTTCTTCTGTTTTGCCACTCGGCAATGCTCGTCTTTGCTCTCGAAGAGTTAAAACACAACGGGTTTGTGTTTCTTTCTTCTCTTCTCTTCACACCTCTGCCCTCTTCTTCTCTTCCATCTACACTTCATATATCTTACATTCTTCCCTTTCCTGCCATTCCTTCCATATCCCTCACACTCTACTGCACTCAACTCCAACCTAACCAACACTACAAATAACAGTCTCAAAAATGACGGCTGGATATGTCCCCGTGAGCCAGCGCTCGTCACACCCAAGCACTGGTGGTCGGCGTAGCAATTCTTTCAACAGTGAGGATAACGACAGTGACCGAGACCTAGAAAGCCAAGGGTTGCGATCCCAGAAGCCTTTCCAGATGAGTCAAGGGCAACGCCAACTTGTGGGAATGATGGTCTTTATCTGGTTCGTCTGCCTCTGGGTCGGCCTGAAAATGATGGTAACCTGACAGGGTGCTGTTGTTGTCGTTGTTCGAGTGCCGCTTTGTCCAGTATATTCTTGTTTTGAGCACAGATCAAAATTACTTACCAAACGCTGCATTTTCCTTACATCGATTACCATCATCGCTTCAACAGGAGGCAGCACAGTACAGCAACAGGAGCCCACTTCTCCCAACAACAAACGCTCTCCTTGACACCCCAGACCTCTACCACAGTCTGACCGTCCCATTACTCAATCTCGTCAACCGCACTAAACTAATCTCCACCCGCTGTGGAGCCACGACCCTCGAACCACACCTCCTTTCCTTCCTCACCAACGACCTCGTCGGATCACCTCTTTCTACCACCTCCACGACGACGACAAGTTCTAATAATGATGACACGCTCGCCAATACGACCACCACCACAACCACAACCGAGCAGTCGGCGGCAGCCGGAGCATTGATCAAGAGGACACGGCCGTACCGGTATTTGTTCGCACTGGTCCTCCAGGACTCTGAAACAATCCTGCCCGATGTATTGACACGCACCCTGGAGACGATCTCGATCATGGGGCCTGATAACTGTCATCTGTCGGTGGTCGATCATGCGTCGACGGATGCGACCAAGGTGATGTTGCGGATGTTGAAGGAGTTCTTGGATTTGTATAATCGTGGCGATATCCAGTTGTCAAATTCTACCCCGTCGTTATCGTCATCTTCAATGGAGGCGGTTGAGAAGCGTGCTGTAGAAGAGACCGAGAGAGTTGAGCGAGGAGTACGAGGTCAGGACCAGGACAAGAAGCACAAGGCGAAGAAGGACAAGAAGCAGAAGAAGCAGTACTTGTCGTATACAATCACGACTATGACCGCACGGGACGCGTCTGCCGAGAATGTTGCTCGGATTAAGGACCTCGCATTAGACCCTCTCCTCGCAGCCGCATCTACTTCAGAAGTCGTCGTGAGCGGTGGCTCAGACAAGAGCGGCGCTAAGGGAGAAGGAGAGGAGGATGAAGGTGTGGCGTTTGACAGGATCATCTTGATGGATCCAGCGGTGACCTGTGCGGAGGATCTGTTGGAACTGGTCTTCCAGAGTCTGCTTCAAGATGCTGATGTGACTTGTGGTATGGATCTCGGGTACTATTCGACCGCAGATGCTGGAGAAACTGTTGGTGCTGAGGCGGATGTTACTGCTACCGATCCTGACAAGCTCCAAGATGGTGGTAATTGACATTATGATGCTTCTTTTGCAAGATGCTTTGTCCCTTTGTTATGGCTTGTCAAAAACAGAGATCGTCAAAAATAGACGAAGAAACTAACCGCAAAAATAACTCATCTCTCCCTTCATCTCATTTTTGCATTCCATCCTCTTTTTGACTGGAATGCAGTCTACGATAGCGTAAGTAAACAAAGCATTGCACCTCCACCTGCATTCATGCATGCCCTGCCCTTCCCTTTCCCAATGCATCCCTCTAATCCCCTAATCCATCTTCTGCAACACTGCCCTGACTCTTTTCTTTCAATTTATAGACTGTAACGCGCGATATGCTCCACCAAAAGCTCCACCGATCCTCCCCCTCTTCCTCTTCCTCCGCCCAGACCAACAAACAAATCTCAAACGACCCACTCACACAGACCCGGTTCTCCAAACGTGTTCCCTTCCAAGTCGAATCCTGTTGGAGTCGTGCTGTGGTGTTAAAGGCTGCATCTGCGCTCAGGGTGTCTGGTGTGCCTTCGGGGAAACCGGTGTTGTTCGCGGAGGTTGTTGAAAAGCAGACGAGGGAGGAGATTGTGGAAGTGAAGGAAGGGGAGGGTGAGCAGTGTGCGACGACTCATACGGTGCAGGATGAGCGTAATATGTTCTCCAATGCCCTCTGGAGCACTACAGCACCATCAACAGAATCATCAGGAACAGAAACATCCTCTCCAGCAGCCGACACCACCAACATCGTCAAGATGGTGGTCGTCCCCTCGATCCAATTCACAACCTCACCCAAAGAATACGCCCTTCAAGGCCGCTTCGACAGCTGGGGATTATGGCCAAAGACCGAAAAGCAATACCGTAACGAACTCGAGACCCGCCTCATCGCTGCCAGTCATCGCCCCCTATATGGGTACCGCCCGTCAACGTCGTCGTACGGATACACCCCCCGGGTGGAGGAGGAGGATTCTGCGGGTGGGGTGGCTGGTCTGTTGGATGTTGTGTTTAGCGGACTGCATGGGCAAGCGGACAAGGGCACGACAGAGGAACAGGATGGGGAGCAGGATCATAATCAAGAACAGAAGGACAGAGAAGAACAGGAGAGGAAGGAGGAGGAGGAGAGAATGGTGTCGGCGATTGTACCAGAGGAGACGGTGGAGGGACTAAGAGTACGGTTAGAGGCTGTGGGAGCTGTATTTGGGGTGCAGGATATCCAGAATGCGGTGCTTGCCAAGCGGGATTCAGATTTGATCCTGGACTGGCGTCCGCGGTTTGCTATGGCCAATGCTCCACCTGGCAGTGTCGACTGCTAGCTTGTATATATGAATGCGGAAGGAGTAGGTGTTCCTGTAACACCTTGATAGTTGTAACATATCAAATGCACAAATAAACATATTCACAGATAAATTCCGTTTGCATGTTTATTCTTGCGTTGTGCTCCTGTGAGCAGAATGCATTCTCTCCTTCTTCCTCTCTGATTCCCTCTTTTGCAACATCAATCCAAGTTAGACCTTGACAGTGTTGATCGTAATGTTGTTCTGGAGCGCATGTGTAAAGGGACAGATCTCATGAGCAAGCTTAACAGCCTTATCGAAATCAGCACCCTCCAATCCAGACTTGGCGACACGCAACTCGGCAGCGAGCTGGAACCCCTTGGGTTTGGGGCCGATGCTGATCAGGGCCGTGATGGTGGTCTCGGGGGCCAGCTTGATTTTGAGCTCGTTAGTCGCTACGCCGAGGGCTCCACCGAAACAAGCCGCGTAGCCACCTCCGAGCAGTTCCTCGGGGTTGGTTCCTGGGCCGCCTATTGGGGCGTGATAGTTGGTAGAGAGAGTATGAGTGTGAGGAAGGAGGGAAGAGTGGAGCGCAGATGTGTATAACAAAAGAGTGCGTATTGTGTGACGATTGACTGTGGTGGAGCGTGCAGTGGGGGAGCGTGAGGGCATCTCCGCTGGCGCTGACGTGATGACGGCATCGTCCTTTTCTCTTTTTTTTTTGCTTTCCTCTTGTCATCGCGTATTCATATCCTTAAAGTCTTATCCTTACCCTTGGTGCCGAACTCCTTGGGCATGTCCAGCTTCACATCCAAGCTCCCGCTCTTGGTCGTAAGGTGTCCGTTTCTAGAGTAGCATAAGTAAATGGTTCGAGGGGTGTGAGTAATATGCGACAGGGTCAGTGTCTCGACAAGCAGCACGCCATTATTTTTCCGTGAGAAAAAGTATCAAGGCGTAAAGGATATTGCATCTCGTTGAATGAATGACAAGACAAAGTGTACTTCTACTTCCTCCTTTATCCTTCTTGTGAATAAGCAGGATCAACAACGTAGAGAGAGAGAAAACCAAGAGATAGGGTTACCTGGCACCCTTGACGGTGGACTCTGCGGTGTAAATGGGCTTGAAGGAAATGTGACGGAGAGCGGTGACGGTGACCATGGGGGCAGCGAGACGGAGACGCGCAGCAGGGCGGATGGCGGTACGGAGAAGAGACATCTTGTGTTGGTTGTTTGTCGATAGGGGTGTTGTTGGGTTTTTTGTTGGATTGATAAGAAAAAGAAAAGAAAGAAGGAGTGTGGGCGAGTATTTGTAGGGGATGGATCAAAGACGGAGAGAAAGCGAGGGACGGGGCTTGGACCCCTACATGAATGAGAACATGAAGAAGGTAGCCAAGCCACTCGTGACGCGACTCTCTCTGGCAACTCACTCTTCCAATAATTCAATAATTATGGCACATTGTGTGTGCTCTCTTTTCAATTTTCGGGCGACTCAACCACTGGGCGATCATCCCCTATGGGCACCCCCATCGTCATAGCATACACATGCATTCGCTAACTGACAAATGCAACCCCAGATAATGAGGTACCGGGTATTCCATGATCCCTCTGCTCATGCCCAATGAGATCGCGTGTCGGCTTATTTTTATCCGAATTATAAGATGATCAAGGCAATCGAGGGATGTTTGTTTACCTGCTGCTCCATCGCAGAAATGTCTGTGGGTAAGGAGGTATTGCTGGGCATAAATGGCATTGAGATGACCTAACTTTTCTACGAAGGCACCTCATACCTTATTTTGCCCGCGCGGCGCTCCGTTTGGGCGTTGCGGATGTGTGGCGACTGCAGACTACAGAAAGTGGATAGGTGAGCTGAGATGCACGAAGATGATACGGCCACATTGTTGAAAGATAACGCCACCTCCTTGCATCCAGGATCGTTTTTTTTTTAAAGTGCGACGACGGGTTAGAAGTAATACATGTAAAAAGGATAGAGAGTACACACGTTTAGGGAATTATGATTGTCAAGAGGAGAGGAGGTAGCAACACACATGAGCATTCATGTCAATAACGAAAAGGCTTTCATTATTCTTTCTTAGTAACGCCCCTTTTTTAGTTGTTGCTGGTTTATTGCTACGCTTTGACGAAGGCGTGAACCCTGTCGACATTTGAACAAATGACATGAACATCCTTGAATAGTGTGAGGGAGTTGTTGACTTGATGATGATACAGAGGGAAAGAGGAGGAGTGCAAATGGAAAGGCAGGAAAGTTCGGACAAGAAAGCAAGTGAAAAGACTAACAAGCAACCGAAAGAGCGCATTTGTTTTTCAGGCACAGGGCTGTGCTTGTGTGATTGGCTAGACCACCAGACCAATATCCCCAAAGCGCACATTTCTTTTCTTTTTGCAATGTTTCCATTGTCGACTTCTTTTTCTTCAAGGTAAGAATGATTGTGTTGTGCAGAGCAACAAAATGATAAAAAGAGCACTAAAAATAACATGCGACGGCAACGGCGCGTGTGTACGGTGTGTGTCGACTGTTTACTGTTGTGCCTGGCCCTGGATTGGATTAGCTGTTGAGTAGGTGGTGGTTCTTTTTGAAGCGTTCGAGAGCGAAGACAAACTGTGCTATTTCCAAGAACTGATTTTATCGCTCGCACCTGAAGCCAATCCGTCTCACATATGTATGTATATTAGCAGCCAAACCCGACAACCTAACTTCATAAGTGTTCCTTCTTCCTCCTCATCTCTCTTTTCTTCTTTCTTTCCCATTCATCTTCACCCTCGATCAACTCATCACCCTCTTCACATAAACAATCATGTCGACCGATAAAGGATACTACCCCACCACTGCACCTCCACAATACCCCCAGCAGGTTGCCGGATATCCTCCGCAACAACCTTCTCCATACGGTGCTCCCGGCTATCCCCCAGCACAGTCGCCCTATGGCCAGCCCGGATACCCTTCACAAGGATACCCCTCACAGGGATACCCCCAACAGCCGGGTTATCCTCAACAGGGTTACCCTACCTCGCCTGCGCCTCAGGGATACTATGCTCAATGTAAGTCCTCCCTGTCTTTTTTTACTGTCCAGCTGGTCTCTTAGGCACCATAACTTCTCACATCCTCTACAGCCTGACGTTTTTTTTTTTTGGTTGTTTGGAACTGGGAATGAACTTACCGAACAAACTGTCTTGTTAACTCCCCTTTTTTCTTCACTCTTCCTCTTCTCGGTAATAGCGCCCGCGCAGCCTACAGTGATCATCCAGCAGCAGGCACCCCAACACCACCACAAGGACAACAGTTCTGATGGTCTCTGCATGGGATGGTATGTCTACTTCTTCCTAATCCTTTCTCTTCTCCTTTGCTCTATTGATGTCCTTTCTTCGCCGTTCTCCCTTGGCAGCGCATGCCTGTGAGCCGTTATTTCAACTGCAAAGTTTGATGGCTCTCGTCACTTGCCTCTTGGTCCAATTTCCACCCAACTTGTTTGTTTCCTCCCATCTTCCATTGCACAACATAACAACACACCCCTGCCATCTGTCTTCCTTTTCAACAACAATGATACCCACTCCTTATGGACGCCTCGATCCAGTTGACTCTTCGCCGTCACAATCGTCCCCACCCACCTTCTCTCAATAACACACCCACCAACAACAGGGGCAGCGCCTTTTTTTTTCTTGCGTTCTCTTAGGACCACCCCTGCCCACCTGATACAAAAAACCCTCTCTGAAACGCAAAAGTCGAAAACCAACCAACTTTCCAACCCCAATACTGCTGCACGACAGCACAAATAAGGATCCGAGCACCTCTATTTTGTGCAATTTTTTTTTTTTTTTTTTTTTTTTTGGGAAAGGACAAGGAGAAAACGAAAATGGCGTGAGGGTGAGGGCGAGGCAACAAATGAGACAGAGGGACAGGGCTAGAGTTGTCGGGGCACTGGTTGTTCTTGATACTTCTTTTCCCGGCACTTTATTTCGACCGTTGTACCGAAAGATTCAATTGCAATTGAATCGCTCTCAAAACCGCAACTGACCATTGAAAACACGTTTTTTTTATTGCTTGTTCTTTTCGGTTATTAGCGCTCTTGGTGCCTGCTTGTGCTGTTGTCTCGATGTAAGTACCATGTGCCTCTTTCATCATGTCCGCCTTTGATCTGACGCTTCAATCTTTAAAGAACCTATAACTAACCCATCAGAATTATTTTTTTCATAGTTGTGCTAAACGATGCAAACGAACTCGCTATTCTACTTGGACCAAACCGACAAAGGACAAAGGACAAAACCTGCGATGAATGAGAAGAGTCCACATGCTGGCATCTATATCATACCATTTTTCTTAATAAATACCCACTCCTTGTAACTTACTATGCTACTCCTTCGCCCCGTGGTCGATCATGGGCTGCTGTGCGATATGAATGAGAAGAAAGAATTACCGAGGATGCGAGAATATTGACTCTTCCATGATCGACAGTGTCTGTTCTCCCTCGCCGCACCAAGCTCTTCGTTTTAGCGCCGTTGCCTTGTTTTTAATACTTTGGTCACATGGTCTTGGAAAGCAAAAAAAGGGGTGCGGCGAATCCTGGTCCTTGTCCCTGTGCCTGTCCCTGTGCCTAAGAACCATTATTCATCCTCCTACCTTTCTTCGCTCGACCTCCCTTTACTTCAGCATCCCATTCACCTTTTTACTTCTCCGAAAAAAAAACACTCATTCCTTTCTTGACAGTCCCACATTCGCTCGCTCACCACATCACTCATTCGGCTTACACTCAACAAGACCGGAGTGCATTACTTGTTCATCCCGCATTCCTTTTCGTACATTCAACAACATAAGTGTAGGTATAGGGGACCAAGTGTGTTGGAAGTTACGACAAATGTTCAGGTTTTGTTGCTCGTTGTCACGAAACGTGAATGTGGGGCCTAGGAGTGTGAAAAACATAGGGCGAGACTAATAGGGTATTTCCTGATTTCATGAAGACTGGCGGAGTGTAGTGGTGCGAAAACATGGTTTTGTTCTGGCTCGGAGACCAAAAAAGAATTAGTGGCCACGGTTTCCGTTGAAAAAAAAAAAAAAAGTTCGGGTATAATAAATACGAGGTTATTTATTTGTTTACTGGGTGTAGATGTTGCTGTTGTAGGTGAGGTGTGGAGGGTGAGGAAAGAAGGCGGAGGGTGTGTTTCTAGTCCATTTTGACGGAGACATGGTCAGACGACGACGACGGTGAAGTAGACCCAGGCGTTGCTAGGGGTGATGGGGAAGAGGAATCAAGGGAGGTGGCGATCACGATACCCTGGACCAGCGCAGAAGCTGACCCACCCTCGCCACGACTCCATTCCTGACTCGTCGACGTCCTGCCACCACCTACGACAATCGTAGGGGAAGTTAGGGTGGGACTATTACTGTTGCTATTGCTGCTCCGCCGATCGCTGAGTTCGTGGACCTCTTCGTCCCCTTGCTTCTCGTTCACAGACGACATTGTCGGGACGCGTTTTGATAATCCACTCAATCTGTTTGTTCCCGCTGTTGTTGTGTTGTTGCTGGAGGTGGTGGTGGTTGAGTAGCCAGTGCTGTTGGCGGAGTGGTTGCAGCTGCAGGTGTTAGTGTTGCCATTGACAGCTGTAGACGCCGAGAAGACGGATGAGGAGGAGATGTTCTTGTTGTTGAACATGTTTGATGTCGGCGTTCCTGTGCCGGCTCCGGTCGTAGAAGTGGATAACTGGGCGAAATTCATTGTTGGGAACACAGATGCGGTACTCGTGGCTGCGTTAGATGTCGCAGCAACCGCAAACTGCCTGGGACTCAACCCCGCCGGCCCAATCCCTCCATTCGCAACACTAACCCTTGATAAAACACCCCCCGCCGTCTGCGTCCCATGATTATCCGTTGGCGGAGCAACCATCCACCCAATACTCAAACTGGGATCATCAATCCAGAACATTGCAATGAACGCACAAATAACAAGGAGGATGATTTGGGTGAATACGAATATCCAGGGTTTGACTTGTGGGAAGAGGCATTGGGAGACGGAGGAGGAGAAGAGGGAGAGGGTTCCGAAGGCGACGAATGATAGAAGGGCGTGGCCCCAGATGTGGTAGTCGCCGAAGTCTAGATAGTAGTTTCCTGTTGAGTGTGAGGGAGAGGGTTAGTGGAGTGGAAATCGATTTTATAGTTATGCAAGGGTCGTGGTTATGATTTTTACCTTGTGCGTATCTAAGAGGGAGCATGCAATTGGTAATCTGTGGTCAATTAGCACATCCAAAAGAAAGCGCCGAAGACACAGACCAACAGCACAAACAAATAACAGCTGAAATCTTACATGACACCTGACCGATACTTGATTTTCTTGTGCTCCCCTGCAACCTTGACCCTCACCGCCTGCCCTGCCTGTTGTTGAAGGTGCACAGTCTGCGTTGAATCATCCGCCAGCCCATCATCCCCTCCATCCCCATCCTTACTCGCCAACGGCGGCGACCCACCTATGGGTACATGCTTTAAGAACGACAAGAAAACCGCGAGAAAGAATCCAATGGATAGGGAGATACATAGCGCATTGGATTGGTCGGCGGTACAGCTTGTGTAGGTAAAACTCCCATCGGGGATATAGAGGCATGTGTAGTTGATGGTGGGCGTTTGAATGATAGTTGTTATTGGCGCGGGGGACGTTCCTAGGGAGAAGGAGTAGGTTTCTCTGTTTTGGAATGAAGGGTTCGTTATTGGTGGCGGAGAAGAGGCGATGGTGAGTTACAGTTTTTTTTGCTGAAAGAACAGAAACAAAAAAGTGAGCACAATGGAAGCGACGAAAGTGAACTTACAGAGCGGTGTAGATGACATAGGACCCCAAGGGCATATAGTTCGCCAGACGACTGATGGAAGAAACGATCGTTGGATTCATCCTTCACTTTATGCGCTTCTCGGCAAGCTTTGTTGGCAAAAGGATTACTGCTGTTCTTGTCGTTTGAGGGAAAGAACACTCGTAGGCTGGAAATTGATCCAAGAGGTGGTCAACTTTTTTGAGGTTCCCCTGTTTTTAGCGTGAAAATCGGAAGTATGAAAGGGTTGGACGAAGGATGAAGGAAGGAAGAAGGGGGGAGAAGAGATATGAAAAGGCTATACGTTGAGGTCAAAAAACAAGGGCAATTGAAGATAGAGGGAGTGGAGGAGGATAATGAAGGAAGGGTTGGCGTTAAGACGTGCTAAGAAATGAAAAGAGTAGAAAGAGTAGAAAAGTGGAGGGCGGGAAGAAGAGAAAAGACGAGGGAGTACAAATACAAGAAAGGTGAAAAGCAACAAGAGAGAAGGAAAAAGGGATGAGAGGGGTGTGGGTGGGGCAAAAGACGAAGAAGAAAGAAAGCGAAAAAGAAAAGGGAAAAAAGAAATTAAGGAGCTCGATCTATGTATGCCCTGGGTGAAAGTGTGGGTGCAGGGGTGAATGGACAGTGAAAGCGTGCCCAGTCCATTGACAGGGTCATGCTGGCGTCTCACACGAAGACGACAACAAAAAAAAGGAGAACAACAACAACAATAATAACGAGACAGACAAGGTTGCATCGAGACAAGTAGTAAGGACACAACTTTACTCAACCGACCGAGAAAAAGAAAATGAGTGGCGGCATGTCTGTCTTCACCTACACATTGGAGTCACAATCCTGTCCGAATGATCACCCCTTTTTTTCCTTTCCTTCAACTAATCAGCCAACCATTTGTCGCCTTTGCGTGCCTGACCTCTGAAATAAGAAAAAGAGACCAGCAGGTCCACATACCCATCAAACAGCAGAAATCAGAAATCCTCCAATAACATCAGCTACCAAGCAGCAGCCAAAGTAGCCTATTTATGAGCTAGCCCTTTTTTTTTTTGTTGTCGTGGTTCTTCTGTCATTTTTTACGTCTCTGTGGAACCAACGCTTCATCGACCGTCTAGTCAATGCCCTTCCCATCAATTCTTAGTCGCGAGAAGAGGTTATGCGAGATAGCTTTTTATATATGTTGTTTTTTTTTCCCGAGGAAAGAGATGAATCGTTGCTGATGTACCCAACCCGTAAAGATGACCATGATCGCCATGGGTCACCCATCCAGTAGGCTCTTGGAAAGTGAGAGGGTCAACCTTTATCATCCGTCTAATTTTTTCTTGCATTTTCCTCCTCTCTCTTCTCTGTCCTTTACCAAAACACATTGTTCTCTTCCGTCATATTTTACCTCATGCATGGAATACAAAAGCCCATAACATGATTCGCAAGCAACGAATCATCCAGGCGTTGCTTTAAAATTGCTATTCAAAAATCGGCTGTTCACAAAAGAGAACTATTTCAGAGACTGCAGACGATCTGAATGAATTACTTCTATCCGCAAGGTGTCGGGGTTCTATTCTCCAAGGTCAATAAAAAAAAGTAAAAGGGCTTACTAGGTCGTGTACGAATGCGAAAGGTTCACAGGCTAGCTACCGTGATCTATCAGCTCTTCTTATGCTATCCAAAGTTTGGGTTATTCCATTGAACTTTCAAATCCCTTGATGGCAAGCACTAAAAGATATCGAAGAGCCACGTAATATAAAGAAAGTGCCGTCGGCAATGTGAAGGCTTTTTAAAAAAGAAAACCTAGACTGGATACAAAGTCTTTGAGCCCCCTCAAATCAAGAAGAATCCATCGTTAAACATGAACTGTTGTGCTTGAAGCGCGAACGCCAAAAACAGAACAAAAGTGTCGGCTAGGAAAATAAGGACGAGCTATTTCATAGCGCAAAAAAGATACGCTAGAAGTATGGAGGATATCCTAGTGAACAAGCTCTTTACTCACCTGGCTCTCGCGACCTCGCCCTATCCCTCTCCCTCGCCGCCATCATACTCTAACTAGACAGTAAAAAAAACGACAGCCAGCAGCTCGTCAAAGGCAACCAAAAGCAATAAGAAGGAAGGCAACGCCCATCCGCTGGCATGAATAGTACCTATAGTTAAAGCGTTGGAGACACCTTCTAGGCGATTTATTGCTGCTAATAATCACCTGGTCCACCGCATCTTCTTCTTGTGCATGCTCATTTCAAACCATCAAATCGTCGTGTGTGCTCATTGCATATCATTGCCATTGCGTATCCATTGTATCGGCGGATTTGAACGTCGCAAGGCCAAGGGTTTACTGCGTTTGAAATACATCTCATATCGCCTTGCCGCCGTCGCCATCAGCAACCCGGTATAGACCCTAAGCAACCCCACAGAATCGCGGCCGTAACAGTGTCACGACCAAGCCACCTTATTAAAACCATGTCATGGTAGAAAAGGTGTTGTCCTGCCCTCATCGTCTCTCATGGGGACCATATTTGTAGACCGACAACAAACGAAAACGAACAAGAAACCGAGATCGAGCCTAATTGCTTAGTAGTACCATCAATCCATTTATGAACATCGACTTCGACACGAACTGGTCGTTATATGCCTGTGCTCGGTCATCGCTCTATCATAAGAAAAGACGCCAGCTCGGTTGCATATAATACATCGGCATCAAATGACTCCTTTTTCTCATATACACGGAACACCATATCGATTGCATTATATCGCCTATTGCCTGTCTGTAAGCCAACCAGCAAAATATACTTTACCTTCCTCACATCGTTCAAAGTTGTCCTTTAATACCCCACAGAAAAGCGGAAACGGAATATGGGGGATCGCTCTATCTTCATGGTAAATCTGTCCTCCTGCAATGATTTCATCACCAGCGTGGTACTAAAAACCATACAATACACCATCATCATCTTCCTTTTTCTCTTATCATCGTATGTGCCATCCTGTGCGTGGTCCCATATCGCCATAAGGTATCAAGGCTTCAACAAAGATGGTCTATCGCCAAAAAAAAAAAATGAACGAGCCATATTATCCCGTGGCAAATCCAATGTTCAATCCCACATGTCGCGAAAAAAAAGGCTTTGATCCAGAAACGCACCATTCGAATCCATCTCGGAAACACATCGCTGCTACAAAAAAAAAAAAGGGGGGGGGGGGGGGCGTTTATCACTACAACGGCTTCTGACTGGTTCCTTCAGCATCCCTGAGCTCCACCTCGCGCAACGGAATTCTTCATACACAAAGAAAGAAAGAAAGCAGGGTGGCGATGGCAAGAAATAAAGTAGCGTACTTAAAATCGGGAATTCTCGACGACTTCGTCGACAGCAAAACGGAGCAAAAAGAATGGACTCGAAATAAAAAAGTCGGGCTATAATGACATTCCTCTTCAGTGCAAAGAGTGTCATGAGCTACAACAAATAAAAAGGGATGGCGTGATATGCATTGGATGGAAGAAAGAGGGTCTATTAGGGTAACGGGTAAGATGGTAAGAGTGTATAGCTATGTGGTCGTCAGTCACGGCGCAAAAGCTTCCTTGATGAGTTGCGACCTGGAAATAATAGTCCTAAGTGTTATGACCACATAGTTCTGGACTTGGTGGGAGGAGGGACATATCCTTGATTCTGCATCTGGGGCCCTGCACCATAGCTACTGCCTGTCGAGACTCTGTTTGGGTCCGCCACTGGGCTTGACACTTGGACCTTGTAGTCGTGGTATTCAGTTCCTGGCGACTCCTGAGGCGCTCCTGGTGCAGTTGCCGCCCGGGTGTTCGGAGGACGGAGGTCTCCGAGGACCTCAGTCCTGTACCGGTCATACGAGTACTGAGAGTCGGGGATAGTCGCCGTATCGTCGTATAATTGTGGGCTTCCTGCAATCCGAGTCTCGCTAAGGTTGGAGCCACCAGGCGTGATCATTCCAGAATGCTGAAGGCTGGAAGATGTGTTGGGCGGACGTGCATATGCACCAGCAGAGGCAAAGTCGCCGCTGCGTCGAGAAAGTGGCGCGGCCGTCATCGCTGAAGTCGAGTTTCCGCCGGCAACAATGTTAGTGGATCCGTTTGAGATCGGTGGCATACTGGAACTGTGCGAGGTGGGCTTAGGATAAAAGTTGGCGGTGGATCCTGAGTGAGGCACTCTACTCTCGTCATAAGGCTGCTGATGCTGCTTCATAACTCTCTGCTGCTTCTGCTTTTGGAGCGCCTCAGCCATCTGCTCGTGATACAGTTGCTGTTCCCGCAATTGGTTGGCATAGGCCAAGTGCGCCTGCGCCTCCTGAGAGGAGGGGTCGTCAAAGGTTTCGCCAGGAGTGAACTGTCCGTAAGCATACTCGTTACTGTTGGTATTGTCATCGTAGGCGGCGGTATGCTGCATTTGAGAGGTGCCAGGGGCGATCACAGGGTAGTATCCGGTGTTGTTGTTAGAAGCGGGGTTGTTCACGCCGGCATGAATGCCGGCGGAAGCGAGAGGGTCCTCCGAGTATGGGTTTCCGAGAGGCGTTCCTCCACGCGCGGTTAGTCCAGGTCCTGCTGCTGGCGTTGCTCCCCCGAGACGTCCGTATCCCTGCTGGTTGGTGTTGGTCATCTCATATCCTTGCTGCTGCTGGGCGTAGTTGTTGTTGTAGTAGGTGTCGCCGTCGTCGTTGCTGTAGCTGGTCGGAGGAAGAGGAGATTCGCGAGAGTCCTAATGTACCAAAAATCGAAACAGCTTGTTAGTGGACACCGCTGTGAAACTGAACGAGAGACATCGCAATGGGAAAGGCCAATAGGGTAGTGAGAGACATACATAGCCCTGATTGAGGTAGGAGGCCGAGTTTTGATGTTGCAGGTGTGCTGGTGCAGCAACGCGACTCACGGGGTATTGTTGTTGAAACTGTTGCTGGTAAGGGTGAGTGGGCCTGGTCTGGGGCTTGACCCGCGATAGAGCTGCTCGTCTCTCGGCCTCTGCAGCAATAGCTGTGATCTCCTCCCTCCTATCCTCTTCCTCCTCCCGCTTGGCGGCCTCCTCCATCCTGGGCGACGTGATCATCTCATCCTCCTTGAGCGACTCGGGAAGATCCTTAAACGCCAGAGGACGACGGCGGAACAAGATGGTCCAGACGAGTGTGACGATGGCAAAGATGACTGCACAGGCAAGGCAGGCAACCAATTGAGTCTGCCAGAGGCGACAGTGGACGGTGTTGTCGTAATTGTCGGTCGGGCAGAGGAATCCTGTCTGTGGGCCATCGCCTTCACTAAGATAAAACTTGCTCATCGACAGGTTGTCGGTGAAGGCCAAGTAAAGCTGCCAAGCTCCAGCAAAGCCGAAAAGTCCTGCCATCAATCCGTCGAGAACAATCTCCTGAATCATTGGGCGTCCATTTTCGTAGATTCTAGACTTGAAAGGCCACAGGGCTGTCAACAATGTCCCAAGTCCAGCTATTGCATGAATCGCGAAGAGCAAAAACAGGTGGTGAGTGGATGAGGCGATGCATAAGCAAAAATAGGGAGAGATGCATGAAAAACGTCAAAGATGCGAAACAGGCGCCACGGGGGCGAAGGTAACGAGTACGGGTGGTTCAAAGATAGGGGAGGGTGGGATCGGACTACCAGCAAAAATGAAAGAAAAAATCTAAAAAAAGAGTGTATCCACGTACGCACGCACGCACGCACACACCACACAAGGCGTCTCCCTAATCCACCATACAGCACGACAGAAGTGCGGTTGCTGGTGCAGGAAGAAAAAAAGGACTAGGATATCAAGGGCTAGGGTTTCTCAAGAAAACGAAGGTTCAACTGTGGCTGCTGAAGAGCAAAAAAACTGAACGGAGGTTTACTTCCACTTTCCTTCACGTTTGAGCAGTGTAACGCCACAAGGAAATAAATAACCAGGCGCGCGCAATCAGTCATGGCGCCTCCTGCTTTTCTTGGCAAACAAACGAGTCGGGCGCGGTCAAAAAGGAAAGTCTAAGTCATTGACGAAAATGAGAGCACCACTCCAAAAACCATGGATAACGTTCAAAAACGGCTACTGCAAGCTGAATTGGAACGTTGAACGGCCAGAATGCCCTTTAGGAACAGCAGTTGGTCCATAGAAATGAAGAATGAAGCAACAGCCCACACAGAGAGAGAGAGAGATATTATTTGGCGCAGAGGAATGCTCTCACCATTGTTGACTCTTTGTGTCACTAAAACTCTCTCATCCGTTTGTTTTTTGCCGCTTCTCCCTTTTTTTCGCAACAAGTTAAAGCCTGGCGGTTGTCCTCACAGGGAACGAAATAGACGAAAGCAACAACAAAGAAACGGACATGTGTTGAGATGGGAGAGATAGAAAGAAAGTGAAAGAAAAAAATGAGAGCGAAATTTGGGCGCTTGGGATATTTAAGCTTTTCGGAAGGGGATGAGATGGGTTGGGTGGGGGATATGTGTGATGATGACCGTATGCTTGCTTGCTTGTTGCTTGTTTGCTTGTTGGTTGAAGGAAGGAGAAAGAGAGGGCGAAACTTACCAGTGATGAGAATGTAGTATGTGAACCATGTGAAGTCATATCCATCGACAACACGGCGTGTTGTAACTATTCGGCCATTCGAAACGAGTTCCCAACGAAATTAAATAATTGCCAAAGAAAAACAGGAGAGCGAGAGATTGGGAGGACGATAAGAGAGTCAGTGTCAGAGAAAACATGTATCCATGGTCAAACATCGATCTAACAAGGTTGCCAGTTCGCAATTAAAAGCAAACAAACAAACAAGCAAACAGTGAACAGTCGAGAGATATCACAGAAAGTTGTTGTTGTTCCTTACTGATTTCGGTGACAAGGCATGCTAATGTCTATTGTTGGTGGGTTTGAGGAGTAAGAGAGTGTGTGACGAAGAGACAAGTTGGGTGTCAGTTGAGACAGATAGTGTGCTTCACAGCAGGTCTGTTTGTTTTTAGAAAAGGAGAGTGTGTGAGGATGCAGGTGTGTGTCAGAGCAAGACAAAACAGTTAGGGGAGCAGTAGCCGAGTCGAGTTGTTTTGGTTGTGTGGACTGTGGAGTTGAAGTGGCATAGAGTCGAGTCGGGTTGAGTGTATCCAAGGTGAAGGAGTGTGTGATGTATTTACCCCTGCGCTGAGGATGAACATGAGCAGGTGGACCACCCGAATGAGGATCCTGTTGAACATAGCGGAAGGTGTTCGAGAGAGGAGAGGAAGGAGTGGAGTAGAGAGGGGTGTTAATCCCTGCAGGGATCGAGGTTGAGTGTGCGTGTTATGTGAAGAAGGGATGAAAGGTCGAAGAGTGAGTGTAGCGAGGTAAAGAAGAGAAGATAGAGTGGGCAGGGGTGAACAATTGAGTGGAGTCTTGATGAGCCAAGCTTTAAAATAAATGAGAGAGGATGGGTTGAACAAGAGTGAGGTTCAAAGAAGTGAGAGAAGAGGAAGACAGAGAGAGAGTGCAGAGTGCAGAGTGAAGACAGGAAGGACAGCCAATGCTGGTTGGCAAAGCAAAAGATGACGAGAAAAAGAATGAACCCAGTCCTCGTTCCTCCTCCTCCTCCTCCTTGACCCAATCCAGCCATCAGTATGTCAGTAGGGTGCCTGGGCAGTGAGGGTGGCTGACACAAATAAGGCGAACTGGGACCAGGCGAATCATTTTCTTTCTTTTCTTGTCACCTCTCCCCCTTTCCTTCCTCTTTCCTCTCCCATGGCATTAGAACTCCGAGACTACTTCTCTGCTCTTATTTGCAACTCCTACTCGACCTTCCATCTTCCTTTTCTATGTTACTATGCAGACTTATCAGCTGTAATATGAATATCCATGCAGGACGCGTCTTCTCAGGAATAGTAACCAGCACCCCACCCCTGGTTCCTGGTCAACGACTCATGGATTCTCATCTCTCTCTCTCTCTTGCCTTGATTTTCTTGATTGGCATACTGCTGCAGGCCATGCACCAAAAGAAGGGACAAACAATGCCCCTCAAGTGTCCTTCTTTTGCGCTATGGTCGTGTGTTCTTGCAGCCACCCTTTCCACTAATCCTCTAAGCTCATCCTAGACACATATAAAAAAAAAGGAGTGCACATTCCCCTTTCCTCTTTTCTTCTTCTCTTTATCCTTCACAACCTTCCCTTCTCACCTTCCGTCCACTCCAACAACCAAACCAATAACCACCCACCGACACCCCAAATAAAAACAAATACAATGGCTGGAGTCTTTCACCTCGTCAAGACCAACCCTGCTTTGGCTCCCCTCTTCATTTTCGGAGGCTCAGGCATCGTCGGTGGTGTTGCGTAAGTTTCCCTTTTCTTTCCTATGTTGCCTGCCTCTCACTCGCTTACTGTCAACAGCAGGTCTAACTAAACAGCAACAACGCCTTCAAACCTCTTAGCTACATCGGCCACTGCCTCGCCAACGGACCCGACGTTGTTATCAACAAGACTGCCGCCGAGAAGCCATGGAACCGTATCCAGCCCCACGAAAACGCCAAGGTATTATTCTCATACCCTTTTCCTTTTTTATATCGGGTGGACAAACCCTTGAACAACAGGAGCGCGGAAAGGGACTGCAGCTTCATTGAGGTCTCCCTTTTTTCTCTTTACAGCCAAACCGAACCAAGTCAGACAAGCCAAGGAACAAAGCGATAAACAAACAACAAGACAGTATGAACTGACCCGCTCTTTCTTCTCCTTTCATCTTTTGTCTGTCTGGTTCCATGACACTCTAGCTCTGGTCGCCCAACAAGGACTTCTGGCAGAACCGCAAAGTCAACGCCGAGCAGCTCAAAAAACAAGTATAAATACCGCTCTGTCTTCTTTCAAACAACACCACTGAACAGGATAACAATGCCTTCCTTCTTCTCTCCACTCCAATACTACTGTACATAAAAAAAGCACAAAAAACAAAGCCTTCTAGTCTCTTTTTTTTACCGTTGCGAACGCCTTTGCCTTCTGTAGAACGATAGAAACGATTAAAGAAAACAAACAAACAAACTTCTCTTCTCTCTCGTTGTTAAACCATGCTGTCAATGAACAATGAAAAGGTTTAATACCCCACACCTCGTTCACTCCCACACATACTCCGCAAAATCCGAGCTTCGGTCTTTTCGCTTCATTTTTTCCCCACACTCTTCCCATTTTCCCCTTTTTGTGCTCTTGACACAGTCCTGTCCCTGTCCTGCAGAGCATCCGTCTGTTTAGCTCGGCGTTCTTCAAGAAATGATATCGATTTTTTGTTTTGTTTGCTCACACCCCTACGCCTTTCTTTTCTTTTGCATTGTCCAAACCCTTTTCCTTCACACAATACGGCTCCCATAAGGTTTTCTTTGATCATGCGAACTTCGGTGCAACCATGACTTGTCCCAGCTCCAATCAGCTTCTGCCTCATCGACTGTGCAATCTATCTCTCTGTTCTTCATTACCCCTCGTAGTCCAACCATTAGTGTCAGGGGTCACGTCAGGGCTCCCTGTCTCCATGATATATCTTGTAAGATATTACAGAGAACCGAGCGCAGACCAAACCAATCAACAATGAACGGCTAGCCAGTGAAAACAGACAGGGGTGGGTACTAAGGTGTAATGAGATTGTTCGGCCCGCTTGCGGGGGGTTTTTATTATTATTTTGACACCTGACTTATCCATGATGAGGCGGGGAGAAAAGTGGCTCTCCTTACGACTTCTACCTAAGCCCTCTTCGGGACCTTTTTGTCAGCATGGCTATGGCAGAAAATGGGTCATATTGGGTCAAGGAATACAATGGAACATACACAGTTTGGCAGAAAGATATTGGTCTTGTTTGTCACTTCTGTTTTTTTTTGGGTTGCATGCAAGCACGCTTGGTTTGCCATCCATAGAGACTCGGGTTTGTCTCATTTTTTTCTTCAGTAACCGCACCATCTCCTTTGTTCGACTTGACAGTAAATGTCACCTGCAACTCATGGAAAACACAACCACAGATTGCAACGCTGAATATACACACAATTGGGATCTGAGAGTCTCTTTTTGTTCTTTTATTCTCAACGATCATCTTTCCTGTGAAAACACATTTTCTTTTGGTCCCTTCTTTTCACAGATACCACCCGTCACGGATACCTACAAAACAAAACATCAATAGCTCAATACCATCAAACAGAAAACATCCTCGTCCCCCATTAAGAATGGAGAAAAACAACTCGGGTATCGTGACCATTGCCTGATGTTGACTGCAAACTTCATTGAGCGACGCTTGCCCTAGTCGATATTCTATGATCTGCATTCTCAAATTAAGGCGATGTCCGGTCGCGAACAAAGGATATTTTCTTTTGACCCAGCAATTTATGGTGGAAAACACATTGGAATGACTGTTGATGTTGAAAGAAGACTTTGCGGCTAGAAGTAGACGTGTTTTACAAAACATTGAAGTCTTTCAATGACAAATGATGAGCGCGCTTCGGAGACAATTGGTGCGTCGAGTCCGAAAATGTGCGAACGATGGACAAAGAGAAGAACCCTATTCCCACGAATATTAAACAACAACCACAAAAATAAGGTGACGATTCCTTGGATGGTAGCTACCCTTGTTTGCCTCACGAACAAACCAAAACAAAAGCGATATATGTATCATTTCCAATCCGGGGTCGGTTGTTCGTGTTCTTTAGTAGATGTTGATTTGTTCTGTTCTGTTCTGTTTTGCTCTGTTTTATGTTCTTCGGGTTTGCCTTGTGTTTTATAATAAAGTTGGTTGCTGGCACTGGACTCGATCATTGAAGTACAAAAAAAAACGAACAAATGCCTTGTTTACTTTGACGAAGTGCAGCAACGATACGTGGTTTGGTAGGACGTTGACTGGATTCTTGCGTCGAGACCCATAAGGTGATCGAAAGGCTGGACGCCTATTCCTTTTTCTTTTTCTTTTTCTGTCTTATTGTTTCCTTACTTCATCGTATTATTTTATTTTACGTTTTTGGGGATGTAGAGAAGGTGCTCTTCGTTCTTGGGTTTGATGTGCTCAAATAGCCTACGACGACGGTGTCTTCTTTTTTATTTTGTAAGTACACTTATGCAGTGTCGTGGACAGCGAGGATGAAGGTGGCCAAAGAAACACGAGAGAGTGGGAAAAGCAAGGCGAATAATTGGACCCATGCCTAATAACACCGTGAACATTGAGGATATCAGCAAGCATGGCGTGACAGAATCTGCCATCAGCATCTGTAGACCATCCCACTTAGTTAGTTAGCACTCCTAACAAAAGACGGAAAACCCATCACCTACACAAGTCATCAACAAAGGGAGACCACAAGAAAGGGAGCGCGCCTCTGCTTTCGAACAGAAAATAAAAACGCGCTTCTCATTTTGACTCTTAGAACGCGCAGTGATAAAAAATAGCGACGCGCGCGTTCTGCGCTACCTTTTCGAGGACCAAAACAACATCTTCACCCAACCCCCCCGTACACCACTGAAAAAATGGAGGAAGAAAAGAAAGAAAATAATGTATTGTTTTGGTTCGCAATGCTTTATTTTTCTTTTCTGCGTTTCACAAGGTGTTGCTTTGAAAAGTGATCTTCCCGACATGTTGGTTGTTTTTGTTGGTTCAGACACACTGATTTAAGCCTTGGTGGCCTTGACAGCCTTGTTGACGATCTCGCGACGCTATTTTGTGTCACATCGAACAAACACGTATCGTGGTTAGAGTCAAGTCCCTGTCAGGCATACATATCACGTCCAAAAAGAACAACAGAACCAAAGTCGAATAAAAAGACGAGAAAACTTACGAGCTTCTTGTACTTCTGGAGCTTGAAGCGGTCAAAGTCGGTGTTGGAGGCACGCTGGGCACGGGAAGCGATCTTCTTGGCCCAGGAGGTCTTGGCCCAGGAGCCAGCAAGGTCCTGCTTCTCGATGGCAGCCTTGAGGACAGCCTGTCCGGCACCACGGGGAACCTTGACAACAAGGGGAGTCAAGGTCAAGCGGCGGAAAGCGTAACCGGTACGGGCAATACCGGTGGTGGGGCCCTCAATGAGAGCCTATGTTTTCAGGGAGAAGATGAAATGGGAAGAGGTGTGGGTTAGGATATGGGATCGATCAAGGAACAGGGATAGTTGAGAGTGGAAAAGATCGAGTTTTGTGCATGTCGTGGTGCTGTGGGGAGGTAGGTGTCCTGAAGTTGAGCGGCGCCTTTCTCCTAGTTTAGTCAGAGCAGGACCGAGTATCTCTTAAGTTGGTTTCAGGTCAAGGGGCGTTGGCCGCAGTGAAAAAGTGCCGTGCTAAGAACACAAAAGCTGAGTGTTCCTGTTCTGCTATGGCATGCTAGCAACTTGAGCCTTATAGCTCAAGAGCCCCGATCTGGCGCCCTTCATATTGTCCGGTGTCGACTTGTGCAAGCGTGCTATAGTCATGCTGTTGCCGGCAGGATTGTAGTCGGTTGGCTGACGCACAGTCCAAATGATCCGCTCTTTTTGCTTTGTCGCTTTTGAATCCCCTCCGTGTTGTTGAGTTGTCGATACCAGGGATCAGCACTTCACTCCTGCACACAGTGACAACGCTTCCCCTCCAATCGCTCCAAGTCGAGTTGGTGAACAGGTACCCTGATCCATGATCTTCCTTTGCCTCCTGTTCCAATTGCTCGCTTTCGTAGTCATAGAGAGAACACATACACGGTTGTGGTCAATGATATCGACAACGACGGCGAGCTTGCCGGCATCGGGACCATAGTTGATCATGACAACACGGCCAATCTCAACGACACGCTGGAAGGTAAATGAACGCTATTGTTGGTTGATAACGAAGGAGGAGGAAAATTGGCGATAGGTTCGTTTAGTGTATTGCTTTTTGGTGGTTTGGCCTGGCTTGTTGGTAGTGTGTAAGGTCCTGGTAGGCAATTTTGGTAAGGGTTTGGTTCATAGTTCCTGATGCTGTGGGTGAGTGCCGACGGTCGGTGAGAGGTACTGGGGAGCGATGCGTTATAGGATGTATGTATGCTTGCCCAACTTTGATGATGGGTTCCCTTCCTTGTGTGTGCTGAAGTGTTGAAGGTCCTGCCATCAAGTCTGACAAGACCCGCCCTTCCTCTGAAAGTAGCACCCATCAACCCGACAAGGCCGGAGCCTTGCTACCCGGTTTCAGCGAGCTGCCGCACAACTCCTACACCCGTTGGCCTCTCTTGTCGTGTGCTGAATCAGAGGTCCATCGCACCATGGAACTTTGATTTTGCATCAAAAACTCCATCTCCTCCATCCTGTATTTTTTTCAGCGGCGATATCGAAGGTAATATTCGGATGCATAGGGATGTTGGGTTCCGGACGGGCGATGGGTTCTCCATGCGTTGACGATGATGATAGATGGATCGATGGCTTCCTGCATTGCCATCCATATCCATGGATGAGTGGGTGTCGGAGTGACGTAGCCCTTAAGCAGTACCATTGTTCTAAATGATTGTAGCAAAGAGGAGGTTCCAATCACCGCACCGCTCCCGCCTAAATCTAACCTCTCTCCGCACAGGCAGGCGTGCACGGGTCAGAGAGGGATGAAATTTTTGGGTGGCTTAGCACTTCTTCTTATCTTCATCTTCGAAGTGGAGGAACGAGAGCAAATAACGCGTGCTCTTGGGCGAACAAGAATCGTAGGGGTTGGCATAGTTGAGTATGCACAATTTGCAAGAATGAGGTGAGAGGGGTTTTTCTTTAGGATGAGGTCAGTGGTTTTATTATTTACATGTATTGGAGGTTGGCTGATTCATCGCTAGTATTTTTGGTAAGGAAAGGGTATCACTTTTCTATACATTTTTTTGTTCTTTTGGTTTGGTATAGAGGATGGTTCAATAGACATCAACTAGTTGTCCTTGTTTAAGCATCGCAAGAGGAAGAGGAAGAGGAAGAGGCCTTCTTGTTCTTGCGGTGAAGGGCCATGGGAGAAGCAGCACGCTTTTCGTTCTTGTGGCACGAGGAAGAGGCCTTCTTGTGGTGAGAGTGGTTGACCTTCTTGCGGCGGAGAGCCATTGGTGAGGCGGCGCGCTTCTCGTGCTGGTGGTGCGAGTGTTCCTTTCCGCGGTGGTGGGCCTTCTTGCGGTGTAAGTTGATGGCACGCTTGTCGTGCTGGTGGTGGCTAACACGGTTCTTGTGATGAGAATGGTCCTTTCCGTGATGGTGAACCTTCTTGCGGTGCAAGTTCACGGCGCGCTTCTCATTCTGGTGGTGCGAATGGTCCTTGCCGTGGTGGTGAACCTTCTTGCGATGAAGGGCCAAAGCACGCTTGCTCTGTCTGTGGTGGCGCGAGTGATTAACCCTCTTGCCATGGGACGACTTTTTGTGGTGGGAATGGTTAACCCGGTTCTTATGCTGCGAGTGATCATTTCCATGATGCTTCTGCTTCTTGTGAAGCCCCATGTTGGCCTCAGCGTGGGCGCCGTTCACTTGGGGGGCGGCAGCAACAGTAGGGGCACCACCGGGGATAGGGACAGCAGCTGCCAGAAGGGGGTCCTGAAGATCACGACGTTGGATCTTCTTTGAAGAGGACTTGCGATGGTGAGAGTGGTTGACCTTCTTGTGGTGGTGAGAGTGGTCCTCGTTACTGTATTTGTTGTGGCGGGGCTCAAGACGGAAGGCTGTCTGTTGACCCTTTTGGCCGTGAGGATCGGCAGTCGCCATGGCGCCCAGGAGGGCCGTGGCCAGAACGACGGAGAGAATGAAACGCATTATTGTAGGTGGTATAGTTTTTGAAGAGTGGGGAAGTGGGTATACGTGAGTGGTGGGTTATTTTGGCGTTGTGGGTTTGAGGGCGGGTTAGGGTACAACGAGAAGTAGGGAAAAAGAAAAGAAAATGGGAGCGGTATATATATGATCTATGGATCAGGCGAATCGAACGTGAATATGCAAGTTGTCGTTATGTCAGATGAAGGAAGAATCCGCGCGTGATGCAAAAAATCTCGAGTAGCACGAAAAATGCCGAAATGCAATGGGTGACAACAAGAGAGTACAGGATACACCACGTAGAAAAATAGGCAGGAATGGAACCGAAGTAGCCAAAGGCTGCCTGTTTTGCTCATCGTTCGTCGAATAGATTTATCATCCTCCCTTTCCACCACTTTTCTGAGTGGGCAATTTTGCTCACTGTTGATAGTCGCGGTCGCAATGCATATCCTTCCCTCCTTCGTTAAAAAGGGGAAGACAGTACATCTTCCCAATTCCCAACCAATCTGCCTTAGCAAAAAGGACTTCCTGTTCGATAGGTATGCACAGGCAGAAAAAATGGGGAGAGAAGAGAAAGGTTCAAAAGGTCGCAGAAATGGTTGGTGGTAAAGAATTGGGTAAAATGCATTCCTTTCTGGCCCCTCCTTCTTCTGTCTGAATCCTCCCACGGATATCGTAGATGTGAATGATGACGCAGACACACCAGCAAGGAAGCAGTTCCTTCTATGACCACCAGGGTAAATTGATTATCGAAGATAACAGGATTGGGGTCAGAATGCAAACAAAAATTAACGTTCCATTAACGTTCCATGCACATTCTGCCACATTCTGCTTATCTCTTTGATTCACAAGAATCGAATCTGCTCCTCCTTGTGTGCCGACATCGGAGGATATGCAGCCATTTGGTACTTTGTATATGTTTTTTTTTTATTATTACATTGTGAATGTTATCGTTTGTTAGTTTTTTTTTATAGTAGTTTAGTTGTATGGGCGATTCATGTGTGAAGGATTCTGCTGCTGGTAGCGCCCACGCTGCTGATCAACATAGCTAGGACCACCGACGACACTGCCACCGCCTACTACACTTCCTCCGGGGCTCAATCCACCACCCAAACCAGTAGGTGGCCCGCCAGGGTATCCTCCTCCGTATGGGTGTCCGCCGCCGCCGCCGCCGCCACGATGATGCTGGGCTCCACTCATGTCCGTCATCATCACCGTATCGGCATAGTTGTTGCCGTTTCCGAGGCCTGCCTCGCGCGACAATACCTGTCCATGATGGAGTGGGTGCGGCTTTCCTGTCCGGGATCCATATCCGCCCACAACACTTCCTTGATTCGATCCGCTCAGAACTGTACTGGTATCGGATGGCTGGCGCCTGTGGCCGTGGGGTTGAGGTTTTGGCGCGTACTGTCCTCCACCGCCCATGTTGTGTCCTCCACCGCCTATGTTGTATCCTCCACCACCTCCGGCGCTGTAGGCATCGCTGACCTCGCTTTGATCGTCCGCAAAGTCGTATAGCTGATCCTGTCGACGGAGGTTGCGGTTATGGTAATGCTGGGCGTGATTGTCCTGACGCAACGGCTTGGTATCGCCGTCGTCGTCGACAGAGGGGGTATAGGGCCGGGGCGCAGGGGAGTAAGGTCGTGGAGGGTGCTGAGGCATTTGTTGGCGACGGTAAGGATCGTTGGGTGGAGGGAGCTGGCCTTTGCGAAGTCCTGGAGATCCGCCCATGTAAGGTGACTGGGGTTGCATGCGTGGCGTTCCTGGGGTACGTGCTCCTTCGTCAAAGAGGTTGATGTTGGGCAACGTTGGTTTCTGAAGAGGGGTGTCGCCTCCCTTTCCATTCTTTTGGTTTTTGGCTGCCTCTTGAGCACGCTCCTTGACCTTTAACTTCACGATTTCGTCAATGCTAAAGAAATATATTGGTAGATACGAGTCAGTTACTCCGCTTCAATGCGAGTCGTGAAAATATCGACGCAGTTTTTTTTGAAGCCAACTTACCGCTTATCGATCTTGTGACAGCAGTACTCCTTGAGGTTTCCTTGAATGTGGATGACCAGAGGGATATAAAGGATAACGGCGACAAACATCAACAGGACCGAGATCACCCATAGCGTGAGTGTGAACATCATAAGACAAATAGTAATCATCTGCATTGTTGGCAACTGGTAGTCCCAGACTGCGAGTCCGTGCGTGCTCCAGTGCCCTTGGACAAGTGTTATCAGAACGATCCCGTTAATGACCTGTCTCGGTCCATCGGCAAACATGAGTCGCTTCCAGCCTATGGCAAAGTGAAAACAAATAGTTAGTAAACCAAGTCAGGACCAATCAAATCCCGTATAAAGAGTCTAGTTCGCTTGAATCAAAAGTACCTCTGAAAGTGAAGAAGCAGAAGAAAGCGATCTCGTCAATCTGCTTCTTGGAGTTGTGGATCTTTGAGAAGAGGCAGAAATGAGCGTAACTCTTGATGGCGTAATATCGATAGGCGATCATGCTGGTAAAGGCATAACTGATGTCGCGACTCTGGATGATGGCCGTGGCCTTCTTCATATCCCATGCGAGTAGAATGAACGAGAGTACGATACAGGCGGCGAACACCCACTTGTAAATCTCGAATGAGATCTTGATGCTCTCTAACAGACATAGTTATTCCAGTGGCACGCAAGGTTCAGCGTTAATAATGAGGAGGATAAACATCAACATATTTCGGTTAAAGAGCCCTTCGGGTCGTCTTTTTTTCGACATAGTTTTCTTTGTTCCTCTGACCGCAGTGCTTGCTCGCGGATGAAATGAGGACGGCAAAGGATTTGCCAACTTACGAAAAGAAATCTGACCGCCTTGGACACCCAGGTTTGATGTCCATGTTCCCGATACTAACAAGTTGACAGCCGTCCTGAAGGAAGGAAGAAAGAGGAGGTGAGAATGGGAACAAAAAATTGTATGTCAAGTCAACAAAACTGGCCAGCAAAAAGCACCCAATCCATTGGCAACTTTTTTTTGGTCCCAGCTACGTACCACAAATCGGCACAGTAAATGAGGATACCCTTGATGACAATAGCGAAGACGAGGGAGTACTTGAACTTTCGCCAGGGCGAGTTGTCGACGTAGTCCTCGACATCGATAAAGTCGAACTTGTGGTCCTGGACCTTTTGCCGCCTCCAGTCGTCTTTTTGGTTTGAATAAAGACAATAATGAGAGAGGGTAAAAAATAGAGAGTGGAGTGGAGAGAGGGGTCAATGTCAGGGTTCATTCACAACAAAGGGTAAACTCGAACGGTATTGAGCGACAAGAACAAGCAACGTCCATATTCGATATAAATAACTTTTTTTACAGCCCAAAATTAGAACCATCCCCCCTCTCTCCCCACTGTCCATGGCATTGATTGTATTCTCTCCCTGTCGGCATTGTCACCCACAGTTACACCCTCTCCTCTTTTTGTGCTCGTCTGGGTGTCTCCTTTGTGCTGACAAAACTGCACAGGGGTAAAAAACGCGGGCTGTGTCGTTATTGACCTTCCTGCTTATGAAGTCTTGTTTGTCGAATGCACTCGGAGACCACGACAAACGAAAGCGAACCAGGGTCTGGGCTTTATTGTCTGGCGAGTGTGCCACAAACAGCGAACGCAAAATATTGCACCCCATATGGCTGTTGTTGTCCTTTGTTGCCACCTTTGTTGTTTTGGAGCAGATGGATGGAGAGAGAAAAAGTCGTGTGTTGTGGTGATACAGGAGAAACATAGCAACACGAAGGAAATGTAAACAGTTGCTGTTTAGGTGTTTGCTACGTTCTGGTTGCCTACGGGTTCGTGCCTGAATCGAGCTCACTGAGCGAAGGAAAAGTGATAATCCTGTTGTCCTGTTCGATTGTTTTTCCGACTTGCAGCTTCAACTTTTTTCCACAAGTACAAGAGAAGCGAGGGTGAGTGCATGGGTGTAAGTGCTGTTGTTGTGCTACCTACTCTGTGACATTGGTGTTGTGTTGTTGTGGTGTTATGCAGGCTGATTGAAGGAAGGACGCCAGCAGTGTCGAGTGTGAAGGATGGGGCGAGAGAGAAGTGAATGTGATGGGTGCTAGCGAAGTTGAAGGTGGGAGTGAAGGCGAGTAGGGAAAGGGATGAATGCGATGCAGAGAGGGAGTGTGTTGAGAGGAATAGTAGTGCTGTCGGTGCTAACAAGCAAGTGAAGGGAGGGTGATCATAAAAGGTGAATGGAGAGACGGGAGAAGTGAAGGAAAAAGGATCCCGTTTGAGTGAGAGGAGAGAGAGTAAGGGGCGGAAATGATAACAATACAGTAAGCAAGAAAAAGAAGTAAGAAAGGGAAGAAAAGAAGGAAAGGAAAAAAGAAGAAAAGGTGCAAGCAATTGTGCAAAGAAATAAGTAAACAGGCGGACTAAGGTAGTAATTAATGAGTTCGTGAAAATGGAGTTCAGGAACAATCACTAACTGAGATTGATTGGGGAAATTTCACAAATAAGATCACTCTGTTTGACCACTATCCGATCACTCATAGAAAAGGACAGGGACAAGAGACACACACGAAAGTAAAATACCAGGGTCAGGAACAAAAGACGGGAGATGACAATCCACCAGAACCATTGCTTGCTTCTTGTCGCGCCAATCGTTGTCGTTGTAGCTGTTGCTGTGGAAGCAAGCCATCGTCTTCTACATTTGACAGAGGGATCCTCCCGCTCACAGCTGCCATTCTTCCCCTCTTTTCCTCTATTCCTTTTCATCATCAGCAACAATTAAGGAAAGAGCAATATCCTATTGCACAAATTATGAGCGAGGGCTGTGCGAGCAACACATTCAACCCTGTTTTTGTCGACTGCGGTCCTCTCACTCACTAGTGGGCCCGGTCCAAAATAGCAACACAAAGGACTAAATACCCAACAGGAGAGGAGAAACACGATCGGGGAACCCTTTCTTTTTGCTTTGCTTGACTTGGGTCGTTGTTCGAATGCTGCCAAAGCAAGGGAAAACGCACTAGCGCACTTTCTTTTTCATGCCATGGCTCCCATGTCTATGCTCCCTGGCCGCTCATACAAACAACAATTGCAGCATAGAAGCACCCAGACCCCTCTTTTTTTCTTATCAAGGTGGCAATCGTAAACATGCTGTTTGAAGTGAACAGTCGTTGGATTTGGAATGCATGTGTCAACACGCGCGTATCTCATGAAGGAAAGGGCAGGGTTCACGTACACGCACGTTGAAATTACTATTTGCTATCTCGGCATCCTACCATGGACTAATCTGTGGACCAAATCGCACAACTATACCCGAAAAAAATTATATTACAGAAAGACGCGCAGCAAGCAGGCTGGAGTTGACGCCAGAGACATTCATCGGATTCACAGAAACGTCTAGCAGGAAACACGTTAACTGTAGGAGCCGTTTGGTGCCGAAGGGTGCAGAGTGCAATTCTGCGTCTTCTTTCCTTCTACCGTTGATTCAAGGATGATCGACAAGACTACTAAGCAAGATACGATGAGAAAGAACCGCGACTTGACTGCTGTAAAGGGTTATTTGTCAAACATAAAGCTGTCTCCTTGAAAACCCTGGCAGCCCTACAGTACATCCTGTCATCCTTCCTTCCTTCCTCTTGTGCTTCCTTGCCTCCTTTCCCTTCCCTTACCTTCTCTCTCTCCTCTTTCTCCGTCACCCTTGAGCAACCACCCTTTTTTGTTTTTGTCGTTTCGTCTTTCAAAACACACTTTTATGTCTCCTTGCACAATTTTTTAAGGAGATGCTTGGTTGTTGACCTGCTGGTCAATGCAGACAAACACTCGTATCCTTTTGTCAGAGTTTCCCTTTTTTTATCTCGTTTGGCCTCTCTCTCTCTCTCTCTCTCTCTCTCTCGCTCGCTCGCTCTCTCCCTCTCTCTCGCTCCCTCTCTCCCTCTCTCTCTCTCTCTCTCTCTATCTCTCTCGTCCATTTCATTTCTCATGGTACACTTTTGCTTAGTGAGTTTGTTTGGTCCCCTCGCCGCCGTCTTTCTTTACCTTAAAACTCTCGCTCTCTCGCTTGCGTTCCTCGACGTGTTGCCTCCTTTATTGATTCAAAATAATTGAGTGTTGGGACTGTAGGCATGGGAGAAAAAAAGAGTAAAAATAACCCATCGGAAGGATGAGCCCTTCGTATCTCTCTCCCATTGTCCCTCTGCCCCCAGACATGGACCAATCCCAATGCAGCCATCTTTTTTCTTCCGCCCTGAAGTGGCACCCAATTGCTCAATCTCGACTATTGTTGGTTAGTCTGAGCTGCATTGACCATTTAACGCGCGCATGAACAGTGCAGTCCCCACGATGACCCTATCCTGCGTGTGTTCATATAGTACCCCTTTTCACAAGTGGTAGGATAGGTGGGTAGTAACGAAAGCAAAAGGATGGCAATTGGCTACTCCCTTTTTCTGATACTAGTATGGTTCTCTGGACCCCAACCTCCATCATTATCCCATTCCCATCCCTCGTGAGATTAAGCAAATAGACGACGCCATGATGAACATTCTGGCCACTAGCTAAGAGTCAGGCGAAGAAGGTCACTTTCCTTCCTTCTTAAATGACAGGCGGCGGCGAATTCTGCTGTATCCTTATTTTCCTTTCTTTGTTTCCTTTTTGTCTCTCCTAGCTGGGACTAAGGAAGGTACTCCTTTTTCATGCTCCCGTTTATGCTCTTGCAACTCCTTTTTCTCCCCATCCCTCATTTCATTCATTCATTCATTCACCCTTTATTGTCTATTCGTGCTTTACTTTTCTTTCTCTCCCAATCTCACCAGTTTTCTAAACTCTTTTTTTACTCTCCTTTAAAGAAATCGTCCCGACTAGATCGACCCATCGTGCGGTACTCCCTCGTTTCGTTTTCATGCTCCAAGATTCGTTAGAGTAAGAACGCAACAATACCGTTGAGAACCAGAAGAGCATTTACATAAACTGTGAGTGAATTGAGAGGCAGGCAGAAGGCAAGGTAACGCGGACAAATAACAATGCAAGAGAGGAGAAAAACCTCCATCCATCTTAGCGCCCATGCGTGCCTGAAAATAAAAATGGTTTGCGTGGCCCCTCCCCTTTATTTTTGTTCAACCCACTTGGATACTCATGAGAGCACTCCCGAAGGGGTGGAGGTGGGACATGAATAACAAGTACTATTCAGCTTGCATTGCAAACAAACAACACGCATATTAAAACATATAAAGCTTGTCCCTTATCCCCTTCGCATTGCCGCGTTTTATCCTTTTCATTTCTGATTCTTTTTCACATTTTCTTCTGCACCAGAACATCAAGAATACTTCTCTTTCCCCGCTTAAACCTCAAAACGTCTTCACTTTTTATTTCACATCGACGTGCAATGGAGTTTCCTCACGCGACACCATCCGAGTCGCCATTTGGCATCGTCAAGCCCTCTTCTTCCTTCTTCACCAAGCCCATCCGAGTCGCACCTCTCAACATCGCCACCAAACACCAGCAACAACATCAGCGACCATCACTCACAGCCTCGGTCAAAATGATGAGTCCAACATCCTTCGCTTCCTCTCCACACCCTTTTTCAACCCAGACACCCCGCCCTTCACTCTCGTCACAGACCTTCCTCGAGGCCAATGTGCGTCTTTTGTGTGACATGGTCGACACTATCATGCGAACCAACGAATCCGACCAAAAGATGCTCCGCATCGAAGTCTCTCAACATCCAACCACCGTCGATATGCCCACGAATGCGCTCGAGCCATCCTGTAATGACCCCAAATCGCCACTCTATATCCTTTCGCCCAAATCGTTCACCCAGGCAAAGAGCGATATCTCTAAGTTGGATGACAGTGTCGTCTCCAAGTTGAATAGCAACACACTCTTGGACCTCTTCCCAACACCGCCTCCTCTTCCTTCTGCTGCTCCTCATATTCCTTCCTCAGAACCAACAAACAACAACACTACATCGATTACTTCAGCAATCCCTCATCTCGCCATTCCAATCTTGGACCGACCCACCACCATTATTGTCTCCCCAACCACGTCTTGGTCTTGTCCTTCGGAAGATTCTGGGGACTTTCGACCCAGGAAAGGGAGCAAGCAGCATCGAAATTGGGTAATCTCATCGGGTCTCTTTGTGTCTACCTCAGAGACTGCAGCAACATCAACAGCAGGGACGGAGGAAAGGGAGGAGGAGAACGACTCTACTCACCCCAAAGGCGCACTGATCCACGGGTCCAAAAAGATGACAGAAACGGAGGCCTCCAAAGGGGGTTGTCACCTTGCAGCAGCATCACCACCTCCTGGCATTATTTCTCCAGCATCATCGACCACAACCACAGCTGCAACCATGTCAGCAAAGGCAGCACCAGCTGCAGTACTTCCCCGCCCCCTTGTTGCACGGAGGAGTTTACGCCAGGAAAAGAACCACTTGTCCTTCTCATCTACCGTCGGATCTGCTTTGCCTGCTCCCTTGGTGACCGCCAATCTGGGCGTCGCCTCTAGTAGTATGGAACGTCTGCCAATCAACGCTAATTTCAGCAGCAGCAACAATAACATGGACACTCCTTGTTCGGCCAGCACGATCATGTCGCCCTTCAGCTCTATGGATGCCCTCTCGCAGAGTCTTTTGGAAATCGAGACCCAGATGCGACGACCCTCATTCCTCATGAACAGACGCACCTCGATCCTCTCCACCCTCTTTGCCACTAACTCGCTTGCCCTGGACCAATACGACCGAAGCGAGCAACCATCACCGTTCCCATCGATCGAGTCGTTGACTGTCGAGTCTGCCGAGGTCGAACCTAGCACTCTCTTCTTTGGAGTTCCAAAGGAGCGTCATGAAACTAAGGGTGCTGGACCGTTGGATTCCCTCCACTGTACATTTGAGCCAGTACAGGCGATGGACTGGCGTGCATGGCATGGATCTTGGATTCGTAGACGGATCAAGCCCGAGGATGACGGTTCTGTCCTCTCGCCTACCAGCCCCGCTCCCTGCTCATCCTACTCCTCGACCCGTTCATGGGGATTGCTGTCACCTACGAGTCCAGCTCCTCGTTCATCCTACTCCTCCACCAGATCATCATCCTCCAACACTTGCACATCACCCAATATTACTCTGAGCCCAGCAACCACACTTGTCAAGCGCCTCTCCCAAAGGATCCGACGCCCCCGCATGCTCACCACCACTTCTCCTACTTCAACCCTCTCCTCCTCTGCCTCCTCCCCACTCGCCGCCTTCGCATCCTCGCCCATGTCAACATTTTACTCCCCCTTCGCCCTCCCCACCACCCCAACCACGCCTACCAAGGACGCTAACCCTGAGCTCTGGGAGAATGAAGGCCAAAAGTGGGGCGATCGTTTCCAATCCCTCCTCAACAACTTTCAACCCAACTCTACTTCTTCCTCGTCAGCCTTGCCTCCTCTGCCGCCTACACCTTCTTCACCACCGCCATCGTCGAATGGAAAGCCGCCCAAGAAGCGGTGGGCCGACATCCTGCCCAAGAACCGATGGAACAAGTGGTCTTCTTCTAGGACATCCTCCTCCCCTTCCCCATCCTCTCGGTCTTCTTCTGATTCTGAACGCGCGTAAATGATTTCACACCAGGGCCATTTCCCCCTTTCACACTCAGTCGCCCTCCTTCTTACGACCATCTGTATATCATCATCGCCTCCCTCTCTCTTCCCTTACCCATCCCTCACCTGTTATGAGCAGAAAAATATTCATACCATTCTGTATGAACCCAACGGACCCATTCCTCGAGCAGCTCTCGACTTCAAGCACGACATAGTTTCCCCTTCTGTACGATATTCTCCCCCTCTCACATACTTCCTCCTCATTCCTCGAACTTCAACCTCATCCCACCCACTTGTTTTTCATGACCCGCAGAAAAAGGCACTTGTACTACCATTGTCATAATAAAAAAAGCCATTCGTACAAAGAAAAATAAAACAACAAGAATGAGTGGACTATTGGTAACGGTAAAGAAGTGGAGATAGGCGCTGTTACCTCGATACTGTACTGTACTGTATGTCGATCCATGTATGGGTACACAGTCTGGTGTACGTCGTTGTTGTGTACCTGTGCAAATCGTGGAAACGTTGTGACGGAATTTATTTTTTGTTTGTTTATGTGGGTGGGGCACGGGCACTTTCTGTCGATCCAAATGTTTAGTTGTTGACAAACAGGCGGCTCCTCTCCTTCCTTCAATCTAATTCCTCTGTATTGAGATATTTCATTATTTTTTTTGGTGGGAGAGGAGAACAAGACGGCCACGAAAGAAAAGGCACAAAAAATGCATGTGCAGGGGAGTATTGCAACTATTTTTGAGAACGATATCAACCCATTTCAGGACCAACAAACACAGCGACGACACAAATAGAAGCATTGAAAACGCAATATCCAGCAAAAATATGTAAACCACGGAGAGAGAGAAAAGTCTGAAGGAAAATCAGCTAGAAGAACCAGCAGTTTGCTGTCTATCTCATTGTCGGAGGAACAAGAAAAGGTAAGTGTTTGGCACACCGATCGAGGAGATTCAATTCAATGAAGTCAAGTAAATTAAAAAGATAAAGGTATTGACCAGTCTTGGTAACACTTTCTTGATCTACACCCTACGATTGGATCGAAAGGTGAGGAGGGATAATGAAAGAAGGAATGAGTTCATGAGCGTTAAAATGATAAATGGCGTTTACGACTCTCTTCCTGGCGGGATGGATATTGAAGGGAAAAAAGGTGGGGTAGTTCTAGGGAAAATCTCATCAACACAAAAGATTGAGCAAATGCTATCGTGGCAAAGGAGGTCAAGGAGGGAACGGTCTAGTTCTTTGCAGCTTGCTCTTGACACATTTTAAGCAGAGAAGCTTACCGCGTCGTTGTACAAAGAGATAAAAAATAAGATGAACCTCGCCCCCACATCCATCGCTGTTTTGAAGGATCAGAGGGTAGAGCGATAAGAAAGAGTTGAATAAAAGAATAGGAGTGCGCTCGGACAGACCCCCATAACAGGGCGCAATTCTATAAGAGGTCATTCTCCCCGCATTTCTCTCTTTGCGAAGCAAATACTCATATTATAAAAGAGGGCTATCCAAGCATGAATCATTGCATTGTTGTTGCGTTACTTGTCACCAGGTCAGGATCTTGCAAACCCAAAAAAAAAAAAAAAAAAAAAAAAAAAAAAAAAAATGAAAATGATAATACATCATGTGCAAAACAAACAATCAACAGTCCGTGAGAGAAACCATCAACAATGAACAAGGAGGTAATAGGAAAATTGTATCCGGGCCTTGTTCCTGGATAACAAACTAACACTCTTGGACCCTTGATACAACTTGTCCTCCGCTACCCCTAGGCCCTGTTTTTCCTTCCTATTGTCCTCTTAGCGTTGTCTGACACGCTGATGCCTTAGTGCCTCCAGGTACTGTATCAATTCCCTTTTTAGGCTCGTCCAAGAAAAACGGTAGAAAAGGTGGGTAAAGCAAAATGTGAGTAAAGTCCTATCCAATTGCCGAATAAGACAACGATGGACAAGAAGGGACGAATACGAGTGGTCCAGGATGAGGTGCTGAACCTTTTATGAGCAGGAGCATTTTCTTCGAAAGCGCGTTTTGCAAGTTTGAATCTCCACAGCCTTTTCGTTGCGTTTTTTACAACTCCTCGAGGTGAAAATGGGCGACAGCATGCTGTGATGGAGTAACAAATGTAGGAAAGACGAAAAGAAAAGTAGGGATGGAAAAAATTAATTCTCCTTCAGGCGGCTGTTCATGGGACTGAGAGCGCCGTTTTGTAATCGCGGTACCTTTTTGGACAGCTTTCCTTTCTTCCCTTGTTCAATGCATTGAAGCAGAAGGAAAAAAGTATCATTCCTTGGCTGAATGGCGACAGGGCATCCATGAGGGATATTATGTTGACGACAGTATGCTTGAAGGAGAAGAAGAATGTTCTCACGATATTATCATTCGAGAGTCCGTTTGCAGGTTGTAGCGAGTCGTTCGTTGTCAAGGAGGATCGTGGTGGGCAGAAAAAGAGGTGACCAGCCAAATAATAAAAATGAAAAATAAAAAATTGCCACGCTGTTGCTATTCATATCTGATATCACTCGGGCTGAGACTTCCACGATTTTGAGTGCGAGCGACACCTGTCCAATTATATCCACAGTAGGGATGTGCTGTTGTACCTTAGGATAGGATATCGTTATTCAATCCGATTCAATAGCGAGTGAATCGATACAACCCCTACACTTGTTTTTTCTTGAGTTGAAGTGTATTCTTAACTCGGTGGCGGTAGTTGTAGCTGAGAACGCCATCGATGATACCCTCTTAGTCACCACTTGAAAATACCATTATATATCCATTGTCCGCTTTTCTTTGTTTTCTTCTCTTTCTTTGCTACTTCTTCATCTTTCTTCTATCCACCCCCCCCTACTCTCTACCTCCACTGGTTGACTCCCTTGGTCGCAGTCGTCTTGCTGCGTCCGATCCATACCCACTTCCTCCCTTTGACACAACATTTTTAATTTTTCGTGGAACAAACAACGGCGAACAGACCACTCTCATCAACGGCTTCCCAGGAACGGACAACCATCTGCACTTCACCTCTTCCTCCTGCACTAGTGCCTTATCCCACATACCCTTATCCCAGCTCTCAATTCATTTCCACAATGCCACCACCAACAACCAATGCATCCTCTTCTTCCTCTTCCTCCTCTACCGTCACACCAGCACAGACAACAACGGCGGCAGCACCATTGCCACAAACTCCCTCCAGTCGCATGTCAGAGCATCAAATCAACATCGAACGCAATCACCGCACCCTACCCCCTCAATTCCACTCCACCCCGCCATCCAAATACCCCTCCATTCCTCGTTTCACTCCTGCTATCCCAAGCCGGATGGGCGGGAACTATACCCCTAATACCCAACAAGGCTCTGGCACCAACAACAGCGGAAACAACGGAAGCAGCAATAGCAGCAGTTATACCCAAAACGGCAACGGTTACAACCACAGGAACGGGACTAGTAGTGCTTCGAGTTCTCCACCAGGCACTCCTCCCAGTGGTCTTCGCAATTATTATCTGAGTGCTGCTTATCAACGGTCGCAGCATCACCTTTATTCGAAGGGGTCCTCGGCACTCCCATCCAACACCTCCTCGCAACAGCAACAGCAGCAACAGCAGCAGCGGCCAGCCCTGTCGACTGGAGCACACCGGCAGCAACAGCAACAGCAGTATGGAGCTCGAGTCCAGGTCCCTGAACCAGCGGTCGCTCGTCGGTCTTACTCTGCTGATCATTTGCAGGTACCCGAGACAGATCTTGCAACCGGTGGAATTCTCCAATCAACCGAGAACCACGTCATGATCCTCCAGAGGGCACTGTCAAGGCTGATCGAGAAGAACGAGCAAGACGAGGATGATGGCGAGGAGAACAAGGATCGACATGCTGCCACCGCCATTACCACTGAAGGAGAGAACACACCAACCACCAAGACAGGATCCATCTCTTCTTCTTCGTCCACACCTCCAGGAACACCCCCTCACCGTAAGGTTGTTACCAAGTACCTCAAGGTCGAAACTGAGCGTCTGGATTCTGAGAAGGCGGCTGCTATCACTCTAATGGCCGGAGAATCGGATATCACTCTCGCACCACCCACCACGACGACTGCTGCACCTGTGACCGAGATCTCGGAGAAGGATACCCAGAAGCAGGAACAAGAAAAGCCCAAGAAGAAAACTGGTCGGGTCTCGATCTTTTTGCAGAAGGATGGACTCGACTTGCCCCTGCCTTCCACCACACCTCTGTCGACTGATTTGAGGAGACAGCCCTCCAAGGCGGGTGTTCTGAGCAACCTGTTGAAGCTCCAAGGCATTGGTCGTCAACAAAAGGTTCGTTGAACATCGACTGGTTTGAGATCTGATTTTGTAAGTTGTGCGACCATGTGTCCTAACCCATTCTCTTCCCCTTTGAATCAAATAGCAACACCGCGCACCAAAGGTCAAGACAACAAAGGAAAAAAAGAAGCGACCGACCATGTACAGCCGCTCAGCAAACGTATCGACTGCATCCCTCGCCACCAAATCCGTCTTTGGAACCTACCCTCCCTTGCCCGCCACACCTTCTCAACAGCAGCAAGGGTCGACATCTCTCTCAATCTTCCACCCAACCCCTCGCAACAACAACGGGAACAACAGTGGGACCAACAGCAACCGTCAATCGGCCCATTTTGACAATGTCTTTGCTCAGTCGTTCTCGGTCATGAACTCGCCCCTCCAATCGCCCAACATATCGCCTCGCGGATCCTTCTCTGGTGGCGAAAATACTCCTAACGGATTCTACTTCACGCCGGCCGCCAGCGGTGCCACCAGTCCCAACAGTCCCTATGGAGCTCCTCTTTCAAGCGAGGAAAAGATGCTGATCACCATTGCGGTCGCCGATATTCTGGAGCGTCAGGATTTTATTCTGAGGCTGGCAAAGTCGTTGATCAAGTACGGAGCTCCCTCGCATCGACTCGAGGATGCAGTCGACCATGCTGCCAAGACACTCGAGATCAACCTGCAGTGCGTCTACCTCCCCAACGTCATGATAGTCTCTTTCACCGACTATGAAACTCACACCTCCGAGACCCACTTGCTCAAGGTCCCTGCTGGTCTGGACATGTACAAGTGTGCGATGGTTCACCAAGTCCAAAAGATGGTCACCCACTCCTCCATGCCTTTCGAAGAAGCCATTATGAAACTGGACGCGATCAACACCGAGAAAGATGCCAACGGCCGCTGGATCACCGTCTTGGCCTATGCCGTCGCCGGATTCTGCACAGCACCCATGTTCTTCAAGGGCAATTGGATCGACGCCTCCATCTCATTTTTCATGGGCGCCGTCGTCGGTTTGCTGGTCTGGCTCTCTGAAAAAGTCCCCAGCTACGCACACATATGCGATGTCACCATGTCTATCGTCGTCGCCTTTGTCGCCGAAGCCCTCCACCACCACAACGTCTGCACATCCGCCATCAAATTCGCGGGTATTGTCATCCTCCTCCCCGGATACACTATCACCTGTTCGATCCTCGAAATCAGCTCCCGCCACATCATCTCCGGTTCTGTCCGCCTCTTTTATGCAGTTGTATTTTCTCTCCTCCTCGGATACGGTCTGACCATCGGCGCTTCCCTCTGGTACCTCTTCGACCACTCCAACCGCGACGACGAATCCAAATTCTCTGCAGAATGCCCTAACGCACCCCTGAACCCACTCTGGAATATCCTCTTCGTCCCCTTCTTTGCAATCTCGCTCAACATCTGGCTCAAAGCCCACCCTCGCCAATGGCTTCTCGCCACCGTCCTCTCCATCGTCGGGTACGCGGTCTCCTATACCTCCGCTGTCTATGGCGGCGCCAAGACCGAAGTCTCCTCAGCCCTCGCCGCATTCGCTATCGGACTCTGCGGAAACATCTATCAACGCCTCACCCGTCAATTGACCTTCCAGGCGGTTGTGTGTGCAGTCTTCTTTTTGGTCCCGGGTTCGATTGGATTGAAGGGTGCGATGGCTTGGTTCACGGAGGACATGTCGGGTGGAATCAACTTTGCGCTGCAGATGGTAGTCACTGCGATTGCTATCAGTGTCGGGCTGTTTACTTCTGCGTTAGTGGTATATCCCATGGGCAAGACTCGGTCTGCTCAGATGACTTTTTAGAGTCGTTTTTTTTGTACATAGTGGAATCTTGATTTCGATCCTACAATGTTGTTTTTTCACCTTTCAGCATTTAGTTAGTTTAATTGCATATACCCCCTTTGTCATTCATCCATGTCATTCATAAACCGCGCTCCCCTTCTCTTTTCAATAGATGAAAACCGCAAAAAAGTTTCTGTATTTGTAAAAACGGAATTTATTAAAGTGGCAATTTTACGCGTTGACCACCACGCATGACCTGAGATAGTCCTTGGCCTCATAATGTCCTATATCGGCTGCCTTATTAAACCACTCCTTCGCCTTTGCAAGGTCCCGAGGGAGACCGCCCCAGCCATCGTAGTAGAGCACGCCAATGCAAAAATAGGCTTCGACATGTGGTCGATCCGCCGCCCTAAGATACCACTCCATCGCCTTCGACGAGTCCCGCACGACCCCTTCGCCATTGTCGTACATAACACCAAGAGTAAACTGCGACACCATGTCATTCTGATCGGCAGCCTTGTGGAGCCACTCCATCGCCCGAACAAAGTCTCGGGCAACACCCTGTTGACCGTTCCTGTACATGACACCGAGGCTCCTCCTGGCGTCCACATTCCCGAGGTTGCCAGCCTTGACGAACAATTCTTCCGCCTTAGGGAAATCCAAGGGAACACCTCGACCCTGGTAGTACATCATCCCCATCTCGAACGGCGCGACGTCGTATCCAGGATCATCCTCCATCGCCTTCCGAAGCCACTCGATCGCCTCCCCGTAATCCTTCAAAACCCCTTGTCCTGTCATGAACAACATCGCAATGTGAACTTCGGACTCCGCGTGCCCATGTTTTGCAGCCTTGAGGAAATAGGTCATGGCGGAAGAATAATTCCACCTGTCAGATTCCATCAGTCCAAGTTGACATTGAGCTTGAGGGAGGTCCTGACCGGCGGCCATTCGGAACCATTCGGTAGCCTTGGCATGATTCTGTCCAACACCTCGACCGTGCAGGTACAGGAGCCCCATCCTGCACTGGGCCATGGCATGTCCTCGATTCGCTGCTTTGCGGAAGTACTTCATAGCGCTGGTATGGTCCATGGTCAACCCTTTGCCAGTCTCATATGCATCTCCGAGCTCGACCTGGGCGTCCATGTCACCGCGGTCGGTCTTTGCGATGAGGTCAGCGATGCGGTCGGCATCGGGCGAAGCGGACTCGAGTGTGTTGGCTACCACCGAAGAGTGGTTGTTGGTGTCGACAGAAGGATGTGTGATAGAAGAGTGGCTGTGAAGCTGAGACCCCCCAATGACGTCATTCGGCGTTGTCTGAGGTGTAGGCTCGGTCGTTGGGAGATCAAAGTCCTTGGACGTATAGAAAGCAACGTCTTCAGAGCCGTACTGCGAGCTCTGTTTAGTAAGGTCAATAAGTTCTGACTGTTGCAACACCAATTGGACTGGTGGTAGTTGAGATTGCGATGGTGGTAGAGACAGAGGAGGCGTGTTGAGGTCTGGTTGAGACGTTGATGGTGGTGGTGTCGCTGGTACCACTTTCAATTGGATTGGCTGAAAGTCGATATACACATCCAAGACGGTTTTCGGCATTGCAGCAATACGCAAAGGCACAAGGCTGTTCCATTCAGACAGAAAGGGATTGAACCTTGTTAGTATACTTGCTTCTCATACTAGATGGGGCTGAAGTATTAGGATTAAAGGGATAGTCGCGAGTGACTTACGAATAAAAGCGCTCGTCTTTCAAGAAAGGAAGCACCCTAGTCTTGTGTCGAACATTGTCGGCGCCCTTGAACGCGCCCAATATTTCTTCCCACAGGATAATGTCCTTGCCAGTCGGGTCTTGATAAATATCGATGTGGACAATCTCCGACTCTGGTAGCTCTGGCGATGCGACTGTTGCGTTGCTGCGTTTATAGACAGAGCGGAGTGCCTGGAAGTGTCCCTCGAGTTCGTCGTCCATTTCTGCCTTGGAGGTGTTGTTGGTAGATGGTGTTGGCTGACTGGGGAAAAGCAAGGATGTGTAGGATGATGAAGAAAGAAGCAAGCGAGATGGCGAATGGAATGGGCTTTCTGCATCTTTTTTATCAAACACAGCGTTACCCCTAGATTGTGCACAGAGCGATGACATGGATGGACTGTTTTATTTTATTTCCTCTCCAACGCCTTTCAATGCTATTGGCGCGAACAAAGAGAAGGACGCAACTAACACCTTATTCCACTGCTGAAAAACAGAGAAGGCATTGAGTGCCCATCTTTGTTCCTTCTTTTTCGTACACAGCGCTTGCTTGAGTGCCATTTGCATTGGGCAAACAAGGTACGTGGCTTTTTTTTTTTTTCTTCGCCATTTGCGACAAGGCCGACCAAGTTCTCGCAAGTTTCCACGTCTCAGAACCATAATATGTCTCGTCTTTTTTTATTTCGTCGTAGGAAAAGTGTATCAACGACTCTTCAAAAAGGCTAAGTTATTCATCGCCGTAGCATGCCCCCTATTCGCAGCCTGGTCATACCAACACATAGCCTTCGACATATCCCTTTTCACCCCCTGTCCATTATTATACAACATCGCAACCTCATACTGACCCTCGCTATTCCCTTGCTCGGCGGCCGTCAGAAACCACGGCAGAGTCTCCGCATAACCCACCTCCGTATGTACAGTAATAGCACACTCCCCAACTTTGACCTGCGCTGGCACTCGTCCTTGCTTGGCAGCCTCCAGGTACCACTTAAGCGCCTCGGACATGTCCTCGATGACACCTTGACCGTGCTCATAGAGACTGGCGATGTTGGTATGGGCGATGGCATTGTTTTCGTCCTTTGTCTCGGCGGCTTGGAGGTACCATATCATGGCTATGCTGTAGTCCTGTATGAGTCCGTACTCTCCTTTCCTGTATATTGTTCCTAGCCGGACTTGGGCGGCTGTGTCTCCTGCGTTGGCTTTAGTGATTATTTGTTCCCGCACAGACTCAACTTCTGGTGGTCGTGGCGACTGGGGTGTGCTGGTTGCCGAAGGTATGCTCGCAATAGGCGTGGTAGTATTGACTGGGCTGTGTGCTGTGATCGGGGTTGGCGAAGCAGAAGTCGCTGTTGCTGCTTCGTAGGTCGGGGGAAGGTCTTATCGGGCGACTGTAGCAGTTTCTGTTCGGGTCAATCGACTTTCGACATAGACGTCCAAGATTGTATCTGGCATTGCGACAATGCGAAGCGGTTCGAGGCTACATCATGAAGGAGGGGAAAATGTCAATAAGGAACTACTCGACTTGATGTCATAATCAACGGTCCCATTAGCAATCCGTGACCATTGTACAACATACGTTCTAAAGGACGCATCTTTCAAGAAGGGGACAACCCTAGTTCCATATCGAATATTGACAGCATCCTTGAACGCTACAAGTATGTCCTCCTAGGGGACAATGTCTTTCCCGCTGGGGTCCATATGAATATCGACATAAACAGTCTCTGATGGCGGGGGTGGTGAAACGGGTGTGGGAGTATTGCCTGTGTGCGTTCTTAAGATTCGTTTCCTTGCTGCATAGCTGTAGTTTATTCGTCAAGTGTTGTGCGGCCTTGTGTTGTCTGAGTGGGTATGTGCGTGTGGTTGAAATAAGAAGAAGGGTGGAGTGAATGAATCTGTAACTAAGAGATGAAAGTGGAAAGTAGAATGGCAAACACCTTCGAATAAGGCTAGGGCGAGACCCTGACCAAGGTGCATCCAACAACAGTCACCCATCCATAAGCAGCAACTCAATCCGTCTCATCTGGGCAAAAGGTCATCTATTTTTGGCTGTTGTCGTTACATAGTCCATGAGTCGTGGGAAGTATTACAAGAGATGACTTCCTGCCGAGGGACCTCACGATCAAACAGAGCAAAAAGATGAAGCAACGTTCAGCGTGAGAAAAATAAACTAATAAAGTGTGTTTTAATACTTCAAGACTGACGGGCAGCATAAGGAATGCGCAGTGAGAAAATGAAAGGAGAGACAATCCAGAAAAGCTACTCAAAACTGGAAAAAGCTCAAGCTACCAGCATCAAGATCCTGATATCGCTGTGTCTTCTTCCACGCCGCCATGGCCGGGTGTCCATTCACTGTCTGCAGCACCTTCCACAAGTTCGGACTCTTCTCCTTCGAGAACGGTGGCTCCTTGGCTCCCTTTGGTCTCATAAACAACACCCTATCGATAAAATGCGCCGACTTCAAATCCGCCAACGTAATACTCTCCCCAAAATAATACCCATTCTCTCCATTCTTCTCCAACTGGGATTCATGATTTGCAATGTAGGGCGGCAGGATCTCGTCGTAGAACTTGTGGGCCTCTTCGATACGCTTGTCGAGGGGTGCCCAGCGGACTCGTTGCCAGAACAATTGGTTAGCGAAATCGGTTGAAGTGTAGATTTGGTCAATCTTGTGGGTCGAGTAAGGGTCGGAGCCGTAGAGACCGTATTTGGTGGCCAGGTAGCGTTCAATGGCGTGGGATTCTGCCAACTCGAGGATCGTGCCGTCCGGGGCGGTTTCGTACAAGATGGGGATGAGCTTGAATGGCAACTGCTGCTTTTGAACACTCAAGTCCTGTATGATTGCAAGGGATGAAATAAACAATGGGAAGAAATGTTAGAGGAGCGTTGGAGTAATAGCAAGGTAAAGTGAGACAAGGCTGATACATACGAGAGGGAGTTCTTCCCACTTGGCACCGCTGAAAACAAGGAGGGTACGGGTCAATTCACCACGACCATGCATAGGAAAGTACAGGAGCTGGTAGGTTGATGTGGTGGATCTGGATGCCTCAGCAAGGACTTTGGCATCCGCCTTGGTGGGGACAGGGAGAGCAAAATTGTCGTTGGGAGCCATAGACTGTTTGTGCCGAGCGATAATGGTCGGGTTGAGGAACAATGGTCGTGAGAGGGATTGAAGGCGGGTTGGGAGTTGCTTGAAGAAGTGCTGGTGCTGTTGGTGAAGGGGCAACGAAAAGCGTGAGAGCGAGGTGAGTCGTGTTGCTGACATTATCTTCGGTGAGGAGTAAAGAGGAAAAGAAAGGAGAGAAGAGAAACTATCAAAAGACCAGACCGAGGGTGGTACAAATTGACCGTGGTAAAATTTCGGGGGAGTCCAAAGTATGGGAGCAGACATTCAACCTGAATCATGTGCAGGATGCAGCAAGAGCAACCAACAAACTTCAAGATTAGTAATGGAAGGCTTGCAACAAAAAAAGGCGAGGCAAACATCCATTTGGCCGTTTTTCTTCTCACTGCTTAATCTTCATTAGGTTTATTTGCTCCAATCGCCTACTGTAAGGACGAGCAAAAGGAACAATTATCTCACACGCGGGCAGAGATGATTTCGCAATGGTCGAGAAATAAATAGTCGACACGCTTCTTTTTAAAGATAGTCTGATACTGGTGGCTACTTGAAACCATGGCCACGTTTCTCCAAAATTTCATAGGTCTCCTGAGCTATGATATGACCTTGCCGTACCGTTCCTTCGCCTTGACGTAGCCCTGTGATGCGCCCTGTCCATTGTGGTAAATCCGTCCGACGCTGTAATGAACGTCCTTATCAACGGCCTTGAGATACCACTCGAAAACCTGGGAATACGACAACTCCATGGAATACTGCACACCTAGACTCTTCTGCGCCTCAACATGTCCTTGCTCAGCAACGTTGTGGTACCACATTTTTTGCAAACGACGTGTACGGGGATGCGCTTTGACCAAGCTCGAATATATGAGTCAAACTGCACTGCCTCGATGCTTCGCCTTCCTCCGCTGCTTGAGTGAACCACAATAATGCTGCTGTGTAATTATGTTCATACCATAGCTCCTGTCCTTGTTCGCCTGACCCAATCAGTCCTGCGCAGGAATGTAGCCTACCTTCCAAAATGATGGTCACCGGAATATCCTCGACACGAACATGAGGTGTTGTTGTGCTTTGACAGCGCAGGAATATCGTTGCCATCGTTATGGTTGTTGGTGATTGCTTGCATTGGTAAAGAATCCATCGCTGTCAAAGGTGTGTCGGCACTTGAGGACGTGAAACTGAAGGCGTTGGCAGAATGGTCGTAGAAATTAGCGCCTTGCACAGCATCCTTAGGAACAAACTGAGGTCCCTGGGCGGTAGGGCGATGTTGGTAAAGTCCCACGACGTGTTGCTTGTTGCCTCAGCTGGGTCATATGTCGGGTTCCTTGTTTTCTGTGTAAGAAAGTTATTTGGTGTTGATTGGAAAGAAACAGGAGGTGGGAGTATCGCTGATATTGCCGCAGTTACCCTGACATAGCTTAAGGCAATTGGGTGTCAACATAGACATATATGACAGCGCTGAGTATAGCTGCGATTCGCAAAGAGTCAAGACTATCGTTGCGGACAAAAATAAGAACAAGCTGCTGTGTAAGTCGCTCGTCTTGCTTAAACATACAATTGCAACTGACATGTGGAGGATGCCAGCACTCTTCTCGACTGATGGCCCAAAGTCGGAACCCATCAGGCACTGAAGTATCTCGCTGCTGTGCCGGACATTCATGACTCCCTTTCCTGAGACGCCGTCCTGGTGTTTTTCGATATAAACTACCTCAGAAAGTGGAATAGAATTACTAGAGTTACTGTCGTTGGAGGATGACTTGCACACGGCCTGTAGTACTTGGACGCCTACCTGAGGGGTATGTTCTTCGACTTGTAGCATTAGATACGACAGGAGTGTACAAGAAACGCCGATTGGGAGACTGTTCGCCTAGTGATGAAGCAGGCTGAGTTGGTGATGTGAGAAGAATGAGAGTGGGATGAAAACGATGATGAAAGAAAGCGAATGAGATGAGCCAAAGGCAGGAAGGCAGGCACCTCTCTCTACTTACATTTTTCTTGTGTTGCACAAGGTCTGGGCACATTGATATCTCCACGACAATTCCTCTTCTCGTTTATTCCACCCCCAAGCTGGCAACGTTCTCCATAATGTACCGAACAGTTAGACCTCAAAGGTACGTAGGAACAAATAGCCGTAAGAAGTGATCAAATGCCGCGTTCTTTTAATATATCGCTTGATCATCCAGCCGTGTGTGGCTTTTTGCACCCACCTTGATCAGTTGTGCGACTGCCAATTACATTATTACCCGGACGTAAAAAAAGTCGCGCACATAAAAACGCTCAAACGCTCCACCATTCACATCTCTCACACCCCTCCTCTCCTTCTCCCCTCCTCCCCTCCTCCCCTCCTCCTCACTCACCTTTCCTCCCCGCTCTACGAGCACTCCATCAACCTCATCATGTCGTCTTTCGAAGTGCTACAGTTGGCCTTCTACGCCCTGGTCATCTCCTCCGTCGCCGCCTACGGATTCTTCCATGGCCGCTTCCTCAAGAACCCCATCACTCGGACAAGCATCCTCCTCACGATCGCCCACCCTGATGACGAAGTCATGTTCTTTGGACCGACACTCGCAGAACTCTCTCGGCCTGAGCATGGAAACACTATTCACGTTCTTTGCATGTCCTCTGGTAAGTTTTTGAGTTTGTTAAAGCTTCTATTTTAGAAGTGAGAGGGTTTTGTGGTAAACACGCGATCTGTTAGCAATTGATCTGACCATGCCTTTTGCTTGTACAATTGGTAGGTAACCACGATGGATTGGGAGAGACTAGGAAGAAGGAATTGGTTGCCAGTTGCAAGATGTTTGGTATCCGAGAATCCAACATCCTCATCCTCGAGCGCGAGTACGTCTACTTTTCAATCACTACAACGCAGGATTGCATACGGACGATACGCAATCGGATCGTCATTGTGCTGACCACGTGGACCACATCCTTCGTTTTTTACGTTTTCATGAATTAGGGAGCTGCAGGATGGACCCACCAACCTCTGGGACCCTTCGTTGGTCGGCGATCAGATGAACTTGTATGCCAAGAAGTACAACATCGAGACTGTAAGCCAACTGCTCTCCAATGTCTTGGTTTTTTTTTCTGCGTTTCACATTCATCCACATGCGGATCATGCAGAGCTATGGCCAATTATCACGTCGCCTAATGTTGTTTTCCTTCTACTTTTGCATATAGATCGTTACTTTTGATGACAGAGGCGTCTCCGCCCACACCAACCATATCGCCCTCTACGTCGGATTAACGTAAGGATCCAACCATGCAACACAACATTATCGCCGTACTGCCGATCAATTCATTTTACAGGAAAGCTAATACCTGGCCGGATCCTCACTCTAACCATTACTTTACAAACGTCATCATATATCCAAAATAGATACTTCATCCAAACATTCAAGGAGCGCACCCCTGTCAAATGTTGCTACGTCCTCAAGTCCGTCTCTCTCCTCCGCAAATACATCGCCATCCTCGACTTGCCCATCACAATGCTCAAGACCGAAGCTCTCATGCCCCTCGTCTCGCAAATGTTTGGGCTTGGTGGTTCGGCTGCCCTTGCGGGGGGTGCCAGTTCATCGGTCAGGTCCAGGGCCATGACTCGACCCCAGGAATTGTTGTATGTGAGTGCCCCCGCGGCAGTGTTCAAGGCCAAGGCGGCGATGGAGAAACATGAGTCCCAGATGGTTTGGTTCAGGAAGATTTATGTTGTTGTGTCGCGGTACATGTCCATCAATGAGTTGAGGAGAGTTATGTAAGGACATTATCATGGATGTCAGGATACAGATGTCGTAGCAAGGAAAAGCGTTGCAGATCATGGATTGCGATGCGAGAACAACAATAAATAAAACCGTTAATATTTTGAGCAATGGTCCATTGGAAAGCCATGAGATGAGAATGCGAGAAACACAGGAAAAAAAAACCTTTCGAGGTTTGGACCACGTTTACCCCAGCAACCCCCAAAATACGGATTGGCAATAGGCGGAGAAAAAAAAAGGACAAGAGAAAAAAAGATGATGAGACAAGGTGTACAGTAGCTGGTATGCACCTGATCCAAGCGGATAGTAATAGCGATGGTGATGCGAAAATTAGCACAGATGGGTGCGGGGGGCTAGGCGGCGTCGCCCATATGATCATCGAGTCTGGACCTTTCCCGCGTGGATGGGGTATTCAATAACTAGCTACGCCGATCATTAAATAAGAATTGGGAAATGGCCGATGTGCTAATATGATAGCATAATACCGCCGAAAGGTCCATGGATCCGAAAAGCCACATTCAGCAATTGAAACGGTAAAAAAAAAAAATACATTAGGCAAGGCTGGGCCAGATCGAAATGGTTGGACGAGGTGCAAGTGCTTATGAGATTCGCTATGTCGTTACAAAAGCAGTGGACCAAGAACAAGAAGAAAGCAAGCATGGAAGTACAGTACGCAAAAAAAAAGTTGCATTTATTTCTCCTATGTCATCTGCTTGTTCTTACCTTTACTCAGTGCCAAAGAAAAACTTGATAGTACCTTTGGCGCGTATCCTCATGGTCCGAGTGTTAGTATGATTTTGAGTTTTGATGGCCTGCTTAAGAAGCACGTTTTCTTCCTCTACTTGGACTAGACACTCCTGCGGGCTGGCTTCAGTCGAAGAGGTGAGTGCAGATGGGTGCCTAGTCATCCATCTCAACCGACTCCCTGTACTCTCCTGCCCCTGCCATCATCGCGGTGAGTGGTCCCGCACTGTGTTGGTGATGCCGTCAGCAGCGATACTTTTTTCGAACGACGTCGTGTTCATTGTCTTGGTTGTTCAACTGGTCTGTGGGTGTCGCCGGGAAGAGCGAATCACGAGAGTGTCAGAATGAAAGTAGGTGGTTTGTTTTCTTGTGGTAGTGTGGTGGTTAGAATGAAGACATCAAAGTATGAAAAAAGGAAGCGCGGGTCAAACTGGAAAACATAATTGAAATCTCTTCACCACGACATGGAAAGTGAAGAGTAGTGGCAGCAGTGGGAACAAGACCAAAAAAAAAAAAAAAAAAAAAAAGACATCAACAATCAGTTCAGCGGTCAGTTCAATGACCTTTTTTTATTTATTTGCTGGCTTGTGGTGACACGGACGCGACAAAAACAAGAATGCCGTGCGGACAACTAAACGCCTAGATATCCACCTACTGGCCCGTGGCAACTCCACCCTCCACAACCTCACCATCATCATCCCCTGAAACATGTCCAGAATCCCCCACCCAAATTTTCAACTCTTCCACCTCCTTCTCCCTCGTAGCCTCTTCCAACCACTTCAGAACCCGCGTCTTTCCAGGAAAACTCTTGAAATATAACCGCCCCCTCACCAAATCCCTCTGATACGTAGCGGGTGCATGCGACAACAGACTTGGGACCATGAGGATTAAGGACTGAAGGGGACCAGGTTGACGGAGTCGAGAGAGTTCAATGTTGTAGAGTTCTTGGGCTCTTGCGACGCCGTCAGTTTTCTTTTGGGCGGCCCTTATGCGTTCCAGGACGATTGTTGCCTCGGCGTCCAGGTCGGCGGGAGTATTGGGTTCAACATTGCCCAAATTGCTCAAAAACACCAACACCTCCTCCCTCGTCCTCAACACACCCTGCGACAGATCTGCTTCAAATACCGAAGGTCTCACTACAGGCACGCGCCTCTCATTGAAGACTGTCACCAACTGTCCGACATGCTGATAATCCAGCAAGGAGTGGAGGTGTTCGGGATGGGCGCCCTGTTGTTGGTCTTCGTTCTGTTCTTCCACGAGCCATTCTTCGGGCGTTCTGACGCAGTGGATGCAGGGGCCGACACTTATTGATGGTGGGAGATGGGGAACTATTGCATATTGCCAGACAGAGAGAAAGATGATGTTCGGAAGAGGGGGGGGGGGGGGGGGGGGGGTCAATTGATTGAAAAACATAAAATAATCACGGGTACGAATAATCGCATGTGCCTCTGGACAACTCCTTGTTCACTTACTGATATCCTCGTTTGTAACGACACGCCAGTAAACAGACTTGTAGGGACTGGCATGACGAAAGGCAGACTGGTGCCTCGCAAACTTATTCGCGAACGTCGAATCGCCAATCTTGGGACTCGCAACGCTATAACAATCCCTCAGGACAATCAGCTCCCGATCACCACTGTACTGGGCCAACATCTCGGCCAGCACCGTCCTCGACTCGTGCACCTGATTTCCCCTCAAAAGCGGATCACCCCTTTGCAACGGCATCTGTAATCTCGCCATAACCAAGGCCGCCAACGCCCCACCCAAACTATGTCCCGTCACCCACAAATTCACCGGCTTCCCCGTCCTTTTCTTGGCAGCCTCGGCGACTTCAAAGATAGTCTCCATGATGGTTTTAAAGGGGTAGGGACCGTCATAGGTCGGCGCCCCGGGTATTACGTCGGGGAAGAGACATTCGTAGAAGCCCTTGTGGACCTCGCCGTAGAGGTATTCGCTGGCGTCGACTCTTTGCATGGTGACATCGATCAGGTACTCGTCTTTGTGCGTGCACGTGTGATCGAGGAGGGGTTGAAGCAAAGATTAAGGTTAGCATGTTTCAGCCCACCGCAATGATGAAATGTGTGAGCCCCCCCACACCCCCTTTCGTACCTGACAACAAACAATAACAAACGCGAAGCAAAAGCAACAGTAAAAAAACACTTACTGAAAGCAAGGACAGAAGTTCCCTTAAAAACCAATACAATCGAGTCATTATTATAAAACAACCCTGCAAAAGGACCCCCCAAAGTATTCAACTCACTAATTCCCGTAAACCGCATCCCAAACTCATTCAATGACTTTTCATCGATATCCTTCTCCGAGTCCAGTAAGAGCTGCTTCGCACGGTCGAGTCTGTCGGTGGTGAGGTTGAAGAATAGTTTGGAGGCCTCAGCGACAAGTTTTTCGTTGCGTTGATATGCCATAGAGCACATGATGAGGAGGAAGTTGGCGATGTTGTAGGAAAAGCGGGTTTCTGGGTGAGGCGTCCGGGAAGCGAGTTGGCAGATCGCTTCCTCTGTTCCTTCAGGGTCGATGTAATCTGAGGCACATTGGGGAGAAAAAAAATAGTAGTAAAGGGAAGAAGAAGGCCGTTAGCGTGCATTGAAAACATCCGTCACACCTTGCGCCACCGCGATTGCTAAGCACGCACAAAACACGACAACAAACAACAAAAAAACCTCCCCTAACCAAACAAACATCAACTATCCCTGGGCGACCTACCACAATCATCATAGAGCGCAATCTCATTATTGAAAAATCGCTCATAGGCCCTCCTCCCAACCTCCGTATCATTCACAAGAATCACCAACAACCCAATCCCACCCTGAACAATCGCCATACTAACAACCAGCACGGGGAATAACACCATCGCATAGAGACGACTGAACCAATCCGTCCCTGGGATCTGGTCTGGGTTCCTGAGGTTCGACTTGTAGAGGCGTAGGCCGTCTGTGAGGAAATCTGTGAGACTTTTTGGGTGGATAGGATCCGGTCCGTCCCGGTGGTGACGGTGGTGAGCAGATAGAAGGACATGTACAGGCCAAACAGTGAACTCAGCGAGGTGGCGAGGGTTGACGGGTGGTTTGGGTGGGGCGGCTTGTTGACGTTGGGCTATCCTCACTGCCCGTGAGGGCAGGGAAGTATCATGGCCGTGGTTGGTGGTGGGTTCGTCCTGTGACATGATTGTGCAGGATCGGTTAGCTATCGATGGGTGGTGGTGTTTGGATCAAAGGGATAGAAAGAGATGGGAGAGGAGGGGTTGAATTGAACCTATCCGCTCGAAAAGGGGGGTGAAATTGGTGGTTGGTGAAGGAAAGAAGTGGAAAGGGGAGAGAAGGACAATAGAAGTAAGAAAAAAAGGCGAAGTTTATAAATGCGGGATGAGTATTTCTAGGGAGAAAAGGAAAGAAGGAAAATAGAGTAGGGCCTGAGCGGGAGCTGAGAAAGATAGTTTTGCTTGTGAAAGAAGGGTGGAAAGCATGCATGCGTGGAAAAAAAGTCAGCCAAACTTTTTTTTGCTATGTCGAGCGAGATAAGCCTTGAGATGAGGTGAGAGAATGAAAAAATGTGCAGGCTCTGGCTGGGACATGACATTCCGCGGCATGAATGGGGAAGTGGGATGAGGGATAAAAGTCCGTCGCTGTTTTTCCAGAAGGATATCAATATCCATACAGCATGATGTGAGAACAATCGAGTTCACTGCCACTCCAAGGTGGAAAAACTGTCTACACAATATGCATATGTCTATGCCTATGCCTATGTCCATGCAATATGTCTATGTCCATGCAATATGTCTATGTCCATGCAATATGCATATGTCCATGCAATATGCCTATGGCCATGCAATATGCCTATGGCCATGCAATATGCCTATGGCCATGCAATATGCCTATGGCCATGCAATATGCCTATGTCCATGCAATATGCATATGTCTATGCCTATGCCTATGTCCATGCCCATGCTTGAAAGGTACAAAAGAAAAGAAGGGGGTGGTGGCTGAAAGATAGGATGGAACAAGAAGGGAAAGAGTGTGAAGGGAGGACGTCGACACGTGCTGTCGTCAGGGACACAAGGAAGCGACGACATGAAGTGCATCCTGTTCATCCGCTGGGCTATTGTTCCTGTCCTAGCGTGGATACATCTGTCCCGTGCGAGCGTGGTCCATGTCAATTGTACAATGGTCGAGGGGAAAAAAAACGAAGCGTGGCGTGGCGTGGCGTCGAGAAACGAAGAGTGTAGTAAATGCGATTGGGAAGAATTATGCTGTTTATGCTTTGCTTTTATCAAAATGAAAAGAATGTAATACTAAAAAATGGAATGGGATATGAAGGGGGAAAGTGCAAAAATGAAATGGTTTGAAACCAAAAGGAATGAATGTACAAGAACACTTTAAATGTCCATGAGCATATCATCATCAGCTGGCTCGGGCAACATCTCACCACGGGCTACGCTGTTGACCAACTCTCTCCTGATCTCGGGTGAAATGCCCTCGTGTGTTTTGAAGCGCAAGAGCTCGAGGAGGGCCTGCTTCTGGTCGGGGGTGATGTCGGATTTGTAACGCTGGGCAAAGATCAAGAAGGCCTGGTGCCAGAGAACGGGCATCGGCCGTGGGTCCATCTTGAATCTCAAAAAGTGGTCCACCAATCCGTCAATGACCTTGTAGGGGAGGGCGTACTTCTTGTCCAATAATACACGAATGAAGAGAGAGTTGGGTCCTGTTGTGGGTAGGCAGAAGATTGGATGTGATGTTGGTTATGAAATTGAAAAGGCCCTGATAACAGATCAAACCATCGAGCATTTAGTTCTTGCCAAGCGCAAAAAGGACAAGGGACTTACCGGTGTACTCCATATCGGCCAATCGCAAGAGGGCGGCGGCAGAGTGCAAGACAGGTATACTAACTTTGGTGATGACAGATCCGACGACGGCAGCCTCCTTGAGGGTGCAGGTACCAGATTCGCACAGGGGGAACAGGATTCCCTTGAAGAAGGCCTTGGACTTGTACAACGACTTCTTGAGGGCCATGTACAGGTGGTAGTTCAGCTTCTTGTTATCGGCAATATCATCCCGAATCTTATCCAACAAAACCAGAGAGAAGAACTTGTGCGCTTGCTTCTCCTTCAAGTTGGACGTGAAAATTCGGGTGGCCTGGTAGGTGGCGTGAACAGTCCAGTTCTCAGGTGCGGTGATGTACAGGATCTCCTCCCAGTTCTGAAGCGAGGGGATGATCTTGAAGGCCTTGGGCAACTTGCCCGACTTGTAGCGCGACAATAACAGTCCGACCTTGGAGTAGACCTCCACGACCTTGGGGCTGAGACCCATAGGCATAGGGCGGTTGTCGCCAGTCTCATCCTCGTCCGCATAGTCCATGACCGAATCCAGGGGTCCCCTCTTCTCGGGGACGACAGCAACATCGTTTCCTCCAGCGGCAGCAGCGGCGGCGGCGGCGTTGGCGGCGTTCTGGGCATTAATCTTCTCCATGATCAAGTCTGCGAGCGTCTTCTTTTCCCTGGGTGCTGCGGGCATGAACTTGGCCAACAACTCGGCATCGCGCTGGTCAATCTCGATCTCATCAAAGGTGCCAAAGTCACCCTCCTCATCGGCGTCGGAATCTTCCTCGTCGCTGTCGCCGCCAATGGCAGGAATGAAGCTCTTGTTGGCTCCCCCTGATGATCCTGCCTTCTTTCCATAAGTCTGCTCCTCTTCCTCATCGTCGTCTGAGGAAAGACCTCCGCGTGCCTCCTTGCTGATCTCATCCTGCTGCTGCTGTGCGATCGACAAAATCTTTCTCGACAACTTGGCATCAACATAGTTCTATGTTCATTTTAGCGTTGAGAAATAGTAGGCGTGAGTTCGCAAAATACATTAAGTTGGTATGTGTGCTGTTCCGAAGCAGGAAAAGTAGCGAAAAACTGTGTTGTATCATACAGCATCGGGCTTGTTCTTGCGCTCGTTACGGGCAGTCTTGGCTCTGGGCTGCTTGCCCTGGGGAAGGGGGTCGTTCTCCGAGGGACCCATCAACTGGACATGGAGGGGATCGTGGCGCTGGGCCTTGGTGGCAGGCCGTCCGTACTGGTCTTTTCCCATTATGATATATGTATAGTCGAGTGCGAAAAGGGGAAAGGGATGAGAAAGGAGGGAGAGGGGCGATGGGATGGAGTCGTCGGTGATGAATGAGCGAGTGGAGAAAGAAACGCAAAAAAAAGTAGTCGCCCAAGTCAAGGTTGCAGCAGTGCCAAAGCAAAAAAAAAAAAAAAATGTAAACAACAACTGGTGGTACCAATCATCACGTGGGCGATAAAGCAGTCCCACTCATCAACCATTGACTTGGATCTGTAACGGATTGTCGGTTGTGCCTGAATGACTTCCGCATAGAAAGGATAGAGAAGAAACAATAATACTGCAGGTCCAGTTCAATTGAGAAGCGAAGCAAGAGGGTACTGTGTATATCAATGTTTATTTTTTGTGGGTAAAAGGGGGGGGGGGGGGGTTCTATGGTACAAATGGATGAAATTATCCATTGGAAGGAGAAGCAGATGAAAGGCTTTCCCTCATTCTAGGTTTTTTTGTTCTAAAAAGCAATTGAACTGAGTCTAGTTGAAGCTAGCGCAGCGGTCGATGGCAGCATCAGGTGCTGAGACCTCGACCCAACTGCGGATCGTAATATACAAGGTAAACGCCATTGCGGCAACACCGACAACTCCAAGGATAATATCCAACACCTTGGCCCAGGTGGTTTTGGCGCAGGCTTTGTAATGGAACATGGCGGGGAAGATGAAGCACAAAGGCATACAGGCAACACTACCGACGAACGAGACGAACTTGTCCAGGTTGGGACCACCGACCACGTAGCTGATGACGGCGCAGCAGCAAACCAAGGCGATTCTGATTGCGTTCTTGGACAACTTGACTGTGCGCTCGACGCTGCCGGAGCGCGTAGGGAAAATACCCATCTCGAGGATTTTTGACGCTGGGGATAACATCAAAGGGACGGAAAGGATGATGGCGAGAGAGTACAGGATCTGGACAGTAATGGTCCAGCCCGAGGTGACAGGAAGGTTGAGGACGACGATGGTCTGGATGTTTTCACCAAAGGCGGTGTAGCAGAGAGCACCGACACTGCCGAAAATCAAGCCGACAATAGAGATTGTGATCGCCAACACCTTGGGAAACTTCTCAGGCTCGGCCATCGACTCAGTAATGGGGACAACTGTTGAAGAGAAAGGAGAAAATAAAACAATGGTGGTTAGGAATGGGTGTGCAAAGTTCGCAGGAAGGTTTCTCTAAAATTCACACAAAAAGGAGGACTTACCAAGACCAATACCCTCAAAGGAAAAGACGATGGTACCGATGAGCAGTGCAAAGTCATCCTTGTTGAAGAGCTCGATGTTGGGGCCGGGTCCCTCGATAGCGAGGTGGTGGATGCTGTAGTACCAGAGGTAGACGATACCAAAGATAATAAAGAAGTTGGCGAGCATACTGGGCAGCGACAGGATCTCCATCTTGCGGATCAGAACCAAAGGAATCAGGATAAGCAGCGGGATAAAAATATAGACCTTCTCTTGGATGCCGTGGAAGGTGCATTTGGTAAACGTTTGGACAATGGCATCGACGTTTTCGGCAACAAAGATCAAGTAGGCACAGCAGAATCCGACCTGGGAGAGGAAGACAGAGACAAGGACAGCAATACGGACCCATTTGCCAAAGAGGATCAGACCAATGTCCTGGAAGGACTCACGGACGACCAGACGAACCTTGACGAGCATCAGGAAGGCGATACAGCAGATGGTGGCGACCACGGCGATTGTCAGACACGAGAACAGGATACCTAAAGACAAAATGATTTAGGTTAGGTCAGTGTGAGTTCGAACACGATTCAGTGGACACAAAATGTCGTCGTAGTTTAGGTTTAGTGCGTTTGCAAATCGGATCTGCTCTGATCTGCAAACACACACACACAACGCTCTGTGCTTGTTTGTTTCGTCTTTGTCGAAACGACGAGCGTAGCGGAGGACAATGCGGCTCATATCCCCAGAACTCCAAACACACACTAACAAAGACAAAAAATACATGCTAGTTGTATTTACCTCCGTTCTTGAAGGCCTTGGGCAGGAAGAGGACACCGGTACCGACAAAAGCCTTGCCAAGCAAGAAACTAGCCTTGAGAGGGGTCACAGTGCCGCGGGGTGCAGCAGCAGCATCCACCTCTGAAGAAGTGGAGGCACCGCTGGAACCATCGGGCATAATATCCTCCTTGATCAAGATAGCCTCACCAGGGTAACTCTTCTGGGCACTGGGGCGGGTCGAGCCAGGGATGGCCATCTTCTCGTTCGAAGGGGCAATGTACGAGTTAGGACCGGTGGCGGCCTTGATGCTCTGGGGACGGGAAGAAGGGGTAGACTCAGTCTTGGCCACACGACCCTCCTCCATCTCGGACATGCCAGGATGGCCATGGTGGTTAGAGTGCTGACCGCCATAGTTCTCAAACATGTTGGCGTATTCGGAATTGGTCTGCACCAACCAAGAGACAGGGCGTGAGGGAGCACGGGAGCCCGGTCTGGAGTTGGGTCTTGAAGAAGGTCTGGAGCCGGGTCTTGAGTTAGGGTTGGAGGATGGGAACAGGGAGCGGCCGCGCTGCTGTTTTTGTTGAAGGTGCTGTTCTATGGCCTCTTGTGAGTAATGGACTCCTCCATTAGGATTTTCCTGGGGTGCACTCATGATAGAAGTGTGAAAAAGGGAGGGAGGTGATAGGTGAGGAGGCAGATGAAAAGGGGTGTGGGTGAGGAGAGTAAGTGGTGTAGGAGGAGAGGAATATTAAGTAAGGAGAAGGAGAAGACACGAATAAATGACAAAGGAGAACCAGATGAGAGGAAAAGAGAGAGAGCTAGAAAAAATAGAAGAGGGGAGCAGCGTCCTTTTTATACTTGTTTTGCTGTGAGTCGCTTGAATTCTTGCACAAACAAAACGACCAAACGGCAGGTGGAGCCGGGGGGATATAGTACAGCCACGACCACAGACAACTACTGGATGGAAGAGGGTTGGAAGAACACGGTAAACCCCGCTCAGAGTCCAAAATAACAGGCCAAAAAGTCATTACGGCATTTGTCTCTGCACTTCCTGGATCCACTAAAGGCAAGAAAAAAAAGAGGTTCCAGGTCAACTACCACTTTTCACTTTCCCACCGTCTTAATAAAACAATACGAATTAAAGTCCGGTTCAGCCTTCTTGATGCATCCAACAGAGTGCACCCTGCCAACAAGGAAGAAAATAAGGATATCCGACATTCGTTGCGTCGACAATCATGTTGCTTGATGGTTCTTGTATTATGTATGTATGTATTATGTATGTATGAATGTATGTATGTATGTATGTATGTACCCATGTGGGTGTCCTCCCTCTCTCACAAACGCTCTGAATATTTGTTGATTATCTCGAACCGATCATTCTCTCATTGTGCATCGCAGAATAAGATATCTATATTTTACTTGTACGTTTATTTCACGGGTCCAACCTTGAAAATAAGGAAGGAGGGGGGCAGACAGAGAGTGAAGGGTCCTTGCTCGCTCGCTCGTCACCTAATCATAGTCATCAATCCGTCTTGTGGTGTTGGTTGATCCCCTGCTCCTATCCTCACCTGGAACCCGCCATGGGTATCCAGCACAATGCAGTGTGTATTACACACTTTCCCCATTATCTCTTCCCTTGGTAATACCTTTTTTTGTCAATTTTCCACCCCACAGACTAAGCACATTTATGGTGCTTGAGCATAGCAAACAATCAAAAACAAAAACAAAAACAAACAAACAACAAACAAACAAACAAACAAACAAACAAACAAACAAACAAACAAACAAACAAACAAACAAACAAACAAACAAACAAACAAACAAACAAACAACAAACAAACAAACAGACAAACAAAACAACAAAACAAATAGCCTTTTCCCCAAAGGGATTGAAGGTGTCCTTGCCTTTGATTTTTCCCTCTTTTGTGTGCTATGTTTTCGGAGCTCTTTCTTCTCTCCTCCTCTTTTACACCCCACTTTTCTCTCTTCAGGTACCTGCCTGGCCGCCATCTGTTTTTGTTCTTTTTTCCTCTCACGCGAGTACGACGGAGAAAGAAACCTCACTGCAAAGAAAGCGTTCATTGAAGAGAGCACCTTCAAACGATCGATCACCGTCAGCAAAAAAGAAACATTCAGGAGCAGATCAACTATAACAAATGATGGTGATCAGCAGCGAACGAAGGATGGCCCAATTCAATCAGTCTCAACCTGGCAGTGATCGAAGAGAGAACAAGAAAGGATAAGACTGAGGATGAGGATGGATGGGCACACCACCACTGCCCCTGACAAAGAAGTCAATTTAATGAGAAGTAATGGACATACTACCTTTTGGCCCTATGGCCCCTTTTTCTCTCCTGTTCGCCTTGCCAGGGTACAGTAGATCATGGGCTGATCGGGTACTCTCCCTCTCTCCCTGTGCCCTCCCAATGCGATCAATCAAAAGGCTGTACTACATAGAATGGGATAGGATAGGATTTGGATTATGATGAAGCATGGGTAATCCCTTCCCTCCATTGGCGCTCGACTCTCACTCGCCAAGTTTCTTACTTTGTCACACACTTAGCTTTTCTCTTCTCTCCCCTGAGGGGAGGGGCCCTCGACGACCCTCGGATATCCTCACCCGCAGACACAACATTTTTTGCCTGCAAGATGACTCCATTCCTGATCAAGCTTTCATTCCATCCACCGCGATAAAAAAAGGGCTAAACTAGTTTTTTATTTTCTCTCCTTTCCATCTTTCTTTTCGCTCACTCACAACTCACAACTCATCTTGACACACTGCATTCCACTTCGTCTTTTCACCTCTCATACAAGAAGACAACCAATCATGCCCCAAGAGGAAAACGGCCAAAAAAACCCCGTCATGGAGAATATTTTTCAAACAGCGATGCTACTTTACCATTTCTTGTGTAGAGTATCTGCCCTCTAGGCTTTTCTTAGTTATTTTTCTGCCATGGTTCCTTTTCGGTGACTTTCTTTTTTTTCCTGCAACAGAGTGGGTACCCAATCATCGACGAACCACAAACAGACAAAGAGAACAAAAAATTGCCCCGGACAGGTGCGAGGGAATGGGGGGTATTCCAGCCTTACAGGGCGTATATATGAGACATGGAGCCGGAAGGGCCGCCATGTAACATTTGATGTTGGGCGGAAGCCAAAACGGCTTTTTTTTTCCTTCCTCCTTTCCTCTTTTCTCCTTTCTTATAGGCCGATAGGAGGAGCATCATCGTTATGACAAGTGACAAGTGGGGGAGCAGTATGGGTAGGCTCCTATGAGACATTTTTTTTTGTTAACCCCATTGGAGTGTACTTTTTCTAAATGCCAGTGCATCAATTATTTCCTATACGGCAAGGAAATAAAGATAGAGACAGAGGCTCTTCTAATCCTGTGTCCATCTTCCGACTGTCCACTATCCCTTGCCTTCACATTAAGCAAAGGAAAATGATCATGCAAACCTACGCTGCATGGAGGCCTTGTCCTTTTAGCTCGGCATCCTTTAGCTTGTAATGACGTGGCCAACAGATTTGTCTATACCAATGTTGAGCGGGGATGTGACCGGAGGACAGATAGCCTTCAGTCTAAAGCCCTCCAAGAACCAGGTTGCACCTTTAGACTGTTGGATTCATGCAGTGAAGCTGCAGCAACGGAGGAATGGAGCTCATTGTTAAACCAACGGTTCTCCTTTAGATATAAACGTGGTCAATAGATGCTGGTTAGGTTCAACGTCGGTGCTGCCTTCAGGCATCTGCAGGAAGACGCGGTCCTATTCATCAACGAAGAGAGCATCAAGGTGTCAGTGAAGATGATGTTGTAAGTCTCACAGTACAGTCTCATAACCCCGCAAATATAGCACATGTACATCATCATGCGGCGATTTTGCTAAACACTCCTATTATTCTATGTCAGAGAGATAGGTCAGCAAACTCAATCTGGGATACCTCCGAACGTCTACCAGGAATGCCCGCCAACAACCATCGCATCATCCTATCTGAGATCAAGCCAGCAGTGGTTCGACTTTCCAGTGAGCACGCTCGTCTGTTCCTGGACCTATCATATGAGCTTGCCACAACCTGTCGCGTGCGACCTCGAACTCTGGAGACAGATGAAGAAGGGGACCAGTTGCTACTCTTCCAGGATCTGTGAGTGCCTCCATTTTGCGTTTTCCAGTCAACCAGATGAAAAGGCCAATAAGCCAATTTAGTACCGCTACAAACCGCCGCTCATACATTTATTATCTTCATTTTTTAAGCTCCAAGAAGCTTCTACTGTTAGCGCTCTCCTCTGTTGCAAAAAAAAAAAAAAAGATAAGCGCTGATTTCGATGGTTGTTTGAGATACATCTGCCCTCGGGCAGCATTTCGATGGCGCATCATCAATGATGGACAGCGCATTTTGGCTTTAAGTCATCAAATGTCAAGGTTTGAACTCCCAAATGAGGACACGTACTCGCACGGCGCACTTGACTCTCTGTTGTCATTTTTTTTTCATCGGATTCCGAGTACTGTCTCTGGTGGGCCAATCGCCCCTCACCAGGGTCTCGAGAGCGAAAGGGGGTGAAGGAGGCCAACTACATCCGGTACAAGTGGGCACCGACGTCGTTGGCCAAGGATACTATCGATCTGCACCTGCGTGAGCGGCGCACTATCACATCGATCTATTGCCTGCAGGTCTTTGGTAAGTGAGAGAACATCGGAACTGGATCAAGCTGTTTTTTCTCACTGTATCGTTCTCTGTAGTAATGATTGTTGGCACTGTCCGTTTGACCGCCTAGGATATCAACTGACCGTTTACTAGCTTCGCTTTCAGGCAAGTACTGGATACCTACCGCGCGATAAGAACGACACCCACTGCTTGATTCGCTGCATGGAGCTTAATGAGGAAGGAGAGAAAGAGCCGACATCGAAGGATCAAAAAGTAACGTCGCTATGAACGCTTGGCCGCCAAAAGCCAGTTATCCCAGTCTAGGATTTTCTAGAACTTTCCTAGAACTTTGGAAATAATTGATGGACTCTTGGCAAGTCTCGCTCTCCTCCCTAACCTTTTAACCAAGATCCCATGACTTTTATGTATGTGCTCAATGCTGTCGCTTACTCCGTTTAAACAAAAGACACATGATATTCATACTATTCTATTACTTTCGAAAACATAGTTACAGCCATAATAAATAACCCTCTGTAACTCTATAAAATATATATTAGTGATGTCACTGAGCATCTCGTCTGAACCGAGCGTGGAAAAGTAAACCATCGATCCTTTCCAGGGGGGGACGGGGAGCGGACTGGGTAACAGGCAACCAAACAAATCTCCTTATGGAAGGTATCAGAAGATTTCTCCCCGGAAGAAGCGGAAAAGAATGGGAAAAGGTACCTGACTGGTTCCCGGAGTGTGAATGTCAATCTAATTTGTGCAAGTTTGACTTTGCTCGAGTAAGCCCATTGCTACTTTATGACCATCGGCTCTTGTACTTTGTTATATCATGAGGTATTAATATCATTTTAATTATTGTTGTACTTTGCCCCGTTTCTCTTTTCAAGACCTTATGCATAACCATGAACAGTAGTAGTAGCCATGGCATATGATTGTCAGTCGAGTTTTTGATTCTCAAGTAGGCCCCATTGCAGCTTCTGCAAGTTTTTTCGGCACTCAGTTCTTTCCTTCTTTACAAGTTCGTGGTGAAAAGGGTGTGCTGATAATTGAGATGATGGAGGGTATGTAGGTCGATAGAGAGGGGAGTGGGGTGGAGAGAAGAGAGGATTAAGAAGAAGAAGAAAGTGGGAGATAAAGAGAGGGTTCCACATTCACTATCTTGAGGGGCAAGACCGCCGTTGCTGAATGTGATAACGTCCCAAAAATTTCCCTGTTTCAATTGTTCCCCTTTGGATCTTTCAGTTAGGCACTGGGTATTCCATTCCACAGATGCAGACCTAACTAATCTACCCTCCTTTCTTTCTCTAAACAACCCTCGGTTCAATTTCACATTTCGCCTCTGCCAATATTATTTTTTTTGCTTTCCAAGAACTCGTGCGTACGTAGCTCTTTAGGTAGCCCAGAAAAAATAAAGGGTATAAAGGCGAGGGACCCCGATCCCCGTTCACATGTAACAGGATTTCCACTTTATTGGGTAAAAATAAACGCTGGTAACGAGTTATTGTTTGCTACGACCCTGACTTGCCACAACTTCTGGGTTTGCGCCCTTTTCACCATTAAGCCCTGAACCCTTCGTCTCGGTTTTAGTACCACGCGTTCGCTCCACTGAGACAAAAGTATTAGATATGGTGCTATCGCCAAATGATTGTGTATGCTTTTATTTATGGATATATATCAGAGAAGAAAGATGAAAAAGTATAAGATTAAAGTAGCCACGAGAACTCGGAACCGGGGGAAGAAACGAAACGAGGCAAAGAACAAGAAAACGGTAGAAGAAAGAGTTTGAAAAATATGATACATGATCTCCATGGACGAAACCCGTAGCCTGGAAAAAAAAAAATTGCTGATCCTTACGTATGCCTGAAATCTGCAACAAGGTGCCTAACCGCATCTACAGTCCCTAGGACAAGCGCAACCATCCCAACAATAAGCACAAACACTGCCCACGCCTTTGTCCACCACCCCGCTCTCTCCAGACCTCCCAACTTGTAATAGAAAATAATCGGCATCACAAACACTAGCAGGCACTGTGTCAATGAACCCAAGAGATCCATCACGTCGCCGAAATAGGGGACTACACCTGCGATAAGACCTGTGAAGAACATGACGAATGTTCGGGGGACGGCGCGTTTTAGGAACTGGGTTTGGGAGGAACCTTTGGTGAAGGTTGGGAGGCGTTCGGCGATTGAATGCTCGATCATCATGGAGAGGGATGTTAGGAGGATGGGTGCTGCGAGGAGGACGTGGATTGTGATTAGCGAGTTTGCTGTTATCGATAAGCCTCCTACAGGTCGTGAATAGAAAAAAAAAATAGTTAGCATGGCCGCTTTCAGGTGACATGGTCATCACTGAAACGCGAAAAAGAGTATTAGATGATATACAGTACCTGAGGGCAGGTTCCGAAGGATAGGACTCAAAGTCTCATGTCCAAACGCCGCATAACCTGCAAAGGCAATCGAGATATACATCACAAAGCAAACCATCAACGCCGACCAGAGGGCCTTTGTCCACTGGCGAGGGTACCGCATCGACTGTTCAACATGTGGATAGATCACATTGCCTCCATACGCGAACGAGATGGTGGCCAGAGCTAGAGGTAGCTTTGCCCAGTTGACCAGTTTGTGGGTGGCGGTGACGGTTGCGGCGGTGTGGGAGAGGAGCATCTTGACCGACATCCCGACCGTGATGCTTACTACTCCGATCGTCGCACATGCACCCAGAATGCTATTTTTATTGAGTTGCAATCCCGAATGGTGGTAGGAAAGGAGAAAGGGAGGACGGTGAGTGGGTCGAGTGTGAGTCGAGTGTGAACACAAGCGCCGGTGCGCATCCCGAGAGGGGGACCAAGAAGGGATAATAATTTTTTCCGATCCAAATAAAGTTCTCATCATCCTCTCCACCCCTTCCTCTTCTTCTTCCACACCCATGTTATAGCCAAACGGCCATTCTCCACCCAGTCAAACTTACCTCAGTAGAGCAATCTCCTTCATAGACTTGGTACATATAAGACAGACCCACACAAAAGTCGTACACGCCATGACGTAGTAATACATAGGGGTATCCACATGTGCGTACTCTCGCGTCATGGCCTCAATCAACGTCGCAGACAGGATCACGTATAGTACTGCGCATCCAAACAGGTTAACGATAACGACTGTGAATGCGAAGTGGTGTCCGATTGTGCCATAGGCGTCCCGTGCTATCTCTTGGTATGATTCTCTGCGCTTGTTCCTATTTTGCATGCAGAATGTGAGGGTTGAGATGGTATTATTAGAAGCACGCGTTTCTCTTGAAGAGAGTTTTGATTTCTGTGTCGTTGGTTGGGATGATAATTTTTCGTGTACGTTCTGCACAAACGATCCATCAACAGCATTAATGCCGTTAGCACTAAGGAAAGAAGGGTCCAGATTATTCAAATGCCCATCCCTCGAAAACCCAAAACACCAAAAAAAAAGTTTCATGTCCAATGCTCCTTGTCAGTCCTGACTTTGTCGGCTGTATCGTAAGTCCTAAACTCCATTCTTCACACTGTGCTCCTCCGAATACACGGCAACTTACGTTTTGAGGTACAGACACTTGATAAGAATATGGCCCGTGTAGGTCGACATGATGAGGGCAAGGACGATCAGCCCAGACCCTAACCAGCCCGCCTCGGCCACCGCCCTGGGCATCCCCAACGTCCCCGTTCCTCCAATCACGCACCTAACAAGGTCGTAACAACAATGAGCAAAAGGTAGTTAGCAGATGCGGCTTTTTACAACCAATGGCGAACCTTTTTTTTTCGATCCTTTGCCTCGTTTACTTTTGCGTGAACACATTGAGAGAAAATGGTTGTCTTACACGAGCCCAGCAATGGTCTTGAAGGTACTCACGCCACCAACACGTTCATCCGTCATACTCGACACCGTCCTCCCGTCCCCATCACTACTCCCTCCACCAACCTCCAACGATTCTTCACCTCCCATCTGTCGCAGCTTCTCCTCCCTTCCCGAGGATCCATCATCGCTCATGAACAGTTGCTCTTCCCCCTCCTTCTTCGAGGACCCAGAGACGTTAGACTCGACCATCGTCGACGTAGACTCAAACGTAGCCGCGGATTCTCGACGAGAGAACTCGCTCTGTCTCCATCCTTGGTTGGAGTTATTGTCGGTTGATGATGATGATGCTAGTGGTCCTGATCCTGATGGTGGTGGTAGTGATAGTGGACCAGTTGGTGAGGCGTCGGTGGTAGGCAGCATCCTGTCGTAGCCTTCCATCCCGAAAAGTGTCTTCTTGAGGGGTGCTTAGTCCTGCGAATTACGAGACGGAAAAAAAAAGAACGCAATAAAGAAAATGAGGGCAAAAAAAAGGGAAGGACAAGGAAAAGGGAGAGAAGCTGCTATCTAAAAATGGAACAAGGCTAATTCGGAAGAATGATTCCAAGGGAAAGGGATGGGCTTAGCAATCGAACAAAAAAAAATAAGGATAGACTGAGAAAGAGAAGAACTGTGTCTACGTAGACAAGGGCTACCCGAAAAAAAAGAAAGAGAATGAATGGAGGCAAAGATGAGATCTTCCGTTGGATGTGCAATGGCAGGGGTGGTAGAAATAAAAAAAGAAAAGAAAGGAAGAGGATGAAGGAAAAAGACGGTAGAAAGTAAAGGAGGGCGAAGAACAAAAAAAGATTACAAAGTGATGGGAATTAACTGAATTATTTTATTTGCGAAGAGACAAAAAAAAAAAAAAAAAAAAGGTAAACGCGTTTCGCGTCGAACGCCAATCAATTTCAGCACAGCAAGCACTAAAGAAAGTCATCTGGACAAGTTAAACAAAGGCGTTCACTTTTCGGACGATGCATCACCCCGAATGGAAAGAATGCACTAGCGCGGCCCCTTACCCCCCCCCCCCCCCATCATCGGTCCAACCCCCACACCTCTTCAATCCTCCGATGGTTTATAAAAGTTTTCGTGCTCGGTACTTATTTTTCTGCAACGCCAAAGAAAAATCGCGTTCCCACAAACAACGGAGAAAAACCTTTCACATGTAGAACATCATCTACTATGTTGCGATTCATTATTCCCCTTCCTGTTTCAGTCCACCCATTTCATTCTCTACACACATCAAAATTAACATTCACATCGCGCCTGCCTTACCTGCCTTGCCTGCTTGTCCCTTTCACAAAAGGTTCAAGTATGAATTAGTATTGCATATCAGGCTTTAGCATCAAACAAAAAAAGTCGCATGCGAGCAAAAGGGACAGAATGGAGACTTTATGTTAAGGAGTAATGTACACGCGTTTATTTCATGAGATGGATGAAAGTATATGCAAGAGGGTGAGTTGTAATAGGGTAGGCATAATGCGTCATACAATGGCTGGATAAAAACGACGAAAACAAAAGGGAGAATGGTGGTGAAGCAAATCATTAAGGGCAGGGTGTAAAAAAAGGAATGGGCGTTGCAGAAAAGCAGAGAATGGACATTCAAAATATGAAGTTACAAACAAGAAATACAAGAAAGGCAAAAAGGTGGGCTTAGTGGTCGCGGCTGCGGACCCACTCTGGTGGATCGCCAACAGACATGGTGAGGGGGTCGACCAGTCCATGGTAGCTCTCGTAGACAGTGTAGTCGAACGTCAAGAACTCGCGGTCGATCATCGCCATCTGGTGGGAAAATTTTTCCTTCTTGGACATGTTGGCCGAGGCGGTTGCGTCCTTGGGGTCACTGCCGATCGGTGCTGCCTTGGCTGCTGCGACCTCGGTGGCTGCAACGAGCAATGGTGAAACCTGGCGTTGCATGGGAACTTGTTGCTGGTTGTACTGTTGTTGGTGGTGCTGGTAGTGCTGGTGTTGTGGTGGTATGTGTTTGTGTTGACTCCGTGATGGGAGAGGATGGGGTAATGAACTGGGTGCACCGATGGATGACGACGACGATGTGGACGTTGACGTAAACTGTTGTTGCTGTTGCCTCTGCTGGTACTGCTGCTGGATTAGTTGGGATGCCGATCCAGGATAGCTCTTGCCCATCATGTCATCCTCCACGCAATAGGCTGCCTTCCTTCCTGGACTCTTGGCCGGCACAGGTCCTCCAGAAGATCCCTTATAAGACGACGACACATAGGTACCGTTCGACGAAGGAATCGCTGGCTTGGAGAGATAGATGGCAGTGACGCCCTGCCCAGGAGTTCCTGATGTCGAGTAGCTGTATCCAGTCGAGGTGCTTCCACTCTGTACGCCTCCGCCCGCGGTGGTGATGGAGTGTCCGCCCTTGTGATTGCTGCTGCTATCGAGAGAGTGCTTATTGCCGTTGGTGGCCTGGCTCAACTGGGTCGGGTTCAGGGGAAGGCCTTGGCTGGGTGGAGGAGGCAAGGATGTGCCCGCATGCTGCCGACTGTATCCGCCGTTTTGATAGAGCTGAGGGTGGTGCATGTTTCGTGCAGAATGGGCCGAAGCAGACGGAGGTGGGAGAGCCGGGAACTGCAAAGGTACGTTGGCAGGTATAGGCATCGTCCCCCGTCCTCCTGATCCGTTCACATGCTCTCCTTGCGCATACTGTCCATGATGGTTGCTGTTGTACTGTTGCGGCATAGCAGGTTGTTGAGATAGATGGATCTGGCTGCTGCTATTGTTGCCCGAGCTGCTCTCGCTATCGACCTTGTTCCCAACAGAGGCCCCGCCTCCGAGATAGATCTTGGATCGCTTCTTGGCCAGCTTCTTGCTCGAGTGCTTCTCCAGCTTCTGAGGGAACGTCCCATTCTCCTTGATGTTGTTCTGCACAACATAATAGTCGTCCAAGGCCAAGGAGCTCATGGTCAGTTCAGCCGCCGCTGCTGCTAATGCTTCTTGCTGTTGTTCGGCCTTGATGCGTGCATTCTCCTCCTTGATTGCCTTGTCCTTCTCCTTCTGCATCCTCTGGGCGCGTTTCCGTGTAGAGCGGTAGGTCAGGGGGTCGTCGTCCAGGAGAAGCTCCTCCAAGTCGTAGGTGGCGTCAAAGTTAACGTTCTCGGACGAGGGTTGGAATTTGGGCGTCAGCTGCTTGGTCTCCAACATGTACCACCAATTGTCGGGGTTGGTTTGGTATGCTCCTGCCTGGAAGAATGGGTGTTGACGGATGCCCTCCATGCCTCCCTTAATGCCCAGTCTTTCCTTTGGGTCTCTTGTCAAGAACTATACGAGAAAGAGGAAATAGGGAATGAGATAACGAACATAAAGAGAGAGAAAATGTGTGAGTAAATATTACGGCATAACGTTATGGCCATCATGGAGGCTGCAAGAAAAAGTGACCCAAGTTCATGCTGTACGATAATCATTTCACATAAAATGGCAGACGTGGGTGACTGCATATTTTTCACGTACCCCCCGCATGGCAGAGATGCACTCTTTGGAGAGACCCTCCTTCTCTGGGAACTCAATTGTCTGGGTGGGGATAGCTTTCTTGAGGTCGGAGATGGTGTCGGTTTGGAAAGGCCGCTTGTTGTAGATGCACTCGTAAAAGAGGACGCCAATGGCCCACCAATCGACACTGGTGGCATATCCATGCCGTCCAAAGACCTCAGGAGCCATATAGGCGACAGTACCCGATTGCGACGTCAGGAAGGGCTTCTCAGCTGTGAGCTTGCATCCAATGTTGAAGTCGGTTAGATGAGCGTGGCCCTTCTCGTCCAGGAGTACGTTGTCGGGTTTGATATCCCGATGCACGATCGCTTGTGAATGGAGATGTGTCAATGCTGAGCAAAGCTCTGCAATCCAGAACCGGACCACGTCCTCTCCGAACTGCTTCCTGTTCAAGTGGAAACGCAAATCACCTCCCATCCTGTTTGTGTTGAGTGATAGAGAAAAAAGAAGTATCCATTCAAGATTGTCGAGGGGCCATGCGGTGGGAGAGTGTGAGCGGGAGCAAGAGAGAAAGAATAAAAAAATAGAGAGCATTGAGTTAGCATGTGTAAATGTTTGTTTGCTACCCACGACCCAAAAAAAAAGTACATGTCACACCCCCCTCACAAAAAAAAATTATGTCTGAGCCATTGCCTATCCCATTCCAGTCACCGGCAACGATCGCGTTTTTGCGAAAACGTGGTACTTCTCAAGAAGGTTGGGGGATAGGCAGGATAAGGGGGGGTAAAGGGGTGAAGGAGAAAGGAGCAAGGGGGGAGGGAAGAAGAAAAAGCCCGATCGAAAAAATGCGGTCTGTGACAAGAGTCAATTGGACTTACATGAGGTCCATACACATGTACATGTACTCGTCGTCTTGAAACGCAAAGCGCATGTTGACGACGAACGCGTGGTCAAGAGTCTCCAGGATTTGTCGCTCTCGTAGGATATTCCGTACGGCATCCATTCGTATCACTTGAGCCTTGGAGATATACTTGAGGGCATACACCTTGCCCGTGCCGCGCCGCTCGACCATACGGACCTATGTTGTATGTATTTGATCATACGAGTAAGAGAGGGTTAGCATTATAGAGTGTTGTGGTACAAACAATAAAATAATAATAATATCGTTCACAATGGTGTCTGTCGTCAGCAGCCAAGGGGGTAAGTAGACAGAGAGAGAGAAGCTCTCAATTGACCACAAGGTTGGCAGAAGAGAGTATTGCGTAGGGCTTGTCTCTTTGTTGTTGTCTGCTGTCTGTTATTTGTTGTTTGTTGAATGACGGTGTGAATGTGGATGTGGCCTTTGGCTCTAGTCCTCCTACCCTCCTCCCCTCGAAGCTCCACCCGATAGAGGACAAACAAACTTTAACGGGTTCCTTTCTCTCTTCTACCAACGCTAACGCTTCCAGACTCATCCTTTAATAATCCAATTCCCTTTGCTCCACTCCATTCGCACATTTTATGTGGTCGTTGGTTCACCTAAGGAAGAAACCGATGCCAAATAACATGAAGAGAAACCTAGATCGGCAGGAGTGTTTTTGAGCCTTTCTTCGTCTCTCTTTTTAATGTTCCTTTTTAGCCGTTTTTCTCTCTCCTCTTCTCTCTTGTGCAGTCGTGCATTTAGGCTTTTTTATGCTTCCAACAGTCCGTATCCATGAATAGGTATCCTTCTGGAAGAAAAGGGAAAAAAAAGTATGGAGAAGAGAGAAGAGAGGAGGGAGCACGAGGGAGTGACGGAATACCATATTGTATCGGATGAGATAGTGGAAAGGATATTTTCCTTTGCTTGGAATAACAAAGAGCATGGTTCCAAACAACAACGTCCCACATGGACACGGTATCCTTTTTGACCACTTCCAAGCATCGCTTCCTCCTTGGATTGGATCGAATGTTGCACCAAATTACAGAAATAGGCAATAATAAAAGTGTCCATGGACATGCAAAGTCGGATGGCGTGAAAGGAGCGTGGGGTGACAAAGCGAGAAAGAGAGGGGTAGAAGGAAGTCGGTGGTGATCTAGCCCAGGGTTCCTTGGGTAGTCCTTTTCCTGCCCTGGCAGAGAAACAATTGATTTCAAACGGGGAAAGGGAAAGGAAGGAGAAGGAGAGGGCTGAGCTATACAATCGAATGGTTGTTCACTTTTGTTCCTGTGGTTTTGTTATTTACCTTGCCGAAAGATCCACGGCCAATGACTCTCAACAACTTGAATTGAAAGAGGTTGACTATTAGATAGGCAGGGGATTCAATTGAAAAAAAAGGGGAGAGAAGAGGCAGGAAGTTAGGACGGTTGTTCAAAAGGTGGTTCGAATGTGCGACTGCATCTTTTTTTTTTTCTTCTTCCCGAATGGGGATGAAAGAGGAAGGCGATGAGAGGAGACGAATGAGAATGAGTTATGTTCTTGCCTTCATTCTCAAAGATGTCTTCTTGATCTCTGCTGGAGCCGTTTCCCATGGCGACTGAATGATGTGTTTGGGGGGATTAGGGAGTGGTTGTCGTGGTCGCCGTAAAGGTGGGGGTGTGGGGGAAGGGGGTATATACTATTAGGAGGGGGTCGTCAGGAGAGGAAGGGAAGAAGGCGTGTTGTAGGAGGAAGGAGTGCAATTGAACGATGTGTGGAGGAAGGAGGAAGGAGTATCCGGGAGAGAGGGAGAGAGAGAGAGAGAAGGAGAGAGGGAGAGGGAGAGAGGGAGTGTGGATTATGAAATGAAGTGGAGGAAGAAGGAAGTATCGAGAATTGAAGAGGAGAAATGGAGAAATGGATAGGAGATTAAAGAGGAGAAAGTCGAATTGGAGGTGCGAAGGAAGAGAGAAAAGAATCAAAAATAAATAATCAATAATGAAGTGAGAGAACAAAACGTGTGTGTGTGATCGAGACAATGGTGAATACGTGAATATGTGAAGAGGCTGTGCCCTAAAATCACCTCTCTCTTTTGTATAGATCGAGCTAACGAACGAGTCGGCTTGCTGCCATCTTCTCTTCTCGCCACATTCATACACATACACATACACACGACCACCAAGGAATCAACAACCACAAGCAGAAATGACCATAATGGTGATGGCAATAATGTACAAAAATATCAGGGTATAACGAAAAGACTACGGAAAAAACATGAACTGAGAAAACACGTACTCGGGGCAGATATGCACTATTAGGCGAGGCAGAACAAGTTTGTGCATTTTGAATGCCGGAAAGAGAAGTAAACACAGATCCAAGGGGCGGCCGACCTCAACAGAGATCTACACACACAGGCAGATAGGCCGACTTGACAAGTGAAAGAAGAGTTTAAACAGAAAGAGAAAAGAAGGATAGAGAACAAAGCGTAAGGAAGCATCTTGTCAACTGTGTTATTTGTTGTCAGATGCAGGCAGAGCAAAGACGAGAAGATAAAAGCAACAAATGAGAAATTGTCAGGGAAAAACTAGAAGACGAGATTGAATAGAGCCAAGGAGTAAAGAAAAGGGCATGAAAAGGATTGTTTGCTGATCCAAGCGTCATTCAATGAGAGAGAGTGTGTGTGTGTTGGATCGGAGCGCAAGAAAAAGGAGTGTGTGTCTGTGTGTGTGAATGAAGAATAAAAAGGAACGAAAAGTGCTTTCAAGCTACCATTCCTGCTCCGTTCACTTTTTGCATCTGACACTCGTAAACGGGCCTCTTCACAACATTTCTCGTTGTCGTCTTTCTCAGCTAACGGCATTGTCGCGTCCAACACCCTGTCCATTTTTATGTATCGTTTTGTATCGTTTGACAATCGTTCTATTGTGCACATGCGTGCAATACGTGCAATAGATACTCTCTCCTTTAACCGAAAGAAACGACCCCCCCCCCCACCCTAACAAGAAGGGAGCGTCTTCCTTCTCGCCTGCTTATTTTTCGTGCCGATAATATTCTTTTTCTATTGGTGTGGAATGAGCATTAACAAAGACAGGTGTACATACGGCACTAGTCGGACCCTACTCCGGACGCTTATTTTCTTGCCCCTCACTTTCTAGTCCAATCGCAACAAAGGCATCTAAATGTGATCGGTCCTCTTGTGTGGTCCTTTAGCAATTGACATATCCATCTCATTGTTCTTTTTCTCCTAGGAAAGAAAAGATCCTGCCCATCTGATCATGGACACAGACCCTCTCTTTCACACTCCACCTCATCAGAAATTTAATTTCCTCATTCTCTTCCTCTTCTGTTGCCACCCTTCTTTTTATCTTCGCCGTTTTTTTTTTTTTTTTTTTTTTTTTTTTTTTTTTTGCTAGCCGTGCGTGTATGCCCCTATCCCATTCCATTCCCCATTCATAAGAATGCGCCGGGTTCTTCTTGGGTGCATTGCTTTATTGAATGCGTGTTTGTTTATGCTCTCAAGCTTATTCGACTTCTTATTTTGTGGTTGTGAGAAACAAAACAGAGAAGAACGGCGGACGCAAAACAACAAAATAAACAACGAAGGATGAGCACTCCAAAAGGAGGGCGAGGGGGGGGGGTAAGCCTCGTTGGCTCTCTCTCTCTGTCTGTCTTTCTCTTTTTCTCGTTTCTCTCGAATCTCATTTTTCGGAGGGAGAGACAATAAAGGACTGAGCAAAAGAGAGAGAGAAATAGGGACAAGAGGGAAGGCTAGCATGCAAGTACAGATCGAATGGTACCCTGTGTCTGCCTGCTATGTCCATCCCCATTGTTAGACAAAATAGACCATACATGAGCCATAGCCTGAATAATGGAGAGGAGATGGTGCAACATACTTTTGAACTAGGCAGGTAGTTGGTGAAACGGTGAAACAGTATCTCTCCTCATGGTACAAAGTCTTGTCTCTCACCCTCCCTACGCTCATCCCATTCTAGGTGAATTATGCTAGTCCGAAATACCGACATTGTGCACTCCTTCTCCATCGAACATTACCCATCGACTGCCTTCTCCAACGCCCTCTCCTTGCTGTTTTTTATCTCACCCGATCCGGCACGAAGTGTCACACTCCTAATCCTTACTTTCCGTCATCTCGTTTTCAGGCGCCGCTACCGTGTTTGCTATGCTGCCCAGTCCATCGCGGCACAATAACGATATACTTCTCAACATTGCGCCTTCTCCTACCTCACCCCCTAACTTGGCATCCAACAAAAAAATAATCGGGTATACTCCTCACAGTTCAAAATCTTGCCTTTGATCACAATCATACGCGTTTCCCCCGTTCCCTCATTCCCGTGCATGCCCTTCCCCCGTTCCGTCCTTTGTGTGTGTCCCTGGAGTTGCGATATTTTTTGCATGTGCATGTGCATGTGTATGTGAAGCAGCTGTAATGGCAAAACCAGTGTAGTGAGCGATGCGCGAATATTGCGTTACTGAGGTATTATTAATGTTGTTCAAGTGTATGACGCGAATGGGAGGGCTGGGGGGTGCGTTAGGATACGTGGATCAGGGACGCAAGAGATAAGAGGTTACGTTTACACCGAAACTATGACATGACAAGAATCGAAAACTGAGAGAAAAAAAAAAAGAGCGAAGGAGGATCCATTATATTTTGGCTTGTCATCGCGTTTTTCTTGGCAAAAACCATGGATGGATAGGGCGTTTTTTGTTTTGTGTTTGTTTTGTTCAAAGTGTTACATCGTGTCTCCTTGGGTCCTCATAATAAAACGACAGCATTATCTTTTATAGGCGAAAAACCTATTTTGCCCCTCACCGCGCGCACAAAAACGTAACCACCGCGACCAAAAAAAAAAAAAAAATACGAAACAAAATCATCCAATTGATTTCAGGAACAAAGAAACACGAACACGTTTTTCACATCTGAAGTTTTAATCAATAGAAGCAGTCTGATGTGTACCTGAACGCCCAAGCAAAAAAAAGCAAAAACCGCCAAGGCACCGGTTAGCACCCTTTTCTTATTACATTAGCAATCTCCCCTTAGCGTCCTACCCTACCCTCCCTCACCATGCTCATTTTTTGTGCTCACCTCATCTCACACGGCCAGGTCCGCGTATTACATAAACCATTCACCCCCACCCCCCTGCCCCATGTTCTGAAAATAAACACAACTTCCGAAATGAACATCCCACCATGAATTTCAGTCAGTTCTCCAAAACCCCCCTCCACCAACGGGTGTATACAAGAGCTCTCCTATCCTACCCATGGGTACATGTGAGTGTACGAGAGTATAGCCGAGTGTGTAGACTATGAGAATATGGAGAACATAGTACAAGTGGTATGAGCATGGGTTATATGTAAGGTATGTGCTCAATTGTCTGACATTGAGTAATATATCAAAACACAACAGCCGTTCCACCATCCCGTCCACCTGAATAAAAAAAAATACCCCAGATAACAAACAGGTCTGTCAGGTATGTGCTCAACCAAAAAAAAAAAAAAAAAAAAAAAAAATGTCTGACATTGAGTAATATGTCAAAACACAAACTGCCACCTGAATATATAAAAAAAAAACCCCTCTCCTGGACAAAACAGCCTCACAGCCATAGTAAGTCAGCACTGACAGACGAAAACGACATTTTTTTTAAAAGGGGCCCATTGAGAAGGAATTGAAAGGAGCGCTCATGCATGCATGCATGCATGCAAGAAATCCCAAAAAAAAATGAATAGCTCATCAAAAAATACATTGAACATTGTGCATAATCGATCGTGATCATTTGTGTTCATGTGCTCGTGTGGGGAGGGAGAGAGGAGAGAGGAGCAGGGATCGAATGCCCAATTTGAAATGACGCCGGAAGAAGACAAGTGAGTCTACTTTTTCCCTATTTCTAGAAACGAACTTTCATTTCAAAAAATGTGCTCCCCCTTTTTTTTTTTTTCATTCCCTCGGTTCAGAGCGTTCAACCGAAAAAAATATTGGGAAAAAAAAAGTCGACGTTCATTCATAAAGAGTCGGAACAAACGAACGAGCAATTGAGCATGCTCATTTATCACTCTCACTTCCCCCCTCTCTTTCACACACACACACTCTCTCTCCCGATCACAACGGCATAACAAAAAGATAAAATTCCCATCATTCCTTCAATCAGGCACATGTGCGTACAAAGAGAGTGAGGAGGGAGGGGGAGCGGCTAAAAACTTTGCAAGGCGAAATTATTCTAGGTTAGTTCCCCCGGCAACGGAGGGGGTGATAAACAAGTCCGTCAAGGTTCAACCACATATGCATAACACACAATCAACTCCTATCAAAGTTCACTGACTTTAGAAATTTCATTTCCTTAAAATAATGTTAGCATTCAATCCAACCACACTCGTAGACACAACAGTAATGATCGGCCAAATGCTATCTTTCGATGGCTCCGTCCCACATGGGAGGATGGCAAACCGAGTTGACAATTGAGTTCACCCTATCTACGGCAAAACGATGGCAAGGATAACAAAAGGTCTCAAAGGAAGAAAGAGAGTTGTGAAGAAGAAGAACCATGACTTTATTTTGGACGTTTTAGGACACGGAGAAAGAATAGAACGAATCTGCACCATCAAAAAAAAAGAGTCGCCAGGACACTTCCTAGAGATGCGATCGTTTGACATTAGAAGCAAAAAGGCAAGCAAAGAAACAAGCAAACTGAAAAAGAAAATGAATGGTAAAATGACAGCAAAAACAATGTACTTTCAAACAACCACAATAAATAAGAAAACAACTAAGGCAAAAGAACATGAGATCCTGCAAAGGCGGTGAGGGTCGAATTGGATACAAAAAAGGGTGCTCGACCCTCAGCACTCCTGCCCGCCCATGTCCATATGAAACTGTCTACGGGTAGTCCTCGCCATCCTTGTGAAGCAAGATCTAAAAACGTATTGAATGACCAATAATAATAATAATAATAATTACGCGTGAATAAAGCCTGCAAGGTACTCAAAGACAGCCAACAGCGCAGCGCAGCCCAATTCAGAGACAAAGTGTAAACGGTACCTGAAAGTCAGTGATCTGGGGCAAGTAGGCGCAGGTGCTCAGATCCAGGATATAGACATCGTCAAAGACAGTACCGCCATCGTATCCTCCAAACATAAACAGCCGCGAGTCGTACAACAACGATGCATGGTAGCCCCGTCCAGCAGGTGGAATCCCGTAAACCTTGCGGGTTTCCCAAGACCATGTCACTATAGACGTAGCAGTAAATATAGACGTTATTAATTGCCATTTCCCGTGATCACATTGTTCAAGGTACAACAAAATATTCAGAAGGACGTACCCAAGTTGAGCATCACGACGTCGCAAGAGTACCGGCTGCCGTCATGCCCCCCGACCACGAACAAATAAGAGCCGATCTGAGTGGCCGTATGCGATAATCTAGGCAGTGCCCGGTTGATGTCGATTTTCACCCATTCATGTGTATCTATTCATTTGTATCAAATGCATAAAAAAAGAATTGGTTGTCAAATAGAGTTAGCTGAATGTCTGTCTATTCTGCCACGAGATCGGGTTAAAAAAAAGAGGTACGCAAAACAAACAGAGCCCTCCTCCTTCTCCCAAACAATAGCGATAAATGGCAAAACGTATATTATGAACGTACCCAAGTCGAGGACGTGGACATCGGAAAAGCACTCGTGGCCATCGCTTCCACCATAGACAATGAACTGGGACTTGATCAGGTTGCTGGTGTGGTATCCTCGTGCAATGGGGATCTGTCCTGTCGTCTTTACTTCAGTCCATCGCATATCTGCCAGATCCAGCTTGTAGGTGTCGTTCAGTGCCTGAACACCATCGCCACCGCCAAAGACATAGATACAGTTGTTGTAGACACAAGTCGTATGAGCGCGACGGCGGCAGGGTCGTTCGCCTGTTGTTTGAGGATTTGTCCATGTCAATGTATCTATTTTTTTTAAGCAAATTATGTCAGCGATCCTCTCCTCGTTCAAAAATAAGATACCAAATCCAAATATTTACAACAATCAAATATTTTGTTCCCACTGTACCTGTGTCAAGCATGTACACCTCATTGAAGTAATGTGGCCCATCGCCACCGCCAAAGACGTAAAGCCGCTTGTTATCCACAAGAGTTGAAGAATGTGCTCTGCACGGAGGAGGGATCGATCCGAATGTCTTTGGCTGCGACCAATGCATGGTATCTAATGCAAATGCATTCATTTTTAGAATTTCCCCGCAGAATATTAGTCGGGATGGAAAAAAGAGGGTTATAAAAAGACCTTGGCCTTGTCTCCAGTTTTTTTTTGTTGTTATGTATGGTATTCATTATTTTTTCCCTTTCCTCCGCCTCTCTTAACAAACATTCGTGCGCCGCCACAATCAATGCGTTAATGAGTGAATCTCCGTTCGCATAAAGTTGTGAGAAGAGTGGGAAAGTGCATTTACCGGCGTCGAAAATGTACAGAGTGTTGAAGCAGTTCTTGGTGTCGCAGCCTCCGAAGACGTAAACAGACTCGCCCACAAGGTTGACTGTCTGCGCACGAAGTTCCTTGGGTGGGATTTGTCCATGAACCCGGGCACGCGACCAATGCATGGCCGGTGTTGGTGCAGGCAAAACAGTTGCACTTGGCCTTGGTCCATTGGCAGATTGGCTTCCATCATCCTTTATTCTGTTCCTCCTGGAGGTGGTTGACCGTGTTGCTGTTCCTGAACCCGATCGTGACTCTGATACCGAGCCTTGATGCGGACTGCTTGAACTTTGCGAATGCTGGTGATGATGGTGATGATGATGATGCCTGGAAGGAGTTCCTGCAGTGGCTGTGGTAGGCGTTGCTCCCGGCTGAGAAGCGCCAGTTGTCCTGGAAGCCGAGCTGGTAGAGGTCGCAGAGTCCGTTGGAGGTGCGACAGAAGCAACAACCCCGCCAGGACTGTCATAGCCGTTAGACTCCTGAGCAGAGGGTGAACCGTGAGCTGTACTACCTGATTGGACCGCACCATTGACCTCTGCAGATCCGATGGACGACGAGAACGAAGAGTTAACGTGAGTAGGGAGCACATTGTTGATGACCTGTCCAGAGGTAGGCGACGCAGGCGAGATAGGGTGTGCCCTTTGCGAGTTCATAGGAGGACGAGTAATGGGTCCAGTGGAGACTGGTGACGACGCTGTGCTGTTAGTAGCATACACCTGTTGTTGCTGTTGTTGCTGCTGCTGCTGCTGCTGCTGTTGTTGTTGTTGTTGTTGTTGTTGTTGTTGTTGGATGGTGGGCATGGTAGAAGAGTATTGTTGCCCTGAGGTAGGATTTGATACGGTTGACATTGTTCCGGTAGAAAGATCTCGCCGATGCTTGGCTGTGAAGATGCTGTTGTTGCTGTTCAGTCCACCGCCACCTCCGCCTTGCTGGGTGCTCTGATACACGGCGTTATTAAGGATACTGTTGCTGATGATGGCGCCTTCTCGGTAGTTGGCGCTGCTGTTGGGACTGCTGAAGCTGTGCGAGCTGTTGACGCTAGTGGAGCTTGAGTCTGGTCCTCCTGGTGGGGTCGGTAATACGGATACGGGTGGGTGGTTGGAGGATTGGAAGGGTGGGTGTACTGAAAAGGACGATGAGGACGATGAGGAGGAAGTAATGGTTGGACGTTGGGAGAATATCTGGTGGTGTTGGGGTTGGTGTGATGAGGTCCTTGAAGGGAGAGGAGGGAGGGATACTGCTTCGTGGTATTGGTAGCTGAGGCGGGGGCTCTGGACTGAAGGCTGATCAGTAGGCGAGTCGATTGTTCCCTGAGAGAACTGGGAGGAGAAAGAGGGTGCTTGTGAGTGGCCGATGGCTCTACCGCGGGATGATGTGGATGAGGGGGAGGTGGGAGGGTGAGGTGGTGTTGATGCAGTAGGTGGTTGAGTCTTTGACCTGGGATGAGTTTGATTAGATCAAGGTGGATCAGGTGTACAAGAAAGAGAGAGGGAGAGAGGGTGAGGGTGAGTTAGTTGATCAGAGGAGTTGGATCGGTTGTTTGATTAAAGAGGAGGAGGAGGAGGAAGAAAAGGAGAGGTATAGAGAAAAAAAGGAAAAGGATAAAGAGAGCAGAGGAAGGCGTTTGCGTTTGCGGGTAAAAGAATAGTCGTTGACGGAGTGGATGGCGTGGTTAGAGCACAAGAACAAGAGAACAACGTTCGATTGTGTGTGTGCTTGGTGTAGGTAAGGGGGAGAGGATGAGGAGAAGAGTAAAAGTGGTTGTGCTGTGTGTATGTGTGTCCGTATCGATGATGTGCAGTAGATGGAGGAGGTACAGTAGATGGATGAGACGATAAAACGGCGCCAGAAGGGAGGACGCATTCGTCATTCGGGAATAGAGTGCGCACTGCACCGCACTGGCACAATCTCCATTCGCTCGCTCACTCACTGGCCGGAAGCCGGAAGGAACTCTTCTTAGACTCTCGCAACGTGGTCGTGCGTCCAAATAGCCCCGACCTGCTCGACCCACCCAGTCTGCTCCTATCCATGCTAGCCCCACCCTCTTCCTTCCTTCTCTAACCTTCACTCCATCTCCATCCTCATCACTCCTTCATCTCACAATTGAAAAATGTGCGGCTCATCACTCAAAGAGAACAAGACAAAAGGGGTGATCACTTCTTTTTTTTATTTACCTGGAGGATGGTGGGTGAGGGGGGCTGGTTGTCAAGGGGAAATTCCCGGTGTTGATCTGGCTCAGCTCCAACGGTACCATAGCCTGTGCAGGGAACATTGTTGGTTATCTTTTTTTTGTTTCTTGAGTGTGGTTGTTCCAGTGTTCCAGTGGGGAGTATCACGACGATGGGTGTGGCGTGTGTGTGTGTGTGTGTATGTGTGTGTGGCGATGGGTAGATAGGAAGGGGAAGGAAGGGAGGAGTATAAAAAGAAACGATAGAAATGGGAGAGATGGTGGCAAACAAAAAGAAAGATAAGGGGATAAGGTGCTGTGTACTAATTATGAAAAGGGAAACAAAGGGAAAAGAAACATCAGAAAGAAAGGAAAGAAGGGAAGGAGAGTAGTAGTACTAAGAGGATGCAAAATTGGCATTGGCCCTTCCCTTCCTCCTGTGCTTACCGTTGGTAAGGATGACGACTCCATATCCACATCCACATCCACATCCACTACATTGCACCACAACATACAAACCCATCCATACATCCCGTCCCTGGTTTGTTTCCCATCTGTCGCACGAATTGCTCACTTCTTTCAACTGTCTCTTGCTCTCTATTTTTTGTCTTTTTTTTTTTTTTATTTTCATTTTCATTTTTGATCCCATCATCCATCCCTATTACACTGAATTCACTTCAGCTTTCAGCGAGCGACTTGAGTGTCTGTCCCGTCCTGCGTGTGAGCAAATGGCGCGTGGCATTGGGCGCCGGTCTTACTTCCTTGGACTGGGACAGGGCTTTGTTTTGGGTTCCCTGGACGTGTAAAAAACACCAAGCACGACACTCAACACAAAAGGCGAGAGATAACAGGTGGACATAAAACAACAATGAAAGACAGCAGGTACTACGCTCATGGTAAAGAGCGCTGTACGCATAATCAAGCAAGGAAAATACTTGTTTGTCATCGAGAATTGAATGCGGTAGGGAAAGTGAACGTAATATGAAAGCGAGGTGCAGCAGGCGTATGTTTATTAAACGTGAACGATTAAAGAAGAAAGAAGAAAAAAGAGAGAAGAGGCAGCACGACAATATAGAAACACATGCAACAAATATCAAATAGTACAGACATGAAGGTGAAGTGCAGTGTTGGTTTATTAGAGGTATTGGAGAAAGGAATAATACAAAGCAGAAAAAGAAACAAAAGGGAGAAACATGCAACAACCATCATCCTTTTACGAGAGGTCGCAGTCAAGGAAGCCGTGATCGTAATGGCTGGAGACAAGGACACGGTCGCCAGTATTAGCAATAGCTGAAGGTGCTCCAAACTCAGACCCATCATGGGAAACAACCTCCTCCACGAACAACTTCTTCCTGTACCTGCGAGGGAACTCTGAAGGGTCAAACTCAACATCTTTCAAGGGCTTGGGACGGACCTGACCCTGCTGGACAGTGTACTCGGTTCCCTTGGAGATCACAAAGCCAGCCTTGACGGAAGGCTTGCCATCCTTGTCCTCGAACTTTTCTTTGGCGTGCTGGAGGTAGTCGTTCCAGCGGGGGTGCGAAACCGTGTAGAAGCCCTTAGTGGCCGCATCATAGTCCATACCAACGTTAACCTTAGCGGTGTGGATCGTCTCTTCCATCATCATACCGGGCCAGGAGACGGTGATGGGCTCGCGGGTGTCGGCAGAGAGGACGGTCTGCTCCTGGTGCTCGGCAGAGACCATGTGCGAGTGGTAACGCTCCAAGGTACCGCCCTTTCCGAGAGCCAACCAGTATGAGTTAGGAGGATTTGCGGGAACAATGGCTCCGGGCATCTGGAAGCGCCAGCCAACCTCCTGGGCACGGTCGGCACGAGGGTGGTAGAAGACGACAGACGAGGCGGGGAGGTTGTATTTCTCTTCGTATTCGCGCTTCCAGTTGGTGAGGTTATATCCATGGTCGTTGGTGACGAAGAAGGCAGGAGTGTCGTCGTTCAAGTGCGAAGCGGCGCCAGAGGCGGCAATCTTGTTGGCCGCATGGAAGTATTCACTCGAGATGGTCTTCTTGTAGACGAGCGACTTGCGGGCGGGGTAGTAGTAGAGCACCTCGACACGGGGGATCTCGTTAGGGACATGGTTGACCACAAGGACAACAACACGGGCAGGAGTGCCATCCTCAGAAGTAGGGGCGAAAGAGACTCCACTGGGGTGGAAGGGACCCTTGAAGCCCTTGATCGTCAACTTTTCAGCAGGCGATCCGCGCTGTTTTTTGTTGAGGTGAATGAAATATTAGTCAATTACACCTTCAACTGTCGTCTTGACCTCCTCTCGTGTGAGCAACCCTTTCATGAACTTTTTTTTGTCATGTTCGGAGTAATAAAGCAAAAGGGCATACCTTGTTGAGGTCGTAGACCCAAAGAGCACCGTCCTCCTTGATCTTGGACTCGTCAAAGATGCTGGCGGCATAGTTGCGGTAAGGGAACGAAGGGTCGCAGGCAAGGAATCCAATGTTCAAGCTGCGTTGAATACGGACATCATCACAGAACGAGGGTCCTATTCATTCACATTGCCAAAAAGCGTTTGCGTGTTAGTTATCTGTATGACGAATGTGATTGTAAAGAGAAAGAAGGGCTGGTTGTTGACCAATGGTCTAGTCCATGGAGGATCGAAACTCTATTCAACTTTCTTCTCTTGATTTGTGAGAATTTCTCGGATGTGTCCCGGTCCACGCTCACACAATTTTTTACTTTCTTTTACTTTTTTTCACTGGAAATAACAAACAAAACATCCAAATACACGCAATCCTGGCATAGAGTATCAAGAGTAAGGGAACAGGTCACTTACCAGCGACATGTTGGCACTTGTCCATGCCAAAGTTGGGGACAACATCAATACCCTCCAAGAGAGTCTTGGTTCTGATAACTAAAAGAAATATGGACAATAATTAAAAGAATGATTCGTTAGGAAGGAGAGTTCAAGATGGCAAAGCCTTTTCATATGTGATGCTGCTTCCTGAAAGATCTGGTCCTGTCTTCACTGTGTCGTCAAAGCTGAACAAGCCCATACGAACGAATCTGGTCGCTACTTTTTTGCACTTTTTGTTTTCTGATGTAACAAATTCCTGTCCATGAGAGTCTTTTTGCAGCTTCTTGCTCTACACCTGCGGTAAAGTTGTGCGCACCCGAGAAGGTGCATCTCCCACTTGATCCTGGTCCTGGATAAGCAACATCGGCAAATGTCCTGCGATAGCCCTGAAGGTTCCTGTAATGCTTATCGATGTACTTGTGTCCTGAGCAATACAAGAAGTAAATAGCTTCAAAAGGAAGGTAGAGGAAACTTACTGGGGAGGTAAGCGGCAATACCGATGACGGCGACCATTGCGCTTCCGACGTAGAACATTGGTGATGGCATGTCTGGTTATATATGTATGTGGTGATGATGAGAGGGGGGGAGAGGGGAGGTGATGGGCAAGGGGTGGGGATGAGGATGACTGTTGAGTGATGAGAAAAAGAAGAAGAAGAAGAAGAAGAGAAAAAAGGGGCCAGAGTGTGGGATCAAGAAGAAGAAAAGGGATTGCGTGTCTGTCCGTTGAACGGATAAGAGCCGAAGGGTCAAGTGAAAAAAAGAGTGACCCAAGTGAGAACAAAGAGAGCAAATGGCGCGTTGTCACTGGTCCGCTGTATTGAAAGAAAGCGTGAGGGGAGAGGAACACAAAGAAGGAAGGAGGAAGGAAAAAGACTGATCAAATCAAAGACAGACAACAGGGCAAGACACACATCACCACATCAGACAACCAAATGGTGATGGTGCCTGAGAACCTGCCGGACTGGACTGAACAAAACAAGGTTGGGTTGGGATTACTCTCTTCTCTTCCTTGGACCTTTCCATCCTTGAGAGCTTTGCTTTTCATTCACACACTCACGCTCACTTGTTCGTTCAAAGTGGCCAATCACCATCTGTCCCCCTCTTCTCTTCCCTTCCTTCTTTTTCTCATCTATTCCACCGCCACCCTAAACAGCTGCACACTCCTATCCGCCCATCCAACTTTAATAACACACTTCCTTCCTCACTCTCCCAACTCTCTGTTCTCTTCCTCCTTGCACCCAACAACGATGTACCGGTACGCCTTCTTCTCGACTCTTATTGTTCTCATCTCTTGAGCCTTCCAAACATAAATCAGCCAGGTTGTAAGTCATTCCACATCGTGAGAAAGTATCATCCCAACCGAAGCCTCTTACCGACAACATCCAAACAAAACTAAAACTCTGAGAAATGTACTTGTGACAAATATGACCCCCCAAATGACCATGCAAAACCATCGATCGGACAATCGAATGCTTCCAAATGCATTACGTCCAATACTTTGCACCAAAAATCAAATGCATGCCCATTGCGCTCCGGAAACACATCCGCCTCGCATTCTCTCTCTCTCTCACTCCGGTTTTACGTCCCATGATCAGCGCCGCTGAGCGTCCACAGTTTTTTCACACAAAAAGAAAACTCAAAAAAAAAAAAAACAGAGTACGAAGTTACGAATCTGGGCGCATCTCGTTACCCTTCATACTTTTTTTTTCTGCCGCTTCTTTCGGGACAGCATCCGTGGGGACAAAAGACAAATGTTTTTTTTTTCTTTTCAATCGACCACTAACCAACCACGCTCAGTTCTTTGTCACACAAACAAAAGAGCACACGTACACCTGTCTCTTCCTTCCCTTCCCTTCGCTCATGTTCTGTTCTCTGTGGGCTTTGGGCTTTTGGTGTTTTCGTATGTCGTTTGCTGAATGCTCACGTAAATACACAACATCTTTATTCCATTCATCCGTCGGGTCCATCACAAGTGCAAGAAGAAAAAAAACGGGAAATGAGATCGATAATTTTGTGCAACAGTGCAACAATGCAGGTTGTATTTTTTAATGAGAAAAAAAGGGGAGCATAACATGTCAAAAAGAAAACTTGAAAAAGAGTGGTGTGAATGGGATCGTGAAAAACCCAAAAACCCAAAAAAAAACCCCCTAGTGGCGATGGTGGCGGTGGCCAGAGCCAGGCTCCTCGACGACAACTCGGACATTGTCGGAGTTTTCAGAATCAGCAGGGACAGCACCGCCAGAGAACCCAGAATCTCTCCTCTCGTGCAGCATCTCCTCCACCTTGTGCGTGGCCTCGTTAGCGTGGTTGACAGCGGCATCCTTGAGAGAATGGATCTTGCTCCTGAGTGATCCGGGTGCCTCCTCAACTGTGAACTTCTTCTGCTTCCTCTCCTTGTCATCGACCGTGTCACCTCCAGTAGCATGCTGGATCGCCAACTGGGCATCCTCGCTAGCCTTCCTGGCCAACTCCTGCGCCTTGGCTGCGAGCTCTCGGGACTGAGCCTCGGACTTTGACCAGATTTCATCAACCTGCTTCAGCAGCTGTTGGGCCTTGGTGTGTGCGTCCTTGCCGGCATCGTCCATTCGAGTCCTGGCGGCTGCTTCGAGTTGAGCCAACTTGCCACGGACAGTCTCTTCATCGTCCTTGCTGCTGGTGTCCTTGAACACGTTCAGCTCAGATGCAATCGTTTCCGTCGAGGCCTGCAGCCGGTCTGCCAAAAAGTCTTTCAGCCCGTTCAGGTAGACATCGACATTGTTGGCGAGCACCTTGACCTTGGACTTTGCTGCCGTCTGGTCCGACTCGGCGCGCTGACCCATGTTCTTGACAGACTCGATTGACTGTTGCTTCAACTTAGCGAGACGGTCATCGAGATTGCCGCCATCCTGGTTGCGCCAGTCACGGACATAGGATTCGAATGACTCGTAAGCCTCGCGGTTGGCCTTTTCCAGATCGTAGGCGAACTTTTTGGCGCTCTCGACGTGCTCATCAATCGCAGACTGTAGCTTGGACCACAGGTTCTTGGTCTCGGTATCCTCGTAGTCGTAGAAGCGGCCAAACGATGTCTCGATACCGGCAAGCATCGCAGCCAGAGACGCCTTGGAGGCAGTGCCGGCGTCAAAGACCTTCTGCTTGGCAGTCTCTGTAGCTTGGCTAGCCTGGCTAGTGGCATCCTTAACGTGCTGGACTACAAAGTCCTTAGCGTTCTCGGCAGCCTCGACGGGGACATCCTGGTACTCCTGTCCATCATGGGCAGCCTTCTCAGCAGCCTTCTTGAGCTCCTTGGCCTGCTTGCGCGCAGCCTTTTTGGCCTTGGCCCTGGCTTCCTCGGTCTCCTCGTCGACATATACAAACGCGTCCTGGGCTTGCTGGGAAGCCTCATCGGCCTGGTGATGGATAGCTTGGTCGTCGGCGGTCTTGACAACCTTGGCCTTGATCTCGTTCACCCCATCGGTAGCAGTATCGTAGGTCTCCTGGGCCACGCGGGCAGCTTGGTCCGCCCACTTTCTCGCCTCATTCTCCGCCTGCTGCTTTTTCTTCTGGGCAACATCGGCAACGTACTCGGCTTCCTTGTCAACGGCCTCCTTGGAATCATAGGCTACTCCCACAACATTGTCTCGGAGATGGGCACCGGCTTCCTGGACATGATCGACCTGCTCCTGAGCAGCATGGCGGATTTGCTCGGCCTGACGAGCAGCAGCCTCCTGCGCCTCGTGGGCCTTATCAATGACAGCCTTCTTGACTCGCTCCGACAGCTTACCAGCTTCGTGAACCTTGTCGTCCGCCGTGTTCTTCAAGTACTGGGCATTATCACTAGCGGCCTCCTTGGCATCGTATGCCTTCTTGGCAGCGGCATCGCGGACGTTCTCGATAAACTCCTCGGCAACCTTCTGAGCGCCATATGCCTTTTCGTGAGCATTCGCCTTGGCATCCTTGGCCGCCTGGTCCGTAGCCTCCTTGGCCTCGCCCGCACTTCCATAGACAGCGGCCTTGATGGTATCGGAGTAGTCACCGGCGACCTTCTGAGCGCCAATAACAGAGTCGTGGAATGCCTCCCTGGCGCCATCGGCGTACTCTTCGGCGAGCTTTTGCGCTTCCGCAACCTTCTTCAACAGGGTGTCCTTGAGGGTCTCGGGCTCGGGTTCACGCTTGAAGTTCTTGGCGGCCTTCTGGGCAGCGTTGTCAACAGCGAGCTTGGCCTGACGAGCCTTATCGGCAGCAGCATCAGCAGCACGCGCAGCCTTGGACTTTTTGTGCCTCTTGCTCAGCTTTGTGCCCCAGATCTCGTCAGTGTGAAAAGCAAAGCTCTCCCTGGCGTTGTCGGCGGCATCAAGAATGACGGCGTAGGTCTGCAGGGCGTAAGGATTGACGTGCTTGAGGTACAGGTCACTGGCAGTGTTGTAAGCACGGTTGGCACCGACAGAGGCATGGTTCCAAGCGACCTTGGCATGAGGGGTCACCTTGTCGACCACAGGCTGGACATGGGTCGCATGGAGACGCCAGACATTGTCGTTGGCATCCTTGGACAACTTGCGGGCATAGACGAGCTGGTCCTGGGCCTGTTTCTGGTATCCATTGAGGGCGGTCTGGGCACGGTTCACATGATACTTGACCTGAGGGGTGTAGACGGTCTGATATGCCTTGTTGACATGAGGGTGAGCATACTGGTGATAGGCATCCTTGGCGGTCTTGATGGCGGGTTGGGCAACGTTAACATAGTACTTTTGTCCCTGAGCATAGAGGGGGCGACCAAACTGGTCAACATAGGGCACTCCATAGGTCTTGTACGTCTCGCCGACCTTCCCAACAACAGGTTCGGTATAGGGCCGGAGCCGGTCCTTAACAGACGCAGCACTTTTGCAGACGAGGTTGGTCTTGCTGTCGGGGATGGAGGGGCAGACAAAGAAGAGGGTGTAGCCCAGGTAGAGCAAAAGTCCTAGCCTGGCCAATCGTCTCAACGACAACTTTTTCTGCAGGGTTGTAGAGTGGATGACATCGGTGCCGTTGGCGAGCGCTGGTGGGGCCAAAATCGGCTGTTGCTCTCCTCGTTTAGTGGATGCGACCGCCGCCGAGTTCTTGATGTCATTGTTGGAGCGAGTCCTGGTGGGTGTCAATACGCCGCTGCCTAACTTTGTTGCTGCTGCCTCTGGGGAGGCCAACTCGGTTTGGTAGTGGTGGGGAGCTGCCGATCCTCTGTTCTTGGCCTGCGTGGGTGCTGGTGGCAGAGGAGGACTCGATGTTGGTGACTATTTTGTGGATATTTTTACCATGGTAGAGATGCCAACATGTTAATATGCATGTTCTGTTTTTGTTTGGTTGTGGAACATGAACACGCACCAACCACCATCTCATGCTATCAAGCTACTCCGATGGTGTTACAAGAGCAAGAGAAGAGTGGCTCGTGTGCAATTGATATACAGACAAGCGCTTACGTTGACTCCTTTAGACCTTGATTTTCCTGACGACATAGTTTGGTCGTTGTTTAAAAGGAAGCGTGCGACTAGGGTTTATACGAGAGAGTGAAAGTTGTGTTAATGAGTTGGGAAAGTGAATGGAATGGAGTTGAGAATGAATGGAAGAAAACACTGACGTGACAAAAACGACGGAAAAAAAAAGAGTAGAAGGGGCTGCTTGTTAAGAGAAACTCTACAATACAACCATAACAACAACAACAACAACACGCGCGTGTTGTCTCCTTACCTTTTTTTTACAATGAAGTTATCAATGGTAGAGTTGGATGTGAGTGGGGTGTATGTACAAAGTGAAAATAAACGTGAGAATGGGATGTGAACGAGTGAAGAAGAGTAAAGAGAAGAAGAGAGAAGAAAAAGGGGGTGGTTGGGAGAGATGTTGAATAAGTGATGATGTGTGGAATTGGGAAATAAAGAAAAGAAAGGGGGATGTGGATGAAAGAGAGAAGGGAGAAGAAGGTAACCGTGAAGAGGCAGAAGAAGAGGCAGAAGAAGAGAGATGTCTGGTGTCTTTTATGTAGGCCAATGGTTCATAAGCGGATCACCGCGAATAGTCAGCAGCAGCAGTGGCCGAGATTGACACGCTGCGAACCATATCAGCGCGAGGAGGTGTGATGTGATGATGAGCATAGTTCGGAAGAGGTGGGAAGAATGACACCAATGATGTCCTCTAACAAAGATATAGTTTTGTTGTCATCCTTATCCACTTATCCGCTGTTCAACGGTCGTGTGGAAAAGTTTTTTGTATTCGGCGCTATGGTAGACTTGCATTTCTAGGCTAGCACCACCTCTCAAGAATGACCACATCCTGACGTCGTCTACAAGAGTGGTCCCAGGAAGGCCCATTTTATGCAAAGTCAGTCTACACTTGATCGAAAAAAAGTCGAAAAATACGTCACGTGGACATATCACACTTACCGCTCTAGGGACTGCATTCTGCTGGCAAGGTGAGAACAGAGATCACGAACATCTTCAGCAGCATCTCAAGTAGCAACCAACCAACCAAAACAACAAGCCATGTCGCAAGTCAAGTTATCGCTGCAGAACGCACTACTCACACTCGAGCAACTCCAACAAACACCTTCACGGGAAGACGGCATCACAGAGGAGCAAGAAGACCATCTCCGTCAACTAGGATGTCATCTCATTCAACACGCAGGCATCCTCTTGAAACTGTAAGTTTATCTTTCTACCTTCAGGAACGGGTACCAAAGGCGCTGAGGAAGCAGGAGTCATATGTCATATGCATATGGGTAAAGAGTACTATACAAGGGAGAACATATAAATGTTGGAACTTTGCTACCAAACCTATGGCCTAACACGTCTCGCTGATTTATTTTGGATCGATATAGGCCTCAGGTCGCCATGGCCACGGGTCAGATCCTCTTTCAGCGGTTCTTTTACCAGGCCTCACTTCGGAAATTTGCCGTCAGAGTAAGTTCTCCTTTCATGACAAACCATGGATTGAGCGTTCAACTGCTAAAACGCCAACTTGACTGGTACTACACGCACTCACCATCTCACTTCTTTTTCTACGTTAAACATTCTGCGGACTACAATGGATCACGATACAAATACAAACAACGCCACCAAAACAACTTTTTTTTACACCAACATCATCAAGGATATCAGCATGGGATCGGTCTTTTTGGCTGCAAAGGTGGAAGAATGCCCCATTCGGTTTTTAGACCTGGTGAACGTTTTTGATCATCTCATCAAGAAATTCCACCGGCTGCCTCTCGACCCCATGCCAGCCTACCAACAAGTAAGCGAGCAATTCGGATCTGGACTATACAACATGTTTCCTTACAGAGGGGAATCTATGCCATTTTTTTCTTTATCAATGCATCTCTAATTAATATGTTACATTCACATTTCGAGTAGACCTTTTACACATTGAAGGATGCCACGGTGGTGGCAGAGATGCAGATTCTGAAAAAGCTGTCGTTCAATGTGCATGTTCAAACGCCTTACGCCATCATGATCAACTATCTCAAGGTGCTGGAACTCATGGACCATCCGATCATCCCACAACTGGCATGGAGCTATCTAAATGACGGGTAATGATTTGATAATCTCTCCGCCGCTTTTATTTCCTCCGCATCACAACTTCTTGAATATGCAGTAGCAGAACAAACAAAACATGTTACTGACGCATTATGTCTTTATTTTCCGACGTTTGAAATAGGTTGAGGACAAGTATATACATTTGCTACCAGCCACCGACGATTGCATGCAGTGTGATCTGGCTGGCGGCAATGAAGGAGAATGTGGCGTTGCCGACAAGTCCTGCATGGTGGGAGGTACTGGATGCTAAGCTGGAGGATATTGAGAACATTGCAGGACATATCACATCGCTCTACCACAGGCCGCTTCCTATCTCGACGCTGCCGTTTACGATTGAGCAGGTGGAGCCTTATCTCCGGGGAGAGCTTAATAAGAATGCCAGCAATGGATCTCCTGCTGCTGCTGCTACTGGTTCTCTTTCTTCTACTTCTATCAAGGGGACACGCGTGTCACGGTTTTCCTGAAGACAAGGGTTGATTTGCAAGCGTGTCCGGCTGTTGCCCAAGAACAATAAATGAACCGCGAAAAGTCATGTGAGCATTGCAGCTCCCTGAAAAAAAAAGAAAAAAGAAGTGCACCAGCTGCGCCTTGTGTCAAAGGATAAAAAAACTTTTTATTCCCCTTCTCCTTCTCTTCTCCTTCATTACACTTCACACTACTCCGATACCCCTTCCCCTCCACAACTACCATGCCACACATCATCGAAACAAGACCCTCAGCGACAGGCCCCGCCACCGCAGGAATAGGAATACCTTCAGAACACAACAACTCCATCCACTCCACCACTGACGCTACCACTACCACCATGTCTACAACAACAACAGTAGAGGGATCCATCCACGACTCAGGTGTCGATTCCCTCGACGACTACGACTCGGATTCCGACTACCTCTACACAAGTTCTGATGACGAACAAGAAAGCCCTGACTCATCAACAACAAAAGAACACATGACCCCCGACCAGGTACAAAAATTCCAGCAACTGCAACTCGAACAACGAGAACACCGCAGAGCCCTCCGCCAGGAGATTCAACAGCGCCAGCAACAACAACGTCGCCGTCGACGCCGAGACGTTTTTTCAACCCTCCCAGCCCCTGTCCTCCAACAGATCCTTGCCCGCCTGCCACCTTTCCAGATGCTTATTATCTCGGAGCTATCCCGGCGGTTCTATAACTTTGTAGTCCTCGGTCAAGATATGAACGAGGTCTGGTTCAGGCTGGTCAAGCATGAAGAGGCCGAGGAGAAGAAGCTGCTCGACTGGTACAAGCTCAAGAAACTCGAGCAGGAACATCGGTCTGTCCAGATGTTGCGGTCTTACTCCAACTCTTCCACCTCGTCCAATATGTCGAGTGCCTCCTATGGAAACGGATATGGTCCCGCGGACGAACGTGTCCCTGCGATTTCTAAGCAGGCGCAGAGGCTGTTGAACAAGAAGCAAGAGGCTACCGGTGGCAAGTCGACAAGTACTGTCAAGGCGATGCGGCGAAATGACCGCAAGAAGAATTGGTGCAAGATTTATGTTGACACCATCTTGCGTGGCAACGGAGAGGATCCCCTTGAGGCCTTGAACCAAATTGCATGCGGGTAAGTTGTTTTGGACACAGAAAAGGTTTTTTGTTTGTTTACTTGCGCCTTTTTTTTTTTCTTTGGTCCGAGTGTAAACGAGAAGTTTTTTGTTTTGATTTCACATGGGGCTAAGGATTGGATAAGAGAGGATCCTGGGAGAAAGGAGTGGAGGGAGGGAATGAGGATGAAAAAGATTCGCACGGACTCGGAACAGATGGATGAGTGAGTGAGACCCTTCTCTTTCGCTTGTCTGTTTTTGTTGCAAAAGGGGGATGTGAGAAAAAACCAAGGAAAAAGGATGGGGCGGAGTGGTTGTTTCTATGTTGGTCCGAGGGGCAAAACAGACCCCTTTTCGATTAGGAGGATAGACAAAAAAAGATCTCGCATCGGGGATGGAGTATGACGAACCAGCAGCAACATTATTTGACATGTCTCTCTTTCTATTCTCTGACACAATGTCTGCTTCTTAGACCCGCAAAGAGGCCTGTCAAATTCCAGACCCTTTCTCTGAATGAACCCCTGCCATTGGAATACTACAAGGACGATGATTACAGGGACGCGGACAATGGCGACACGGCGCTCTCGCGGGAGGCCAGAACACAAGCCAAGCTGGACAAGCGGATGTACTACAAGTCGATCCGGTCGAAACCCAAGGGCAAGAAGGCTGGACAGATGGACTCTGCTGCAGCCAAGATTGACAAGATCTCGTCATGGCGGCAACCAGAGTGGACTCAGCAGGATCAAGTTGCTATCGAAGAGTACTGAGGCAAGCATGTGGATCATCTTTTGTTTCGGCTTCTGCCGATGCGACAAGATTATTTTACATCCCTAGGAAATGCCGAGGCATGCATGAGGAGGTCTTAGTACATACCGGACCTGCGGCTGACTTTTTTGGAATCCACTCGCCGATTCGTACCTTGTACCTTTTCTTTTATTTTCACTCCCTACTCCTTCCACTCCCCACTCTTCCCTTTTCAATTCACTTTTCTGTAACCCCACCCTTCACATCATCTCATACTCTTGTTTGTACTTTAATTACTCTTTACACCCATATTATCATCCTTCATCCTTCATTCATATCCATCATATTCTTTTCCGTGTACTATAAGCACCGAGAATAAAATACAATTCATTCATTTCTCGTTTGCAAAGCTCGTTGGGACAAAGGTGTTTTTTCAAGGCCCAAAGATTTTAACACATTTTCGACGCGTCGCCACAAAGGTTATTTAGCATTTTTTAGCACTTTGACTTTCGGGCCTACCCTACCGCGTCTAGTCGTAAACCTTTTTTTCTTGCAAGCACAGTAAAAAAAAAACTTGTCGATAGAGGGGGTATTGAGGACGTAGTGCGGCGATCGCGATCGTGTGACAAGATTACATGTAGTGGTTGCCGCGTTGTTCATCTGCTGTCTATATCAATACAACATGACGATAGTGCTCGCTATGATTGATTCGTGAGGTGGATGTGGACAACAAACATCTTTTGACAAAGAAACATGGTCCTTTCCCGAAAGTCTAATAGATGATTGACTTCCCCTCCCTCCCCCCAGTACACACACACATAGTTTGTCGCATCATCAGCAAAACCATCTAAATATTTTCTCGTGCTTGCCATGCAAACAGAACGCGTTCAATGATATCAATAGCCATTATTCTACATCTTTTTTTCTTTTTTTTATTACTATCCTCTACCGTCCAGCATAACAAAAACAGGAATTTTTACTTCTGCGACAAATAAACATTAGGAACTCCAACAAACTCCCCAGCCCCCAGTCCACCAAGCCTAGAATTCACCCGATCCATCACCCGCTTAGTCGCCGGAGAAGCAGGCACCGACCCCGGCCGTGATCCAGTCCTTGACCCTGGTCTCGAATTAGGCCTCGACCCAGGTTGAGACTGTCCCGGAGTCGGTGTTGTCTGTCCACCACGTCTCGACGCTCCTCCTGCAGTAGTATCATCAACACTGCCCTGTGTAGATGATCCTCCATGGCCCTTGATCGTAGTCATCCCACCACCACCACCAGCACGATCAAAACTGTTCTCCCGCGTCCGTCCTTCATCCTCGTAATGGTCCCGATGGAAGGAATGACTCTGGTGTGAGGAATAGTCGCCGTCGCTATCAGTCGAATCATCATCCTCGTCCTCGTCATCATCCGAAGACGATAATGACAAATCGTCACAGCTGGCACGTGTCCGGTGTCCACTCACAGTCCGACCATTGTTCCATCCTCCTGCCCCAGCACCTCCTGTTCCTGCACTGGACGCCATGACAGAACTCGAGTTGCTTCCCTTATTGCTACTGGGAGCACGATGACCCTGGTTCAGGTTGCCTCGATTCCGCGCTGCTGCCATGCTAGACGTCTGAGAGATCTGACTATTGCTGAGTCCACTCATCGCACTGGATCCAGAACCAGACGACCGCTGAGCATGATGCCCCTGTCCAGGCGCCTGCAACCGCACACGATGTCCCGACCCTGATCCCGGACCACCACCACCACCACCACGTCCCGCCGCAAAAGAGCTGTTGGGAACCAGCCCAGGAACAGGCGATCTCAACTGCGGTCCAACTCCAGGTTGGCCACTTTTGCTCAAATCGTCCTGTCCATCAGCAGCAGCAAGGTCAGACCCAACAAGAGCAGCACCGCTGTTGAACGACGAAGGCTCCATCAAGAACGACGACCGGATGGAAGAATACGACCGATTGATCGACAAACTCTTGTTCAAGATCTCGGCTGCCATCAACGTCGATTCATCCTCATCATCCTCAACAATCCTTTCATGGTGGGGCGAGAAGAAAGATCCAAATTCATCCCGACTGCCCTTGCTGCTGTGCCGAGAATGTCGCTGGTGGCCGCGGTTGAATCCAGGTCCATTCAAAGTCAAAGCTAACCCATCTCTACTACTACCCTTCGCACCTCCGGCGCCGACGCCTGCCTCCCTTTGAAGAGTCGCGTCGCCGGCTCCTCCCAAGAGCGAATGTCGATAGTTCCATTGGCTGTTCTGATCCGAGTAAGGCTGGGCTCCAAACGACGTACTCTCTCGCTTCCGGGCATCGTTGAACCGTGCACTCTCCGCAAAATGCTCCGTCAGATCGTCCAGCGCCGAGACCAAATGTCCATACTGAACCTGGTTGCCATTCATCTCATCACTCCGATCAACATTGTAAGCCGCACCAAATGCCGAGTTCGAGTCTAGTCCGATATGCATACCGTCACGCTCAACAAAGTCCATCGGCATCCCTCCTGCGTCCATCGGGTACCCAAGCTGGTTCATCTCGTGTTCTGCCAAGAGCTCGACATCGGCGCCCCAGTATCCAGTTCCTGTGCAAGTCATGACCACAGCATTGACATTGGCCCGGGTCATCTGCCAAAAGTGCTCCCGGCGTGGCTCGGACCAGTTATCGGACATCGATCGTCGCTCGAGTCCAGTGCCGCCGCCGAGAATACCCTTGGTCATGTCCTCAAAGTTTAGGCCGGGACTCTGCGCATCCAGGGGCACACGAATCTTGAAGATCTCAGCCGACTGCTCCGACAGATTCATCGCTGCGTCCAGAACCTCCAACGCCTCAGTTGCGTACTCGGCCTGGAGAAGCAGACGCAGCAACGGCATCACCAGCTCAGGACCAATCTCCAGGAACTCAATCCTGGTCGTATCAACCAGCGGCAGGAGCAACTTGAGACACTTGAGCGACTTGTGTTTGTAGAGTCCGGGGCTGTTATAGAGCAAACGTATAAAGAACAGGATCATCTCTGCCTGGAGCTCTGGAATAAACAGATCCCGCAAGAGGACCGCAATCTGTCGCCAAAAGTCGTCCTTGGTTCGGAACCGCTGCTTGGAATAGGCTCCCAAGAGGTTAACAATGTTGTAGTATCCGTCTCGTTCAGCAATCATCGAAATATCTTGCGCCCACTGTATACAGTCGTCGTTGATGTCCTTGATCTCGAATCCCTCGGCCAGGAGGGGAAGAACTCCCAAGAACAAAAAGACGACGCGGTGCTCCGAGGGGTCGATCAATGCGTTCTCAGAGACAAACATGATCCTCCGCAAGAGTCTCAGCGAGATCTGCTCAGTGTTGACGGATCGAAGGCCCTTGAGGAGCAAGGGTTGGATGCCCATGAAGGCGCTGTCCCACTGCTCGGGAAAGTACGACAGCAGGAACTCGAGCGTTGGTGGGTCCATGAGATCCAGACTGTCGGTGACCGTCTCCAGAATCTTAAGTCCCTCCAGGTACTCCTGGTCATGACCCGTGTACAGACAGGCGATCGACCCCCAAAAGATTTGAGGGAACTGCATCATCCGCGCAGTATCAAATCGCTCGATTATCGACTGCAAGGAGATAAGAATCTCCATCGCAAACGCCTGGATCTCTTGACTCTTGTCAGCAACCGTGTTGGACAAACGGGCAAGCATATCGGCCAACATGTGCTGGTTGAAACTGGGCGCCAGGGCTCGGAAGATCTGGAAGGAGCGGCAGGCAATGTGTCGGACGGGACAAGCTGTTGCCCATTGGAGTGCCGTCTCGCCCCACTGCTGACGGATCTCAACCTCGGACGCCTGGAACACTTGAACGGAACGGTAGACCAAGGACTCAAGCTCCGGAGAGTCGCGCGTGTTGAGGGTGATGATGTCGTCGTAGGCCCATAGTGGCTTGCCCTCTTTGGCGTTCAAAAAGTCGACCAGTTCGTTCGACTGCTCGATAATCTCAAAGCTACGCGACTCGCGGATGATGATCGAGTGGATGAGATGGACCAGGAGAGATCGAGTCTGGTCGCAAATCAATGCCGTGTAGTGGTCCAGCTGAACAAACAACGCCTGAAGAAGCAGGGGGAGGTGTCGACGGAGATCAGCTCCTGCCTCGACTGCAAGATCGACCAACAGAACGGTCGCCAGCTGGCCTCGCGAGAATGCTGGTCTCTTCTCTCGGCCATTGCTTAGACTGTCGAGGTTGGCGAGGAAGAACTCGGAGACGAACGGCGGTTGGATGTGGTTGCGCTCCTGCTTCAACTTGGGAACCATCGCTCTCGGGGATATCTCGCTGATGAGGATATCGACCATCCTCGAACAAGCCGAAGTGCGACCCAAAAAGACAATGACCTTCTTGGCAGGGTGCACAAACTCTGGGTTACGCTTCTCCAGACCGAGATCCAGCAGGAACACGATGATGGGTCGAATATTGGCAAAGTTGTCGCCGGCCACCAATTGCACCCACAGGTTCTCGACCTCCTTGACATGATCGTCACCGTACTTGACCGTCAAGTAGAACAGGTTTGTCAGGACCACAAAGGACGTCAAGCTCAGGTCGTCGTGCTCGTCCACCACCAACTCCACATTTCCAAGCCAGGGAGCAATGTAGTAAAGCATCTCGCCGCGCCAGACGGTCCGAACCAGATCAAAGCGCATCATCGCCTCTGACAGCAGCGAATACGTCTGCTCCGCCTGATCCTGTGCCAGGCGAGCGGAAAGGACATACTGCGCCTGTCGATAAATGGTCGGCAGCTTGTTGACGATCCCAATCTCGTACTCACCCGCACATGTGTCGGTCAAGAAACGGGCCTCGACGACCTTCAGCAACTTGATGGCTAAAGTCCTGATGTGGATGTTGGAGTCTCCACACTTGAACAAGGCCAGGCTGAGCATCTGGTGGACTTGACAGGGGTACGATTCGATCCTCAAGATAATGTCGACCAGCGCTGTAAAGTGGCCCTGAATGAACTTTTGCGACATGTCTCCTGCATAGCACTGGTTCAGGGCGTCCTCCAGCAAATCTACACGGTCCTGGTTATGAATCAACAATGCCTCCAACGCGCTCCTATTAGATAAAGTTGTAAATGCGAATGTTAGAGAATGTACATTGATGTTCATTGAAGATACGTCGTTTGAATTAAAAAAAAAAACACTTACTGCGCGATGGTGTACAGCCTCTCGTCAGGACTGCGGAAGACGCTCTCAATCCACCTGAAGACCTCCTCAATGTTGAAGCACGCCCTTGGTCGATCAGGTCGCTGGTTGGGCGCCATGTTGTTGATAGGCCCTTGCTAAAAACAACAACAAAAGTCGCGCATCAGTTAGTCTTCCAACACTCAATATTAATTGCTAAGCAGCCCAAAATGTACACGTAAGCTTACGCAAAGTGAGGCCATGGCACGAAGGGCTGCCATCTCGAGGTCAAACTTCTCCTCCATCTGGATCTCGTTGCTAGGGTCATGACCAAACCAGATGGACCGGTTGTCACTGTCCCGGATAAAAGTGCTCGGACCGTGTCCACACCAATCGCCAAAGAGCTTGAAGAGCGTGAGACGGTACTCAAAAGGAACAATCGTCTCGGGGTTACCTATTTGTGAAACGCCGTTGTAGGAATGGCAGACAAACCCACAAAAGTGTGTTCGTAGCTTCACAAACTCCCACTCTTGCTTCACTTCCGTGTCGAGAAGAAAGTTGGTCGTCTCGCGGACATAGCCCTTCAAACTGGATGTGATGAGGTCGTCGTGCACCAAGGCGGGGCTCCTGAGCAAGGGCGCCGTGAGGTCGAAGATATGAGCAATCTCGGCGCGAAGTCGATCAATCTTCTTGTTGCGCTTGCCGTTGTAGGGCGGCTTGATGCCGTTCTTGGACCGGAAGTCGTCGTGGATTGAAAAGAGTAATGGCTGAATGTCCTCTAGCATGGCCTTGTAGATATGGACGTTGATCCTTCCCAAGGAAGCGACAACCGATTCCCTGATAGAGTGGCGATCGCTGTACAACAGTGGCAGGATGAGTCGGAAGAGATCCCGCGCACAGGTGATCTTTTCAGTTGGGGCAGACTTTTTCCGTCCATGTCCTGGGGCTGCGGGCGACTGGTGCTCGTGCCGGATCATTGTCGAACACACAAAGATCAAATACGTGCGCCATTGCTCGACCATCTCTTCCGTGGCGACTTGGGTGGTCTTGATCGAAAACTTGGAAGCCAGGGTGCTGTTGAGCGCCAGGTCGGTCGTTGTCATGATGGCAGGGTACAGGATCATCAAGCGCCGACTGACAGTGTCCAAGCACGGCTCGCAGAGATTCGGGAAGTAGTGGAAGATCTTGGTGACCAGGAGAGGAAAGCAGGACCGCCAGATTCCGACGTCGACACTGTGCTCACTTCCTGCAAGAAGCGAGAATACCTCGCCCGATCCTTTTTGGTGGTGGATCTGCAGTCGGATCAACTCGTGTAACGCCAGAGGACAGTCCTTGAGGGCGTTTCCGCTCTCATCCACCTGCAGAAGCTCCTGAACGGCACTTTGCAGGAGGTGGTAAACCCTTGTAATCTCCAGACGCGGTCGTACAGAAACACTGGCTGGCATAACATCCTCCTTGTTGGGCTCATTGCTTGCGGGTGCAAGTTGTGACTCTGGACGGTCAAAGGAGGCAGCGAGCTTTAAGATCGAGACGGCATACCGACGGATAATTGGAGAGGGGCTGCAGAGGAACAGCAGGCCATTCTCCTCTGTTGTAAGTAGCTGAGTGGCCAAGTTCACTTCAGGAGCAAAGGACGAGAATGAACGCGAACCCTCGGTAGACGTAGCCGGACTGGCCAAGGGAGCGGAAGAGGTGTTGGCCGGTCCATCGTTAGATGTGGTAGTATTGGCACTGTTCGATTCCCGTTCCTGTTGAGCCTGGGTGCGAGTGTCCTGGATCCAGGCCTCCAAGATTTGGATGTAGATCCCCAAGAGTCCAGTCTCTGCAGGCGCTGCTGATCCGGGCACAGAGAGTCCTGCAAGCAGCTCTGAGAGACGATCCTCCACAGTGCAGACGAATGCAGAATATCCAGCCACGACCATTTGCGAATTGCACTGCTTGGCGATGCGGACAAGTGCTGCTGCCGAGGCTTTTCGCAGCTCTGGGTCCACGTGGGCGGTGTACCGGCAGAGAAATTCGATGATCCTCTGCAGATGGATTCCTGAAGGCATGCAGCGAGGGAGACAAGTCACCCAAGCCGTCATAAGATCAAAGTACACCTGCTTTTCGCGGCTATAAGAGACCGCAAGTGTTGAATACTGGTGGACCATCGAAGCGCCACCATCTCCGGTCGCCGTTGCCATGAGTGCCGCTGCTGAGAACATGCTCCTTGCAGTTGTGTACTTTTCCTCCAGGATGGTCGTTTGACCATAGTTGCGGTCACAAACAATGGCGATCTTCCCGAGGACAGCAATCATTTGGTCGTATGTGTCCCGCATTCCTGCTCGGTTGATAATACTCGGGTCCAAAATGTCGGATGCGGTGTCGGAATCAGAGACAACGTTGACGGCATCTCCGGCTGTAGGGAACGGTGGACGGTTGCCGGTCTTGTCGAGGTCTGCCAAGATCAGCATAAATGCTCTTACGGCGATGGTCATCCGTTCGGGCGAAATCATGTCCATGGTGAGGTTGGTGTAGATGACGTTGGAGAACGACTCCAAGTTCATCAGTAAGAAGATGATAGACCGCGTTGCATAGTCCGGTTGACGGGCTCCAATAAAATGTATGAAGCGGACGTAATGATTCAGTGATCCTTCCTGCATGGCAGACGACCTCCGATGGGATGGGAAGAGCGCCTTGACAATGTCGTCCAGTTTCCTGTAGGTAGTGTTGGTTTCATCAGAGCAGCGAAAAAGGAAAACCCAAAGCAGTTGAGACGCGCATGTCAGGGCAATCTGGCGCATGACCTTGTCCTTGAACTTCTCCCGGCAGGCGTCGAATATGGATTGCCAGTGCTTCATGAAAAAGTCCTTCTTGCTGACACAGAGGAGCATGGTGACGAGCGGGAAGGCCACTTGGACATGCCGTGGCTTGTTGATCATCTTGCGTGCCTTGGGGAAGATAAGCTCTACGGTCTTGGACCAGTTAGGGTGGTTCACCTCAGCCAACGCCACCTACATAGTAATACAAGCCAGCGATTAGACGTCTTCAAAACGCCAATTTTTTTGCTATCCAAGCTCTACATCTATCGTGTATGTATTCATTTTGTACCTTGGCAACAGGAGTCAAAAGCTGGACAAAGAGCTCGGCATATGCATGCTTGATCCTGATCCCGCGCGCCAATTTGAAGAATCCCGCACAACTCTGAAGGAAATCTGCGGTGTCGTCAAGGCAATCCATTGGGTACAGCTACAATGGAGAGGTAAGATGAAACTCCTGTTAGACATCTTTACTGCCATAAGCCCCTGCCTTTCGAATTCTCCATTAATATTGTGCATGTACCTTCAGGTTAAGATAGCGCATGCCGCGGATAAGCATCTCCATGCGAAGCTCCATTTCCTTGTCCTTGACAGGTGCTCCTGTCTTGTATTTCTCCAGTTCAGCAATGAATCGATCACTGACAGTAGCAAAGCGCACATTCGAGAGTGATCCCATGAGCTCCACCAACGCGTTCATGTTGGCCGTCCGGTTCGCCGACCTTTGAACAAACTCACTAGCAGAAAATAAAGCAAAAGGTATCGTCAGTGTCGAACACTATTAAAACCCACACGTGCTCGGTTCAACCATTGAGCATGAGTGCCTTACGGATCTACGGTTTCGAGCTGACTAAAGACGATTTCTTCCAGACGGGACCCGAGCTCGTCCGGAAGAGTATCCTTTTGGACCTGGCTGACGATCTCGATCAACGATCGCGACATAATAAACAGCGAGACGACCTAATTAATGCATGCGGAGAAAATTATCGATTAGTTAGTTGGGATCTTGGCTGGATGAAGACATTGGACGACATTCAAGGGGTGCATGAATGAGTTGTCAACGTACAGATTTCCTCTCTTTGATTACGGTCTTTGGGTCCCTAAACTTGATGTTGATAGACCAATCCCCTCTAAAATGCATTAGGAAAGTGGAAAAGGGCACATGGTATGGGCCAGGGTTAGTATTAGGTAATCGTCAGGCATACGCGTACAACATAGATGTGGACAGCGTTGAACAGATGAAGTAAAAATACACGATCTTACGATGTCGACTTTGCATTGTCATCCAGGGACTCGATCTTGCTTTTGCGCCAGAGCATCACGCAGTCGATCACAGGTTTGGGTCGATGCCGCGCAACTGAACCCAAAGATGCCAATAGTTTGTCGAACTTTGGATCGACGCCCTGCTTGAGTGGCGACAAGATATCGGGTTCTGAGTCTTGCTGTAGCGGGGAGAGATAGCGCACAGTTTGGAATAATAAAATTTCAATGGGTTAAAATTAGGGTGCAATGCAAGCCTCCTTGAACAAAGCGCATTTCGTTATTTGTTTCCAATCCGTGTTTCGAGGTGTTTGAGAATGTTGCTGTGTCAAATAAACACAGCGTGTGTTCACAAGAAAAAAAAGCTCCGTACCAGTGGGATCTGCACCATGGCATTGAGTTTGGCCTCGGCCATCTTGACAAACTGCGTGAACAGCATCTTGAGAGCAAACTCGGATGGCGTTTGAAGCTGGTGAGGCATCATTGACATGCCCTGCTGTTGCTGTTCTTGGATCAGCTGTATGTCTTGTGGTGGTGGTGGGGGTGGAGGTGGGAGGGAGTGTCCTGGTTGAGCGACGTCGTGTTGGAGCTGGTAATGATAGGCCGGCATATGATGCGATATGCCTGAAAGCTCAGTCGCAGTTCCAATGCTGTCCTGGCTCTGGCTGTGGCTATGACTGCTCCTTTGAAAACCTTGAGCCTGCTGTAGTCCGTTCTGTAGCTGGAGAAGGACATCCTGGCTCGGTTGTTCACCATGGATGTTATCTTTAGATCCAATCAAGGAGTAAGGCGACCTCGGGGTATGTGCTCCGTCTCGAAACTGGCCTCCGCCGCCACCCAGATTGATCGAGAATGGTTGTGAGTTTTGCTGGTGTTGTTGCTGGTGTTGTTGCTGGTGTTGTTGCTGCTGTTGCTGTTGCTGGAGGTGTTGTTGCTGCAACTGTTGCTGGGCGGAGGGTGCATAGGACGAAGTGGGCTGGTTGAAGTAGTCTAGAGGTTGTTGCTGTTGTTGGAACTGTGCCACTTGGTTGATGGGGGGTGATGACGCGCCTGTTGGGAGAGAGTCCTGCTGTTGCTGTAGCTGTTGTAGTTGTGGTTCGAATGGAGCGGGAGTTGCGACTCGGGGGGTGGATGGGAACTTCCATTCGTTGAGGGCGGGACGATGGCCAGACCCTACGTTGGCAGCGCTTGCGGACGGTCCAGTAGAGGAGCCCTGGAGACTTGACGCAGCACTGTTGGTTTCTCTGCGAGTGTCGTTGTTGATGTTGCTGTTACTGTTGTTGTCTCCATTCTGTGCCATGTGATTAAGGATTAAGGGGAATGTAAAAAGTAGGTGATTATAGCTAAGGTAAGGGATGTAAAGAGAAAGAGAAAGAGAAGAGAAGGAAAGAGAGTTGGGTTTGAGAAGAAGTGAAAGAAGGAAAGGAAAGAAGGGCGGTAAAAACCCGATGAAATGGAAAGGGGAGAGCGGGAAACGAAAAGGCAAGGAAGGGGGGGGGGAAGAGGCACACTTCATACACAGTGACAGACACACACAGACACACGCTGTAGATGAACACCTTGGGTGTGTGCGTGGATCGGAAGTCGAGGAACACGATCCATTCGACTGCAAGCAATTGGACTGGGGCACTCTTCCTCTCTGTCCGAAGATAGGGGGAGAACAATTGATCTGATAGGGACAAAAACGCAACAGTCGATAGGACAATGGACAAGAAAAACAGGCAATTGACTGGGATGGGAGGAGGAGGAGGAGGAAGGGGAGGAGGAGGGTAAAAAGCAATTGAAGGAAGACAATATGGTACGCAGGCAAACAGAGAACAGGCGAGAAGAAAGTACCCGCGGGAAGAGAGTAGGGCAATGATATCTGAGCAGGGGAGGTGTCAATGGTGCCATTGAAAGTGGTTCAGGAATAGGGGATATCAAGTACAGTAGTGGCCAACAAGGAGGATCACTAGGCTGAATACTGTTCCGGCCTTGGCCTGGATCAAAGGGCGAGTATGTAGGACTAGAAAAGCTATCGAAATGAAAGGAGTTGGATGAATTAACATGCTGGCTGGCAAGTACTGTAATGCAGAGTGGCTTCTTCCATGTACTATACGCGCACCTGCTATATATATGCATAACACACATAAATGCAGGACGTTTACCGATGTGCCCATCCCTTCAGTTATCTTGCCGTTTCGAAAACCACAATTCTGTCTCTGTCGGATGTGTGGCTGCTGTCTGTCCACCCTTCCAAGAGATAGAGGAGTACTGTACTGTACATGTACATGGTTTCACGAACAAGCTCATTAAGGGCTTTTCTATGCAACTGATCACTCGAGTAATAGAGGCGCGGTTCTCTGATTCCACCTCTGCTTTCAATCGCTGTTGTAGTCGACCATGACCTCATCCTCATGAATATGAACATGAACTAACGAAAAGGGGCGTGGAGTCTCATTTTGTATGGACTCGTCAGACGGTCACAGTAGAGAAGGTGGACATGTGTATGCCTTGGGCATTGCTAGGGCAACGTGCGCCGTGAGAAAAATCATAGGCTGCAAATGACGGATTGCTTGATTTGGAGACACAAAGCAAAAGCGAAGCAGGGCAAATCACAACGATCGTTCAGGCAGGGGTGAACAATGAAGTAACTGGAGCTCTATTGCTGCTGTCATCGCCACTTGATATTGCCTTTCTTTGTATGGTCCAATCTTCTCCTCCAGAGGGCTGTTTGGCGCAGTCAAGAAGGCCCTTTGGTTCTTGCTAATTTGAATTGAATTCAGTACAAGTTACGACATGTATGATGGTTCTTCATCTTTCAACTACAATCCAGAGTTCGTAGTGTCTTGCAGGATGCTAATTGAACCCATACCATCTCGCAGGGTTCGATCGGACATAGTAAAAGTGATTTCCGGACTACTTCTCTCTCTCACACTCAGCTCTCGCTCATCCGCACTGTCACCAGCTCTTGCTCCAGTGTAATCCATACTTTCGGATTGGGTTTTTTTTTCGATCGACAAGTTTGTTCTACTTCAACAAACTTGGGTTCCTTTTGAACCAAGGGTTCCTTTCATCATCCATTGCGCCTGGACTAACGGAGGATGGTTGATTGCGCTGTATCCATTGCTGTTGCGTCGAGCGACAAAAAAGTAATTTTCCCACGGACTACCTCTTAAGTTCAAATGCCAAGGGTCCCTTGAACAGCAACAGGAGTGATGTCGTCGATTTTGTTCTGTTGATGATGCCTGGCCCTTTGTCTCGTTAGCTCTTTAGTTCATCCTCCTCCTCCTCGGCGTCTTCTCCTTCCAAGAAGAAAAGAGAAGAAAAAAAAAGAGTATAAAAGCCTGGCAATTTCGAGTAATTGTTCGGATTTCTTTTCTTTTTTTTATTTTCCTCCTTCCACTGCCTGCACACACATTCCCCATTCTCCCACTACCCTCCCACCACACACCACACACCACACACCACACACCACACACACACACTCCCATCCACCCAAACCCTGATCCCCATTCATATCATTTATATCCCATCACTCGCCCACTTAAAATCCAAAGTCACCCATCACCTACACAACCCCATAGCCACCAATCAGCTTTTTTGATCACTAGAGTTACTTTTCTTCGCTTCTACTCCTCTCCCTCTTCTCTTTCTCTTCCCTCTCTTCTTCTCTTTCCTCCTCGCCTTCCTTCTCCCTCATCCTTCTCTCCCTTCCCTCCCTCCCATCCCTCCTTCTCCCTTCCCCAGTCCTCATTCCTCTCCTTTCCCTCATCCCCCCCACAGTCAATCAACAATGGCCCAACAACAACTCAAGGACCTGCCCGTCCTCTCCGAGTACGACATCTCGCCCATCACCGGTTTCCTGCCCGTCGAAGAGCCCCTCCAGGTCCTGCCCAACCCGTACTTTGCCCCCTGGGAGGAAACCTTCCAAAAGTTCAACGGCCTCCTTCTTGCCTCCAGACTCCGTCAGTATGTCAACGAGGTAAGTCATATAAGACCCTTTGCCACAATTTTTACTCGGTCTCCGACAACCACAACGATTTTTAATACAACCTGCAGTTTAAGAAAGGACACGGACGATGGGAAGGATGGAGCCAAACAAAAAGAAAGAAAAGTCGGATGGGAAACACATCTACACACACACTTCTTCCCATGTACAAACATCCATCGCTAGAGTCGATTCACAATGGATCTCGTTCAGCTACAACAAGCAACAACAACAACAGCAACAACATCATTCTTGTTGTCACACAAAACCATAACAACCAACCCAACCGACACCATATGAAAAAGAAAATATCAAAGTCAACCGGTGGCTCCCTTTTGCTACCGCATCGCATGTATGACAACCTGAGTCCATGGAATTCCTTGTCCTAACAAATAGCTCTTTTATTCTCCTAATAGCTTCCGGTTCTGGATGCAGCCAAGCTCGAGACCAAGGCTGAACAGCGGAGAGGATACCTGATCCTGTGCATGCTCTCCCATGCCTATGTCTGGGGCAAGCATGAGCAGGCCGCAGAGGTAATTTTTTCTCTTTTATTTTGCCACCACTGTCATCCCCACCCGATCCCGATCCCTTCCTTTCCTTGCACTGTGCACTCACCAGTCGATTCCAAAACAAACGATACGCTTGTTTACCCTTTGCAACAACCTTGGTGATCCACTCTATTTGTTCTTTCTTTTCATTTGCCCGTTCCTTTATCTTAATAAAAGGGCACATTCAATGAAACTTATTAATCCCTTTCTCTTTGCCTCCGGCAACTCTTAGGTTCTCCCGGCTGCGCTGGCCGTTCCATGGCAAAAGGTCGCGGATATGCTCGAGATTCAGCCTGTGTTGACCCACGCTGCCGTCGTCATGTGGAACTGGAGACTGTTGTACAAGGATGGACCCAGAGATCTCAAGTAAGTCGCCATTTCAAGTGTGTGCCTGAAAAAAAAGGAAAGAGATAACAAAACAATGGGATCGGAAAGCACGGATGCATCGGGTGGGATGACATCAGTAGACACACAGTCTGCTTGGTCCCTTCCCGCACACACCTTCTCGCTTGGCGTGTGCCGTTGTACCGTGTGTGTTTGTCATCTTTCAAGATTATCATGGAAAATTATCACAAACAAACGGATTCATCACATACAGTGGGTTATGTGTTCAATTGACAATATTTTTTTATTAACCGCTCCCTTACTTCCTCTTATTTGATCTGCATGATAGCAATTTGGACACGCTGGGAACACTCTCGGGCTCGAGCGATGAGTCATGGTTCTACTTGGTAACGACCGCGATCGAGGCTACGGGCGCTCCCGTCCTGAGCAAGATCCTCAACGCCATTCAGCACGCCCGGGACAACACCATTGTTGGATTGACACAGGAACTCGAGGGGATCCGAGGCATCATCGAGGACTTGGTCTCTGTCCTCCGTCGCATGTTTGAGAGATGCGACCCCTATGTCTTTTATTGGAAGGTCCGCCCTTACTTGGCCGGATGGGAGAACATGGCCGAGGCCGGATTGCCCGATGGTGTCCGTTATGAGGGCGTCGACAATGGCGGATACAAAAGGTTGGCCGGAGGCAGTGCCGCTCAGAGCTCGTTGATCCATGCCCTTGATATCGCCTTTGGAGTCGAACATCACCCTACGGGATTCCGCCCCAACAAGGCTGGCGCCTCTGCGTCCGCCAACAGCAGCCCTGCAGTTCCTTCCCCTTCTCCTGCTGCTACTGGCGCCCCAGCAGCTGTCAAGCCCACCAACTTTATCCAAAAGATGCGTTTCTACATGCCTGGACCCCACCGCAGCTTCTTGACTCATCTCACAGAGGTCTCCAACATCCGTCAGTTTGTGACCGAGAAGGCAGCAGGTGAGCGCACTACCGAGGTCGAAAATTTGATCACTGTCTATGACGAGTGTGTCCACCAGATCAAGGTCTTCCGCGACGTCCATATTCAGATGGTCACTCTCTACATTGTCATGCAAGCCAACCGGGGACCCTCCATCTCTCACGGAGGATTCGCCCATCAGCCTCATGCCCAGGCCCAGAAGACCGAGCCATCTGCCAACGGAACTGCAGACAAGTCGGCAGCAGCTGCGAATGGCGCTAACACCAGCAACGTAACAGGAGAGAAGCCCTCGAAGGGATCGAGCATTCTTTACCCACAAAAGGTCATCTTTGGAGCTCCCTACGGATTGGCCAAGAAGCAGGAGGCTGGAAACGATGTTGTCCGAGGCACTGGTGGCACTGACCTCATCCCCTTCCTTCGTCAATGTGAGTCCCTTTTGCCATTTGTTGTTTGCGCATGCTTATTCCAATAGTTGATCCACTTTTCTTTCCCTTCGGCATGAAATCTAACCGATCTCACATTTTCATTTTCGACCCCATTTTTTTTTGTTCAGCTCGCGACGAGACGAACGAGTCCAAGATTGTGCCAACGCCTTCGATCACGGCAAGAAAGCACTCGACCGCCGCTTAAAGTGTTTGCCCGATTTTTTCCATCCCCTTTGCATACACTTTTTTTTGCCGAGTCATTTCTAATCGCTTGCCTATCAGAAAACCGTCTTTTTCTTCATATACACACACATACACTTGCAACATTTTTTTTTCTTTAGACATGGATATCTTTTCCCATGCTTGTATACCTATTTTTTTTTCCCATATTGAAATAACATATATCTTTTTGCTACATAATCTCTTTTCATGTTTGCCGTCTGCTCTCGAATATTTGTCAAGACATCATGTCTGTTTCCCGCTCGCTCTTGCTCTTACTCTGCGCAAAGAATGAAACTCAATGGCGCAACTCGGTCTGTCCCTCTTCACGCGTCTCGTCCCACTTCACTCATTCTCCTTTTTACTCACGCCTTGAAGATCTCCGTCGACCTTCCCTCTCGCTCTTACTCTAACTTCAATTTCAAACTCCTTGTGAGAACAAAAAAAAAAGTTCATGTCAGACCAGCCGACAGAATGCGGGGTCAACTTCCTGAAATGAAAAGCGACGATAAAGAACTTTTTTTGTCCAGCGGGAAAAAAAAAAAAAAAAAAGAGAGTGCAAGATACAACTCCGCAGACGCCCAAACAAAGTGGAAGCATGAAAGGGGTTTATTTGTTTATATCTCGTTGTGGTGACAGCTTGACACATCCTATCCACTCCTTGAAAAGGAGTCTAGAGCTCGATCAAGGGTGCCTCCTCAACTTTAGGCTGAGCAATGGGTGCATAAGCCTGTTGCTGCTGCTGCTGGGGTTGCTGCTGCTGATAAGGCGCATACTGAGACTGGGCAGGCGCTGCAGATCCCGAGAACTGAGGCTGAATCACTGGTGCCTGCGACTGCAATGGCTGCTGCTGTTGCTGCTGCTGCTGCTGCTGCTGAGGATCATAGGGCACATAGGCTGACTGCTGAGCTACTGGTGCAAACGACTGCTGCTGCTGTTGCTGAGGAGGAGGTGACTGAATCGTCTGTCCCATAGGCTGATATCCGTTACTGATGGGCAGTTGACCATTGGCAGGGACGGAAGACTGAACAACAGGTGACGTGACCGCTGGCGCTGCGCTTCCGTTAGTATACTGCTGAGGAACTGATGACTGGTACTGAGGCGCAAACTGTTGCTGCTGGGGCTGTGTCTGAGGCTGTGTCTGAGGCTGCTGTTGGATCGGTTGCTGTGGTTGCTGCTGAACACCATACTGGTTCTGCTGTACAGGGGCTGTAGAATAAGGCTGCTGGTCCGATGCGACTGGTGAGGTGACGTTGTAAGCATTGGGTGATCCCGACGTCTGTGGAGGTTGGTTGGTTTGGTATGGGTAGGACGGTTGTTGCTGTGGCTGTTGTGGCTGCTGCTGCTGCTGGTAAGGGGCCTGCTGGAAGGGAATCTGTGGAGTCTGTTGAGCCGACGGTGTTCCGCCATAGGGTCCCGATGAGGGGACATACTGGGCGTACCGAGAATCGGTGTTGCTCATCTGTGGGTATATATGACTGGTTTGAGGAGTTTGAGGAGTCATTGGGGCGTTGTTGTTGTACATTCCTGGTTGGGCATAGTTAGTCGCGGTCATCCGGCGCTGGTAAGATGAATTCAACCGCTCCTGCAACAGATGGTCGTAAATCCTGACAGCATGGTCAATCTTGTCATTGAATCCCACAAACTCCTCTATGATCGGCAGCGATAAGAGAACGCGCGTTAGTTTGAATGGACAAGCGACCCATATGACGACGTAACAAAAGGCCACAGTCGATGAAAGCTTACGTTGCTTCCTGGCGGCTTCTTCGAGGCTGAGGGCAACCTTCATTTGCAGCTTAGAGATCTGCTCATAGAGTGCTTGAACCTCCCTGTTGCCAGCAACATCGCCCTGCATAGTCTGAATCCTGTCAACCAGTATTGAGAACATCTCAATGTTGGACTTTTCCGTTTCCGTCAACTCGTGCTGAGAAACAGCCGCAGCCGCCTAAAATATCGCAATTTGCCACAAAATAATGCAACAGCCCGTTAGTGCCTAGGAATCTACAACACAGCATAGCAGAGTAGGTCGCACGAAATTTCTCAACGACTTACAATGGGCTTCTTGGAGTAGGTGTATGATGAGTATGATGACTGACGCTGGCTGGAGCGTGGAGCTGCAGCAGACGAAGACGAGCGAATGTTCGTTTCACGCAGAGAAGCCTCAATGGCAGCCAATAAGTCAGCATCCTCTTCTTCCTCTGTTGGGACAGGAGCCTTCTTAACAGGCTCAGTATTGGAGCGCTTTGGGGCCGAGTATCCAGTCTGTGTCTGAGACTCCTTCAACGACAACTCGATAGCCTTCAGCAAGTCTGCATCATCGTCTGCTGCACTACGGGATGCCGAAGTCGAACTGGTAGTTCCTGAGGGCTTTGAAGACGAGTGTGTTGTGTTATGGGTCGTAGGTCCTGTCTTGGCTGTCGAGGGGATGTACTCCAGTCCGCCGCCTAGTCCATGGCTCTCCAGGGCAACAGCGCTCTTGGGTCCAAGTTTCTTCTTCATCCAGCATCCATCACAGACACGGACATCCTGTGTAACGCCCATGTTGGGAAGTGCCATAGTCTTTGACGAGCACTGGCCGCAAAAGGTCGACCCACAAGCACGACAGTGGTGTTTGCGGTTCGTCAGCGTAAAAGCCGAGCGGCACCGAGTGCACACGTCAGAATCTGTCCAGTCTGGGGGCTAATAAAAGATAGGGGAAGCAAATACGCATGAAAAGTCGATAATTAGCATAACAATCCTGCCAGCCCCTGTTTCGCAACAAACATCGACAGCTTCATGGGCTTGTTAAACATACAGCTTCGGACTCGACTAAGGCTGCGCCAACGTTATCCTTTGGAGGGAACTGGAAGCCTTCGTGCTGCAAAATCATATACGTGTCGCAGACATATCCGAGTCCATGTTTCCCGCGGAAGAGGAGTCCCCAGGTCTGAATAAGTCCCAAAATGCGGTTCTTGACTTCCAAGTTGCATCCAGCCTGTTACCGCCACGTATTGACAACAAAAGAAAGAGAAAGACGTTACGTTAGTCCCACCTGACTACTTGGCAGTGGCATCAATAGGGTGCACAAAGAGGTAAAATAGCGAATTCCTGTGGTTCTTTTTTTTGTCTGTTTTTCATCAGGGGTGAGGTTAGGTATGTCGAAGAGAACATAGTAAAGGACGAGACGACGACGACGACTTACAGGTGCCTTCAGAATCGAGGTCAAGTTGTCGATGAACTCGCGCGCTGCAATCTCGACCAAGAAGTGATGTCCTCCGTTCTTGACACACACATCCGTCAACTAGTTTTGTAAAAAAAAAAAAAAAGAAGCAGGAGCAACAAAAGAAGAGTAGACATTAAGTCCGATGAACTCATGACTAATAGCGCTTCTTTCCAGCGAAAACGAATGAGATGGTAAAAGAACGTACTCCGAGAGCAAGCATCTGGACGTTGGGATTCTTGTGGCCAATGCGGCGCTTGAGGGCTTTTGCGGCATCCTTGGGCGAGACCTGCTTTGAGCGAATCTGGTCGCAGATCTCGAGGTTCAGGGCCAGGTCGTCTGAGCCAGCAGGCAAGTTTTCAGAAGTAGCCTTGTCTACAGTAGAGGGAAGATGCGACAAGGGGTGCGAGTGTGAGAAAAATACAACTGAGGTAGCGTGTACAGCCTATGTTTGTTGTGTCTGCCTATGGCGATTGTGACAGGGTTGAAGAGGGGTTTACCGACGAGGTCGTCGATGGGCGATGCACTCCAGAGCCAAGACATGTGTGAAGTGTGATATGTGTAAAAGGTTAGAGGGTTGAATGAAAGAAAGAAGGTGGAAGAAGAAAGGAGGGATGGCAAGGGGGTGCGAGGTGAAGGTGGAAAGCGATGAATGGAATAGAAAAAGTAAAAGTAAAAATAAAAAAAGAAAAAGGAGTGTCGGAGGAAAAGAAGGAAGAAGGGAAGGAGAAGTCGACGCCAGTCAGGCTGAAATTTATTTGGCCCTGGAACTGGAAGGAAATGGCTTGGCTTGGCACCACCGACACGCTCGCACGTATACTGTAAGCGCAAGGCATAACAGCATGCATGCGAACAAATCAATCATCATCGATAACAATGAGACCTCCACCGTGCGGGCCTTGTTCTTTCTTTCTCTGAGGACCCACCGTTCGATATATCAGCCTATCCTCATTGATACACTCAAGCCATCCCTCCGCTACAAGCTTTTGATAGCCCCGCATCAATGGCCGCTCCCCTGGCTCCCTCTATTGTTGAGATGGCAATTTGGTCCGCAAAAAGTGCATTGTCAGTTGATCGCTCAAGGTTACCACTGCATAACTGGCCATCCTTCAAGGGTACGAGCAAACAAGCATCCAAACAACAAAATGACTAAGCAAGCTTACCCTTTTCTTGGCGACTTCTGCACCTATCTGCTTGTTCATCTCGTCATCCATTAGCTCCAAGATACAGAACTCCTTGCGTCCTATTACCCAGGCACGTAACCGGTCAAGCAGTGTCCTTTCGGTGATCTCTATTTTAGCGATTTCTTCCTTGGCGACCTCTGCCTTGGTGACCTCTTCCTTGGCAGCCTTTTCTACGGTGGCCGCCTCTCCTTTGGTGGCACCTCCTTTGGTGGAATTTCCTTTGGTAGCCGCCTCTCCTTTGGTACAATCTCCTTTGATACTCTCCTCTTTACCCTACGCGAACATAAAATGCAGAAAAAAAACGTGTCAACAGACTTGGCAGACAGCACTGGCCACAACTTATACACAGGAATTTCCTCTTGGAACGTACCAAAGGGGTCACTACCCCGAATTGTTCCTGCACAAAGTTTGGCAACTCCATCGGCTTGGAGTACACATCTCGCTCTAGATTCAACACTTGCAATCGGAAAAGCGTCTCCGCGTTTGGGTCTTCGCACCCCACTACATAATTAGGATCAGATATTGGCAAAAACAATTTTTTTTAACATAGTTTAGTCAGTAACCTTGAAAGGGACAAGATCAACGTAATGTTACAAGCGCTCTTCATCCGCGGAAACGAAACACTTACCAATGCATCCAGGCTGGACATCAATCTGTATAGAATCTCGGAAGGCTTCCAGATACCCCTTCACTCTGACAACATCACCCAACGAAAACGCTTTCAGTCCTTGAATCGAGTTCGTATCCTGCACCATTAGATAGTTGTCCGGGATCCACATGACGCACTGAATCGCTCCTGTCCCATCGTCCACTATCAAGAATGAAGAAAACGAATATAAAAAAAGAAACGCGTCAGCAAAGTTACTTGTGAAGGGAGGGGTTGTTTTGTATTCACTTGATAATTTGGTGGCGTCAATTGGTGTTCAATTCTCACCTATGTAACTCATGTACTTTATTGCGCGGTTTACGCTCTGAATGACTCCCATGATCTCGACCATGCTGACAGGGTGTCCATGGTGACTGTACACTCCTACAAGATAATACGCAAAAATAGATAAAGAAAATATGTTAGATTTGAGTCGAACCGACCATCCTGACTCGCGCCTTGCATATCGTGAGGCGTTGTTCTTACCTTCGCAGGCAGGCACGGGGACAAGGGCATGGACCTGAAAGATCATCAGCTGAAAGGGAACATGCAGAAGCGGGTCCAGCCCCCAAGTCGTCATTGGGAGAGTACTCATGTCTTCAGCATACTCCTTTCTCTACTCAATGTGCCGAGGGAGGTTAGAAAAGGTTGTTTCCTTGTCTCGAGACTAAAAGAAAAAAGAAGAAGGGTTGGGCGAAAGGTGTTTCTGTGTTTCTGTGTGTGTCAAGGTTCCGCATTGAACACAAGCCACAAGTCCGGCGAAATAAAGAGTCAACTTTTTGTTCGAGAGGATTCCTTTTTTCACACACACACACACCCCCATTCACGTTCCATCAACCTGACAACCATGGAAGACGACGAACTCGCACAAATCCGCGCTCGGTAAGAACGACGTGTACTTCACACCGCCTTCATGCTCAGGAACCGCAGTTCAAGCATGGAAGCAAACTTCAACTTCGGCGGGACATTTCGCCATTCCTAGCAACTTGTCTTACGTTTTCTGTCGTTTGCTTCCTCGACTGACTTTTTACTCGTTCTCACCTCCTCCACCCACAATAGCCGCATGGCCGAGCTCAGAGCCCAGTCTGGAGGGGCCCCATCAAGCGGCATGGGTGGTCTCCCTGTAAGTCACTAAAACAAGTGTTTTCATGGAACACCAATGACAAGTTTTCGTTGGAGCACAGCTCACGCTCCAGCCTCTAATTGACCCTCAAAGCGACACAACGATACTAACACAACCGCCTTGTCTACTTCACCATTCTAGCCCGGCATGAGCGGCGGAAAGAAGGATGAGGAGGAACAGGCCAAGAAGAGGTATGAATTCTCCTCTGCAGGATACAACTCAATGACACATTGGACGTTCCTGCTTTGAATCACACCACCACCAACAACAACAACGAATAACCCGTCTGTTTTCGTGTCTATTTTTCAATTGCTTTATAGCCAAATGGAGGAGATGCGCCGCACTATGGTACAGCAGGAAGATTCATAACACAGAAAGAGGCAATTCTTATGCACTGGAGAAATCGTGAGTTGACAGGACCGTCCCTAACACGCTTGACAAAACCGCTTTGTTTATCAACCAACACATATCTAGTTGATCCAAATCCTGGACGGCGAGGCCCGCGAGCGCTGTAAGCAAAAGAACCTTCAATGGCGATCAAACTGGATTACTTTTTCAATTCACGGGAGCTGCTAGCCACCAACCAACTGACATACACTCTCATTGTTCATCGTTTTTTCACGACATCACAATTAGTGTCGCGCATTGCGATCGTGAAGGCTGATAAGGCGAGGGCAGTCGAAGACCTTTTGATCCGCATGGCCCAGGGCGGTCAGGTCCGCGCCAAGATCACAGAGAAGCAGCTCATCGAGCTTCTCGAGCAGGTCAACCAGCAGACCAAGAACGAGACCAAGATTGTCGTACGTGTTTATACCTTTGTTTCTTTTTTTTCGTGTTTTAGGATAAGTGGATGTAATTTGTTGTCGGAGTGTAGGGTATTGAAACTGACAACTCTTTTTTTTTTCGGCCTCAAAGTACAACCGCAGAAAATACGACGACTCGGATGATGATGACTATGGCCTGTAAAAGTTCGGCATCACATGGAACGCATAAGCAAAAGGGGGCCGGCGGACTGGCACAGTAGAAATAAAACATCAGTATGCAATATCTACTCTCCCTTCCATTCAATTCTTTGCCATCGCTCTTTCAGGACCAATGCTGCTTCTTGCTCCGGGCAGTTCTGTTTATTATTCCGTGATGGTTGTTGTCGAAAGAAAAAAATATCGTTCAAGACCTCCTTACTATGCCGCTATCCCTCCTTCGTCTGCTTTATACGCTGGAGATCATATTCCTGTTCTCCTTACTCTTCCCGTTCTCCCGCTCTCCCGCTTGCTTATTGCTGCTGAAGGGCCTCCCATTGCGCTGGCGTAAACGATTTCTACAACACCAACAAGAAAGGACCAAGGTTAAAAACAGCGAACCATATAGACGATATATCCACTCATTGTCCAGTATAATCGGTGCAAAAAGAGAGAAAAAAAGACTTACCTGGGAGAAGGCATGGACGACTGCGATCTGATCCTTGAGGGCCTCGTTCACCATACGATGCTTCTGGAGGGTCGACTTGCCCTCGAACATGGGCGACACAATTTTGATCTCAAAGTTCTGTCCACATCCACCTAATACACCAATTCAACACGACAGAAAAAAAGAAGCGTCGATGAGGTTAACAAGTGAAAAGGTAGGTTTTCAAAAAGGTGGTGGCAAAAAGAAAAGACCACCCAAGCTAAGTCATGGTTGTAGCTTGCTCATTTTTTTTTTTGAATCAATTTCTGGGCTGTGCCACCATGCTCCTTCTCATGCTCTCTCCTCCCCTTCTATTCCTCCCACAGACACTTCCCTTCCTTTCCCTTCCTTCCCCCCTCCAATACCTTTGTCAATTGAGTGAGTGCTCTCTGTTTATCACACCATTTCTCACACACAGTCATAGTCCGCCCTGCCCTGCGCATCGATCTGATAAGCATTTCTTTCCACCACTCAGCGGAAAAAAAAAATCCTTCACACTCGCACGCACATGCAACGCAGCTGCTACAAAGCCAAGATAACTTTCCCATTGTCCACTTACCAGAGATATCCTTGCCCTCCTGTTATCGCATAGACAGACACAAGATAAATAGAAGAAGGAAAACAAGTGATGAGTTGCTGGAGCGATGTAAACACACAACACACTCAAAAAAAAAAACAGAATGAGCAAGCCGTCCAGTTCCCTCCGAGTGGAGTAGCTCCTTACGACATGAGTGGCGCCGAGCTTGGTGTTGCATGCCTCGGTGAGGGATTCGATCGTAACGGAAGTAACTGGAGTGCTCATTGTCTGTCTGCTTGTCTATGTGTCTGTCTTTGTCCTGTGTTGTTGTTGGTGTTGTCCGGTGATGTCGGGAATGTTGGTGATGTAGAGTAAAGAGAAGGGGGAAACAAGAAAGAAAAAGAAAATAAGAGAAAAAAAAAGCGGGCCAGACAGAGCTCGCAACACCCAGGCAGAACTCTAAAAAATCGAAGCGGATCGCGTTCTTCTACTTCTATTTGTCAGTTTGCACTTCGTAACTTTCCGAGCTGAGTATTTTTTTTATTCGTTTTTCCGCTTTCACTGCTTTGCAACAATGTTCAATTGCTTCTGTTCGTTGTTACCAGAAGCAGAGCACGATACTTTTTGTGGGCAATCATTCATGCAACGCAGCTGTTACTTGTTGGCAAAGTACTGTTGCACCTTCTCAACCAGCTCAGCCTTCCTGCCTGCTCCAGCTTCACCAACCGACTGCAAGAAATCCTTCAGCGTCGCCACCGTCGCCTAACACAATACATCGATGCCAGAATCAATTGTCAGTTTCCCTGCTCGTTGACTTTGACCACATACGAATACGACCAAGAAAACCTCATTGTCCGAGTAAGTTCACGTTACCTTGTTCAATTGATCGTTGTCGTACTTCTCCCTCATCTCCTGCTGCAATGCTACACCACCCGATGGACCAGGCCGCGCCCGCTTGGCTGCCGCCACCGACGACTGGTCCGACGGTACCTATTTTTCAATTGATATCACGACCATGTCGGTAAGTAGACGATACAGCCTCGCACATCAAGAACAAAGACAAGAAAAACAAAACGAAATGATATACATACATATTCAACAGAAGGAGTAACATCTTCTGGCAGCTCTGCTGTCGCTGCCACGTCTCTGAAATGCTGAATGTATGCGCCCGCCCTCTAGATAACATGCCAAGTCAAGAGAACAAATCGATCAATACCACTGACAGCCCAAACAGCCATCTAAACATTGAGCATCTTTAGAAAACATCACTTACATCGTAAATTTGCTGAGTCTTGGGAAGAGTCTTGTCGTCAATGTCCATGTCAGTCTGGTTCAGGGCTGTAGCTTGAAGGACCTTGTAATGCTTTTGGAGGGTTGGGTTCTCATAGTTGTCTGGGTGGAAGCCCCTCTTCATGTTCAGCTTGGAGATAATGGCCTTGCCAGCATTGATCAGCTCATCCGATGGTGCGTATTCTGTCAAGATGGGGAGTGGGCGGATATCATCACCCCATGGCAATGGGACGAGCTGCATGCCTGGAGGCACTTCCTGGCCGTTTGCACCCACCACTTCCATCTACCCGCAATGATAGAATAAACAGTTAGATCAGATTTGTTGGTCTCATTCTAGTAACTCAGACAAAGACAGAAAACTGCTTGAACATACTTGGGGGATGAGAGCAACGAGACGGGTGCTGTAGTTGGTGCGCTGTGTGAACGAGCAGATAGCCACCTTCTCCATCTCATGCATAGCAATTAACAGCGAAGAGAACGCCCGGGTGCTTCCTTCATACGACAACTCGTCCGGGTACAGGAACATGGAATGGCTGAGGTTGTAGTACATCTTCATCGCAGTCTTGGGCTTGAATCCAATCAGAGCCAGCGCTGGAGGGCCAAACGTCTTCATCGACACAACTTCGTCTTTCTCAAAGATAACCTTTTGACCTCCAAACTCCCAGTAGTGTTTGAGATCGGCTGCTGTGAGGTACTGGGTAGTGTCGGCACAGATCCAGCTGGTGACCGTTTCAACCTCCCGGACTGCTTCGCCCAGTGTGTAGACATTCCTGTGAAGGCCCTTAGCTTGTGTCGAGACGAGGTTGTATCCTTTGACTCCGATTTCCAAATTCGCTGACAGTTTGAATGGGATGTTGAAGAGTGAGCGCTTCTTGACCTCTTTGCGCCTGACACGTTGGAGGAGTTCCCCCAGCTTGGCTGTCGTTTGTTCTTCCTGACTCTGACTCTCCTCATCATCATCTACAGAATCCAGCAAGATGTCCTATCACATGAAAGACAAAGCAGAAGGTATATATATATTAGAGCCGAGTTATCAGACTCAGATGAGTCGCGTACAATCTTGCGACATTAAGACCTTACCTTATAAAAGTTTGTGCGGAGGAACTTTTGCATGGGCTTGTCCATATCAAAGAGCTCAATCTTGATACCAAACTCCTGAAGATCCTTGGCTCGGACTTTAGATGCGCTCCTCAGACTGATATCGTTGGAGTGTGGGTCGTCCTCGTTCGTGAACAGGAACAATCGCTTCGATCCGATTCTCTGTGCACTACGCAACACCAAAACAACAAAATGACAATGATAAATAATGCTGCAAAGTGGTTACCTCGCGTTCCCATTACGATCATGCGGACAAAAATGTATTTCGTACCTTCCACCAAACATATTCGTAGCCGTCCAGAACATCTCTCCAAGCGTGTAATCCCCATTGCTTGTGCCAAACTCCTCGTCAAAGTTGGTCCTCTCTAGGAAAGGGGAAGAAGTTGTCAAAATAGGACATCGAGTCATTTTTCGCGTGTCTCTTCATCAAGCCCTGCGAGCGCAATAAAGAAAGACCACAAACAACGCACTTACGTTCTTCGATGGCCTCCAGCTGCTGGATTTTTCCCACATCCGGGACATCCAGGTCCTGGAGCACGTAAATATGTGCAAAGTTGTTTGCGTTCTTGGCTTGTCTCTATAGGTAGTCATCGATTTAATCATCATCTATCAGTCTGCTGAAAAAAGGCTCCTTCGAACAAAGCAATCATTCTTCGAGGGAATAACTTACGGTGCCATAGAGGACGACGCCAATGAGGTCAGAGTCAGAGCTAATAATCTTGTTGAGCTGAACCTGCTTGGCGCACTTGATGGCCGTATAGAAGGGGATATCACCTTCTTCGTCTGGTTGAAGCATGGCTGGTGAGCAGTCTATCACGAACAGGATACTGTCCCTGCTACTCCATTGTGTCTATTGACGAGACAAGTCAGTACCAGAGTTATTATATATGCTTAGAATTTCTCGTTCGAATGTGGGGTTTAACGCGCTTTTTGTTCCCTGCGTAAGAATGCATGGTGGTGTTTTTACCTCCTGGGCATCGGTGAGAATGTTGTCGTCGAGATCCTCATCCCCTTCGTCTTCATTCCTGCTTCTCCAACTGGATGACGCTGACATTGTTTGAAAAGGAGCGTTGGATGTTTGTTTGTCCTGTGAGGGGATGTGAGTTTGTGAGTGAGTGAGCGAGTACGTGGATGGTGGCAACAAGTGGGTGATGAGTACGGAAAGAAAAAGGAGTCAAGAAGGCTGTTTTACCCTTTTATTTCGGCCCAGAGTTTGATCAAAAAAATGGTGGCAAAAATGATTTCGTTCGTTTATTGGGATAACTTCAAGAGCAAAAGCAAGAGCAAGGCGGAGCGCTGTTTTTGAATGCAAGTTCTCCCTGGCGAAAATGCATTCGTGAATTTTTTATTCTGTTTTCTGGGTGTGCTTTTGTGCGCTTGAGTGTGTATGTGTGTGTGTGTGTGTGTGTGTGTGCTTGCAGGCTGCCAAAGTAAAGATAGCGCTATGGAAAATACATATGTGACTTTTGTGAAGAGTAATAAAAAGCAAAAAGAATAGATAGAGGGATTGGTCGATTCAAACGCAAAAATGGAGAAGGGCAAGCGGTAGAATCAAAAAAGAGGAAAAGTTGCCTGTCCTTTTGATCGCTACACTAAAGCTCATTCTCGCAAGGGGTTCAAGACATTGTGCGCCAAAGGTAAAAAAAAAAAGTAAAAAGAGAGAGGAATAACGCCTCTCTCTCTCCTGTTGGGTCCAGGGAGAGGAGAGAGAGAAAAGGAATCCTCGCTCAGATCTCAAAGTCATTTTGGGAGGTCGTGATATAACGAGCCAGCTTGGCAATCCACTCGGCATCGCACTCATCTTCGACGAGTGCACCCTGCTGCTGCAAGAGTCCCGCCATAGCCTGACTCTGGCTCTGTTCTTGACTCTGGCTCAAGTCCTGAATCTGATCCTGGTTCTCATCAGAGTTGCCGGCGTTGGTGCTATGAGTCAGGTTGTTGTGGAGGGGCTGCCAGATACCGCGGGGAGTCATCCAGGGAGGACCAACAGCACCAGCCGGTCGGACGGCAAGATCAGGGTCAAACATGCCGTACTCATTGTAGTGCGGGAGCAGGTCAAAGATATTGCGGTGCTGGGCGGGATGGCCACCATCGGTAGGGATTTCGGGCGGCGGGTAAGAGATACCCATTCGTCGCTGGCGCCGCATCGAGACTGGCACCGGCTGCTGCTGCGGTCCTTGATTCATAAACTCGTGGGGATCGTTCGACATGGGTGGGGCGAAGACCTGTTGAGGGTACAATGAAGTAAGTGGGTTGGCGCCGTCCATAGCCATGCTCATGCTAAAGCCCATAGGCTCCGCAAAGAAAAATCCCTGCTCGAGACCGCCCATCCTGGGAGGCACCTCCAACCCTTCCATGTAGGTATAGATGCAAGGATCTGACATTGCTCTGGCACGGTCCATCTTGGAGTAGTCAGTAAATTGCTGGGCAGGAGTTGCTGTTCCAGAGTTTGGATAGGAAGTTGAGGAAGGTGCAGTCGAGCTCTGGGTCTGGTGGTTGCTAAGCATCTGAGCGAGCATCTGGTGGGGGACTTGGCTTAGAACCTGGGCGGGAAGCTGGTTGGGCACATGAGTGGGCACTTGAGTGGGAGTTGGTGCTAGTGGCTGATTGGATGGCGCCATTTGAGCAGGAGTCTTGCGGAAGAGGGATGGGGGGAGGGAGACGCGAGCCTCTTCTGGGTGGTGGATGAAAGTGCAGCGGTCGTTGTATTTGCAAAAGCCCTGGGACTGGAAGCTGGTGCAGAGCTGTGTTTTGTAGCGAGGATGGCGGCTCACATGCTGGAGCTCTGCGATAGAGTGGGCGAACTGGCAGTTGTCTCCGTATCTATCCGAATGTTGATGAGAGTAGGGGTTGATAAAAGAAATGATCAGTAGCCTTTCATAATCCATACATTCACTGTCCACAGTTATCCCACTGCTCATATGATTGCGCACGTCTTCTCTCACGCAGCTTAAACGATTGTCACTTTTTGACGCCTCTTTTTTCTTCCAAAGAACCAGAATTGTGGATGGACGAGGTTGCCTTCTGCCGCACAAATGACAGCGGTGCATCGTAACAATTTTCTTTCCGATGTTATTGTACAGAAAAAATACACTGATCGCACGCTTGGCAACATTCTTTTGAGAGGGAGTGAGGTGAGATACTTACTTGCACACATGGCCAGAGTGGATAGAGATGCACAGCTCAGTCTTGTACAGCTCGGCCTTGTTGCTCTCGCTCGAGCCACGGCGCAGTGCTCGTGTACGGTTCTTGCCCGACGAATCACCGCTCTGGTTCGCAGCAGAGGCGGCACTCGAAATAGCTGCGGTGGTGGCTGAGCCGACTCGGCTGGTGTCACAAGAAGAAGCATGAGCACGGTCTTCGCCAAGAAGCTGCTCAGTTGAGGGACCAGCAGTGCACCAGGTACGGACGATAGTCTCTTGGTCATCCGAGCAGAGCTCAGACTCGACGGGCGAAGGCGGGTTGACACTAAAGAGGACTGAAACAGCGCTTCCGAGGTCCATCGTGGTGTCTAACAAGGAGGAAGGTGTGCCGAGTTCCGAGTTCAAAGGCTTGGTGGCTCCGATGAGGCGAGTTGAGATCTCGGGGACGGTCACAGGATAGGATACCGCCAAGGTCAGGCGAGCAGGTGGGTGCTGGCGAAGAGTTGTACCTGTGTGATGGATGGTGTGAGGAAGGTACTGTTGGTTTTGATAATGTTGGTGGTGGTGAAGTGGGTGGCTGTTGCCGAAGTAATCCATGGTTATGACCATCAACGGATGTGTTACTGAGACGATGGTTGTGTGTGTGAGAAGGATAGATGAGTGTGGATGCGGTATGTCTGTGTGAATGTATATGCCTGTGTGAGTGTATGCGTGTTTGTGAGTGAGTGTGCTGTTTGAATGTCGACAATGAAAAGTGAAGAGAGGAAGGAAAGAGACGACAATGAGGATATGTCGGTTGAGAAAGAGAAAGGAGAGAGTGGCGGAGTCGAGAGGGTTTGTGCGCCGTCGTCTCTCTTAGAGGAGGAGATGAAAAGAGAAAGAAAGGGACACGAAAGAGATGATAAAAGGGAGAGCAAACAGGGAATATATATGTAACGAACGAAGAGGCAAGCCGCACGCAGGGTAAACAGACATAATATATGCTCGTGAATGAGCGCAATGCTAAGGGTGTTGAGCGACAGAAAGATGATAAAACAAGAGTGTTCAGACGGGTGTTCTACACAAGCGGGAGAAGGGAGAGAGAGAGAGAGAGAGAGGGAGAAAGATGGATGATGACAAGAAGAGGAAGAGAAAAGGGTTTTTATCAGTGTGTGAACCATCACCACCCAGGGTCATATTGACCTCTTCGTTGTTTATGCATTTCGCGATTGTGAGTGCAAGCCTTTAGTTGCATTTTTGTTACTTTACCTTGGCGGCTTTGCTTCTGTTGTCTGAGGAATGCGAATGCGAATGTGGATGAACAACCCAAGGGCAATGGGCGAGAAGGGAATGGCAATGTAAACGAAGGAATGAGTAAGCGTGAGAATGCGAAGGAGTACGGAAGGTAGCCTTTGAAGGTGCCCTGGAGTGGTTTGGTGATGGTGGAGATAGGGGAATCCAAAAAATCACCAGAAGTCAGTGAGCAGGAGAGCAGGAGAGGACAGAGGAAACAAAAGAGCACAGGGACGCAGAACGATTTAGAGTGGGTGGCAAAGGCAAGCCAACATTGTTCGAGAAAATACTGTATAGGTTACGCGATGGCGCACGTGATCCGAGTACCGCGCACAACAAGGACACGACTTTTGCATCAACGGTCATTAATATTAAGAAAAAAAAATCTTTCATGCAAGGTGGAACATCCTCGACAACCTGGTGACCATCGCAGTACAGCACCCACCAACTCGACAACTGGGTCTCGAGTCGAGGCGTGTCTCTTTTTTCTTTTTCTTCATTTGTCTTGCCGCAAGATCCATTCATGTTCCCTTCTTTTTTTTCTCTTATCTTTTTACTTTCCTGAACACGCATCTCCTCCCCGTTCGCACATTCATCAACATTTGTTCCCACGACCACCTCTTCTTGACAACACACTTTATAAACACACACAAACACATACACACAAACAAACAAAACACAACAAAGATGGACGAGCTGATATTCCCACAGCCATCGCCAGCTCCCCTCATCCTCCCACGCCGCCTCTCAGCAGTCCACAGCAACCTGCGTCACCAAAAGAGTCGTCAACAACGACTCCAACAGCTCGGCGAACTCGGATCCGACGACTTCTCCCTCGGTGGCAACGAATACACCCACACCTACTACTACCCCACCTCCACCTTCCCAAACTCCTCTTCTACTTCATCAACAACATCACCGACATCATCAGGAGCACAGGCGGGAGGTTCAGTCAACGGTCCACCAGCCATCTTTGCTTTCGGGGGAGACCGTGCCAAGGATGGCTTTATCACCGCCACCACATTCGCTCCACCCCAGAGATTCATAGCCTCCGGAGGGCCCGTCGGGTTCGTCGACAGTGATGGAACCTATGGACCTACTCTTGCAACAATTCGAGGCCAGACCAGTCGTCGACACTCGGTTGCCAGTGGATCCCCTTGGACGACCATCCCGCCCAAACATGCGCTTCATATGCCGATCATGAAGGTCAACCCGGAGATCTGGAGGAGTGAGAGTCATCAACGAGAGATCCACCGGCTATTGCATGAGGGTCGGGAAGTGGAGGTGATGAGACGACGGAATATTAAGGGGGTGATGGATACGAGTGAGGAAGGCGATGAGGAGGATAATGCAGAGATGTCCGGTGTTGTCATGACTATGGATCTTGGAGGATTCCAGGCCTTGGAGGATCGTGAGAAGGTAACATGACATCTTGTTTGACCGTTGAAGATTCTTTGGATGTATTCCTATATACCTGTCAACTCACACATAATGCATGTGTTTACTTTTTCTTGAGTAGGAGCGGGTGCGCGAAGAGGTGATGAAGGAGTGGGCACGGACGGTCGAACAGCAAGCACTTGGGAACCAACTGCAAATCCAACAACAGCAACAACTGGCCGAAGACCTCCTTCGACGACGCAGCTGGCCCGGGTTTGTCCAAGCACAGCAACAGGACCAAGCATGGCGATTACAGTCTGGACAATTGTCTCTCGATCAACAACAGCAGCTCTTGGAGCGCTATCGTCAATTCCAACAACAGCAGCAATATCAGCAACAACTGCGCCAGCAACAGCAACAACAGACACCCACCCAATTGCCACCCCCAGGAATGCAGCACCGTTCGTCTCTTGGACAAGGGCCCTTGGACAGTGGACGGTGGACCTCATCTTCGTCTTCTGGTGGAGGTGGAAGTGGAAGTGGATCCACCGACGTTCGTCGCGCATCGTTTACCGACTATCGAGGATAAAGGGATCTGGGACAGAGATGGTGTAGGAACCCTAACCTTGTTAAAGTCGGGGTATGTTGGTGCCAGCGCACATTCAATTGCTTTATATTTTTTGCGACCCTGAAAAGGACACGATCTCTTTTTCCTTTGTTGCTATGTATGCGCCCTTTGCTCGTTCTTTGCGTATCAAAATAAAAAAGAAAAAAACATAAGAACAGTCCCCTCTTGTTCGACGTGCCAATAAGAATCTAGACGCGTTTTATGCATGGGCGATCGATCGAAAGTTGAAGGACAGAAAATAAATTTATTGTTGAGGTTGTATTACATGTACAGTACATTGTTGCATGAAGGGCGAATAAGGTTTTGTACGGTCCAGTCATGGTCGGGCTGCAATGGTCAGTTGTTGTTTATTTTCTAGTCGTTATCTTAGTGAGTGAGAAGTCAATTCGTCATGAAGGGCGCTAGTGATGGGATGAGTGCTGTTTGAGGGGATGGGTCTCAAAAACCCCTACCAGACCAGATCAGAGTGAAGCAAAACCTCTTGGTCTTGGAGTGCTTCCTTCACGGATACACCTCCAAGTCCCCATCCCCCAAAAAAACTTCATTTGTCATCATCGTTGCCCAATGGGATGAATTCAAGCGGACCTTGGGTTTGATGAGAACATGAGAACATAAAATCAACATTTGCTTAAAAGAGAGCAGTTTTACCTTTTCTTTTCTCTTCTTTTTCTTCACTCTTTCCCATCGCACTTTCTTTTTTTCCCACCTTCACTTTCTACCAACAATCAACATGTCTCTCGGACGTATCGCAAAGCTCAACACCGGCGCCACCATCCCCCTCTTCGGGTATGTTTTATCTCGATTCTTCAATTGCTTGACCGTTAGGAGACAGACATCTCTTATTCAAATGCATCCCTTTGACAGAAAAGATTCGATCGATGTTTATCCGACGCTTTATCCGTTATCCGTTATCCGCTGCGCAGTGAACAGAAATCAGGCTAAACATTCACACTCACTCCCCCCCTCGCCATCCTTCATCTTTTCACAACCGCATAGCTTGGGAACATGGCAGAGCAAGCCCGACGTTGTCAAGAACGCCGTCAAGGTCGCCTTGGACGCCGGATACCGCCACATTGACGCCGCGTGGATCTACGGTAACGAGAAGGAGGTCGGTGAGGCCATCCGTGAATCCAACATCCCCCGTGAGCAATTGTTTGTTACAACCAAGCTTTGGAACAACTCGCATCGTCCTGAGGATGTTTTGCCTGCCCTGGAGACTTCGTTGAAGAACTTGGGCTTGGAGTATGTTGATCTGTACTTGATGGTAAGTTCTTTTTTCATAATGTCTGTTGAGTTTTAAGATAGAGATGGAGACGATCGATCTGATGATTGGGATTTGGTCCGAGGATAGATGGCAGACAAAGAGACAGACAGACAGAAATGGCGCCAATTCGACTCCAGCAGACGTCACTTTTGTCGATTATATTCCTTCCTTCGGGTTCCATTTCGCTCACAACAGCAACACCAAGGGAAAAAAACTAAAGTATTCCCTTCCTTTCCAACAAACAACAACAATAGCACTGGCCTATCGCTTTCAAGTCGGGCCCTGCAGCAGTCGCCAGGGACGAGGCCGGCAAGTTGATCTTTGAAGACGTCGATATCGTCGCCACCTACCAGGCTATGGAGAAGCTCGTCGAGACCGGCAAGACCAAGGCCATCGGTGTCTCCAACTTCTCGATCAAGAACCTCGAGAAGATCCTTGCTAATGCTAAGATCGTCCCTGCTGCCAACCAGGTCGAGCTTCACCCCGAGAACCCTCAGTGGGAGCTTTTGGAGTTCTGCAAGTCCAAGGGTATTCATCTCACTGCTTACTCTCCCCTGGGCTCGACTGACTCTCCCTTGATCAAACGCGATGAAGTAAGGATTGATTTTTTTTAGTGGCGTCATTTTTTTTTTCTGTACAAGTTTTGTACGTAATCCATGCACATATAAGTTACATTGCTGACCCACGCATTCCCCTCTCATTCCAATCAACAGATCTCAAAGATTGCAGCAAAGCACAACACCAGCAACGCCAATGTCTTGATCGCCTGGGGCCAGCAGCGTGGAACTTCAGTCATCCCCAAGTCCGTCACCGAGTCGCGTATCATCTCCAACTTCAAGGACATCGAGCTCGATCAGGAGGACCTTGCTGCCTTGAAGGCTCTTCTTGAGGGCAAGGCTCCTCATCGCTACTGCGATCCCAAGGAGTTCTGGGGCGTTGATGTCTTCAACTAGGTTGATTTGAACTCATTGTACATACACACAAGATATAAAACATAAACATCACTATACGTTCCTTAAGAATTCACTTTATGAACGTTCATGGTCTGGTACTTGAATCTGCTATGGGTGAATGAGAGGGGAGAAAAGAAAGAGTATAATGGGGATGGAAAGGAAGAGTACAATGAGCAAAAACATTCACCGGGGGTTGGATCGGACCATCACCCGACCGGCATCCAAGATCCCGGGTAACCAGTCTGGCGGTTTCCCCAATTTCATTTGTGTCAATTGTAGCAATTCAAGATGTCAGGATCAATAATGATGAAACGCAAATGACACGATGATCCCTTTTTCTTACAATGCCCAAAGATTGTCGACAAAGGCACGGACGCCTTCATGGCTCTCTCTTTCGTCCTCTCTCTCACTCTCACCTTGTGAATCTTGCTCACGCTACTTCTCTCACGATACTCACAATAACCTCTCTCACTTCCGAATTCTCACACACTTCATTGTCTCTTATCCACCTCCTGCTCTCACCCTCTTACCTTTACTCCCGCGTGCGCATGCGCAACCATACATTTAACTCTCACGCATAAGGAAAGCAGACATCTTAAGACACTTGCCTTTCCTCTCTTCTTGCCCTTTCTCTTTCATCCCGGCGTCGATGCCTTCTCTATCTTTCGAGCTCTCGGTAGATAAAAAAAGTAAAGATGACAAACAAAGGCAAAAACAAGCTACTTGTGAGCAATTTTTCATTTTTTCTTTCTTCGTCTCGCTCTTTTTTTTTGTTTCTTTCTGTTCTTTTTGCCAGTTTCGCATGTCGCATGTGGACACAGATATGCATTTATATGACTGACACAGAAAAGAAAATAAGTTGGATGTTCTTTTTTGATTGTAACCAAGCCTGCCGTGCATACATAATTGGTTTCTTCTTTTCTTATGTTTTTTTTTCTTGTGTTTACACGAGTTGTCGAAAATGAAGAATGGGAGGACAAGAAAAGAAAAGACGACATAGAACAAAGGACAGAGAAGGGAGAGAGAGAGATGTTGTGCTCACCCAATTTTAGCTGCTTGAACCCAAACAACAACAACATCAACAACAACAACAATTCACGGGTTGACAGACCAGGTATTATTTGGGCCTCGATTTAACCTGTATGATCGAAATAAATAATAGATACTGAAAAAAGGGCTAATTTAATTATTCTTGTAGGATTGAAGGTGCGAAAGGTAGAACGTTGGATGGGAAGGAATGCAATGAAGTGAGGATGAGAGAGTAAGCAAAAAGTGAGAAGCGGGGGCTGGGGGGGCTGCACTTCATTCATGCAATCGTTCACACGCCCCATGGCCAGAGGGCATCACCCTGTGTCTGTGCCATTTGAAGAAGGGTTGGGCTTGACCCTTTTTTTAGTTGTTGCTGTTGTAGTCTATGATCAATCTTTATTCTTCGTTACAGTGGCGGAACATTGTCCATCTCTCCCTCTTTGTTGTTTACGGTGGAGAGAGTGTGTGTTGTTTTTATCGCCTTTTGTTTTTTTTTGCTCTCTCCCTTGGGTCTCTTTTCATAGCTCACTGCGTTAGATATCGAATGGATGACCAGCGTGGACCAGTTAACCCTGATGCCTTGGGCCTGGCGAGTCTATCAATGGACCTATCACCTCGCATCAATCACCATCAGTTCTCTATATCAGCCAGTGAGACTATTTCACTCAAGAACATTAGCACATTCTCGCTCCCTTTGGCTTAGCTCGTGTCTCCACACTTATTATTCGTCTCGTTCCCGTTCTCTTTTTTCAATCTCTTCTCTTCTTTTCTCTTTTCTCTCTTCTCTTTCGTTCTTCACCAAACCCTTCCCTTCCTTTCCCTTCCCTCTCTCTACCCCTTCCATCCTTCGTCAAGGCACCCCTTCCTCTTCTTCCTCCCTCCTCTTCCCCCACCCCTTCCAAAGCACTCTACTTCCTCACCGTTGTATTGTCACTCTTCCCTCCCCTCTTCTCATTACTTACATTCGTCCTACCTGTAACGAACAACTTACTCACATCATCATCATCTCTCTTCCTCCTCCTCCTCCTCAATCATTCCTCTCAACCAATCACCCCTTCCTTGCCTTTTCTCCGTCTTTTTTTTTTCTCGTTTTCTTTTTTCTTTTCATTGACACCCTTTTTCTGTGTATTGCCCTATCCATACGACACACGCTCTTTGAACGTCTTGTTTCACTCACTCTCTCTTTCACTCTCCTCCCCTGCGTCGTATCTTCCCTTTTATTTATTTTCGCCACTCTCCCTCTTTTGAACAATTCTCGGTCTCCCTTCTTAAACAATCTAATCCAAAAAGCTACGCCCAACTGCCACTTCCACCTTCCTTCTCTCGCCAAATACCCACCAACAACTACAACACACACAACAATGACCCAAGCGCCCTCCTCACAACGCCGTCACTGGCTCACACGGACCCTGGTCCCACTCGCCCTCCTCATCGCCTCCGCCAACGCCAAATGCATCCCCCTTACTGGCTCCACAGCCTGCCCCCAATTCGCCAGTCTTCAGGTCGACACCACCGCCGCCGCCACTCAAACCGGCCAGGACATGGGCTTTACCATTGCCAACTTTGACGACCTTGCCCAGTTCGACAAGGCGATCCAAGCATCGACCGGCTGGTATACCTCCCCTATATCTTGCCCGGGCTACAACAAGACTGAACACATCCGCTACCAAAACACCGTCGCCTGTGCCCTAATGACCCAGGATGTAGCCTCAGTTGCTTGCTCCTCGACCGCTACTGCCTTGAGCATGTGCAGAACCACCTGTACCGAGTATGCGACTTCGTTGATGCAGATGGTCACTAAGTCCTGCTCCAGTGATCCTGAGTCGAACAGGATGGCAATCGAACTGCAGAATAAAGTTTGCGCGGCAGGCAACTCCTACCCAGGCTTGTCCAGTGCCGATGCCGCTACCTGTGTCAACGGATCGAATAACGAGGATGTAACCTGTGGTAAGTTCTCTCTCTCTTTCTCTTCATTTCTTACTTTTCTATTATATTTATTATTCTATGCCAACCCAACGGTTCTATTTTCACACCAAATGGATTGTGCAGGGGTACGGTTAATAACAGGGGAACGATAAAAAAGGGAGGGAGCCTCAATACACACAGACACCCTCGGTGTTCCTCGGAAATAAGCACGCAAAGACGCAACAAAGCGAGCAGGAACAGGAATGAACGTCTGTTCCCCCTCTCACGCACCCCTCACTTTTTGACAACATCCAATCGCATGGGTCTTATGACATGCGGTTTATATTTGTTCGTTACGATATCGACCAAAAATATGCTGTTGTTTACGCCTTCAGGGGAGGTGCAATTGTTTACTGCTCCCGTCGCTACTACTCTTACCTAGTATGCTGACGAGAATAAGCGAGAGAGCAAATGGTCTTGGTTCGAGGTATATTGGATGCACCAGACCCAAAAGAGTGTTGTTGTTGTTGTTGTTGACAAAAGTAGTGTGTGTTGTGTGTTATTTTTGCTCACAGAGAGGGCAAAAAAAGGACGGACGGGAAATGAGAGCAATATCTTTATTAAATTGATTTTTTTGGGTTGCACAACACACAACAACACACACACACAAAGATACACTTGTTTGAAGGAAAGAGAGAAGGAGTGAGATACGGTATATATAATTATTCTTGTGCCCCGCCAAAAAAAACTAATTCGAGAGATGATGATGACAGTGCAGACAGTAGCAGCTGCAGCTGCAGGCAGTAGTAACTATGCTATAGTAGCAAAACACAGAAAGGCACCAAGCAGAGCAGAGCAACAATACGACAAACACGACAGACAGGTTTTAAACCACTCAAGTGCGCCCTTAGTGGGAAACGCTATTTCGTCAATGGCACTAATGAACGATTGAATTCTATTTTCAATATCTATCAATCTAGGATTCGTGAACCAGCAAGCCATGTGCACCTTCTGCGGCAACGCAACCAACGCAGCCGACACCTGCTGCATTAAAAACTCTGGCCTCTGTAAGCCCGTCACCACCACTACGACCACTGTCATCACCACCATCGGCAACACCCCACCAGCCTCCACGCCCACCACCCCCATCGCCAACCAGGACGATGGAGACAAGAAGGATGGAGTCATTGCTGGATTGTCGACGGCTGCGTTGGGAGGTATCATTGGAGGAGGCGTGGTCTTGATCCTCTTGTTCTTTGCCTTCATTGTCTGCTGCATGCGTCGCAACCGCAGCAACAACGGAAAGGGCGGAAACAAGGTGCATGGTCATGGAGGCAACGCCGGAGCCAACAACCTCTCCCGCCACATGTCCAACTCAAGTGCGTCCAAGTATAAGATCTCGTCGCCTAAATTGCAAGAGGAGGGTTTCAGCACTGGTCAGGTCCCCTCGGCCCCCATTCCCATGACTGCCTTGCCCTCGCTCAACGTCCAATCTGTCGCTGCTGCTGCCGTTGCTGGTGGCGCTGCTGCTAACAGGATCTCTAAGGCTAGCTCTATCGGAGGCGCATCAGCAGCAGGAGGAGCAGAAGGAAAGCAGTACTGTCAGGCGTTGTACCCTTACCAGGCATCAATGGCTGATGAATTGGACCTCTCTCCTGGCGATATTGTCAACGTCCACAAGGTCTTTGATGACGGCTGGGCAGTCGGAGTCAATATGAACACCTCCAATGAAGGAGCCTTCCCTGTCGTTTGTGTCATGTTTGTGGACGAGGCGGCACTTCATGACGACTTTGAGGACGTCAACATGCACTCGATGACGCCTATGGGCCTCCGCGAGGACGATAACGGACGCTCGGGATCCCCTCGCTCTTCCTTGCCCTCTAGAGCCTCCAGCCCTGTTCATCTGCCTAGACGTCAGTCTTCGATGATCCGGGATTCGGTCGTCATCCCTGGTTTGAGCAATGGCGGACGCTCTTCTCCTTTGGCTGGATCTCCGCTGGCCGGAGGTAACCATCCTGGAAGCAAACTGCAGCCCCCTGTTCGTGATACCATGATGAGCGACGCCAGCTCTATCAACCGCTGGTGGGATGGCGAGGGCAAGTAAATTTGCTTGGTCCTTGCTTAGTTTTTGCTATCCACACACTACACTTCTTTTTCCCGTAGCTTGGGAAGTGATACATTCAAAACCATGTAGCTAACGATTATTTTTCACTGAATACCATTTCCCTTCCCCTTTCAAAAGAGGTCTTTTTGACGTTAAAAAATAAAAATACACATACTATTGTCAATACACTCAACCATCAACTGTTGTTAAGAACAAGCACGCTTGCAAAGCTATCGATGACCATTCTTCATTCATTATCTAAAACGACCGAGGTTCAGTCCCATACCCTCCTCCCCTCCCAGTACCTCACTCTGTTGCTGTCTCTGCAAAGCAAAACACCGGGACATGCTCTCCAAGACCGGGTCGGAGGTCATCCGGATACACTTGTACTCGCGCTGGATCCGCTCCATCTCTCTATGAGCCCTCCCGCGGCGAGCCATCTCTTCTTCGTCCAAGTCGTCGTGTGAGCTGTCCCGTTGCAGGTTCAGTTTCTGTTGGGTTCGTGACATGGATTCTACTGGGTTCCACGGGCTGCTAGAAGCGTTTGAGGATGGGGAGGAATGTGGTGGTAGGGGTGTGGTGCTGTGGGAGTGGGTGGGTGTGGGACCTTCTGCGGATGAGTAGGTAGACACTGCGCCTGGGGATGATGGTGTCGTGCCCGAAGCAGCGGCAGCAGCAGCAACAGCGGCGGCGGCGACGGCGGCGGTAGAAGTTCCTACTCCTCCTGCTGCTGCTGGTACATCCATATCTGAAGAAGTCATCCGCAAACTCGGAGGGAGTCTCCGTCTCGCCGCCAGAGATCCTGCACTACTGCTACCCGATAACGACCCTGCCTGCTGCTTGGGTGCCGAAGAACTCAGCACCGCATGCTGCTGACTAGCGGGGGTAATAAACCGTGAGATGAGGTACAGATTTGGGTCCGAGACGCGCGGTGGGGACGTCATGAACCCCATACCCATACCCATACCGGTACTAGAAGAGCCTGTATTAGATTTGACAGACTCTGCGAGCGAGGCTGCAGATCCGTGGCGCGCATGGCGGCGTTGATGTTGTCCGGTCGTTGCAGAAGAGGAAGAAGGGGAGCCAGAGAGGGCGTTGGTGAACATGGAGTGGAGACTGGATTGGGACCGTGACCGACCGAGTGTCACTACGGGGTTGAGAAGTTTCGAAACCAAGTCTACAGCTGACTCTGTTGGAGGAGGCGTATCCTGTTGTGAAGGAGAAGAATCTTTCCTGTGACTAGAAGCAGAGTCGGTACTGTTGGCGATGCTGTCGGTGTGGTGGTGGTTCGGGCTGATGACTGCGACAACGGGTTGGGAGGTCGTCTTGGAGAGCGAGGGGAGGGAGGTGGTTGAGAGACTTGGATTCAAGAGCCTAGTTAGACGCTCCGAGGGCCGTTGTGAGGGCGGTGTGATTGCCGTCGCTACTCCAGGTGCTGGGTGGGAGTGTTGTTGCTGAGACGATTGATGTCCCCCCACTGTTGCTGCTCCTCCTCTTGCGAGGTTTGGTGAGGATGTAATCGAAGCCGAGTGAACGACGAGCTCGGGGACTTTTGAGTGTATCATCGTCTCTCTGTTGTTCTTGTTGTCGTGGCTCACTTCTCCCTTGCCCTTGCCGACAAGATTCGTATCCTTCGGAATCCTATTGCCCTGCTTCCTCTGTTGTCGTTGCTCTTGCTCATCTTTCCTAACAAGGGTGAGATTTGTGAGTTTTGCGCGGGTCACGGACACATCTGACTCTTCGGCAGAAGAAGAGGAAGACGAAGAAACAATGGGCCCATTTGTCTTCTTTGTCGTATTTTCCTTTTGTGTCGCTGTCGGTAGGGCGACCATGGCGTCCGGTGCAGTGAGTCGGATGGTTGCAACCTCAGACTGCTGCTTCTCCTCCTGCTCCTTCTCCGTTGCTCGCATAGGCGCAGGAGGAGGAGTCGATGACGGTCGAAGAAGAGGATAGGGGCGCTGACCATTGTTGGGGATACTCCCCGAATTGGGTCCACGTTCTAGATCCAAGTTCCCCTGCTGACTACTAACTGCCTGTGAACCCATTGCCTTTCTACCTTCACCTTCGCCAGCTGTCTCGGTCGGTTTCGGATGATGATCTTGATGGCGTGAGATATTATGCTGGCTGGGCGATACGGGGTAGGGATCGTTCTTGTGCCGAGGCGGGTGGTAGGGATGGCACCCGTCGTGTTCCAGTTCCCTCCCCGCTTCCGTTCCTCCTTCTTCACCTTCACCTTCTCCAACTTTTCCTGTTGCTGCTCCGTGGGAGTGCGTAAGCAGCTCCTGATGTTGTTGGTCCGAGCTCAGGTCTTCATCTGCGTGATCTCCGCACGCAAACTTGGGTCTCCTCTTCCTCTGCTCGGCGGACGTCTTTGCCCGCCTTTCCGACTTTGTCGTCGCCGCCGTTGCTGTTGAATGTGCTGCTATGGGTGGCAGTTGTTGTTTTTGTTCTTGGTGATGCTGAGACTGGTTGGAGACGGATCGCATCATGGGGCGGGTCTTGGAGGCTGTCACTGTATGACTATGCCTCCTATTGTTATTGTTACTGTGCCCACCGTTCGTCGTTAAAGTAGTATTTGTGGCGGTGATGGTAGATGAAGCGGTATGACCTTGGCCATTGTTGCTCCGGCTACGCTTGTGTGATACCAGCGCGTCTTTGCGAGATGGCCTTGATGCTGTTGCTCCAAGTGTACTTGTAGGTGGTGCTGCTGCTGTTGTTGGGTCAATGATGCTTGGTTCGGCGGTGTCTTGCCGGGTAGTCCTGTGCTCGCCAGAAGGTTGCGGTTGCGGTTGTAAAGTGTCGCCCATGAGTGAAAGTGAAGGAAATGAGAATGGGCAAAAGGGGAATGAAGAGAAAGAGGGAGAGAGGGTTTTGTGGGGCGTGAGAGAATGAGGCAGATAACGAATAAAGATGCGGATTTTTTCTTCTTTTTTGAAACAAAGACCGGGGGTTTAGAGTGATGTGACTGAAGGGCAGTCACCCCATCTATCATAAATAGATCTTACTTCGCCGAGAAATATGCATTGTCGAGCCACGTTGTGGGTATTTACTACATGTAGATGCTTGTGTAAAGACAAGCATTGGCGCTTTGCTGTCAAGTCGACTACGGCGCAATTGCAATCAACCCCCTAACCACAATGTCCTTACTCTACTCTCTTCATTCATGATTCATGCCTGGTATGGATGTCATCCCCTCCTTCTCAACTATGCATAGACAGGCAGGCTTCTTTGTCGGCTTTGCTCTCTCGTTCCGGCGGGCAACGAAATGTGCAATCTGACTGAGGCTTAGCGCTCGGCGCCGTCCTTTTCCTTTTTTTCTATTCTCATTCCATCCTGTTCATCAGCCATCTTTGAGCCCATCCCTTTTTTTCTTACGCTCATTCATTCCATTCCCCATACCCTCACCATGGTCAACACCGCTGCTGCCAACCCTACCATTCCCGAGACGCAGCAACCTGACACCCCTGCCGTCGCTGACTCCAGGTATGCTCCTTGTAGTGTGTTACCCTTATTTTCATAGGATCCTGGTTGTCTAACCCCTCCTACAATTTTTTTACAACACAAAAAAAATACACTAGTGAGAACCCCCTGCCAGACCTGGACTATGTGGTGCCTAATCCTGAGGAGCACCTGAAGCTGTTGGTCGCTATGCGGAAAGCATGCGGGTGGGAAGCTGGCATGGTATGTATAACGAACAGTTCTCTCTTGCATTTGCGCAGCTACCGAGATGGATGGGTGGAAGAAAAAAGGGGGTGGAGGTCAATTGAACCACTCCCCCACATACACAAACACACACACTTGTCACATTTATTTTGTCCTACCCACCCTAGTGCAACAAAAACAACTAACAAGAAACCAAATAACCCAATTGTGTCCTTCCTTGCCAGGTCCCAACATGGTTCATTCAACAAGCAGATGGCACCCGTGTCATGTCAATCTTCTACCTCCCGGGAACCACAACCCCCATCGGAATGGGCGCCGTCGAACTCCAAGATTTCGATCAAGCCGACAAAGACGTCGCCGACATCGACTCCAAACGTGGTTGCGTCGTCTCGCTCTTCCTCTACAAACAATACCGCGGCAAGGGGTACCTTGGCAAGATCTTGAGTATTTGTGAAGAGATTGCGAGAGGGAAGGGGTTGAAGGTGTTGACGATTTATGGGTTGGCCAAAGCGGGTGGGTATGAGAAGTTCGGGTATAAGACGTTCAAGATGGCGGTGAGGAATTATGGTGGAGAGAATAATTGGGAGACGAGATACCTGGAGATGGTGCTTTGAAGGCGATTGATAATAATAATAAAGTACTACCTAGGTGTTCTAGGATATATGCTAGATCGATTATGTGAAGTTGTTCTGCCAGGTTGCTTGTTAGCTGAGATGTGGGTTCATACGTACAAGATGCTAAAAGCACAGCCACGGCCGTTTTCTCGATCATTAAACGTTTACATGGGGCTTAGTACAAAGACTAGAACCATGATTGGTAGATGTGTACAAGAGAGTCGTCATCCTATCTATTCTCGCTCTAATGTTTCTAGCGTACTAGGTAGGTAGGTAGTTAGCTTCCTAGGCGGGTTGTTCATAGGTGTATGATGCCGATGGTACAGCCACGGCTGTTTTTTTGATCATATGAATGTTTACATGGGGCATTGTACAAAAGGCTGTCGTACCCTCCTCAGAGTGAACTTTGTAGAGACTCAAGCTGGCACCTGTAGGACGTCGTCGTGCTATCTATCCTTCCTTTGCGCTCTCTTGTTGATTGAGCTTTTTGTGGTTGCGTTTCGACTTTGGTGTTTCGACTGTGAACAAACAATACGCAAAATCAATAGAACAATATGAGTGGCAGTGCAGAACCCTTCTTCATTCTTCCTGTTCACAAAAACGACGACAACGATGATGCTGACGACGTACGACGGATCCTTCAGTCTCCTTTATTTTTAGAAGGGTTGAATTTGTACAAAAGAAAAAGAGAATCAAAGGGGTTGATGGAGGCTGAGAATAGAATACAGGTGGATAGGTGAGTTGGTTCACTACTAGGGTTACTACCCGGCCAGGGTGCAGTGTGAAGATCATAAGTGAAGAGTTCACAGTTGGTTAACGATGTAGGCGCAGGTAGAGGGAGGAAAGAGGCTTTGTTTTTTTTTCTTCTTGGGAACCCGGAGAGAGACCTTTATGGTTCATTTCCGGATGGGATCCCAAGTAAAGGATTAGTGAAACCAGTAGGGGTGGTGGATGATGCAGGAGTGAGGAAGTAGTAACGCACGAGCAGCAAACCGCTCGCATGTTTTGTTTTTAATTGCTGACTGACACGGATGCATTCATTGGATGCATTCTGTGAAGACTGCATCCCAATTGCTCCAGATTGGATCACCCTCCTCCTCTCGGTGTATTCTTTTCTTCGTCTTGGACAAGCAACGAATCGCACTTCATCTATCACCGTAAGTAAACAGTGGGTGGTGAACTCCCCACTCCTCCTTTTTATCGTCGATGTGTGCATTCATCAAGAAAAGAGAGAAAGGTAGATACGAAAGAAGGGCTGCGGTTGAGTAGACTGAGGAGATTGAGGTCGCGACTGAGCCATGCCCGTGTGATCAACTGTGCTGTCGCATCCCCTTTCTTCACTTCGTCGATGACTCTATCTCCCTCTCTCTCATAGCAAGCACCAAAGTAGTGCGGAGAATGTGCGACCCAACCAGTGGAAGCGACATAAAAGAAAAATAAGGCGGGTCTCGCCTTCTCTTTCACGTTTTCTTCAGACCTTTCCTCCCCACTATCAACCAGCCAGCCAGCCAAGCTTACTGCATGTGCCTTCGCCCTTTCCATTTTTCATTCCTCGTCCTTTCTTTCCTTCTTGATCCTTCTTTCTCTTCTACTTCTTCTTCCTTCTCCTCTCCTTCCTCTTTTACTCCATTTCTATCCTCCAATCCCTTGTCGTCGCCTTCACCCACAACCATCCTGTACATTATCCTCATCATCAATTCACTCTTCCTATCTCACACATTCCCTCCCGCGACGTGCTCTAGACCCTCGCTCATATTTTTATCGCATTCGCACTTCCTTCTGACCCCTCACACGGACACATACATAACACATACACAATACCATACTCACGCATTATTCATATCCATTTGGCCCATCTCGGCTCTCAACACTTTTCGTTGTCCCACTCCACCCGCCCATTTCCTCCTCTCCACTTCTTTCAACCAGACACCACTTGTGCCAAGAAACCCTCTTCACTTAACTCGCCAACTCGACTCTCGTAACAGTATCAACTTCACAGGCCGAAAAACCTCGCCCTCCCTCTCTCCTATCCATCTCGACTCCTTTGTATTTTCCCGCTGCCCCCTTTTCAACTCAACAACCGCACCCATAAAAAATCATGCGACTGTCTTCCTCTACTTCCACATCCACACGCATCCTCTGTGTCCTCGCCTGTCTCCTCTCCTTTAGCAATAACAACAACATCCAATTCGCGAATGCTCAAGGGCAGCCCCAACCCTGTGGAGGAGCAGCATACAAGGTTGTTGGCAACAAATTCTATATCCACGGAGGCGCCCTCCAAGGTGACCAACTCTTGCAGTCCCTCTGGGCGCTAGATCTAACCACCAACTGGACCACCAGCACACCCACATGGATTGCCCTCCCCCTCGGACCCTACAACGCTTACCATTCGGGAGGGCGCTCAGCCGACAACAAGACATTTATCGTCTTTGGACGCGACACAGCCGCAGACCCCAACGTGATCCCAACCTCGTTCGTCAACATCTTCGACATCTCCTCAAAGACTTGGACGGAACTCAACCCACAAGGAATAAACGATAACTCGCGGAGAGACTTCGACGTCGTCACCAACCCATCTGCCAATAAGGTTTATATTCTGGGTGGAGATACTGGGCCGTCGGGGAGTACCTACTCGAATATGTTTTCGACGTACGATGTAGGGACACAGACAGTGACCGAGGTTACGACACCCGCGCCGGGGCCACAGAATATCGCAACTTATAATGCGGTCTGGTCGCCCAAACTGAATGCCATGGTTGTCGTCGGAGGCAACTACAAGACGGAGACAGCGGCTCAAGGTCTTTTGCTCTATCACCCCGATACTGGCTCTTGGACTACACAGGTAAAAAGAATGGGCAGCAATGCCCAAACTCTTTCCTCTTGTTTACTCCCACACGCACATGCGCACACACATGCATCGAACCGCGCTTTGTCCCTCACAACAATTGACGCTTTTGTTTATTTTTGACTTTTTCTTCCGGACGGACAGACAACAAATGGTCCCTTCAACTATGGCCGATCCTCCGCTTGTGCCGCCACTAGTAAGTTCACATTCTTGAACACTTGGTGATTTAATTGCACTTGCTGCTTTCTTCATGCTTATCAACCGCCTTTCCTACTTAACCATATTGCCAATAGATGGTGATGGGTCGTTGATTGTAGTGTTTGGTGGATTCATTGGCGGGTCGGGTCAAGGCGATCCAACCATATATGTTCTCAACACTGCCACATGGTCATGGACGGCTACGAAATACCCTGGCCAAGGGCGAGGAAATGCTGCCTGCGCCATTGTCGACGACACGTTTATGGTCTGGGGTGGATTCCTCGCCTCCCCCAACACTAAAAATGGAGTCCCTACTGGCGCTGATGCTCTGCTCTTGTACTCGCTGTCAAAGTCGCAATGGCAGACGACTTATACACCTTCTGCGGCCATGACTGGGGGTGGTGACAATAGCACTGGATATCCGGGGGGAACCACCCCAACCGACGGCGACAACCCGGACGGCAATGGCGGAAACAATAACCAGAATGGTCTCTCCTCTGGCGCGTTGGGAGGCATCATTGCAGGAGGTGTTGTAGCCTTGGTAATCGCTATCTTTGGTATTGTGGGTTGGCACAAGCGGAGAAAGCATCCCCCGTCTGACAAGGATACGTCGTACGAGACGGCCGGTATCAACAGCATGGAGGAACATAATCATGCGTCAGGACCGTCACCCCCAAGACTACCCCCATCAGGTCTCAACACCACTACGGGACAGTACCAGTCGCTCAAGGCTGCGGACGAGGCGAATTTCGATCCACGGCTGAGTACTGATGACAGCTATGGAAACGGCGGAGGATACTCGAATGCGACCACGCCAACGACACTCGAATTTTTGCACACCAACGAGCATAGGCCGGAACGGGGACGACAGTCTTATCAGAGCGACGGATCTGTCTACTACCCACCACCACCAGCACCCATCTCGCACCAGCCAACCATACCAGAAGACTCGCCTTACATGTCCGAACACAGTGTCTCTGGAAGCGGTCGTCGGTTCAATGACCCCCAGTCGCTTACCCTCGACAACTCTGGGGTTGCCAACTACCAATACGCAGGACTGACAGGACCCGCAACTGCTGCTTCTGTTGGTCCTGGGTACGCAGCAACAGGGTGTGATTACCACGACGGAGGGTACTATGCTGACCGAGACCGCGAAAGGTACCTGTCCGGTATCTCGACACAGACGGGCTACTCACGAGTATCATCAGCCGGGTCAGATCCTCAGGCAATCATATATCCCAATACTTCGCCTCCGATGCCCAAGAGGGTTGTGAGTGGACCTCAAGGAGGGGAAGGGTACGGATTTGTGATCGAGCCTTCTCCACCTGGAGCACCTCAGGCGTTGCTTGAGCACCAGTGGTCGATTCCCCGCCAGCAAGAGAAACTGCAACCACAACCGTTGGAATATCAGCAGCCTCTGCCGCAGAGTCCACCTCCACTGGCGCCTCGGCCATCTAACCAGTCTCCGTACTAAGCAACAAGAAGCCTTTTTTACCCCCCTTTCGTTTCCCTTTCCCTTGTTTTTAGTTCATCATAGACCGACATGATTTTGTATTCTAGCACCTACTTTTTCTGAGCACTACTTTTCTGTTCTTCTGCCTTTGCTCGTGTCAATGACGGAATGAGTATTAGAGCGGTTAAATTGCGGTTTATATTGTCTAAAGGCAGAAAGAAAGGATTGTTTGTGCTTGAATGGTGGTTGAAAGTCCTCGTTTCTATGTTCGGAGTGAAGGGATATATGAATGAAGAGATTCGATGTCCGAATCTGATGGCAGCAGTGTATGATTTGATTGCGTAGGAGGCGGCTGATAGAGTTTGACACCGCGCAACTGTATTCGTCTTGATTAGAGTAGTCTTGATACATACTCTTGATTGATTAGTGCTGGACGGTTGGGACACAGGTACAGCACGGTACGTAGAGGGATATCGGGTGTCGATCTATTGGGAGGATTGTCTGTGACAATAATAGGGAAGAGGACTGAGCAAAAGGAAAGAGGGACGACCTTTTCTTAATTCTTTTTCTTTTTCTTTTCCTTTTTCTTTTTCTTCTTTTCCTTTCTTTTCTTTTTCCACGTTGTTATTTATTCACCCTCTTCCACGCCCCCTTCCTTCATTTACTCTCCCTCTTCTCACCTTTCGCTCCTCTTAACAGGATCTTCGCTCCCACTCTCTGCAACAACTCAGCCTTCCTCCTCCCAACTCTCACTCACTTCGTCTTTACCATCACAACCCTCGTTACACCCGCACTCCTGTCCTGACCTGACCACCCCCCAAAACCTGCAAATCAAAACTCTCTTCCCTGTACCTTTTTCATTGTACCCGTCCATTTGCCTTTCCTGTCACACACACACGAACATCACCCTTCCATCCTTCATTTCCTCTCTCGCTCATCTTCACCCTCGAACAAACAAAACAACCTCTATCCTCACACTCCTCCACCCTCAACAAAAAACCACTACAACAAATAATGAAACTCTCGAGCGGGTCGTCCATAGCCTTGCTTGCCTCCATGGCAACGCTACTCTCTTCTTCCGTCCAACAAGTCGCCGCCTATGGTCAAAGTACGTCCACCCTCTTCTCCGCACACAGCCCAACATGCAACCAACCAACGCAACCAAGCAGTCTTACACCATTTACATAAGGGGTTTTCTTTGGAACCCGGGAGTCAGGAAAACAGTCAGTCATTCACAACGGCCTTTTTCCCATGTCGCTTGTTTTTGTTCTACCTGAGACAACAAAAGACAGACGGACGAATGGATTAGTTATTATTTTTCTGGACTTCGTTTTCCCGGGTTCTCTTGTGGCGAACTGGGAGTACAACTTCGTTCGATGTTGTTCTCTACTGTCTCAGCTTGCCACGACGCTTTCATTTTTTTCCCCTCTCTCTTTTGCATTCTTGTTTCTTGGAAACTTTGGGCTGTTGACACACTCTCGGTATCTTGTTTTCGACAAACATATTTGGGCGTGAGGGTTAGGGTCGGTTTGCGGTAGCACAGAGGATGACAAAAAAAATAACCTAGACATAAGAGGGTCGAACTGCGATAGGAATAAGGATGAATGTGTAACATAAGAATGATGTCCCAATTTCTCGTTCATGTTAATATGGTTTACGGCTCTTCTTTTTTTTATTTCTTGGGCGCAAACGCATTTGAAGTCTAGGGAAGAGACTGGGTGGAGAAATAGGAGGAGAAATAGGAAGAGAAAAATGGTAGGGAGGAGACATGGTCTATATTGCTGACTGTATTTCGAAAGAACAAGAGGAGTTGAGAGCACACTGAGTGAGGGGGCAGAGAGAGAGAGAGAGAAGACACGATTTTTTCTTAGCGCGAAAATGGCTCTCTCTCTTCTGTCTTTTCGGGAGGACAACAGGTTGCACATCCAACATCCTCTTTGATCGCAAGCATGCAATTGGCGATTGAGAGGACCCGGTGCCAGAGAAGAGGGGCATGGTCCTACTTTCATTATTGCTCACAGCGCTAGAAACAAAGAACAGGAGCAATCGATAATGACCAAGAATCATAAGAACATCGAGAGCCATATTTCGCATTCATTGTGCCACAGGAGCAACAGGAAGAAGAACCAACAATCAATAATGAAAAATGCAAACAAGAGGAGGTCATAACCTGTAAGGTTGCTGACCAAAGAAGGCGGGGAAATATAGACAGCCAAACAACTGACTTGGCAAAGTGGTTCAAGAGCCGCGGTCCAAATGAAAGACTATTTCTCCTTTAACATGCATGACAAGAGAGAAAGGAGAAATAGAGAGGAGGTATATGAACGACATGAAAAAAAGTGGGTTCGCAATGAGGAAAAAAAGAGGGGACGGACAAACCACTGCATCGGTCAGCATCGCACAATATTATTATTTTTTTTCGTTTTTACTATCATCACCCACTCTCAACTGCAACCTTCACTCCTCCGCTTAAACAACAAGTGGTGTTCGGAGGTTGGATGTTGATGGCTCTCCAATGATTACGATTCGGGAAGGAGGGAAAAATAGGAGGAGATCCAATTGTAGGACCGTTCAGACCCTTTCGGATCCCATGTGTACACGAGATTGGAAGGGCGTACAAAGGAAAAAACTTCATTGCCTGCAAGGTCTCTTTCATTTCATCATTGTCATTCATCGCATAAGCAAAACAGGGTGCTAGCGTGTTCGCTACTTGCTTGGTGCTACATTTGCATTGAGGGGGATGACTTAAAATGCATTTTTGTAAAGAAGGTTGAGCATAGAGATGTACTTGTGGCTGAATATGTATTTGTCCATAGCAACGTGGACTGCGCATGGGTCCTAGAAAGCCAAGGAAACGAAAAAGAAAGAAGAGCGCTGAATGGTGCGATGAGAAAATTAGAGAGAGAGAGAGGGAGAGAGAGAGAGTTCCCGATCTTTTTTCGTCACCTTCATGATGAGCAGTTTCTTATTTTGTCTACATGGCTATGAGGTTGTGAGGCATGTTTATGTTATCGAACGAGGACAGAGGAGACGAGAGGGAGGAAGGGAGAGCTCTCAGGCACACAAACACACACACACAACAACAACCATCTCAACGGTTGACCTGGCAGACAGCCTGGCAGGGATCTATTTTTATTCGTCCGTTGTTTCCAATGCTTCTTCCATTCATTTCTTATTGTTGTCGTTCTTGCGTGTCGTCTCACACCATACCACTCACCAGCTGGAAGAACACCCCTCATAATGCAACCAACCAACCAACCAACCAACCTGCACCTGACGAAATGCTGTTGCTGCGGGAGTTCTTGTCGCTGCAACCCCTTGCTGCAAAAGTAATAATGCTAACCTTATGATTTTGTTTGCATTCCCGCTCTTTAATAGTGGTGCCCTACAATGGAACCATCTGCAAAGTTAGTTGTGCGCTGTTCATTTCATTTTCCCAGCCTGAGGCTTCACAAACAACAAAAAGCATGGTTACCTAACAAATACTTTTCCATTGGTACATCTCTTTCGATGATATAGGGGTTTATTGACTACCAGGTCTGGGTGGCGGATGGAGTGAGTTTGGTCGATATTGAGCAACAGCTGATCAAGAGTAAAATCGAGACGATCTATGGCCTGCCCGATCCATGCAACTCGGCCTACTTGCGCCATGCCTGTTCCGTCGCTTACCCCCGTCCAGTCTCGAACGGCTTTGGTAAGTTCTTTTGTCTATGTTTTTATGTACTGCGTTGCTTGTATAAATGAGAGTGATATGTATGTAAAGGTGCACACACAAGAGGACACATGTCCAAAGTGCCGATTTGTGTTTACGTGTACGACGTGGTTCTCGACACGCCTGGACATTGGATCTTTTTTCACCCTCATCATTTCTGTTACCTTCCCGCTATTTCCCGGTTCCCGTCCCTTCTTCATTCCTGATGAAGAATGAAGAGAGAAGAACGTGATATGAGGACCAGTGAGACAAGGTTCTTCTGATGGGATTGTCAACAAAGTATTAACCATGGACACCTCCTTGTCTTTGACCTTGCTTCCCCCTTGAACAAATAACACAGGCAACAGCTATAATGTCCTTTTCGCTTGCAAGTCCTCGTGCCAGTCAGTGCTAGACTCTTGCACGGCCAACTTTGAGCTCCTGGGCATGACCGACATGCTCCCCAACTGTGCCGCCGCCGTCCCCAACACCGACAAATACCCCGGCGGAGCTGTCCTGCTCCAGAATGATGGCTCTTGCAACGCCCTCCCCAGTAAGTTCCCTTCTTCTTGCTGTTCTTTCGAGAAAGAGATGAAGAAGCCTTGGTTGAGCATGTTTTTATCAAAAACACGTAAAAGAATCCCGTCCTACTATTGAGGCGATCATATTACTGGACTATCCAAAAAAAAAAAACTAAACCAAGGAAATACTTTCATTTATTCTCACAAAATAGCCAAGAGCATGAACGCGACATGCATGGTGCCATTGACAGAGTGCGTCTCCCCCTTCATCGTGGATACAGTCTTCAAGACAACCAACGGACAACAAAACACCGACGACGCCAACTGTGCCTGTGGATGCTGTCTCCCCTGCCCCCAAACCGATAACTACTACAAAGCCGATCTTCTCAAAACAGGATTCTTTGTCACCGATGTCCTCAAGGCCGTCTCTGCTGTCCTCGCCCTTGTCCTTGCTATCTCCTATATCGTCCTCCCCGATAAGCTGCAGCACCCTTCCAACTTGATTCTCTTTGCCTCGATCTCCACCGCCATCTTTTGTGCCGCTGTAGCTCCATCCTTTGGTGATGCTACTCGTGTCCAGTGTGCCGCCAACGGTGTCTCGCCCGCGACGTCCTACAACAACACGCTTTGTACTATCCAAGGAGCCTGGTTGCTCTTTGGCGCTATTGCGACTACCGCCTGGTTGTCGATCGTCATCATCAACTTGCATCTACACACAGTCTGGAACTCGGACTGGTTATCGAGAAAGGCCTGGTTGTCGCATGTCATTGGATGGGTCATCCCTGCAGCCTTTGCGGCCATCGCCGTCATCACCAACTCGCTTGGCTGGAGCAACTCGTCCATGTGCATGGCTTCTATAGACACTGCTGCTGTGCTGTTGTTTGCCCCTCTGGGATTGATCATGATCCCCTCCACCTTGCTCCACATTGGTACCTTTGCTCATATTATCCGAATTACCTTGCAGGCCGAGAACTCGGAAACCGTCTCCCACTCTACTCTTTCTTCCGGCCGTGCCGCAAGGATCTCTCACCGTCGCCACGTCATGAACGCCATCCGCATCCAGTGGCGTGCCGCCGTCCTGGCACTCGTTATCTCGTCCTCGGTCCTTATTTACTGGTCCTTCTACGTCGTCGAAGGCTCTAAGACCGACACCACCTGGATGAGCACCTGGCAGTTGTGCATCTTCAACAGACTCGGCAACCAGGAAGAATGCGGCGCCAAGTACGCACAGGGCCATGTCCCCGATTTCATCTTCATGATGATTACCGAGGGATTGGTCAGTACGACGGGTTTGTGGGTCTTCTTGCTGTTCTTCAAGGGAACACTTGTCTCGGAGTGGAAGGAGTATATGAGTGGATGGATCTGTTGCGGTGGACGGAGGAGCCGGAGACGGGAAGAGGACGAGTTCTATGTCATCTAAGATCTTTTCCTTTCTTTTTGTTTTTTGCCTTCGTTTTCTTCGTTTTCTTCATTTTCTTCATTTTCTTCATTTCCTTTTTTTCATGACCCATTCCTCTCTACCTTGGACGCGCTTATTCTCATACTCCCCCTCGTCATAATTCATCATATCCTTCTGTTCAAAACACCCCTGGGGGGAACAGAAAACGTCTCTCGTCGTAGATCCTGTCTGCCCAAACAATAACCGAAACATAATAGACACATAAACACTCACATATAAATACAGCATATCCCCTCCTCTACAATGTACCTCATGTACATCCATGTACCATACATACACTGCAATTAATTTTATTTTGGTACCTAAGAGTACAATGTCAATGTACATTTTTTTTATATAGATCGGTAGTAACGGTGCCCCTGCTCGAGGTCTTGGGCTCTGCCCAGTCGTTCAGGTCGACTCCCGACAAAAGAGGCGTCGTCACTCTCTTCTCCAACCATCACCAGTACCCTCGCGGCCTCACGTTCATCCATCATTGCCGTCGCCGCAGCCGTTGAATTTTCTTCCTCCTCCTCAACTCCTTCCACCTCTTCCTCACCACCGCTCGGACAAGCAGGCCTACCTCACGGCAAGATTGCCAACGCCAATAAGAACTCAAACACCCCCACCCGACAATCGTCCAAAACGCAAACCGACACCCAGCCATCAATCCCGGTCCTCCACTCACCGCACTGGTACTATTCTCATTCATCGAAATCGCAATCACATTCAAGATCGCGATCCCAAAGAGACTCCTGAGTTAGAAACCTGTGCTGTAAAGTGCTCCGACGAAGTCTTGGTCTTGGTAGGACGCATCGCGGATGGCGGTGATTTTGGATGAGGAGGAAGGAGAATAACATTCCGAAGACGTGGGCGATGAAAGACGGGAAGGGGACGGTGGAATAAGAGGTGTCCTTTTGTCACGGAGGAGGGAAAGTGTCGCACTGCTGCACCTCCTCATGGACGCGCCTCTTGGCTTCATATTTCCTAGGTAAGGGACACAACTTTCTATTTGCATTTTCCTTTGATCTAAGGATAGCCTTTTTTTCCCCGTTTCTTGTCACACCAGACAATTCATGGACACATCCACCTTGATTATTTCGCTTCGCCCAAGGATTCGAGCAAGAACAGCCAATTGCCAGGACATCCCGTTTTTCTCTTATTCTGAAACAACCATCACCACTCAACTCTCAACACTCAGGTTCTGGAATGCTGTGATGATGGTGGACCCAGAGGCGGACGACCAAATTGTGGCTGATCACCTTGTCGCAACCGCCCCGGACACGGAGGTTGTTGAATGAGTCACTGAAGAAGAGCTTGAAAAACACTAGAAGCTATTCGTCGCTGAACCTGGTCCTCCAGCATCAGCATGTCTCTCAGGAGTTCATCAGCCGGATTCTTCTTTTTTATTATCCTTCTTCTCTCATGTCTCTTCTTTAACTAAAGGGGGGTTTTTTTTGTCACTTTCACTACAGAACCATTTCCCCTTTTTTCATGTTTGTTTCTATTCCCCCTGACTACTACGCTCTTTTGACGCAAACCGTGCTCGTTAAAACATTTCAGGCGCCACTTTGTTTTTAATTTCAAGTTGGTTTTGTATTTACGGTTTTCGTTTTTCTACGCCAAGACAAAAAAAAAACAACTATGCCAGCTAATAAAATAGACACGAAACACGCGCCTTGCCAAGTTTTGTCAAGACTACCACCAATCATGCTCAAGTCATCTCCACCCGCCAACCCACCTCCACCCAGCAAACAGCAATAACTACCACGACCCTCGCCTAACAAAAACATCAGCGCGCAAAAACTCCCTCTTTGTCGGCGCCGCCAGCCGCGATCTCATCAAGTCCACCGCCACTGCTCTCCAGCTCTGAGGGCTCGACTTCAACCTTGTCACTCTTCTTGACCGCAGGACGAACAGGCTTGTCCCAGGGGAGGATGACCAATGCCAAGAAGAATCCGAACAAGCCCATGGCGATCATGGCATAGAACGCGTTCCGGAATCCCTTCATCAATGCCGGTCCACCTCTCACTGCACCGTTACTGTTACCGTTCGTTGAGATTGCAATCACATTTAGGATCGCGATTCCAAAGGGTGCGCCGAGTTGGAGACCCGTGTTGTACAATGCACCGACGAGACCTTGGTCCTTGTTCTCGGCATCCCGGACGGCTGTGATCTGAATGGGCAGGAGAGTGAGGCCCATACCAAGGACGTGGAGAATGAACGCCGGGAAGGGGATCGCCCAGTAGGAGGTATGCTCGTTGACGAATGAGAACATCAACGCCGTCGCACAACGGAGCAAGAACCCTGTCATAATCAACGGCTTCAACGGCAGACGAGGAAGGATCCGGCCAAGTCCACCAAACACCACTACGGCTGAGAGGGCATGGACCAAGAACCCGAGGGCGGTCTTGATGGCTGTCCACTGGTAGACCTCTTGGAAGATCATGTTGGCGTAGTAGATCACACCTTGGGATTTGGCGTTGGATACAAAGGCGAGAATGAAGGCGGTCGAGAAGGAGGAGACGTTCCAGATTCGGAGGGGCATAATCGGGGCTTGGACACGACTCTCGATGAAGATGAACGAGACGAGGAGGACCAGTGCTAGGATGAGGATGGGTAAGGTTTTGCCGTTTGCCCAGCCATAATCGACGCCCGTCGAGATGTAGTAGACGATTCCGGTGACACCAAGAGTAACAGCAACAGCTCCCAGGAAATCAACCTTGGGCTTCTCGGTCTTGGGCGGTTCGACAGGGATGGCAACAAAGCTGAGAGCCAGCAGGACGAACGCCGCAATTGCCGAGATGCGAAAGATCCAGGGCCATCCAATACTGGCAATTAGTCCACCGGCGAGTAGGATCCCGGTAATGCCGCCTAGACCGCCAAAGATGCCAAAGACACTGAAAGCCTTGGTTCGCTCGGGGCCGGCGGGGTAGTTGATCGCAATAAGAGCCATAGCCGAGGGGACGGTACAGGCGGCGCCAACACCCTGGAGAGCACGGGCCATGATGAACATGATCGGGGATGTGGAGAATGAGACGACGAGTGCCCAGAAAGCGAACCAGAACAAACCGAACATGAACATTCTCCTGTGGCCGAATAGGTCGCCGAGTCGACCGCATAAGAGAAGAAGACCGGCAAAGGTGATGGTATAGGCGTTCAGGATCCAAAGCACCTCTGTCACCGAAAAGGCAAGATCTTGAGCGATTGGAAGGATAGCGACCGCAACCGACGCGCCGTTGACTATAGAGAACAAAAAAGAGAGAGAATGGTTTAGTTTGTATGATATATGGCACATGCGCTAGAAGAAAATCGGATTGACGACATGCAGAACGAAAAGTACATACCGATATCGAAGAATTGGGCAGTGGAGACGACATAAAGGAGAGCGGGTCTCAGCTTCTGGCGCAGGCGATCGATACCCTCCAGGTCCTTAGGGGCAATCAGGGTCGCCGAGGAAGAAGCGAGTGTTTGAGTCATTCAAGTGGAAGTGAAAGTGTAGGTATGTGAGAATGGATGGAAATGAGTTGGTGCGGTAGAATGTTGGCACTTAAATGGGTTGATTTTCTTGTTGCCGTTGTTGCTTTGTCTGGTTTGTACTCTTTCACTCGATCAAACCATGGCCTTTTATAAGTTTAGCAATCCTAGTCACGAATGCCAATCGGTTTTTTTACTTCATATCATTCTCCAGCGGAGGCAAGCAAGTGGCAAAGCTCATGTCAAACAATTATTCAGTGTCAAGAACGTTCCCTCTTCCCACCCAAGTTCAACCACCGCCCCAACTTGTTCATTACCCCACCCACCCAACACCACTTGTCAAAAAGCATTGCCCCTCATTTCTTTGACAAGGTGAGTACCTTCCAGGTTGTGTACCTTCCAGGTGTGCATCTTATTATGCTGAGCCAAATGCAAAAAAAAAAGCTCCAATGTTTCCCGAGGCAACCCTCAATCCCTTTTTTTGCGCAGTTCTGACAGGTAGACAGGCATATTGAGAAGATTACTCAGCGCCTTTGTTTGTTTGTTTATATGTTTTATTTCGTAGTTGTATATCATCGGATTGGAGCATAGGGGTGGTAAGAAAAGAATGGAAACGAAGGAAGGAAAAAGAAATGGTCATGCAAACACCAATGGGGTGCCATCCTTGATCACATCACTGCGCAAAGAGCTGTCAAAAACCGAAGAAAAAAAAACAGTATTGCTCACTATATTAGGACATGGTTGTCTTGTCCTCTGGCATAAAAGTGGAGCCGTGACATAAGTTTACGCCAATGAGCTCCGCATCCAAATGAAGTCTGGACCGTCTTTTTTTTTTTTCTTCTTCATTGCTCATATGGGTCCTTGGGTTTTAACTGAAAGTGAATCATGCGGCTGTGTCGAATTGCAGATTGTCAGATGGTGCCAAGTGCGTCAGCAAACTCCAGCCAAATCATCGCACTCACCTCTATTATTTCTTTCGATGACATTTCATAAATGACGCCTTCGTCCATCGAACACCATGCACCACAAACAGGTCCGCATTTTACTTTCATGTGGCCCTGGATGAGCTACCCAATAGCGTCAGAAATGATCATCCGTTTGCCCCATCCCCACCTCAATTTTTTTCTTCTATTCCGCCAACCCATCCCTTTTGGAGTAGACAATGATCGCCACCATTTTTAGGCACCGACACTCGCAGTATGTATTAAAGGGTATTTGTTGAATGCTAAAAAAAGATAAAAAAATGCACGAAAGAAACCTAACCTAGGCCTTTCCCAACTTATCAAGGCTTCCAATAGTACTCGCGTCGCTATCCCCACCACCACCAGCAACAACTACCGGCTCACCAACAACCTCAGAACCCAAAACCTCCTCCTTCTCACCCGCAACGCCATTCACATCCGTCACCCTCCCAAGCTCATCAATCGTTCCACTTTCCAACTCTGAAGGTTCAACCTCGATCTTGTCGCTCTTCTTGACCGCAGGACGAACAGGCTTGTCCCAGGGGAGGATGACCAGTGCCAAGAAGAATCCGAACAATCCCATGGCGATCATGGCATAGAACGCGTTCCGGAATCCCTTCATCAATGCCGGTCCACCTCTCACTGCACCGTTACTGTTGCCGTTCGTTGAGATTGCAATCACATTCAGGATAGCGATTCCAAAGGGTGCGCCGAGTTGGAGACCCGTGTTGTACAGTGCACCGACGAGACCTTGGTCCTTGTTCTCGGCATCCCGGACGGCAGTGATCTGGATCGGGAGGAGGGAGAGACCGACTCCAAAGATGTGGATAATGAACGCCGGGAAGGGGATCGCCCAGTAGGAGGTATGCTCGTTGACGAATGAGAACATCAACGCCGTCACACAACGGAGCAAGAACCCTGTCATGATCAACGGCTTCAATGGCAGACGTGGTAAGGTTCGGCCCAGGATTCCAAAGACAACCACGGCAAGGAGGGAATGGACTAGGAAACCGAGGGCGGTCTTGATGGCTGTCCATTGGTAGACCTCTTGGAAAACCATGTTGGCGTAGTAGATGACGCCTTGGAATTTGGCCATAGAGACGAACGCGAGGGCGACTGAGGTCGAGAAGGATTTGACTTTCCAGATCCGTAGAGGCATCAACGGGTGGTGGACTCGGGACTCAATCAACACGAACGATACCATTAGGACAATCGCCACTACAAACACTGGGACCGTCTTGGCACTCCCCCATCCATACTCCACGCCCGTCGAGATATAATAAACAATACCAGTAACCCCGAGCGTGGCCGTAAAAGCACCCAAGAAATCAACCTTGGGCCTCTCGGCCTTGGGGGGTGTCAGGGGGATGACAAAGAAGCTGATCGCCAACAGGATAAAGGCCGCAATGGCCGAGATCCGGAAAATCCACTGCCATCCAATACTGGCAATCAACCCACCAGCAAGAAGGATCCCCGTGACAGCACCCAGACCGCCAAAGGCTCCGAAAATCGAAAAGGCCTTGGTCCGTTCAGGCCCTGCAGGGTAGTTGGTCGCGATGAGGGCCATGGCTGTGGGGATGGTACAGGCAGCGCCCATACCCTGGAGGGCGCGGGAGAGGATGAACATGATGGGGGATGTTGAGAATGAGACGACGAGTGCCCAGAGGGCGAACCAGAACAAACCGGACATGAACATCCTTCGGTGACCAAAGAGATCGCCGAGTCTGCCGGCGAGGAGGAGGAGACCAGCGAAGGTGATAGTGTAGGCGTTGAGGATCCAAAGGACCTCTGTCACCGTGAAATTGAGATCTTGTGCGATCGGGAGAATCGCCACGGACACCGATGCACCATTGACTAATGGAATAAAAAGTATCGAAAGCAAACGTAGGGGGTGTTAATGTCTGACAGTGTCGAGTCATCATTGGTCAATGCGCCGTCCAAATGAAAAAAATTCTTTCGTGCAAATAAAAAAGGGGAATGGTGACTTACCGATGTCAAAGAATTGCGCAGTGGAGACAACGTAAAGAAGGGCAGGCCTCAGCTTGAGACGGATACGATCAATATCCTTGAGGTCCTTGGGGTCTGTAGGGATAGGAGCAGGAGCAGGTGCTTGTGGTGGCGAAGAGGAAGATGGTACAAGGATCTTGTCGGCAGACGGTTGATTGATTTGGACCATCGTGGATGTGTTCGATGGAAGGGATGGGTGGGGTTGTTGAGCCATAATTGCCAATCAACTAGCTGAGATGATGAATGAAAACAAGGGTATTGATATGAATACAGGGGAGGGGAAATGAAAAAAGGGGAGAAGAGTAGTATCAGAGGATCTGAATTGCTTTTTGTCTGCGTGGAGATAGATGTTGGTTGAGAGAGCAGGGAGGAATCAGCCATCTTTTATATTTTTTGCTGGATTTCTTTTCTTCTCTTTTCTTCGTTATTTAGTGCACCACTCTGAATGACTTTGGGTTTGTAATCACCTTCACCTACCACTCAACCACCCACCTTATCCCCATTACCCTTCTTCTCTCCCATTTAGTGTCACAGTGCGCAAGCGGGAAAATCATCGAACGTGGATACAAAACTCCCACTTTTGTCAAATAAACAACATTGCCGTCCAATTAAAGTTGTCAGCTCGTCCAAAAAAAAAAAAAAAAATCTGCATCTGCGCAGATTCGACAGAAGCACGAAAAAAAAGCACGCCGTCTGGACAATAATGGCAGAGCAAGAACGCTTCCTCTGCCGCACCCCTGGATCACTCAACTCCTTCCGCGGCAATTGGACCCGGAGTGTCGATTGACCGGGAAAAAGAATACGCCCTTTACGCAGCAGCAGCAGCACCTTCTTACTCTATCTAAAGAGTAAAACAACAAAACAACAAAACAAAAAAAAAACAAAAAAAAAAAAACCACATGAAATGCTGTTTTTTGCCTTTTTCAGCATGTCTTTATTCCGCAGTGCATCACTCCAAGCTGGGCTTATGATAGCTAAGAATCTTCAGAGTACTCTCTGTCGTCCTTGGGTGTGTGATGAATAGCAGTGACAAAGGCGGGTATTAGGAAAGAGTTGAGTAAGAAAAAAAATCGGATGCTGACGTTCGTCTCTTTTAATTTTCCGTGCATAACGCGTGTAAGACCTCGATGACCCGAGGTACTCCAAAACCGGAAAAGCACAAAAGTACCAGCCACTCACTCCAAATCATCCTTAATGTCTTACTCGCTTTTGTCACTCGTTTCCTCAGACGTGATGGTTAAGCCGGTAGCCAACATGCCCAAGGTGAAGGTGGTCCGAATTCGCAACGACGCGGGTTGACACTCTATGGTCAAGTAGACGCAGGTATAGTGAGTTGACCTTTTTGACAGACCGGAAAAACAACAACAGCGCAGCTGAAGGGTTCTCAATTGCCAAGCGTTTTGAGCAAACGAAGGAAGTGGGACGCGTTGGATTGACAACTTGGACGTCATTTGCCTCCAATTCCTTCTCCGTCATGGTTAAATGAGCCGGGAAAAGGATATAGACGCTAAACATGAGAAATGTCCGCCTGCCGGAGTCGAGTTGGAGCCTAAATCAAACACGACGTTGTTTTAGACTTTAGTATGTTGGACCCTTGTCGCGAAGTCATTCACTAACGATAAATTAGCGCAGCATCACATTACTACCAACTTGAATATCGGTTCACGTCACGGATGCCAAACAAATGCCATGTACGAGGAGAGAGTATGAGACGAAAAAGAGAAGCAATGCTTTACTTGTTGTTGCTGTTGATGTCGATGTTCTTGATATTGTGTGATGAGGAAAGGCGGTAATAAAGTCAAAAAATGAAAGATTGGGGGAAAAAAAGAGGTGCTGAACTATGCTAAACAGAAAAGAAAATAAAACTATACAGGTGTTGGGGAATATGAAAGAAGGGCGAAGAGTGGAAAGAAATGAAGATTTGACAACGGGAGGTCAAGCTCAACACCGCTCGACTTCTTCAGAGCTCAGGCACAGATGGTCAATTGCCATCAATTCTCGTACAGATCCCCGTCTGATCGATAGGTACTCCGCGCTGGGTCCAGGGGATGTCGGAGACGAGGACGACGATGCCTCTTGTTGCTTGGTAGGGTAGCGATATTGCTGCTGTTGCTGGTATTGTTGCTGGTTGTAATGAGGGTGCTGAGATTGTTGCTGCTGCTGTTGCTGGTAGTAGCGTGCTCCTTCGGCTCCATCGACTACCATATTATCATCGTCCTCATCGCCATCCGAGGCTGGGTCAGACGTAGTCGAGAAATCCATCGAGAATCGCTTGGAACGGTAACCCATCATTGACGACGACATGTCCCGGGTGCCGCTACCGCCGATACCACCATGTCCACTATAGCTCTTGCTGTGACCCAAAGTGCCATGCGTGGGGCCGGTGGTGTTGTTGACGCGGGGATCAATATGGTACGAGTGCTGATGCTGCTGCTGATGCTCCTCGCCCTCTTCGCCGTGTTCCTCCTCCTTGACATGTCCAAGTGTCGAGAATCGTCGTGCCAAGGGACCAGGCGCAGGTGGACCCTGAGTGGGCGTAGGTGTATGTACAAGGGGTCGCTCGATCATGGTCTTAATCACTGCATCCTCAACGTCCTCCACGTCCGGTCCGTCAATAGATGATCCTGATCCTGACCTCGACATCGACTCGCCTCCACTGCCCCCCTGACTTCCTCGTCGCTGGTGGCACTGCTGATGTTGTTGTTGGCGGTGATGGATATGACCGTTGTTGTCCTCATCATTGTCCTCGCTGCTCTGGACGACGACTGTCGTGGCACCATGGTAGTTGCTACTGGTAGTCGTCACTGACTTGTTGTTGTTGTTCGAGGTCGGAGAGCCACTCCTGGGGGCTTGGCGCTGCTGGTCGGCCAAGTTAGCCAACTCTGCCAGAGCCGAGAAGGGGTCAATATCCAGTGAACGATGATGCTCGTGACCGCGGACGAACCGACTCGAACTGCCTCCAGCTGACTCATGTCGAGGGAAGTTGGGTCGAGGGAATTCTGGTCGCTGCTGTTGGTTGGGGTTGAATGATCCATCCCTGGGGTTCCTGCTGTAGAAGGGCGAAGGAGGCTCGTTTGAGATGCCCATGGCAGATGACGACCTGGCCATTAAAACAGCGGAGGGAGGTGTAGACGATGACGATGGAGACGCAAGAGCGGCTGTGGTCGAGGAGGAAGGGGGAACCATGGCAGCCATGGTCGAGGTGCTGTACAGGTGGTGACCATGGTTGTTGCCACTGTGTGGAGGCTGAGGTGGCGGTGGAGGGCTGTGCAGAGACGAGATTCCTGGTAGGTTGGGTCTGACGGGCCCATTGTGGGATAATGATTGCGAGTGCTGGTGGTGGTGGTGGTGGTGATGTGGGTGTCCTCCGTTTGCACTTGCTCCTCCTCCTCCTGGTGCGGGCATGCCCATCCGGTCAGAAGATCCCAGTGAGATTGATCGTGACATGCTGGCGGCAAAATTGAGTGGACCTTTGGTGTCGGGGGTCTTTGGTGGAGTTGAAATAGTCCTAGGGTAAGGTCCTTGTCCAGGGCCATTGGGATGTTGTTGTTGTTGCTGCTGTTGCTGAGGATGGTGATGATGTGGTGGTGGTGGAGGTGGTTGTTGGTATGCACTGCCTTCTCCCGAGTAATCACGCGACCCGCTGTGGTGATGGTGTGGATGGTGGTGGTGGTTGAATGCCTTGGGCGAAAACTCTAAAGATGGCATGGAGTGCCTCCGTTCTATAAAAGGTCAAAGTGAAAAAAGGTAAACATGAATACATGATTGGTCATAGTATCACCATTGAGTGAGTTTTGGTGTTCTTTGTTACCCCCTAACTCTTATTAATATTTTCACCCCCTTTCACTTCTTTTGAAGAGGCCTGAACTGAATTGCGATTATTGGGAGATGCAAAATGAGGGAGGCTCTCATTGACTTACCATATGGATCAAATCGGTTATGCCGCGCGACGGAAGGAGACGTTGAGGTGGGCGACGCCAACGGTGGGGAGACCGCACCGTTCGAAGGCCCGTGCTCACCCTTCATCTGAAGCTCTATTGTAAAAAATTTGCGAAAAAAAAAGGGATGGGGAAGAGGGGTGGTTAGGGAAGGTCCAAGAGAAAAAAAAATGAGGTGACATAAAAAATGCAAATGCGGGTGGGGGGAGTATGCAACCAATTGGAACGTTGGCAGTGTTTGTTTTTGCTTGGTTGCTTGTTTGCGTTGCTTTTGTTTGGAATAGGTTTGCTTACCTGATGGATCTTGGAGGGAGAGTCTTCTGCGCTTACGCTGCATGGATGTGTTGAAGTGGTTCTTGATGGCGTTATCGGGACGGCCTGGCATCAGCTTGGACATCTCGGCCCACTTGGACCCGAACTGTGCGAATAGCTTGAAAATCAGCTCATCCTCCTTTGCCGTGAAAGGGGACTTGTCAACTATTAGAGAGGGGTTAACAGTGATTAGTAAGAGTGAGACAATAAGTTTGAAAAGGGGAATGTTGGTGTATGTGTGATGATGATTGTATCGTGCAAGACCATGTTGAAAGCATGTGCTGACTGGAGGGAGGGTGATAATGAATTGCCAATTGAGTGGGTGAGAAGGAGGATGTGTGTGTTTGTGTGCAAGTCGGTTGTTATAGAGAGAGTAGGGATGCGATGTTAAGTAAGGTTGAGCCCTTTTGCTCTCCTTTTCTCGCCGCCCTTAGCATTTTGCCCCCTAAAAAATACAAAAAGGGAGGGCATGGGCGTATTTCTTGTAGGGGGTGTCTGTGGATGTATATAAGGAAGAGAGATGGCGTGCTGAAGGGGATGATGGATGATGGTGATGGATGATGATAAAAACGACGACTGGTTGGTGATATATGGGATAAATAGGTATGTGATAGGTGATAGCATTGGTGATGATGGATGATGGTGATGGATGATGATGATCAAAAATGTCCAAAAAAAAACTTACTTTTGGGGTCAAGGTGGTTGTGCCAACGCTCTCGGCATTGCTTTCCGGTACGTGATCCAAGTCGGCTGGCAATCAGCACCCACTTTTCCGCACCCAACTCATTCACCAGCATCCTCAGTTGGCGATCCTCCTAATATTCGTATTTGTTGTCAGCAGAACAAGAGTGAGTTCATTGCTATTTTTTGTTATGCAATAACCGTGTGAATATAATAATGAAAAAAAAGAAGAGCTTACCTCGGGGGTCCATGGACCCTTGATCGACCTTGGCTTAGATATCATTCTCCACCGTTGCAGACACTGATCTTTGTCTCGGGATCCGTTAGGGAAACAGTACTCGGCTATTCTCTTCCAGGCTTTACCGTTGAACTTGACAACAGCCTCGCGAAGTAAAATGTCCTGGTGATATCAGATAAATATGTCACCGGGGGAGATGGAGAAGAAAATAGATGGATGGTACATGTGCAAGAAGAAATAGAAAAGAACAAAGATCATGGGGTTAGTAGTGTGATTTTTGTTCACCTTGCACTTGCAAACGAATGGATGGGTTGTTTGGGTTTGGGGGGGATGTTTATGGGGGGGATGACTTTTGGACAGCAGTTGCAATGGCAGCAACAGAAAAAACAAGTGAACAATATCGGTACAGGTGAAAAAGAGAGCGGGTGAGGAGGGTCCATGCACGAACACACGCACAAGGTCAATAAGAGTCAGTTGAGCGATTCTGTGATGCGATGCGATACGATATTGTTGCAGGGGTGTGTGAGTATGAGTGAGGTAGAGCAAGAGACAAGAGAAGAGCAAGGGAAGAGAGAGTATTTACAGTTGACGACTGATGGGGCCTATCTTTGATAAGAAGGGTAAAAGGGTAACAACGAGAAGAAGAAAAAGACGTTGGGTATGTGTGAAAGTGTATGTGTCTTGGTGTGTCGGGAGAATATTCAAGGGAATAAAAAAAGTAGTGGGGGGGATGACAACAGGGGAGAGAAGGAGATGTCCGTTGTCGGTTGAGAGTGTTGACGGTGAGTGAGATAATGCAGAGTAGAAGGGAGTGGGGATATGTACAGAGGGGAGTGATAGATGACACGTTGAAAGGAAAAAAAGAAAGAAGAAAAAGAAGAAAAAAGAGATAAAACGGTGATGGTGAAAGGAAAGAAAAAAAGAACAGTAACGAAAGGAGAAAGGAAGGAACGGAAACAACCCATGGGCCACATATCTTGGCCATTGTGACTGGCTCAAGTCAACTGACTGCCAGCAAAAGGGGCATGTTGGATATGGAGCAATGGGGATGTTCACACCAGTGTAGCTCTCTCTCGCTCTCTCTCTCTCTCTTTTGTCTCCATTACTCTTGTTGTTCTCCTACGTTCTCAGCATCACCAATTGCCACAAGAAAATTGTCCCTGCCCCTCGGCTCAGAAGTCAAAGTCCATTGGAGAATAAACCATGGGGAACAGAAAAAAAGAAAGAGAGAAAAAGGGTCGTGTATGCCACACATACAAACGGAACGATTCGAAGGGTTGGATAGTCGCGAAAGAAGTGAAGGAAATGGAGGGATAATAGTGTATCGGACGAAGTGTGGAAAGGGGAGTGAACGAAGAATGAAAGGAAGAAAAACAAAAGACCAAAAGGAAAGGATCCTTCAGTTGAAGATGAACGAAAAAAAGGGCATTCCAACTCGCTCCCTTTTTCTTTCGTTCTTCTATCCACATACGCCCACCATGAAATAACAGCCTCCCGTATTACCCCCTTCTATACATCCTCTCTTGTCAAAAGGCCAGCACGCACAACATCGCTCACAAAATGTAAGGGGTCAAGACAAGGAAGTCGATAGGATGTCAAAAGAGAGAAAACGCAAATTCAGGGTCATCATCATCAACTCCCCTGTCCTTCTCGTCCTACCCATCTTTCCATCCCCTCTTCTTCTTCCTTCTTCCTCTTCACTCCCTTCTTCGCTCACTCTGTGTGTAAGTGAGTGTGTTTTGTTCACCTCGCCCCTTCTTCCTTGAGTGACTATCTCCTTCTTTTTTGTCACTTTTCTTCTTCCTTTTCACCCTTCCTTCATCGTGTATCTTTCCAATGGTTTATCAATCCTTTCAATTAGCACCTCTTTTCTCTGAGAGCAAATCAAATTAACAAGAGCATCCACAAAAAAAAACCACTCGATACTTTTTTACCACAATTCCTCCGTGCAGGATCTCACATATACATCGCTCATGTTGAGGAGAGGGATAGGGAGGAGGAGGGGGGTTTCCAAGAGACGGGGAAGGGAAACGGGAGGAGGGTCAATCGCGCGCGCCATCTCTCTCTCCCCTCTCTCTCTTGATGCTTTGTTTCTTCTTGCTGTGGGAAGGCAAGAGAGGGGAGGAGAGGTGTTTCTTCTATCCCTCTTTTTGGCGTTGAAAACTGTCAATCCTCCCTGTCCCCCTCTCCTACCTTCTTTTACTATTTCTTTCTCCCTCTGTCTCCTTTGTGGCATTATGACTCCCACGAGGAATGCGCGTAAAAGAGCAACTGACCTATTTTTTGCTTTCAAACCACCTCACACCCACCCACGCGTCTCCATCATACTAAAAAGGATATATACAAAAGAACCCAATTGAAAAAAAAAACAAAGCAAATCTCATGGGGATGAGGGCAGGACGTTCCGTTCATGAAGAAATGGCTAGCGTAAATGAGTGAGGAAAAGTATCCGCATGGGCATAGAAGGGCGCGTGTGATAGTCTACTTTTTTTTTCTTCTTGTTCCTTCCTTTTTCTTCCTCCCCCTGGAAAAATAGAACAATTGTAAACATTGCCACGCCACTGTAAACAAGGAAAACAGAAGGGAGGACACGTTGTAGCCACGAGCATGTACCTCGTGCCTTTTTTCCCATTTCCCAATGCTGCTTGTTTTTGTTCAGCTCGTTTGCTCGTGAGTTAGGAAGAAAGAGAGGGGGGGGTATGTGCGCTTGGTGGACAACAAAAAAAAAAAAGAAAAAAAAAAAGGTTGTTTACCTCTTGTCGGGTCCATTGGGCACCTTGAGTGACACCACCACCAAAACTACCACCAAAACCCTCATCTCCAGAATCTCTATCGGAAGAGCCATCCGAGTCCATGGCCGTGTCCATCATATCGTGATGGAGAAGATGGTATCCGCCACTGCCAAGACTACCACGACGATCGTACGATGGCGCGCCTACGCCTGTGGTCGGTCCGAACTGAAGGTGCATCCTTGTGGGTGTTGGTGGCTTCATGGGCATCGACATCGAATGAGGGATGTGACTGCCAGGCGCTCGGAAGGGTGATTGTGAGTGAACTTGTTGGAAGCCGTTAAAGTGCTGCTGCTGTGGTTGTTGGTATTGCTGCTTCTGGTTCTGTTCCTGGTATGGCGCAAACGGCAAGTTTGGGTGGCTCAGAGAGTGGGTGTGGGAGCGGACCATCCCGTTGCTGTTGCTGTTAGTCTTGTTCAGCATGCCAGTAACATTTGCATGACCATTGCTCGGGAGGTAAGGAGGGCTAGAGGGGTCCTTGTACGATGGGTATTGAATGTGGTGATGCTCAGGAATAGGGTGTTGCTGTTGTTGTTGCTGATGTGGTTGTGATGGTTGTGGTTGTTGTTGATTTTGTTGCAGAGGTCGAGGAATGTGGTGTTGCTTTTGTGCGTGGTAAGGAGTCTGCTGCGCTGACTCGACAGGGGAAGAAGTACCATGGTGTGGATGAGGATGATTCTGCTGGTGTTGCTGTGCTGGTGAGGAAGTTGTTGAGGATCCATGGGTGTTATTGTTGTGGGGTTGTTGTTGTTCTCTTCGCATGCCGCTTGGCTGGAATGAGGCGGCGGTCTGTGCTTGACCTCCACCACCAACGACGGCAGCCTTGTTGCTGCCCGGAAAGGGTTGGTGGGAAAAGGCGGCACCGTGACTGTTGTGGCGGGCATGTGGTTCCGGGCCGTGCGCGCTGCTCGCCATAACTCTGCTTGTGCTTGTAGTGTTGCTATTGCTGAACCTGTTCATGGGATCTTGAGGTGACATGACTGATGTTGAGTAGGACTCCATGGAGACTTGTTCTGGTTCTTGTTTGTTTGTAGAGTATGAATGCTCTTGGAGCCTTTTTGTTGCCTGGCTAGTTGGTCACTTGGTATTGATGTTGTCGGAAGAAAAGTGGGTTGCTTGGTTTATCTGGGATACTGTATGGATGGACGTGTGACAAAAGAAACAGAGGCAGATGCTGGATGGGTATGATGTGAAAGATGCAAAACAAGCGATAGAAAGACAGTTAACAAATGTGGTATATGGTATATATATGAAAAAAGGAGAAAGAAAAAGGAGAAAAATGCGAGGTGAACGTGTCAGAAAAGTGCACAGCACAAAAAAAAAGATAGGGGAGGATGACAAGAATTGTTGAGGGGTGGAAAGAAGAAGAAGAAAAAAAAGTGGAAAGTGGAAGGAGGAAGACAACACAGGAGGATATATATATGCGAGATTCAAGGGTGATGACAAAAGCGACAATGCGACGGGAGACAAGGAGCTGAGAAAGAAAAGGGAGGCCCATAGAACGAGAGAAAAAGAATATGAACGAACGAACAACAACAACAACAACAGCAAAAAAAGGTACAGAGGAAGGGGTACTCATAGGTAAAGCGAAACGCACACTTTTGTTTTTGTGGTGTTTCGTTGCAAACTCTTGACTTTTTTTCTTTAATCAGTCGTTCAATTGGAAAAAGTAGAAAAACTGTCTGCGCGAAGACATGAAGAAAAAGGAAAAAAAAGGAGCACGGCCAATTGAGTGCAACAACAAACTATCAGCCAACAATCAAAAAGAATACAAACAATGGGCGTAGAAAAATAGGCCGGTCGGTAAAAAGAAAAAAGAATGCATTTCCCCTCCCTACTGGCCCATGGTGAGATGCGCGTCAGGTGTGTGCGCATACCAATATACCAGCCAATTTTTCCAAAGACCAAAAGCAAAATATCTGCAAACCCTTCCCCCCTCCCTTCGTCTCTTCCTTCCTCCTCTCCCCTCTTCTTCCTCCTCTCCCCTCTTCTTCCTCCTCTTCGTCTCCTCCTCTTTTTTTGTTGTGTTCTGGCAAGAAAGAATCAGAGTGGTTGTTGCCACCTTTCCCTTCCTTCTCTCGCTTTCCTTGTTACACCATTCCGTTATTCCACACGTTAACAACCACACCTGAAAAGTGGATATACCAACGAATAAAAAACGCGATTCAAAAGGGAAGCCTTTCGGCGAGTGAGCCTAATTAATCAATTGGAGTCATCCAACTGGCCAATGTGTGTGCCCTCATGTCCAAAGAAAAAGAGGAGCTGCTGGGATGGACGCTAGTAAAGAGTGGGTCTAGTGACATGAAAATAGAGGGAGCAGGACGGAGCAAAGTCGAGGCGCACCCTCCTCTTACACGACTGTCCGTCAAGTTTGAATAACGCGCTTACATGGGTTGTTGATTTCTGAACGAGGGAGAGAAAACCAGTGTCAGGATCCGGTGTAGTCAATAAAGGGGGGATAAGAGAAAGAGCAAGCTGATGAATGAAAAAGTTGACGCGTTGACTGGACTGACGACGGCTCCGGGGAATTTTTTTCTTTTTTCTTTTGGACAAGTGAGGACTAGGATGTCGTGTTTGTAGTGAGAAGAGTGAGAGGGTTGGTTGTGACTAAAGAAGAAGAGAATCCAGGGTCAAACTGTATTCGAAAAGGAGAAGGCTCTAAAAGAAGGGCGATTAATGACCGAAGAAAAAGAGAAAAGAAGTGTTAACAACGCTTTTGTAAATCCCAAAGGGATTGACTCATTGGTAGGAATAAATGAATGAATCCTCCTTCCGATAATCCCTCGTCGTTCATTTCTATTCTTCCCCATGATAGGGTACTCCTTTCTTCTCTCCTCAGCAGTAGTATCGTTGGGTGCTGTTAGTAGTATGATCATGATCTTGAGTCCTTTCTGCAAAAACTCAATCGCACGAATACCAATGTTCAATAAAAAAAACTGGCGAGATACTTCTCCATTTGACATGTCTCCGTGGTTTGCTCATATGAGACGTAATGCCCGCCATGAATAAAGTTTTCTTCTATATGTCCTTTCATTCACTCTTTATCCTTTCTTTTCAAGGAGTTGAAGAGAACGCAAAGAAGAAGGGATGAGGAGGAGTGTTCTCAAAGGAGTAGGGGAAAGGAGAGAGAGAGAGAGAAGGTCCACAATGACGATAAGCTGCCGTGAGAGAGATGTATTGAGGATAACGATACCAATCGATTATCGTTGCATTGACAATACTTTTGGTTGTTTTTGTCCTTCCGCTACCAGCAAACAACAAGTTGTTTTTTCAAACAACCAACTGCAATCCATGTCTGTACCACGATTGTTTACTGCCGAAGTATAACAAAGGGTTTGATTGTTGTTTGCTGTTGTGCCTTTCAAAGCACATTCTATTAAGTGTGGTTTTTTGTTCGTCCTTGTTGGGGTTTCTTGTGTATGCAGAAGAATGTAACCATGGCCGAACCACTGACCCATTTTTTTTCTCTTTTGCCGCTTGTGCTTTGTGCTTTGTGTCTGACACCACAGCTCTCAGCTCTGCCTGACAAACTCGCGCTGCACTGCCCATTGTGCACTGTCTCTCACTTTTGTTCCCGCTTCCCAGCAGACAAGGAGGAGTAAGTACCTACCCATCGTCTCATCTAGACTTTTTTTTCAACGCAACATAAACAAACAAGAGCAACCAAAAAGCAATCAGAACTTATCCGCCCACACATCTTTTCTTGACAGCACCATCCTTTTTCCTTCCTTTTCATGCCAATGGGTCATGTCGTGCAACCAAACAACATGCGTAGTATTTTCTTTTTTTTAGGCCGACAGGGAAAAAACGATTGTCGTTATTGCTCAACAAAGGGGAGAGAAAGTGGGAAGAGAGAGAGGCAGATGGACGGTACTAGATCGACGTAGTTTTTGCTTGCGTTCCATTCAACCCTCTCAGCATGCATCTCATCGTCCTCCCCTTGTCTTCCTTTCTTCTTCCATCGCACATTTCTCTCCCTTCTCTCTCGCTCGCTCTCCTTCCCTTTCCTTCCCGCTTTGTCTCCTCTCTCTGCATATGGGTCAAGTAAGCCGACATTAACATGGCATATATTTTTCTCCCATCTTCTCTCTCACACAACATACAAATAAGGGGGTAAGGAAAAACAACAGGCAACACTTAGACGGACATGCAACATGCACGATGACACTCGAGTACAAGCAACAAGCAACAAGCAACAAGCAATAAAATAAACAAAGGAAATCAGGAATGCAGGTTTTTATGTTCAACTCCAGGGGTAAGAAAAAAAGTGCACATGAGAAGTCAACGAGAGGGAGATGAACTTCGATTGTGTAGGGGCAATGTTAATGTACTCTGACACCAATACCAACACCTCATGTTACACTGCCCTCATACCCCTCGATTTTTCCTTCATTCTTTCTTTTTCGTAGTTTTCTCGTCCCTTTTACTTTTTCTACCTACCTGAGTAGAGGAGACACGATCGAGCGGGGGTGTTCAAGGAGGTATAGATAAAAAAACAAGCGAAATATATCCTTTTTATCTGCAGGGATCTTATATGAACAACATAAGGAGAGAGGAGACGAGGAACAAGGAGAAGGAGGTGATGTTCATGATGAGTGTGGTATATCTGAACCTGGATATTCCCCAAGGAAATACATGTACTTACTGATGTACATTGCAATCGTCCCGTTCGTTGGGTGGTTGTTGTTTTTTTACTGAACACCACAACTACTAACTGACAACAAATACAAACAGCCATGAGGTTTTGGATCGTCCGATTGGCCCACGCGAAAACGCGTTCCCTCTTCCGTTTTTGGGAGTCGTTTTTTTCCCTTCATTCTCAAACGCGTCATGCGTGGTTGCTAATCCACTCGGCTGTGGCGCACAAATACCCAGAGCAACCGGGAACAGTGATTCTAAACTGAGCCCTATCTCCCCCTCTCTACTCCCAACGCCCTTTCGCCACCATCAGTTAACAAATGGAGTCCCCCACCCTCCTTCGCCGACATCGATGCGCAGAGATATACTGACGCAGATACTCGTTAAGCTGATAGAGCAGTAAAACATATCTCCGCGGATGTCGGACGTGATCTAGTATGCGTTATTTTTTGTCGTTCGTTCCAGCTCAATCACCTTGTTGTTGTGTTGGTCTACGTTTGACAACCTCGCACTCCCTACTGACGCATGTCAACCAAAACTGTAACATACCAACGCTTTGTTTTTGTCCCCATTCAGCCCTACTACGCTCACTTGCGCTTGCCTTTTTTTTTAATTTTTTTTCCTAACTTTTGGTTTCATGCATGCACAAGAAAAAAAAAAAAAAAAGTCAGAAAACAACAAACGCCAGCCCCCTCCTTTTCCTATTTCCCTCCCCCTTTTGCTGTGTTTTTCTTTGTTGTTTGTCGAAGGTGTCACAAGCCTAGGAAGAAGCAAGCAAGACGGGTGAGGAGAAAGCGGACGTGGTTGAAAAAGGACAACGACGAAGGCATGTCACACTCTCATCGACTTCTATCCCACCAAGCATATGCTGCTGGGGTTGTGTTGTTATTGTTGGCGGCGGCAGCAGATGCACGCTGACAGAAGAGGGGGGGGAAGGGGATGTGATAGGTAGAAAAGAAAGGAAGAAAAGAAAAAATGCAAGAGAAGGAAGGATGCTAACGTTTGCAGGATAGGGGATAAGGAGTAGGACAAAAGATGGATGGGAGCACAAACGCACGTATTTGAGGAGGAGAAGTGTGAGAGAAAAACACGAAGAGTAAGACATAGCACACGAAAGGGGGAGGACATGGATAAACAAACACACTCAGACAAGAGAAAATGTTGGGAAGGTGGAGAAGAAATTACTGTACCTGTTGGTATGTACAATGGTAGAAGGTATTTGCCGTTGAGAAGGTTGAGAAGGAGAAAGAAGAGGAAGACAGGAGAGGGTGTTGTGCTGAAAAAGAGAACGATGTGGAGAGAAAGTTTGGCTAGGTTTGTGGATGGAAGGAAAGAGACGAATTGCGAAAAAAGAGAAGAATGAGATGGACACCCAGATGAGAGAGAGTATATGCGGGCCCCTCATCCCCTCACTCTCCCCATCCCTCTCCCGGGGCAATACACGTCTTTGCGCGACGATGGAAACTGCGAGAGGCTCCAATCTTGATACCGGATAAAGAAGCAATGAGTGATGACTCCAGTATGACGACTCGCTCCACCATGTCCGCCCTTCGTTAGCTGTCGAATGTGGTTCAAAAGTGACCACCGGTTGTTGCGCATTGATAGCTGCGACGCCGGCTGGAGCAGTAACACGTCAATAGATGTTCTTGCTACCAGATTTCACCCGCCTATATCCATCCAACAACACCGCAACAGTCAACAGACTTTGCTTTTCTTCCGTCGCACACCTACTTCCCTCTCACTTGCAATTGACACCCTCCTACATACACAAACACAAACCCCCATGTCTCGCCCTAGTTCCTAGTCAAACCCCTTAGCTCTAAACCCTAGGTCATTCTCCTTTCTTTGACTTGTACGTATCTGCCCCTCCCCTCGCGTCCTAGTCTTCACGTCAACTCCGTTCTTACTGCCCATGATCGGGGAAATTCTGCAATCGCTCACAAATCCTGTGTACCCATGCACGGTACGTCCGTAAGCTGCATGAATGCCACAGACTCCTTTTTCCTTTTTCCTTCTTCCTTCCCTTTCACTCACACCCCCTGCTTGTTCCTGCTTCCACCGGACCCTTATCAATGCGGCGACAAGAGTACAAACAAATCAAAAACAAAGAGTAAGAAAGGAGCATAGCTGACTGATATAGTATCGGATGTTTTCTTTGTCCTACTTCAACCCGCAGGTCCATTTTATGCATGACGGTGAATGGATACCGCTCCTGTCGTCTCTCTTCTCTTCTCTCACTCTCTCTGTGTCTCCTCTGTCCTTCTCTTCGTCTCACCCTCTCTTTTACTTCATTGTATTCGAAACGCTACTGTACAACAAAACACAAGCGATCAATTGCATCAACACAGAAGGATTTTGTGCAACCCCGAACCCAAGCGAACACAATATTCTTCTTTCTTCGTTGTTGATGCGTGAACAGACAAAAAAAAAAAAACTCTACCACGGACACTGACAAACACCGCATCCTGCATCTCTCTCACTTCTTGCTCCTGTGACCTTCCATCTCAGCGGAAAGTAACGGACACAAACGACAAGAGAAAAACACGCCATGATCCAAAATAAACAACCCTCTGTAGGGTCTTGTTACTGTTCTTCTTGTGTAGTGAACAATCTACTGCGCGGTTCTGCGCAAGCCGAAAGGACAAAAACCTGCTTGAACTGTTTCTCGTTGCATCATGCATCACATTCTCATAACTGCTCACACTGCCTTTCCTAGACTCTACCACCTGTTCGTCTTCTTTCCACCTATCTCTCATCAATAGACCTCGCCATTCAACTCAAATCACGTTAGGTGTCTTTTACCCGTTTTTTTTTATTCAAATCACGAGTAGGTTCATGCAGGGGAAGGGAAGAGAAGGAGTAGGAGGAGGGCCAATTAACAACAAAGCACCCTACAATTCGAGCCACATGCCTCCGCAGATGCACGATCGGTCATAGTTATGGTACCACAGCGTAGACGCAGCAATATCGGGTATGATGTTGTTGTTGTTGGTGTTGGTGTTCGTTCCTGCTCCCATAGCCATCGGTTGTGACATGAGGCGTCGCTGGCTTGGCTTTGTATTCGCACTCGTATTTGTCGAGATTTGATGGCATCTATTCGATTTCAAAGAATAAAACAAAACGCGTTAGAAACAGCACGCCCAACGAAAATTAAATACACCTTGGCATAGCATAAAGGTAGTACCTGATGCACTGCCGGCCACGACCAGAGGACTTGTACTTCTTGGCCTTGCGAATAGGATCGACTCCAGATCGTCTCTTCCTGACCTGTGCCTCAATCTCGGTTTGTGATGGCTCTCCATCTTCAAAGGGACTAGACGGCACGACCACTGGCTCGATTTTCCCCTCCAAACCTTGCAATGCCAATCGACCTATTGTTATTGGCTCTACATGTGCTGAGTTTGGATCAGATCCTTCGTCCGCTAAGATTGGCAGTAGAGTCCATTCTGACCGCGTCCTGGTTGAAATCGATTTGGATTCTTGGAGGAGCCACAACGACGATGGGTTCAAGGTAGCCAGCGAAGACCTCCTGCTGCCACCGTTGCTGCGTTGCACCGGGTTCCTGTATTCCCACATTTCCTCATCGCTGTCTCCTTCCTCGTCGTCCTCATCTCCATCGTCCTCCAGCATGGCGTCATCTTCAGTTACCACATTGGCGGTTAGACCATCCAGTTGGAGCCGTAGTTGTCCTTGGAGAGCCACGCTCCAATTGTTCCAGATTGCCTTCAGATTCAACAGCCCATCATCTTGGCTGTCATTAGAAGGCCCTGCCATGTCATCGTCCCGCTCCTCGTGCGTCAAGCCCCAGATGGTTCGCGAACCCAGATTGGATGGCGTAGTCCCATCCAGTGTTCCTCCATGATGAACTGATCCAGCAGTGGCCATCGTCGAAGAGTTATCCACCAACCCGTGACCCATGGATCGGAGTGCTGGGTCAATCGACTGATGTGACATGGGCAATTCGCCGGGCGACTCGGTAAACACCCTCATCGACACAGGACCCGTTCTCCCTGAGACACCGCTGATCGACCCTCTAGATCCCGTTGATATGGTGCTCGTGTTGGAAGGGTGGTGTTGAAGAAGCGGGAACTGTTGGCGGCCGAGGTTGGGAGACGCGTTGATGGGCGAAATAACACGAGGCTTGAGAGCATTTGCTGGGTCGATGCGGCAGCGTGAAGGATGCATGGCGGCGACCTTTTCTCCCGATCCTGACCTGGACGAATAGAGCGTCTGGGCGGGCTCAATGTCCAGCCAATGAATGGTCGAAAACATGAGTCGATTCATGTCCCATACTGTCGGGTATCTTCTGGTGATCATCTTCAGCTCCGTCTTTGATTGAGCTAACGATGCACTGCCGCTTGACGGGACGATACCTTTGATGAAAACAATGTGATCCGAGGCGGACTTATCCAGAATCCCGCTTTCGCCAGTCCGATGCAAGGTGCCGTTGATACCGTTCGGCCGTGTGATATCAACGTGATGGCCAATTCCACTCAGATCCCGAAGCATGGACTTGAGAATGCCAATCTTGAGTGGACAACGCGTGAACGTCGCCTCAGCATGGCTAGACAGGATGGCGATGTTGATGTCCTTAATGGCGATTGCCTCTGGAATGGTCATCGAATTGGTGTGGTTGTTGACTTTTTCCTGTCCTGGCACTGTTGGCGCTTCAATGGCTCCTCCGGTCTGGACCACATTGGTGTAGAGTTGTTCCCGCACCCGAACGTAAGCGTGAAACTGCTCTAGCAAGATCAAGACTGAACGCAAGGTCTTTTTGGCGCGGCTGTGATAAAGGAAGCACAAAATGCTTGGTGCGGGTGTCGAGGTGCCAGGGCTGTGTCCGCTAGCAGCACCATGTGAAACACTGGATGTCGGTCCCTGCTTGATTTTCCGGTTGAGAAACACAGCCAGCTCACGGAAGAGGATCGTGCAAAAGTCCAGGACCCATCCACAGAGCGGGAAAAGCGACCAAAGAGCATCGGTGTTGAATGCAAGCGGTTTCTGTCCTGCTGCCACGTTCGATCCTGGTTCCATGTGAGCCGCCACAGTCGCTGCGTCTGAGGTACAGCATCCCAAGAACACCTCGCCGATGGACTGAAGGTGTAAGAGAGCACTGGTTGCCCGATATTGAACTAGTTTCCGAGGAAGCGACTGGAACAACACCAGTTGCAACGACAGCATCCGACGCAACACTGAGGCTCGCGGCAAGAATGGTTCGAGAACACTAGAGTCCTCTGCGCCGTTGATAGAGTCGTAATATTTGAATACGCCCTCGATAAACTGATCCGGTAGTTCTATAGACATGAAAACGGTGGTTAAAGATCTCAACGATTCAATCATGTCCATTGCTTTGTCGATTGTGTAATGGGACAGCAAAGCCCTTACGATTATCGTTGGAAACTCTGGCAGCCTTGACGATGATCGACACAATGTCGGAGTAATCCCACTCGTTCAAAACAGCCACGACTGCATGTCGGACCAGTACATCCACCTCCAGGTCGTATCCCGATGTCTCTGAGGTGAAGGAGCTCGAAATATGGCCATTGAGCGACAAGGTGTTGAGAGCAAATCCGTTGGGCGATGCGCTGATCGCCACCAAGGGGCACCCGTCCTGCTCTCTGCGGAATCCGTCTGAAAGAGTAGGCAAAGCATCTGTAAGTCCTGGGAACCGGCTATCAACAAAGACATTTCTCAGTGTTAGTCTACTGTTACTCTCCCTGCTGAAAGACCACTGGTCGTCGAATGATATCCTTGCGTTACCTCTCCAAACCAAGTAGGCTGCCGTCTGAAAAGCCCACCAAGACTTCTCTACTCCGAGGGACATATGAAAGAGCTGTAATGAACTTGTCCTTGAACTGCCGCTCTCCAAGCATAACAAACGTCTATTGTGACAACAGAACGTAATACAGGCGTCAATAATTTCGGCCGCATATCCTCACAGAGCGTTTTCCGCGAAACACGAAATGCGCTGGCAATGTTTACCAATGAAGGATGTCCGGAAAGGACCTCGTTTCTTCGCGTCGAAAGCTCCTGGAATGCCGGATGGAATCCCATGATCTTGGATGCCACCTCCCACACCACAACCTGACATTGATATGTCGCCTCTCCAGAACTGAGTTCTGTCGCCGTTAAAAAATGTGAAAGTGAAATACGCATTAGTAAATGAATAACAAGACGACGATCTACTTCAACCTATCCAAAATATGTGGAAACCAAAGCGCCTGGTTACCTTCCCTAGATCCAAGACCGACTGCAACGGCAAAGGATCTTGTTGGTGTACTTGGCAAAAGCTGCAGATGTTGTACTACATTTGGCATCATGACCGATCCTGGACTCGTCAGAGGATTTGAGAGGTGGAGAACAGCCAACGCGTCGCAACGGAATGTCTGTTCTGGCGAAAATCGGAGATCGATATTGTAAAGGTTCACTGTGGAAGGCAGAATGCCGTTACTGTGTGTCACCAGGTGAAACCCGTCCGCTATTACACATAGAGCAACGTCTGGTCAGTCTTCTGCACTTATTGACTGTCAAGAAGAGATAAAATCTGGGACGTGAAGAGAATGTTCCTGTCCGATATATCACTTACCACTACTCATCATGGATCCATGAGATATCCTTGAAGCTGTAATGTCCTCGTTAGCAGACTGCCGTGGAATCCCTGTGGAAATGTGGGTGAACACCTGTCCTGCTGGCTTGAACACTGTCGTCAACTAAAACACCAGTGTCGAATATAACATTTAACATTGCATGTTAATTGTGTGCCTCTGCCTGGCGCCATCCACTTCGACAATTGATCCTCAAGTGCTTGGTTCTACCTGGCCATCCGAAGACAGAAGGACTAGTGATAGTGGGCCTCTCGCCCGTCCTGTTCGTTCACGCTCGAACTTTGTCGTATTGGTTGATCCATCCGTCTTTGCGACATACTATTTACAAAGATAATATTGAGTTATGAGCACGTTTTTTTAACGCCGTACATGAATCGGTTTTTATAGAGATAAAAGTGCAATTGCTACTCACTGTTCTATCGGGGTTGATCCATTCACAGCAGACGACCGGGTTGAATAAGACGAACACGTACACCGGGAGCCACGCATTCAGATATCTCTAATGAAAAGGTGAAATCGAACACAGAGCTGCGATCGTTAGATTCCATGCATTCTTCCATGCATTCTTTCCAAGCATTCTTTCCAAGTGTTCATCCCTCTCCATAAAACAAAACTCTGCCCCCGCATGTTGATCCAATTGAGAAAGAAAAAAAAGTAAAAACGTACTTTGTTGGCCCAGATGACGATCTTGCCCTTCTCGTCAATTGACACAAAATGGTTTCCTGCGTGGTTCCATAGGACGTGGGTGATATTGCTCTGACCGTGATATGTCGAAACGTCCTCGATACATGTATCCCATAGCTGTGCCTTGTCCTCTTTTGTCAGCAACAACGATAGGAACCTCAACGATGGACTATTGTTATTTTAATTGACACGACAGTTAGTGAGAATGTTCCGTTGTGGGGTGTGTTTTATGAGTGATAGCTTTTTTTTTTGCTCGAGCTGAACTTACTTCATCAAGCCGGGCACTTTTCTATCAGGCACCCAAGACGGTGTGATGGCCATGTTCTTGCAAGACCATGCGATGGGTCTAAAAAAAACGCGTTTGTTGTTGATTGTTGATTGGTACAAGGAGGATCAATAAACTGATTCGTCAGTGTTTCTCCCATCGAGTTGTGCTGTCGTCAGAGGCGTTAATTAGCCTGTAGTTATTGTTTACCTCTGGCGGCAACCGTGCCTCTGGGATGAGTAGAGACCATCGACAGAGAGGTTGGGCGGGAGAAAGGATGTGAGGGTCTTTTCGAGGTCGACGGTCGCCATTGGGTGGAATTAGGAAGTTGGAGAGGGGGAAGGAGAGGTGCCGTTTTCCTAGTCGAATCGATGGTTGTTCCTGGCAAGAGACGATGGATTGTTCCTCGGCCACTAGCGACTCTTTTTGTTTTTTTTTTCCTTGTGTTGCTCGTCAATGATATGAAGATGGGCGTCCAAAGGGAAAAGTAAGATGTGCAAAAGTCAAAGTGATGCGAAAAGGCAGGGGCAAAAAAGAATGGAATAAACGAGAAAAGAAGAAAGAAGTGAATTGCGTTTGGCTCTTTTGCCGCACGCCTTTTTATTTCACACAGTAACTAAGGGAACTCAGGGCGGGTTGGTTGGTTGGGCGGGTGGCTTTGGCTCAATCCTCAACCTCTCCATCCTCAAATTCGATTTGGATTTCGAATGATCGGTGGCACTCCACACTGTCCACAGCACGCGGCATGTCTCTCAGCTCTAGATATTTTTAAAAAGCAAAGTACATTTTGGAAAAAGAAAGAACTATGGTACATACACAGACAAGAAACTGTTACTGCTATCAACTACAAACGACAACAACAAACAAAAGGAGGAACGCGACTAAAATAGGTATTTCATAGCATCATATCCATTCACAGCTCATGGAAGATAACTCCTGCAACAATGTTCATCTCCCCTTCCACCTCGTCCTCATCATCAAAGAACATCGTCTGCTTCTTGACCACATCCAAGACACTCTTCCTCAACACGAACCTAGGGAACCCAAGGCCACCCTCGCTGCCAGAGAACCACTCGACAAGATCCTGCTTAGCGATACAGTCGCCTGCCTCGGTGGCAACAAACAACGTGACGTGGCGTCGAGTCATGGGCAACGACATACCCGAGACAGATCGTCGAGAGCCAGACGAGACAGACGACCGCGAAGTGAACGGGGCAGGGACAGAGCTGCTAAAGGCTGCTACCGCTGCGGCGTTGTTGGCGTTTGCGCCGGGGATGACAGATAAACGTCGGTTCGTGACGGGTCCAGTGTTCTCCTGCTGAAGGTAAAGTCCAACATACTCGCTATCACGGTGGCGATCACCTCGGCCATGCTATTGTAAAGAAAACCAGTAAAGAAGGTAATAAGGATAGGTTAGAAAATAAGGATCAAATATAACTCCGAGGCATGGGGTGACAAGAAGAAAACCACAACGAAACAAGAGAGATCCCGTGGCTATAATTCCTGTGTGCACAACGTGCGAAGAATACTGCGGGTATATCCAGAGTCGGTTGTAGTTGTGCAAGGGTCAGGAAGGATAATAAGAAGAGAAGAGAGAGAGAGAGGGAGAGAGGGAGAGAGGGAGAGAGGGAGAGGGAGAAGGAGGGAAAGAGAGAGAGAGAAAGAGAGACATGAACGCCGTCAGTTTGAAAGTGCCGAAGCCTTCTCAATCTCATTGCTTTGCTCGCTTGTTTTCGCTTTGCTTTTTGAACAAAAACATAAAAACAAACGGTGACGATCTTGCGTTTCTGACGATATGCTACATGTACTGGACCTGTGGCCAGGTAAAAGGAATAGTGTGTGTGTTCGTACGAGAGGTTACTTACAGGATAGAGACGAAGGCGCCAGGATGATTTGACTGGCCCAGCCTGAGACTGCAAGACACTGTCGGTTGGAATAGACGACGCGTCGCTGTTGTTAGTGCTGTTGGTGGCGATGGGTGCTGCAAGTCCTGCTGTAGGTGCGGTGTCCTTGATGTCAAAGACGGGAGATCGGATAAATCGGTCCGAAAAGGAGAACTCGCTGAGCTTTCCGAGGGCCCAGAAGTAAGCCTTTTCGGTGGCGTGTGACCTCATATGCTGGCGGACATTGTTGCGAATGAGTTCGTCGACGAGGGCCGAGTCTGAGCAAGGGACCGGGAAGGCAGCAGTGGCGGATCCGGGTGGAGTCTGCATGGACATGGAAGAGAAGGAGGATCGCTTGAAGGAGTGCGAGTTTGAAAAGGAGTTGAATGGACTCTGAGGAGGAGTCCTTCTGGCGTGGTGGGAGCGCTGTTGCTGGGGGATAGGGATGGGCGAGAGGAGAAGGTGGAAGGAGAGGTCCTCTTCAGCGTCGGGTGTGTGGTGGTGCAAATGCGAGCTCCTGCGGCCACTCGACTTGTTCTTGCTGACTGCAACGGGGACTGCAACGGGGGAAGGCATGGCTGAAGAAGACGAAGGTGCTTGTGGTTGACGACGATCATTGATGGATGGATCGTCCTTGGACGAGAGACTGAGACCGCGTTCGCGTTCGCGTTCACCATCACTCTCATCGCTCACTTCAGGGCTTGGGTGTGCACTCACAAAGGGGACGACTGACTCGGCCGTAGTCGAGGTGGCGTTCTTGGACAGGGAATGCACCGAGGGCAGCGAGGTATCGTAGCCAACCATCTCATCCAAATCGATATCCATATCACGGTCATCAAAGCCCATATCGAGTGGATGTTGCTGCTGCAAGAGATTCAGCTTCAAGTGCGAGGCGCCTCGCGAGCGAAGGGAAGGGCGCTCTTGGGCAAAGTCGGTCATGATAGAAGGTTGAAAGTATGAAGAAGAGTGAAAAAGGCAACAAAAGCTCACTAAAGGAGTAAAATGGTTTTATGAAAGGAGAAAGAGAAAATGGGAAGGATAGACGGGTACGGGATGTAAGGAAAAGGCAAGAACGAGAATATGAGAAAAAAAAAAAGGAGAAAAGGAAAGGAATAAAGGATTCGTTGTAGTACTTGTAGTGAAGGAAAAGGATTGTGGGGAAAAGGGTCTTGTTGTTTGTCACCCAAAAGAAGAGGACCCGAAAGAGTATTTGGATATGCAGACGAAGAAAGAAAAGGATAGATTGGGCAAAGTGAGGAGGAGGTTAAAGCAAGCTATATTCCTGTGGAATGACGAGGGACAGGCTGACAACAAGGGCCAAGGTTAAGCAAGGTTGAACGTTTTTAAAAAGGTGTGTTTGTGATTTTGTGTATAGTATGTGAGCAATCTAGTGGATAGTAAGGAATGTGTGTGCGTCTTTATCTTTATCGACAATGAGGGAGAGAAGACAGGGTACACAAAGAGCAATGGGCAGGTGTGAAGTGAACTAATAATAAAACGAGGGGAAAGGAGGGGGAACAGGAAGAAGAGTGAAAAGGAGTGAAGTTGTAAAAGGCAGAGGGAAGAACAGAAGGGAACAGAAAGAAGAGGAATCACGGATGGGCTAAAAGGATAAGAAAGGATAAGAAAGAAAGAGAGAAAGAGAGAAAGAGAGGAAGGAAAAAGGGAAAGAGAAGGTGAAAAAAAATGCTCCATTTATATAGACGAGCCGATGACAATGGTGGTCATGCGCTCCATGTGAGAAATATTACTTGGTCGACTCAATTCTAATTCAATGACCACAAAATAAAAATAACGAGCAGTGCTGCTCTCTCTCTCTCTCTCTCTCGTTTACACGTATGCCTGCCTGTCCCCTCTTCCTCCTCCTCCTTGGTCCTTTGTTCTCCTTTTGACGTTAGTTCCCTCGTCGCATTCATGGACACGACTCGATTGGATGAACACAAGGAGAAAGAAAAGCAAAGCGGGAAGGGAAGGGAACGACGGTCCACATGGTACGGAGGAAGAAAACCCCTCCAATGCCAATGCAACGAACATTAACAATACAAGAAAGAGAACGAAAAAAGAACGGGTCACCGTCCCTTGAAAACTGCACACTCAACAAACCAAACGTACAAGGTACAACCGAACAATGGTTGCAGCAACGATGCATGCACGAAATACCATCTCCGCTCTACCCGGATAGTCGCGAGACCCTCGTTTTTGGTGTTTGTTTGCGCTCTTCTTCGACATGGCCAAGTTTGGTCTCAATCTATACCTCGTCCTTGTTGCAAAAAGTCCTTGTGCTTCTCCAAGGCACCCAATGATGCCAATGCTCTTTGGTCCATGGCCCATCAGGCGACCAATCCACTGGTCAAGATGTAGCTAGTGGCTCGTACTGGGGCCATAGCAGGGAGTGGGATAGAGAAAGAATGTGATCAGCACTTTTCTCTTCTCCCTCCATCTCTTTTAACATTTTTGAGCGAAGGAAAGAGCAAGGTGCGAGAGGTAGAAGGGAGATGGAGTATCTGCGTGAGTGTGTGTTGAAAAGGAGATGGAACATAGCAAAGCGATGAATGGCCATACTGCTGACAACAACAATAACAACAACAAAAGTACTACAACAAGCAGCATTGGGTTGGGATGGGCATGTAAGGTTGTCTCTTGCTTGTTTGATAGGGTTTCCCGACATGCTATCGCCTCCTTTCTTCGCTTCTTCTTGTGCTCCCTATTGGAAGAGAGAGAAATTCCTGCGCAGAGGCTGACAAGCAAAGCGAATCAGCAGGAATTGAATTCGGTACAAAAGAAAAAACAAAACGGGGCGTGGAAAAGGAAACAAAAAAGGGAAAAAAAAGTTGGTTGGGTCTGGATAACGAAACGACGATAACCAGGAGAGTGAGAGTGGGAGAGTGAGCACATGTAACCAGAGTTACACGATGTTCCTTATCTTGTGTGTTGTGTATGTCCTCCATACTTCCTTCAACCTCTGTGCCCTACTTTTTCCCTTTCCTTCATTGTTGTCACCATCGCCATCACCGTAAACACACCCCAATTTCATCCGTAAACATAGCAATGCCTGCACACGACCGCCATATGTTGTCATTCGTCCTGATAAACAACTGTCAGACGAGAGGGGAGAGTCGAGTTTCAACAGCAAACAACAGTGACCGAGAGATGAAAGAGTCAAGCGACCTCTTTTTGCTTCAGCCAATGTGGGAAAAATAAAAGACTGGAAAGTGGGCAGGGAGTTGAGCGAACAGGGATGTGATCATCCAACGCAAAAACCCATAAACACAAGGTGCGGAACATGTGGCCACGAACATTGGCGAGTAAGCAATCAACAACAAACACGCAGACAATAAACAATAAAGCAAATGCCCCTGCGGTTCCAATGTTGTCTTTCACACTCTTTCCCATTTGCTTATCACCCAAAGCGGCAAGGTCTTCCCTCTTCTCCCACACCCCTCTCTTCTTCGTTCTTCTTCTTGTTCCTCTTTACTTCTTCATGTTCTCCATCTTCCTCGTGAATGGGATCAAAACAATGTGGCCTATTGGACTTGAACTGTGTAACCACCCACTCTCTCACCTCATAACCTTTCTTTTGTTTATCCCTCCTTACAGAAAGACTTCAATTGCTCTCTGCGCTGAAATTCAAGGCATGCATGGTTGGTTTGTGTTGTTTGGCCCTTTTTTTGTACTGGATAAGAGTCGACGAATTGAGCGCCAAGTTGACCCCACGCACCTCTCGCAATAAATGCAAGCGGTGCACAACACATACCGTCTCACTCACTCCTTTTCTTCATTCCGGCTCAGATATTCGCATAGCTTTCAAATGGCACCCACACACCCCATCCAGTAACATCAAGTGTGTGCGTGCGTGCAAAAATGACAACATGTGCGATCTATTTTGTGGAGGAACCTAGACCATCCCCGCTCGTAAAACATTCTAATATTGCAGCTCGGTAGCTTTTTGTGAAAGGAAAAACAAAAAAAAAGGACTAACTAGATGGCTGGACTACCTGGTGTCGAATCCTCAGAGACAGACACAGATGGTGAGGGCTTGGCGGCATAGACTTCCTCCTTGGGAATACGGTGGATGGCACGAGGAGGTGCAGTGCGTCTGGCAGCAGCCTGTTTCTTCTGTGCCTGGAGTCGTCTCTTCTTGTCCAGAGCTGCCTTCTTGGCCTTTGCAATAGCCAATCCTGCCTCGGAGGTATATCCAAACACCTGCTTTGAATCTCCGCGGACCGTCGCCGTCAAAAAGACGCTGAGAATGCACGCGATGGACAAGTAGGCGATCAAAGGCTGTGTAGTCTTGAGCGTATGGCTGACGTAAAAGTGCACACCTAATCCCAAAACGTAGGCGACCAGAGAGGCAATAAAGTAGGGCTTGCGGAATCCAGTCGAACGTCCGAGGGTCGCGTTTCTCTGACCAGCCCGTTGCTGATCATAACGAAGACAGAGAGCCACAAAGAGTCCTGGAGCAACGATCTCACCCAATCCAAGCGAAGTAAAATTGTAAGCCTTGCCCAGAGGCAATCCCAACAAGAGACGGGGGAAGACCACCTTGATGGGGATGTCGACCTGCCTGACCACAGCCTGCAAAATCTCAGACGATCCATATGTCCAGTACGCGTCCGAAATGCAAAGCCCTCCCAAGAGAACAATTCCGGCCTTGAAAGACTCCAACGAAAAGACCTGGACAGCGCTCAAGGCCAGCGAGAAGGCGATGACGTTAGACGCAATCCAGTTCTTGGTGGCAGCATAATATCCTGCAAGCATGACCGAAGCGACCAACATCACCAAGTGGATTAATGTGAACCTGGCCGTGTAGAATTCTATTCCGCGTTGGGAAGAAAGGAAAGCAGGGCAGGAAAGAAAATAGTCCTTTTTGTAGTCAGCATGCATATCAATATCAATGCAAACATTCGGTCAAGGGATCATGTAGGAAGGAACAAGAAGTAAAAGCAAGCGACATAAAGCACGCAATGTAAAGTAGCTCAGCGTCTACTGCTGCAGACTGTTCTACGACACTCGTCATTGAGAAAAACAGCATAGGAACGGGAAACTCGATAGCGACATAGTTTACCTTTTGATGGCCTAGCCAAGTTGATGCGCCATGAGTCGACCTTGATTCCCAACAATCCAAGGATGGCTGTCAGGGTGTTGACTCCGACCTGGGTGGTGGCGAAGAGTCCCATGATGCTGAAGTATGTCGTCAAGGCGTAGTTGACATAGGCGGTGTTGAACTCTCTGAGGGCATAGTGAAGTCCAAACAGAGCCAGCGATCCTAGAATGGGTAACTTGAATGTGTCGTCTGCTGAGAATGACTCTGACGGCGCATCCTGGTCTTCGTCATCTTCGTCGTCGATTTGTCGCTTGATCTTCCTGCTCTTCTCCTCTGGGTTCTATGTCAGTTGAGGAATCGAATTGAAGGTGTATTTGGTGAGTAAGAATGCCCAGAAGTCATAGACATGGTTGTTGGCGCGGTTGGTAACTAAACTGGCGATCCAATTGGCGCGAGTAGGAGGCGTTTTCCCGTTTGTTCAATTGAAAGACAACAATATCCACAAGTTGTTTGTTACCTTCCACTTGTTGAGGGAAGAGAAGGCTCCAAAGTATATGGGCACGACTGCGAGGGCGGCTAGTGATGCGTATGCGATGTAGAGACCCTGCTCGACCTGAGTCGGTGATGCGTACTTTGATGACATTCCTGTTTTCTTGTTGTGAGTATTGATGGGCGAATTATCCTGATGCAGATGTAACCTTGCTGAGTGTTCGTCCTTTTTCCTGGTTCCCTTGTATAGGCTGGTGCGGATGAGAGTCGATGACTTGAGTTGATGAACGAAAGGAATTAAAAAAAAACGATGAACCCAAGAGCAAGGTTTCCCCAAGAAAAGCAGCAGCAACGAAAAAAGAAGGGCGCCAGACCAGAAGCAGACAACAGGCGATCAATAAATGAATTGCGCCAATCATCAACTGTCTTCAGGCACAATTCCCTCTGTGTGGGTGAGAGCAGTGACTGTTTATCAGCCGCCTCTCTCTCTTGCTCTTTCTTCTTGTTCTCTTTTCTGTACTCACATACCCTGCTCACCTCACTTCTTCACTCTCCTTATCAAACACCCCCTGGCAACCAGCCTGGCTACCTTTAATAATGTCAGACTCATATTGCGATACCATCCATGACACTGCCATGGTCACCGCCACCAACACCCCTTCCTCCTCCTTACCCTCCTCTCCCTCTCCCTCTTCTTCGACACACCAGCACCTTGCAAAGAAGCGACTCCTCTCTCCTCCTCACCCGACCACCCCCGACACCAACAACAACAACAACAACAACCTCTGCACCAACGCCATCCCCACAAACACTCTCATCAACACCACGGCCAACAACAACAACAATGCAAATAGCATTTCTGACCTGCCCATAGAACTCGCATTCCTCATCCTCGCCTACCTCCCATACCGCTCGCTCGTCTCCCTCTCCCTAGTCGACCGCTACTGGCGAAACCTCACCTTCCACAACGACAGCGTCCTCTGGTACAACCTTGCCTCAAAACACGGCTTCCTCCCACGCTCTCCTCTTCTTACTCCTCCTTCAGAACCCTCCTCCTCCTCCTCTACCCCCACCTCTACTTTAACTACTATCTCTACGACTTTGACACCCTCCTCGAGGCGCTGGTCTTTGGTCGATGCGCTTGCCAAACGACCAGGCCTGAATCGAGCCCTTTCCCAAAGTCGCAACCGTCTCCTACCTATTGATTCTTCTTCAACGTCCTCCTCTAACTCACCATCCAACAGAAAAGCTACCACAACAGCACTACGACCTAGCTCACCTCTATCTACACTAACGACAAGCACAACGACAAAGACAACGCCAACAGCAACAACACAACAACTATGCGCACGACTCGAACGGGGCGAGGTTGAGACGTGGCGGGACTACTTTGAAGCATCACTGATCCTGCGACGGGAATGGATCAACGGCAAGCCAGCCACAAAGGAACTGCGCGGACACGACGTTGCTGTGATCTGTGTCAAGGTTTTGCCTGGTCGAGATCGGGTCGTCACTGGCGATCGGCTGGGCTTTCTCAAAGTCTGGTGCGCAGTGACGGGAGTCTGTCTCAAGACTTATAAACGCCACATGATGGGGATATCGTCCCTGTCCATCCAGGGCGATCTCCTCGTCAGTGGTTCCTGGGTAAGTCAGGTTGTATGAAGGCAGGCCAAGCATGCAAGTTTTTCAGTGCAGTTCAGTTCTGAGAGTCCAGTGTGTTACAATGACAAGGTTTTTTTCTCGAGCACAAAATTAATAAGCCCAGTTCATTTCTTCTCTATGAGTATAGGACAGCACAGTCGTGGTATGGAAGCAACTAGAGGAGGCACCCTATCTGAAGCGCGTCAAAGTAATCGACCTGGGCGAACAAGTCATGAGCATGGATCTCGACAGTAACCTCGACCTGGCAATCGGGACAGTAGGGGGTCTGGTCATGATCATCTCCATCGAGACCCTCTCCTGTCTGCACACTTTTCAAAGCCCACACCCAAATCTTTGTACAGCCGTCTCGCTGGGTCCCAACAAAGTCGAAGCGGCGATTGGACTCAACTATTATGCTTGGGATCGAACCACTACCGCCCAGGTGGGCTTCTTTGCGGATCCGCACATCAAGAATATCACCTGTATGAAGGTCGATACGATTGAGAAGGTCTTGTTAACGGGATCTCAGGATAGTAAGGTGCGCATGTTTAGCTGGGAGGCTAAGCCTATGCTGCTCAGACAGTATGGTGGCCATCGAGATGGAGTCCGATGTATCACTCTTCAGGATGACATGATCATCACTGGGTCCGCCGACAAGGTACGCCCTTCTTTACTTGCTCGAGTGTGGATGTCTAGGTACATGATCAACTCCCCCGCATATTTTTTTCTCACACTAGAAAATCTTCCCTGTATGACTCAATATAGACCGCTATGGTGACATTCAGGGGACGCCACGACTTTTGCAGAGCAGACTTAACATTGCACGACGCACTAGTCGGAAACGAAGCATTCCTCTCAGACGTCTCTGAAAGAGTCCCCGAATCCGTCTCCCTCCCTCACTCAGCAAATGTGAACGCCATCGATTCAGACGCCAGCATGGTCGTGACAGGTGACGACGACGGCGTAGTCAGGATATTCGATTTCGGATTCGACCTCTGGCGACCTGCAGTCCCCTCATCGCCCCGACTCTGTGGTCAGGCATCGCTTGTCTCGTCTGCATCGCCTACTTGTGTTTTGATGGCCAAACCAGGGCGGAGTAATGTGTCGATTGGGAACCGGCGGCAGACTTGGGGCACCTCTGCGTTGGCGGTCTTGGTCCGTGTTAAGAGTATATTGAATGGATCGGTAGCACAGGAGCCAGATTCTGGTGTTTCATCCGCTTGGATGAACGTTGACGAGATTTATCGACGAATGGTCGACTGGGATCTCTTGCCCGTCAGGTACCGATTACTCTATCTTTTTCTTTGCAATAAGTCCTTGTTTAATTATAACTTACTGACCACTGGCCTTGTTTTTTTCTACATCTCACGAAACCAACCAGTCAAGGATCGACACCGAAGCATACTCTGAACCTAGCGTTGCATATGATGGCAAAATCGGATCCACCGACCGTTCTCCTAGATAGCTCCGTGAGTCCACATCGATTTGCCCTTCCATAATAGACCCATCCTTTGCACTCATTTCTCGCTCGCATTAATTAAACTGTAGAAAACAGCGAAACCATTGTTTGGGGATACTACAACAAAGCGAAAAACGCTAAACTACAAGGCAGAGTCAACATTCATATCCTGGCACTCGTCAGCCCCCATTGCAGCTGCAGCTGCAGCTTCCTCGGCCTCGGCTTCCGCCTCAGCGGCCTCAGTATCGGCATCGAGCTGCGCCTTCATCTCGCGCAGACGTTCAAGGACCTGCTTGGTATCAGGGCGTTGCTCAGGGTCAGACTGACACATATCCTTGAGGAGAGAAATTACATCCTGTTGGACCACATCTCCGTTCAAGAACCGCATCACAACCTCACCGCTCTTGCGACGTGGCTCTTCCTTTCTCAATGAGGCCGATGAGGACCGAGAACGAGGGGTATGGGCCCTGACGAGGGGTGATGGTAGAGGTAAGGGCGAGACGGGTGTTGAAGGTTGAGAGGATTTGAAGGATCGGTCGGGAGAGTAGCCTGACAGGAAGTGGTTCAAGGGTTGACTCCGAGGACTGGCGGGATACAAGTAGCCGCTAGGAGAGTTCATAGACGATGCTGAAGAGGGATCGAGCATGTCATAATCCCGAGAGAGCTGGGTGTTGATCCTGGGCAGGTGAGGTGGAGGTGCAAGAGAGTTGGAAGAAGGAGAGCGCAGGGTGGAGTTGCTGCCTTGTCGGCTCAGACGAAGTCCTTGAGGATGACTGGCAGACTGGGTAGCTTGCATCTGGGCTGCTGACGAGGTGGTGGCTAGACTGTTGGAGGTCACTTTGGGGACTTGACCACGGTCATGGACCCACCGCTGATCCTCCCATAGCCAGAATCCACCCTTCTTGATCCAAACCATCATCTCCATGACACTCTTCAGCTTGTGGAAGGGTTCCTGTGCAGTCAATCCGATGACATAAAGCGAAACGCCCAGAGAGTACATGTCGATACTCTGGCCATAGTGAGCACCTCCGGCCACGGAAGCAAACATCTCGGGTGCAGAGTAAGGGGGCGTACCCCGTCCGAGTCCTCCTTCAAGTCCAAGGTGCATCGAGTCCTTTTTGGTTCCTTTGTCCTTGGTCGAGAACCTACTCGCTCCGAAATCCGACAACTTGACGTCCAATGACGAATTCAACTAAAGAATAACAAAAAAAATGAGAGCACAGCACGACCGCATGTTAATATAACTCGACTCTTTTTTTGTGTTCTCATGACCGATCTATGTTTTTTTTCTCCACGAGGCGCTGACATGTGTGTTTGTTCGTTCATTCTTTCTCCAGTTCTTACCAAGATGTTATGAGGCTTGATATCATGATGGACAAGACCAGCCTCATGAATACAGTCAACCGCCTCCAACAGCTGAAGTGCCCAGGTGAGCCACTGGCGGTAGTCGACTCTCTCAGGATGATGGCGGATCCAGTCCCAGACAGTGCCGTTCTGACAGTTCTCCAACAACAGGACCCACTCTGCTTCCTGGTCCGTACCCCGTGGTATCCGGTCAACATGTGCAACATCTCCGATCGACAGGCCTTGTTGGGTGGTCTGGTCGTAAAGTCCATAAAAGTCGACCAGATATTTCCGTCCCGGATGATCGGCCTGCTCCGCATGCAGTCGTCTCAGAATCTCTGCTTCGGCCAGTCCGACTGACTGAGATTCTGCATCTGTGAAGAGACACTTGGCAGCGCAAAGGACTGCTTCTGCATTTGATTCTTCTTCCTGTTGTTCCACGCTGGGTATCATCCTGTCTCCTTGAAAAATGTCGTTGCATGTGAGATTACGCATAGCCTTGCGTGAGGAGAGATATTCCTTCATGGGAGCAGATGAGGGATGCAACCAGGCATTGTAGACCTCGGCATTGAGTCCATGTCCAAGCAAGTTGACCTTGCTCCGGTCCAAGTCGAGCGAAAAGGCAGACCGGCATTCAACCCTGTCAGCAGACCATGTCTTGGAGTCACTTGCGCTGCTGTTTTTGTTGTTGTTGTTGTTGCTGCTGATGTTGCTGTTGATGTTACTGCTGCACAACAACGAGTCGTCGCTGTTCAAGAGTTGGCTAGAAAGGGAAGCCGAGGATGGGAGCTGGAGGGAGGGTGTGAAGGGAGATGTCGAGGGTGGAGGGAAGGAACGTGGCATGTGGACTGGAGAGCGAAGCGTCCAAATTGGGCTTGACTCATTACTCGTCCTTTCGTCAGCCGTTGTTTGTCGTATCCGTGCAGTAAGGGGTGACTCTGTTGATTCTATTACTGGGGTAGGACGGGTTGCTTCTGCTTCTGATGTCAACCCCTGCTGCTGCTCTCCATAACTGCTGCTGCTGCTCAACATTTTGGAGGACTTGATCCCTTTTGAGTCCATAGGTTGTCCATGTGCTGTAGAGTCATAGGGTTATTATGGGGTGAAAGAATGAAAGGAGGCCTTTGTTAGAATATTAATTCAGCACAAAAAAAAATACAGACAGCTAAAAGACAAGAGGCCCAAGTCCTCTGAACCACAGTGAATGCACCCTTGACCCACAAGGATCAAACAAAGAAGGAGAGAGACCTTGAACAAGCGAGGAGAAAGAGGGAAAGAGGGAAAGAGGGAAAGAGGGAGAGGGAGAAGGCCAAAAAAGGGGTAAAACAAAGAAGTAGAAGAGGATTACTAGTTTCTTTCATGAACCAAATCGAAAAGCGTAGAATGATGTGTTATCTGTCCTCTGGCGAATAAGCAAAAAGGCAGACCCCTTTGTCGTCCTCTACTTTTGATGGATGGACAATTGATACCACAACGACTGCACAACAGCGACAACACCACAACGAAAACGCCACACTTGCTGCACACACAATGACCGAGGCGGGTAAAAGAACAGGAAAGTAGCTGCAAGGGAAAAGAAAACGAAAACACCGACCCAACAGACTGGGCTGAACTTACACAAAGTTGCTGCATCTGCATCCCTGATTCCTGTTCCTGCTCCTGCTCCTGTTGTCGCTGCTATTGCTGCTGTCGCATTCGTGCTTGCATCGGTGGCGAGGGAACGTTTGTTGTGGAGATGAATTTTACTACTATACGTCGACGGTGCTGCTGCTGCTGCGGTGTAGTGGTGTTGGAGGGGTCGCGGTGCCAAGGGAGAATGGGCGGGTGTGGTTGCTGCCGTTGTTGTTGTTGTTGTTGGTATTGACGATACTGCTTCTGCTGTGCCAAGACTTGGCGGGGTGGAAGAGGCTCGGAGGGAGGAGATGTTGGGTCCTGAGAGACTCGACCAGGCCCGGTCAAAGATGGAGTTTCGTGAAGGGGAAGGGGGCGGGGAGGCGAGGGAGACGGCGGCGGGATCGTTTGTAGAGAGGAAGGCACGATGCTTTTTGTTGGCGGAAGGGGTTGAGTTGTTGTTGAGGAGGGAAGGGGGGCAGTCTGTGTTGTTGTCGTTTGTTTTTGAGCAAGGCGGGGATGATGATGGTGACTCTTTGGGGAAGAGGAGGGAGGAGTCGGAAGAAAGCGTATTGCTGTTGTTGTTGCTGTTGTTATCGATTGAGGGTGCGGTCGGATCGTCGTAGAAGATGGAGCCAGGGCGAAAGGGAGATGCGACCGACTGCTGTCGATGTCCGAAGGAGGATATCAGCGGGGACTCCGAGGGCATTATTATTATGTCAGTTGTTTTGGGAAAGAGGGAAGGTGATCGAGTGAGGGTATGAGGAAAGGTAAATGAGAATGAAGAAAGGAGAGTGAAAGGAGTGAATGAGTATTGATCGAGGGAAGAGAATGAAAGTGAAAGTGAATGTGAATGAGAAAGAGAGGACAAGAAAGATCGGGGGAACAAAAAAAAGAAAAAAAGAAGAAAAAAGTCAAGAGAAAAAAAAAAAAAAAAAGAATATGAAAAAAGAAAGAAATGAAATCAAGACAGGAAGCTGATAAATGGGTGATTTGGTTTCGATTGAATGAACAGGGAAAAAAAGAAGACAAATGGCGACAGTCAACGAAGGGTAAACAAACAAACAAACATGACAAACATATACAATAATGCTGAGAGGGGCAGAGAGAGGGAGTCATAGCAGTAGCAGTAGCTGTGCCAGAGCATCATCATCATCATCATCATCTCCCCCTTGAAGAAAGGAAAGAGTCGAACGCCACCGACAAGACTATTCCAACACATCACCACTCACAGAAAATGTAGTGGCCAAACACAGCCAGTCAAAGTATCCCGGGTGATGTTCACACCACATTTCCTTTTTTTTTGCTCGAGTGTTTCATGCTACTACAGACTGGAAGAATGAAAAAAAAAGGAGTCGAGCACCATCTTCATCGTCAATTAGGTAGAAAAAGACATAGGGGGTGAAAGGGAAACAAACAAGAATCACAAGGGGCAGTAGACGTAGTAAGAGGGAGGAACGATGTGGCAAACAAGCCTTGTTTAGTGGAGGGAAAAAAACAGACAGTCAGAGAGAGAGGAATAAAAGGCAAAAGCTTACTACTCCCATCCCTTTGTTGACTCGACATCTTCTCCCTCCATCCCCTTTGTCACCTCTTTTTCTTTTTAGTAGAAGAAGAGGGAGTGAGGAGCAACATTTTGACTAATGCACGACTAGGCTACTTCTGGCAAAAGAGTGAACGAGAGGGAACCATTGCGACCCAATTGATTTCTCACGCATCCTCTGATTTTTTCACGGGCCACTCTCTCTCTCTCTCTCTCTTTCTCTCACTGTCGTTCTCATCACTCGTTCTTTCCAGCGACGTAGCTCATAGCTTGCATTTCCCGGATTTCTTTCTCCCTCTCTCTGTCATCCATCGTGGATACGGTTGAGCAAAGGAAGTTACAGAAGGAAAAAGATGACAGAATACAGTATTACCCAGCCGGTCCTTCTCCACAATGCCTTCTCCGAAAAGTCTTTTTTTTTCTTTCCCTCTTCTTCTTCTCGATGACGCAGGTGACGAAGAGTCATGCACATCGCTGAATAATCTCGCAAAAAGAAAAAAGAAAAAAAAAAAAAGCTCTCACGGAATCCTACCTGCGAATAAACAACACCATCCTGTCGTCTTTCTTTTCTTGTCGCCTCAGTTTTTTGGATTATGATTATCAAGCGCATGTCAATGGAACCAAGGGTGAAAGGGGGGGAGAAGACAACGGATGATGGAAATGAAAGAGAGTTATAGAGAGCAAGAAAAGTAAGACAGGGCAATGAGACGTCGTCACCCTTACGCCGTCTCTTCTTTGTTCACTGGCAAGCCAAATCAAGAAATGCGCATGTTTTGTTTGCATGCTTGTTGCATGAGAGTAACAACAACGACGACAAGAATAAGAAGAAAAGGGCGTAGAGAGCGGAGAGTGTTCTTTGATACATTTTGTTGTAATCTTGCACACAAAAAAAGAAAATGGGGGAGAGGTAGAGAGTTTTGTGTGTGTGTGTGTGCGAGTGTGCGATGAGAGAGAGAGTGAGGGGCGTGCTTCCCATTTTGTCTTTATTAGGGAAGATATGTTATCTGTCTTAAGAGACTCATCAACAAATGAGCGCCCATCATCTAATCTTATCTCATCCTCCCTCTAAGAATGTATCACCTCTCTTTCAGTCTCAAGAACAAAACACACAAACCCCTCTTTGCTACAAAATAAAGATCCCGAAAGAACGTCAGATAATCGGAATGGTGGCTACTCTGCTTCTTTCTTTTTGTTTCCCTTCATCTGCTCTCACCGGAGGGGTTTCTTTCCCCACCTGGGTTTGAGGGCTAGAGATAATGCCTACCATGCAGGCTAAGCCGGGTATTGAAATACAAACAATTAACCAAGTAGCCCTCATTATATGTGATGGTGCGGGATACAACAAGGGTCTGGCCTGCACCCATGTCCAGCTTGTGATCAACAAAGTATGAAATGCATATATCATCATGGAATGGATGAATGGTTACTGTAGGCAAAATCATTGAAAGGGCTATGCCAACAATGATTTTGAGCTCTCCTTTTTTCTTTTGTTGACGCAGATACATTGAATTAGCGCGCATTGCACGTTATGTCCCTCTTCGACCATTTGCACAGCCCAATTTTATTATATTTTTAACCTGTTGATCATTCTGCGACCAAGGGAAAAAAATGAAGAGAAGCATCGCGAAGGGACTGGAAGCATTTTGACAGGGAAGTGCACTATTCAAAGACAGAACTGGCACGGTTCAACGACCTTCTTTCTTTGCTTCCTGTGCCACCCAATACCTAAATAAGGCTAGCACTGTACCCCACCGCCACGCCACCCGCTTAGCAAATACAAACAGTCAACACCCTCGTGCTGTGCCCAAGCAGCAAACCACAACGGCGAATGAATTACAAGCAAAAGAAGAATAAAGGGGAAATGAATGCTGGTTTTTATTTTATGTTGTTTGGAGAAAAGAAGTGCAAGAGGGATAAAAGTTGTGTTGGTTGTTGGGTATCTAATAAAATGGGATATTGAGCGGACGATAACACAAAGCAAAAGGAGCAAAAACAAACAAAGACGAGAAAGAAAAGGCGACTTAGGGTTGATCCTCTGTCCGTTCGTCGTCCGACTTTCCAAAGTTGGGAAAGTGGGCGAGGATCAAGGGGTTGATCTTCTTCGGAGGCAGATCGACAAGAGGCATGGCATTGGGCGAGTTGATCTGGATCAGGTACATGTTGCACAGGTTGCGGCCGCCCTCAACTTTCAAGTGTCGGTTCAGTGCATCCATCCTAGCAAAGTGGTGTTGGCAACGCTCACATGCAAAGGGACGAACACCGCGGTGGAGTCTCTCATGGCGATTCTTGTCATGGAGGCGGGCAAACTGACGTTCGCAATGGTCGCACTGGTACGGACGTAGGTTGGTGTGGGTCCTGATGTGAGAGTTGAGATTGTAGGGTCTGGAGAAACTCTTGGTGCATCCCTCATAGTCGCACTTGTAGATACCTTGAGCGCCACTGCTGCCTTGTGTGGATCCGGTAGCAGAGTTTGTTGGGCTGGTGGCGGACAAGGCATTCTGGTCTGTTGACAAGGTAGGCGATAGGGGCTGTGGAGTCACGGATGAGGAGGTGGACTCTGATTGGAAAAAGTTCAGGGACATGGCAAAATCCGGTGCCAATTGGCCCATGACATCGCTTTCGGAGAAGCGGCGCTCATACTCCTCCGTGGTGGAATGACCGGCGCTCAGGGTGCGACGGTGCTGAGACAGGGGCAGCCAGGTAGGCGAGCCGATGGCTGCGGCGGAGGATGGCATGATGGGTGAGGACGGTGCAGAGAGTTGTCTTGAACTGAGTTGATCGGCGAGTCCAGAATGGAGATCTGTTGGGTGAGAGTGTGAGCTGTGGCGGTTGTAAGGGTGCCAATGGAGTGATGAGCGGGACTCGATGGGGTGGATGTGGCCCTGGGCAAGGCTGAGGTTGTGGGGGGCCGAGAGGGCGATCTGTCGTTGGTACTCGTTGTCTGCTGCCCAGAGATTTACTTGTGGAGGAGCACTGCACATTTCCGTATCTGATGTTAGGAAAAAAGTTGCAAAGGAAAAGAACAATATCCGTTAGGCTGGTTTTGTCGTGAGAGGTGACAAATTAAATGTGACAAGACACACATATTCCCATTCGCACAAATTGCACAGCCTCATCATAATTGCGCACACTGTCATGTACCTTGGTTTTGCCCTTGCTCGCAATATCCTTGGGTAGTGGCGGTGGTGCCGTTCACACCGGCTATTCTTGGGAGTATTGATCGAGAGGGATGGTTCGCTGCGGAGTGGTCAAATGGCTGGGCTGTGAGTGTGTATCGCTGACCCCTAAGCGCAAGGTCATCCAGCAAGGAAGATGTGTCCAGGAGGGTGTTTTGGTAGGAGACGCTGATGGGCATCGAAGTAGGGCTGGAAGTGAGGTTGTTGGTGGTGGTGTTGAGGCTGAGGTAGGCAAAAGGGGTGGAGCACTGCTGTATTTTGCCAGAGACCGAGGGCGAAGGAGGAAATGAGATGGGCGAAGGGGATGCAGGGTGGTTGTTGGGAGAGGAGATTTGGGGCATGGAGGACTGCTCGTCGCCGGAAGGGGGATCGAGCGAGGGCATCTCGTTGCTTGTAAGGAGGGAATCGTCCTGTGAGAAGTAATCGAGAACATCCTGGGTGTCAACTAGGCTTGGTTGTTCGAGCCAGGCATGGGTGCTGTGGGATGTGATTTGTCCGGGGATATGAGCCATTGTAACGAATGTGTATGGGTGTTTGTGGTTCGAATGAAATGAAACGGATGAATGGGATGAAAGGGATTGTCACACAGAAAAGATATGCAAAATGAACCAAGAGAGGGTCAAGACGAGGAGGAGGACTATTTAAACTATGATCGTTGTTAATTTGCAGGACGTAAGAGGGAAAAGTGAGCAAGAAGGGTGAAGAAGCTGAGGATGAGAGAGGGATCGAAGTAGTCAAAGAGATGAGAGAGAGATAGGAGGAAGGGGAGATTGCTTGCTTGTAGTAGCTTGGTAATGATATGTTGTTGTTGCTGAAGATGGAGAAGAGAGAGAAAGAGACGCGTGCTTCATGGAATGGATGGGACTTAGCCTGCCTTTTATACCCGTCAATCTCTTAAGCCGTGTGGCAGTGCTCCTTTACACCGCAAGAGACACAGTTTTCTTTCTTTTGACCCAGCCAATGGGAAATGTATTCAACATTACAGCTGCTTTAGGACACCCTGCAACCCCCTTGATACTCCCTCTTTTTTTTCTTTTTACTGCTGCTCATCTTTTTTCTTGTTGCTGACTGTATGTGCTCATGCCACTGCTAATGGCTGAACTCAACTCTTGTTTGCTACCACGACTTAATGCAAATGCGAATGAATCGGCCAGCGGGGCTGTGAAAAGACAATGACAATAACAAACACCAGCAACTTCTATCCATCAATCCATGTAAGCAAGATACGCATCGGTCATTGAAAGAAAAGGGAAAGGGTACCATAGACAATCATTTCCAGCCTCTTCTCCTATGCTTCGTCTAGGAAAAAAAATGTAAACTCAAACCACACTCTAACGGACCTTTTGTTTTCTCGTTAAACGTGCTCAATAACAAACAAAAACACTGTCTTCACTCTATGCAGGAACCATCCTTCATCTCCCCTGCCAATACGGAGAGTTCCCCGCAGTAATCACACATCTCACATCACACCCTTCATCTTTTCACACTACACAGTGCACGCACAAAATGAAAATGATGCTGCATCCACACCCAGCTCATTTTACACCTTTTATTTTCTCTCCCTCTTTCACCTTCTCTCTGTGGATATTATCCGCCTGTGTCCCTGTCCGGAAATAAATGTGATAGAAGAATGAGATGTAACGGGATGAATGACGGGAAACAGGAAAGCTTCATTCAAGTTTGGTTTTCGCAAGGAGGTCCAACAAGGCACGGCGCATTAGACATATCATGTCTCTCTTTTGATTTTGTTCAAGTGAATGCCCTTTTTTCCTTTCTTTTCTTTTGTCTTCATTCTCTGTCTTTACGCCAGATGCCAGACATGTTCTGCAGATTCGAGGTGGGAAATACGTTGAGCATTTGGTGTGAACCTGGTGGATCCACACATGGAGGGTGAATCGGGTGTAGTAGTGGTTTTTTATTTTTTATATGAGCAAACCTGGTACTTTCTGAGCACTGATTTTCGCCATCGGTCTGCCGACTGCCGAAGCCTAACCTACATGCAGCTTACCTTCGTTATGCTAGTATACTTGTTTTCATCCTCCTTATTCCCCTCCTCCTCCTCCTTCTCCTCATTTTCCTCCTCATTCTCCTCATGTTCCAATACGCTATCTTCTTTATCCATAGGTTCAATCAATAGCACACCTTATTTTGTCTCTTTGATCTAGTCTCCCACGGTTGTTTTACAGGCCAGCGTGCTTTCTTTTGTATTATCCCGATAGGCCCACGCCCATTGGACGTTAATATGTTACTACGGCGGCAGCGTAGCCTTTGCGAGCGTCTTACTTTCCTCAAGTCATTCCCTTGGTACACCTTTCTACTTGCGTGTGCACTGCCACACGGACATGGGTGTAGAACCAGTCGTTGTTTTTGTTACAGTACAGTACCGTTTGTCGTTTTCAATCCGTCCGCACTCCCTTTTCCGCCCCAACCATTCTAGGAAGGGACAAACTGAGCATGGAAAAAAAAGTGCTCTGCGACATACGTTAATGAATACATTAATCATGCCGTGGCTTCTACGCAAAATGGTGGCTTTGTGTGGCAGTGCATATACGCTGGGACATAGATGTTTCCAGTATTCAAAAGCAGAGATTGAAAAAAACCAATAATGGCAGCCAACATAGCCCAAAAACTGTGCGGATATGATATAGTTTGGTATGGGCGTTTTTATTTGTTGAAGCATGGAAGGGTCTGTTTGCCCTGCGTCGCAATGCTTCCGCTTGAGAGTACCATGCGACATCGTAAACTGTTGTCCGATTAAGCAAAATTTGTTCCATTTTCTTTGGAAACACAAAACCAAACCGTCTCCTTCCCCCGTTGAGCCACCGCCCCCCTTGTCGATCCACTCGTAGGGATAGAAGCAACGATCCCGTCCAAAGAATCCGCCCAGAAAGTATTGAACCGGGCTGAGACATATTGTCTCGCGGCAGCGGCGCATGTACAAGGGTTCTCCTCTCCGATCACAATATTGTTGTTCTAGCAATGCAGTTCTTCTCCCCCTGTGCCACTCTAGGTCATCCTCTCCTCTGACGCCATAACCATTCTACGGATGACACACACTCTATCCATCATCTATACCTCAGACCATGGTTTTTGTTCTTCCATCTGATAAACGGCAGGACGGTCAAGGTTATGCTTAAACCGGCGCATAATGTCAAATCCTGGACAACCCCTTCTCCTATGCATACACACATATACCCCTGCTGTGTTCACTCCTTTGTTTCTCGTATGCATTTTGTGGCATGTGGAAGGAATTGTCGTTTGACGCGACGAGGTGTTGTTGACACTAAATGACTAAATGGTGTTCTATGGGACGGCACTTGGCTGAGTAAGCTATCGTTTTCTCCAATGTAAGAGTCCAGATATGGAGGCAAAGAAGGATCCGTCCACCCCCCGTAATTTTCTGTTGTCATCTTGGTCACAATCAAACCAAAAGCAAAGAAAACGAGGGATATGTGATAACCGAGGCTAGGGGCTGGAGAGGAGGAGATCCAAGTGGAAATCGACGCCTCCTCTCTAGTCCTTTGTTTTCTTCTTTATCTTGATTGGTGCCTGACCATTGCATCTTTGTGCCATTTCCCTTTTTACCTTTTTTCTTATTATCAGCATCCTCCTTGCTTCGCTCCGACATGAGGGCGAGGTATCGAGTAAGTTGTTGTTTTCGATCAGGGGCCCCCATTTTTCGTTAGTTCTTCGTAGTCGATGAGCCCTCTTTGTCACGACATGTGGAAGTTGTCAAGAACAAAGACGCGCGATGGTGAAATTATTTGCATTCAATTAGAGAGAGAGGGCGATGGACTGGAAGAGAGATGAGATGATATGCGTGGCTGACTCTCTTCCTCCCCCTAAATGAATGATCCCTTTCCCCTCGTGCACACACCAACCTCACGCCCCTCACATACCCATGTCACACCCCTTCTCTCTCTGCCCATTTTCTCCTTTTTTTTTTTTTTTTTTTTTTTTTTTTTGCCTCTTTTCTCTTTCCCCTGAACAACAACACCAGCACCTGGACTCTCTCCTTCCTTCCACCCTTCTTTCTCCATCGCCACCCGGGTTCCCACGTCCCTTCATTCACACAATCACACTACACAAACGTCGTCCAATTGTCTAAACGGGATGCTGATGGAAGCCCAAACACAAGAGACATTGAAGCATGTCCCAACGAGTCCAACAACAGTAGCAACAACACATTCGGACCAGACCACAGACCCGACTGTCGAAGAGAAAACAGCTCCCTCTGACAATAAAACTGCCTCTGTCATGTCAGGGACACCCTCGGCAACAGGGAGACCTCAGAGAAACTTGCCAGGGACCAAGGACGAGGTAAAGTCGTCCGCCAAAGGTCGCTTATAAAAGCCTTGAGTCAACAACAGACGAAGAGAAAACAACAAAACTGAACAAACGTATCTACTGCTTCTCATGACTGTAGGGTCTGTATCAATGGCCACAGCGACCACTCGAGTCGATCGAGTCTGCATTTGCTCTGCGAGAATATCTGCAATCCCTCATCCGTCAGGACCCACATAACGTTGACCTCATCATCTTACTACCCTCGGGACAGGACGAGCACGCCTGGCTTTATGAACATCTTTGGTATGGCCGAGGGGTCTTGTCTTATCATTGGCTCGCCACAGGCAGACATATTGTTGTCAATGTCGTCGTTTTGTGCAAACCTGGACTTAATCGTTTTGTTTTGTCATTGAACCTCATAGTCAAATATGTCTGGAGCTCAATTATCTGATCGTTCATCTGGAGCCGGAGTGCACACCAGAAGTGTGTCCAGAAATGAGGGCTGAAGAGTGGATGTATTACTGCGCGACCCACCCAACGCCCCGAGAGGTAAGAAAACAAGGAGAGGTGTCAAGGTCATGTGGAGTTCTCATGTCATATCCCTTTTTACTAATTACTTTTTGTTGACCCCTTTCGTTGCCAGTGCTGCGCGATAGATTACCTCACGCATACACTGGACGGAGCTTCTGCTTTGTTGAACAACGTCAAGTTCTTCCCCAGCCGGTACGTCTTTGAGTCGGGTATCATGGACACCCTCGAGCCATGGAAGAAGAAATCATAATAGACCAACTAACGTTGATACAACTTGATAGGATTTGTGTCCCGGAAGGGTCTGTCAAGAATTTCCAGTCAATTGCTCGCCGACTCTACCGTATATTTGCCCATGCATATTTCCACCACCGCGATATCTTTGACGCCTTTGAGGTAATGTTCCGAGGTTGAACAAGGATGGCGCATCAACTTCTAGATGAAAGTCGACCAAAACAGCGAAGCAATTGATAGCTAACCTTTTTTTCTCGTCGTTTTTGCGATCGTTTCTTGTAACTCGTAGGCAGAGACATCGCTTTATGATCGCTTCTTGAAACTTTCTCGGTCAAGGAAACTAATCACGGATAAACTCATCATAATTCCCACCTTGAGCAACGACGACGATTCAACTGTTACAGGAGCCCGGCAGGTATGTCTTTGGATGATTGGTGTCTGACCGAGCAGTCTTGAATTTTCATTCTCTTGCATGTATCACTCATACTTGATGTCATTTAACCAATCGCCTTTTTTCTAATTGCAATCGATAGATTATGTCACGCTCAAGAGAGGACTAGCTGTGCAGAGCAAGTTTGTTTAATATACGTGCCGCTCGTCTCCCTTATATCCTGCTCAAAAGCGGCCAGTGCCAAGTCAATTCCAGTCAACGATCGCCTTCAAGTACCACACACAGTGATAGCTTGAATAAAGTCTGGCAGCGAGTACCTCGTCTCAATGTCCGAGAACATCTAGCGTTGTGAAGTATCCGGGGTTAACAGGAGTTCTGGTTGCCTTTTGTCATTCGTTTCTCATTTCACGGTGATTATATAGCATATCATACCTTGACTTTTCCTTCGCTCGCGATATACCAGGAGGAACACCCTGCTCTGGAAAGAACAAGGCGGCTGAAGTCAATCTTCATGCTTTCAGAGCAGTGCGCCTCGACGCCTTCCAGAACACCAGCCTTCGAGTCCTTCTCCCGACTGGGTTGTATTAGTTGGTTTTATGAGGACGGAATGTGAGTGAGTGTGTGTGCGTGTGATTTTTTATGCGTCGGCGGTTCAGTCCTTGATGCAGTTCAAAAAGAAACAAAAACATACCTCACCATCAACTGTCGGACGTCGTCGGGTGCGAGTGATACAGATATCATCTTTAGACCGACGGCTGCTTGTGGGAGTAAATAGTAAAGTTCCACTGGCCGTTCCTTTGCACGATCTACAGGGGGATAGGCGCGGGAGAGGTCAGGACAAATGTGGAAAAAAGGATAGTACTTTAAGGGAAAATAAAAACATTGTCCTCGTCCATGATAGTAAGAGAGTACTTACTATGTCCCTGAGGCTGATTGTATGAGATCTCCAAGGCAGAATCCACAATCTTTCGAAGTTCGAACCTCTGGAAGATGAGGTGACATATCCTGCAGTCGAACCGCCGTTCAAGCCACTCGCTCACCAGTTGCATGATCATCACCGGAGCCTTGAACAGAACCAAGCCAAAATGTGTGAACGCTATGTGGACAGAAACAGTCATTGGATGTACTTTAGTCTCTCAGGACATTTCCTCCGCAATGTTGAAAGTCGTGTCCCTACAGTGGTGGCATGTATTTTCGCGTGCTTGTTGTACCTTGATTCAATGTGTAATTTTTCTGGCGTTGATCGGGCACAATGACACAGTAGTAGGGCTGATCCCGTACTCTGCCTATGGAGAGTAGGAGGAGTGGTGAGCTGTCTTAGATATGGCCGTTCATGACCAGAAAAAAAGCACTTAATCCTACATATCATCCACGGGTCTATTGTCCTACATTACCTTTTGGCTTGACAGTGACTGTGATAACAAGGGCGTCTGTAGAAGCCACGCCTCCAGGTACCTCATCGTCCAAGTCGCCGACAGTATCATCCATACTCAAAACCTGAAATACTACCCCTTTGATATCGCCAATGTCATCCATAGTCTCTACAACATTATTTCCAGAACTGTCAATCTGTCCCGGGAAGGGTCCTGATCTGTTAAGAATTGTTGCCGCTGCGCTTCGTTGGGTCGGTGCAGCCAGGGCGGAAGAGGCGAGGTTTTTGGCGTTGGCGGCGATATAGGTGAGAAGTTCGCCTTCGTATCGTATCCATTGGCGCTTGTCATAGTTATAGAAGGGTGTCGTTTTGTGAATGATCCATGTTGTGTTGTGCAGGAAGGCTGTTTTCAATGTGACAAATGAAAAGAAACACGTCTTTGTTAGTCGCCAGCCATGTCCGAGTCCTGACGAGACTATAGGTTCTCCTGAACGCGATCAAAAAGTAGTGGGTAGATTTGTGTGAGAGGGAAAAAAAATATTGTCATACTCACAGCTCGGTAGAGGCCTGGGGGTCTCTATTGGGTCTGAACCATTCTTTCCTTGTGTACGGTTGTAGGGGTGGTTGCTGAGCTGTGGAGAGGAGCGGTTGGACAGTGGCGATAGGCGACTTAGTGGCGGCAAGAGATCACTGGGGGCTGAGGATGAGCGGATGACACTTCCGAGGACATGGCGCGTTCGGATTGCAGAGTCTGCGTTCTGGTTGTTGCGTTGTGATGCATTATTGGCAGGGGTGCTGCTACTGCTAGCCGTTGTTGCCATTGTATTTTTTTTCTTTCTTGTTCTTCGTGTTCTTGCTATTCTTGCTGTTCGTCCTGTTCTTGCTCTTCTTGCTGTCCGTCCTGTTCTTGCTGTTGGTTTCCTGACACTTGATTACTGTAAGAGCAGACTGTAATGAAGGAAAGCAAGTTGCACTTAAAAAAACAACCTCAAGGAGCGCGATCAAAAGGAAAGTCACACCACCACGAAATACGACACGTGTATCAAGCATGGACATCATTGCTTAACGGAAAACAAAAAAAAAAGACGTTGGACACAAAAAACAACAGAAGCATGCGCACAGAGATATATGTAAACGATATGTATCTATTATCCACATCGCCCTTGATCGATTATTTAATCGCCTTTATCCCCCTTCATTACAACTATCGCCTTGCTGTATCTCCCAATGCGACTCAGAGTAAAACAAAATTAGCAGGCGCATCCATTGGCCCCCTCGGCGTTATTGGGGTTGTCTTGGATCTTGACGTCAATGAGCTGGCTCTGGTTGGCGTCCGTGATTGTGTTCTCCATGCCGGGAAGTGCCTGAGCAATCTTACGGAAGAGAGTCTTGACGTTGTGTCCGGCCTTGGCGCTGGTTTCGATAAACATAATGTTGAACTCCTTGGCCTTCTTCTCGCCCTCCTCGGCAGTGACCTGTCGCTTCTCGTTCAAATCAGTCTTGTTGCCGACCAGAACAATAATCACATCTGTGCCACGCTCTGCCCTAACATCGTCAATCCACTTGGCCGTGTTCATGAACGAGTTTCGGTCTAATTGGTTTCGTTGGAAAAGTGAATCTCGTGTTCATTAGAGTGTCTTTGTTTCCTTGTTGCCTTTCGTGATCCTTGACCGATGTCGTTGGTAAATGTGACCCATTTCAAAAAATATATGCTTTGGGTTTGTCTGTTGACTTGTTGTTTGGTTTGATGGATGTCGTTTGAAAAAAGCATCCCGTATAATTAAACATGCGGTTCGCTTTGTCGTTGCTGCTGTCGCTGTTGTTGCTGTCGCTGTTGCTGTCGTTGTTTCTGTTGAGTCGGCTGTGCATGCCAAACGCTCTAAAGACAAACCCCTTGAACCAAGAAGAGGAGAAGGAAAAAAAAAAGGCGCGAGGAATGTGCACTGTCTGACTGGCTGTTTGTCTGTGTTGTGTGTTACTTACTGGTAATATCATAGACAACGACTGCCACGGACGAATCACGAATGTAACTGGGAATCAAACTACGGAAACGCTCCTATGTTACCATAAAGGTCAAGTTCCATTAGTATCAGCAGGTCAAGTCTCTGAATAATGGGATCAAAACAAAGATCAGTGATATCACCAGAATGTGTTCCAATCGAGCGTAATGAAAGTTGAGTTGACAAAAACAAGAAGAGAAGCTTTCGCAGATAAAGAAACAATAGACGGCGATATCCAGTATGCGAATCAATCGAGTGCCATGCATGTGGGATGGTCAACAAGAAAAAAAAAGAGAAGGCATTCACAGAGAAAGAAAAAAAAGAAGCCAAGGAAAATGGCTTATCCTAGTAGATCCAAGTTACCTGTCCAGCGGTGTCCCAGAGCTGCAGACGAACAGTTCTATCCTCGAGGTACATCGTCTTTGACAAAAAATCGATACCAATGGTGGCCTATCAAGTCATTCAGCACAGTAAAGGGAGTGATGTGGTTAAATTGGGATTTCTGTGTCTGTGGATGTGTCTGTTTCTATCCTGGTCGAGGAATCCGATCAGCCGAGCTACAAGAGAGAGAGCTAGCTGGTATGTCTATACCTGGTAGGTGTTGTCGAAGGTGTCATACATGAAGCGGGTGATAAGCGAAGTCTTGCCGACTATTTGGGAATAAAACGTGGAGAAAGAACGATATCGTTGCGCGTATGCGTGTGAGAGCCAAGTTTCAACATGTAAAAAAAAAGGGTCAAGAGCAATGAATGTCGAGAGCGTGTTGTCGGTCGAATTGAGCAAAAAAGGATGATTGAGGTTACCACTCTGCTCGCCAAGGAAGACAAGCTTGAACTTGCGGAGAGGGTTTGAAAACTCTGGGTTGGTTGCCATGGTGAGGGTGTATATGTCAAGGAGAGAGAGAGGGAGAGATGGATGGATGAAGGAGGATGAGGATGAGGGCGACAGCAACAGCGAAGAAAGAGGGGCGGATGATGAAAGAGGTGGAAGAAAAAAAGAAGGGGGAGAGGGGCGATGATGGAATTCAACGAAAAAGAATAAAAAAGATGAGGGCAAGGCACAGAGGTTAGGGTTGGAACTCACTCGCTGCACGCCCACAGAGAGAGAGGAGAAGCAACGTGACATTCTCTTGCGGGACACATACACTCGGCCTACTCTCTGGGGCAAGGTGGTAGATACAGGTAGACTGGATGCCATGATCTGGGGCAACGGAGGGAGTGAAGTAGCCCAACAAGCTCTATATGTCAAGCATTGTGATAGCGTGCGAGAGTCCTTCGTGATCATGACCCTGGTTGACCTTTGGCGCGCCAAAAGGTCAAGGCGAACCAGCAGGTCTTCGCTTGCCCTTGGAAGTTAGAAGATGGAAGTTGGAGGAGAGAAACAGAGTCAGTCACATTCAAAGATTCAAAGAAGAAAACTCCGGTGGCTTGTCTCGCTGCCCATTGGTCGCTCCTTGCACTCGCACTGTGTGCCTGTCTCCTCTCTCCCTCTCAATAATGTGTCCAGACTTTTCCAGAACACCCCCCCCCCCCACCCTTTGCAAAAAAACGACTATTTGAGCGTCCCCTTCCCTTCGGAACACACGCCTTTCTTCTCCTTTTCTTGTTTCTTTGATCTCCACTTTTTTTTGCCTCAAACACTCAAAGAAGACACACACACCTGCCTCAACCATGCTCTCCTTCTCCCGTGCTCTCAAGGCAAAGGCCCCCATCGCCCGCCAGGCATCCGCCGCCTTCGCCATCCCTTCCCGCTTCGCAAACGCTCGTCTCTACTCTTCCCACAAGGAGATCAACTTTGGAATCGAGGGTCGCGCAAAGCTCCTCAAGGGTGTCGAAATTCTCGCAAAGGCCGTCGCCGTCACCCTCGGCCCCAAGGGACGCCACGTCCTCATCGCCCAGCCCTACGGCACCCCCAAGATCACCAAGGTAACTTTTTTTTTGTATATTGTCACCAGCATGGATCGATCGGGTTTTATATGGTGTACTTGTCTCTCTCTCTGTCCAGGAACACATACCGTGGGAGCGTATTTCCTGTTTTACTGGAATCACACCGATCGGGTTCAAAACGGAGAGAGGCGCACCATAGGGGCCTCATTCTCTCATTTTTCACTCAAGAAGACACCGTGGGAGCGTACTCGTCTTCTTATGACACTGCGCAGATCAGCAATGGCTCCCTTCCCTAGTGCCAAATGCCAGTCGGGTCTCGATATTATTACTCATACATTGTTGTCTTGTTGTTGCTCAATTAGGATGGTGTCACTGTTGCAAAGTCGATCACTCTCGAGGACCCCTTCGAGAACCTCGGAGCCAAGTAAGTACAGCCACAAGTAATGCCTATATTCAAACGAGAAGCAGTTGGAAGCAAATACTAATGGGCACTTCCAAAAAAATATATCCCTCCATCCAAACAGGTTGATCCAGGATGTTGCTAACAAGACCAACGAGACCGCTGGTGACGGTACCACCACCGCCACCGTCTTGACCCGCGCCATCTTTGCCGAGGGTGTCAAGAACGTCGCTGCTGGATGCAACCCCATGGACTTGCGCAAGGGAGTTATGATGGCCGTTGACGCCGTTGTCGAGTTCTTGCGTGAGAACAAGCGTGAGATCACCACCACTCAGGAGATTGCTCAGGTCGGAACCATCTCGGCCAACGGCGACAAGGCTATCGGAAACTTGTTGGCCCAGGCCATGGAGAAGGTCGGCAAGGAGGGTGTCATCACTGTCAAGGATGGCAAGACCACCGAAGATGAGCTCGAGATCACCGAGGGTATGCGTTTTGACCGCGGTTACATCTCCCCTTACTTTGTCACCGACACCAAGACCCAGAAGGTCGAGTTCGAGAAGCCCTTGATCCTCTTGTCCGAGAAGAAGATCTCGATGCTCCAGGATATCCTCCCCGCCCTCGAGGCTGCCGCCACCCAGCGCCGCCCTCTCCTTATCATTGCCGAGGACATTGATGGTGAGGCTTTGGCAGCCACCATCCTTAACAAGCTCCGCGGCCAGTTGCAGGTTGCTGCCGTCAAGGCCCCTGGCTTTGGTGACAACCGCAAGTCGATCTTGGGCGATCTTGCTACCTTGACCGGAGGTATTGTCTTTTCCGATGAGCTCGATGTCAAGTTGGAGCGTTTGACCCCTGACCTTCTGGGAACCATTGGCTCGATCTCGATCACCAAGGAGGACACCATCTTGAACGGCACCGGTGCTGGTTCCAACGAGGCCATTGCCCAGCGTTGCGAGCAGCTCCGCTCTTTGATTGCCGACGCCGGCACCTCGGACTATGAGCGTGAGAAGTTGGAGGAGCGTCTTGCCCGTCTCAGCTCGGGTGTTGCCATTATCCGTGTCGGAGGCCAGAGTGAAGTTGAGGTCGGCGAGAAGAAGGACAGGTAAGATACACCCCTTCTCAGAATTTTGAGTTTTGCAACAATTTCTTGGAAAGAAAGTGAGGATAATGACTAATGTTCTATGTTGTTCCATCTCCTGTACATTAGAATCGTTGATGCCTTGAACGCCACCAAGTGCGCTGTTGATAGCGGTGTCCTCCCCGGTGGTGGTACCGCCTTGCTCAAGGCGCTCAAGGTCCTCGATGCCTTGAAGGGTGATAACTTTGACCAGCAGCTCGGAATCAACATTATCCGTTCGGCCATCCAGGTTCCCTCCAAGACCATTGTTGCCAACGCTGGAGGAGAGGGTGCTGTTGTCATTGCCAAGGTTGTCGAGAGCGATGACTTCCAGTACGGTTATGATGCCTCGACCGGCGAGTACGGTGACATGTACGCCCGCGGTGTTTTGGATCCCTTCAAGGTTGTTGTCACTGGTTTGAAGGATGCTGCCGGTGTTGCCTCGTTGCTGAGCACCTCCGAGGCCATGATTGTCGATGCCCCCAGCAGCGACAAGGGAGCCATGGGTGGTATGGGCGGTATGGGCGGCATGGGCGGCATGGGTGGTATGGGTGGTATGATGTAAAAAACGTCTTTTTCTGTATAAATCTCTCTTTCTCTCACAAAATAAATACACACTTAGAACATTGCAATCTAGGAATGCCTCGTCGTCCTTTTGATATACCATGGGTGTCTTTTGCCCCTTCCCCTGCTGACGGAAAGTGAGCTCAAGAGGAGGTTGGATCGTGCTAAGCCACACATCAACAAAAGGGCCATTGGCTCTTGTCCCCCTCCCTCCAAGTGTCTCGAATTGGCAACATTTTGTTTCCTGACCATTATCTCCTTCAACCCCAGTGCTTCTTGTCCCTTTTCTGCGCCCGATCCACTTTTTCCGAACCTCCTCCACTCTCGCCCACGAAGCACCCATCTACACATTCACAATGGTAACAACAACAACAACAACAACAACAACAACAACAGCTATAGCAAGAAGGAGCAACAAGAAGCAACAACAGCAAACAGTACCACATTGATACAGTCTCGGAACACACAGGAACACCTTGTCCCCATCAAACACTTCATCACTCGCAACACATTTCCATTCCGTGCAACGGCCGTTTTCGCGCCTTCTTGCTTTCACCACTTACTTGCAACTTGTACAGGCAAGAGTATGTCATCTGTTATTTAACGCAACGTTGTCTCTCCCCCTTCACTGCTTTATAGGCTGGTCGTGTTATTGCTCAGATTATCGTTATGGGATCCCAGATTGTCGGCAAGGCCTTCATGGAAGCCTACCGACAGGCTGCTGCCAGTACGTCCTGTCATTATTTTTGTTGTCGAGTCCCTTGTGTTTCGGAAGAAGGGCGTGTATTTCAGACAATTCAGGACATGCAGGACTGCACATGGACCCCATGCTGACTGGAATTATATACAACTTTGCTTTCACTTTTGTAGACGCTGCCAAGAATGGTGGACACCAGGCTGCCAAGAGCGGCTCTGGTGGATCAAAGGCTGCCGCCGCTGATGCTGTCACTCGCAAGACTGGCATGAGTGTCGACGAGGCCATGAACATCTTGAACATTACCAAGGAAGCTGACTTGGCCAAGATTGTCAAGGTACAGATAGATCATCATATCATTCATCATAGGTCTGACAGTTGCAAAACAGTAGTGTGGATATTCAACCTTTGTGAACCTTTTTTTCATTCGTCTACCCTTCTAGAACTACCATCACCTGCACAAGGTGAACGACATCGCAGGTGGTGGATCATTTTACCTGCAGTCCAAGGTCGTTCGTGCCAAGGAGCGTTTAGAGATGGAGTGGGCGGCAGAGGGAAACCCCATTAAGATTGAACCAGAGGCACCAGCAGCACCAGCAGAAGGAGCAGCAACGGAAGGATCAAAATCGACCTCTGCATCATCATCACAGCCCCCCTCCGGAGACAAGCAGGTCTAAGAATCCGAAGTGTACGAGCGAGCACACCCCACTCACATTGCGGCTCGATGTGTGAGTGAATGCTTGTGTGTGTATGTATGTGTGCATGTGTGAGCGTTATGGGCACTGCGCATGACGCAAGATGGATGGGAGAAGACGGATGGTGGGGAAATAGATGAACGACGTTCTCAAAGAAAACAACCTACCTTTATTTTTTTGTCATATCGCGCCATCCAACCAAAGTAATCTATGTAGAAAACAAACCAAATAGAGATTTTTTTGCAACACAACTCATGGATCACTCCGTTTCTTGGCTCTTGCTTACTTACTTGCACAGCGGATCTTTCATGAACAATTGAGTGTTGTCAACGTACTTTTGTTTTTGATCGTTATTTATGTTCGATCGTGCACGGGGTCTTTTAGCAGCTTGTAACGACGTTTTAAAAGAATGCATGAACGTGAGAAAGTGGCGAGGGGATAGATGTAGATAAAGAAACACAACGAATGCTAAGAGCCAAAAAGGCATCGACGCCAAATCATAGAGACTTGGGCAATGCTCGCTATGAACTGAGATGGCGACATCGTATACAGGTTGCAAAGTAATGGTAATCAAGCATTAAAGTCAAGTGAAAAACAAAATCTTTTTATTTTGAGGGTTGGTTATGATACAGGATGGGAGACGCATTTAGATCTTCTGCATGGCAGCCATGTCCATGGACTGGATGAAATCCTCACCCTCCATGATCTTCTCCTCGAGGGTATCGAGGGAGACGAGCTCATCCTCGATGACACAGTTGATCTGGAGCTTCTTGATACCGTATCCGATAGGGACGAGCTTGGACTGACCCCACAAGAGACCGGGCATCTCGATGGCACGGACGTGAGCCTCAAGGGCGACCATGTCGGTCTCATCATCCCAAGGCTTGACGTCAAGGGTGCACATGGACTTGGCAATGGTCTTGGGCTTGGTGGCCTTCTTGGCGGCGTACTCAGCAAGACGCTGCTGCTTGATCTTCTCAGCCTCCTCATCGACCTCATCGTCGTCAGAGCCGAAAAGATCGACATCCTCATCGTCCTCCTCAGCGGCGGCAGCGGGGGCAGCGGCGGCAGAGGCACCCCTATTAGAAAGATGGTTAAGAGAATGAGTACAAAATAGCAATTAGGCGTCAGGTAATCCTCAGATGTGAACTGCGGCAAGGGCAAAGGGAGACCAATATTGGTGACGCATCATGACACGGAATAAAAGCCGCATCTATTCCATATCGAGGGTATGAACAAATTGTGAGAGACGACTTACTTGGCAGCGAGACCCTTGACCTCGGCGATGTGCTTGTACCAGCGGGCAGCATGGGGGAAAGCAGCCTCGTTAGGGCCCTCGGTCAAGGCGTTGAAGACCTCGGTGTCCTTGTCAGTGACCTCGAAACTATTGTAGGATATTAAAAGAGATGTATTGGTTAGTTATCTTGGGTTCCATAAGATGAACCATTGAGTCAAGTTGAGTGGAAGGTCTGAGAAAGTACGGGGCGGTAAAAACCCGTATGTGCGAACGGATCACCAATAAAGACGCGTCTGTCGGTCATGCGCTCAACCCACTAAGGAGAAAAGGCGGAAAAAACCAACGAAAAAAGATATTTCCCATGGTCTTTCACCCCTCTCTCTTTGTCTACGGAGTAGCTATTATCGACTGCCGGGTATAGGAGCCGCGGTTTTTATGTTGTTGTTGTTCTTAAATCATTGCTCTTGTGATCAACAGACGACCTGAGGAGATGGCCGTGTTTCTCGCTCTCCTTGGCCTTCTTGTTTGTTGTTGGATCCCGATTCTTCTTATTTTTTCTCATGAGCATATATGCTGGGTGTGGGTGCAGTTGGAGTCCTGATATAGATAGAGGGGAATTGGTATCTATCTTTGTTGTGTTGTGATAGAAAATAACTTACCCGGCAACGTAGGAGCGAGCCTCGAAGAGGGAGTTGAGGATGGTGAAAGCCAAAGGAGTAGCGAAAGAGACAGACATGGTTGGATGATCAAAGGGTGTGTGGGATGAAGGAGAGAAAAGAGAAGAAAAAAGAAGAACACAGAAAAAATTTCTATTTCAAAAGGGGCCTCTCTCACAGACTGACAGTGCCCAAGAGGAGTCGCAAAAAAACATAAACAAAAACGGGAGGTCTTTCTCGCCGTGTAAACGATGCAGCACTCACGTACACGCTCTTCGTCTCTGTGCTTCTGTTCTCTTGTCTTCTATTCCACGTACACTCACCTCATTCCTTTCATCAGCTTGTTCTTTGTTCTTGTGCTTCTCCTTCGTCTCCTTCACTTGGTCGCGCCACCACTTTTGACTCTTTCAACTTCAACCACCATCAACAAGCAACCAAGCAAGCTGCTTAAAAACCACTCATGTTCCATCCAACTCGGGGAGGTAAACTTGATGTCAAGAACAACTCGAATGAAAAAGCAATCAGGCTGTTGCATCTATTTTCTTCACTCAACTAATCATCAGCGTTGCAATGGCATCAATAGGCACGCGTGGGGGTCAGGACCAGTTCAAGTGGGAGGACGTCAAGGATGATAAGCACAGAGAAAACTACCTTGGAAACTCGTTACTAGCACCGGTAGGACGGTGGCAAAAGGGTCGTGATCTGACCTGGTATGCCAAGGACAGCAACGGTACTTCCGACTCGGACAGCCAACTGGCTAAGAAGCAGGCAGAGATACAGAGTATCAAGGATGCTGAAGCTGAAGCCATGGCCGAAGCCTTGTAAGCCACTCTCATTTAGTTGATTCACCCCGTATTGCCTGGTCAAAGTTGACGTTGATATCTTTGCTAACATTGCTCATTCCTTCGTGGCTATATAGGGGATACAAGACAAAGCGAAAGAAGGAAACCAATGTCAGCGAGAAGGAGCTTTCATCCGCCATCAGCAAGACAAAGGCTGGCGTACCGGATGAACACGACGACAACATCAAGCTATCATCATCAGTCCAAGGCCTTGGATTCAAGTAAATCACCGTTTGGTTGCTTTGTTCTTGCGATTATTTATTATTTATATGAAATGGCCAATATGTAGCTCACTTCTCGTTTCCATAATCTATCGTCTTTATAGCAAGAGACAGGGAGTCCTCTCAGGAGCTAACTCTGTCAGTATTCCAAAAGGAGCACCTAATCGAACAAGAACTGTCCCCTTGGTGCCCTTGATCCCCCATACCGATACACAGACTGTACCCAAGGACAAAGATAGTCAAAGGACCAAGGAAAGTCACTCGTCTCATCGACACCGTGATTCCACTAGAGATGATCAGGATCGACACAGCAGACGCAGGAGAAGCAGTCGAAGCGCCAGTCCTTCTCGCAAGCACAAAAGCGGTCGTGATCGCGGCCGCGAAAGAAGTAGGAGTCGTACCAGAGACCAAGATCGTGAGACGAAGAGCAGGCGTCATCATGAGCGAAGTAGGAGTCGATCCAAGGACAGGGAGGGTGACCACCATGGATCTAAAAGTAAGCGCCGCACCGAGGATAGGCGATCGAGGCGCGAGAGCCGGAGTAGGAGCGGCAGTCGAGAGCGACACTCGTCAAAGACTGAGACTAAGGATCATGACAGGCGTAGCAGCCATCGGTTCAGTCGTCGTGACGAGCGGGAGTCTGACAGGGGGCGATCTGAGCGGAAACGGCCGACCGCCGATGTAGATCGTAGCAGGTCTCACAGCAGGACACGACGCCATCTAAGCGCTAGTCCGCCTGCCCGCGAATCCGCAGACAAACGCGCGAATTAGTAAACGATGCGGCATTTCATAAACCAATGAACAACCATTAAGTGTCACCTTCTCTATCAATTGTCATTTGTGCCTTTTTGTCGCGGACGTTCTCAATAATGATTCCTTTCCTTACACTTGTTTCCCGTGCGAATCCTTGTCGCTTTGTTGGTTGCTTATTGATGTGCATAAATACAGAGAGACTTCATTTTTTCTTTTCATTTTTTCTTTTCTCTCCCCAACCAACCCTTTGCCACCAAGTCAACCTCTTCTGTTTTGCCACCAATTGATCCACGATCCAATCTTTCTCTCATTCTCCATAATGACCAAACAGAAAACCTCAAATGACACACCACAGTTGCCATCACTTTCTACAACATCACCGTCATCGCCTCGTTGGGGTTACATCTCTGCTGCCACGCTCGGTCTGTTGTCGTCCTCATGCTGCCTTATCCAGTTGGCGCTCAACCTCATGTCTGTTGGCTGTGCCGGTTTCTCGGTCCTGACACCCTATCGACCTTTGTTCCTGGCCTTCTCATCTCTTTTGGTGCTTGTGACCATCTACAAGTATCGATGGTCCTCAAGGACTGCATTGACACTTGCTTTAGTCCTGACCCTAACAACAACTCCAGAGATGGTTGCAGTTTACAATCAATCGTCCACAGGATCACTCCAGCGCTTGCCTGATACTTTCTTGCTGGCGGCCCCATCCTCCATCCTGCGCTTGCCAACGTTCCTCGAAAATGTTCGGTGGAACATTCCTGCGTTCCTGACGGCTCCGAGCAGCGTGATGACGCATGATGAACCGATCGCCGCTGCACCAGTGCCTGATCAACCGTCATCCCAAGACCGGGCAGTAGGCTCGGGTAGTTTGGGATCGACTGACTCGGGCGGGATGTTTATGAAGTATGTGGTACAAATTGATGGCATGGCGTGTGAGGCGTGCGCCAGCCGTCTTCGCCAACATTTTTCGATAGAGGAGGGCATTGAGCGCGTGAATGTGTTCTTTGACGAGAAGAAGCTGGTTCTGTGGACGCAGGCTGGGTCGGGATCGATGATGCTGTCTGAGCGAGTGATCCAAGATATGGTTGGCCAGGTTGATGCAAAATACACTGCGAGGCTTGAGGACATTTTTTCCTTTTCATCCATCACTCCATAACGGCCATTAGTCAAATAAACACTGCATCTCTGATTTCTTCTTCTTCTCTCGTTGTACCTTCTGTCCTCCTCTGAAGAAGCAATCTTTAACCCTTTGGCCCTTTAACGCTTTAACACTCCCTCTCATTGACCATGGATCTCCAGTCACACCAAGGTGAAGGTGAGTGAGCCAAGCCACGCGGCAAATTCATGAAACCACTACTTTTTTTCTTGTTCTCTCTGTATCTGTGTCTGTGTCTGTGTCTGTGTCTGTGTCTGTGTATTGGGTGTGAAGGTAACTTTTTTCAAGCCCTTGTTCGTGGGATGATCCCTCTTTTTTTCAATTGCATCCTTCCCTTCCCTTCTTGCATCTTCCCCTACCCTACCCTTTCCCCTCCTTGCCCTTGCAAGCACCACAATCTTATTTATTTATTTAAACCCCATCTCCTCGTCCCTCCTTCATCAATCACCTCCCCTCTCTCCCTGCTTTGACCTCTTCACGCCCCTTTCCTGAACCTTTTTTGCACACCTTTTATTGCACACCTTTTTTTTTTCCGCTTCTTTATTTATCACCATGGCTTCAGCTATACCTATCATGCCTCCTCCGGGTGCCGCCCCTGCCGCCGGCGAAGAAACGAACGCCTCCTCTTCCTCCACCAACGCCTGGCAAAAGTCCACCGCCACAGGCCCTGCAAAGACCACTGCCTCTAGCACTACCCCCAAACGTAATTGCACTTCTACTACCTTGTTCACATTCAAAAATAACATTCATGAACCTTTCGTGGAGTGGAATGGATGAGCACGAGACTCATCGACAAACAAGCCCACACACACTGTTGGACATCAGCACGCTTGCGCAGATCAGACACAAATGATCAAGTCATAACACCCAAAAAACACTTGTTCATGAATGCAAAACCATAGCGGTGTCGCTGACCAACAGCAACAAGACCAGGACTTGTCGCAATATTGTGATCCACGGGTTCTGCAAGTACGAGGGAAAGGGCTGTGAGTTCAACCACGATGTCGTAAGTATCTTTTGCTGTTGGTGTCTTTGTATTTTTTATATTTTGTCACCACAGCCTCTTCTTTCTCGTCATAGATAGTGACAAGACAGGCATTATGTGAAGGGAGAAAGGAACTGTGAAGAGAGTACAAGGACGATGAAAAAGAAGAAAAGAAAGAAGGAAGGAGTAGACAAGGAGGGGAAAGGGAGACAGAAGAGAAGAAGGATTAGAGGAAGAAAAGGAAAAAAGAAGGAAGGAATAGGCAAGGATGGGAAGAAGGGGCAGAAGAGAAGAAAGAAGAAAGAAGAAAGAAGAAAGACATAAGAGAAGAACGAAGGGAACAAACAACGATGGAAAGATAAGACAATGGAGAAGAATGCAATGTTCGTCTGCTAATCAGATATTCCTCCTTATTCAACATTCAATTCCTAGGGCAAGCCCGCTACGTCCGTGCCTAGTCCAGAGATGTACGCAAAAGGGCCAGGCAATGGGTTCAAAAGCATTGATGCCATGTGATGAGGGGATCGGACGGACGTCCCCTTCATAAAAGGGCAAGCCAAATTGACACTCTTTATTGCTTTACCGTTACTCCTCCAGATCAAAGGCCAAGCTCCATGTGAACTCGCCCATCTTCAAGCCCTCCAACCTCAGTTCAGGATCCGTCAAAGCAGAGTCCATCAATGCCCCCGAGTTTGTCCCTAAGCACAGCCAAGGTAAAGAATGGATCCTTGTTGGATATATCTGAATCGCCATCGGTGGTGCCTACATGACCAGCATATATAACAGTGCAATCAATTATCCATTCTTCAATTGTACAGTAGATTCGAGTTCAGCGGCAGGAGGAGCTTTCCAGGATAACCGTCCAATGTAAGCGGGATATCTACTTTCGGGGCCAGCATTGCTTGACGTCTGTTGTTAAGAATAAGCGCAGATCTGATTAGCTGTCTTTTTTTTTCTGATTCTTACATACCTATTCATGTTGTATCGCAGGGTGCAGTCGTTTGTGTCGCCGATGCAGAACAGCCTGATGGGAAGCATGAGTAACCTGACTGGCAACTTTTCGCAGTTTGGAATGAACGACGTGAGTATAACATAACTGAGGTGATTGTCATGGCTATCGGTACGGGATATGGCAAGAGACAATGTTAAATGCGCGATGATACTTACACTTTCTCTTTTTAACACCTTGAACATTAGATGTCAATGGGAGGACCAATGTCAGGAAACTACTATGGCGAGGGATCAGTCAACAATTATTACTATCAAGCATCCGGTGCAATGCTTCACCAACCTGTAAGTAATGAAGTGATTTAGTGGACAGCAGTGCACAATAGAACTTGGCGACTATGATCCCTGTTACTCAAAACTTACTCGTGCGATCCTATGCTCTTTTCCGCCACCCTAGCTCCAATATCACTTGTACAACACGCCGCTCCCACACGTGTCTAACCTTTTGCCTCACCAAAAGACCATTCACGGATTCTTCATCTCGGACACACTGCGCGAGGAGCTTCATAAGAAGAACGAGATGGTCTTGCAGACTGTCAATGCCCAGGATTATGGTCTTCCAGAGGACTTGCACGAGTACCATTCGCTTTACCCTCTCGACCTGACTCAAGAAAAATCAACTGAGGTGTTTGGATACCAGTCCAGCGTCTACAAGTGCATGTGCAGTGAAGATGGTAAAACGTACGCGTTGCGCCGGATCGAGGGCTTTCGTCTGACCAACGAGGTGGCCATGCAGACGATTGAAGGCTGGCGCAGGATAAAGCATGCCAACATCGTGTCGATCCGGGAGGCGTTCACCAGCAAAGCTTTTGGAGACCACTCGCTCATTTTTGTGTATGACTATCACCCTTGCTCCAAGACTCTTTACGACGTGCACTTTGGGCCTCAGGCGCAGCTGGCATCCCAGGTCGTTGTAGGAGCCCCCAAGACAACCGACCATGTCATCCCCGAACGTACACTTTGGTCGTACTTGATCCAGCTAACGTCTGCCCTTAAGAAGATCCATTCTGCCGGTCTTGCTGCACGTCTAATTGACCCCACCAAGATTTTGGTCACCGGAAAGAACAGGTACCGAGCACATGTTTCTTCTCTTTGTTCATCATATCTCTGTCGCTTAGAGACGATGCATCACCGTTTGCTAACTCGTCTTTTCTGTGTTTTCTATTCTTTACCGCAGGATTCGCATGAACTGCTGTGGAATCATGGATATGTTGACTTTTGACACGGCCCCCAATATTGCCCATTTGCAACAGGACGACATTTTGAACCTTGGACAGCTGATGATGACACTGGCATGCAAATCTTTGACGGCCACTCATAACATTTCAAAGTCGATCGACTATATCGCCCAGACCTACACTCAGGAGATGAAGAACATGATCCTCTTCCTCATGAGCCAGCCCGTGCCCATGAAAACTGTCGATCAAATTATCTCGATGCTCGGACCTAGGATTATGCAGGAGATCAATGACGTCCAGACTGCTAACGATGTTTTGGAGAGCGACCTTGGCCGTGAGCTCGAGAACGGACGTCTGACAAGACTCATGATCAAGTTTGGCTTTATCAACGAGCGGCCAGAGTTTGATATGGATCCTGCCTGGTCTGAGACGGGCGATCGGTACATTATCAAGCTGTTCAGGGATTATGTGTTCCATCAGGTGGACGAGGCGGGCTTGCCCGTCCTGGATGTTGCCCATGTCCTCACCTGCCTGAATAAGGTATGTTTTTGGTGTTTTCTTGTACGGTAATTTAGGGCTCGTCAAGGAATGATCTGCTCACGCATCTTGCTTTTTTTCATTTTCCGTTTCCTTAGTTGGATGCTGGAGTGGACGAAAAGATTGTGCTGATGTCGAGGGATGAGCTGTCGTGTCTTATTGTTAGCTACCGCGAGATCAAGGCCTGCATCGACTCTGCATTCCGAGACCTCTCCAAGTCCAAGTAGTCGCATAGAAATTGATCGTGCCGACCATGATGGGTCCGGAATGTGCCCTGATTCCTCTTCTTTTTTTCTCTCTCCAACCACCAAACAGCGCTACCACCACAAACAACCACAAAAATCACAAAAACAACAATCGCAACGAAAGAACCACCAAAAAAAATTAAAGAAACCCCAAAAACACTTGAAAAAAGCAAGAAAGACAGTAAGAACAAGATTACAAGAATAAAAACGAACTCAATCACAACCACCGCTGTCTGATGGGATAACAGAGCGTTTACGATAGGCGATGAAGAAAAGGCGTGGGAGCGATTGCATACGCGACAGTAAATAAGCTTTGACACGACGTGGCCGAATGGGTACATTAAACCTCACCAGTCCCTAATTATCCTCCCCCCTCCCCCCCAAATCTCGCGCTCGCTCACCAGGACGCCGCCACCCCTCCCCACCCAACAGGGCGGACTCGATTGCGGAACGAGCGCTATCTGCCTCCATGGAGGCCTCCGGGGAGCATGAAGCCAACACCACTTTCTTCACACTGCACCCCGTCGACTTCACTGACTCAGCGCCCGACAACGACAATCCCGTCCTCACTAGGCTGAAGAGGGATTTCCCCTCTCTCATCCAAACTTCCACGACATCAGGTCCCTTCCAGTCAGCACTCGCTTCCGCCACCCACGATCCCCCTAGCTCAGCATCCTTTAGCCACCTTGAACGTCATCTTGCTTAGCTCGAGACCCAACGGAACGAGACTTGCGAGGAGTTACATGAGGTTGCCAGGAAGGCGGAAGACGCGTTTAGCAGGCCGGGGACGTTGGACTGGCGGAGACAACGCTGTCAGTGGCTTTAGGGACAAGAACGAAGTTTGCGCAGGGATATACACCGCCTGACCCCGTTCTCCCTGGATTATATTGTACTTCAAGATAGGAAACCCAACCTTTATTTTCTCAGCAAATCCAAAGATGAAAGAGAAAGAGTGCAGTACGTAGAACCTCATCATCCGTGTAGGAACTCTGCGAGGTAAAAAAATATAATAAATGCGGCGGGATGAGCGGGACATGAAGTGGGTTTCCCATCTCTTACAACGTTTATAAGCCGGTCGGTTGTGCTGGTCGCAGAATCCTCACAACTATGGTCTTTTATCTTTAGCCCCCATACTCTCTCTTGACTCTCTTGACTCACTGTCCCTTCTCGCTACCTCTCCTCTCTGTCTCTCCTCTCTGTCTCTTCTCTCTGTCTCTCCTCTCTGTCTCTTCTCTCTGTCTCTCTTCTCTGTCTCTTCTCTCTGTCTCTTCTCTTTTGTTCTTTTTCTCTCGCACTTTTCTCTCTCTTCCTTTTATTTCGCTCTTTTCTATCTTTTCTCTCTTTTCTCTCTTTTCTTTTCTCTCCGTCATTCTTCTTTCGCCACGACCTTTTTTTTAGGTGAAGGAGGATCCCCTGCGACCACGTTCCTCGCGTCTGCCGCGTCACCTTAAACCCCACGCCCCTTGCGTATGTCGCGTATCCCCCGCCCCCATACCCTTACGTGTTCCGCGTCTCCCCCATCTCCTGTCTTTGGTCACCTCCCTTCGTTTATATTTTAACCAAGTCCATGCCAGATTATGACCTGAAAGCTTGATGAATTTTTTATAAGAGTGGAAGGTGCAACGTAAAAGGGTTACTACTGCTTCCCAGTTAGTCATCTTTGACGCTTCATGACACTACACCAAGAAACCTAGTCAGCAACTTGCATAGAGCTTTAACATAGTAATAAAAATCATCAGTATTGCTCCAACTCTCGTCTCCGTTCTCTACTTCTCTGTCCCAATCTTTATTAATATTGAAGAAAATTGGTGCGTTCGGCATATCATTACTCAGTAGGAGACGTGAACTCCTTCTCAATAAAGTTGGCGACAGCTTTGTTGGCTTTGGTGATGTAGGCTGACAAGTGCAAAGCCATATTCTCGAGGTACATGTTCAGATCTGGATTGCTGATGATTGGCACGAAAGATTCGTCGCCGTACAGGGTCAGGATGCTGTCGAATTCGTTGGTAATGTTGCCTCGATCTCTGCACCGACCTCGAAGTTGCTGCACCTTCTCCCTTTTCAAAACAGCCTTTGAACCATTTCGTATAACGTCGCTGGCGATTGTGTGAAAGAGGGTGGACGCTGCAACTCCATCGCCATTGTGGGGTTGGTCGAATGACGCCATATTAAATATGGTATATGGCTGGCAAGTGTGGTTCTCAGCGAAGAAACTTGAAGCACGACAAAGGTAAAATTGTGGAAGCATCAAAGAACTTCGTCTTCACTTGTCGCAGCTGGTACAGCAAATCGCTGCTCGAGATGCTCCAGGTATCCTTGTTCTCCGCCATCTTTAGACCAATTTCCAGAGATTCAGTATCAAGGAAGATCGTTGTTGCCAATGAATGGCGGGCATCAGGCAGTATGAACGACGTTGTAGAGGCACCACCACACGGCTCCACCTCTTTGTCAAGCCGAAGAGATGACGTAACCAGGGCGTCAAACGATTTGGTCCCAATGATGAGTCGCTTTCCATCAATGCTCGGCACAGTGACAGGCCATACCTTCTTGTAAGGTGTCTTAATCGAAGGTGGCAGAGAAGTGGCCACAGGCAGACCTGTCACGAGACAAGAGCTTGCTCTTGTGACTTCGCCCTAACGAGTATAAAAGGGCCTTAGATAGCAAATCTATAGCTCTTTACTTGGTATCGCCAATACAACATACTCTTTAACCTATTCCTTATACTCATTTCTTAGTCCTTGATCAAGGTTCTCTTTATCTACTTCATTCTATTGCTTGGTCTGCTTTCTTGACAATACCAAGTCATACACCTAAAGAACCTTGGATCAAACTTTGTCTGTTTTCTATTGATATACTTCAGCGCTCAAAAAAAAAAAAAAAAAAAAAAAAAAAAGCCTTTTCCACAATAAAACCAAACCCTATCTTCTTCAAGTTCTTTCCTCTTTTACTACCATCTTCCGTACACAACCCACAACCCTCAGAAACTACAACAACTCTTCACTTTCCGTATCAACTACAATGCTACCCGATAGTGAGATCCTTACAGCCAACGCGCGCTTCCAAGCACTGATGGACCGAGTAGCCACACTTGAACAAATAGTTCAGACGGTCACTCCCTTGCAAGCCAAAGTCACCGAACTCGAGGAGACTGTTCAGAAGTACCGTGATATGCTGGACTTCATTCTTTCGAACGAAGATTTCTTCACAAGCCTGACCGTCAACCTCAACCCTCGATTACTCAGCCTCGAATCCAACGTCCAGAAGATGACGTCACAATTACCACCCATCACTCGCGCAGAACTAGGCAAACTATTTTATGATCACAAGACCGATGTCACCAACACAGTGAGTGCCATCTTCCAATCAACTACACCTCGCTCCAGCAATAGCTCCCCTTCGAGGCCAAAAGTAGCACCCCCCGCAGTCTTCTCCGGCAAGCGTGAAGATTGGAAAGGGTTTCAGGCTCAGCTGGAACTCTTCTTCGTTGCAAACGAGACCCTCTATCCGAACGACCACGACCGCATTGTGCTGGCTATCTCGCGCCTCGGTGATACTGCAGCGTTCAAGTACATGCAGAGATACGTTCCGTCCTTCAAGTTGCCTGTCGAGGAGAGACCCGCATGTATTTCTAACCTGGATCAGTTCTTTGCTCTTATGAGTAAGAACTTTGGAGTCTCCAATGCTCACGTCCTAGCAGAAACCCAACTCCGTCAACTTAGACAGCGCGGTTCTGCCATCGACTATACAAACCGTTTCGTCAACCTTGCAGCGGATACAGCATGGAATGATAGCGCAATGATTTCACAGTTCCGCCTCGGCCTGAAGGAGTCTGTTCAAGAAGCCATGGCAAACTACCCCGAGCCACCTACCTTTGCCGAGTTTTCACAATTGGCTATCGACATCGACAACCGACAGTACGGCTATGCAGTGACCCGTTCCGGCAACAAATCTTCCAGCACTCCGTCCCGTTCCACCACTGCCCACACTTCTACTACCACTCAAGCCTCATCCACCCCAACTACCGCGTCCACCCCTGCTACCTCAGCTCCCGCGACCACTTCGATGGACATGGATCTCTCGCATGCTCGCCATGGTCCTTTGCCACCGTCTGAGCGTCTTCGTCGTCAAAAGGAAGGACTGTGCACCTACTGTGGTTCAGCAGATCATTGGCTTGACGACTGCCCCAAGAAACCTGCAAAGCCCTCGTTCAAGAACGCCCCAAAGGCAACAGCCTCGATCTCGGCCCTTCAGCCTACACAGACTAGCGACCAGCCCGATGCAATCTCTTTCCAATTGGAAAAAGATTCAGCCTAGACAGTAAAGTTGGAGTGTGTCTGGGCGAGCTGTATAACAAATCTCCAAATGATCCTCTGCTATCCCCTATTACTATTCCAATTACTCTTCACTTCCAAAACTCCTCACTACCAGTCCATGCAATGATCGACTCAGGAGCAACCATCTCATTCATTCATCAAAATCTAGCACAACAGCACAATCTTCCACTAGCACAACACTTATTACAAATCTCTCTTGCCAATGGTTCAACACATACCTCTCATCACGCCACCACATTGGTTATGCAATCCCACTCACAACACTTTTCCACACACACTTTTCAACTCATTGCACTTGGCAATTATGCCATTATTCTTGGCATGGACTGGCTCCGCTCACACAACCCATATATCGACTGGGAGAAACGAACCATTACTATGCCATGCCTCCATCAGCACACACTCGACAAGCTTTCCCCCCTTGCACAATCAACAATGCCTCGATCCATCCCTTCCTTCCAGGAACAAGACCGAATCCTTCTGCCACCTTCCAAACCCAAATCCACTTTGGTTCCCACCAAGTACACCTCAGGATCCAACCAACTATCCAAATCCGCCAAGAACCGATCAGCAACCAACATCTCCATTATTAGCAATACACAACTCCGTCAGATCCTCAAGACCAATCAAGGAGTCGGATACATGCTCGACGTCTCCCGAATCGAAGAACTCGCCAGCGCAACCACCAACGACAACTCTATCCCTGAATCAAAACCCACAGTCCAACTGCCCGAGAAATATGCCGAATATGCTCAGGTATTCTCCAAGATGCAAGCCGACAAGCTACCGCCACATCGACCCTATGATCACAATATCCCTGTGGTCGAAGGAGCCACCGTGCCATTTGGACCAGTGTACAACCTATCACAAACGGAACTGCAAGTTCTACGCGAATATATTCAAGAAAACCTTGCAAAAGGGTTCATCCGTCGATCCGAGTCTCCAGCTGGCGCCCCCGTCCTTTTTGTTAAAAAGAAAGACGGTTCTCTCCGCCTCTGTGTCGACTATCGAGGCCTCAACAAGGTGACTGTCCCCAATCGATGCCCTCTGCCACTGATCTCCGAAACTTTCGACCGACTAGGCAAAGCCAAGTATTTCACCAAGCTCGACATGCGAGGAGCATACAATCTTCTCCGCATCAAGGAGGGCGACGAATGGAAGACTGCATTCCGCTGCCGCTATGGCCACTTCGAGTATACAGTCATGCCCTTCGGACTAATGAACGCTCCCGGAACTTTCCAAGCTTTCGCCAACGACGTCCTCCGCGATTACCTAGATGACTTTGTCGTGCTATACATTGACGACATTCTTATCTACTCCGACACCCTTGAGGAACATACCGCGCATGTCCGCAAAGTTCTCAGCAAGCTCCAAGACGCTGGTCTATGCTTAAAACTCGAGAAATGCTCGTTCGACAAGGACAAAGTCGAATTCCTCGGCTTTGTGATCGGAACTGACGGTATTTCTATGGACCCCGCCAAGGTTGCCGCCATTCGCGATTGGCCCACTCCCTCTTCCGTTTCGGATGTCCAGTGCTTTCTGGGTTTCTCCAACTTCTACCGTCGTTTTGTACGGAAATACTCCCATATCGCCGCGCCTCTCACCGCGTTACTCAAGAAAAATACTAACTTTGTCTGGACCGCTATCGCACAAGCCGCTTTCACGGAGCTCAAGTCACGCTTCATGTCTGGCCCCGTCCTTCGGCATTTCCAACCAGATCGCCCCTGCATCATTGAAACTGACGCTTCTGACAAGGCCCTCGGCGCTGTCTGCAGTCAGCGTGACCAAGATGGACGCCTACATCCTATCGCTTACTACTCCCGAAAACTATTGCCTGCTGAACTCAACTATCAGATCTACGACAAAGAACTCCTTGCCATTGTGTCTGCCTTTAAACATTGGCGACACTACCTGGAATTCTCGCCCGCTACCACGGAAGTCATCACCGACCACAGAAATCTTGAGTACTTTACCACCACGCGCCAATTGAGCCGCCGTCAAGTCCGCTGGTCTGAAATCTTGTCTGACTACAACTTTACCATCCATTACCGCCCTGGCTCCCAGAATGCCGCTGCCGATGCTTTGTCCCGGCGGGACAACCCTGGAGAGGGAGGTGCGGCCCAGCACGGCAAGACCGAGATGACCCTCCTACCGCCGATCCAGATTCTGAACACCATCCAGGCCCGGTCACTGCAACCAGAGACGCCAGCGATCCAGGAAAAAATCAAGACACTAATCCCCGATGATCTATACTTTGGTCCAATACTCGCCAAGACCGCAAAGTCGAACTCGGACAATGCCCAGTACTCAATTCAAGATGGGCTACTCCTGCGGGATGGCCTTGTCTGCGTCCCCGACGATCCCGAACTCAAGAAACAAATCCTTCAAGAATGTCACGACGCCCCAACCGCCGGTCATTTTGGAATTACCAAGACCTCAGACCTTGTCAGTCGAACCTTTTACTGGCCTTCCATGTGGCGTTACATCAAGGATTACATCAACGGTTGTGACACCTGCCAACGGACAAAGTCATCCACTCACAAGCCTTATGGACTTTTACAACCCCTGCCTGTACCAGATCGCCCCTGGACCTCAGTATCGATGGATTTCATCACCCAACTCCCCCCCTCAAACGGCTATACGGCAATCTGTGTTTTTGTGGACCGATTCACCAAGATGGCACACTTTGTCCCCACCTACGACAACATCAATGCACAGGATACGGTCTGTTTGTTCCTAGAACGCGTATTTTCAGCCCACGGTCTCCCGGATGACATTGTTTCTGACAGAGGCGCCACCTTCACTTCAGCCTTCGTTTCCACCATGTTCAAGTCTCTGGGGATCAATCAGAAGCTTTCTACCGCCTACCACCAACGCACCGATGGACAGACCGAGAGAGTAAATTCAATACTGGAACAGTACCTACGAGGGTATATCGACTATCAGCAAACGGACTGGAGCACCCTTCTACCGATAGCAGAATTTGCATACAACAACGCAACACACTCAACAACAAAAACAACACCATTCTTTGCCAACCTCGGCTACCATCCGAAATTTACCATCACCATCCCAAGAGTCTCGAAGGACAATGTCCCAGCCCAAGAACGCGTCCAGGCCCTAAAGAACCTCTATGCGGAGATGCAACTCAATATCCACACCGCCATTGAACAGCATGCCAGGAACTTCGACACCAAGGCCCAACCACAACCCAATCTGCAAGTAGGAGATCTTGTATGGCTAGACGCCCGGAACCTCCAAACGAACAGACCATGCAAGAAGCTCGACCATAAGCGCATGGGCCCTTACCGTATTCTCGAAAAAATCGGCACTCGATCCTTCCGTCTCGATTTACCACCAACGACCAAGCTACATCCTGTCTTTCATGTAAACTTACTTGAGCGTGCGCATCCAGATACGATCCCCGGTCGAGCCTCAAAACGACCTCCTCCGCTTGTCGTCTCCGGCGATGAGGAGTACGAGGTTGAGGCCATTTTGGATTCACGGATCAGGCGCAACCACCTTGAATACTATATACATTGGAGAGGCTACCCCGTATCCGAACGAACCTGGGAACCGGCCGCCTGTGTCAAGAATTCCCCGGACCTTGTTCGCGAGTTCCATCTGCAACACCCTCACAAACCCAGCCAAAGGCCTCTTGGAACTCGGCCCTAGAGGGGGAGGTTGTCACGAGACAAGAGCTTGCTCTTGTGACTTCGCCCTAACGAGTATAAAAGGGCCTTAGATAGCAAATCTATAGCTCTTTACTTGGTATCGCCAATACAACATACTCTTTAACCTATTCCTTATACTCATTTCTTAGTCCTTGATCAAGGTTCTCTTTATCTACTTCATTCTATTGCTTGGTCTGCTTTCTTGACAAGACCCTTCTGAACAACAAACGGTTCACGGTGAATGTCTACGGTCTTTTGTCGACCATATACCTCCACCGTATTGACAATGACAGCTTGACCGTTCTTGTTGTTAACAAGAAGACATCCGGCTAGAATGGCAGCAGAAGCATGGCGCAGGTGAGGTGAGAAGTGCCAGTCTCGATTGAGCAGCTCGCATATCTCATCACTGAGCTCCACGTATTTTCGGATCGCCAGACGTGCAGCACAAGGCGAAAATGAAAAAAACATGCTCTAATCCTGGAGCTGGCGCTGGGGTGCAATCGGAGCACGTGTCACGCTCATCGACTTTCCGCTTTTGAGGCACAACCAATTGGATTCAATTCAACTGGGCCTGTCGGGAGTCTCGATATCACAGTTGTATGTGCAAGAGCATTCTGCTCTACACCGAGCGCATCCTTGATCGATATCGGCTTGAGTCCAAAAGATTCGACAATGCCTAAAGTCTTCCGCTTCTCTCCATCCGAGACATGCAAATCGTCGCGACTATAAATAACAGCGTCATTAAACGAACGCGTTTTTGGTTGTTGGCGTGGTTCTGGTGGTGACGGAACGACTTGATGCTCTGGTAAGGTGACAGCTGGCAGGGCTAGTTCGGGCGGTTTCTCGTTGTTGTCCCTCTCCTTTCGACAGATATTGTTTTTCAAATGTTTACGGCATCCTGTTTTGGTTGTCAGAGATGTCCCGCAAATCGGGCAAATGAAAACGCCGCTCACGCGATCGACGACACATGTCTTTGATAAATCGGACCTTGCCTTAATCACCACAGTGAGAGAGTCCGCATGGTGTCGTGATGTGGTTGCTTGTTACAAAAGATGATAGGAGGGGATCTAGTCTAGTCAAACGGACACCAAGAGCAAAAAGGACTAAGTTCTTTAAGGAACGACTGAGGCAGTTCCAAGGAGTTCGCATATATGAGATCTTTATAACAAACAGGGGAGGGAAGGGGTGAAAAGATGGTGAAAAGAGTACTGACAATGAAGTAGACCCTGGAATATGATGCTTTCGTCGCGCGTCCCGACTGTTCGATCGCCCGTACGTCTTCTAACGCCTGGGTATTGGTCGCAACATAAGGAGGTCGAGAATAAAGGGAGCGCTGATCCTGCTTTCACTGGTGTTTGTTCAAAGGAAACACAACAAAAGAATGGATCAAAAAGAGTAAGAGAAAAGAAGCATCCCGAGCCAATAGCTCGGTTCAGAATTATTTATTCTCATCTCTACACTACAAATGGTGGTCACAAGAACGCCACCAAAATATCACTCGAAAAGCAGATCCCCATCTACATCACCACAATGGTACTCCGGCCGGTGTCGGCGCTCCCATTCCATCGACTTGAAGGTTCGAGGGGGATCACACACAGTACAACGAAGGTCGCTTTCAGACATTGTTCAAGTTGTGGGCTATTTTGAACGGAGTGGCAGACGCTGCAAAACGTTAGCAGACAGGACAACTATGGAACGGGTGATATTTCATGGTAGTCAAAAAGGGATGAGCGCGCAGCAGAGAGGTGATGGAACTGACAAGAGAAATGATGGAACTGACCAGAGAGGTGATGAATAGGGAAGTAATGGAGGTAAGGCAAGCAAGCGGAGAGTAGTGGCAAGTGAAGGATGCAGAAATAAATGATGTTTATTTTACAAAGAGACGGGGGGGGGGAAAAGGAATATTTATACTAGTGTACAAGTGCGCAGTACTGGAGGCGCGGTGATGGTGGCAAAGGAGTGATGGTATATGGTACTGTCGCACCTTCCTCCAATAAATGAAGAAGACCTTGTTCTTGGCAGTGCATGCGGGTGATGAAAGGTGAGTTGGCGATGGAGTTAAGAGGTTCCCAGGAGGAGTTCTTGGCCTCATCACAACCGATCCACTTGATCAGAAACTTGGGCCTTGTTCGGCGTGTCTTGTGTGCCAGGATGGACTCGACCTCATACTAAACCTCGCCGTTGACAATCTCCTCTTCCGGGGGTGGCAGGGAGCGGCGATCAAGGGATTCAGGCGAAGGGATTAACGGCTTGAACCGATCAACGTGGAAAACATCATGGATGCGCATAGTGGGTGGAAGCTCGACCTGGAAGGAGGCTGATGAGCGTGGCTAGAGAAGAGTGAATGGACCAAAGAACCGACCCTGAGGGAGGCGGCGGCTGGAGTCGTAGGCTGTGGTGATGTGCTCAGTGTTGAGTAAAACTTGATGGCCAACTTTGTAGGAGTGTGTCCGGCGGTGAGCATCCGCATGTTTTGCCCGCTGAACTTGAACCTCGAGAAGGCTGTCACGGGTGGCAGCAAGGCAGACTGGTGTACAAAGACAAAAGAATCAAAGTCAAAAGAGGAGGTGAAGAGGGCGGAACTGAGGATGGAGACCGCCACGCGAGGGTGATTCAGAAAACCTCGGTGGAGGAGTGAACCGCATTGTTGTAAGCAAATTCGGCGGCGAAAAGTACAGGTCCCAGTCGTCTTACAGTGCTCCAAAAAAGAATCTCTGCATAGCTTTAAACTTTAATGAGTTACGTACTGAATCCTGTAGGACTATCTATCAAAGTTTGGAGTTCTTGCTCATAGTCTTTTCTATATGACCTATATGCCTGATTTTACATGGACTTAGCATGTGTTTAGTTGTGTTTTTTTAACCACAAGCTCAGTGCGCTTACTACCGGCAAACTGAAAGCTGGTCCATGTATAAGACATGGAGTGGATTATCATCATAGAAAAGGTACGGGATTATCATAACGCTAGCATAAAATATCACTAATGTAAGTATTGTTACATGGAGCTAGCATGATTTCACACATTGTCATGATATTGCGCTCCATAGAGAATAATTGGCCTCTTACATTGACCACATTTAGATTATACACCATGCGCTACAAATGGGCCAGCTTTCAGTTTGCCGGTAGAAAGCGCACTGAGCTTGTGGTTAAAAAAACACAACTAAACACATGCTAAGTCCATGTAAAATCAGGCATATAGGTCATATAGAAAAGACTATGAGTAAGAACTCCAAACTTTGATGGATGGTCCTATAGGATTCAGTACGTAACTCATTAAAGTTTAAAGGTAGTTGGAAACTAAAAAGACCCCGCAAGTTGAAAAAGAAAATCGGGATGCATTAATCCAATTAACTGATTCATTCGATTCAGGCATTTCGATTCCGACGATGACCCGATGTCGGTCCATGCAAAAAGAAGCAAGTTGTAATGAATGAGGCTACGAATCAAGAGAATGAATGACAGGAATCTGGGGGCCGGTCGGAACATTGATGAATGAGCATTTCAAAAAAAAAGTCGAAATCGCAAAAAGATGAATCACTTTTTGGAGCACTGTACAGCTAATTTACACTTTTTATTGATATCGATTTAATTATTTCTTTTGAAAACGCAAGAGAGTGTTGGATGTACAGTCGCTAATCTACGCTTCTCTGCTGTCTAAGAGTCAAAACGCCGGCCATTGAAGCTTCCCTTGCTGAATTACATTGTCTACGGTGCCATGTCCATATGTGAATTACAAAGCCTTTCAGAGGTGGTACCTTTTTCTCCGGACTATTTCTTGCAACCTTCCGGATCTTCAAAAATGTCATTGCCTTTACATCCTCCGGTATCAGCTCAAGAACCGTGACATGCGTTGACCGTCTGGCGGAGGGAAGCAAAAAGAAAAAAAGGTATTGTGAGTGCGATAGAGGACTTTTGGCGGACGGAGATATAGCACGTACGTTGCAAGGGTAATGGTGGAATAGGAGAGGACCCAAGGAATAATACCTCGAGAGAACAAGGCGGGTTTGAGCAAGGGAGGAAAACCGACAGGGTTTGGCCCGCCAAGGCGACGAGTCGATTTGTCAAACAAGGTCTGACTGAGGCAGACGAGAAGGTTGTCCAGCACGTACATGGCAAGATGGTTTTGCATTTAATGGAAAGAAACGAGACTGCTACATAATATCTTTGACCCGAGATCTCGACTCATCACACCTGACAGGTCGCGTAGGGGATGCGGGGGGCTGGCTCGGTGCTGGCCACTTCAAGGCATTCATGCGACCCAAGTTGTGTAACCATAGGTATTCGGACTCCCAGGGGTCCCGTCTGACACCTCCTTCCCATAGCTTGGATTAGTCAGGCCTGGCATGCCGGCGTGATTTGTGGGAGATCTGACGTCAATAAAAAAAAAAAAGTCAGGGAGGACAAAAAGAAGAAAAAAGAGAAAGCAGAAAAAAGATAGACAAGAAAAGCAAGAGAGAAATAAGGAACTGACAAACACAAATAAACGTTTTAATATTCAACCACCACCACTTTTTGATCACTTCACACTTGATCCACACCTCCGCGAGCGAAGCCGCGGGTACTATTCTAGTAAGGCTACATGTCCAATGATTTGTTTCACGATCTGCGGCAAACAAGCTGCCGCGTTCAAAATATGGCGTCAAGATGACGAAGTAGCATTAGAACATATGGGTGAAAAAGAAGAGAAACAGGTTTGCAAATCGTGAAGCGTTTATTTCTGGCAGACAAATCTGATCAACTTTTTCAGCCAGACCATATCGTCCTTGTGCTCTGAGATGCCCTCAAAGAAAAAATCGTCCATGTTCAAAAGATTGATATACACCATCACATCCTCGTCGCCAGTCGCAGGGTTCGTCTTGACATGGGTAGCTGGCATACCAAGATCGACGTCAGGGAACTCGAGGTGGATTCGGAGGATGCCCCTAAGGTTGGAAGGAGTGCCTGTACCCACGTAGGCACGTCGAATGCCGGCCAAGTTCTTCCTCTCCGTGCCGTTCGCTTTCAAAAAACACGCGCGAATATCGCTGGACGTCTCGTTTTCATTGTGCTTTTTCTGTGGCACAGAGCTGCTGCAGAACTTGATCGCAAGAGAGCCGGCGTACTGATTGTCAGAGAAAAACCAAGCTCCATTCGGACGTGTGCCAAAGTTGGCAATAAGCATCTTGTTCGGAGGACGATCGGCGAGAAAGGCGAGATCGGCGGCAATGCCACTGTCGGTATATCCAAATCCATTGGCCGTGTTGATTCCGTCGATTTGAAACTTGAGATCGTCGCACCATTTGGGCAATGCCACACCTCGAAGGAAAGGAAGATCAACAAGACGGTAGCCGTTGAAGCGTTGAAGCGATCGACGGACAAGTGGTTCCAGTCCATCTCCCTTTGAAGTTGAAGCCATGCCAAAGTTGGTGACAATCCGGTATAACTGATCCATGTACTCCAAGAACGATGGGTCCTTGCATGAAGCCCTTAACTCTGCCTCCACCGCCTCAACCACCATTGGCTCGTCCAAGATCAAGTGAATGTCATCAGAATGTGGTCGAAGCCTACACAAGGCCTTGTCCACAAAGTCGACCTGCTGTTGGCTCGAGAACGAAATTTTGGCATCTTGGAGATGATAGGCCAAGACCATTCGACTAAGAAGCCGCGCTGCCTCGCCTGTTTTGTTGCTCTCAAGAATAGTGCGTACCCCAACCCGGAGGCCATTTGTTGTATGCTCAATCGACTTGTCAACAGCGTCAACGAGAGCAGCTTGTTTCGAGTCCTGAGAAGAGCAGGGTGTGGCAAGGCGTTTGACGACGTCAACGGAAAATCGAGCTCGTCCTCTTAGCTTGCGGCGTTTGGCAGGTGGGATTTCACAGTCCGACATATCGACCAGATCCGCGAGAATTTTGTCAACGTCATTTTCGTCGAACTGAGGAAAGTCCGTTATCCTTGAGAAATTAGTGGGTTTGGCGATGGCCATGTACACGTGGTCGGCAACCTGTAATGTGAGGGCTGTGCCAAGTATCACTAGTGTTGCCTGCATGTTGCTCAGTGTTGCGGACAAAGGCGTGAGAAAACCACGGCGGAAATTGGATCGTATTTGGTTGTTGCTGTCGAAGAGGACGTCACTGCTCTTCATCAAAGCGGATGGCGAGAGGAGCTTGCCGGACAAGATGTGGGTCACTGCAACTTGAGCCTCATCAAGGGCAATCACCAATCCAAGTCGTTTGGGAACAAGAAGAGACTGAAGCTTGGTCTGGACGTCATCGAGCATGTACTGAATCGCTAGGCGGTCGTACTCCCGCAGCACTTGCACAAACTCGCAGATAGTCGAGGCTCCTCCGGTGGTCTGCTCACGGAAGAACTGAATTGGCTCCAGATCGGGATTATTGTTGAGAAGCAGCTGCAAGAAAAGAAACCGCGCAAGGAACTCGAGCTCGACGCGCTCTCCTGCGAGTGCCTTTACATTGGAATCGAGATCCAACAATTCGTGCAATGTCCTTGGCTCCCTCTCGGTCCTTTTCATATATATACGCTCGACGTCTTTGGCAAGCGTGACAAAGTTTGGATCCTTGAAGTCGGGAGAGACGGTGTGACCCGGAGAACAACAGGTGCTGTAGACGACAAAGTGCTTGGCTGCCAGATCAATGACAGTGGCGGTCTTTCCTGAGCCGGACGGGGCAACCATGGCGACCACTCGGTGACCGCTGAACTTGCCGATGTCGTCCTCGACAATAGAACAAAGAGTCTCACCGTTGCTCGTCCTCGCTTGCTTGTCCAGCTCAAATCCCAACATCACCAGGCTTGTTTCCGTCGCTGAATTGTGATATGGCAAGGTCCTCTTGTAAAAGGGTCCTAGTCTTTTCCTCTGAGAGGATTCGACGGCCTTTGGATCGACGGCATGGTTGATATGGTGATGGTCGACGCCTTTGAAAACGACTGCCAACTCCTTCTCGATGAGGTCTACCGGGACAGACTTCAGTTGTATGGGTGAAACTGCATAATCAAAGGGGAAAAAAGGAAAGTTAGCTAATAGCAACAAGCTTACCCATTAAAGTTTTAAAACTAGATCTATGACACTCACCAGAACGTGACCTATCCCATGGATGGGCCGAACGAGGAGCGGAGACACGGGTAAGAACAGAGGCTTGAGCTATGTCAGTGCAATCGGATGTGTAAATTGAGGTTAGTACGATGAACAAGATTATGTGCAAGCTCACGAGTAAGGTGACAATATAGCACGCGTGTGAATTACCTTGAGGAGGTCGCTGGACGATAATGTAGGTGTTGTCGTCGGGACTCGCGGCAAACAGCGTGGAGAGGAGTGCTCTAGGGTTGTTCAGCTCCGTCTTGTCGTGAATGGTTCCGTCGTCATGAATGGAGACACGGCTGAGGGAGAGCTTGTTCGCATCAACATCGCGGAAATCGTTGGGTTTCTCGCGTAAGATTGCGTCTTTGAGATCGCCGATGGTCTTGGTTGACTCGATCTCGACAGGGAACGCGTTGGTGGTGGCCTCTCCGTCGACAAGACAGAACAGGTTCAGAAGGTTGTTGGACATGGTGTTGTGAAGAATGAAAGGAAAGTAAGTGGAAGGGGAAAGGTGAGGGTTGTAAACGGAGTGAGGGTTGTGGAGAAGGTGCGGGGTGTAGTGAGGGCGAGGGATGAATGAAAGAAAAAAGAGGGGAAAGGATAAAAGAAGGTGTGGGGTTAAAAGAGAAGGCGTGGGGTTAAAAGGAAAAGTAAGAAGGGATGAAAAACTATGGCGATGGGTGTGGAAATAGCAATAAGGGCGGTGAGAAACAAACTGACAGTAAAGTCGAACAGAGGAAAAAGGACGATGATGGTAAAGGCGGTGAAGAAAGCGCGTGGTGGAAAGGTAAGGGCGTTGGAAGTGTGGGAATGGTGGCAAAGGCAACAAATGGTGACTTGGGCTGACGTAAGAGAGCAGGGCGCAAGAATTACGTCACCGGTGAGTAAATCTTTTTCCTTTGTTGAAACATTTATTAATGTCACTTGTTTTCCTTCGCTACTTTCCTTGCTCTCCGTTTTTTTTCTGTGGGATCCGTGGGCTCCATGGCTGCGGGACTGCAGGACCCACTCAAGGCTAACTTTCCAAGGCGCACCGCCTGGTTGTTCCGGGTGCGTCAGCTTGTCATCTGATTAATTCTTGGTAAGTCAGCCATCAGTGCATGCCGCCTGGTTGTTCCGGGCATGCATAAGGTAGGTGCACAGGGTGTTGCTTGACCATGTCTCTTCCACCCCTTGGTGGGGAGTAGGAGAGCCATCCTGGACTGCAGTATCTCTTTGGGCGAGGAGACTACTGTGGACCCTTTTTGCTGACCCGTCCATTTTCCCCTTGCCATTCCCTCCCTCTGGCCATATCTACACCAACTTAGAGTACCGTTTAACAAAAGAGGCGTTTTGAAGACCACGAGTATATGCCAAGCGTAGTTGTAACTAACTACCATGATACTTCTGACATTGAACTCTGCTGCCAAGGGCGCTAGGAAAACATGAGCGAGCTGTTACTTTGTCTATGGCTCATTAAGGCCGAGAATGCCAAAGACTTCCGCGACGTCGATGCAAAAGATTCACCCTCTGGGGAGTTTCGATTCACTGATGGATGACGATGACGACGAGATTTCCATCGTGCTCGACACCGTCAGTGAGAAGAAAAAACTCCGACCTTTCTGATGTGTTCAGGGAGGATGCTCCAAGAAAGACAGTGACCACCAGGTAATTCATCAATGCTCTAGACTTCTTTTTAATTCGCTCCTCCTCCACTCTGTTGCCCATCTCTGTCCATGTTCCTGATTATCTTTCCCCCGATTCTCGCCCGGGTACTCTATTGTCTGGTACGTAACAAGCTATGTTATTTATGTTATTTATGTTATTTAATGACCTTCCTTGATATTCGTCATATTCTAATGCATCCTTTTCGTTGAAACAGGTATTCTCAGAACCGATGTCAAAAAAAATTACGGACAAGTTCTTTCAATCCGAATCCTGCATGTTTTGGCTGCAATGCAGCACCCTGATAATGACATAGCTACGTATGTATCAGTTAGAGATACTACAAGAAAGGTCAGGAGCTAGTAAGCAAGCCCTTTTCTAGGTTGCAGTGTTCTCTGTTAAAGCTAAATTTCGGTTTCACTTTGCTTGACCAATAAATCAATCGTCCACCGAACTATCAACTTTTCTTCTTGCCTTTTCACCAACCTTGCCCCCGCTGCTTTTCCTCTTCATTATTGAACATGAACAACAACGGCCGCGTCCAATGCAAGGACCCACACTGCATCAACACATACAGCACAAGGTGTGACATGCAACGACACTATCTAGCAAACACACTGAAACGAGATTCCCCTGCCGTTTTCCTGGTTGCGAAACACACTTCAGCATGGACAACAACCGCGTCAAACATGAGCGAAAGCATCAGCTGTGCCACTGCCACGGTACAAGGAACAATCCTTGTAACCAGATCATCCAAGGAACACCAAACTGGATAGTTCACCAGAAAATCCACCAACCACATCCTTGCCCGGATCCAGATTGCGACAAAGGTTACACCATGCGGAAGTCACTCCTTAAACACCTGAGGGATACCCACACAAGCAACAACCAACCTCGGTCCAGCTTTGAACTTCCATCGACGTCGATCCCAACTGTCCCATCACCTGAGCCCATTGTCGACCATGAGACGAAGCTGCCAATCCCAAATGGTAAAAAATGGTGGCGTTTTTTTTTTTTTTTTGGTCAACCTCAGCACCTGACCTCGTCCGTTTGTAGAATTCAAGGTACCAGTTGTGTACAAGGGAAACAGGGTCCAGGGGATAGAGCCGACAACAAAGTGGTACGAGTTCATTTACAAGCCAGGAACGACGCCTCTGGAGAAGAATGTAAGAATAACATACAGTCAGTTGTGTCGTCTTCAATTCACTAAATATATTTGATGTAAAGGATACCTCAGTCTAACTATATCCGAGTATAATACTATTGACACAGGACAAGGGACTCACTCCTCATCCCGAGCACTGGCTTGATGGTAGAAAGCTCTCGCGAGGCGAAAAAGCAGGCTTTGATCTACTCTCTAAATTTAACTTTTTGTGTCATCCACATTTCACGGAAAGAGTTGCGAAGTCTGTCGGTCTGAGTTGGGACATTGGCATATAGGATTGAAAGAGAGGGAGTCCTGCTAGAACGTCCGATCCTATGGCGACATTTGCCTTCGATGTTACAGTAAACGGAGAAATGAAGAAGTATATTAAAAGGATAAAACTCGAGCACACTTGAGGTAAAAAGGATACTGTGCAGTTGCTCACCCATTTACCTCAATCTATTATTCTGGGAGCCAGTTTGCTATGCAAGCTAATGTTGGTGTGCAGCCAAAGGATCCTAAGCCACGAGACTGTCTGAACTGTGGCCCGGCTTGCCATAGAGACAACTGCCGCATTATTGTCAACCGCCGCGGTAGCTGGTATCGTCCACTTTTCAAAGAATGTGAGCGAATGAGGAGGGCATCCACGGACGTTGCACAAAGAGCAGCCGGCTATTTTGCGTTATGGTGGAGTGGAAGGACACTCGTATTCGAGAGCCATTATCAAGCTGATGGTTTGGTCCTCACAGTTTTTCTCCGCGGTGTATGTGTGGGTGCGCCTCATCTCTCTGGTCGTGAGGTGGCACATCTTCGACTCCAGGCACAAAGCTCCACATCCATCGATTGGTATGACCATGTGTCCTTGTCTGCCGGCAATTGTGATCCGATGAAGCAGTTCACTACGGATCGTATTACTTCTGGCAGCGACAAGAAGATACTTCCTTACTCCCACCATCGCCAATGCACAGTGGCAGCGTCCGCATGGAAGAATGAGTAAATATATGTCTTTGTTGCTTCTCACGCCTTCGACCATGCTTTTATCCCGAGCTAACACACTGTCTCTCAACATAGGATTTTCATGGAGTTGACTCTCAAGCAGCGGGTTGACTACATGCTTTATTGGTGCGACCCTGAGAAGCGAGTAGAGGGATTCAAGAAGGCGGACACCATTCTCCTTGAACTCTTTGAACGGTTCGACCTGGAAGACGAGATGAAAATCGACTTTACGGAACACGACGAATAATGCTGGCGGGACTTTTGCCATCGCAAACGCAAAAAGAAGGACCGCATTGCATGGAATAAGTACGAGTGGCGATACTTTCTGCGGATCTGCAATGAGATCGACCTTTGCTCTGGGCTTTCTATGGCGGATATTGGCCAGACAGGAAATATTGATCGACTCTCCAGTAATGGCCAGTACCGACTTGGCGCTTGCATCTACATTCCCCAAGGCCTGAATTTTGCGAAGGAGCTGCTAGACGATTTCAAGACATCGAAGTTGTTCCAGGGGACCGATCTGGAGAACTGCCGCAAAGGCATCAACATACTCCGTGACCTGATGATTGAGACTGCGGAAAAAATGAGGCATCGTCTACCCAAGTAAGTGTTTCCCCCCTCTCCTGTCTGTCTTTTTTTATCCTAAGACGTGTCTACAGGAAAACTATAAAGTCAACGCTGTAACGAGTTCTGTTATCTTTTTGGTTTTTAGGCTGCTGGAAGAACATGCAGCACTTATTGCAGGTCTCGAGGACAGCGACAACAAGGAGGTTCAAGTGCTGGAGGAAGCTGTCGAGGACATTTACGACCAGTACAAGACTGCACCTGAGGACATGGCCTTGAGTGACTGCGACACCCAAGGCATGATCATGGACAGGGACGACACTTTTGACGGTGTTGGCAACTCTTCTGAGTTCATCTACGATCTGTCTGAAGAGATGAACCCAAGGGAGTACGGGGAGGAGACTGCGGCTTCTCTTTGGGCATTTGTTTTCGCTGAGAGCGATGAGGATGACTCTTTCTCTGATGTCGACCACGACCAGGCCATTCCTACACTGGCGTTTGCAACTGTGGAGGAGGCGGACCAAATTGATAACAAGCTGTTGCAGCGACTGTTCGACCGTGGAGAGATAGAGCCCCGTTCGGATACTCCCATGAGCACCCTCACGCTGCCTCTCCATTTCGAGACGCAAAGCGACCTCATCGTCCACCCCAAACATACTCATGCACGCCCTTGGGGAGAGAAAGCGGAGTCCACCCTCAAGAGCACTTGGACCATTCCTGATGAGGACGACAACTCGAAAACATCCAATACTGCTTTCAAGGACCTGCACATAAAAAGCTTAAGCCCGGACTGAACGGCACCAAGGCTTTGCAGGAAAACGAGGCTTCAAACTTGAAGACGACCAAGAAATTGCGGCAGACCACCTATGCAGCAAAAGTTGTCTCGTCAAGCAGCCCGTCTGTTGTCTCGCCCTTGAGGCAACCACTCATCAGCGATTCTCTGTTCAAGGGCGGTAAGGAGAATTGACCTCCAAGACTGCCTTGATTCTCTTCTCAAACTCGAGTGGATATTGGTAGTTGCTCTATTTTCGCAAAGCAGTATCGCGGCCACCTAGATATAATAAAATGAAGCAATAAAAAGAAACAAAGGTGGTTCAAAGATGATATCTCATTCATGTAAACCCAATCTGAGGCCTACCAAAAGCATGGCATCTCGGACACCGGCAACTCGACCTAGCTTGCTGTTCATGGACCTTCCCGACCCGTCCACACCTGATTCGGAATCAAGGAATCTCGCGGTCGGGTCTATTATCGAAATGGTCAAGGAGAACAACCGATACCACATCGTGCTTGGTGTCTCTGGTAAGCAACTTGATGCAAGGTGCGCTCTATGGTTATTACCCATCAACTCTTAAGCATGATGCTGACTATTATTTGCGCTGGCTTGTGCTCATATAGGCCGTGGCAAGACCCGTGCTGTCATCGAGCTCCTGTCCCAGCACTGGGGTTTCTACTTCAACGCTGCCGATGACGACTAGGGATTAGGCGACATGATCACGCTTCATAACATCGTTCGCAGCTATCTAAAGGAAGCCCAGGCAACTTCCACCGTGGCGGACCTTGAGATCAACAACCTCTGCACGGAAGGCGACTCTCTTACTGTTTCTCTCTCGGCTCCTCGTCTTCAAGTATTGCTTAAGCGTCCCCGGCAGCAGTGAGACGTTTACCAGTGCACGGTGGGCTCTCCTGCATGTGTGCCCGTATGTTCTCTTCAAGGACATTTTCAAGGCACTGCTCCTCAAGCTTCTCCAACTTCGACATCACCCTGAGCTTGACCTTTCCGATTTTTTCGTCCGCAACGTGCACGAGGATGCGAAGGATCACCTTGTCAAGCATGGGTATCTACCAAAGATCAAGGATAACACCAGGCTCATAGTCATCAACGATGAGGCACAGTTCCTTGGCGACCAGTTTAATGGCTCTTTTTAGTCGATGTCTTCTTCGGAGGACTCTTCACGACCGTGTCTCCTATCCTGCACGCGTTTCGAGACATTGGTCAGCACCAGCTTAAGTTGGTCGCCTGTGGCACTGGCTTGGGCATCAATACCCTTTTTGGGTTCAGAGCTCTGGCTCAGGCCTGAAGGATAGCTCGACCAACTTTGAGGTAAGCAAGTCAGCATGGTTGACACTGTCTATGTTTTTATTGCCATTTCTGTTCATTGTTTGTCGCTATTACACTTCCTAACATCTTTTCTCCCATTTCTCTTTTATCAACATGATGAAATAGTACATGGAGTTCCCTGGAGTTACCGATCTCGAGTCGATCAAGGCGTACATATCTCGAGTGCGGAGGTGTCTGTTGGATGTCGAATCAAGGCGGGTCTTTGACGAGCGTCTTTCGCAGGATGCACTCGACATGCTGTTTGGCAAGTTTGTAGGCCGCTATCGACCGACAATAGCCGTAGTATTTATGTCAACTTGAGATGACCACAAAGAGAGAGGAGGCAATGAAATGATCGAGTGTACAGTATGCTCAGTACTTATGGCTTATTGTCTTTCCGTCCATAGACAGAAAGTATTGTCGAATGCAACAACCCTAGTGCATGGAAGAAGACCATCGAGGATGCAGAGGACAGGCTGGTATCTTGGGCGCATCGGCACATCAAAGGCAATTTGTGCTACAAGATATCTCCTCCACGACAAACACAACAAATACAAGGATCAGCTTGTGGAGCCTATCGACAGCATGCTGGACCTCCTTATGTATCAGCGCTGCATGTTTGGGAATCACGACCTTGTCCTCAAGGAGGTAGACCCTCAATTGGTGGAGCATGCGTTTGGTCGGATCAAGATCATACAAGGTCACGCTGTTACCGTGATGGACGAGCCCTTCGTTTCCAAAGCTGTCGAGAACTATATCGCCGCTATCGATCCCTACTTCGCAAGGAATGTGCGGGAACGTATGGTAAAGCCGACGGCTATTGATCAGGGATGTGTGTTTGAGCGGTTCATGATGAAGGTCTTCAGTGAGACATTCAACACACGACCTTTATCTGAGTGGCCGCATCAGCCCCAATCTCTGATATGTGTCCAGCTTTCATCGGCAAGATGGAAGTTGTTGGCTGAAGGGAACCTGGACTCGAGCAAGGCACGACTCACGCGATGATGTCGATGGAGCACTTCATGGACGCTCATGTCAACCATGGGTCAACCCGTAACAACATGTCTGTCGCGCCATTTTTCTTTCCCAAATCCAAGCCATCGGAACCAGACTTGGTTTTCTTCATTCGGATCGACGGTGCTCGGTTGGTTCCTGTCTTCGTTCAGATGAAGCTGCATCAAGGGTCGTCTAACTTCTGGGAGAAGGGTTGGAATGAGGGCCAGGCAAAGAATTTTCGCAAGTACTGCCCCGACAACGTCTACATCAGCATGATCGTTGCATACCCTACCAAATGGACTGAGAAGCTGCCAGCACCTTCAGAACTCCCAAAGGGCCCCAGTGGTGTTCAGAAGGTCGTGATCAACATCAGCGATGACTATTTCAGCGACATTTTCCTCCAGGAGCATGTAGAGTTTATTGATCGACTCAAGAATGCTCGAAAGCGCTCTGTTGACGACGATGACAGCAATGATGAGGACTGCTCCAAAAAGCAGAGGAGCTAATCTTTTATTGCAACTTCCTCTGCCCACTTGACACTCAATAAAAATACCATTCTCAAGAACAACAAATAACAACAAACAACAACAGCGACAGCAACAACTACTACTACTAAGACAAACACAAAAAAGGACAACAAAAAGACAAAAAGAAAAAGAAAAAAGAAAAAAGAAAAAAGAAAAAAGAAAAAAAGAACAACAGATTCAGGACTGAGTTAAGGTTTGTGGCTGACAACGGCTCTCATTGTGGCTAGCGTGTGGCTCTCATGTGGCTGAAAGAATGTTCTAGCGGTCCATATTTACATCGATCGAGATGAGCTGCAGTAAGTTTTTTTTTTTTTTTTTTTTTTTTTTTTTTGGGGAGAGGGGACGGATTGAGGTGTGGCTGGGAAATTGCCAATAGATTTATCATAGGGAGATAATAACTGGTGTTACGGAATCAGATGGGTTCGGTTGAGATATTGTGGAGTGGTTGTTACACTCATAGTTGAGGTTGATGTTGTGAATAAGGGAAATGTAGAAGGTTGTTGAAACTGGGGGGGATCCTATGGCACGATACGCAAGCAAACAATACACACTGAAATAAACGGCGTCAGCTAGCTCAATCAATTGCTTCGTGAAGTTGTCTTTTGAAAGGACCTTTATGCTGCTTCTGTTGTACCTGAAATAAACGGCGTCAGCTAACTCAATCAATTGCTTCGTGAAGTTGTCTTTTGAAAGGACATGGAGCAAAAGATCGAGCTGCCTCGCTATTTTTACTACTGCAGTATCTACTTTGATCTAAATTACGGTGAGGTCAAGGCACTGCAAGGAATGGGCTCTCTGTAACACTGGCTTGCGGCAGCCAAGCGTTCATAGCGACGTTACTTTTTGATCCTTCGATGTCGGCTCTTCCTATCATGCTGTAATTTGATTGATCCAAAAAAACACATTTTTTTTGAAACCTCGAAATTTTATTTTTTTCGTGTGCTCAGATTATCCCAACCTCGAACAAGGAACGGCAATACCAATAGTTGGTCGCGCTCTTCTGGGTTTCCTCACTGGATGGTTTTTTTTATCGATTGAGTGCTCTCAAATCCTTGAAGAGTCCCACCATTTTTAACTTTCGTCAAAGGCAACGTGAAAAAAGGAGAAAGGGCGTGACTTCGAGGCGCCTGTTGTCAAGTCCCAACCTTTATTCCGAACGAGGTTGGTAAATTGATTGTCCGATATATTTTTATTTTGCTTTTTGTGTTTTGAAGAAAGGAGCAGGTAAGAAAAGGACAAATGGTGAAGGTAGAAAAAGGATAAGAATGGGGGTCGAAGAAGATAGCGAACGAGAAAGACCTTAGACGACAGTCCAGATAGTGGAACCAGAAAAGTAGGATTGGCGAATGGAAAGCCTACGAGAAAAAAAAAAGAAATCTAACTGCTCTAGCAAGAGATTCCAATGCTGACGTGGGGGATGTCGGCACACTTTCTGAAGAACTTGGGTCCAATGCACAAGTTGGCCGAGATGTTAACCTTTCCATTGCGGCAGATTCCATTGACACCAACTTTTCCAGCAATGCTGTCAATGGGGTTGACGGAGCACCCTTGATGGACATCAGCACATTCAATGGCATTGGCTTTGATACCAAAGGCACTCACATCCAAGGTAATACCTCGCTCAAACTTGCAAGCCTTGAACTTGATAATCTTGATGCTGAACTCAACGCAATTGTCACCCTCCAACATTCCGAACTCCCTAAAGTCCTCGTCCATGTGAGGAATCCAACCATACATCTCCATGAACTGATGAGGGTGGATTACAGTGATTTCCAACTCATGGGTGTCCACATGGATACCATCGTCAGTGGTGTCCCCTTGAGGATGGCGGTACTGGGGCATCGCAACGGTAGAGTCCTCTTGAAGGCGGTATGGGCGAGCAATCCAATCCTCAAGGGAGTTCGTGAATTGGCTTCTTGGAGCAGCGTTACACACACCGCTCAAGGCGAGTGCAAAGCAGAGCACGGCAGAAATACGTTTGAAGGCCATTGCAGAAAGAGAGATGCTTGCAGATGAGATGGATTGTATTGGTGTTTGTCACAGAGGGAAACATTCAAAGTTAGCTCCAGCTGCAATTATGCATGGGGTTTGAATTTCACGAGGCTGTCAAAAGAATGTTCATTACCTATTGAGCAAGGGTTCTTGGGAAGGTTCTTGGGAAGGTTCTTGGGAAGGTAGGTCGAGTTGGTTTTTGGGAGTCGAGGCAGTGGAATGATGGTGTTGGTCCTCTAAATCCCTGCTCTTTTTATACAAGATGAGGGTTCCGACTCTCTTTGAAGCCTTGCCAGTGGATGTGGTTGTCAGGGATGAAAAAAAATCCCACCCACCTCTGCTTTCCCCTTCCCGCTCTCGACTTCAATGAACATGCACCAATTTCTCATCATCACTTCCTTGGACAAGAGAGATTCTTTTTCTTGTCAGATGATCAACAAATAAGCACGTCTTCTTTCAAGGCGACCTGGACCATGCACGAATGACTCCAGAAGCAAGGAAGCTTTCCCGAATCCTCCTTCAGTGGTTGCAATGGACGAAAGTTGCCGTCTCGGTTAATTTGTATTGTCTTCTTGTCAGCACTCATAGATTCCCAACCACCACACCATTCTCCTCCATGAATTCCAAGTCGGCTCCTCCACCTCCCCCGAAAAAAGAAATCGAAAAACCTCTTTCTTTTCGACACCGTTTAAACCGTCGCGCGTTCCCATGCACTTTTTCTTTGTTCAACAGCAGTGAATTGTTCTTCAGCTTCTCACTCCCGCGGAAGGGGCATTAATCTTTGTTCACACAGTGTGCCTCTTGTTCTGGATCCTATCTTCGTTCGCTCTTCCATGCACCTGTGCTCTAGTCTTTTTTCATGTGCCCTGAGTGCCTGTTTTTCTTCCTCCCGCTAGCCGTGCCCCTTTTCTTTGCTCATGCGCTGTGCATGCATATTTCCTTCTGCCAATAACGTCCAGTCATATTCTCAAGTGCCTATTGTCTATTGACGCGCTGTGCTCGTTTTGTTTTTCCTCTTTTATGATTTTCGCTACTCACGCCTTGGCACGCTCCCATTTCCCCTTTTTTTGTTCATGCGCTGTGCATGGTCTTTTTTTTCCTTTGCCCACATCCTGACACGTTCCCTTGCCCCTTTTCTTTTCTTTTCGAGCGCTCTGAGTTCTCCCTCTTTTCCTTCGCATCTCAATCTCTGGCGCATTCCCCTGCCCCTTTTCTTTTTTCATGCACTCTGCATATATTTCTATTTTGTTGTTGCTCACATTCCTCTGCTGCTTCTTTTTTTCATGTGCTGTATGTATATGCTCTAAATCCTCTGTGCTTTTCGCTCTCACCGGTTGATAAGCATATCACGCATGATCCGCAAGTCAACTTACGTAGTCCTTAATGGTCTTTAGGCTCTGGGTCTCTTTTCATTCGTGTCTAGCGCAGACAATAACATATTCCCTGTTGTGAACGTAGGTGGCCTACTGGCCTTCCCTTTTTATTTAGAGTGTTTAGAAGTGATGTGTGGGAGTTTTGGAACTATGCGTTCGAAGGGAAAGAGAGGGAGAGTAGCTAGGAGAAGGAAGGATGCTAGTGGGGGCGTCTTCCTCTCTAGGGAGGCCTTTCACGTCCAAATTATCATATGGTGTTTGTTACATCTCTGTAGATCTCGACGATATCCATAGCGACTATTAGATGAGAATGTACTGTGCTCCAAAAAATTGATTCATGTATTTGCGATTTCGACTTTTTTTTTAAATGCTCATTCACCAATGTTCCGACCGGCCCCCAGATTCTTGTCATTCATTCTCTTGATTCGTAGCCTCATTCATTACAACTTGCTTCTTTTTGCATGGACCGACATCGGATCATCGTCGGAATCGAAATGCCTGAATCGAATGAATCAGTTAATTGGATTAATGCATCCCGATTTTCTTTTTCAACTTGCGGGGTCTTTTTAGTTTCTCACTACCTTTAAACTTTAATGAGTTACGTACTGAATCCTATAGGACCATCTATCAAAGTTTGGAGTTCTTACTCATAGTCTTTTCTATATGACCTATGTGTCTGATTTCACATGGATTTAGTACGTATTTAGCTGTGGTTTTTTAACCACAAGCTCAAACTGAAAGCTGGCCCATTTGTAGCGCATGGTGTATAATCTAAATGTGGTCAATGTAAGAGGCCAGTTATTCCCTATGGAGCGCAATATCATGACAATGTGTGAAATCATGCTAGCTCCATGTAACAATACTTACATTAGTGATATTTCATGCTAGCGTTATGATAATCCCGTACCTTTTCTATGATGATAATCCACTCTATGTCTTAGCTTTCAGTTTGCCGTAGTAAGCGCACTGAGCTTCTCATCTCTTTCTCTTTAAAAAAATAACGATTTCTGTATATCACGTGAGGGCGGAGCCCGAACTAAAAATGTTGTGAGGGCCGTGGCCCTCACCAGTATCTTGCGCGTAGCGCCAGCGCGAAGCGCCAGTATTTTGTGAGCGAAGCGAGCGATGGTCACGGGCAAGGCCATCAAGAGTATCTTGCGCGAAGCGCGCCAGTGTCCTGTGAGCGCAGCGAGCGTACGGGCACGGGCTAAGAGGATATGAGGGCGTAGCCCGAATCAAGGGGCTTTCAAGAGGATGTGAGCGCAGCGAGCAATGGTCACGGGCGCGCCCTGGCGCGACAATCGAAAGTATCTTGCGCGAAGCGCCAGTATGTTGTGACCGCACGGGTACGAAAGGGAGAAGATCATGTGAGGGCGTAGCCCGAACCAGAGGACCTTTTTTGCGCCAAGCGCCCGTACTTTGTGAGCGAAGCGAGCAATGGTCACGGGCAAGGCCATCAAGAGTATCTTGCGCAAAGCGCGCCAGTATCCTGTGAGCGCAGCGAGCGTACAGGCACGGGCTAAGAGGATATGAGGATATGAGGGCGTAGCCCAAATCAAGGGGCTTTGAAGAGGATGTGAGGGCGTAGCCCGAACCAGAGAAACTTTCTTGCGCAAAGCCCCAATATTTAGTAAGGGCAAAGCTGTAGCTGTCAGATACCTGTTGCCGCCTGCGGCAAAAGGAAGCGACCGCTGGAGCGTGGCCGTCTGGGCCATCTAGCGCGAAGCACCAGTGTGCTGTGAACGAGCCTTTTTGCAAGCCTACTAAAAAGCAAGAAATCCTCTGGCGTGATGTAGAGCAAAGGGTAGTCAAGGATATCTTGAATATACTGCGAGTGAGGGTGATCCGAGAGAATAATGAATACAAACAAGGCCAGGGGGATGGCTCCCCAGCTACTAAGATGACTATCTAATAAGGGAGGTCAGCTGGGCCCAGCTGGGACCAGGGATATTATTCTTTATGGCACAACAGGAAACTCGACAGGTATGAGCTCTACATTCCCCAAGCGTGCCATTGGCCACAGGTAGTTGTGAAAAGTTTACAGTCACACTACAGTTGAAAAAGGAAAAAGGTAATAGGCAAGTGGCACCCGTATCTTTAAACGAGTCTTCTTCAAAGACCCTTCAAACACCCTTCAAAGACCCACACCTCTCACCCCAGATCCCCTTACAGCAACTTCCGGCACCCGTGGCATCGCCCACGGGCAACCTTTCTAGTATATTAAAATCAAGGTGTCGTATATCACATGATATAGCAAATTTTCTGTAATTGCATAATTGCACAACCACGTGGCGCCTCCATGCTTGACATCATGTTATCGATAACATCACCCCTTTTTATAACCCACCTCCTCTTTTCTTTTACAACAACAGACAACAATAGCAACAACAGCAAGTAACAAATGACACCAGTAACAAAAAAGACATCCACCAGCATGGCATGGACAAACGTGAGACATGAGAATGCAGACGCAGCATGGCATGGACAGACATGAGGATGCAGCTTGGCATGGACAGACATGAAGATGCAGCTTGGCATGGACAGACATGAAGATGCAGCTTGGCCCTTTTTTCGAAAAAGTGCACCAGACTCATGATGTTAACACCAAAGTGAGAACGCTACTATCAGAGTGGGTTCCGTACCATATTCCCTCTGAGGTGTGAAATAAAAGATCCCTCTCTTTCTTGCCATTGACATATTCGACCATACACCATACTTTTCAGCATGGACAGACATGAGGACGCAGCTTGGCATGGACAAACACAAAGATGCGAGCACACCTACCACAAGGAAGAACAAGAACGAAGAAAACACCAGACACCATTCTAATGAACATGATCAGAGAACAGCCGGGTGACGGTATGTCTTGGCATAAGGAGAGTGAAAAGATTGTGTTTTCTTTTTAGAAACGCGTAAACGTCTCACAATTATCAGTATCAATTCTCTTTAATCCTTGACAGTCTCAACAGGAGCAAACCATCCACGCCTCTCTATACCTGTACCCGTACCCGTTCTTTCTGCTACAAAGTAAGTCTATGTCAAAGCCTATATACAACCATGTTCTTTTTTATGTTCATTTCTGTTCATCCCTGACCTTCGGTAATTTTTTCCTACTTATCGCAGGCAACAATCCTATTTGAGCCCTAAGGTCCTTGGTTCGGCGGCTGCGGCGCATGGTAAAAGGGTGCACCGCTCTCAATAAATGCAGGCGCTGAAACACAGACGATGGGCAGAACGACAACGCAACTATCGTGAATGTCTCTGATCCAACCCCTGATGTCCCTGTCAACAACATGACCTCTGATATCGACAGCAGAAGCATCTTGATCTCAACGGCTCCTGTTCATGACCCTGTCCCCGACAATATTACGTATTTTGAGGATGCGTATACACACCTCCGGAGTGTCAAGCCCAAGGTTGCCACTGTTGTTCCCCACCCCAACGCCAACTTCAAAGGTGAGTGGGCGCCGATTAGGGGTCTTTTTCAGGACCACCTCAACTCAAGACCAGAAGCAGGAGCAGGAGCAGGAGCAGGAGCAGGAGCAGGAGCAGGAGCAGGAGCAGGAGCAGGAGCAGGAGCAGGAGTAGGAGCAAATTGCAAAAGTCGTCTCTGCCAACAATATACCTACTGTCGCCGTCCCTGTCACTGGTCAGAACTCGGACAAAGACTATGGATTCAACGACAACAATGATTTCATTGACGCCCTGAATGGCGTGCTGACGAACGGCAACTTTGACGATGTCTTTTCAATAGCCATTCACAATGCCTACCAAAACGGTACCATCAATAGCGATCGCCCGTCCATTGTTGGAACATCCTCGGTTATGTTGGACAAGCGAGGGCGAATGATTGTTGAAGAGGAGACTGACGAGGAGTCGGAAGCGGCACTATCGTCCACCGCCATCACCACCAGCACCACCACCAGCACCATCACCAGCACCAGCGCCGCCACTGCCACAGCTACCGCTACAGGATCTTACACCGCCGCCACTGAAGGCTAAATCACTGCAGACCAAACAAATGCAGCAAGTAAGGAGGTATTTCTTTTGGTCATTTTTTTCCCTGAATGTCTGACCATTGCAACTCCTTGCTTACTATTTTTTCTCACTCTCTTTTTTTTTACTATCCTTTGTATAATAGCATCCTTCACGCATCGAGATTCGCGAATTTCGCGATATGAGATACCTCTCTTCCCATGAGAGCATGTGGCGCATCCTTGGATATCCTTTGTACGGTCGTTCACCTGCTGTGCAACGTCTACAGGTCCATCTCATAGGCCAGCACAACGTCACATACGCGGATCTACTTTGTGTCGCCCGCCGTAACAACGACAGTCAACTGATGGCCTACTTTAAGCTGAACCAAGAGGACAAGGACGCACATAGATATGCATACGCCGAGATTCGCGAGCATTACACCTACGACCAAAACAATCGCAAGTGGGACAAGAGGAATCAAAAGGACACCCTCAAGATTGCCCGGATCTACTTTGTCCAGCCTAAGGACGGCGAGAGGTTCTGTCTCCCTTCTCTGGCCGCCTTTCCCACTATGCCACAAGACATCAGCGACAGCATTCTCCGCTACATCCCAAAGTCCGCCTCTGACCACAGCGAAAAATCGCATGAAGAGCTCGCCAAGCTGGCGGGCCCTCACATTCAAACCATGAATGTCGAGCATCGGGTAATATTTGACGAAGTCATCGCCTCTGTCTCCACACCCGTCCGCCCCCAAAGGACCGACCTCTATTTTATTGACGGACCAGGTGGCACCGGCAAATTCTTTCTCTACAACACACTGATTGAACAAATCAGTGGTGTTATGAAAAAGAATGTTGTTGTCCTCGCGTCATCCGGTATAGCAGCTCTGATCCTTCATGGTGGACGCATTGCACACTCTGTCTTCAAGTTCCCCAATCCAGTTTTCAAAGACTCGACCTGAAATATCACCCGCGAGCAACAAGTCGGATCCATTATTCATGCGGCCGACCTCATCATCTGGGACGAGGTACCCATGATGCATCGAAATGTCTTTGAGTCTGTGGACCGGATTATGGATCGACCCTTGGTTCCTTTCGGCGGAAAGATTGTCGTGTTCGGTGGTGACTTTCAACAGGTGTTGCCGGTGGTTGTTCATGGATCTCAGTCTCAAATCGAAGGCGCATGTCTAAAGATGTCTGGCACCATTTGGCCCAAGGTCAAGGAACTCAAGCAAACTCGCAATATGCGAGTCATGGAGGACAAGAGCAGCTCTTTTTCTTCCGTCGTTTTTTTGCTACATGTGGGTGAAGGCAAGGAGCAGACATTTTCCTTGGCGACTCTGATGATTATATCAGGATTCCAGACGACATCCTTTTTACACCACATGGACCCAATCTCAGCAACGAGCACGAGATCCAACTTATCCGCACCATCTACCCCAATATCTCCATCGGCAACTTTGCACCTCACGACATCAAGCGCACCGCTATTTTGACAACACTGAACAAGGATGTCAATTACATGAACAACCTCCCGACCACACTACTTCCTGGCAAGGCAACAGAGTACCTTGGCCAAGACTCCGTTCCGGATTCAGACACCAACGGCGTCGCCAACTGTCCTACAGAGTATCTCAACTCTTTGGACCCCACTGGATTACCTCCCTACTATCTGGTGCTGAAAGTTGGCATGCCCATCATTCTCCTCCGAAATGTGGACCAAAAAAAAAGACTCTGCAACGGAACTCGCTTGATCGTCCGCCGGCTCAGGCCACGCTGCATCATGGCAACAATCCTGACGGAACCTTTTGCCACCGACTTGGTCTTCATCCCACGAGTGCCTATTTAACAACAGACGACAAGTCCACCCCGATCATATTCAAGAGACGGCAGTTCCCGGTCAGGCCCGCTTTTGCCATGACGATCAACAAGGCGCAGGGTCAAACCCTTGAAAATGTCGGACTCTATCTCCCTACTGCTGTGTTCACACACAGTAAGCTTTATATTTCTCTTTCTTGATGCGCAGACATCAAAAATGTCAAAGTTCTTATGATCCATGGCAGCATCCCCGAGCTTGAGGGCACATACACTAGAAGTGATGTCTGTCAAGAAAGCAGACCAAGCAATAGAATGAAGTAGATAAAGAGAACCTTGATCAAGGACTAAGAAATGAGTATAAGGAATAGGTTAAAGAGTATGTTGTATTGGCGATACCAAGTAAAGAGCTATAGATTTGCTATCTAAGGCCCTTTTATACTCGTTAGGGCGAAGTCACAAGAGCAAGCTCTTGTCTCGTGACAACCTCCCCCTCTAGGGCCGAGTTCCAAGAGGCCTTTGGCTGGGTTTGTGAGGGTGTTGCAGATGGAACTCGCGAACAAGGTCCGGGGAATTCTTGACACAGGCGGCCGGTTCCCAGGTTCGTTCGGATACGGGGTAGCCTCTCCAATGTATATAGTATTCAAGGTGGTTGCGCCTGATCCGTGAATCCAAAATGGCCTCAACCTCGTACTCCTCATCGCCGGAGACGACAAGCGGAGGAGGTCGTTTTGAGGCTCGACCGGGGATCGTATCTGGATGCGCACGCTCAAGTAAGTTTACATGAAAGACAGGATGTAGCTTGGTCGTTGGTGGTAAATCGAGACGGAAGGATCGAGTGCCGATTTTTTCGAGAATACGGTAAGGGCCCATGCGCTTATGGTCGAGCTTCTTGCATGGTCTGTTCGTTTGGAGGTTCCGGGCGTCTAGCCATACAAGATCTCCTACTTGCAGATTGGGTTGTGGTTGGGCCTTGGTGTCGAAGTTCCTGGCATGCTGTTCAATGGCGGTGTGGATATTGAGTTGCATCTCCGCATAGAGGTTCTTTAGGGCCTGGACGCGTTCTTGGGCTGGGACATTGTCCTTCGAGACTCTTGGGATGGTGATGGTAAATTTCGGATGGTAGCCGAGGTTGGCAAAGAATGGTGTTGTTTTTGTTGTTGAGTGTGTTGCGTTGTTGTATGCAAATTCTGCTATCGGTAGAAGGGTGCTCCAGTCCGTTTGCTGATAGTCGATATACCCTCGTAGGTACTGTTCCAGTATTGAATTTACTCTCTCGGTCTGTCCATCGGTGCGTTGGTGGTAGGCGGTAGAAAGCTTCTGATTGATCCCCAGAGACTTGAACATGGTGGAAACGAAGGCTGAAGTGAAGGTGGCGCCTCTGTCAGAAACAATGTCATCCGGGAGACCGTGGGCTGAAAATACGCGTTCTAGGAACAAACAGACCGTATCCTGTGCATTGATGTTGTCGTAGGTGGGGACAAAGTGTGCCATCTTGGTGAATCGGTCCACAAAAACACAGATTGCCGTATAGCCGTTTGAGGGGGGGAGTTGGGTGATGAAATCCATCGATACTGAGGTCCAGGGGCGATCTGGTACAGGCAGGGGTTGTAAAAGTCCATAAGGCTTGTGAGTGGATGACTTTGTCCGTTGGCAGGTGTCACAACCGTTGATGTAATCCTTGATGTAACGCCACATGGAAGGCCAGTAAAAGGTTCGACTGACAAGGTCTGAGGTCTTGGTAATTCCAAAATGACCGGCGGTTGGGGCGTCGTGACATTCTTGAAGGATTTGTTTCTTGAGTTCGGGATCGTCGGGGACGCAGACAAGGCCATCCCGCAGGAGTAGCCCATCTTGAATTGAGTACTGGGCATTGTCCGAGTTCGACTTTGCGGTCTTGGCGAGTATTGGACCAAAGTATAGATCATCGGGGATTAGTGTCTTGATTTTTTCCTGGATCGCTGGCGTCTCTGGTTGCAGTGACCGGGCCTGGATGGTGTTCAGAATCTGGATCGGCGGTAGGAGGGTCATCTCGGTCTTGCCGTGCTGGGCCGCACCTCCCTCTCCAGGGTTGTCCCGCCGGGACAAAGCATCGGCAGCGGCATTCTGGGAGCCAGGGCGGTAATGGATGGTAAAGTTGTAGTCAGACAAGATTTCAGACCAGCGGACTTGACGGCGGCTCAATTGGCGCGTGGTGGTAAAGTACTCAAGATTTCTGTGGTCGGTGATGACTTCCGTGGTAGCGGGCGAGAATTCCAGGTAGTGTCGCCAATGTTTAAAGGCAGACACAATGGCAAGGAGTTCTTTGTCGTAGATCTGATAGTTGAGTTCAGCAGGCAATAGTTTTCGGGAGTAGTAAGCGATAGGATGTAGGCGTCCATCTTGGTCACGCTGACTGCAGACAGCGCCGAGGGCCTTGTCAGAAGCGTCAGTTTCAATGATGCAGGGGCGATCTGGTTGGAAATGCCGAAGGACGGGGCCAGACATGAAGCGTGACTTGAGCTCCGTGAAAGCGGCTTGTGCGATAGCGGTCCAGACAAAGTTAGTATTTTTCTTGAGTAACGCGGTGAGAGGCGCGGCGATATGGGAGTATTTCCGTACAAAACGACGGTAGAAGTTGGAGAAACCCAGAAAGCACTGGACATCCGAAACGGAAGAGGGAGTGGGCCAATCGCGAATGGCGGCAACCTTGGCGGGGTCCATAGAAATACCGTCAGTTCCGATCACAAAGCCGAGGAATTCGACTTTGTCCTTGTCGAACGAGCATTTCTCGAGTTTTAAGCATAGACCAGCGTCTTGGAGCTTGCTGAGAACTTTGCGGACATGCGCGGTATGTTCCTCAAGGGTGTCGGAGTAGATAAGAATGTCGTCAATGTATAGCACGACAAAGTCATCTAGGTAATCGCGGAGGACGTCGTTGGCGAAAGCTTGGAAAGTTCCGGGAGCGTTCATTAGTCCGAAGGGCATGACTGTATACTCGAAGTGGCCATAGCGGCAGCGGAATGCAGTCTTCCATTCGTCGCCCTCCTTGATGCGGAGAAGATTGTATGCTCCTCGCATGTCGAGCTTGGTGAAATACTTGGCTTTGCCTAGTCGGTCGAAAGTTTCGGAGATCAGTGGCAGAGGGCATCGATTGGGGACAGTCACCTTGTTGAGGCCTCGATAGTCGACACAGAGGCGGAGAGAACCGTCTTTCTTTTTAACAAAAAGGACGGGGGCGCCAGCTGGAGACTCGGATCGACGGATGAACCCTTTTGCAAGGTTTTCTTGAATATATTCGCGTAGAACTTGCAGTTCCGTTTGTGATAGGTTGTACACTGGTCCAAATGGCACGGTGGCTCCTTCGACCACAGGGATATTGTGATCATAGGGTCGATGTGGCGGTAGCTTGTCGGCTTGCATCTTGGAGAATACCTGAGCATATTCGGCATATTTCTCGGGCAGTTGGACTGTGGGTTTTGATTCAGGGATAGAGTTGTCGTTGGTGGTTGCGCTGGCGAGTTCTTCGATTCGGGAGACGTCGAGCATGTATCCGACTCCTTGATTGGTCTTGAGGATCTGACGGAGTTGTGTATTGCTAATAATGGAGATGTTGGTTGCTGATCGGTTCTTGGCGGATTTGGATAGTTGGTTGGATCCTGAGGTGTACTTGGTGGGAACCAAAGTGGATTTGGGTTTGGAAGGTGGCAGAAGGATTCGGTCTTGTTCCTGGAAGGAAGGGATGGATCGAGGCATTGTTGATTGTGCAAGGGGGGAAAGCTTGTCGAGTGTGTGCTGATGGAGGCATGGCATAGTAATGGTTCGTTTCTCCCAGTCGATATATGGGTTGTGTGAGCGGAGCCAGTCCATGCCAAGAATAATGGCATAATTGCCAAGTGCAATGAGTTGAAAAGTGTGTGTGGAAAAGTGTTGTGAGTGGGATTGCATAACCAATGTGGTGGCGTGATGAGAGGTATGTGTTGAACCATTGGCAAGAGAGATTTGTAATAAGTGTTGTGCTAGTGGAAGATTGTGCTGTTGTGCTAGATTTTGATGAATGAATGAGATGGTTGCTCCTGAGTCGATCATTGCATGGACTGGTAGTGAGGAGTTTTGGAAGTGAAGAGTAATTGGAATAGTAATAGGGGATAGCAGAGGATCATTTGGAGATTTGTTATACAGCTCGCCCAGACACACTCCAACTTTACTGTCTAGGCTGAATCTTTTTCCAATTGGAAAGAGATTGCATCGGGCTGGTCGCTAGTCTGTGTAGGCTGAAGGGCCGAGATCGAGGCTGTTGCCTTTGGGGCGTTCTTGAACGAGGGCTTTGCAGGTTTCTTGGGGCAGTCGTCAAGCCAATGATCTGCTGAACCACAGTAGGTGCACAGTCCTTCCTTTTGACGACGAAGACGCTCAGACGGTGGCAAAGGACCATGGCGAGCATGCGAGAGATCCATGTCCATCGAAGTGGTCGCGGGAGCTGAGGTAGCAGGGGTGGACGCGGTAGTTGGGGTGGATGAGGCTTGAGTGGTAGTAGAAGTGTGGGCAGTGGTGGAACGGGACGGAGTGCTGGAAGATTTGTTGCCGGAACGGGTCACTGCATAGCCGTACTGTCGGTTGTCGATGTCGATAGCCAATTGTGAAAACTCGGCAAAGGTAGGTGGCTCGGGGTAGTTTGCCATGGCTTCTTGAACAGACTCCTTCAGGCCGAGGCGGAACTGTGAAATCATTGCGCTATCATTCCATGCTGTATCCGCTGCAAGGTTGACGAAACGGTTTGTATAGTCGATGGCAGAACCGCGCTGTCTAAGTTGACGGAGTTGGGTTTCTGCTAGGACGTGAGCATTGGAGACTCCAAAGTTCTTACTCATAAGAGCAAAGAACTGATCCAGGTTAGAAATACATGCGGGTCTCTCCTCGACAGGCAACTTGAAGGACGGAACGTATCTCTGCATGTACTTGAACGCTGCAGTATCACCGAGGCGCGAGATAGCCAGCACAATGCGGTCGTGGTCGTTCGGATAGAGGGTCTCGTTTGCAACGAAGAAGAGTTCCAGCTGAGCCTGAAACCCTTTCCAATCTTCACGCTTGCCGGAGAAGACTGCGGGGGGTGCTACTTTTGGCCTCGAAGGGGAGCTATTGCTGGAGCGAGGTGTAGTTGATTGGAAGATGGCACTCACTGTGTTGGTGACATCGGTCTTGTGATCATAAAATAGTTTGCCTAGTTCTGCGCGAGTGATGGGTGGTAATTGTGACGTCATCTTCTGGACGTTGGATTCGAGGCTGAGTAATCGAGGGTTGAGGTTGACGGTCAGGCTTGTGAAGAAATCTTCGTTCGAAAGAATGAAGTCCAGCATATCACGGTACTTCTGAACAGTCTCCTCGAGTTCGGTGACTTTGGCTTGCAAGGGAGTGACCGTCTGAACTATTTGTTCAAGTGTGGCTACTCGGTCCATCAGTGCTTGGAAGCGCGCGTTGGCTGTAAGGATCTCACTATCGGGTAGCATTGTAGTTGATACGGAAAGTGAAGAGTTGTTGTAGTTTCTGAGGGTTGTGGGTTGTGTACGGAAGATGGTAGTAAAAGAGGAAAGAACTTGAAGAAGATAGGGTTTGGTTTTATTGTGGAAAAGGCTTTTTTTTTTTTTTTTTTTTTTTTTTTGAGCGCTGAAGTATATCAATAGAAAACAGACAAAGTTTGATCCAAGGTTCTTTAGGTGTATGACTTGGTATTGTCAAGAAAGCAGACCAAGCAATAGAATGAAGTAGATAAAGAGAACCTTGATCAAGGACTAAGAAATGAGTATAAGGAATAGGTTAAAGAGTATGTTGTATTGGCGATACCAAGTAAAGAGCTATAGATTTGCTATCTAAGGCCCTTTTATACTCGTTAGGGCGAAGTCACAAGAGCAAGCTCTTGTCTCGTGACAATGTCTATAAGAGAGTTCCGTAATCATACCCTACACCATAGAATCGATCAAAATGTTAAAAGAGTGAACAATGCTCGCCCGTTCTTTAGATCAGTCCTCTCATCCTTTTTGCTGGCTCACTTTTTTATTCCTAATATTATTTTCCCCCCTTTGAAGTCAAGACACATCCAAAATGAATGAGAAAAGACCCCAGGTCGGCAACACCTCTAGCCCTTACACACCAAACCTGGGAATCGGGAAACCGGCGCAGCGACCGCGGCGTAGCCGCGGCCACTTGCTAGTTTTAGATATTTTAGACCCATTTTATGTTTAAGCAAATACATAGGTCGAGTTTGGGATTCTGGAGGGCGAGCGATTTACTCACTTTGGTGACGTAAATCTCGCGCCCATTGTCCTGTTTCCGGTCTCCTTTAGTTCTTCGCTCATAATCATTGCCCAGCATCTTCACACCAACAGTCGATCATCACTCCCGGAGAGTCGCGATGCATTACTAGTGGGGGATTAGGTCATCGGGATGCACAGCTGGCTTCATCGCCCCTTCATCCGACCAGGATTCTCTGAGAACTGCCGATGAGACCCTGGAGGTGGCCTTTTCCTCTACCGAAGTGGACACCTTTGAGCATACATAGGCAGAAGTGTGGGGCAAAGGTCGTGCCATCTTGGGAATGCAGGCCCTTAGTGACTTCGAGCGCAGTGGTGGCAGTGGGGGATTAGGTCATCGGGATGCACAGCTGGCTTCATCGCCCCTTCATCCGACCAGGATTCTCTGAGAACTGCCGATGAGACCCTGGAGGTGGCCTTTTCCTCTACCGAAGTGGACACCTTTGAGCATATAGAGGCAGGAATGTGGGACAAAGGTTGTGCCATCTTGCCACCATGGCCAGGACGTCGATATTGACTATGCCTTTCATTTACCAGTCATCAACTCATGCACAATAGCCCAACATTTATCCTTTCTTTTCGGCTTCACATTCCCTGGAGAGCCGCGACGCGAGAGCGCGATCTTAACATCAAGCCAGATTCTCTGAAAATTGCTGCAGTAATGTCTAAAAAATGCTCGTCCTTGCGAAGGTGAAAGAGAGGGAGTGGTGTGGGTGAAATAAAGGAATGATTCTGGGAAGGGTATCGGAGTGGTGGCAAAAAGGGGCGACTTCCTTCGCAACATTTCTCTCATCCCTAACACCTTCTTCTCCTTTGATGCTTCGCCGCCTGAGCCTGTCCCGTCTTGTCGATGGCGAATCGACCCCGTTCCCCATCGAGATTGAGTCAACCAAGACAATTGGTGACCTCAAAGACTCGGTCAAAGCTGCTCTTTCTCCTCAGTTTGACGATGTTACTGCAAAGGACCTCACCATCTGGTCTGTTTCGATTCCTGTCTCCGATGACGACGACGACGACGACGACGAGATCCCCATGGTGCTTGACAACGTCAACAGCAAGGACAAGAAGAAACTCAGAGCGATGCGTGGCCTGTTGGAGGTCTTTCCAGACAAGCCGCCCAAAAACACCATTCATGTCATCGTTCAGCGCCCTCCTCAAGGTAATGCACACGCACACACGCGTTTATTGCTTTTTGTGACTTGCTGTTTGCATCGTCGACTCATGTCCATGCACTAACCTAAAGCACTCATCCATTTACACCAACACATTCCATGCGCCTGTCCCTTCTCGAGCCTTGACTCCCCTCCCTGGGTCTCTTTCGGATGGTTCTAGTCCTAGCACCCCACTGTCTGGCATGCACTATTGCGTGTCCCTTTGTATGCGTCTTGATTGTCTAGCATTCAGTTGTCTCATACCCTGCCCTTCTTTCTTTTATGCAACTAGGCGATTTGCATGCTGACATCAATAGGATCACAGACAAATTCTTTGCACCTGGACTGTAATAGTCAATTTAGTCAATTTGATTTTTTTCCCTAATATGTGCGAGATGTTTCATTGGTTCACGTACAGGACAAGGAGGGACAAGGAGGGTCACTTGGCCAATGTTTTGAATTCGCTAAATTCAGGGCAAAGGTAGACACTTTATTTCTCTGCATGCTGCCATGCTCTTCATCTCTTGCGCATTCACTCTCTCATCCTCCCTACTTAACCCTCATCTCACACACTCATCTCACACATCTTCACCATGCATACCAGGTCCTCTCCCTCCAGCACCGGGCCTCCCTTTCTACAAACCAGACAAGCCAGTAGAGAAAAGCGCAAACTACTGGGTGCGGTTCCCATGTTTTCTCTGAAGGAAGAACGGGATATGCCAAGAGAGCAAGGACCGCGCAGAAGAGCACCCCAAACGCCGAGAGTATATCCACTATAGTATTGGACACCGCGCCGTCACCTACAAAGACTACGGAGCCATTCAGGAATACAACCGCAACCGCAACAGCAACAGCAACAACAGCAACATCCAAAGCAACATCCAAAGCAACATCCACTACAGCAGCAACAACGACTAGGCAACGAAAGCCAAGACCCTCAACAAAAGCCGACACCTCCCTCATTCCCCCAGCCAATGCCATTGAAGACAAGGATATTGTTGAGGCTCGGAAACTCTCTGCCAACTCTGTCTTGATGGGTCTCTTGGAGATGAAGAATCCTTCTAAAACGTTGCATCATTACAAAACCTATATGAGGCTATGGAAGGTGAGTTTACGATAACAGTATTAGCAAACTCTTTATTAACAGCACAGCATCAGCAATAGAATTATTAAACACGATGTATTTCTCTCTCAGGACTATTGCGATCTAGTTTACAACAGCGACAGTATCGTGAACGCTAGTAAGATGCTAGACTTCTTTACATCCGTCATATTTAAGAGGACTGTCAAGATGTACATCGATCCTAATGCTGGCTTTTGTGGAGTGGTGGGAATGAAGACCAACGAGGTAAAGGGAAAATCGACACGCCTACAGCAGCGACGCCCTGGAAAATGGACACCGGCAGAGTCGCGAGAAGAAGATCCGCTTGCATCTGTCTTGATGGATATGGAAGCACGCGAGCAGAAAGAGAACGACAGACTTGCCAAGGATCGCCAAGTGGAGGACGAGGATGATGAGAGGGATGAGGAGGAGGATGTTGGGTATAGTGGCAGTGGCGATAACCCAGACAGCGACAACGATGAGGAAGGGGATGTCGATGAGGCAGATCAAGCGGTGGCAGAAGAGGAGGGTGCACAAATCAGCAATGTTCTGAATGGCTTTATGATCAGTTCAGTGGAGGAGAAAACCAAAGGTAAATAATTACTTTGGATATTTTGCTGACTCCTTTGAACAAAGACACTTTCCCTCGCTCTCATGCCGTGACGCTAATGCTATATCTTAAACGATCACATTCTATCCTGTAGTTGTCCAAGAGGCTCAGACAGATGTCGATGGTCGCAAGTTCATCTGGGTCCCGGTGTCGTATGAGACCGTCGACAGTGCCCGCAAGTCTTTGATTTATTTGTGGAGACACCAGGCACAACGGACAGCAACCTACCCAAACCCAGCATCGAATCCACGCCAAGACGCACCGCTCAGGGACGCCATTGACCAGTACGAGGTGTCACTTGTGTACGACCAGTCATTCGTAGGCTCAACCCGGTCGGACTCCTGCTCTATTAGGGACCCTTACACAGAGAAGGAGTTTATCCGAATGATAACTCACACTTGGTGCCAGCGGCCAATGCGACAACTGAAAGGCAAGCGACTCTACCAGTCTGCAGGGCGTTATAGGCACATTCGAGAGCATCTCTGTCTTTTAGCACGGCACCACATGCTATTGCGAGATGAAGATGCTCGTAACTTGAATTTGTCTGATATTTTCAGCATACAGACACGCCATTCTGCTACGGGCTCCGCTATAGCTACCTGCCTCACATTCTGCCTTTCTCGAGGAAAAACGAACAGGAAGGGCGTAAAGTTGTATGCAACTGCCTTTCGTCACAGGAGGTTCTACAGATGCACAGTCGGGGCGTTTGCTTTCTACATGCTCGAGAAATTCATGGTAAGATTAATGAATCATGTCATCGCCTACATCTATGGACTATGTTGCGCCTTTAGCTTATCTGTTGTTTTGTAAATATATATCTTCTGCCATGATAGGTCGAGAACGAACCTATTCCTGACTTCTCGAAGCCAGACAGCTGGTATAATATAAAGCTCCTCGTATCCGGCAGTGATCCAGACCAGCGCGTCAAAAGTCGTACAAAAGCATTGAACAGCAAGACTCAGATCGACTCCACAGCGGCTGTTATGCGCACCTGTGAGGTATACTCCTCTAAGGTGACCCACTCTGGTCGACATGCGGGAACATCGGAAGCCTATCGTCTCAACTTGAGCCTGGATCACATTCGCCATCTAGGACGTTGGGTAATGGGACAGATGGAGTCCTTTTATGCCCCCAAGAATCCGATCATTGGTGCATTCTATATGGCACATTTCAACAAGCCCAGCGAGCCTTATTTGATCGAACGGGATCTTGTCACACCACCATTGGAGCTCCAGCGTCTGATCTTCCCATGGATCGAGCGTTCCTTCGACCTGGACGACCCGGGAAAAACTCTTTCATGGATTGCCGAATGTGATCAGGAGATGCTAGGGCTCGACGAAAGTGTTATCACGGATGACGATATCCATTGGGAATCTCGTTTTCAACATTCAACAGCACAACACTCGACAAATGGACCTGATTGGACCGTCAACAGGCTTACCAGCAGCGCTCAAGTCGATCGCATAGCTTTTTTAAAGTTGTTGGTTCGGATGCGACGAGTTATTCTTCAGGACGCAGTTCTTCGCCTTGCGCCCGACGCCAAAGGAAGGACTCTAGATAATAGCCTGTTCACATCGCTACCCCACATTTTCGACAGCGCAGTGTTTATGGCCTTCAAGAATGAACTCCTTCAGGCGATTGCATTACACCGGCAAACCTCGACCGTCCTCAATCCATCCGTGTCCATGGACAAACAGGATATAAGCAACGCCATGAACGCTATCAGCAATCAGGTCTCCCAGGTCCAGATTGCCCTCGCGCAAGGTCAAGGAGCCTTAGAAAAGCGCATCCTGGACCGAATATCCCAAGAAATTCAAAAGGCTACGACTACAACCCAGCCGCCTACGCTCGGACACACACAATACTCTCCATGGCACCCGTACCCATGCGCACCATATCCTGTCCCACCCAGTCTATACCCGCCATCGTATCTTCATCCGTCATATCTTCACTTGTCGTCTTATCCTCACCTATCATACCTCCATCCGTCATTGTACCTTCACCCGTAGTATCCTCACCCGCCGTATCATCGGCCGCCTGGTCAACAATCAAACATACCGTACTACGGATCACATCCTAGTCCTCATTATCAACCAATATCGTCCCAGCCAACACACCAAATACGACCTCCGTTGTTTCATATGCCGCCTAGCCTACCAACCTCGCCTAGCCTTCCGGTCCAAGCATTAGCGCAGGAGCCACCATCAAGTGCGGCCAATTCTCCTCCCCTTCCACAAGACCCGCTCTCCTTGGCGTCTCCTTATCATCCACAAAATATTCAGCCTATCAGCATATGGTACAAATGCTCCCTGATAGAGGAGCGTTGACGGTACGCGCTGCGTGGGATGAGTTTCACGGTCCTCTCTCTCATCTAAGGAGTCAGGGCTGTCTTTCAAATGATCTGAGGACGAAAAAAGCCTATAGTCGTCGACGCGAGTTTGCATTGTTGGTACAAGAAGCAGCAGAAAGAGAGAAACACCCGGTGGAGGTTCTTGTTGACGAATGGACAGAAAGGTTTAGAGGACAGACCATTAACTCTGTTCGCGATGAATTGAAGGCCCAACAGAAAGTAAAGTAGAACACTAAACCCATGCCTGCTTGCCACAATAAATACCAACCCTCAAAAGTGATACAAGGCGCAGTGCAAACCATGGATTACATATGAGGAGGAGGAGAGATAGAAGTAGGAAGGATCCATGATGCATATGAATATCAATTGATAATATAGTAATCCGAAGGCACAAGCAACGTAACATGCCTTTCAACGCAAATCCACACCTCTTTACGTCTTAGACACATAGCATTCAGCTCAATATTACTTGATTTCGCTAAAGAAAACTTTGTTTCATTGTTACACAAAAAGCCACAAAAGGAAATCGGAGTGACATGGGAGAGACATGGGAGGGACATGGGAGGGACACGGTTTAAGATTCGATAAACATACTGTGCCTGAAAAAACACATTTCACCACCAGCATGCCTGCCATCCCTCAATCACTTTCGTTTACAGATTGTCCATCCTCACTCAAACCCCACCTATAATCTACACTCAGCAGAAACACATCAGCACCCAAACTCCTCTCTTCTCCAAGGTCTCCATCTGCTTTGTCATCACTTCCATTCCTCAAAGTATGAATCACTTAAATATGCACCTGTCCACTGCTGTTCTTTTCTCGATATTGTCTATTGACACTAGGCGCTATCTATCCGCGCTCTCTTCTTAAAACTCCCTCAACTACCACCTACCTTCCACCATGCTGCCCAATAGAGGACCCCGAACCCGCCGCTCGTACGCTACTGCTGTCGCCGAAGGTCCACTTCGTACCGAAACGAAAGTCAAACCGGAAAGATGGTCGCTATTGATGAACCAAATAGACGAGGACAGCGCCGAGGTCCTGCTGCTGCTGAAGCCACCACTCTCGGGACTAAACCCTCCACAGTAACAATCCAACCTACTACCAACACTCTTTCTGTCAAAGCTACAGCTCAGAGAGCCCCTGTCCCTGCGATCGCCACCAGAACGCGAACAAAGGCCACCAATACCACCACCCCCTCCGCCAATACGCCAACCACTACCAAGACCCCCAATGCCCCAAAGGCCAGTTCCACAATAACCAAGGGTCAAAAGAAGGTCCTTCGTAACAATCCTGGTGCCACTGGCTCTGCTTCCCCTCTTCCTCGAACCTCAAAGGCGGCGAAAAAGAAAAGGCCAAAAGCGACGAGCAAGAAGTCAGTGGACTCTGCAGACACAGATGACTCGGACCCTGACACTGTCAAGAAGTCGGCCAAGAAGAAGGTATAGCGGTACCACGGGCCGAATGGATCTACAGTCCGTCGACTTCCAATGCACCAGAAAGACCAGAGCCGGGCCTATCCAACAATCCCTCCTGGAATGACAGAAGGAGAGTATTCACAGGCCATCAAATCCTCATCCAACAAGGTCCTCTATGACCTTCTGGCGCGGAAGGATAATGATATCCAGGAGTTGACCGTCAGGCAACATAAAGTGAAGCTCTTAACCTGGCAGGTTAGTACTTCATTGCGTTTGTATTTCACAATTTGTAGTGAGATATGCCTTATTTTTATGCATCAATTTCTAATACTCTTGTTCCTTTTTTCATTGAGTCAAGTTCTACTGCGATATAAATTATGATGGCGACTACACAGTGAATGCTGAGCGCATGCTGCCGTACTTTGAGAACCTGGTCTTCCTCCGAACATCCAAGAAGTTTATCGTCCCTGATATTGACTACGACGGCGCCATTGGCCTCAGGCCTGCGGGATGGAAGCCGCCAAATCCTAAACAACGACGAACAGCTAAAAAAACCAAGGATATTGAAGAGTGGATACCAGAGTCGTCTTCCAAGGAGCAGGACTTACAGGTGTGGACCCCTGATGATGCTGACGCAGCGATAGCCCGATCAGAGGAGCTGGAGTATGAGGAGCACGAGGATGAAGATGAGATAGTTGCTGCTGCAGTGGATGAGGTTGTAGATGTCGACATGGAAATCGTCGTAGGCAATAACCGAGAGAATGACAACAACTCAGTCGAAATCACTGTCCAAGAAGAACTACAAGCACTGCATGCAATGGTGGAAGGTGAGGATGAGACTGGCCTTGTTCTGGAAGGTGAGGACTTTGAGTCTGGAGACCAACAGGGGCTGGAGCATGCCACTGGAACAGAAGCTCCTGCAGAACCCCTCATAATCGAGACTGAGGCAGACAAGATGAAAGGTATGTATAATTCTCGGTCTCAATTGATGTTATTAGGGAGATAATGACACTGATATTTGTTTGACCTTTCAATTATTACTAGTCTTTTCTGGTCTTGTACTTGATAAGCATGGTCGTATTGCGATCACGGTACCTTTGTCTCTGGGAACTGTTGACAACTACCGCAAAGCTTGTATATATCTCTGGAAGCTTCAAAACCAAAGGACCACCTTGTGCCCAAATCCTGCGCCTAACCCACGTACCGATGGACCTTTGGATGATGCCATCAACGCCTATGGCGTTCGTCTCGTCTATGACAAGGCTACAACTGGAACAACAAGGGACACAGCTTGTAACACACGCGAGACATATGACGGTAATGACAACTAAACACCATGAAAGCATGCCCTACCTTTTCACAGCAATCTGACATATCTCCCTTCTTTTTCTTTTTATAAGGCAACAAGCTGGTACGTATGGCAACATTTTTTTTTATTTTTATTATTTTATTTTCTAAGGTTTTATTTGTGGCTTGTTGCCGTATGGTTGAAGATGTAGACGTTTTGCGCTATGGCATTCTTAATTTCTATGGAAATATAGTCAGAGATTTCCTCCGATGACTGTGTGTGTTTGTGGAGGAAGAGGATGGTGTTTGCTGTGTTTATACCTATAAGGCAGCAGGCCAGCAATTGTGGAGGGGTGATGTGTATTTGGGCTTAATGGAAAAGATGGGGGGTTTAAAGGAGAGCAAAGTATGGAGATCTTCATCGGACCATGTGGGCCTGTCCGTGTATTCTCGCAAAATGAACTGCCATGCTAGGTACTTGCCCTTGCATCCAAAGATATGGTGGTTTTTGTCAGCCTTTCTTTCCCTGCATCCCTGAGCGTCACAATGGGCGTCCTGTTTCCACCTGTGGGCCCGAAACGTGCCACATGGGATAATGTCACGCTTGTATCGCCACCAGAAAGAACGGGCTCTATGTGGAATCTTGGTTTTCCAGAACTTGCGCCATTGGGACTTGGTGCCGGATTCAGGGTGCATCGTCGAAAGGGGGTCGGGAGAGGTTCGGGTTCGAGAGTCGGGGACAGGTAATGTCGGATCTGTCTGGTGGAGGCAGTCCCTAAAGTTACCTTTGTCTTGCCGTTGTCGAGGAGGATGAGTGAGCGTATTCTCTGAGCCAGGCGACCTCCGACGACTCCAGCATGCAGTGTCTGTATCGCGTCCAGGTATGCTTGTGACATCCGCCGAGTATTAGTTCCTGCAAGATGTGTAATGAGTTCGTCTCTTATACACTTCGATTTCCGGGAGAGTCGGCGCTTGTATGCCGCCTTGAACTTGTTATTCCCGTCTATCTCCAACTCGAACAGGTCTCCAATCCGTGCGGTGAGAGTGGTGTTGTCATTATCCATCGAAGGGAACCACCATTCCAGCGGGCTTTCCAGAAAAGTGGTCGAATCTGGAAGTCCTGCCTGCATGGTGGGTGCCTTGATCGGGGGGAGTGTGCTGGCCGCCTTGACTAGCTGCAGGAGGTGGGGGAAGTGTTTGAGTTGTTGGTGGAGTCTGTTCTCCTGAGGGTCCAGCATGAAGGATAGGCGGTGGATGTCACTTGTCTTCCAGAGGATAATATCCAGTACAATGTCCTTCCCCCAGGAGACTGTCGTAGTCGTGGCGTTGCGAAGGTGCTTGATGAGAAAAGCTTATTGTTGCTTCGCCGGATCTATGACCCCAAGGCCGCCGTTGTGTCTAGGGGTGGTGATGACCTTCCATGATGCTGATGGTTTGAAGGTGCAAACAAATCGCGTAATGCAATCAAGAAAAAGAACTCAGCGCAAGACTAGCCACAAGCGACCTAAAAGTGTTGGACCTTTCGTCGATCACGACTCAAACAAAGAAAACGTCCCGTCTATGATAACTCGATCAGAAAACTATATACTTGGCGCATTGTGATTGATCTTTCACTCTCCGCAAATAAAGTTTGTTCAGCCACAATAGCCACAACGACCACAAGACTAGCCATCGTATTTCGATGACGTCGGACATGCAAATCATGCCTGCTGATGGGGGCTAACCTGGACAAATAAGTTTATTTCATCCACCGTTTCTTTCCCCAACATCACTGGGGTACCATACAACAATGATCAAATCGTCATGCTTGAGAGAAATGAGCATTTGTCGATCATTCGCTAATCGCTCCTTCCCAGAGACGGAGACATTAGCCCTAAACACGCAAAAATGTCATACCGGATGCATTCGCGTTAACCTATGCTAGCATACTTCCCATTGCATCCCTATTTAATTCCGGGTTTGGACCATTTAATGACCCGGTTTTGACCAATTAATTAAGGTTTTACCGCCATTTGTGACTTGTTTTTTCATCCCGACCCGGTTTCTTCCCGTAAATCGTTCCGCCCTTGATTCTTTTCGTCTCTCCGGGGCTTGGGATCCCGTTTGGCGTAGTAGTAAAGCGTCCCTCTCACAATCTTGAGGTCCTGGGTTCGAGTCCTAGGAGAGCGTTTGGTTTGGCTTGGCGCATGATCTCATCATCTTACACTCAAGGAGTTGAAGGCTCCTCTCTCTTCTACAGCACAAAGTCTTCCCTCAAATTCAGAGTCTTGCCGCTGCCCCCTACACATTTCTTTCTCAAGTACCGTCTTTGGATAGCGTTGCCGAATGTAATGACGGCTAAAGCCTATTATTCGACAACGCCAGGGACTCTAGATGTGTGTATCTTTCTTTTATTATTAGCCGTGACTTCCGAAAAAAAAAAAAAAATGAAAATGAAAATGAAAAATGAAAACAAAATAAAGGGGACTCTAGGTGATCTGTTGATCTCTATCTACTTGCTAGAAAAGGGCGGGTCGGGTGGGACATCTAGAGTCCCTGGCGTTGTCGAATAATAGGCTTTAGCCGTCATTACATTCGGCAACGCTATCCATTATTCTTCCTTGCCAGGGACTCTATCTGTGGGTTCAGAGTTGAGGAAATATGGCTGCGGCGAAGTTGCTTGTTAGAGATCGCAAGATCCTGTAGCACACTTCAACAATGGCTGGGGATGACCGACGGCCGTGTCTGTCAACGTCGTCCGGCGGGATCTCCTTCTTTAGCGTGGTGGTAGTGCTCAAACATCCGGGTGCTCCCTTCTCTACTGCTTGTTGCCGTCGACGTTCCAGGCCGAGAGCGACCACATTGGATTCCTCTCGAGGATGTGTGGACTGTTCCCCGGAGCTGGTAAGACTTGGTTCCTCGGGATCCGTAGAGGCTTGTCGACCGACATGGCTGTGATCATAGGATACCAGAGCGCGCTCGTCCAGAATGGAGTGATGACCGTTGCCTTGACCTTGTCCTGCTTGATCTTCTGGAGGACCTTGGTGATTAGCGACCACGGTGGACACGCATAAACTCTGTTCATGTTGGACCAGTTGCTGTTGAACGCGTCCTGGCCCCAGGCGGATTCCTCCCGCTTCCATGAGATGTATCGAGGAACTTTGGCGTTCGTTGCTATTGCAAATAGGTCGATGTGGTGGTGACCCCATGTCGACTCGAGGGTTTGGAAGAATGACTTGTCGATCGACCATTCCAGCTGCGTCGTCATCCTCCTGGACGGTGCATCTGCTGGATTGAACTGTGAGGGAACGTATGTCGTCTTGAGTCGTGTGCCAGTCGCCATACAGTGGTTCCATATCCTGGTCGTCAGGTCGAGTAGTGGTCGAGACCTCGTCCCGCCGAATTTGTTGATCTGGGCAATGGTTGTCATGTTGTCGCAAATAACATGAATGGTCTTCCCGATCGTTTCTGGAAGGTGGACCAAGTGCCAGATGACCCGCAGCTCCTTCCAATTGATGTGGTGAGATTGTTCCGATGCGCTCCATGTCCTGGACCTCTCCTTGTCCTCGATCACAATCCCCCATGCATCCTCCGAGGCATCGGTGTATGCGTCGACTTCCGTCCTCTGAGGCAAGAATCCTTGACCGTTCCACTCCGAAAGATGAGATCGCCACCAGCTGAGATTCTCCAGTGCCGCCGTATCCAATGTGACCGGGTCCGTCCACTTGCATTTCTTGGCCAGAGCTGCATTCTGAACCTGAATCAGATTCCTCGTCCTCAGTCGAGCCGGAAAGACCGCCACCGTCATCGCGATCGCCTTCCCGATAAATGCCGCCAGCCGCCGAAGTTGAACCGTTCCTGCTCTGATCAGCTTCTCCGCTTCCCTGCGCAGGTCGCGGACTTTTGGCCTTGGAACCGACAGTGACATGTTGCCGGTGTTGATCCTGAACCCAAGATGGTCGATACATTAGGTAGGATCTAGTGTTGACTTGGTGTTCTTGATAAGGAATCCAAGCTTTTCCAGCTGTTCCCGAACTAGACGAGTATGCTCCTTGGCCTCCTCCTTGGTCCTGGCTGCAATGAGGATGTCGTCGAGATATGCCGAGATCCTGATCCCCTTCTCCCTCGCCCACTTGAGAATCGGACGGACGATTTTTGTGAATACGAAGGGGGAAAGTGAAAGTCCGAAAGGCAGAGTTCGGAACTCGTATAATGCCGCTCCCCATCTGAATCGGAGGTACTTGCGGGATGCTGGATGGACTGCCACATGTAGGAACGCATCGCTGAGGTCGATACTCGTAAGCCAGTCGCCTGGTTTGAGCATCCTGCAAATGTTGGTAAGGGTTTCCATCTTGAACTTGGGTGCTGTCAAGAATTGGTTGAGTGGACGTAGGTTCAACACTGGGCGTAGGTCTCCCGTCTTCTTAGGGATAGTGACGATACGACTGTAAAATCCCTTCCCGCTGCAACCTTCGATAGCCTTTTTCCGTAATAAAGTACGGACCTCTTCGTCGATAGCCGTCCGTTCCTCCGGCGAATTGAACGGATCGTGTAGCGGTGGTAGGCGCAGTGGTGGAGGTCGGTCGAAAATGATGCTGTAGCCCGACCTGATGATGTTGTTGACCCAGGTCAAATCCGTCATCTCTCTCCATGCCTCCTGGAACTGGAGAAGTCGTCCTCCTACTAATCCGACTCCTCCCCGTCGTTTCCCTGGTCTGGTTGCTTCCTGCCTTGACTGCCACCAGACTTGTACCGAGGCTTGCTACCATACTTGCCTCCGTCCGACTTGTAACCCGACTTGCCGTTGTCGGATCTATATCCTGACTTGTCCTTGGGTTGCGACTTTCCCGACTGCTGGTCCTTGGGAGTGTCGTCTGTTGCTGACTTGTCTTTGATAGACTTGTTGTCAGGCTTCTTGGTCTTGTCCTTTGGAGGTTCGTATTTCTTGTATGTCTTTCGAACCAGATCAGCGGCTGCTTTTTTGGCTGCCAGTGATTCCAAAGTGAAAAGGGATTCCTCCTTGTCGTTTCCATGCTTAATACCGAGTTCGTCGAGGTAAAGGTTCTCTCGCATTCGACTGATCCTGGAAGCGTCGTGGGATGCTGAGATACGTACGGTGTTGAGGAAACCGAGCGTACGTTTGCCGTGAGCCGAGTCGGATTCCTTATTTTTGATGATCTCATGGGCGAGAGTGTCGTAGAACCGGGTTGTGTGTGCTAAATATCCTTGGATTGTTGCCAAATCACGTTCGTGTCGCTTGGCTGCATCCGTGAGGGACACTTCGGAGTGTTGCAAAACTGGGGGAGGCTTGTAATCCATACCCTCGGTGTAATGGTAGTCGTTCCAATCGAAAACGTCATGGTTCTTGGGAAGCTCGGAATCGAAGAACTTGGGTTCCCCGATGGCTGGATAGATGTTGAGGAGTTCCTCGTAGAGCTTGAGAGTGGTTGCTCGGGGCTTGCAGACCACTTTGCCATCCTGTTCGACTGATTCGGCTTCCAGTTGTTGAATCCTGGCTTGTTGCTGTTGTAAAAGGAGTTGCTGTTGCTGCATTTGCTCCTGCATAAGGCGAAGGGTCGTGTAAATGTCGATATCGACATCGGGGGCCGTAGGATTGGGTGCATGGGACATGGGGGAGGATCGTTCCGAGATTCGGGGAGAGTGTTCCGGCCGTGAAAAAGAAAGATAGAGATCAACAGATCACCTAGAGTCCCCTTTATTTTGTTTTCATTTTTCATTTTCAATTTTTTTTTTTTTTTTCCGAAGTCACGGCTAATAATAAAAGAAAGATACACACATCTAGAGTCCCTGGCAAGGAAGAATAACAGAAATAAAAAAACCCCCTGGTGGCTTGTTGCACCACTGGGACTGTTCTCTCCTTACTGAGCCTTCCTACGGGAAGGTTCAATTTTAAAAAAAAAAAAAAAAAATCGTCTCTCCTTCTCTTTCTCACTCGCCCACACACCTTCTCACATCCTATTATGCCATCCAAAAAAGACGACCTTACCTCCGAGCTCATCTGGAAAACACACACAGAGTACAAAGACTCCTCTCTTCTCTACTTACCACGTATTCAAAAATTCCTCCGTGGTTACTCTATACCATTCAACACTTGCATCGCCATCATCGACATCCTCATCAAAGATTCGAAAAGGTCTTCAGCCATTGCTAAATTAAATCGCTTCTTCCCCAAAGACAATTCAATAATCCCTTCACTGCACTCCCCTGAAGGCGCCCTAAAAGACAAAAACTTTCACATCCTTCACCCAACCTGCAACTATCCCACTCCGCCATTATCCTACCTGCGGATGACATTGAGTCACTCGATATACCTTTGAGACCTCAAAAGATTTTCGTCAGGCATCACTCTGTATCATCCTTGAGGAGATATACTCCTCCTTTCGCCAACGGCGCTCTTATCACTGTTACAAAAAGATGTGGTGGCTAGGCAGTGGCGGCGATGCCTTAGGTTAGCAGTCATATTCTTTAGTAGACATAGTATTAGTAGTGCGCCGAGCCCTCTTGTCTGCTCTTTGTCCTTTTACACATCACTTGGACGAGAGCAGTATTGACAAGAGTTTCGCTGGCACGCTGCAGGTAACAACCCCCTCTTTGATAATATGAATACAAGGTCCTTTTACACATCACTTGGACGAGAGCAGTATTGACAAGAGTTTCGCTGGCACGCTGCAGTGTATCGTTTTGTGTGATTCTTTTAGGACACTATTGTCACTTCCCCTCCCCCCAACCTACAACCCCCTTCCCCCCCCTCCGTACCAATTGAGGACCTAACAGCGGTCCTACAACTCTGGCCGTCGACCCTCTCCCCTGAGTAACATCACTCACCAAGAAATTACCCTTAACAAGACAAATTTGATTCATCAGACAGACCAAAACATGATAGCGGCCCCTTCATGTGCAGAGGATATAAAAAGGCATATAAAAAATATCCAAAGTCCAAGGAACGGAGTGTTGACTTCCATAACTGGCATATCTCTTCATAGTGGGCAACAGAACACAGAATAAAATAGCAATAGACAGCACAAGAATTTTTAAAATGTAATCTCTCCCCTGTATTTCACGACAAAGATACAGTTGAGAATACAAGTGCTTTAGATGATCACATACAAGAACTACTCTGGCGAATCTTGCAGTGAGGGTTACAGGTTAATAGTAGATGGACATATTCAAGAGTTTGGTGTGCGAAAAATAAGAAGACTTTGTTGTTTGGAGAATAGGTTGGTGTTTAGTAGGATAGTTAAACAAAAAATGTTACAATGGTTGTCTTATATGCTTGGTATCATATATACATTCTCCTCTAATGGACGCGGTGGATATCGTCAAGATCTGCAGAGATGTAACAAACACCATATGATAATTTGGACTTGAAAGGCCTCCATAACACGCGTAGACACAGACCATATTCAAGCACGAGCCGAACTGAGCTCACAATTGTACCCTTAAAAGAAAAAAAAGATACCACAGTAGTGGTTGTTACTCAGGGGAGAGGGTCGACGGCCAGAGTTGTAGGACCGCTGTTAGGTCCTCAATTGGTACGGAGGAGGGGGGGAAGGGGGTTGTACACCACGCCCTTGACATAAGAGCGAGATCGGCTCTTATGTTGAGTTTTCTATTCTATTCAATTCAATGAGAGTTTTTTTTTGTTACTTCTTTTTTCTTGATTTTTTAAAAGAAATTCCCAGACATCTACGCCGTGTAAGATAGAAAATTCAAAATGGCCACCTAGGCCGTGCAGCATAGAAAAAACAGACCGAGTCTTGAATCTATATGCTCAGACATCATCCTCCGAAGCATTCACCCTCATCTTCCGCCTTCACACCATCCGCACCCTCTTCTACATCACTCTTTCGCGACGCTCCCTTCTAGACGTCGGATCATGGATGAGTTATGTGTCCCTGCTGCCCTTCCCATCGGTGGCAGCAAACGCTTGGAACCTCCAACCTCAACCAGCAATGCTTCTAAGATGACTCAATCTCGAAACTCGCACACCATAGACAAAAAAATTCTGTTTATCTCGACATATGAGGAACTCAAGAAGCTTATCCCGACCCTCACAGTCAGCACTTTCGCCAGTCATGTTGACTTTAAATATCCAAAGTCCATTGCCACCAGGATCATGAGAGAGAGAGAGAACATTGTCTCTTACAAAGACAATACTCCCGGACGGATGACCCTGTTCAGAATGTTCCCGCGCAAGCTGGAGACTGTCGAGAGAGCCGTATATAACGCTATCATGGATGATCGCGCGTTGGGTATGTACAAACTGCATTTTCACAGTATTCTCTATCCTATTGCAATAATTACCACTTGAGTTAACGCTATGATAAAGGTGTGCCCGTTAACGATAGCCGGACCAAGGAGCTGGCTTATTACTTCTATGTGCGTCTTCTTGAGCGGCAAAACGACAACACGCTACCACAGGGCTTCGGATTTTCTAAAGGATGGCTTGGGAACTTCAAGAATATCTACCAGCTTACTATGAAAACCGGTCGCGGGCAATTGGGAGACGTGGACATGGAGTTTCATAGACCGGCCTTTGAAGCAATCGCAGAACAACTCACAGCCTATGATCCATCCGATGTGTATAACTGCGATGAGACGGGATTGTACCTCAAGGTTATGCCAAATCGGACTCTATCGATAGATCGTGTGAGTGGGAGGAAACCAAACAGAGACGCAAGAGTATCCATTTTGCTTTGCTGTAACGCAACTGGAACAGATAAACGCAAACCACTGGTCTTATGTAAGTTATTGTTGTATTGACGTGATTTATCCATGCGTCAAAATATTCTTCTGACTATTCACATTTAAAACTTACCTAGCTGCCTATCGTCCTCTGGATCTGGATCTGGAAGTAGAAGCGCAACTGGACACATCGTACCACGGGACCGGATACATGACCACAGAGATTTTCCTGGGTTGGCTGGGGGATCTTGATGCGGATATGGGCAGGCAGGGGAGGAATATTGCCTTGCTTATTGACAACGCGCCTGGACATGGAAAGAAGGAGGAAACGGGGCTACTTTTGGACAACATTACCCTCGTTCGTCTCCCCAAGAACACAACCTCTGTATCACAGCCCTTGGATGCTGGTATTATCATGTCTTTCAAGGTCAAGTACAGTCGACTTATGATTCCCGTCATTTCTCACTATCGTCATCTCGACGATACCTCCAGAGCCAAGATTCCCAGGGGCCCGTTGTGGGCCTGCTTACCTCAGGCATGGAACCGCGTCTCTTTGTCTTGCATCCGCAACTGTTTTGCTAGAGTTCCAGTTCTTCCTACGGCCATGCAAGATTACCTCAAGATTGCTGCCATGGAAATAACCCCGGATGATGAGTTGGTCAACTTGAAACGTGAGCTGGCAGAGCTGTATCCTGACCGCTGTCCAACCATTAACCGCCAGACTGACTATGGCATCCTCCTTTTCCTTAAGAGCATGTCACGGAGAGGCCCAACCGTTCACCTTGAAAAATACATCGACGAGATTGCCATTGACGAGAGGTACAAGTCCTTTTTCACTCCCCTACCTCCCATGGAAGAACTGGGTGATGTCTCCGATGACGGCCTCTCAGATGACGAGTATCTTCCACCTATCACTGCTCCTCAAGAGCCGATACCCCCCGAGCAGCGTGTCATGGACCGTCGGTCAGGCCAATATATCTCGGAACCCCCCTCTGATACACCTTCGTCACAAGAACCTGCTTCATCACAAGAGGCGCCGCCACAGCAAACCCCGGTTTTCCCACCAGTGGACACCTCACAATCCTCGTCGGGCAAGAAGAAGAAGGAGTCTTTGCCTAGGATCCCAGCGGATGACATGTTAACGGAACTCAGACACTATAGTACCACCCATAGAAAGCACCATAGCGATCTTCAAGTCAGGGAGATGAAATACCTGGCCAGCTTAGAGAAAAGAGTCATGGCTGATATAGAAGTAATGACTGACTATCTCAAGTTGCATGCAATTAATGATTAAACATGTTGAGCGTGATGTTCCCCAATTTATTTCTACGTTGCACGGCCTAGATGGCCATTTTGAATTTTCTATCTTACACGGCGTAGATGTCTGGGAATTTCTTTTAAAAAATCAAGAAAAAAGAAGTAACAAAAAAAAACTCTCATTGAATTGAATAGAATAGAAAACTCAACATAAGAGCCGATCTCGCTCTTATGTCAAGGGCGCGGTGTAGGTTGGAGGGAGGGGAAGTGATAATAGCGTCCTAAAAGAATCACACAAAACGATACACTGCAGCGTGCCAGCGAAACTCTTGTCAATACTGCTCTCGTCCAAGTGATGTGTAAAAGGACCTTGTATTCATATTATCAAAGAGGGGGTTGTTACCTGCAGCGTGCCAGCGAAACTCTTGTCAATACTGCTCTCGTCCAAGTGATGTGTAAAAGGACAAAGAGCAGACAAGAGGGCTCGGCGCACTACTAATACTATGTCTACTAAAGAATATGACTGCTAACCTAAGGCATCGCCGCCACTGCCTAGCCACCACATCTTTTTGTAATATGGTGTGGTAGTGAAGTCCAGTGGTCTGACCTACTACTGTTTTTGGTTAGGTCTATGTCAATTATAGGTATTTTGTTCAACTAACCCCCTGTAGTTGATAAGGTCTAAACAAAAACATATAACCCAGTCAGATCACTGTCGTGAACAAAGCATCACACGCGATCTTGGATTCTAATGAAGTAGGAGAGAAAGAGCCGACATCGAAGGATTAAAAGCAACGTCGCTATGAACGCTTGGCTGTCACAAGCCAGTTGTCCCTCTAGACTATTTTTCGGGTTCATAGATTTTTCTACTGCTTGGGCCTGTTATCGCTATTTTGCTTTGATTTACTGTCTCTTGTCGCTGTCCTCCCTTTAAAATCAATTTTTTTTCTACATCCCCATCTGTTGTTTGGCGTCCCTCACCATTTTTTGCACTCCCAGCTTTGTCTGCACGCCTATTTTTTTTCGCGTCCCTCTCCTTTCCCTCTCGGCATCCATCCTCTTCTTTTCTCTCTGCATTCCCCCCTTTTTTTTTTTTTTTTTTTTTTTTTTTTTTTTTGGAGGCCACCCTCCCGTTCCAACGTTTTCTTTTTTTTTACTGTCCTCTCCTGCAATTCATCTTTTTACTGTGCCTCTCCTGCGCTGGATCGCGTCACCTGCGCCAGCTTACTCTTTTATTTTTTGTTAATGAAGGTTTGTGGGAAGCACGCCTCATATTATGGTCATGCTCTCTGGGGACCTTTGAAATACGTCTTCTTTCTTTCTTCCCCTCACATTACATACGTGTCCCTTCAATGCTACTGCCTAATAAATAACACTTCTTCATCCCTAACTGCAACACTTCCATCTTTTTCTTTTCTTCTGTCCCAATTAGTTCCGTACCCTTACTTTTACCATCTCTTGCTTTTCTCATCTCTTGCTTTTTCGCTTCTCCCTTTTTGTTTCTGCGTTCCCTTGATATTTTAGCGTACTCCCACTTTCTTTCTGAATCCCCTTGATCTTTTTGTCTTCCATTTTTTTTCCTGTCTGCGTCCGTCTATCTTTTTTGAGAAACCCTTTGTTGTCCCGTGCGTGGGCGTAGGTAGTGAATGAAACAAATGTATGCACAGCGCATGCAAAAATATCAGGGGCATGGGACCGTGGGTGGGCGTGGGTATTGAAAGAAGTGAATGTATGCACAGCGCATGCAAAAATATCAGGGGCATGGGGCCGTGCGTGGGCGTGGGTAGTGAAAGAAGCGAATGTATGTACAGCGCATGGAACAGGACAGTGGGCGTGGGTACTAAAACAAAAAAAGAGTACTAGTCTATAGCCCCTGGAAAAACACATGGCTACAGAAAGAATAGAAAGTGTAGATGTCCCAGGAGAAGGAGATCGAAGCACTCATTATTCAAAATCTAAGTAGAGTCCCTCAGAGGTTTTGGAGTTTCTTATAATTTTTGATTAGGAAATTTCAATTGATTTTCAAAAACGTGACTTGAATTATCGCGAGCTTTGGCCCATGGTCACAGACCAAAAAGGAAGTCATTCAAAAAATCAATTCAGTCCCACAAAAATATAAGAAACTCCAAAACCTCTGAAGGGACTCTATGATTCCGAGTAAATGTGGTTTGTTGCAAAATGTGGTTTCTGCAATATGTGGTTTCTGCAAAATGGCCTGAACACAACGATGGCGACAATGGCAGATTGCTTTTCGTTGTGCAATTCACCCGTCAGCCAATCTTTGGCGCATTGTTCAAGGGTACTCCTGGGCACGTTTTATCTTCAAGTAATCTCAAACTGTATAAAAAGGCTTGCCAGTTCTCGAACAAAGAGTATCATCGACTCCACCCCATCCATTCCCTCCTCCACCTACAGTCCATAGTAAGCAAGTCATTTTTGTTCTCTTGTCTTTGAATATAGCATTTGATCATGGAGAAAGCAAAAAGTACTAATCAAGCTTCTATTTCCTCTTCTAATTCACTGCTGATTCAATAGCGCCACCACTATGGTTTACAAAATTGCGGTCCCGAACCCCTCCTCCCTTGCCAGTACTTGGAAACAACCCGCCGGAGGTCAGGACTGGATTAATCAATTCTCTGGTGCAAACGGCAGCCACACATATCTAGTTAGGATTACAACTGTGGGAACCTACAAGATGACGCAGAATGACTGTCAGCCCTGGTTCGAGTTTGCTCTATCTACCCGTGGCACCACCTCCTGGGCCGATTCCGAGACGACCTTCGATAACTCCTACAATATTGTTGTTATCACTGTGAGCCGAATCGATCAGCTAGCTTGATCACTACAAACTGGCTTTGTTGACGCTGCTCTCTGAAGTGTCCATTTCATAACAGAATACATCTCCTTTAAAAGCGCGTGACAAGCTGATATGAAAATTAAAACCCCTTAAAAAACAAAAAGGCAATCACACGGTCATTGCAAGTCGCCAAAGAAATACTGTACATTTTTTACATAGGAACATGGCCCAGATCCACAAGCAAATTGAAAGCAGTTCCATACAAAAGATATGGAATGTGATCTAGAAAATAGGTTATGCACAAAGCGTTTATACTGTATCATTCACAGAAGGTATTGTTGAAGTACATTTTGTTACATGGATCTAGCACGATCTCACATTTTGTCATGATATTGCACTCTATTGAGAATAACTGGCTTTGCACATCAAAGAACAAAGAACTTTAGATCGCACTTGATGTGCTCTATATGGAACTGCTTTCAATTTGCCTGAAAAAAGTGCATTGACATAGTAGTATACAAAAAAACAATTTGTTCCGTGCTAAATCCATGTAAAATTTTACATGCAAATCACTCGCCACGACATGCGATCCAATTAATTGATCAAGATCAAGAATTTCGATTCCAGCGATGATCCGATGTCGGTTCATGCAAAAAAGAAAAGTGGTGATGAATGAGGTCACGAATCAAGAGAATGAATGACAGGAATCTGGGGGTTGCTCAGAACATTGATGAATTAGCATTTCGAAAAAAACGTCGAAATCGCGTTTTGGTTGATCAATTGATTGGAGCCCTGTAGCAAACCGACTCGGCAAACCCAACTTATTTATTACCTTTACTTTCAACCCCAGATGGCCAGAGATCACCAAATATCTCATTGAAGGATAACAGCAACTGATCGCCCAGATCCCAACACGGGACTTTGCTGTCAAACTTAGGGCGCTGGATTGTGGAATTTCAATAGCAAAGACTATGCATTGTTATATTCTTCTTATTGTCCACCCTGACCACAAACCTAAAACACCTGGAGACTATGACACTATTGTCTCCATCGAGCTCCCCGACTAAAACCAACACCCGCTGGCGTACGCTTCCATTACCCGCTCGATGATCCATGGACCTTGCGGTGAGCAGCACAAACACCAACCTGTGTTTGAATGTGTCGACCGTACCTTCCGAAATCTGATGGACAATCCAAACACCCCTTTTGGCGGTAAACTTATCTTTTTCGGTGGCGACTTTGGACAAACACTACCAATAGTTCAACGTGGCACACAACAAGATATCAACAAGTCATCAATAAAAAACTCAACAAATATCTGAAACCATATCACAATATTTTAAACGAACAAAAAACTTGCGGATTGGAGCAACACAAAGCTCCAAGCGTACATAAACTATTTGCTCAAAGTAGGAGATAGCACTGAGCGAACCTACAACGAGGGGATCCACCTTGATAACATCGAGATACCAGAAGAAGTGATCCTTCAGCCAACAAGAGAAAACACAGACGACAAGTAACAAAACTCGGCGAATACATTATAGAAGCACAGACCATTGCAGGATCATTCACTAGCAACATCGTTCTCACGCCACGAATTTCACTCTCCTCAAAAGACGGCGGCTCCACACCAATTAAATTCACGCGCTTGCAATTTCCAATCCGAGCTGCTTTTGCACTTACCATCAACAAGGCGCAAGGACAAACGCTAACAACAACAGGTGTCTATCTACAACAACCTGTGTTTTCACATGGGCAACTTTATATTGCACTATCAAGATATTCAAACCCTAACAACTTAAAAGTCCTTATCCTTAACGCTCCCACAATGCTTCGACCTTCAAACACGCCAACAACACCCTTTACAACAACCAAAGGACATTACACCAGAAACATAGATTTCAAAGCAGCATTTTAACCAACACCAACTCATTCAAACAAACATACCACAAACCATTCTTTGTTTACTTCGTATAGTACACCTCCAATAATAAACAGATAAAACAATGCATCAAAATAAAGAGAACAATTCAAATGGCAACGCCCTAGTAAAAAAAAAGAAATTGTCTACCTTTTTTGAAATTATCCATGGCCCGCATAAAGTGAAAACTTCACTGTCAGAGTGGGTTGCGTACGCATATTACCCACTCTGAGGTGCGAAATAAAATATCCCTCTCTTTCTTCCTATTGACATATCCGACCATACACCATACTTTTCAACATGGACAGACATGAAGACGCAGCTTGGCATGGACAAACACGAAGATGCGAGCACACAAACCACAAGGAAGAACAAGAACAAAGAAGACACCAGACACCATTCTACTGAACATGATCAGAGAATAGCAGGGTGACGGTATGTCTTGGCATAAGGAGAGTGAAAAGATTGTGTTATTTCTTTTTAGAAACGCGTAAACGTCTCACAATTATCAGTATCAATTCTCTTTAATCCTTGACAGTCTCAACAGGAGCAAACCATCCACGCCTCTCTATACCTGTACCCGTACCCGTTCTTTCTGCTACAAAGTAAGTCTATGTCAGTGTCTGTATGCAACTATGTTCTTTTTTATGTTCATTTCTGTTCATCCCTGACCTTCGGTATTTTTTTCCTACTTATCGCAGGCAACAATCCTATTTGAGCCCTAAGGTCCTTGGTTCGGCGGCTGCGGCGCATGGTAAAAGGGTGCACCGCTCTCAATAAATGCAGGCGCTGAAACACAGACGATGGGCAGAACGACAACGCAACTATCGTCAATGTCTCTAATCCAACCCCTGATGTCCCCATCAACAACATGACCTCTGATATCGACAGCAGAAGCATCTTGATCTAAACGGCTCCTGTCCATGATCCAGTCCCCGACAACATTACGTATTTTGAGGATGCGTATACATGCACCCGGAGTTTCAAGCCCAAGGTTGCCATTGTTGTTCCCCACCTCAACGCCAACTTCAAAGGTGAGTGGGCGCCGATTAGGGGTCTTTTTCAGGACCACCTCAACTCAAGACCAGGAGCAGGAGCAGGAGCAGGAGCAGGAGCAGGATCAAATTGCAAAAGTCGTCTCTGCCAACAATATACCTACTGTCGCCGTCCCTGTCACTGGTCAGGACTCGGACAAAGACTACGGATTCAACGACAACAATGATTTCATTGACGCCCTGGATGGCGTGCTGACGAACGGCAACTTTGACGATGTCTTTTCAATAGCCATTCACAATGCCTACCAAGACGGTACCATCAATAGCGATCGCCCGCCCATTGTTGGGACGTCCTCGGTTACGTTGGACAAGCGAGGGTGAATGATTGTTGAAGAGGAGACTGACGAGGAGTCGGAAGCGGCACCATCGTCCACCGCCATCACCACCAGCACCACCAGCACCATCACCAGCACCATTACCAGCACCAGCGCCGCCATTGCCACAGCTACCGCTACAGGATTAACACCGCCGCCACTGAAGGCTCAATCACTGAAGACCAAACAAATGCAGCAAGCAAGAAGGTATTTCTTTTGGGCATTTTTTTCTCTTGAGTCTGACCATTGCAACACCTTGCTTACTATTTTTTCTCACTCTCTTTTTGTTTGCTATCGTTTGTATAATAGCATCCTTCATGCATCGAGATTCGCGAATTTCGCGATATGAGATACCTCTCTTCCCATGAAAGCATGTGGCGCGTCCTTGGATATCCTTTGTACGGTCGTTCACCTGCTGTGCAACGTCTACAGGTCCATCTCATAGGCCAGCACAACGTCACATACGCGGATCTACTTTGTGTCGCCCGCCGTAACAACGACAGTCAACTGATGGCCTACTTTAAGCTGAACCAAGAGGACAAGGACGCACATAGATATGCATACGCCGAGATTCGCGAGCATTACACCTACGACCAAAACAATCGCAAGTGGGACAAGAGGAATCAAAAGGACACCCTCAAGATTGCCCGGATCTACTTTGTCCAGCCTAAGGACGGCGAGAGGTTCTGTCTCCCTTCTCTGGCCGCCTTTCCCACTATGCCACAAGACATCAGCGACAGCATTCTCCGCTACATCCCAAAGTCCGCCTCTGACCACAGCGAAATATCGCATGAAGAGCTCGCCAAGCTGGCGAGCCCTCACATTCAAACCATGAATGTCGAGCATCGGGTAATATTTGACGAAGTCATCGCCTCTGTCTCCACACCCGTCCGCCCCCAAAGGACCGACCTCTATTTTATTGACGGACCAGGTGGCACCGGCAAATTCTTTCTCTACAACACACTGATTGAACAAATCAGTGGTGTTATGAAAAAGAATGTTGTTGTCCTCGCGTCATCCGGTATAGCAGCTCTGATCCTTCATGGTGGACGCACTGCACACTCTGTCTTCAAGATCCCCATGAAAATTTTTACGCTAGTCACGCACAATCGAATTGATAAGACAAGAGAGGGATCTTTGTTAACAGCCCACACACCTCCATTTATGTCGGTGTCTGGTCATATGACTAAATTACTGTCTCTAGCCTAATTACATTAGCTGACACCCCGAGACAGGCAAATATGCGACACCCCATTCTAGTTTTCAAAGACTCCACCTGCAATATCACCCGCGAGCAACAAGTCGGATCCATTATTCATGCGGCCGACTTTATCATCTGGGATGAGGCACCCATGATGCATCGACATGTCTTTGAGTCGGTGGACCGGATCGTTCGACATATTATGGATCGACCCTTGGTTCCTTTCGGTGGAAAGATTGTCGTGTTCGTGGCGACTTTCGACAGGTGTTTCCGGTGGTTGTTCATGGATCTCAATCTCAAATCGAAGGCGCATGTCTAGGGCTTCTATTCGAATCCATTCGAACTCGCCTTGGTTTAAGTAGATATAGTGCCTTCAACTCGATTTAAACGCATTGCAATAGTGCGCCTATTCGAACAAAAATTTCGAATCAGATTCGAATTCGAATGCGCACAAACCGAATGCAAACCATAGTGGATTCGAATGGATTCGAATAGAAGCCCTACTGCGGCATGTCTAAAGATGTCTGGAACCATTTGGCCCAAGGTCAAGACACTCAAGCTAACTCGCAACATGCGAGTCAAGGCGGACGAGAGTAGCCCTTTTTCTTTTGTCGATTTTTTGCTATATGTGGGTGAAGGCAAGGAGCAGACATTTTCCTTTGACGATTCTAACATTTATATCAGGATTCCAGATCATATCCTTTTTACGCCACATGGACCCAATCTCAACGACGAACACGAGATCCAACTTATCCGCACCATCTACCCCAATATCTCTAATGGCAACTTTACACCTTACGACATCAAGCGCACCGCTATTTTGACTACACTGAACAAGGATGTCAATCATATGAACGGCGTCGCAACCACACTATTTCCTAGCGAGGCAACAGAGTACCTTTGCCAAGACTCCGTTTCGGATCCAGATACAAACGGCGTCGCCAACTATCCTACAGAGTATCTCAACTCTTTGGACCCCACTAGATTACCTCCCCATAAGCTGGTGCTGAAAGTTGGCATGCCCATCATTCTCCTCCGAAACGTGGACCAAAAAAAAGGACTCTGCAACGGAACTCGCTTGATCGTCCGCCTGCTCAGGCCAGGCTGCATCATGGCGACAATCCTAACGGGACCTTTTGCCACCGACTTGGTCTTCATCCCACGAGTGCCGATTTACAACAGACGACAAGTCCTCCCCGATCTCATTCAAGAGACGACAGTTTCCGGTCAGACCCGTCTTTGCCATGACGATCAACGAGGCTCAGGGTCAGACCCTTGAAAATGTTGGACGCTATCTCCCTACTCCTGTGTTCACACACGGTCCGCTTTATGTTGCTCTTTCTCGATGCGCAGACGAAAAAAAATGTCAAGGTTCTTATGATCCATGGCAGCATTCCCGGGCTTGAAGGCACATACACTAGAAACGTTGTCTATAAGAGAGTCCTGTAATCATACCCACACCATAGAATCAATCAAAAATGTATTTTTATTTTGGAAGAGTTGACACTCACTTTTTTCTTCCTAATAAATATATTCCCCTGTTGAAGTCCAAACACATGCAAAATGAATGAGGATAAACCCCAGGTCGGCGACACCTCTAGCCCTTACACACCAAAGCCTGGGAATCGAGAAACCGGCGCAGCGCCCGCGGCGTAGCCGCGGCCACTTGCTAGTATGTCATTCTTTTATAGTCTCCTAATATCACGTGAGTAAACATGTTGGGATGAGAAGGCAGAGGGGGGGAACTATTAAGGGGAGGAGCAACAAAGCACAGAGGAGAGGAGGAATTATGGAGAGTGAGCTCAATGACAACGAGTGTGAAGATGATAGACAGGAAGATGGATATCCAATATAAGAGAGAAATGCGTAGTGAGAGGGACAAATATGAGGAAAGACAACTTTTATGAGGAGAGAGAGAAAAAGGGAAAAAAAGAAGTGATGATCTGTCTAGGGCTAACTACCTATCTTATAGGAAATCGAGAGGGGTCATGACTATGGTAGAATCATTATCTATGGCGGAGCAGGTTATAGGTGAAAGCGATAGTAGATACCAAAGAGCGATAGGCACACATAGAGAGCGATGGTAGCTACTTTGGATCGATGGAGGTCGGCGCCGAAGGTGAGCACGCCGAACTACGAGATTCTAGGGAAGAGCATTGATGTGGTGGCTTAGACACGCCAAACGCAGCAACATGCAGCTGCTGCGACTATCAACTGTTAAACATCTCACACATGTTGTGCGCGTACACAACAACTTCCAGTCGCATTTCGAAGCCTAAGCTCAAAGTCCCTAAGGAAACAAAAACCATTTCTGAAGATGAAGCACCTCGGTACACCCTCTCGAGATCTAGGAACTCGGGAAGACCTGGCACTGATTTATAGGGATATGCCTGCCAGGAACCAAAGGTAGAGACTCCTTTTTGTAATTCAAAAAGTGTGGCACCAGTTTGAGGACATTCTCCTCAGGAGAGCTGGGAAGACTCTCCTCCACACTGGTAAGAGCAGCTTCGCACTCCACTATCTGCTTCTCGATCTGAACTTGTTCAGCTCTCATTGCATCAAGTTGAATGGTCAACTGTCTCTCGCGCATACTCTCTTCTGTCAGCGACTCTCGAACCGCAACCAGAGAATGATCAGCTGCCAGACAGGCCTGTTTACGCTTGTTCTGCTTCAACAGGCCCTTCAAGCGGTCGAGAAAGGCATGCAGCTTGTGAATTGCAGCCTCCATCTCATTGTGGTCCTGAGCCATAAGGGGAGTATTCACATCCATGGTAGTGCTGTTGAACATTGTGAAGAGAAAGATAAGAACGGTTGGTGTGTGTGTGTGTGATTTTAACGGTCAACAGTAGTCGTCAAAAAAAGTCAAATTTTAGGTGGAAAATTGAAAGACGAGAAAGAAGGTGGTCGTTGACCTGTTTATTGAACACACTAATTTATATGGTTCTTCGTCAAATAAAAACAACCCCTGTAACTCGTCACCAGTGCTCTGCAATATGGCTGCCTTCGACAGCATTGTTGGCATTGACATCAATGGGGATGTTGATCATGGGGCGCTCCTTTTGGCATTGGTAACAATGTTGCCTGTGGCCTCTGGCGCGTAAGTATGATCAATAGTGCCCTGGTCCCAGTTCCAGTGATCCGCAGCATGTGAGGCATTGACCTCAGCCTCGACGTGAATGGGGATGTTGACCAATGGGGCGTCTCTCTTGACGGTGACAGGCAACGCGGCTGCCATGGCGGCGAGGGCGACAGCAGAGAGCATAAGGGGGATGGTGGTGGCCTTCATTGTATAGGTGGTTTTGGGAGTCTTTTTTTGTTTTGGTTCGTTGGGCGTATGGGAAGCGAGATGAAGAGTGAAGATGAGGATGGGGATGAGGATGAGGATGAGGATGAGGATGAGGATGAGGATGAGGATGAGGATGAGGATGAGGATAGATGGTACAACGTCCGCGGTCGTTGCTTTTATACTCGAGAACGAAAGCGTTGGGAACACCGTATCTAAGACGCGCGCCTCTGCATTCTTCACACGATGTTCTTCCTCACCGGCAGCCAGCGTCTGCGGTCGAAGCTCACTGCAGGCTATGCCTATGGCAAGTATGGATGGCACAGCTGCTACTGCTTCTACAGAGCAAGGATGCGGCGGCCGTCAAGGAGAAGATGGCCGCATGAGAAGAGGATACCAATAGATGAAGGCGGTACCAGAGTATCAAGGGCAGATAGTTATCAAGGTTGGATGCTGCAGCCTGCTTCTGTTTGCTATCCAGCTCAGCTCTTGTCCCCTTCGCATCCCCGCCCAGTCTATTCTCTGCTCTGGTGGTGAGGAGGAGCGAAGTGAAAAATATAGCGTACCTTGGAGTAAGTGAGAAAGAAGATGGGGGATCGTTTATTACTAAGTCTAGGGTTTAAATACTAAGGGACACTGCCCTTAATTATCTCACTGATTACACTTCTTGATAATGTACAGTCACGAAAATGCGACAGCTTTCCTCTCCCTTTGAAGAACGAATTATGAGTTCTTGGATTTCAAAGGCATGTAGTGGATGGACATAATTTATGTCTTACTTCGATTGCGGGTCCGCCTGCGTTTACGCCTTGGCGGCAATAATGATTCTTCTTCTTCATGTTGTTCTTCGTCTTGTTGTTCTTCTTGTTCATCATCAGAATCTGCAGGGGAATCGGCTGTTATCAGAGGATTTGGTTGTTCATTAATGCTTTCTTTATCTTTCCAGTAGGAAGTAAGAGAAGATCGTTCAACAAAGTTCTCTTCTGGTTCCCAGGTGTTGAGCTTGTTGGAATAGTTTTTCCATTTGACGAAATATTCTTTCTTCGTACTGTCATGTGTATGTTGCCTATGTGCTACCACTTTTTCCACCTCATAGGTGTCTGATTCATCGGCGTCGTCAAGGACCAGTTTGAGTTGAGATGGTGCGTATGATCTTTCTAAAATAGCGCCAGTTCCATCTTTAAGGATATATGCGCCACCCGCGTTGCGGTTGACTACTGTGTATGGTCCTTCATATCTTGGTGATAATTTTTCGCCGAGAATTGGATCAAGTGTCATCACTTTGGCTCCATCGGGGAACTCGTTGAGTAATACTGTACGATTGAACCTCTCTATCATTCTCTTTTGAGTGTTCTCTGTATTTTCTTTGATTGCTGGAAAGACTGTTTTGGTCATGTACTCAAGTCGTTCAAGAAGTTTATCTTGTGTTAATGGATTGTTTTTCTCATCACAGAAGTGGCTGAAACCGTTGTTTTGACGTGCAAAGAAGAGTGAAAATGGAGATGAGTTGTGTAGTGATACAATGCGTGTGTTCATCGATAATTGAATGAAAGGAAGGTGTTCGTCCCACATATGCCTTTCCTCGAGAACTTGTTTTCTGATCATTTGTACGGCTGTTTTGACATGGTTTTCGGCCACACCATTGCCGCGAGGGTGGTAAGGGGTAATAAGACGATGGTCGATGCACATTTTTGTGGTCAAAAGTTTTGTAATTGTATTGACGAATTCTCCACCATTGTCAGATTGAAGTATTTTAGGAAAGCCGATCAAACAGAATAATTCCCATAGCGCAGTGGCTACAGTTAGACCTTTTTTGTTTGGCAAGGCGCGCAAGAAAACAAATCGCGTACAAACATCAACAACTACAAGTAGTCGGACGTTTTTGTTCTTTGTCAACGGAAGCGGACCTGCCAGATCAATGGCTATGTGTTCTCCTGGAAGTTGAGCATTGATGGCTTTCATAGGATGGTATCCTTTTCGTGCAATATTGAATCGTTGACATTCTCGGCATCGTTTGATAAAATCGACACATTCTTGTGACAGATGAGGCCAAGTAAGTCCTTGTTCATGAATAGAATTGACCATTGCGTTTGCTCCAATATGTCCCATTGCATGGGTTGTAAACAATATATTGTTTCTTTTAACTGGATCTACTTCTTTGCGTTCAGTTTCTTTATCTTGGATTAGATGCATGTAGGAAATAATTTTCTTTTGATCAGCTTTAGTTGTATTTTTATTTGTGATTTCAATTGGATATAGGCGTGATAGGGCATCGGGTAATACGTTAAGAATGCCTGGGCGATAGTGCACCGTGAAAGTATAGTTTAAGATTGTTTCTTGCCAGTTGGTGAGCATTGAGTTGAGCTCAGGTTGAGTATGGATGTATACAAGTGAACGATGATCGGTATATAAGTCAAAGTGTCTTCCCCAGAGGTAGTAGTGAAAACGATTGAGCGCAAAGACAATCGCTAACAATTCTCTATGCGTTGCTGAATATCTGCGTTCACGATCTTGCAAAAGATCGCGACATGAATGATATATAGTTGATAGTGTCTGGGTACTTTGGACCCTTTGGAAGTTGATAGAGTACAGCGCCAATCCCGACGTTAGAAGCATCGGTGGCTACATAGAAAGGTTGACTGAAGTCTGGGAAGGACAAGACAGGGGCTATGAGCAAGATATTTCGTAGTGCATCAAAGGCGCGCTTCTGCTCATCATTCATTACGAAAGAGTCGGTTCGACTGCGAAGTGCATCTAGAGGTGCTGCGACCGTACTGAAGTTTGGAACATATTCACGGAAAAAATTACACGTTCCGAGGTAAGATTGGATTTGTTTGGCGCAAGTGGCATATTCCACCTTGTGCATGTTCACAAGCTTCTTGGTGTCAACACTCTTGCCATGGAGACCCACAAGGAATCCAAGGAGTGAGATCTGTGTGCTGAAGAAGTTGCATTTATCGCGGTTGATAATTAATTTTGCCTCGTTGAGACGTTTAATTACAATCTTTACGTGTTCAGCGTGCTCTTTTCTCGAACGTGAAAATATAACGATGTCATCAATAAAGTTGCACACAAACGGTAGATCACCGAGGATCCGGTTCATTCCACGCTGAAATAGACTCGACAGAGGCTTCAAACCAAATGGTGCTTTTTTGAACATGTATTGAGTACCCTTATGCATGAATGCCGTGAGAGGTTGGTCCTCTTCGTGGATTGGTAGTCTGTGGTATGCTTGTGTGAGATCGATCGTGGTGTACACAGCGTTGCCTGATAGGCGGTTGAGAATATCTGGTATAAGTGGCAATGGATAATTGTCGTCTGGTAGGTGTTTGTTTAAGGGTCTTGGATCAAGACACACACGCCATAGTGTTTTGTTTCCTTCTGCATCTTTCTTTGCTGCTAGCGTTAATGAATTGTTATGGACGTTGCCTACAGGGGCTAGTTTGATTACATCGTCATTCTTCCATTTCCTGATTGCTTCATCGAAAATAGGAATTTGTTTTTCTGCAAATGGACGCGGTCGTCTAAAAAGCACAGTGCCTTCAGGTACAGGAAGAAATACCTTCATTTCCGGAACGGGACAATGACTGGTGACGGGAACTTGTTTATTCTCCTTTAGTACACCTTCAATAGCCTTGAGGAAGGTTTCTTTTTCTTTGATATATTGTTTTGTTTTTTCCTGACTTGGAATTTTTCCTGGTATGAGTGAAGGTTTGTGGTCCGGATCTGGATCTGGAAGAGTTGTAGCATCCGCTCCTGGGTCAGGTAGTCCGGTTATGCCCAGTCCAAATCGGTGGAAGAGATCGATTCCAATTGTGAATGGATATTGCTGATCTATGACCTCCAGTGGTGCTGACACATAGTGAATTCCAACCTGTAGTTCGATGTTATCTGTTCTTCCAGTTCTTGGGATTGTGATTGACTGATCAACGAGCGTGATGACTCCATCGACTGGGTTGATGTTCACTTTGTGTTTTTCTGCTATGTCCCGACGAATGCAAGAGTCTGTGGCTCCTGTGTCAACTAGTGCTTCGTACTTCTCTCCTTCGAATGTGATGGTAGTGAGAACTCTTTTTTCTCTGTCGGAGATGTTGGGTGCTTGTAGTGCTCGCAAAGTGATTGTTTTATTGTTTGTTGAATTGTAGAAGCTAAGCGAATCCATTTTCCCTAGCAGTTCCTGTAAAAGGGTGTCCTCAAGTCGTATCGCCCGAATGTTATTGTGTAATTATGTTGATCCTGGTAGAATGGATGATGAGGCGACAGTGATGCTTGGGTTGTTTGTGCTTGCTTGCTTTGATAGTTGTTGTTGGTTGCGGAGGTGAAGTGCTTGTTTTATTGTAAACTTATGGGCACGCGAAAGAGAAATTAGTTCCGGCTCTTCTTCGGTGGCTTTGTTGTTTGTTGTATGACTGCTTAATGCAAATTCCTCTTTCTTTGCGTTCTGATTTGATTGACATTCCTTTATTTCTCCCCCCTTTTCAACATCTAAACGCATATCCAAACAAGGGCTTGGCACTGACACCGTTGTGGCAGGCGTGGGGTTTGTACGTACTCGTTGTATGACAGGAATGCGATTAACACCAGTAGCATTATTTTTGATTGTTATGGCACATTGTGTATGTTGTGTATTCAGTTCTATATTGTCTATGTTGTTTATGTTGCTAATGCTATTGTTTATGTTTTTAGTGTCGAGGGACTCGACCAAGTGGCTCATAATGTCCGTCTTGTCTGCGTGATCATTAGGATTGCTGGTTGCCTGCGGGTTATTTTGCAGAGAGAAGGGTATGTCAGTGTTATTATTGCTTCGATTAAATGTTAATTCAGCATAATTATTTAGTTTCATTGCATTTATGGTGATGGTAGATTGCTTACCTTGAGTACCGTTCTGCTGTTGTTCTTGACGCATTCTTGTGCGGCAGTCTGCATAGGTGTGACCCCTGTTGCTGCAGAATGTGCAGAATCGGCAGTCCTTGGTTTCGTGCGAGTTATTCCAGCTGCAGCCTTGGCAGAACTTCATGCCTGCTCGAGGAGGTTGCCCGGGTGCTTGCCCAAAAGGGGGCTGACTGTTGCTGCGTCCCATGGGGTTCATTCTCCCTTGTCCTCGGCCTCGGAAAGTTCCTCTGAGTGCTCCGCGAGATGCTCCGCGTGATCCTCGAACTCCATTTGGGAAGGTGTTGTGCCGTGGCCCAAAAGACTGCTGCTGCTGTTGCAATTGATCCTGAGATCGTCCCACTGCCCGAGGTTGATCGATTGCATCCTCAGGTCCCGTTAATGTGCTCATCAGTGCACATAGGGTATTGATCGATTTAAAGGCTGTGGCGTCTGGGTTCTTTATCTGATGCTTAAAGAGCAGGAAATCGTACTCCATCCCCGGGATCGACCTCCCGAGTTGATGAAGGATGATGTCGTTATCGTCTTGGATTCCATTCACTCGTGCATGCCGAAGGATACGAGCGGAATAACGGTTATACGTCTCGCCCATATTGCGTCCCATGTCTGCCATGTTCCGCATGTTCTCCAAACGTTCCTCTTTGGTGAGGCAGATGCTGAGGAATACCTTCTCCGCCATGTCCCAACCGATGTTTCCTTCGATGGCGGCGAATCGACGTTGTAGCTCTTGTTGATAATGGTCGTCGTTAGTGAGGACGATGAGATACCGATGACACTCGTTTTCGAAGGTATCCATGCCGAGACGTGTTTTGAGATGGGTTGCGAAGCGCTCGAGAAAGACTCTGGTCTCATTGGTTTCATAGGCTGTGGCTGGATTCAACGAGAATCTGGGCATGTCGGGTGTTGGTTTCATGGCCGCTTGTTGGGTCATTGATGTTGCGACTACCGCCGTTGGGGTGTTGTTGGCAATTGTTGCGGTCGCTGCTGTTGGCGTTAATATGGTGGAGTGTGCTGAGATGGTGGACCCTGGGTGCTTCTTTATCCTGAGCTCATACAGCGATGACTCCAGTTGCTTGATCAATTGTGCATTGTCTTTCTCCTTGTCTTTGGAGGCCTTTCAAGTCCAAATTATCATATGGTGTTTGTTACATCTCTGCAGATCTTAACGATATCCACCGCGTCCATTAGAGGAGAATGTATATATGATACCAAGCATATAAGACAACCATTGTAACATTTTTTGTTTAACTATCCTACTAAACACCAACCTATTCTCCAAACAACAAAGTCTTCTTATTTTTCGCACACCAAACTCTTGAATATGTCCATCTACTATTAACCTGTAACCCTCACTGCAAGATTCGACAGAGTAGTTCTTGTATGTGATCATCTAAAGCACTTGTATTCTCAACTGTATCTTTGTCGTGAAATACAGGGGAGAGATTACATTTTAAAAATTCTTGTGCTGTCTATTGCTATTTTATTCTGTGTTCTGTTGCCCACTATGAAGAGATATGCCAGTTATGGAAGTCAACACTCCGTTCCTTGGACTTTGGATATTTTTTATATGCCTTTTTATATCCTCTGCACATGAAGGGGCCGCTAGATGAACACATTCAAGATATTGGTGAGCGAAAAATAAGAAGACTTTGTTGTTTGGAGAATGTAGTTGTGTTTAGTAGGATAATCGCGCAAGGAATGTTACAGTGGTTGTTTTAAATGGTTGATATCATACATACACTCTCCTCTAATGGACGCGGTGGATATCGTCAAGATCTGCAGAGATGTAACAAACACCATATGATAATTTGGACTTGAAAGGCCTCCTAGGTGGAAGTGTCGAAGACATGTTACATTTTTAAAAAGTTCATGCTATATATACAACCACAAATGCCAACTGTTGACAATTGGATAGTTTTTAAAATATCTACTCTTCATCTGTCTCAACAACTACCAAAACTTTACATCTGGAGAGTACAATTTAGGCAATTCCTCGATCGCGAACCCCATGGCAATTAACTTCTGCTTTTGTTTGTTGTTGGTAAATTTGTCTCGACTATAGTTACTGTCACCGTTTGCAGGTATCTTATACAGCAGTCCAACAATAATGTCCTCTTCGTACCTCTTGAGCAGATGACATCCGTCGAAAAGGTAGTTGGTTGCATATTCATGCTTCTTGTCAAACGAACATGTTGTCCATTTAATTTCGTCTTTATCTATGACGATTATACCCGAGGAGCTTTTATCTTTAGGGTACCTTTTCCACATAACATCCTCAGCATCTTTATCATCCTCAGCATCTTTATCATCTTCAGCATCGTTATCACCCTCAGCATCTTTGTCATCCTCAGCATCGTTATCACCCTCAGCATCTTTGTCATCTTCAGCATCTTTATCACCCACCGCATCTTTGTCATCCTCAGCATCTTTATCGCCCTCAGCATCTTTATCATCCTCACATGTGCTCTCATCTTTCTGTGGCAAGCTTTGCTTATGCTCATGCGGTTTAAATCCCATAGCAAACAACTTCTCTTTTTCCTTCTGGCTAAGAGAATGACACTCTACATTCTCTGCAGCAATATGGTCATCAGTCATCAAGCCGATTACAGTGTCTTTTTTGCGCATCTTGAGAATGTGCATTCCATTTACAAGTACATTCTCGGAATATTCCAAGTACTTGTTAAGTTTTTTCCATATCACCTTGGATTTATCTGTTGGTCCTTCTACTGGTACTTCTTCTTCTACTTCGATCTCCTCGTTGAAAAGCGTCTTTCTCTCTTCATCAGACAATGGTTGAAGTTTCATCTTGCTAAGCATGGAGCGTTCCAAGATATCCAACTCTGGAACATCACCGACACCGCGCAGAGCATCAAGCGTAAACAGGCCAACGTATGTATTCTTTCCAGATAGCCTGACAATGTACTTGCCATTCATCGTAAACTTAGTTGCATACTCAAGCATGTCGTTATTAGGATGAATCATCCATCCTCTGTCCTTCGCACGTGCTATGTCTTTCTCTGATCTAATGTTATGCACCGTTGTGGCCAGTGCAAATGTATGTTCATCTTTTCCATCCTTAGAAACGTCTACATTAGAAGATGGCTCTGCATTTTTGGGCATCTCTGAATGCCTTTTCTTTCGAGAAGTCTTCTTCTCATCATCCTTAGATGACTTTTTATGAGATAGTTTTTCATCAGGGTTATCCTTAGAGGTATCATCTCCAGATTCTACATCAGGTCTGTTATTGGACTTGCCATCATCAGAGTCTTTATCATCAGGGGAATCATCGTCAGAGCCAGCATCATCAGACGTATCACCATCATCTGTATCATCGTCAGAATTCTCATCAGCAGAAGACTCTTCTATTTTTTCTACATCAGCAGGAGTTGCCTCTTGGAGTCCCATCTTTTGTAATATACGTACCTCTTTGTCAGATAATTTCGGTACAGGAAGATTTTTCCCCATGAGCTCAGGTGGACACAATACAATGTAGAGGTCCTTTTCCTTCAGCTTAATAATGTACTTGCCATTTACAGTATAGTTTTTTGCATACAGGAAAGCTGGATTAGTTGCATAACGCATCCATATGCCTGTATTAGCGAGTGGTACATTTTTCTTGGACGTTATGTCAACTACCTTTGGACTCAACGGAAAGGAGACGGCAATTATATCTTCTTCATCATCATCGGACGGCTCCTCATCCGATGACTCCTGCTTGTTTCTCTTTCGCTTCTTTGGTTCTTCATCCTCGGAAGTCATATCATCATCTGAAGGGACAAACTCAGGAGTATGTGTCTTCTTGGTTATCTTGGAAGACTTGGTACGCTTGTTGGCAGGTGCCTTATTGTTACTGCTTTTCATATGACCTTTATGCTGCTCTCGATGACGTCCACAGTATGTTTCACCAAGTTTGGCTACACTACCACAATTAGCGCCCTTAATGGTTGTGCCTTGACACTTGCGCGCAGGATCGTGGACATAACAATGCATGCCTTCATCATCAACTTCCTTCATGCATTTGCGCTTGGACTTGGTGCACTTTGCACCACAAAAGTAGTATCTCTCTACTCCCTCATCCTCATCAAGCGCCTTAAAGATCTTATTTGCATCTTTCTTGGTAAACTCCACTCCCTTCTTAGAAGAAAATGTCTCGAAGGCCTTGGTGATGAGCTCGATTGTAAGCTGAATGTACTGCATGTTTTTGGATATGAACGATATAGATTGTACTTGTGGTATGGTGGGTGTGAATGAGCTTTCAGTTTATGTGTGGTAGATTGCAGCTGCTTAGTACACTGATATAAAGAATTGCAATAAAAGATGGTTGTATAGGTATGGATGGTTGTATAGATATGGATAATGGTTGGTTGGTTACTAGATAAGATAAAGATTAAGCAAGAGGGAAGTGGAGTCCTTTATTTATACTAATTCATGGGACACTGCCACACTGGATATTAATAGCGCTTGCTTATTAACACTGCTTGGCGCTTAGTAACAAAAGAGTTTTAAAAAGGCATCTAAGTGGTTAATAACGTAGTGTTCCTCGTATGACGTAGATCTTGCTTATTAAGACTGCTTGGCGTTAAAGACGGGGTTTAAAAATGGTTAAGAATGTAGTATTCTTTTATGACGTAGGTTTGTACATGTGTTTATCCTCTTTGTTAAATAAAAAGGAATGTTGTAGAATAGCATAGAATAGCATCCGATCTACTACAATAATACCATGACTTTTAATAATAGATACCGGTGCATATTAGCGTCTAGGCAGTTAATACCGTATCTCAACGCTGACTAAATAGGCTATGTATGACTATTCTTTTAAAAACCTGCAATAAGTCTACAGATTACCATTAACATCCATTTGTCGCTTCGTACCTCTAAGCTCAATGGAAAGACCGGGTTGCATTATTACTGCTTGATCCATTGGTGTGTCCTCATCAACATTAACATCAACATCACCATGAAGATTAATACCAAGAAATTTGTTCTGGAGTTGTGCCATTGTATTTCCATCCTCCACTAGCGCACCAACATCAACATATCCCATTGGTTGCTCAACGTCGTTCTCTGTTGTCGGATACTCGAATCCTTCGCGAAGCCAAGCTGTATGAATTGGTTCTGCAGAAATCTTCAACAAAGCAACCATCTTTTTCATGTTTAAGAGTAACAAAGATAACTTCAACTGCAAATTATATGTTTGTTTCTTATCCACCAACACAGGAGTACGGTTGTTGTGTTTCTCAAATGTGGAACCAAGGTCTGCAAACAGAGATTCCATCTGCGAGCGGAAACTACCAAAGGTGGTATTGTATAACGCTTCTTCCTGTGTAAGTTCCTTGTTCTTCTGTTTACGGTATGGATGAGCGAAATTTTGGACTTTAAGAGTATCAGACTCATCTATAAGCCTCCTTAAGAACTGTGGATAGGAGGCCATCCATGTTCGGCTCCACCAACCATAGACTACAGTATAAAAATATCTGTCAACACCTATTAAAACAGTGTGTTCCTTGAGAGTACAACAAATCTCATCAGCTTTTTCCTTCCACCAGTCTCCATTTTCTACATTCACCACCACTACTTTGTAACATCATCTACTTTAGCTGAGAAAGCCTTGGACATGATCATCTCATATTGGATCCTGGATATTACAGATAGTAATTTCCTTTCCAATATGAGATGATCATGTCCAAGGCTTTCTCAGCTAAAGTAGATGATGTTACAAAGTAGTGGTGGTGAATGTAGAAAATGGAGACTGGTGGAAGGAAAAAGCTGATGAGATTTGTTGTACTCTCAAGGAACACACTGTTTTAATAGGTGTTGACAGATATTTTTATACTGTAGTCTATGGTTGGTGGAGCCGAACATGGATGGCCTCCTAGTAGAGCATTTGTTTTCGTGTTTATATAATTAGCGATGGTTACTAATATCTCCTTTTCATGATATATCCTATGTGTATATCCAATATAGCACTCGTGATACTGGTGATGATGTAGTGGTAGTTTTAAAAAAAAAGTTGGATCCCGATTTTTTTAAAAAGTAGCATAGTGGCTTTAACAAACATTGGTTGTTGGAAAGAAAGGGTAGCTGATACGTTTTTAATGGCGTTATTGCTACACTTTCTCAACAATATTCGACATTCGACATTTGACATTCGGCATTCGATTCGACAGCTGACAAACTGTAGTTATTACCATAGTTATGATATTTGATATGAACGCATTTTGGATGACCTCGTGATTATCGTGATGTTTAATTTTAATACATTCTTGATAAACTCGTAAGTATTACAATGTTTAATGTTGACATACTTTAGGTAAGCCCACGATTTGCACGACGTTTAATATTATTACACTTTGGTTAACTTACAATTGTTATAGCATTTATTGTTATACAGATTGTAGGTAATTACGACAATGGTAAAAACAGAGATATCGCAATTAGACCATGCATTGTGGGTAGTTGTAGATATAACAATTATATCGTTTAAAATAGACGTTTCTTAAAACACATCACATATTTTATAATGCAAATGGCTATTATATTACAACGTTTCTATTGCATTTTGTGTGATAACAAGATAAAAAAAATGTATTGTTAATAGAGTAATTATGTCGTTAAAAATAGACGTTTCTTAAAACACATCACATATTTCGTGATGCAAATGGATATAAACATCGTGGCGTTTCTATCGCATTTTGTGTGATAATAAGGTAGAGAAAATGTGTTGTTAACAGAGTAATTATGTCGTTTAAAATGGACATTTCTTAAAACGTATCACATATTTCGTGATGCAAATGGGTATGAACATTGTGACATTTCTATCGCATTTTGTGTGATAACAAGACAGAAAAAAGAAGTTGTTAACAGAATAGTTATGTCGTTTAAAATAGACGTTTCTTAAAACGTATCACATATTTCGTGATGCAAATGGATATAAACATCGTGGCGTTTCTATCGCATTTTGTCTGATAATAAGGTAGAGAAAATGTGTTGTTAACAGAGTAATTATGTCGTTTAAAATGGACGTTTCTTAAAACGTATCACATATTTCGTGATGCCAATGGGTATAAACATTGTGACATTTCTATCGCATTTTGTGTGATAATAAGATAGAAAAAAGAAGTTGTTAACAGAATAGTTATGTCGTTTAAAATAGACGTTTCTTAAAACACATTACATATTTCGTGATGCAAATGGGTATGAACATTGTGACATTTCTATTGCATTTTGTGTAATAATAAGGTAGAGAAAATGTGTTGTTTAAAGAGCAACTATGTCTTTAAAAATAGACGTTTCTTAAAACGTACCCCATATTTCGTGATGCAAATGGGTATGAACATTGTGACATTTCTATCGCATTTTGTATGATAACAAGACAGAAAAAAGAAGTTGTATAAATAAAAGTTATGTAGACTTAGGAAATGTCTATAAAATATCGTTTGTATACTTTGGTGGTTGGGAGAAAATTGGTGGTTACAAAAAAGGTGTCGCAAAACCGCCATGATGAAATACTTTGACATCTGGTTGAGGGGCTTGTTCCCCTATCGTGTTTATCGTTAATAGTTTTAAAAAATCCAAAAGTGTGTTATATAAAGGAATTTTTGCTAATAGTTTACGTTTAAATTCTCTTGAAATAGATGATATATGCATTATATTTCTATCCAATCTATCATGGAATATGAGATAACTTCTTTTATAGTGCAACAAATCTAAAAGTGTATTGTAGTATAGGCATTTTTCCTAATGGTTTACTAGTTATGCAATGCCAACACTTAAAGAAATTAAGCAAATAATAGCCATTTATATACATGAGCATCATATGGATCCTACAATGGCAATGTACTTGAGAGCTGTTTTGTTACGTGGTAAGTCTCAGCAAGAACTAAATGGTATGTCAAAGGAAGAACTGTGGGGATTGGTAGACTTTTTTGCACCAGATTTACAAAAACATATGCATGCAATTGGAGCATTATCATGGTCAGCACACAGAAAATTTGCTTCAGAGTAAAGTGGTTTTTAAAAAGTTTGTAGTACATATCTCTGCAAACAGTAAGCTATTCAACATGCCCGCTATACCTAAATCCATTAACAAGGCGCTGAACTCATATGCCCATCTTATCTCTGATGTGGGCAAAGAGATTGCATTGCCTGGCAAACCGAAGACGGGCTGGAAAAAGTACTCAGAGATATTCTGCGATAGTTTAATACTCTGGGGATTGCACAACCGGGCTGCACTTGTTGACGAGCAGCGCAAAAACACCACTTCCAATATTCGCGAAGCTTTTAAAGGCCTCGATGTTAGCCACTCCATGGTTAAAGTTGTTAACGAGGGTTATATCAAAGACAATAGTTTTTTTAGCTCTAAACTACTAGAAAAACATAGAAAAAAGTTTAGAAGTTCGGCCTTATACCATGCTGGTTACTTTAGCATTAAGGTAACGCTCCATGAACTAGAGGCCATATCTCTAATATCCGAGATAATACCAATACTTGATGAACTGGAGGTTGACTACGTTATCCTTCATGATATAGATATTGCTACGGATTGTAGATATGTCACAAGCCGTCCAATTCTTCAACAGTACCTTCAAGAGAGATTTGGAGAAAATTTAGATATTGCCAACGATCTCCATAAGGTTGGTAACCACTGTCTTTCTTGGTTTGGAGTCACCGAAAAAGACCAAAAGGTCCGTTGTAAGGTCTACAACAAACTTGTACAGATGTTGGAGAGTGCTGAAGTAAAAATGTCGTTGGGTTCAAGAATGGAGAATTTTGTCATGGATGTGGATAAGGACCTACATAAGAGACTTCGAAAGGCAAAGAAAACAGGTCTAACAAGACTTGAACTTACCTTTTATGGACAGGAGATATATACATTCTCCTATTATAAAGGAGTTTTGGATGCCATAAAGGAAGAGATCCAAGAATGTCCCACCTTCTGCGTAAAGCACAAGGCATATTGGAAGTACATAGTTGGCAATATATCATCCATGGTAGGTATTCATGTAACAATGGGTGAAAAATCGGCATTCGCATATTGCCATTGGTGGAACTCTGTTACAGGTAAGAAGTATGGTTCATATCGTAACAATGTCGAGAAAGAGGAAGCAATGACGTTGTTAGCCAACTATAGCTTCAACGATAGACCAATATACTTTTTGGAGGTTGAGATGGATGAGAATAGCATCAAGGATATTACA